GTTGCTGTCGCTGCAATTGGAAGCACGCAAATCTTATTATTGGTTTTTTTTACACATCTCTCTTGTTCAAACGCTACTGTAAGTAGCGGAATAACCTGCTTGGTTTGAACGCCTACACAAACATGACTAAATGACCGCGGCAACCGAGACAACCGCCATCAACGCCGAGGTCGCTCGGATGCGCGAAGATCGCTGTTCTTCTTTTCGCATCGACCTGGCTCATGGAAGGTTTATCCGCAGTACAAATTCTCGGAGGAGTATCGGATCTCCCTCTAGATTCACGGCAACTACCAAGGGCGCAAGAAGCAACCATCGTGAAGGTCGGCGACCCATCCGAGACTGTTTAGCACGGCTTCGTTTGCTTGACTCGTTATCCAGATCACCTTGCTACAGCCAGATTTTATCCTCCTCGGAGAGATCTGTAAGAAAAGAAACTGCATGCCAAGCCAATGGTTCCCAGCCTCAGGGCTGGAAAGTGACACATCACTGCCTCAGGACTCGCGTGCCAATCAGGTACTCAAGACAAACAAGATGCGATGGTAGTTCTGCATCGATCCGAAGAACCAAAAGTTGACGTGATCAAAGCTGGAAGCAGATCCATCAATCAACACAGCACTCTACGATAGAATCCGCCGAAGAGACGGGTGACGCCGTGACGGAAACTTGTTTCCCGCTATCGACCTTACAATTTGGTACTTGGAACTTGTACCTGCATTCTACCTGAATTTACGGTAGTTTCACGTCGGTCCCGCGAACCAGAGTTGACAGTACCAAGGTACAATACAACCCTCAAATAGTTCACGGAAGATCCGCAACTGCGAAGTAAACTTTGTACCTGCATGTGCGCGGATCACCATGGTTTCATTGAGAACTCGGAACCAAAGTTTGACATCCACAATTTTCGAATTTCCTCTCTCAGGCAATTGACAGGGCACAGTAGGTCTTGATCAACGCTTCGAAATGAGACTGCTATTCCCTCCAAGCCACACAGCGATCAGAAAAGCCATTTGGAGATCACATAAGCCACATGAAGATCAAGACAAAAGCATATAAGCACGTTCCGGCTTTCATCATAACGACTTTCAAGCTAACGTAACACCCTTACGACCCAATTTGGCAGAAAAACCAACCATCTAGCATGTTTCCACTCCCCTAATCCGGAACGGTGAGTTCCGGTCATGCCATAAGGCTACGATATGCTAGACTGAATAACTCAGTAAAGGTCACAGACGCGGAAGCAAGTCATGCTGTCCTGTGCGCACTCGGCGTTTATGACCATCTGGATATAGCCCGCAAAACTATAAACGAAGAAAAAGAAGCATGTACACGAAGAACTAGACATATTCCTCCTGAGTAGACCGTTCAAGCTGGATGTCGTCGGGGAGAACGGAACAACACGCTATATTTTCCATACCAGTGTCAGTGTTATTGGGTAACTGGGAGGCATGGCAAATGCCGAAATCACTAGCTTGGAAAAGGCTGTGGATGAGTAAAGCTTGTAATATTAGCGGGTACTCTGCGCGAGTTTCGCACATCCTTGAAGACGAGGAGGCGAAGTCGTGATGGAAAGGTTTACGATAGTCAGGGATATTGACGGGGATCAGTCAGGAGAGCCGATATTGTGTCGGCTCTGGGATTTATGAGAGTTAATTTTCAAGGTGGAAAGATAATTAGAAAGAGGAACATTTAAGCGCTTTAGTACAGAACAGTGGCCTCGACTGGTCTGAGGGCCATGGACATTTGAATGTGTGGGCCAGTATTCTCGTTCCAAACACTTGCTGAGAAGACTTTCCATTCTCCATCACTCGGCCAGCAAAACAAATGCCAGGACTGTATACCTCGCTAAGATGAAGTATGCTAGCACCGTGTGTAGAATTATGGTATGTATCGTTCCTGTGGTATACCACCGACACTGAACTACGGAATCCTTCTAGAACGGAGAATTACCTACAAATGTCTTGATTGCTACCAATCTATTGTGTATCATAGCGGCAATAGAATCCTCTCACGCCAGACCTTCCTACTGTAGTAACCTATCTAGGCAAACACAAAAGGCCACAGATAACCACAAAGACCTGCATTTGTAGACCTCCAGTCATCGAGATCTGCGAGCCCTATGCTCTAGACATATTTCCCGGTTCAAGTTCAAACACGATGGGCATTGATACTAGGAGTATCTACTTGCCATCACTTATGGCTTCATTCAGTCGCTCGACTTCATGTGCCGCATCATTCTCTTGATAGCGAGAAACCGGTTGTCTTAGACAGTGTATCTTAATTCCTTTATTATCTGCACACAGCAGGCATAACCCATTCACCGTCTTCTTACTTTAGAACGAAATACCCCCATACCCTCTCACCAATTCCACCTTCCTATACTCAAAGCAGTGTCACTCGATATGTTAATCTCTCTGGCGGAGCTCAATCCCGGTCAAAATGTTCTTAGCAGAGTCGACAAGCAACAGTTAAGCAAGACAGTCGATTCTTGAGAGTGCGGATAGACGATTGATGTGGTTTCGGTATCGTATGATTGGGCGCCTTTTACCACTACACTCCTCTCAGTTATACCACTCACCACCAAAGCAGACCCTCAACCTATACACTCACTTGTATTTTGTTGGAATCAAGTAAGCGGATATCTTAGGTAACTTCAATATACATTCTAATGTTAGCCGCGGCCTTAAGAAACGAGTTTCCTTGATATTAAACTTGCAGCCTGAAGAAATTGAGGCTCAGCTCCTTACACATCGGCATCTTTCGTCTAACCTCTCGATCTCCCCTTTAGTCAGCGAAGCTATCCATGTTGTCACAGGCTGATATGGTTGGCAAAGTTATATTACCCTCGGTCGAACTGTAGCTCAGCACACTGCATGCCATTGCATGAGACATCATCACGCGATGTTGTATGATTTAGAACGGCAAGTGATGGGACAGCTCGAGCTGTTCCAGGAAACCATCAGAGATCGTAGTTAATAACAGCTTAGCACATGAAAGCTCAATGAATGTCCTCCTGCCAGTCAGTTTAGATGTCAAACATGAGGAGTTGAAGAGCGTGAAGAACACTGTGGTTGGTCGGACGTGTACTGGATGGGCCTGGCACTCTATGATAGGTCCCGTATACTGAGGAATTACACACAAGAAAGCACTCACACGCTTGGTAGTGCCCGCAATTATCCCTACTATCAACACTGATTACCTGACAGGGAGCTCGGTCTTCGATTCGAAACTGTACCGCAGCCACTCGCCAACGGCTCTCAAGCTCTCCCACCGTACGCTCTCATCTGCCTCTTGCATCAGCTCCATAACCCTGCCCTTCAGCCCCAGCTTCTCTAGCTGTTGTCGCTTCTCTGGCACCTCCTTGACCAAGCATGCGACGTCGTTGCATCCAATAGCCAATACTTGCTTGTCGTTGTCCCAGCTCTTAGACAGAATCTCCGCAAGTTTTCGGGGTAGTTCGCCCTTGTTCTCTTCTAAGATGCGACGCGCATTGTCTTGCCAGAACGTCGGGTTGCGATGCGGTGGTGACCAGCGAAGGTGACCCGACTGTAGCTCAGCAGCGTACTCGTCGAAAGTAGTCTGTGTTTTGGTGTACTCCTCAAGGAGATCGTTCAGTGCCTGTAGATCTTCAAGAGCATCTTCGTCGGTCAGATGTCGGGACTTCAGGCTTGAGAGGAGAGAAGGCAGGCGAGCAAGCACAGCTGTGGGAAGAAGCGTCTGGCGGTTCGTCGTCAAAAGGTTTAGGAGAGTGGAAAGGAGGAGACGGGTGGTCTTTTCCTTAGGCGAGACCTTGAGGAGTTGAGTGTAGAGAATGACGATATCGTAATCCCTGTAAGCTGTTAACAACGGCGAATCCTGATGTAGGAGAGTAAACGTACTCCTGAAGTCCCTCGCCCACGAGCTCACCCTCAAAGCTGAGCTGCCAGATAACAAGTAATACATGGTACAGAAGCTGAAGACCAACACCACCAGAGATGCCACCATCTGTTGTACTACGAATACTGGCGCCGCCACTGTACAGGGTCGAGTCCGTGTCCTTGGCAGACCCAGCTGCAGCTCTCAGAATGTCAAAAAGAGGGCTGAGTGTCTCCTTCCTCTGCTTCCAGAATATGTGCCTTGACTTGGTGCTGCGCAGTACGGCCGAGTATTCCCGTACAGCAATATCCTGCAGACCAGCGTCGGATGCCTTTGCGAGTGTCGAGAGGTAGGTGAAGAGCTGCGCTAAGGCCTCGTCGAGCTGGGGTGTGTTCTTGGAGGACTGTGTAACAGCACGGGATAGAAGACCGGACAGAACGGAAGATGTCAGAAGTGGTACGGGGTCTTCGTTGTTGGATGAAGCTTTCAAAAGTGGTAGGAAAGGCTTATAGGGTGCTGGGTGCTGGACGAGAGCTGATGTGAGCGCAGGTATGTCTGCAATTGTATAAGCTTCGCCTCGTATCTAGGAGGGTTCCAGGTTTCCTACCATCAATCATATCCCCCAGCAAGACCAGCATATAGTGGATAATGTCTTGGCGCTTTGCAGCTGCCTCGAAGATGCTCTGTGATCCATTTCCGCCCACTAGCAGCGTCACGAAGCTATCCACATCCGACTCGATCGTCTGTTTCCTCTGCTCCTTGCGCACTTTATCGATTGACTTGATCTTCTTAAGGTCTTCATCGGTGATAGTCTTAGCTCGCACTGCACCTTCCCATGATATGGGCCGCGCGCGGATGTTGTTCTGAATCGAGGTGAGGTACGTTGGTGGGTCTAGCGAAGACATTGTAAATGTCGTGACAGGCGGTGGTGTACAGGTGATATAGCGGCTTCGGTGCCTGGGGTCGTGGTATTGGAGCTCTGCCCAGGTGATGTTGGGTTGCTATGAGGGCCCACCTGGAAGCTCCGTCATGGTGCGGAGCTAGTGGAGCTAGGATCTTTTGATATCTTGGCACCGACCAATCTTTTGCAAACACCAACACCTCGCGCCTGTGGGGTTCATCAATCAACACACTTTGCGCGCGTAAACATGGAGTACTTCAGTCTGAAGCGGTCGACAGCCGCCGACCGTGGCCAGACCAACCTGTCTAGCAAGGTCTATGTGCGGTCTACGAAAAGTGGCAAAGTCCAAAAAATCGTGAGAGAGTTGTATCTGCGACAGGACATCCCATGCTCGTCCAATCTTTGCAGAGCATGTTTAGAGATTGCGCCGACGGACTACTCGAAGAAAGGTTCGATCGCGAAACCTCACGTGCAGAGCTAGACTAACCAATTTCAGTCGCCCCATTTGTCCTTTCAGACACACCAGCAGGATCCAAGGACTTCCCAAATGGCCAATACCTCATTCCGGATACAAATGCTTTCCTCACCGGAATGGACTTATTCGAAGTTGAGACCGCATTTCATGATGTTATCGTCCTCCAAACCGTACTAGAGGAGGTCAAGAACCGCTCATTACCTCTATATCACCGTCTGATATCTCTGACCAAAAACGAGGGAAAGCGCTTCTACGTGTTCTTCAACGAGTTCAGACAAGAGACGTATGTGGCGCGGGAAGCTGGAGAGACCATCAATGACCGAAACGATCGAGCTGTGCGCAAAGCCGTGCAATGGTATAACGACCATATCACAGAGGCTGTCAAAGCGCGGAGCAAAACGCAGACACGTATACCTACAGTAGTCATGATTACTGATGACAGGGACAACTTGCGGAAAGCCAAAGCTGAGAACGTCCCAGGCAAGACTTGTAAGTTTTCGAACTGGCGTTTATATACCATACTTATTCTCTTCCTAGTGTCCGACTTTGTATCTGGTCTAGAAAATTCAGATGAACTTCTAGATATGATCAGCGCAGCGCAAGAGCAACGAGAAGTCAGGTCGAAAAAGCCAGAGATCTTTTACTCAGAACATTACACAGTCTCGAAAATGATGACCGGCGTGAAAGCTGGTACTTTACACCAAGGCATCTTCAACGTCTCCCCATACAACTATCTGGAAGGCTCGGTTCACGTACCGGCTTTCGATAAATCACTTCTCATTCTAGGACGTGAGAACAGCAATCGAGCCGTCTCTGGCGATGTTGTAGTTGTCGAAGTGCTGCCTCAGGATCAGTGGAAAGCACCTTCAACCAAGATTATTGAAGAAGAAACAGTGAACAAGAACGACAATGCAGAAGCTGAAGAAGGTGAGAATGTCATTCCAGAAAGGGAGCGACGAGCGCTACAAGAGGAGGTCAAGCGGGTGCATGGACAAAGCACAGAAGGAAGACCACAGCCGACTGCGCGTGTAGTAGGTGTCATAAAGCGAAACTGGAGACAATACGTGGGTCACATTGACCGCGACTCTGTCCGCTCTTCTTCGAAATCGAGCAGACAGCAACAGACCGTGTTCCTCGTTCCAATGGACAAGCGCATTCCTAAGATTCGAATACGGACACGACAAGCTGGCGAGCTCCTTGGTCAACGTATTCTGGCGACAATCGACTCCTGGGACAGAGATTCCCGATATCCGGTCGGTCATTTTGTACGATCGCTCGGCGAGCTTGAATCTAAGGGCGCAGAAACCGAAGCTCTACTACTGGAGTGGGATGTTCAATACAAGCCTTTCCCCAAAACCGTTCTGGATTGCTTACCCGCTGAAGGTCATGACTGGAAAGTGCCAGCTAGCCTAGAGGACCCGGGTTGGAAGGGACGCAAAGACCTCCGCGATCTCTTGGTGTGCTCTATCGACCCTGTTGGTTGTGTTGACATCGACGATGCTCTTCACGCACACAAGTTACCGAACGGTAACTATCAAGTTGGTGTCCATATTGCGGACGTTTCCCATTTTGTCAAGCCAAACAACGCGATGGACAAGGAAGCTAGCCAGCGCGGAACGACTGTTTACCTAGTTGACAAGCGCATAGACATGTTGCCTATGCTCTTGGGAACTGACCTATGTTCACTGAAGCCATACGTCGAGCGCTATGCTTTCTCTGTCATTTGGGAGGTTACTGAGGATGCCGACATTGTCTCTTCGCATTTCACCAAGTCCGTCATTCGTTCAAGAGAGGCTTTCAGCTACGAACAAGCTCAGATCCGGATAGACGATAAATCTCAACAGGACGATCTTACAAATGGCATGCGGACGCTGCTCATGTTATCTAAGAAGTTGAAGCAAAAGCGAATGGACGCTGGAGCGTTGAATCTATCTTCACCAGAAGTAAAGGTTCGAACTGAATCCGAAACCTCTGACCCGGCAGATGTCCAGACCAAGAAGCATCTTGACACCAACTCGCTCGTGGAGGAATTCATGTTACTCGCCAACATTAGTGTCGCCGCAAAGAACTACGAAGCCTTCCCACAAACAGCTCTACTTCGTCGTCACGCTGCCCCTCCGAAGACGAACTTTGAAGAGCTGGACAACCAACTCAAGGTCAAGAAAGGAATGGAGCTCAAGACTGATAGTTCGAAGGCTTTAGCTGATTCACTTGACAAGTGTGTTGATCCCAATAACCCATTCTTCAACACTCTCGTCAGAATTATGGCAACGCGTTGCATGATGTCCGCCGAGTACTTCTGCGCCGGAACTCAAGCCTATCCCGAATTCAGGCATTACGGTCTGGCTAGCGAGATCTACACTCACTTCACGTCTCCTATTCGTCGGTACGCTGATCTCGAAGCTCATCGCCAGCTTGCTGCTGCCATTGAATATGAGCAGTTAGATCCTAGCCTACAGTCAAAGGCCAAGCTCGAGGCTGTATGCAAGAACATCAACGTGCGTCATCGCAATGCGCAGATGGCCGGTCGCGCTTCCATCGAGTATTACGTTGGTCAGGCACTCAAGGGCAAAGATATCAACGAAGAAGGTTTCGTCATGAAGATCTTCTCCAATGGTTTCGTTGTCTTTGTACCGAGGTTTGGTATCGAGAGCCTCATTCGATTGAGGGATCTTGCTACACCGGAGCCAGAAGCCGACTTTGATGCTGAGAACTATGTGTTGAGCATCAAGGGCGATGTTAAGAGGACTATTGAGCTGTTTGAGAAGGTGACAGTCAGGATTACAGATGAGCTTGAAGAAAGCACTGGAAAGAGGAAGGTGCGCTTGAGTCTGGTATGAGGCTCAGAGAAGCTACTTATTGGCTCAAGTCATCAGGCGTTTAGGGCACGAGAAAGTGAAGGGTGACTCCTCTTGGATTGTAAAGTTAGACGTCTTCGGGTTCGTGGCCATGTCAATTCTATGGAAACATTCGCAATTTTCATGCACAATAGTCTACTACTAGTATGTCATGTCGTCAGCGTAAGATCTAGATAGGATCTTTTTTGTTCACTATCTTACCTTCCGATCAAGTCTCTGCACATCACTAACACTAGCGATCGAATAAACGGTTGCGACCCCGGTACTTGAGTCCTCAATATGGATGTCACCCCGACGTCTAGATCTCCACCTGTTTGACAAGTAAGGGTAGAGAGCCAGCCAATACACCAGTTTCTCCACCTAGTAGTCATCCAACGCTGCTCTCCTTCTTAACCAAACTCTCGACGTGGTCCTATGCGACAGTAGGTTCCTGCTTCCCAGCACTCAGCATACGCATTCGCGTCATGGCGCTCACACTTGTGAATCGATCTAAGCACGATTCGAGAGAATCTGTCGATCCACGCGTATCTAACGCGTAACCTCCACCCGCCTCCATATTGCGCAAGCGATGCACATTCACAACATTGCCGCTTCTCGACGCTCGGTCATGCCGACAAGGTTTACAACGGCCTCTGGGCGTTCGCCAACCCCTCCTTACACTCGTATTTCTCCAATTCATCTAGTCTCGATCATCCCTTACTCACGTCATTGCGCCTCGAACCGGACTTGTGGTCTGTAGAGGTCTAGTTGTCCGGAAATAACAGTGCCGATCGCTCTGTACAGCCCGCGTGAAAGAGCTGCAAGGCTGGTTGATGCAAGCCATAAGTGAGGAGAAGGGGCGATTATCTCTTTCCTGTACTGGGCTAAGGTGCAGACCGTGGCGCATGATTAGCCCGGCAACGGACCGAGCCCGTCCTACATCCTGATGATTCGCAGCGGAGTTTGACGATCGAAGTCGCATTTTGGAGGTTCGGTATACCTGCTCTCAGCATTCTCTGTGCGAGCCGCAAACTAGTCCATATCGCTTAGAATGAGCATCTTCAGACATGACAGAAGAGGGGGATACCGCTTAGAAAACGCTCCTGTTACTCGAGAAAGGCTGCGAGGCTGCAGGAAGTTGAAGGGGCAAGCGAGGTCGCTTATAAGGTTCACCGTGTCTGAGATGTACGGAGAGAACTCCGGGGAACCGATGCTGGAGAGAGATTGTGAGAGACACCCGTATTCACACACATACTAGCATAGTTCCACTATAGATAGCTTACCGTCTTACGAGCCGCGCAGACATGCATTTGTGAAATGGAGATGGACATACAGTCGCGTCACTGCGGCTACAGTGAAACTCATTCCATCTCCGCATTTAGATAAGGGGGGTGTTCGCGGAGAGTTTGGTACGATATCGGCCCCGATGTCGTAGCGTGTACCTTACATGATAGAGTTTCATTGTGCCTTGACAAATCGTTTCGATGTTCAGGTGATGATACTGTGGATGGTGATCAATGAGTTTATTCCTGACAAGAATGTGTTCAAATTGAACGGATCAGCGATAAGAGGTCAAAAATTTAAAGCAACACGGACGAAGCAATATAAGTCTACTGGCGGCAATAATCCCCAGGTGGATTGAACCCCATGGACAAACGACGTATGGTGTGCGATTTTGTGAAGGCGAGAGTGCTCTTGATCGGTCTACAGCAGCAAAAGCAAAGCCGCTGATCATGATAAGAAAGTTCTGCAAAGCCATACAGCTTGCTCACCATTCCTTTGGATGTCCTGATCGCCAGTCTTGGTCGCTCAAACAAAGGCCTATGTATGCTCCAACATGCATATAGCACCTGTACTTATTAATTGCGATCTCGCTCAGATCTCGGTGTAAAAGCCAACACCAAGCCTTGCCCGCATGACCCCCAATACTCCACTTCTCAGTCAACGGCCTTGCACCCTTCTTGTAGCAAGCGAAGTTAGCATCAATCTATCTCTGATAATTATAAGCGTCATCAAGCGCTTACTATAGTAGATTCAATATACAGATATGTGCACAGCCGCCCCCACGAACATATATTGCACAAGCGACGCGGGATTTTTGACAGGGTCCTCCAATCTGTACTGGTCACACATAAATCGCATGTACCTAGGTATGACTCGTAGACGTCGGGCCCGAAGGGCGCATGTGGATGCATGGCTGTTATCCGACTCAGAAAAGCCTATCGCGCGGACAAGCATTCAAGCGACTCAGGTTCCATTTTGAACGTTGGCTTGCAGTGAACGGTAGCGTCAAGCCGATTGAAGGAACACCTGCGCAAGCGTCACCGTTCATGACATGCGAACGACACATGGTCAGTCCAGCTGACCATGACGCGAAGATGTAGCTTCCGACATCATCCGTTGCTAACACCTTTATTGCCGAAATTCCGTATCATGATTTTTGTTGCATGGGCATGGGAAATTTTTCATCGTTAAGTGTATTCGCCATGGAACTCCATGCGCAATAGCGTGTCTGTTATATAGTGTCAGGATTGATACCCACACGATGCCCCACGCAATCCTATATGATCGTTGAGGGACCAGTATAAGAGCCATGCATCTTGCAAGAACCTTGCTGAGACGACATAATAATCCGGATACCACCAGTGCCGATGCAGTTCCAGGAGAGTTTTCATTTTGATCATCTTGCTTGAGTGGAGGGAGTGTGCGGTGTGTGGTGAGGCTGATGTGGTGTCGGGCGTTCTTCTCGTTCGAGAGGTATTGCGTGCATCTTCATCTCAATGACTCGCTTCTTACGTGAGGTCATGACGGCTGCACTTCGGTGCCGAGACCTAGAACAACATAGAGTATGCGCCGTCGCTTTCTTACGATATTCAGGAGTTCACGATGATGGTGTTGGAGTTGCGGCTGAGCTTTACTGTGGTCATGCCACATCCAAGCCCTCATTGGTCGCAGCAGGAAATGTTAGATGCAAGCTGTGGACTTGACACCTTCTGCTTTCGTCGACCTAATGACAGCAAGACAGACACAAGCGTTCTCTCCCCGCGGTAGATCAGGAGATGTCAAAAAAGCAATTTGACCTTTGCGACGCGCCGCGCACCACACGCAGCCATCACAATTAGTTCCAGAGATATGGTCGCATCTATCGCACAGGCTGCCGAATGAAGCATCCGCCGCTATGTACGCTTCATCTAGACCACTACAGCACCGTCGGTTCATGGCTTTAACGTCCCACGCTTGATTGACGGTGATAGCCCATGTGCATGTTGCGCAGTTTAGCCGGCAGAACGACAGCGGCAGGCGCTATGTTCCAGCTGGAGGTACCTACCGTCATGCTCGGCATGGCGGCAAAGGCGCGTTCACAAATGCGGGACCTGGGTACCCTTGACCCAAGGGATGCTGAAAAGTTGTGGACATCCAACCCTGCGTATGATCTTGTCACAGGCTTCAACAAAGAAGGATGACCCCTTCAAGTTGGAAGTAAAGATAGGAAGCGGATTAAGCGACGAGGTGCATGTGGGTTGGGGATGATGCCCCGTTGGTCGTGGCTTATAGCGAAAGTCTCATTTCGGTTGCAGGATGGGCGCGAAGATCATGATGACCACAGAGTCAAGAGCCGACCCTTACACCAGCGTGGGGTTTTCTTGCGAAGAGTTTGATGTGAGGAATTCGAGACAAGTTATTTGGATTTTGCAGAGTTCGAATCTGCTGTCGTCATACGTCTGAAGACCATCTCAACAGCGGCGCCTACAGTGGTATTGCGAGCATCGGCGACGGCTGCAGTGATTACCCTCAAACGCAAAATATGATTCGGAAAGTTTTCGACGCATGCCGCTAGTTGTATAGACATGTCGCTTTGGTCGCTTTGATGAGTCCAGATGATGCACTACCAGTCCACTGCGACTAGTTGCATTGTGGTAGCGTAGCAAACTGCAAGCCCCAGTCGACGGCTCTCATGTCACTGTAACGAATGTGCATGGAGGCGTTGAACTCGTTGTTCGACCAGATTCGACCAGATTTGATGTGTTTCAAGAAGGTCCGGTGAAGGCCCTCAAGCGCTATTGGCGGTTGACGAAATGGCCCCGCGATGAAGCATCGGAGATTATCAGCACTGAATGACCTGGCACGCTGGCGACCAAGCAACCGTTCTTGCCAAGGAACATGTCCGTGCGTTTGCGCTATAATGTCCGGTTTGCTGCATAAGGCCCTCGGTGTCAGGGGTATGCGATAGTCAGGAACGCTCGGCTTCTAGCCTATAACCCATTCGTTGTATCGACCAGTAATTACCTGTATAGCTCACGCTCCAGATCTGGGCATCAAAACTTGTTTCCTGCAGGAGCTGGTGACTAGCCATAGCTGTTATGGGCTTGGGAACGCACACTATCAAAATCTGGATGCGCTCCGTCCAGGGCTAAGATAAAGAACCCTGAAAGGAAGCTATCGCGGGACGCACCTAAAGCCCGACACGGGATTGGCCAGTGCCTGAATGGAGCGATACTGGTTGCAGTTGATGTGGTTTGATAGATCGACGTCGTGTCAATTCCCTGCTCTAAGCGAAGTTTCCGACCGACACACGCCCCTTCAGGCAAACTGAGCGTTTGCTTGTCTCGTCCGTACTCCGCCCTCTAGCTATGCAAGGAGAATCTCGAAGGAAAAAACTTCTGTCCGGGGTAGAGCTGAACGGCACGCACAAACGGGTGTGCTGTCGCAATCGCTATCAAGCCCTCGGTGTCAGTTTGCTGAGGCTGAAGCGATTTCTGCCCCTGGATTCGCTGTGAGGTCATGATGTGCTGTCAAAGACCAACATCGTGCTGACCTCAACGACGCCACACTGCCCGCTTCATGACTCTCGGATGGCATATACTGGACGGGAGTGTCAAGCCCCTGCAACAGGCACGGTGGAATTGCCTATCCTGGTACTTGCGCCATCTTCAACGGCGGGGTGTCACCAAGGTTGTCGATATTAGCCCATCATGGATTACTCTTAGTGCACTGCTCACCGATATTTCCATGAGTCTGCCGTACTAACAAACTTCGCAACCCACCATCAGGTACGCTTTTGTACCTGCATGTCGCCTCAAGCCAAGCTTGTCCGGTCTCTATAACCCGCAACACTCCTCTCACTCGGTGCGCCATCGTTGCCCTCTACCGAAGGTCCGTTCTTTGTGCTGCCTCGTTTTGTGGCGCTAAGTGCATACCATCATTCCCTACTGCGGTGCTGTGGAGCGAGGGTAGACGCATGACCCAGGTCTCCGCTCTTTGAGCCCCTCCGCCTTCCCGCACTACTTTATCCGCATCGCCCTCCAAGGTTCATATCGGACAGAAGTGGGCTCAAAATTACTACCATCGTTTCGTCGACCGCCACCTCTCGAGTGTAGCCGCATCAACCGCAGCCACAGCCAGCATGGTTGTAATCTGATTAACGTCACTTTCTCATATATTCCTTTTGGATCGTCTTCCCAATACACCATCAGGGTCTGCTCAAAATAGCGACAACGACGATCGCAACAGTCTTTGAGCACTTATCATCAACCATCCCGTTCGACATTTGAATTTCACACACACTATCATCACAACCATGGAGCAAGAAACGAAAGTTTGGATCATCCTTGGGGCCGTCGTAGGCACCCTCGTTCTGACGGCCGTTGCCGTCGCCCTTCTCTTCTTCTGGAAGAGATCTCAAAGAAGGATGCGAGGCTTCTCTCTGCGAGCAGTCACACCACTCGACGACGCCGAGTTTGAGTCATGGAGACGACCCAGCCAATATACCCAACGACCGGAAAAGTACGGCATTCGACCAGCTGTCTTACGAGAGCATATATCTCCCAGAGTCACTACCATGTTCGAGAAAGAGCTCAGCACATACGAGTTTCCTCCACGAACACCATCATTAACCGACATGGCTTCATTAAAGTCACCCACCAGCTCAATACGAAAGCCCGAGCGTGCACGGAGGAAGTCCAGTGTAGCTTCGTCCATTGCCGACCGACCCCCAACACCCTACTCTCCGACTTCCCCAAGCGGCGAGTTCAACCGGGGCTCCACATCTTCACATCGATCCCAACCTCTAATACATTACCCATCAGTGGATGAAACATCTGCTTTCCGATTCAACTTCGACTCAGAGTACGGCACCCAACAAAAGGGTGCTGAACGCTGGATCTGAACACCAGTATCACTCGACATGATTCAACTTTCCAAATCATACCTATCCTTTAAACATCACTACTGGCAGTGGTCATGTGTATCACCCGCAGCCTGTCCAATGCACCCAAAGCGAGTGCTACAGATATGACAGCTATCTGCGTCACAACGCACCGCTTCCTGCAGAACAACCATCGAGACTGTCGCGATACCCAGTCAACACTTTGCTTTTACGACCTTCGCTTCGCATACATACTTTACGATTGCACATGATTCTGTCTTTTTTGGCGTTCGGCGGCGCTTTGCATCTATGATACCAGACCTTTGTGTCAACCACACAGGCCTTGAGCCTCTTTGTTTCTTTCTGTTGTAGGATGAAGCAAGTCAGTGCCGAAGATCGCACAAGAAGGGATCCAGTAGATAGCCAAACATGTACTCGGGTACGCAGTTGTAGCACTGCGAGAGGCTAGTCCTCTGCGCCCAGAAGAAAGAATACAGATAGTAGCACATGACATTTCCTCCATATTGCGGTGATGATCCTCCCTTTGCGCAATCTGTCCTGCAAGACACCACGCATCACGACATCAGCCGAAGCGGCATCTCGGCAACGGCCGTTTCCACCGGCGGCACCAATCGCCCATGCAACACTCGACTGCCGACGGACCCCTTGGCCGTGCAAACGCCGCATCTGTGCAAAAAACGTGGTCTACACCGCCAGTTCCAAGACCCCAGAATTTGCAATACCAGATCTGAAACTCTGCTCGGCCGCGATCTCCACCCACTCCACATGGACTATCGAAAGGCGACGGGACGCGATTCATGCACGATCGCGTTACCCGCGCACAAGAAGTACACCGCATTATCAGACCAGGTGTACCCCGCGAGATGTCGCGCAGTTGTGATACAGAGGGGGCTGAAATGAAAGACGCAGGGTGGTGGAGTATGATCTTCAGTGTAGGTTACTTTTGCGCATCAAGAGTGGATTTTGGTGAAAGGTGGTAGATGACTAAGCTAAGCGAGCCGAGCGGATGACGTGCAGCCAGGATTAGGTGTGTTGAGCTGCATGGCTCGTGTGAAAGCGTTTTAGTGGGTCAACGTGGACAGCTGTCACCGCAACTGTGTGCAAACAAGCAAAATATTAGCCACGCGACAATAACCCCATCGCGTGCTCGTCTCTCAGTCCATCACGCGTCGCCCCATTCATCCACTACTCGCGCGCAGATCAGTCGCAAGCGCGAGCTCGACTTCTGCACCCCACAACGCGTTCATCGCGTCTGGCACACGATACCTGCGCATCCAATCGCAAACCGCCCAAAATGGATTTTATACAAGGTAGGCTTCTACGACATGCTTGGTACGAGGCACTTGTCTCGCAACACATTATGCTGACGCCCGACACCAGACTATGCGGCTCTCATCCCACGCTTCCTCCCACCCTCCTTCGCAAGCCCTCTCCTCCAACTCGTCACCACCTTCTTGGGCATCTCGCGCACCCTAACCACGCACCTCTCGCCCCTCCTCAATAAACTCATCACACAACCCGATGTAGCCTCCATCCTCGCCCTCCTCGCCATATTCTTCATTTCGCTCAAGATACTCGATATGATGTACCGAGCCGTCATCTTCTGGGTGAACTTGGCTTTGAGGCTGGTGTTTTGGGGCGGCATACTGGTTGTGGGCTTTTGGGTGTACAATAGAGGGCCTGAGGGCTTTGTGGAAGATGTGCAGGGCTTGGTCGAGTACTGGCTGGGACAGTATGAGATGTACAGTCAAGAGGTCAAGGGGTTCCAGCAGCAGAAGGAGGATCAGATTAGAATGAAGGCGAGTGCGCAACAACAGCAGAAGAAGAGGGGATGGCGGTAAAGACGGTGCAGGGCGAGTTGGGAAGCATATATGTATGAAGAGACGGGAGTGAGATGTTTGTCAATATAACGACGGCGGTTCTTGTGGTTGAACTGCATGACCGGGCGCAGCACTGGCCTTTTACACATATTGTTATGGCGCTTGGGAATCTTGAAAAGCATGGGACTGGTTCCGGGATCCGTTGGCCTCGCATACCCGTTGGAGTGTTTGGAGCGGTAACAAGTTGTATATGTTTGAGCATCACGAATAATGGTATCCATGACTGTATCTCTAGCTTGCTGGTAAGAGCGTCGCGGTACTAATCCTACTGAGGTTCTGTCTTCGCGCCAGCAAAATGCCCACCAAGTGTTTGCTCTGGGGAATACAGCTGACTATCTGCCGAATATCTAAGCACAAGATGGTTGGGAAGCCCCCGCATAACGTGGGCAGATACTCTAGAATCTGAGAAAAGGAACACTAAAGTTCGATGATTGCTAGGTGCACCTCTTATAAGAATCTCCGAGATCGTGGACGGGATCCCAACCAGTATTCATCAACTACCTATCATGGCACGCCCAAAGAAGCAAAAAGACCCCGACTCTGCACGCTCCACGACCGATAACACTGTACGAAGCATGACGAAACCAGCAAGTGAGCGGGTACCTGCCAAGTTGCTGCAGATGACCTCCGGGGATTTACCGTTCGCAGACTTCCAAGGAATGGTTTAACTGCATACCAGGAGACAACTCAAAGTTGCGAGACATACTATTCCTGGAAACTAAACAACCACTCTTGAAAGAATACCTCCATATTCAAGTCTTTCACTAGACAAGGACAACCCGTTTTGGGTTTCTATATGGCGCTCGAACTTACGCGGGTTGTCTCTCTGTACTCTCAACTTTGTGACAACGCAACGAATTCTATCTCACAATCCCTTGTGTAGTATAGCAACATCGAAACAATTTCAGCCTACAGCAAGCATATGTTGAATCAACAGCATAACGGTGTATGCTCATCACTGCAGGACTGACGGAAATACAATATCGTGTAGCTTGATTTGATAGTCACATGGACTTGTTTCATATCCTGCCGCTTGGTAGCCGTGACCTCTCACGCATCATAAGGTCCAGCCCTGTCGCCTTCCAATTTCTCCAATCATCGAACCTGTCAGACTATCCTGAAAAATTACGTCACCAACGATACCATAAAGTATACACGAAAACAGCAAAGATCCTATCAACAAAGTCAATCGCGGTACGTCGACGAATAACCCACGCTTATACCTCCCTCCTATGATATCACAGATCAGTTTTACCTTCTAAATCTACCTAATCGTAAGTACACACTGTGACTCTGTTTTAAAAACGTATCGTTAGCGCCTCAAAATCTGTGGCATGCAGTTCCTATATTAGCGCATACCGCACAGCCCATAATAATAAAACTGTGTATACTATGCTTCCTAAGTCTCGTCACTGACTCTGGCTCTACTTACCCGCTGCATACAAGTGTGCAAAGGGTGGTGCGACTACTTCCCTAGCACTGGTTCGGAACTCTGTGGCAAACTGTTCATTGATCGCTGAAAGCCAACCAATAACGGAGCGGAAAGGAAAAAGGATACTATGAGCGAAAATACGGAAGAAACACAGGAAGCGGGTGATGGAGACAACGACTAAAAAGATGATATGGACGACATGACCATCAACAGTGGTGAGGATGAGAGTAGTGCCACCGACAGCAAAAAAAAAAGTATTATGAATATAGCAGTCAATCTCAACGGGGAACATACCAATCCTTACCCTGTGGTCAACCTTCGCAGCGGAATAAAGCTTGAAAAGATTCTTCTAGACTAGGGGAAGTTCATGCACCTAATCGACGACTTCTTGTTCAAGAAAGACAAGGCCGGCGGGCCGCAGCACTGGTTCTGGTTCAGATATTCAAGCAACTGCAGGAGTTGCTCGAGGGGAACGAAGACCACTTTGAAGCCAAGGACGGCTCGTGGAAGGACATGCTATTATGCGTACCGAGTCTCGACCGCATCAATATCGTATTCGAGTATAGAGGTTAAAACGAGACGGCCCGCAGGTATGAGCCCTTTGGTAAAACCGGCAGTGAGGTCACCATGAGTCAGTTTGTGAGGACCTTCGCGATCAGTTGCAACACGCGAAGGAAGATATACACTAATTCTCCGGAGAGCTATCGGTACTTTGCAGCATGTGCTTCGATGACGGAAGAGAGAAAGCATCCTTATGACACGCTGTTGCCTGCCTAGTTTTCGCGCTAGCCATTAATGTTGTGTTTTCGTGTGCAGTATGATTGTAATCTGCTTTGATGATGCATAAGAGGAGGACGCGTCAATTTACCTAGCACAATCATTACGAGTTCTAGAGTATGTTACGAAGAGTATGTTCCATAAAACGGGATAGATATAAAGCACAATCGAACATTCAAGCCTTCCCACTCTTTCTCTATATTGCTGATTGATATGTGCAAAGTGATTCCATGTCTTGCAATGCATGACACAAAAAATAAAAATAAAAACGTGTGGATGAGACGTCAGAGAGTCAACCGGAGATAAGTGTTTGGAAGGACTGATCCGAAGTAGCAGTGCCTTGGATTTGGTCGTGTACAGCCGTTCGTATCATGGAGACCGAAGGCCTTGGTGCCCAAGCCAAGCAACTAATGACGTCGCAAAGTCCCCGCATTCCTCCATCAACGCGCTCCGAACCATCAACGTTCCACACGCGCAACGCAACACAAGTCTACGATTCCTGCGTCCTCTGCGGATCCAAAATTACCACCACCACATCAGCGATGGCAGCAACATCTCCCTTCCCCACCTCCCCGCCCACACCAACACCTTCCACCACAACCACCCTCACAAACCCGAACTTCGTCTTCCCACCGCACTACTCGTTCCCGCCCTTCTTCACCCTCCAACCAGTCGCCAGCACACGCTCCTCACAACTAGCCTCGTGGTCCACGCTCATCCAATCCTACTGCCGCCACCATCGCATCTTCACCCTCTCCCTCATCGATGCGCTCCCAACCCCCTCTTCACAAACGCGACACTCCGCCGCAGCCTCTCTCTCCGTGACGCGAAAACCATCCTCACATATATGGCCTCGCCCGAGGGCGGTAACCGCGCAGAATTCATAAATACAAGCTCATCCAAGAAGGGAGCCAAAGCTGGCGAAGAGGGTGAAGGAGGCAAGGCGTGGATATATTGGCGGAGGCCTGAAGAGTGGGCTGCGGCATTGGAGGAGTGGGTGGAGAGGACGGGGCAGAAGGGTACAGTGCTTACATTGTATGAGATTATTGAAGGGGATGCGAGTCGGAGGGAGGAGTTTTATGGAATGGATATGGAATTGCTGCAGAAGAGTTTGGGGATTTGTGTCAAGAGAGGGAAGGCGCAGGTGTTTGGGTCTGGGGGCGAGGGCGAGGGTGTAAAGTTCTTCTAAGTTTTGGGGAAAGGATGAAGAGTAAAGAGACGATATGGATATGGCGTTGGATGATACCCAAGCGTGTTTTGAACATGATCCCAAGAAGCTTGATATAGAGCTTACAATACAATAGACATAAGAGTTGCTTAACATCCACAAAAAAAGGCCCGGGGGATATGCAACACAGTTGGCCCTGCCGGCTTGAAGAACGGCGGAGGGACGTTGGGTGGATTTTTCGAATTTCGACACACTGGAGAAGAAGGCTCCAAGGCCTACGAAATCACTAATTACCATGTCGCCGTGATCGAAGGCACCAAGTTGAGCACTGGTACATGGTGTATGCCATACTGACCATTATATGTAGGTGACTACCGGCCCACCCAAGTGCTACAGTCTTCAGATTCAAGTCAACAAGCACGCCTTGTTTACTTCAGCACGCGATTTAGGGCATAAGAGAGCTGCCGTAGGTAAGGCGCTGATGCTGGTCGAGGAGCTCTAGACCGCGGCATTCATCAAGTAGACTCTCAAGCAGAGCTGTATCGAATCCGGTGATTAATCGAAGCGGTTCTAGATGAGTTAGTAGCTCGCATATATTAGCGTATCACGGTAGAAGTTCACTGTGTTTCTCCCTTTCAGCATGGGTAGACGTTGATGTAGTACGGGACTAGACACAATCAGCAACACGTTGAGCATCGGGTAGAATGGTTCAAAATTGACTAAAATCCGACAGTCGAGTTTGCCTGAGTCGCATTGACCACATCCCAACAAGGTATGAAGTTCAAACGGCCAGTGTCGGATGTTCCGAACCTGAGAACTATCGACACCATGACGCCGAAAGTATTGCAAATAGCGAGTGCAGACAAGGAGACCGTGTTGAACAACATGTTGAAAGGCGGGGTAATAATATTTGGACACGAATGACTCACGATGGTGAAGATATGGTTGGGGAATGAAGAGGTTTACCTGGCTCGATATATTAGCAGCCCTAGAGTTTGACCGCGCGCCTCAGAGAATGGACACCCAAGGTCAAGACCTCGCGTCGATTCTCATTGTGGTGTAATCTGCAGGACGCAACATTGTTCTCCACATGGTAGGCTGGGTACCAAGAGTTAAACAGGTTGTGAATGTGGTAGTGCATGTAGTGGTGATGCGACATGAGTACATCGTGACACGCAGGTCAGCCATGGAAAGTCGTCCCTTGCGGAGTACTAGGCGTGATAGTGACGCAACAAATAAGGAACAGCTCGATCCCACTGTAGATGTTGAACATGGCTGGTGGATGCAGATCAGGGTGGAGGATCGTCGCAGGCTCACTGCCCACAAACAATGGTTCAGGGAGGGGAGCGGGCCGTTAGCTAGTCTGGAGAAGGAAAGGGCCGAGACTCAACGGGCGTTGCGCAGAAGAGCTACAGTAAACAGAACCATGGAAGACGCTAACGATGAGGCTGGAGGCTCCGCAAGCTCCATGCGCTGTTCGAAACGCGCGTAACTACGTCGCACAGGCAGCCAACAATTGCGGGGAGGCTGATGAGACGAAGCGATGGTAGTACTGATATGGGACAGTCTCAGGCATAAGCTCGATATTATGCGCTGCAACACAACAATGCCAACGGAAGCGGACCGGTTGCGTGGCGAAGGTAGTAGCTGTATATTGAAACAGCGGACTAATACATCAGGTTGGTTAGCACATGCAGTCAGGCGCTATACCGCATGTGTCGTGCTGCAGAGGGCTGCAGGCCAGCAGCATGCCCAGGTGGAGAGCTGCGAGCTCCCGTCGACACGTTGCACACAGTGGATATGCAGTGGGTCGTTGAGGATGGCGTATAATATGGCAGTGTTAAACCTCAATTACTCGACCAGCTGGAGTCGCAGTCCGCCGCCAGGAACCTGAGACGAAAAGCATCGGAGAGATAATTTTAGGCCAGGTACATACTTCAAGCTCATTTCCCGCCGGCAGGGTCGGGCCAATCAAACCTCAGCCAAAGAGCGGCCGGACCCCTGACCCTGGCGCCGAGGAAGGAGCTAGCCGACACGGTAGCCTCGCTGTTCGTACGTGTTGACCATCCCCCAAGGCTCAAGCGTGCCTTCCTCTCTCCACTGTAGAGACCCATCGCAGCTTCCCTACCCAGTACGCTCCTTCTGCCGCCGCGAGCCAGGCTCTCTCCTTCCCTTCTTAGACCGGCACGTAATCGATACGGTCTCTATTTTCTAATACTCTTGCGTCGACACCTACATAGATATACCCCAACCCCGACGCCCCAGCTACATGTCGCGAATGGACTCGTGAAGCTGCGCGTCTCTTACTGGCCCATCGCCGTCGATAGCTCTACTCCACCGCGGCCACATCCTAGGATTGGATTTATCGACAAGCCATACAGCTTCTACGCGTCAAATATACTCAGCATGCGCCCGTGCCTGTGCTGCGACAATGCTCGCGCTATCCATGTCTCCGAACGTTGTCGTCGGTCAACTACTACCTCCTGTTCTCAAAAGCAAACCCGTTCCGGCATAAAAAGAGCTCTCGTCTTTGCAGTCGTTGCCGCCTATGTACCGTCAACCATGGCTCAGCGGAATTGCGTATCGCTACAAGGCTCGACAGCGTGTCCGGCCTTCACTTCCGCTTCAGTTGATACGAACTTGACCGGGAACTTGTACGTCCAACGTGACTTGATATACCGAGTGGGTACTAACACTGGTCGTAAATAGTCCCTTCCTCCAATTCGTGTCAGACACCCGGTCGTTTGATGAAGGCTTGAAGAATTACATTGGAACCGGATATGCCCAGCGACAGTCAGTCTAGTCCCAGTTGTGCCACACGACCGCTCAACGGCGCCCGTAGACTAACATACCCTTAGGTACGAAGACATTTTGGGATGTTCAAGCGTCAACCTTACCAGCACCACCAATCTCTATGCTCGGTATACAACAACAGTCCTATGTAACCTCATCATCCAATCCTCGAGGACTACATGTGGACTCAGCGACACGGATGCAACTCCGCTTTGCGCGGGTGCCTGCGTATGTAAACAATCTTGCCGCAATTACACCATATTGAAATGCTGATCAACCCAGGCCGACTTTGCTATCAGCGAGCAGGTCATAGTATCAAGCCCGGATCTGTGCGGTACACCTGGCAACAACGCAGTTCCGGAGATTCGCTCCGACTTCGCTCGCTGTTCCAACCCTGCCAGCTCGCTCAGCAGTAACTGTATCGATGCGACCGAAAACGAGCCCAACGAATGTGGATACCAAGGTAACCTTCAGGGACTGTGCCTCTTCTGTGGCTCTAGTACCGTCAACTCCACAGACTCTTGCTGCGTCAATGCGAACGTTGAGTCGCGATGCGTAGGTGTTGATCTGCCCACAACCGTTTCGATGCCCCCAGTGTTCCCCTCGAGCACTTCATCCGGATCTCCAAACTCTACGGCCGGCGCAGGGGCCGGTGGACGTGATTCCGGTTCCGGTCTTTCTGGAGGTGCCATCGCTGGTATCGTTATAGGATCACTCATCGGCGCCGCCCTAACAATCGCAGCCATTGTCTTTTGCTGCATGCGCAGGCGGCACCAAAAGCATAGCCAAGCTGGCAGCGTCTTCAACACACCATCTCCATCGCGACATCACTCTCCCAAGGCGGGTATCATGCCCCCTATGAGCTATGGGGGCGATGGCCAAACGCCAGCTACCATCCTCCCAGGCGCCCGTGTTCAACGTATGTCTGCCTTGGAAGGATCATCGTCCTCGGGCCCCAGCGATCGAGGCGACCGAATGACTGCATACGGTGGTTCTCAACTTGGTCCCTATGATTCGCCCGAATCGATCCGTGGGCATCTTGCCGGTAACCTCCCAAAACGACAAGGTTCTCTTTCGAGCCACTCCGCTCTAGGGACAAGCTCATCACCACTCTCTGGATCCGACCAAACGCGTAACTTTTCCAGTCCAGATGGCATCGCTTCCGGCCAGTCTGAGCAGCTGCAGTTCTTTAAAGACTACTATTCCCAGGACGATATCCATCCAAACGATACTGTTGCCACTCTCTGGGCCTACCAACCTCGTGCCGGCGACGAATTCGAACTCGAGAGAGGAGACATGCTCAAGGTTGTCGGTATATGGGATGATGGTTGGGCGACAGGTGTAAGACTTTCCGAGACGGCAGAGCAGTGGGAGGCACGAAAGGCCGAGCAACGCGACTCGGGTGTGAGCAACGGAGGCCGACGATCACCAGTTGAATCCGACAGCGAGATCAAGGCTTTCCCCTTGGTTTGCGTGTGCTTGCCACAACACTGGAGGAAGACCATCGAAGGCGACAGCACAGACTCTGGTGGGCATGGGAGTAGAGGTGATCGAATGCCTCCAAGCCCTTAAGGTGTCTTGAAGGCCTGGTCGGTTAGCGCTCCCCTAGTTGCTTCCCAGCCATCCCCTACCCAAGATCGCCCACCGCCTTACATACGATACGGTAAGGACAAAAGTCGTGTCGCATCCGCAACGCCTTCTTCGGTAACACGGCCACCACTCGCGAGCACACCAGACGTCCACTCCCTAGGATCTAGTACCCTCATCAGCTCTGAATCTGTCCACAATTAGTAATGTCGCCACGATGATGTTTTTTTTTACGTGTTTCTCTCTGTTTTCGACCTCGATACTTGGGTCCCCCGATGATCGGTCCTCCTTACCCCTCCAGGGGTCCTCGTACCCTGAACCCTTTAGGCCATCGACATGTCACGACCTCTGGAACCATTTCTGCTTCTTTACGATCTGCGCGAACCATAGACTGCCTTCAGGTCTAGTGTCTAATACGCTCCTTCACCGCCTGATTGCACAACCTTGTGCAAAACTACCCTTCGACGTTCCAGTAATCACGCCACACGCACGCTCTGGTACATACGACTCTGACCTACCTCCGGCTGATTGACTTCGTCTGTTCTATACCCCGCCGCATTACCCATGCGACGCAGCCTTTTCTTTCTTGTTGACTGTTTTCGAGAGCGAGAGAGCGCTGGAAGCGATATTGTATATATGACCTTGCTTCCGGGGTACTCGAGGAAAAAGGGTTAATGCTTTATCTTGATTATATTTCTACGATATCCCGCCTGTTGCGTAAAGGGGGTTTCGTTGTTGGATTGGAGGTGGTTTTGCTGTTTGGAAGATGAGGAGAGAGCTGAAGTTAGTGCGGGTGGTTGCTTGCGTTTGGATAGCTAGGTACGGCAATGGGAGATACGGAACATATGCCATTAGTCTTCCTGGTAGTGAGTGCTATGTGCTGTGCTGCGTCATCGAACTATCCCAAAAGGGCCCTTCATCATTCACAGCTCTACAGGCCTCGAACTCTTCAAACTTCCGCCTTCTCCTTTTCTCTGTTCTTGCCGAACTCAAAACATCGGTACTACCTTCTAATTTTATCCATCTTGAAACACGCATCGCTGTCACTATACCAAGCATACACCTATAGCATAGGACCCCCTTACCTCACCCGCCTCCTTGGTTCAAAGACGTTTCTCGCTTCCAAATCTCCGAGTGCGCACAAGCCCACGCACGTTGTTTGATCCCTACTTAGCTGGCAAGGGCATGATGGTGAGTGAACTATTGATAGTGGAGGCGTGTGCTGTTACATCTCAGTAGCGACGAGGGAGACTTCGAGTCAGGTTTGGTGTGTTTCTGCATCGTTGTTACCGTGCGGCAGGATAGACATAGAATATATCAGTCGCGCTCTGAACAGCTTACATATGCTGTTGATACGGTGAGCAGTATAATCCATCACCGTCTCGTCTGCCATTCGGAAGGCTTAGACAGCGAGTAGAGCAGAGCGATAATTGTTGGTAAACAATCATTTCTATCCTGGTATCATCCTTGTTCTAATGCTATTCATCCGGGATACCCCAAAGGGCACATCAGGCCTCCATGCTAGTACCCCGAAGGGAGTGTTCATCGCTAATCCGTAAATTCATATCAAAGTCTGCCATTGTCGTAATCGCATCGCAAAAAGGCTGCTCGAAGGCACCACGCTCCACCTTCGGTATCATCTCTCCATCAAAGGGTATCACCTACGCTCTGCCCTTCCTCCTACCGGTCTTTCCTAGGCCACCATCTTCGTTCCGCTTATGCCACTCGTCGATCTCGTGTCGTACGCCTTCGCGATAGGACTTGTACTCTTCGCTTGTTTCTACCAGTAGTTGTGGGCAGTGGCCTGAACGACGCAGGTGTCGTTTTAGGTTCTCCCACCGGCAGTCGGGCTTGAAGGTGCAGTTTAGGTGTGGACACCTGTAGGGTCGGAGAGTCTGCAGACATTGCGTTAGAAAAACCAGTCTCAGTATTATAGGTCTGTCCGTGCTTACCTGATGTGTCCTCTCATGCTTGCTCAGGTTACTCGAGTCGGCGCATGTAAAGTCGCAGAACCGACATTTATGCGGTTTCTTACCCTCATGCAACGCACTGATGTGGGTTTGTAACTGTGTATGTGTCGTTGTTGTGTAGCCACAGCGGTCGCATACATATGGTCTCTCGCCTGTATGTGTCCTTTCATGATTGTCCTTCGCTTGGTTGGTGGCGAACGTCTTCTCGCAACCCTCATAGCTGCAGGCATACGGGCGATAGCCCGCATGACCGAGAAGATGACGAGATAGCTTGGAGCGTTGTTTGAAGTCTTTAGAATGTGCTTCACAGCCTTCCCATTGACAGAAACAGTGTGTGCAGTTATCTACGTGTCCGGTCTTGATATGCTTGTGGAGGGCTTCGGGGGTGTCAAAGACGGCGAGGCAGAGGACACCGGGTGCATGTAGCCTGAAGAGTACCAATCAGCTTACGGTTTTCATGTACTCCCAAGCACTTCGTAGATTGAGGTAACTTGGGAAGTTGAGGAATCGCTTCAGACCGACGTACCATTTGCATATACAAGCTTGAGCTTCAGCTCTAGCGGCAGATGCCGAGCTTGAACCGGCCAAAGTCGATGTGATTGGTCGCAAGATTTCACTTTGGACGGCCGAAGCGAGGAAGTCGAGCTTGTTTGTACCAGTGAATGAGCTCGCTGGTTGGAAGGTGTTTGGAAACGCCGAATCTGTCAGCATCCACGACTGATCATGGAATGTCTGATCATTGAAACCCATCATGGGGGAATTCAAGCTGAATGGATTCGCCGAGTGTATGGAGTTACGGTCGGCCGAAACAGGGCTTGTCGGTAGGTTTGGGTTGAAGCCAAAGTTCATGAAGTTTGACGCTAGACCGTTGCCTGATGCTATTGAAGAATTCCAAAGATCCAGCTGTTGTTGCGATGCAGACGGAGCGTCACCACAGGCTCTTTGAGGTCCATGACAACATGAGTTATCAATGTGGCAGTGATCCCCAGTGACGTCGAGGTAACAGTGTGGTGGGAAAATTGTTTGGCCAGGCCCTGGTGAAGGCTCAGTAGTAAATGCGCTTTCTAGCGAAGTATAGTTGCTGTGTGACAGGGCTGGTGTTGCGGCGCTTGACGCTATTGTGGTCAGGTCGTCGGCGATGGTATTGTACCCGTGAGTTTGGGAGAAGCAAGGATATGTCTCAAACGAAGCCAAGCCGTCATCGTGTCCATGGAAGCCTTCTTGGAAATGGCAAGGTGCGGAGTCGTAACAGTAGACAGTACCGACAGACGTAGGAGCGGAATGGGCGAAGTGGCACTCGTGCTGCGGGTCAGGCAGAGCGGAGGGTTGAGCGTTGCACTTCTGACAGCAACATACCTGGTCTGGGCAAGCGGTCTTTGTACAATGAGGGTCTATGCATTCGTCTGTACAATGCTCGTCTTTCTGCGTACACCGTGGGTCAAAGCAAGCGTCGTCTTCCGGGCAGTCTTCGGGACAGACATCGGAACAGTTGTCGGCAGGGCAAGGGACTGGTGGGCAGGATGGCTCCAAATTGCATTCCTGACAGAACTTCTCGAAGCAGTCATCTGGGAAAGAGCAATCGGTGTCAAGACTGGTGTGTGGTTCGGTGGTGAGTTCGTGATACTCGGCCACCTTCAAGGCGGAAGCTCTTCGCTTAGTTGAACGCACGTCGCACGCCTCTGGGCAGCGAGTGCAACACAAGCTTGGATCAACGGGTTGAGTACCGTGTTCAAGCTGAGACGGGGTTGATTGGCCTCGGGTTCGTGCGACATCATCTTTCAGATCGTCTGCAGCACGCTTGGTCCCGGCCACTGGGGCGCCCAAAGAAAACATTGGATTTGTAGTCCAGAAGTCGTCGTCGTCTCCAAAGGCCGAATCGCGATCGCAGTCTGCACAGTTATTAGCCATCTTTGCGTGCTTTGGGAGTTTCAGAGCGTGTGTTCCTGACGACATCGAAAAGTCAAGGCGGAGGCCATCACGGTTCTCAGACGTGGGAAAGCACGATGGCGTAATCAGAATGCCGGGCAAGGTGCGAGGGGTAAGTGAAAAGTAAAAACATACAACTAATCATGCCTCTTAGGGGTCTTACCCTGACGACTTTACAACACCCACTACGAGGGAAAGGAACAGACTGGCTAAAAGAGTGAAGGTATGCGCTTGGAAAGAGTGAATACAGCCTAACCGAATGCGTAAAAGCGTATATCCAACTCCTGCGCTCTGATTGGCCCTTCGCTTCAAGTCACCACTGTCATATGTATCGTCCTTGTCCGAGCCCAGGCGTTTCCGGACACTTACCACGAGGCTATGATTGACTTCGAGACGCTGCTGTCGATGTCTGGTATGATCCCAACATGTACCGGCGTACGCGAAGCCATTCACATACTCGTATCGTTGTGTGCGACCGGCCAGAGAAGCCTCCATCCACGGGTTACGGAAGAACTCATTGCGCTACCGCTCTAGTGTACCCACCTACGGAGTGCTTGACGTTTGTGGTCATCGTCATACGCAGTCGTCACAAACGCGACGTGAATGTTAAGAAAAGATGAGAGAAGATAAGGAAACACAATGTTTGACGCCCAGTTTGCGCCCTGCCTGAAGATGCCGCAGCCGGGATCCGAGAGACGGGTACTTGGCGCCAATCCCACGCGTCGCAATGCACCTTCCCCGCCACGAGGCTGACGTCTCCGCAACCCTCCCTTGCACCTTGGACCCTACTTCCGCACAGCCACAGTGACTATCACTACAACTGTCGTCGCCAAACCTCCTTCGTCTCAACTTCTTGCAGCTCCACCTCCTCCTTCAAAGCTACAGATGGGTAATCTCTGCGGCAAACAGTCCAAAGACAACTTCGAAGGCTCAGGGCGCACACTTGGGTCCGCGCCTACGCCTGCGACGAGAGCATCTGTCCCGAACAATGTTGCGCCGCCAAAGCCAAAGGTCGGAGGACCGCCACGGACGCTAGGAGAGAGTAACAGGGCAGATGATCCAAAGGCTGCAGCTGCAGCTGCTGCAGAGGTACGCATCTTTAACCCTCACTTGTGAGAGCAAGAGCAAACAAAGGACTACGCGACCTTTGGCCACGATAGCTGACATACCTTCCAGGCCCGCGCGAACAAGTCTTCATCTGGCGACCTCCAGAAGAAGCTCGATGCACAGAAGCGCCAAACGAATACTCAGACTCTGCAGCAAGCCGCCAACGAGAATCGCTTAGCACGAGAAGCCGACCAAGCGACTGCGGCGAGAAACTACAACTGAGACGATGAAGAGGAGAGAGGAGCGTAGAATGGGAGAGAGGCAAGAAGAGGGTGTCTGTACATACCAGCACGCGTTACATTTTTTACGATTCACGACATTGATACTCATCCAAGAGGTGGTTTGGTGCGGTTCATCATGCATGAGCATGGCGTTGGGGGAATAGGCCTTGTTTAGACTTGATTGCTATCTAGCAATACTCCGCAATAATGGCGTGACATGCATTTCTCAAGCATTCGCTCTGATTGGATGTCGAACCCTGCCTTTCGTTCGACTCTACTTTCAACATGTCGTGCTTGGTTGTTAGAGCCAAGAACCATTCTAAAATGTTTCCATGAGCCGTCACTGAACAAGTGCATGAACAAGTAAGATCGCTTCTAGACGATCTCTCATCACAGATAGAAGAGCATACTACCGCACTCGAGTCTCAAAGATCACAGACAAGTTGAACAAGTCTATTATTACATCTTCATTCCATTCCTACACGAAATCGTGCGACTGTTCCGTATGTCCATCTACCTAGACGATGCTGAAACAACGCGCCGCCCACCGAAATCCGAACCCTTATCTAGAGAGGAGATGGTATAATCCAGGGTATTGTACAGCGAAACCATATATAACGACCGCGCAGATGCAATGACCACCAGAGATAACACCATGCCATGACGAGATGCAGTATGAGAGATGATCATCCCACATCCCACATCCCAACCAACCAACCTTATAGACCAGGCAGCCCAACTAGGCCTAACCACCTGCCATTACACAGACGCCAGACCCACCCAGCCTACCAGCTCCATTGCTGATTGCGGGGTATCGTTTCGTTTCGCTTAAAGAAAAGAGACCCTGGACATAAACGCCGTCGCTGGAAAACGTAGAAGCGACTTTAAAGATCAAATATTGATGCCCAGCCACGCCACCAGAGATTTCATACTCCGGGCGGTGCGGGGGCTGTTTTGAGAAATTCTTTTTGTTCGGCCGTCGCAGTGAATCGAGTAAAAAGTGTATGATCGAAGCGCGAAAAGGCGGTAAATCAGAGAAGAGAAAAGAGAAGCTGAGGTTGATCGCTTAAGCAGCGACCTCAGACATAGGTGCACGACCGCCACCGACAAGCTCGAGGATCTTGCCAGCAACAGCGGCAGGGTAGCCACGGGACAGGCCCTCGTTGACGACTGTCATGGCGGCAGCGCGGTCTTCGACAGCCATGTAGGCACGTGTCATAGCCTCATAAGTGCTAGGCTCACGCCTGCTCTCGGAAACAGACTCGTAGATGGCCTTGGCCTTCTCAATGTCGTGAGCAAGAGCCCATCCGTGAATGAGAGAGTTAGCGATGTAAGGAGTCATCTCAACGCCACGAGCACGCATGTCGCGGAGAACATCCTCGGTATCAGCGATTTGATGGTTGGCGACCATGGCCTCGAACAACGCCTGGTAAAGGCAGGCCTGAGGACGAACACGGCTGTCGGCGAGAACGGTGTCAAAGAGACGGCGAGCACCCTCCATGTCGTGCATGACGCAGCCCTTGGCGTGAATCAACGAGGAGTAATGAACCGCTTCTGGGACAGCGCCGGCGGCCTTGACTTGCTCGAGAACCTTCTCCGCAGCCTCCATATCGACGGGCTCAAGCGTGGCGTAGGTGTCGATTAGAAGCTTGTACGTGTGTGTGGTAGGCTCGATACGCTTAGCACGCATACGCTCGTAGTAGTTGAGAACCTTGCTGCGGTCACGCTTGGTAGTCAGGAAAAACTGCATCATACTGTGATAGGGAGCAGGACGGGGCTTGTAGTTGGGCATGCTCTCCATCTCTTCGAACAGTTCCTCGGCGAACTTCTCATCACTGACACGGCAAAGAGCATTGACGATAGTACCGTAGGTGACGGAAGTAGGGCGAATACCGAGGTTGCGCATCTCAGAGAAGTAGAACAGGCAGTCGTCGATCCGTCTGGCCTTTCCAAGCTTGCCAATCAGAGCGTTGTACAGGAAAGAAGAAGGCTCGACACCCTCAGCCTTAGCACGAATGAAGATCTTGACTGCTTCGGTCGCCTCATCAAAGGTCTTGGTCGACTCCTTGAGCGTGGTGATGTAGAGACCAAAGGTGTTGGCTGTCGGGGCAGCACCCATCTCAAGCAAATCCTGGTGGTATCTTCCCGCCAAATCACGCTGGTTGCAAGTAAGGCAAGCAGCGACCATAGCGTCGAGGATGGTGACCCAGCCGTAACGCACAATGCGGTACTGAGGCAGGAGAGGGACGTCTTGCTTAGCAAGGTTAAGGATGTCATGAGCCAGAGTAAGACGGTCTTCCTTGGCAGCGGCAGTGATGAGTTTAGCATAGGTGAAGAATCGAGGGTGGCGGCCAGCTCGGCGCATGTTCCTGAATTTCATCAAAGCCTCATTGAGATGAGATGATGATCGTCCATGGGTCTTCTCCAGTAGTTCGGTGATGGCAACAGAGCCCTTGTTGTCGGTGGAAGCGGCGTAAGGGTCATATTGGTCCTCGAAAGTGGGAGCTGCTGGAGTAACAGGGGCTTGAACAGGGTAGGCGGCGAACGGTGCTGGGGAATACAAGGCTTCCGGAGCGGGATGCTTGTAAGCGTACCATCGGTGCTGGAGATCACCCCTGTCGAGCTTGGTAAGCACTTGCTCAACAAGACCGGAGGTGGTCTTGTTGACGGGCGTGCCAGTTGCGGCGATGACTTCGAGAAGATGGGCGAACCGTGCAACGTGAGCAACGTCAACTTCGGCCTCCTGGAGTAGAATTCCAGATTGAACCTGCATTAGGAGCGTGATGTCGTCGAAGTTGAGTTGAACGATGGCCTCAGGTCCCATTCCAGCAAGTAGGTGGTGAGCAACTGGGGTGACTAGGCCGCCGTTTTCAATCATCGTCCACATCAGTTCCATGCTAGCCCGCGGCGGAAGGAAGATACCACGCTTCATCATGAACTGACCCATAACCTCAATAGCCTCGTCGATGTGCTCTACGGTCTCCATCTTAGCTTGTGTAGAGCCAGACTGAGAGTCCCGTATGCGAGCGAACATTTGACGACCTTGACGGAGACCGCGCTCCGCATGCCCACTGCCAATTAATGCGATGCTGTGCATGGCAGTAGGTTCGATGAAGTCGGCCTTGGTAGGAGAGAGCTCGAGCATTCTCCAGAAGACCTCAGCGGCTTCAATGTTTCCAGTGCGAATGTGCATTGCGCCCATCGCCATGGCTGGTCGTGAGAGATCAACCTCAGCTGGAAGATCGTCGAAAGCCTGAGTGGCAACCTCGACTGCGTCGCGATCGGCAGCCTTGATGCAAATAGCAGCCATAGCAATTTGGCGTGCCTGTGGGCTGAGGTACTCGGCTGCATGAACATAGGCCTGGTCGAAAGAACCGTTCTTCAACCATTCAGGAAGGAAAGCCTTGAGACCCACAATGTCGCGAATAGAGATAACATCCTCCGGGGTAGAGAGTGCACTCTCAATCTTGGACAAGAACTTCTCAGCCCCCTCGACGCGGCCACATACGGTATACGCCTTCACGAGGGCGGCATACACGTCGTTGTCCTTCCTAGTGATCTCAATCTCGCCATTGTCGTTTGAGATCGCCAGAGCTTTGTACTCGTCGTAGCACTCGACTGCACTCTTCAGATCACCAGATTTGCCGAAGGCCTGAATCATTGGAACGAACATATCGGCAGCCGGGGTTACGCTTTGGGATTCCATGTGGGAGTAGACTCGAACCATGTCCTCTACACGGTCGCTTTCTGCACAGGCGGTGACGAGCAACCGGTAGGTCTTTTCAGAGAACGTTCGGTCAGCCTCTACATGGACTGCGGCATCGAAGAGCTTGATGGCGACCGACAGCGATCCATCTTCGGCTAAGATAGCATAGTCGGTCTCGTGAGACTGAAGCATGAAGCTGCCCTCCTCTTCCATACCACCATAGCGTAATCTCCGGTCTTCAAAACTCTGCTTCTGAGACACAACCTCCAAAGAGCGGACAGAGAGGAGTTCAATCAGGGTAGTGTATGTAGCCGTGTCAGGGACGACTCGTCGGCGAAGCATATCCGAGTAGACATCCAGAGCCTTGGGGACGACCTGATGCTGAGCACGGGGAAGATGTATCGCAGCAGATAGCAAAGCGTTGTATGCAGTGGCCGATGGCTTGACATCTGAGCGAAGCATGGCCTCGAAAACGGCGGGTACTTCGGCATAGTTGCGGTTGATAGCCAGCTTCTGCAATTGTACTGTGTACTCATCGTGGGCTTCAATCGGGCTGGTGGCGATGGTTGATTCGGTACGGCTCAGGATTGTCGAATTCACAAGAGTGTCTGCGACCGTTGCTGGAGACTCTGACCGGGCCTCTTCGATTGGCAAAAGCTCTTCCTCGATAGCCTGAGCAACTTCGCTATCGGCCTTGTGTCTTGCCACTTCTTGTGCGATTGCCTCATCCACTTGTGCCAGCGCAATCTCTTCCGCCTCTTCACCACCAACAGCCTTCTTGAAGTCCTCCACTTGGCTGGTACTGTATGCACGGTTAACACCGGCACGCGCCGGAACAGGTTCTGCCACCTCTTCAATCGCAACACTGCTCTCCTTGGCCTCAGCCGCAGCCTTGGAGCTAGCCGGGTCCCATTCGATGAGCTTGCGGAACTGGAACTGCGACCACTCCTTGTCCTCGGCCTTTTGCTGGTGCTTCTGCCATGCTGTGTAGTATGCGGCTAGACCTGAGTCCTGGTGGTCGTGTTGTCCTGCGGCGAGCGCCTTGAGCGCACTTGTCGTAGATGATGTGGAAGCGAAGGCATGTTGGTTTTTGAGTCCTTTGCGGAAGCGGTCATGTTGGAGGGAGGCGAGGGGATTGTTCTGGCTTACACCAGCAACTACTGATTGAGCATAACCGTGAGTAAAGCCCTTGGCAAGACTCTGGCGCGCGAGATGGAAACTCTTAAACACCATTTAGGAATTTGACGAGCCTTCCAGATGGAAAGGGTGAGACTGGAAATAGTTAGCACAGATCCTTTAGGCGTGAATCTAATGATCGGGATGCTTCATGCGACTCGGATATGGGCCTGCGATCAATTTTGATGTTTAGGCAACAACTTTGTGGCTCGCATGCGCGAATCGCGATGGTAGAAGCAATTGTTAACCTTCGGAGCAGAGGGTACTTACTATTCTCGAGATCCCTACGCGTCGGTGCAGGTTCATTTGACGATGGCCGCCAAACAAACGCGCTTTACGGGTGTAAGGAATGCGTGCGGTGGTGGGGAAATTGGAAGGTGTTTGGTGAACCTTAAATTATTGCCCCAAGTCCAGTCGGATACTTGGAAGATGTCGCAATTCTATTAGAAGTAGAAGGGGGATATGACTGGGGAAAAAGCAAGGCACACGGTGGCCTGGAGAGAGATATTGTCAGCCTCGAAGGCAAGTTAGTTAGCGGGAGTCAAAAGGAAGCTTCGAGCGCACAGTTTCGTAGTCGTCATGAATGGTAGGACCGATGCGATGGACGCTAAATTTGCCGAAAAATTATCGCATGTCGCGCTGGACCGCGTTTAGGCAAGCGTTCGCACACGCGCAGCCCGAAAGACGTGTCCTTCCGGGGAGCGAGCCAACTTTCCGACCCAATGGGCGACTCTCGCTCTCTCGCATCCCTGGAAACGTCGGTACCGGTACGATTATGGCACCGCGCCGTTCAGGACGCCCATCGAACTCTGGATGAGTCAGACAGAACGACGAGAAGAACACGGCTGCACCCCGCATGGATCTGGCCTGCTGCAGGATTTGACTAGCAGCTGATGGCTTAAATCCGCAGTTCCGGTCCCAGAGGATCGATTGGGATGTCCGACGGAGGCGAACACTGCATGTGAATTGCGGCGCAGTATATGTGCACGTGACTGACTTATCATCGTGGCATCATCATAATTCTAGCCGTAGTTGGTGTTCTGAAGGAAACGGTGTATAGACGGCAGCTGCAAGAGTTCGTGGCAGAAGCTCAGTGACCCACAGCCTGCAGTTCTCTTAGTTTACGCTGCACCCCCGCCGCAGGACTGCCATCTCCAGCCCCCCTCCAACCATCATTGCGCGAATATTGCTGCCTGCTATCAAATTATCAATCCAACTAATCTAGGTCCCGCTACTTCCTATCGCATCAACTGCTCCACTTCCAGCATGTCCTCATCGGATGCGCCGTTGAGCCCGAAGGCCGTTTCTTGTCCGGCGAAGGTACTAGTTGCGGGTGGCTACCTCGTACTTGACCGGGAATATACAGGTCTGGTATTCGGCTTAGACGCGAGGATTCACACCGTTGTTGAGCCTATCAAAACAAGATCCGGTGTGACGATCAATGAGATCCTGGTCACGAGTCCTCAGTTCCGTGAAGCGATCTGGGAGTATGGATATCGGTCGCAGAGTGAAGATGGAGGTATCACGGTGACACAATTGAGCGTGTAAGTGCATTTCTCCCCCCTTCATCAGACTTGTTCTTCACCTGCATCGTTGCCCGCCCTGTTGGTTGTTCTTTCTTTTCTTTTTTTCTTGCATACATCCTCAACAAGCCTACTCGCACTTCTACCCAATTGGGTAGCGCACCTCAAATGGGTCTCCAATACCGTCCTTTATCAACAACTATTGCAGGATGATAGTAGCACCGCAAACTATGTCTGTGATCGTACTACATCAACGCTCGACTAAAGCCATGGTCTCGCGCCCTGCTACTGCTTTGACTGTGCTCTTATATCTTCAACGTGTACCTTCTCTGTTGAATCGTTTCACGATATCCTCTACTGTATGAGTAGATATGATTCGGTCACAACCATCATTGCGCTTTTTTTTTTGAACCGGTACATGGAATACAACTGACCACTATCTTAGCGGCCACGAGCAGTCCATCGCCCAATCCCGCAACCCATTCATAGAAACCGCTCTAACATATGCACTTACCTACATCCATACCCTCCTCCCGAAAACCCTCATTCAACCTTCCAGTATCCGAATTCTAGCCGACCAAGCCTACTACTCCAACCCAGGTGTCGCCCGCAGCTCCAAAATCATCTCACAGCCACACAAGGTATCCCGTTTCCAGGACTTCAACGTCAGCCTGAAAGAAGCGCACAAGACGGGACTGGGAAGCAGTGCAGCACTGGTCACGAGTTTTACAGCAGCAGTACTAAGCTTCTACCTACCAAAAGAGCTGTTCGACGTACACACGGAAAGGGGGCAAACGGTTCTTCACAACCTTGCTCAGGCGTCTCACTCACATGCTCAAGGCAAAGTCGGAAGCGGTTTCGACATCGCCTCTGCGGTCTTCGGATCCTGTCTCTACAAGCGTTTCTCACCATCTCTCCTGAGTAATCTGACTCAGCCCAGCAGTCCCGGTTTCGCAACACAGCTACGTTCTCTAGTCGAAGGCCCGACATGGGACACCGAGATCCAGAAGGCCGCTATCAAGATGCCCAAGGGTCTGCGACTGGTCATGTGCGATGTCGACTGCGGAAGCGAAACACCAGGTATGGTTAAGAAGGTTCTCGCGTGGAGATCAGAAAAACCAGAAGAAGCAGAGAAGATTTGGAAGGAATTACAAAACGGCAACGAGGCACTCGCTGCTGAGCTTACACGCCTCGCTACAGAGGAACAAGGTGACGGCGCGGCGAAATATGACACTCTGAGGAAAATCATCGATGGCAACCGCGCTTTGATTCGCTATATGGGCGAGAAGTCTGGTGTACCGATTGAGCCGCCTCAGCAAACGCGACTACTGGATTACTGCTCGAAACTCGATGGTGTGGTCGGTGGTGTCGTGCCCGGCGCTGGTGGTTTCGATGCCATCGTCCTACTTGTAGAAGACAAGGAGGCGGTCATCGAATCGCTCAAGACTTCTCTTGCGCAGTACAAAGACCCAGAGGCGATTGGTAAGGTCGGTGTTATAGGTGTGAGGGAAGAGATGGTGGGCGTCAAAGAGGAAGAACTAAGTCTGTACAAGGAATGGGAGGCGGCTTACTGAAGAGTACAACAAAGATCTGATGTTGTGAAACAAGAACAGCGTGGTAATTCAGGCTGTGGATCGATGGACATTGTAGATGTCTTTATCTGAGCGTCATCTTCTTTTAGTATTAGCGCAAAAGTTTTGTCAACATGATCGTAATGCAATCAATTCGTAAACACAGACGAATGGTTTGCATTATCCAGGTTCATGCTTCTGGTGGGTCATAATTCATACTTCAGGCGCATCGGACGTTACTCATGGAATCGTAAAAACAAGGTGAACTCCTTTCACAAATCATGAGGTATCATTCCGTGCTTGTCTGAACTTTTTATTCATAGATCTTGACATGGACGCCAACCCATTTCCGTTAAAGATCGCCCTGTCCGTCCATTCCCATCTGCTATCCCACGTTCCTCGCCCCGTTTGGAGTATGGTACCAAGGGTACACTGGTGAGTCGCTAGCTGGAAAAGCCCCGGCAATGCAATGCTTCATGAGAGACAAAGGAAGAAAAGAGAAACACCTTCACGAAAGCACGCTTATGCCTTGACGGCGTACTTTCGCTGGGGGAAGTGTGTGTTCCTCTTCTTCTGCTTCTCGGTGACGAGCGAAGCCTCGTGCTTGGTGAGTCTTCGGCGGATAGCGCGGGTCTGCTTGGGGCGGAGGTCAAGAGGAGTGTACCTAGGCAATGTTAGAAACTTGTCCTTGGAGCTTCCGAGTCGGCCTAAACGCACTTCTTGCCCTTGTAGAAGAGCCTGAGCTGAGCCCTCTGGTTGGCGTTGATGACGGTGAGGACCTTGGCGATTCCCTTGCGGACATCATGAATGCGGGTGAGCTTGGTGTTGGAGCCACCGGTGACCTTGGCGGTCCTGAGCTGGATCAACTCCCTTTACATCCGTCAGCATTCCAGATTCCCTGCCAGTGTTCCGTGTTCGGCGACATACGACTTGAGGTCGGTGAGCTGGGACGCGAGCTCATCCTTGGACTTGTTCCACAGCTGGGCGGTCTTCTGCAGCGGTTGTGAGCACGAGATCGGACGGTGGTGATTGCGCGAGCGAGGGTGTACGTACGACCTTGGGAGTAGACTGGAGGCATCAAGTCAGCACATGTTCGTTCTCTCAATCGTGAAATCTTCAAATCTTGCGCAGCACCACTAGCGGAGGGTGCAACGGCCTGACCCCTTCACTGTCGGCGGTCCCAGGGCTGCGCGACGCAATCCTCGTGCTGAACAGATAATTGAGAGCATAGACGTACCATTTTGACTGTGTGTTAGTAGGACCGGGTGATGTGGATGGGGTCTCGCGTGTCGTCAACGAGCAACTTTCGGTGTTGTCGAATTCGACTGTGCTCGCTAAACTATTCACCGATCACAAAAACGGACTAGCGCCTTGGCCGTGCATTGCGTAGCCCGCGCCAGGGCCGGTGCGACCCTCATCATGCCAGAAGTCCAAGAACCATTGTTGCTGCCTCCGCCTGGAAAGGTACCTTGATACTCGACATGTCGTCTACTGGAGGCGGATGGGCGCAACTGCGTCAGCAAGCGCGCACTCTCGAACAACAAGTGGGTTCTATGCACTGCTGCGACGGACTTAGTCGGCTTTCGCTGGAGCCCTGCTAATGAGGCCTGGCAGACAGAGACGCTGTTCCATACATATTCGCAGTTCGGTTCGACACCAAACATACCCGCGAAACCGTCAGAAGAAGAGTTACGCGTCGAAACTAGGTTGCAGGAAATCCTTGCGCAAAGAGATGGACTTGTCGGCCAGCTATCGCGGCTGCTCGATTCCGAATCGACGCACGGCTCCTCAGCTGTGAAGCAGAACAACCTTGCCAGGCATCGCGAAGTACTCTCAGATCACCGTCGCGAGCTTGCGCGCTTGAAATCCACCCTCAACGACGCCCGCAATAGAGCAAACCTCCTCTCCAACGTACGATCGGACATCGATGCATACCGGTCCGCAAACCCAGAGCAAGCCGAGGCAGACTACATGCTTGACGAGCGAAATCGCATCGACAACTCGCATAATGTGGCCGACTCGGTCCTCAGCCAGGCATATGCTGTACAAGAGAACTTCAGTCTGCAAAGGGAAACGCTATCAAGCATCAACCGGAGAATAGTAGGCGCAGCAAGTCAAGTGCCAGGCATCAACAGTTTGATTGGAAGAATTGGGACAAAGAAGCGCAGAGACGGCATCATACTGGGTAGTTTCATCGCCTTCTGCTTTCTGATGCTGCTATGGTTCAGGTAGGCTGGGGTTGTACATCTTCATTCTGGGCGTTCAAGCGGGTTGGATATCCTCATGACTTTCATTGGCATGCTATGCGCAAGGCGTCTTAGGCCTGTATTGTTTCCAGAGGTTTCGGGTATCATGGGAATTTGGAGTCTTCCGTATGCTGTACAAGATATCGTTACATGCTCATCATCAAACCTCTCCAATATAGGCCTGGTAGAAGGCACTACTGAGCTTCAGAGACCATCTTCGCGAAGCCTCGGTTCATATCCTCCATCTCTGTCCCTTCCGCGTCCCCACTCCCTGCCCATCGAATCTTGCAGTCTTGATCTACCAGGTAGACATAGCCGACTCTGCCGTTCAACAGCCCGATTGTTTCCCTTATCCTCTCACTAACGCCTTTCCTTACGATGAAGTACCTTCCCCAATCCTCTTTTGGTTTGGAGGCCTTCAAGCGCCACTGAAACAACGATATGATCAAAGCTTTTACGCTGTTCTCTTCGATGTTGACATCAACCATCTGCGCAACCCCTGGGTTTTGCGTGAGAATATTATGCAGGCCAGGATTCGCTTGTTTGCCTGTGAACGTGTCCACCTGGCGTAACCCCCAATCCGAACTATACACATTCACAACACTAATCTTCCCGTTGAGCACATCCGTAGTGTCCTTGTCCTTTCCCTCCAATGTATCTCCGTGAAAGTTGGGAAAGTACAGCGCAGCCTCTTTCTTGAAGATTCTCGGGTTTGCCATGAACGTCTTCCCTGACCTGTACTTGCGGATATTCTTGAAATCACGGAAGTAGTTTGTGCTCCACTTTTCTACCAGGTCTTTGCGCTTCTCGAGGTTTCGTTCCGACATGCTCATGCCGGAGTAGTCTTTTTTGATCTTGGGAATGCTGGCATTTTCGCCCGGTTGTGGAGGTCTGCTGAAACCGATGGGGCGGCCGAGAGGCTTCGGGATGAATATATCCTCATCTTTGGGATCAGGTGTGTGTGAGTCCTGGGTGGGTTTGGGATCTGTTGCTTGCTGGCGGAGAGTGTGTGCGTAGGTAAAAGGTCGAGCGAGTGGTTGCCTTGCAATTGAGGGTATTGCAAGTCGGCCCTGACACCTTACACAGATCGACGAGGCATTAAGGAACGTGCGCGCCAATGGCGTTGCTATCCGTGGTTGCAGCATTTTGGATGTGGAGTATCTCTGTCCCGCCAAACTCGAGAAATGATGAGAGTGAGCCTCGAACTAGTATCAAAGCGGTCAAAGTGCCACGTGCTTTCGTGTCAGCCGACACCCCTGTACGCGCTGCTGCCTCGGTGCTGTTACACGACTCCCTCACCTGCACATTGCCAGGTAACTACAAGCACGACTAACGGTGTCTGTGCTCAATAGATATGGCGCTGCAGTGGGCAGATTTGTATTCGCCATCGCTTCCGTTAAACACCTTACACCCACCGCGTTCAACCTTGAAAGCATTGAAGCGGAGCCTTTGTTGCTAACGGCCCAATCTTGGGGTAATATCACTTTAGTGGTAAGGACTTAATCATTGACTTCCGGGATTTCTCCAATGTCAGACGACGAGCTTGCGGCCAAAGATGCCTACTTCAAAGAACAGGAGCTCCTAGATGTCCCCAACGATGAGCAAGAGATCCTGCACGACAGCGTGAGTAAGCTCGAAGGCGCACTAAGAGAATCAAAGGCCATGAGACTCCCGTCCCCTACGAAGCAGACGAGCAGTTTTCTTGGACCGACACCGAGGGAGGAGTTCGAGGCGCATACGAGAAAACAGCGCGCGACAGAGCGACATACGGGTCATACGCTGATGCGCTCATCTACGGCGCCCGAATCGGGGCTAGTCAAAAGCCTCCCAGTCGCCAAGCCGCGTGGTAGGCCAGCAATGGTAGCTGTTGGTCCGAAGGGCAAAATGAAAAGTGTACCATCCCTGCCTGAGACAGCTGAGAAAGATCTTACACCGTTCTACATACGAGTCGGTGACGTGCCTCGAGAGCGCGGGAACAGCAAGAATCTTAAGCCAGCAAGCAATATCCAGTTAAATCCTGAGCACAAACAGTATCTCAAGGGCAAAATCGTATATTTCTACCCGAACGACGACATTCCCGCACCGCGGCGTTTTCGTATACATAAAGTAATACAACTTGGAGCTGCTTGGGTCAAAAGATGGAGAGAAGACATTACACACGTTATCGTGGATGATGAAACACACACATATATCCAATTACTGAAGCATCTGAACAAACCAGGCCTTCCTAAAGATATTGTATTGGTCAAGTACGAACCGTATGTACCGGATTGTATACGATTCGGAGAGCTTCTAGATCCGAGCTGGCCACGCTTTGCTCCCAAAGGCGCACCCACAAGAAAAGAACTCAGTCAGCCGGCGGTACCGTCCCATACCTCAGCCGCATCGCAAACCTCACTGCAGATCAAATCATCAACACGACAGATGGCCACGCAGGGGTTGCAGAGTACCGATTCATACCCAGAAGAAGGAAGCGTCCCCACTACCCAGCTCACAGCAGATGCAGATTCATCCATGTTCTTCGAAGAAACCGTCGAGGATAGCTTCGTCATGCCATCTTCGAGCCCCACGAAAGCTTCGAAACCAAAGACTATCGACGAGTTCAATGATGCTCTTTCTCAAGCTATATTGGAAACCAAAGCCACCGCACACTTACCGCTGGAGGAGGACGAGGAAGCAGAATCTTCAATAGCAAGCGGTGTGGAGGACGTAGAGGACTCAGGTACAGACGAAGAGTCCACGGCAACGACTCCCAGGCTACCGACCAAGTTTGATTTCATCTCGAAAGCATCAGCCTTACGTAACAAGAAGCCCTTCAAACAAAACGCATTCCAGTGTATGGACCCGGGCGCCAACGGCTACACGTCTCAGAACCCGAACGCCCGTACTATTGAAATCTTGAATCAGATGTGCCAATACTACGACCAGATGCAGGACACATGGCGGATATTGAGTTACCGCAAGTGCATTACTACCCTGAAGAAGCAGACTGCCAAGATCACCACTGCGAAACAAGCCGCAGCACTACCTAATATTGGTTCGCGACTGGCCGACAAGATTGAAGAGATTGTGCTCACCGATCGTCTCCGCAGACTGGAAAGCACACGAGATGGCCCTCTTGATTCAGTGCTCCGCTTGTTTCTCGGTGTCTACGGAGCCGGACTTGTTCAAGCCAACAAATGGATCCAAGCAGGTTATCGTACGCTCGACGATCTTCGAACCAAAGCGAAGCTTACGGAGAGCAACAAGGTCGGTGTAGAGCACTACGAAGACTTCAACTCCCGCATACCACGAGCCGAGGTGGAAGGACACGGCGCCGTTGTCATCAAAGAACTGCTGAAGATCGACCCCAAGTTTAAAGCCACCATCATGGGTAGCTATCGCCGTGGCGCAAAAGACTCGGGTGACATCGACATGATCCTCACGAAACCCGATACTTCGCTCTCCGCTATGAGGACAACAATCTTCGAAGTCCTAGTCCCACATCTTTACAAAATCGGCTTCTTGAAAGCTTCCTTAGCGGCCTCTCGATCTAACGACCCTACAGGTTCAAAATGGCACGGAGCTTCCTGTCTTCCAAAATCGAAGGTCTGGCGCAGAATGGACCTCCTCCTTGTCCCGGAAGAAGAGATGGGTGCTGCGCTGATATATTTCACTGGTAACGATATCTTCAATCGCAGTATTCGACTGCTGGCACGCAAGAAGAATATGAGATTGAATCAGAAGGGGCTCTACAAGGATGTTCACAGAGGCAGATGGGGTGAGAAGCTGAACGAGGGTGTCTTGGTAGAGGGCGGGAGTGAGAAGAAGATCTTCGAGGTGCTTGGTGTGCCTTGGAGGGAGCCGCATGAGCGGATCTGCTAGCGCGCAAGCGCCCTCGTTGAATCATATCACATCAACGGTGGAGAAGACTGGAGGGATCATGGGGTGGCCGGGAGAATACCGATGAGGGTCGGCTGGCAGATGTCGTGTAAATGCGGCTTTAGGCTACTGACGGCGATCTTGATATGGGCATGAATCATGGGCAGGCGAGAACTTCCAGTAAGAGTAGTGACTGAACGTCATTCAAGAGAGTTTCGAACAAAGGTATAATACAGTATATGTCAATGAGTATCTTCACACTGAGCTATCGGCAGCTCTATACTCTCCCCTCTTTGAGATTGTCGTTCTTGCATCGCCTTCCTGCAAAATTCGCTTTTCTCATCGCCCCATCGTCTGAGATGTTGACATCCAGATCTTGCTTCTGGTCCCTATTTTTTCCAGTACAAAGCGCAAGCACATAAAGCCCATACATGACCTTTCCCGTTTCTGCTTCGCGCGCTGGTTTACCCTCTTTGCCCTTCCTTGCCGATTTACCAATCCATACATTGCCCAGAAAGCACGATGCAACGATCGCCGCGGCAACAAAAGGCAACACAGAGATCAAAGACCACATGACCGCCTTTGCAGCCGCATCCTGAACTTCCGTTTTCACCGCTGCAGGAAGACTGTTCAAGAGCTCGAGGCTCGGCGGACCAGTGGCAGGTAACGAGATACTGTTTCCAGGATCATTGATCTCCGCCAGGAAAGTAGAGAGTTTGTTTGAGAAAACTGATCCCATCATGGCAATACCGACCGTCTCTCCCAATGGCACCATAAAGGAAAGCAGCGATTGCATACTGGGGATACGCGTTGACCAGATGCCTGCTGCGTGAAGAGCAATAGGCATGAAGCGTAACCCTGTCCCCACGCCTGCTATAGCGAGAAAAACCTTCACCATTGTTGTGTGGCGGATGGATATCGAGTAAGTGAGGAGCGCGAGACCGACGCCTTCGACGATGGAACCGATGAGTAGAGGAGAGAAGGTTTGTTGTGGCCAGCGGTTACATAGGATTACTGCAGTGTAGACGCCTACACCTAGGCCGGGCGTATAATAGAGGAGTTGTAGACCGGCTTGGCTAGATGAGTAGCCCTCCGCAAGTTGCCAGTAGTAAGAAAGGAAGTAGAAAGCGGAGACCATAGAGATTCCAGCGGAGAAGTTGATAACCATGAGTAGCGTTGTGTCCTTTTTGCGGAAGAGTGTGGAGGGAATCATGGGGACTTGACGAGGGAAGAGTCTGGCTACAGCGCGGTTGGGGCCAAGGAGATACTCGTACACGAAGAAGGCGATGCACAGGAAAATCCCAACGATAAGGGGGGCAATGACGGGGGCGGAGGTCCAAGAGTACTGTGTTCCGCCCCATTGTATGGCGAGAATTATGCAGCCTACTCCAAAGATGAACATGACTAGGCCGGGCCAGTCGATGATGGCAAGACCAGAGATGTATCCTAAACGGCGCGATTCACCTGGCTCGGTAGTGGCGCGTCCTTGGGCGAGTTCTTTGCGCATGACGAAGAAGATGATGAGCATAGCAATCACTGCCACGCCGATAGGAAGAACGAATATGTACCGCCAACTCGCATCTGCAAGGTAGCCACCGATAACTGGACCGACAGCATAACTAGACCAGCGCGATTAGCACAAGCTCCTCAATCAAACCGAACGGGAACCCACCTGCATCCCATAATCAACGATAGGACCGAGGTACTTCTCGAATTCTCCGCCAGCGTCGATCCATCCGACACGATGATACGACTCAAGCTCACGATACCTGCGGCACCCAAACCCTGCAACGCACGACCTGCAAGCAACATGCTCCAAGACTGGGCCGTAGCACAGAGTACACTCCCGATCATGATCCAAAACATCTCAAACTGGAGTGCGAAGTGGCGACCGTAGATGTCAGCTAGTTGACCTGATGCGGGAATAAACGTAGTGAATGTGAGTGTATAGGCTGCGACAATCCAGTTAAAGCTTCCGGAGAGCTGATCTGGGGACGTGTGTTAGCACGCGGGTAAATGAGACCGAGGAGTAGGAATGCATCGACATACCGAAGTGAGATGATATGAGTGGAATAGCTGGAGCAACAATAGTGACGTCCATGGCAGCCAGGAAGTTAGGTAGAACAAGTCCTAGCATCAACTTCAGCTGTCGAATCCTTCTTCGGCGAGTTTCTGCTTTTTGCTGTGCGGCCTCTTCAGGTGTGAGGAAATTCATGTGACTCCCTGTTGAGTCTTGCGAAGGTCCATGGTTATGTCGGGTTGGATAGTCTTGGAGCTCTTGCCCTGGGACAGGCTCGGGTACCAAATGAGAGTCATCTGTAGTTGGGATGGCCTTTTCGACTTCGCGTTCTCTAAGCTTTCTTCGGATAAGTTTGAAGAGATATATCGCCATACTCGAAACGTGGAAGAAGACAGTAGAAAGACAAGTTCAGAGAGAAAAGAAGTAGTGAGTCTGGGTTTCTTCATCGTTCCAGACACGGACACCTTATATCCTGTATCATGTTTGTGGTTGCGGACAGGTCGCCCAAATAGGACGATATAGAGCTGCGCAGCTTGTGTGGCTATGGGTCGGATTTCAGGGTCTTAAAAGCCACATACAGCCAATCTAGACTAACTCTGGTACACGGTATTGGCCTTACACAAGATGTCAGAGATGATTGCTGTGGGCCTTACCACGCGTTGCGGCAGATTCAACTATTCCTAGTTGGGCCACCCTCGCGGACCAATCGCAGCATCCCTCGCGATAACCGTCTTATTGGCCGGTTGCGAGCTGAGTCGCGATTGGTGCAGAGCACAGCCTCACTGGACGCCTACCAGACGCGGGAGCTGTCACCCGTCGTACGATAAGCTTAAGCAGATTAAAGAACGACCAAGCTTTCCAGAGACATCGCTAATCAGCGTTTCACTCCTACTTGTATTACCTCCTATCTGCTGGCATTCGGTGCTTGTGATCGTAGGCGCATCCTTTGAACTCTCATCTTACACCTAGAGCACTGAGACCTTGTTGTAAAGCCGTTGACTTCGTTGCACACTAGCCATGTTAAATATTGTGAAATGTACTCGTGCCTAAAAGTCGACTAGTTTTCCATTAAAGAACCGCTGCGAACTCGAAAGATGACTGATTTTTGGAGTGGCCTTGGTTATGGATGATTGCTTTTCGACTTCGTCTAGACTGATGTTCAAAGATTCCGTGCAAGTTGCCGCAAATCGTAAGCGGCCGAATTCATCTACAGCCCTCATGAAGCCTCTCGGGAGACTGCTGGGGTATATAAGGGTCATATCCATTGTAAGCGCTTTGGTGAGAGACTTAGTGACGGTAAGGCAGAGTTCGCGAAGTACTGAAGGTGGGGTAGGATGGGGTGATAAGAATGCGTACGCGCTTTCGAAGCGCTTCTCTGGTTCCTGACGAAGACTCGAAAAGAAGGTTGAAACTTTTGTTTTCTTCTATTCCTAGTAGGTATGCGCGGATTCTTGTGAGGCCGTGAGGATGATGTTGGCGATAGGCACTAGGCTATGTTAGATGCTTGGCCATGACGCAATCTCAATCAACTTCGGGAAGTGTCACCTTCTCGAGCCACACCTCCGTGCCGCTCTACACCAAGTCCAACACGTTCAAGCATGAGACCCGTTATAGCGGTCCCAGCCATTGCTGCGCTAGTCTACAGAGCGTACTCACGAAAATCACTGACCCCAGTGGGAATCCTTGCAGCGTTCGCGACAGCAGTTGTGCACGCTTTACATCCGTGGAGTGTATTCCTCGCGCTTCTTGCAGTCTTCTTCTTGGCTGGCAGTACCGTGACAAAGGTATGCTTTCCAGAGAATGCGACACAAGACGGCTAACACAAAGTCAGGTTAAACATGATATCAAAGCGAAGTTGACACAATCCGCGACAGGTGCATCTGGTGGGGAAGGTACCCGCAATCATGTTCAAGTCATTGCAAACTCCGGCGTAGCCTCGGTGCTAATATTACTGCACCTCTGGCAGCTAAAGGAAGAAGGGAGATACGTCGAACAGGATCTGTGTTGGCACAGAGGGAGCGATGCGCTGGTGGTAGGCATTGTAGCGTAAGCGAACGTCCTTCGTATGCCCGCATAGTGCTAACATTCTCTAGCAACTATGCCGCAGTGGCCGCAGACACGTTCTCTTCGGAACTCGGTATCCTCTCAAAATCGAAGCCACGTCTTATAACCGCTCCTTGGCGTGAGGTCCCGCCTGGTACGAATGGAGGGGTGACAGCGACTGGACTTGGTGCCGGCCTGCTCGGAGCTTTCATACTCTCAGCCACGTCTACACTGTTCGTGCCCTTCTGCAAAGACTGGAGCTTCTCCGAGAAGACCGGGTTTACACTTGCTTTGACCGCTGCTGGCTTCAGTGGAACACTCCTCGATTCGCTTTTGGGTGCTCTCGCCCAAGCCAGCGTCATTGATGTGCATTCGGGCAAGGTTGTAGAGGGCGAAGGAGGCAGAAGAGTTCTTGTACGCAGCAGTAACCCGCTTCATCTTTCGAAGACAGGTCAAGTACGAAGTAAAGTCAGCAGTAGTTCGGAAGGCGAGAATGGCATTGCAAAGACGAGCGGAGCGGACACTGCGGCGTCGGTCAAGGCATCGGAGACGATGCTGAAATCTGGAGCGAGCGGCAATGCAGTCGCGGATATGCAACATGAGAGTCGAAAGATCGAAGTCGGAAGGGATTTGCTAGACAATAATGCTGTCAACATTCTTATGGCAGGTATGGTCAGTGTTGGAGCTATGGTAGTTGCTTGTGTAGTTTGGGGATTGCCTTTGAGCAGCATGGTTGGAATCTAGCTGTTCGCAGCTGAAGGCTATTGAAAGAATGATATCTGTGTCAGATGTCTTACTCGAGATGTTCATGATACCGTCCGGTTTGGAGTTTGTATGTGTATATGTGCCAAGGCGCTAGTGAGGCGCGTCACTAGTGTAGCCTGGAGAGTGAGCTCCAGCAGCATCGCAACAATTCGACATCCCGCCTTCGAACATCAACAACGCCCAGTCTACCAAGCCAAATATCCGAGATAGAAGTTGTCATATCGATCAAACCAACACCTTACTACATACTTTCAACGCCACATTTAGCAAGATGGTAAGCTATCAGCATCATAGCGCTCATGTACATTAACATGTCCTAACATTCACCATAGTCTCTCCGCTTCGTCCCCAACAAGGCGCATCCTACGCAAACCGCTCTCGAGACTTCAGCACCCTCTGCTCCCGGTGTTCACGACACCCTGCGATCTCGCCTCGCCCAAACTTCCATAGCACCCACGGCCTCATCATCGTCGACAGCACCTGTCGCTCTCCAGTCCGCCCACCCACTCGAGGCCCGTCTTACCCAATGGCGAGACACCCAAGACCGCTTGAAGATGGAGATGTTGAGGCGACAATTTGGTATTGCAGAGCCAGTGCGTAGGGGTATGGAGCTCAAGATTGCCGAGGCGGGCGAGTGGAGGCCGGCAACTCTAGGTGGAAGCAGTGGCGTCCACCGGGATATTCTACAGGGACGTGACTGCGAGATTGGCTGGGAGGATGTGTTCACTGGCAGCGAACTACGTGAGGTGCCAGACTTCCACACTGAGATCGAGCACAAGATGAAGATGAACTGGTAGAGTGTCGTACTCCTATGATGCTCACGTAGCAGTCTGGAGAACACTACGAATGCACGGAAGTGAAAGGTTGATGTGCAGTACAGACTGCCTACGACGTGGACGTCTGGTGCTGGTATAGAATCAAGACATGAATGACATAATGAAACCTTCAACTCAATACGTCGCTCCTATGTGGCTTCTGGAACCGGATACTACTAGAACAAGAGGCGGGTTGAACATTGTCCTACCTCGCTGTGGTAGGTGTAAGGTCGGCGAAGGGCATGATTCGCTGTTGACTCTTCAAATGCTAAACAGTACTGCTAGTTTTCCCAGTTACCAAATATCAGCCCCGGGTCCACTCTGATTACTATGCATGTGGCGTACAGTAGATGCATGTAGACCAATTATCGCCATGGGGGATACAATGCAGGGGCGCACGCTTGGGTAGCCCAAACCTGGCGCGCTGCGGGTCTAGCACTGTACAGAGCGACAGGAGAAGCACAACTCGGCTGGACGACGCCTGGTGGTACCGATGGATGTGTACCAGCAAATTCTGAGCGTGCAGCATCATGGCCGGGTGTCGAGGCCGTGTTCTCGGCTCAGTAGTGGCTCTTGGTGGAGACGGCGGGTCGCTCTTGCCGCGTTTGCGGATTGCGGAGAAGGGAGAGCAAGGCGGCGGCGACGACGGCGACATGCCAATCGCGCACGGTCGCCCGACCTTCCATCACCCACGCATCAGGGCCCCGACACATCTCAACACCAAACTATTTTTCGCTGCCATAGCCACTGCGACGACGACGCTGACCAGAAGGACCTCCTGTCGTGCATCCATCATCCACTCGCTTGGTCCTTTCCAATCGCCCGCTCTGCTCATCGCCGTATTACATCGCGAGTGAAGTCGGCCACCCATGGCGTCTACAGCGGATCAAGCCCCCACGGCACCACAAAGTACTCCACAACAAGCGGGCTCAGGGTCGCGACCACAGAGCAGGAGCGAAGAAGGTCTATCGTCAAGCCCGGTCGAGATGAGGACTCTGCAAGCGTCGGGCGCCGTACCAGCCTCTACAAACACGAGCACGCACGTCGCAGAGACACCTGTTGCAGCTCCGATAGCGACTTCCACACCACATGCGACCGAGACCAGCACCTCTGAGAACGCGCCCGTCGCTGTTTCCCCGTCTGCGAAACCCGCACCTCCCGCGGCGTTAAATCGCGCAGAGACCGAGGCGATTGGGCCGTCGACCGATACACCAGCTGCAAACCCAGACAACACCAACGGACCTGTGCTGGTGATAATGCTGCTTCTCACTAGTGGCGCGAGACATCCGTATAAGATTGAGGAGAAGTACCTGAAGAAGCGCAATATCAACGTTGAGAACATGGACCCCTACAACATCAGTGTATACACGCTCAAGGAGCTGATATGGCGCGATTGGCGAGAAGGTACGCGTGCGCATTTCTTCCTTACTTTTCCCAAGACTTGGGCCAGGCCTGTCTGGGCAGTGGGTGGCTGTGGCGCCATCTTTCTGCACCTCCATCTGCCTCGTGTTTGGAGGGCCGTTGCAACTTGACATACATCTTCGCACTCCCTTAGGCAAACGCTAACTCCTTGTTATAGAATGGGAGACTCGACCTACATCGCCAGGCTCGATACGACTGATACACTTTGGTCGCATGCTCGACGACAAATCGCCACTAAAGGGTAAGAATCTCTCTCTCTCTCCATCAACTCATGTCTTGGCATGGCTTGTCCAGTCGCTCGGCACATGCCTCTTATTGGCTGAACCAGCTACAACGCGCAGCCTGCATAGGCCAACCCTCAAGAGTTCATGGTGCAGCTACTGACAACGGACAGATTGCCGGTTCCAGACAGACTCGCCTAACGTGGTGCACATGACAGTCAAGCCACAAGAGATGGTGGACGACGAAGAAAACGCTAAAACCGGAAAGACTGGGAGCCGAAGAGATGCCGACGATGAACCTACAGCTGGATGCCGCTGTATCATCTTATAGTTGTTATATCTAGTCAAGCGGAAACTTCGGTTACCGTCTCCTCTTCGAACGACATCCAGGGTCGGCAAAAGTATATACAGCGTGAAGCGAGGGACGGCGGACCAAGTTTCTCATGTGTCGCTCTTCTGATAGCACACTTTGAGTGTTATTTCTGGTTATCATAATTTGCCGTTGCAGGCGGCTTTGGGTCGCGGCGTTCTTCTGAAGCGATGTTGGGTACTTTCCTCACTCAACACATTCCAGTCTTTGTTTCTTTGCGTGCATATGGGGTTTCGCAGTTGTTCGATCGAACGTGGAGTATGTTCGTTTCTCTATTCATTGTATAAGTACGTACATTCTGGGGATGGTAGATTGCTTGGTCGGGACTTTTTTGGGAATAGACCGTATTGAAATCTTCCAACTTTTAACAATCCCTGCATGACGAAATGTTGGCAGATCAATGTGGAAAATTTATGTTGATCTGGTGTGAGATGCATCTTGGGCGATTGCATTGTATATGGGTGTTGGCAGTGAACTGGACCCTGCCCAGGTGGTGATCCCGCGGCAAAGTTCTATGCCGTCATCGTTCGAGCCTACCACAAGCTCCCATGTCTCTTTGCCCGTCACACCACGCACCTCTCTTCACGACCAAACAACATCGTAAGCCAGTTCTATACACATCAACATGGTGCTTGAGGGCGTCAACAATACAGCCCCGGAGAGCTTCTCGGATAACCCATATCCCTCGTCGGACGACCCATATGCATCCGCGTCGCCGCCATCCTCAGGCGCTCGTTTTGACGCGAGCGCCCTACCTCAGCCATTACCTATCATAGGCACCTTCATGGGCTTCTCCGATCGCGCCGTTCGCTTCAAGACGGAAACTACACTCAAATTCGCTGAGCGCAAAGTCGGCCGTCAATTGAACTCGGAGGAAGCACAGGCGCTCGCCTACCACATATACCAGCTCGAGCAGACAAAGAGCTATTTCGCCGCCACGGGTGCAGCTGCAGGAACGTACCAGTGGTACAGGACATGGGACAAGATGAAGTATCCCTTCTATCAACCGAAGGTCGAGGACATCGATCGAAACAAATTTGGCCCCATCAAGGGCCAGATGGCGCAGTTTGCGCGTCATACGTGGCGATTCTCCTTATACGTGTTGGTGGCTGGACAGATGGGCAACATCATCGGCCAGCTCCTCGCTCAGCCACTCGCTGCAGTCAACACATCAAACGATCCTAAACTAGAGCAGTTCGGACAGGAATTGAAGGCTTCGTCACACGCTGAAGGACAAAGGACCGCACAACAAGGACGCGAGATTCAGGACAGGCGACGAGAGTTCCAGGAGCAGGTAAGGAACCGCGCGGGAGGCGGCCCGTCGCCACAGGCTAGGTGGGGTAAGCAAGCCCAAGAAAATGGTGAGGGAGGTGACAACATGAGCCCGACCGCTGGAAACGAAGCATGGGATACCGAAACTACGGCGTCAGAAACATGGGAGACTTTTTCGAACGACACATCGCAACCAACTCCACAGCGCCAGCAAGGTCCGCCATCTACCGAAGCTTGGAATCGCCAACCATCTCCACGACGTCAGTCCGCACAGCCATCATCACTTCCTTTCGATGACGACGCTTCTCCTACCGGCGGCCTCTTCCAGGATGAAGTCAACAACCCGCAGTCGCAGCCTCAACCGCAAGCAAGACCAGGGGAGTCGTCGTGGGACCGTCTTAGGCGCGGTGGTGCGCCAGCGCCGCTTCAAAAGCCACTACAACAGCAGCAATCGCGAAGAGCAGAGCCTGAGCGCAGGGAGCAGAGAGAGGGTTCCACGCTTGGAGATTCTTATACATTCGTTGAAGGTGATGATGAAAGGGCTAGGGAGAGGGAGCGTGCACAACAAGAGTTTGATGCTAGATTAGAGCGAGAGCGCCAGGGACGCGATTTTGACGAAAACAAGAGGTGGTAAGGGGCGGCGAATGAAAGGCAACTAATCGCGAAATGTGAACAATCGACTGCGTACCTATCTCTCAATCCACATGAGTCACACATTTTGGGCGTTGGATGTCGTCACTGCACAAAGCTCAACTGTGGTTTTATGCGTTGCCTTTGCCATTAATCACCAACACTGGCATCGCTCTCGCGTCACCACGACATTAGGCTCCACATACAAAGAGGTGAGAACGCGGGCGAAGTGCCAGTGAGCGCACAGACTTATTCTTCTCATGCAATGCACGCTCCAGTACAAATGCTCATTCATCAGTACTCACCTCTCTGGTTTTACTCTCTAACGCTTCTACCTCACCTCTCGACCCCGCTTCAACCTCGGTCTCAATCTCAATCTTTGGAGATAGCACCAATTGTGACAACTGTATTGTGCCTCAGAACTATTGCAACCAGCCTTTCAGTGTTACAGGTACTCGATGAATGGTAGAGACTCACTTTCGCCTACAAGGCGTCATCCTCCTCGTGAGAAACGCTCGTCAAACGAGATGCTACTTCCCATGGCCGCTGAACCGTCGAAGCGCTTTTGTACGGTAGGTCCTTCGCCTTGGGACTCTCTCTTCTCCAGCAAAGCTAATGAAGATCCACAGCACCCCCAGGACGACGCGCAGCTACATTTAGATGCCATGCGGCAGCCAACCGATCACGTTCAGCAGTTACCTGGTGCAGACAAGACTGATGATGGTCTCGCTGCCGAAGCGCATGCGGGGCTTTGGGTGAACAGGATCAATAACACTTATTCGAACGAAACACATGCTGCTAATGGGGACACTGACATGCCACTACCACTGCTCGAGTCTTGCTGCCTGATGCCGTTCCGACAGAGCATAAATCAGGAGCAGCTCTTGTGTGACAGCTGTGGCGTTGTCTTCTTCGACGAAAATACGAAGATAGACAATTCGTTCAAGACAGGTCCTAGTGGGTCGTTGTTCCGTGGTACGAATTTTATGGGTCGTCAACGCTCTCTCTCGATTATGAATCAAGGTACGAGCGCTCAAGGAAATGACGCATGAGAACGGCCATTCATTTTTTACAGGTGGTCAGATTCACGATTCTCATTCTTACAATGAAACATACTTGCGCAGATACCGTCATTTCACACAGCCACCCTCCAGCAGCTCGATCAACTATCAGCCCTTCGTCGACATGGGCCGCTCAACAGATAGTGTTAATCAGCAGAGACCAAGAGATAGGCCCAAGTCTCACACCCGTTCGCCGCCCTGTTTCGACGCACCCATTCCAAAGGTCAATAATTCCCTTCAGGAAACTGAAGAGCACGAGGACAAATCCCCTACGATGGTGGCTAAGGTTCCAAGATGGCCACGTCAGATCGGTGTGTCTGAACGCGAATATTGCACCATCTGCATGAAGTGGAAGAAGTGCAAGGTCCATAGCAAAGAGTGTACGCTTTGCCATAAATTTCATTCCAAAGAGCATACGACTATCGAGTGCATGGTTGGCGTGTCGAAGTTTCCCAAATTCATGGATCTCGCCTCCGAGCTACGTAAACGCATCTACGCCTTCGCGCTTGATACAGACCGACCTATCAAGCCGCATCTATGTGACTACGAAGACGAGGCCATCCAGTTTCATGATGAGAACCAGAAGGACCATTTCGCAACTAGCGATCTTCTTGGAATTACTCGTATCAATAAGCAGACTCGTGCTGAGGCCCTGCCTATATTCTACTCTACCAACACCTTCGAGGTCGGGCCGGATACTACGACTTACTTTGATCGTCTGGCTTACTTGGGCCGCTTTGACATGATCCGCCATGTTTGTTTTAGCATCGAAACGCGCAACGAGAGTGCGTCGCCCAGCATCCTCCGTCGCATGAACCAGTACATCAAGGAAGCTGATGCTTTTGAGAGGGTTTTGGCGGAACCTCTCGGCCTGCGTCTTTTGCCGCTAAAACTCCATCCACAGTACCTCTATGGCGGCATCCCAGAGCTCAACACACTCATCGCGCTGATGAAGCTCACCTCTTCCTTAACTAGCGAGGATGAGTACAAAGACAAGGCTGATACCACATTCCACTCCAGGCTCGTTGTCCCTGTTCCCAGCGCATCCGCCTTCGCCTCCTTTGACCGTCTCAAGTGGTTCCCAGCTGTCATGTACGGTCTCGGCATCCGGATTCATTACGTCGAAAACGTGTCTTTCTCTTCCGTCCCTGGTGGCGTGGTAGAAATTACCTGGCACCAGCGCTTCCAAAAGAAGGACTTTGGCGACATCCCTGACTACATCAACCCGATTGATACCACCGGTCAGACGGCGGTTTACAAGCGTGCGCTCGAGTTAGACCCGGAGTTGGAACAGAAGCAGAGGCCTAGAGGATGGACTTATCTGCGCACCACTTGTGTTGGCGATATCTCGGATTGGTTTGATATCGCGACTGAGGGTGGGGGTGTCGGATATGGGAGGTGATGGGTCAGAAGAATGAGATTACGGAAATGAGCAATGTTTTTGTTCAATTCGAGCTTGTTAGCTAAGCATACGTGCAATGGATGTGATAGACTTTTCAAGATCACATACGGAAAAAAAGTAGCTGGAAAAAAACACCTTCCTCATTCAATGTTACCTACTTGGGTAAGTCACGGAACTAACACACGTGAGGCTTAGAGCATCTGCAGGCTGTAGGAAGGCGGGTATACCCCACTCGAGACATCTCCCATCACAATTTGCAATTACGACTTGCCCTTTCCGCTCCGCAAATCATCCTTCATGTCACTCTGCGGAAGCTGCACATCGATACCCTTCCGCTCACTCCAACGTGGCGAGTATCCTCTGGATTGGAAAAAGAATTCTTGGACCGATGAGAATGGTCGACCTTGGGGATGCGACAGCGAGATCTGGAAATGCAATAGGCGTCAAACCACACTGCCACAGCTGAGAAAAAGTGCGCTCAATTGTGTGCTCTGTAGTCTGCTCATTCATGATTTGGAGAATCGACCATCGTATATTCGAGTTTCACAAGAGGTGAATCTGGACGTTGCTCCTGTGTGGCTTCTTCTTCCTGGATCCGAAGACATTTACACCACGAAGAAGTTCAGTCTGTTTCTCGAGAAGAAGACTCCCGGTCTGTTAGAACCCGTGGAGACGACTGCTGTGGAGTTCCGGAATAGGTTTGGTACGTCCATTGGGCTCTTTCCCAGCTGAAAATGACCTACTTATGAACCTAGATACTTCGCCTCCAAATTTCTTCCAAAGCGTGAAGCTAGAACCGCTCTTGAATCCGGTGCCACTGAAACAGCTCAAGGCTTGGTTCCATAGTTGCAACACTGAACATGCAAAATGCTGCGCCATACAGAAAGACGTAGCATTACCTACAAGGGTCTTGGATCTCGAGGCCATGCCTAGGGCAGATATGATGATTGAGCATGTGAATGAGTGGCAAGACCTGTTCCTTCAGAGCGAATGTAGGCTAGTTGAAACTACTGCGGGGCAGTTGGGCAAATACGCAACGCTCAGCTATTGTTGGGGTAGTGGTTTGCCCTTCATGACTACTAAAGAGACTCTGTCGGCGCGGAAGACTGGCATCGGCTTTCAGAGTCTTCCCAAAACCCTTCAAGATGCTGCCATGATAGCACGATACCTTGGTCTTCGGTATATATGGATTGATTGTCTTGCCATTGGTATGAATGCAAGTCTTCGTTTTCCATGCATACACTAACCCCTATGTCTTTGCTTGTAGTACAAGATGACGCGGCGGACTGGGAGAAAGAATCAGCAGTCATGGCCGACATCTACTCGAGGTCATACATCAACATAGCCGCATCCAACGCTTCACATTGTGGAGCGGGATTTCTGGGACCACGGAAAATGCCACTGACTGAACGAGTCCATATCCGCGATGATGAAGGTGATTTAGAATTGTATTTTGTCGCTCAACAATCGCGCAACTATGTAAGGTCTGAGATCTGAGAAGGAACCGACAACAAGCTAATGCGATCTAGGGACCGGCAAGAGATCCGCTATACCAACGAGCATGGGTCCTACAAGAGCAACTGCTACCACCGCGTTCTATACATTTCGGAAGCGATAACATGCTCTGGCGGTGTCCCAACGGTATTGAACACGAAGAGCAGAGAAAATACTGGACACATCTATACACACTCAGCGCCGTGGTAACCTGCATAGGTCTACCGCCAGGAGCTTCCCTTGGACAAGATGCCTGGTTCCAGTTGGTGCGAGACTACACCTCACGAGGAATCACGTACTCCAAAGATAAGTTTCCAGCCATCTCAGGCGTCATGACCGTTTTACAGCGCATGACTGGTGATACGAGCTACGCAGGACTTTGGAAGCGCAATTTCCCCAAATGGCTGCTATGGATACCTAAAAACGATGTCACGCCCTTCCAGCGGCCCGCTACATGGACCGCTCCTTCCTGGTCTTTCATGTCTGGTGACGGACCAGTGGACTACAGTTTGGGGGCTCTGACTACTGACATGAACGCTTCGTTGCGAGAGTTCTGTGCGACTCTCGAAGAGTGTAGTGTCACACCCAAGGGACTGAACCCACTCGGCGAATTAGCCGCTGGCTTCGCGCGTATCAACGGCCCGATAACAACTATCACTGACATCTCGCGAGATCCAGTACAACATACATATCGCTCTTGCGGTATCCGACTGCGCGATCAAGAGGACCACCCTGCGCGCGTCGTTTTCGACGTCGAGACACACGAGCACTGCGATGTTTTGGTGATCGCACCGACTTTCGGTATAGCGATCATCTGTACGAATGCAGAGCGGAGCGAGTACATAAGGGTTGGGCTGGTGGTGATTCAAAGAGTAGATATCAACGAGACGAAGGGAGTAAGTACAAGCTTTGACAGTGATTAGACTGGCGGGAATGAAAATGCTGATGTTTATGTAGGAGCCGCGAAACTGGTACCCGGAAGCATCGAATTATCCTGAGCCACGCTCGATTGTTCTTCTCTAGGAGGAGCTGTATATGCGGTGGTAGTAAAGCTCTCGAGTCTGTGTCGATCGTAGCGGGTGTACGGTATCGGAAATAAGCTGTTGGATGCGAAATGCGGGGAACCTGAATCAGTACTCCACGACAATAACAACCTCGGTGCATTTGCGTTACCCCATCTTGCTGCGAGGAGGATTCACTCATAACGATGGCTCATCCTACTCTCTTTCGTGCGTTGTCTCTAGTAATTCTAGGTGATTGGGGTTGGAAAGACGAATCAGACATTCTGTCTTTTGTGTACCATCTGAGATAGAAGAGCAAGTGAAAAGCAAAAACTGCCATGGCGTGTAAGCAACTGTTTCTGCTCTGTTACGGTGACCTCAAACACTGATATGACAAAGTACCTATAATCGCTGGAGCGGCCGGCACAGCAGCAATCGCCGCCTATCTCAACGCGAAACACCACATTGTTCACGACCTCAAGAATGCTCGCGGCGGCCTTTCACAATCTCAGGATATCGTCGACTTCATTACCGATCGCGCTACCCGAAAGCGCGTTCTTACATACCATGTCTTCGAAGACCAAGTTCGCAAACAACCGAACCATCCATTTCTTATCTTCGAAGGCAAGACGTGGTCGTACAAGAAGTTCTTCGAGGCGTTTACAAGAGTGGGAAACTGGTTGATAGACGAATTGGGTATACAAGTGGATGAGGTGGTTGCCATGGATGGGGGAAACAGTCCCGAATACCTGATGCTCTGGTTTGCCCTGGATGCGATTGGGGCTGTTCCAAGCTTCGTCAATTGGAACCTGACTGGGACGGGATTGGTGCATTGCGCGAGGGTTAGTTTACTGAAATTGATTGTATTATATTGGGCTAATAATTGCAACAGATATGCAACTCCAGGTTTCTCATCACAGACGCCGACGTGAAGAGCAATGTCGAACCGTGCCGTGCCGATCTCGAGAAAACAGGGATAAAGATCCAGTACTACGATTCATCCTTCTTTGCATCGTTAACAAATTCGACACCCACACCAGAGTCCCGTCGCGAACACATTTCCATAGAGTCTATCCGCACGCTCATGTATACTTCGGGAACTACCGGACTGCCCAAAGCCGTTGTTTTAAGCACTGGTCGCGAGCTCCTAACTGGTTATAGTGTTGCAAAATACCTGGATCTCAAGCCGGAAGTCAGAATGTACACATGCATGCCACTCTACCATGGCGCTGCACATGGACTCTGCGTAACACCGACAGTTCATGCTGGCAGTACAATCGTGCTAAGCCGAAGGTTTTCGCACAAGACATTCTGGCCCGAGGTAGCAGCTTCAGATGCAAACATCATCCAGTACGTTGGTGAGCTCTGCAGATACCTACTCAATGGTCCAGCAAATCCATACGAGCGGAGACACAAGGTGCAGATGGCATGGGGCAACGGTATGCGTCCCGACGTATGGGAACCCTTCCGCGAGCGTTTCAATATACCCATCATCAACGAACTATATGCGGCTACCGATGGATTGGGATCGACGTTCAATCGCAACGCTGGTCCATTCACAGCAAACAGCATTGGTCTCCGAGGTTTGATCTGGGATTGGAAGTTCAGCAATCAAGAAGTTAGAGTGAAGATGGATATTGATACCGAAGACATCATGAGAGATGCAAACGGCTTCGCAATTCGATGTGGAGTGAATGAGCCAGGGCAGGTGCTACATAGACTGACTCCTGAGACGGTGGCTAGTGCACCAGGTTACTATAACAACGAGGGTGCAACACAGGATCGGAGGATCACTGATGTGTTTGAGAAGGGCGATATGTGAGTCTCAGTCTCTATGAGCTTGGTGGGCGACAAGCTGACTATAGCAGGTGGTTCAAGTCCGGAGATATGATGCGACAGGATGCCGATGGCCGTGTCTTCTTTGTCGATCGCCTTGGTGACACATTCCGTTGGAAATCCGAGAATGTGTCTACGAATGAAGTAGCAGACATGATCGGCAAGTTCCCGCAAATTGCTGAAACGAACGTGTACGGCGTACTTGTACCCGGCTACGACGGCAGAGCAGGAGCTGCATCTATCGTCATGGCGGCCGGCGTTACTGAAGCGACATTCGACTTCTCAGCATTAGCGAGGCATGCGAAAGCAGTCTTACCAAGCTATGCTGTACCGTTTTTCTTGAGAGTAACACCTGCATTGGAGTATACAGGCACTCTAAAGATCCAGAAGGGCAGATTAAAGAAGGAAGGTGTAGACCCGGATAAGATTACGGGTGAGGATAAGCTGTACTGGCTGCCTCCTGGAAGTGATCGGTATCTACCATTCGCGATGAAGGACTGGGAAGCCATACTAGAGAAGAGGGTGCGTTTGACATAGTGTGGGAATATAGTAGATGTTTTGGATGTCGTTCCAGAGGAGATTGCGCGGTACCCGTGATATGATAGACACGCCGATCTTGGAATCGTCGCCATGTGAATTGTTCGAGTGGACGGAAAGGCACGTGCGCAGTGAACCCCGGTTCTGTAGCTAGCGTTGGCGCGCCCGCGCGGGTGGCGATCTCTTTAGTCAGCCAGTCCTACGAGTTTCGCAAGTCCAGCCTCAGTCTTCACTTACCAACGACACAACCCTTTGCGCCGCCCGCCATACGACCGTACACACGAAGCCCGTAACGCTGTACGCGACCAAACCTTATAACTGTATCCACTTCAGCGCGGAAACCCCGTTAACGCCGCCACAACCGCAACGATGGGAAAAGCCGAAGCAGGCAGCACAAAATGGGTCGCCAACAAGATGAAGTCAAAGGGCCTGCAGCGGTTGCGCTGGTGGTGCGAGCCTTGCCAGAAGCAATGTCGCGATGCAAACGGGTTCAAATGCCACGTGCAGAGCGAGAGCCATGTCCGAAACCTACAGGTCGTTGGCGAGGACCCTAAGAAGTACATCCAAGGCTTCAGCAACGACTTCCAGAGGGACTTTGTGAACCTTCTGCGAACGGCGCACAATGAGAAGTGGATTGGAGTAAACAAATTCTACAACGAGTAAGTGTCCCTCTTTAGGGTTCCCACACAACGGAGAACACACGCTGACTACCCCTAGGTACATCCGAGACAAGGAACACGTCCATATGAACGCCACGAAATGGAGTTCGTTGACTGAATTCGCCAAACATCTGGGGCGAGAAGGTATCTGCCATGTCAAGGAGGACGAAAAAGATGGATTAATGATTGCCTGGAGAGATACTTCTGTTGCGGCTGTGAACAGGCGCAACGAGATCGCAGAACTAGAGGCTGCCGAAGCACGAAGCGGCGCTGGCGAAGACAAAATGTTGAAGAAGATGGCGAAACGTGCACAAGAAGAAGCTGAGGCCAAAAAAGCTATCGAGGCAAAACGGGCGGCGGCTCAAGCAGCCGTGCAACAGCAGGTCACTCCACCCGCAGAAGGAGGGTCGCCGACGGAAGAGAAGAAGATCGACTCTCCGGTCGACGAACAAAAGCAAGGGGATGAGAAGAAAGATGGCGAAGAGCCCAAGGCCGATGCAGCGCCTGTTAAGCTAAGCTTCGGCTTGAAAGCGAAGGCTGCACCGGCGAATAAGGCTGGGCTGGGTCAGATGAAGAGTCAGAGCATCTTCAAGCGGAAGAAGGACGATGTGACATCGGAACAAAAACCTGTGAAGAAGGTGAAGTTATGAGCGATGACATGGGGCTGGTCTTTTGATATGCATAGCGCGGCGTTCGGGTCATCATATTACGGGCAGGGCAATGGAACTGGGCGTTTAAAGAACGCACATACAATACATCAGCACGCGCTGCGGTCGCTATCAACATATCCAATTTCCCTGAGGACTATCGCGACATTTCGCGTTCGGCGGGTACACGCACCATACCCTGTCTAACCTAGCGTCATTCGGCGCGGTCTACATCATCGAGACGCGTCTTCCCTACGATATATCTCCACCAACATCTCCCGCCACTTCAAAAATTTCTTATCCCTTACATTTTCGGCCTGCGAATTCGTCGCGAACACGCCGGACTCTCATCTCCTGTCGCAAACATGTCTCTCGTTACTTTGTCGTCCCTCCCAGACCCGATTCTACATTTAATATGTATCTACCTCACGCCTGACCGGCCCACTGTCAACGACGACGAACAAGGCCAATGTCCAACACTCTACCGCCCTATCATCAGCCTCTCCTTAACCGCGCACTCACTCAATTGCATTTCCTCGAAACACATCGCAACCAACATCAGTCTCACAGATGCCTGCGCGCGTTGGGATCTGTTCCTACGTACCGTAACAACGAACCCTACCTACGCGTCGAACGTCAAATACCTAAAGTTAAACGAAAGCTCGGTCGAAGAACCGAGTGGGAAGCCGCTCTCGAAATCCCAAGGCGAACACATCGTAGACATGTTTAGGGCGTTGAATAGCTTAGAGGCGCTACACTTACATTACGACACACCGGCCTACGCTGATCTCATCGTACACTGTCTCACGTACAAGTCACTGCCACTATGGGATACACTACGAGTGGTGCGTTTCGATAATATAAATGCCTGGGATGAAGAGTGCATCGTGCAACTCGATCTCGAGCGCGAAGAGAGAGGAGAAAAAGAAGGCACAGGCGGCAAATACACTTCTGGGACGGAGCGGCTCAATGGGGAGTTAGAGGGCTTGAACATTACCCGCTTCCTCAATGTACCAGATGTCACTGGTGTCAGCATTACGACACGCGACGTTGAAAACGATGGCGATGACAAGGATGATGCGGATTGGGTGGACGGAGACGAGGAAGAAGAAGTGGATGAAGACAGCGATGGATGGAGTGAGCGGGACTATGAAGATGATAGTGAAGATAGTGATTGGGACTCTGAGGATGAGAGCGATTACGAGGACGATTGGGAAGCCGAGTATGGTTTTAGTGTACCGAAGGCTGAGCCGACTAAGGATCTACCGGTCCCGAATACCGCTGTCGTTGTTCCTGGGAAAAGTCTTTTGGACTTTTGAGACTAGGTGTGATGTATAATTACTTGATTGCTGGGTACAAGGGGCTGGGATATAGTCCTTTTGCTGTGTATTATATTGCGTTACTTTACTACGTTGTTGGATCTGCTCAGGCATTAAATCCAGCCACAGCATCTTAAGTAGAGTTGTTTAATAGGGAACATCATTTCTTGCAACATCCCATTCGAAATTAGATTCCTTCAAACCTGACGTTCGGGATTGAACGCTTGAACAAGGCCGAGAAAGCGTCATCACACACCGATTTCGAGGATATAAGATAATCGGAAAGGAAATACCATCTATAGTTTTCCCCACGCGTGCTTACTGTGCCCTGACGAACCTAACCATTATTGGTGGCGCTCCTGCAGTGAAATGATCCAGGATACCCTCCCAATAAGCATGCACATCCGTTCCCTCATCAAGCATAACATCGAACTCCGCGATCACCCTCCCGATGACACTCCTTAGTTCCATCAGTGACAGCGCCTTCCCTGCACAACTATGCGAGCCGGTCGAAAACGGGATGAACGCCTGCCTGTTCAGTACCAACTCAGGCTTCGTAGTCCAGCGCTCAGGAATAAACTGATCAGGCGCGACGAAGTTCCTCGCATCGTGAAACAGTGGAAATAAAGGTATATGCACAATCATGTTCCCTGGGATGAACCGTCCGTTTATCTCCATGCCTTGTCGTGGTGTGACGCGTTGGGAGCCGAAAAAGACGGAAGGCCACATGCGCATTGATTCCTGGATTACGGATTCTAACATTGGCATGGGGCGCTGACAGTCGTAACTGTCGATGTTTGCTAGAAATTCGGCGCGGACGGCAGCCATGTAGTGTGGGTGTGTGGCCAGGTGCATGAAGATGAAGGTTAGGGCGGTGGAAGTTGTCTCGCTGCCGGCGGAGATGATGAGGCGTGATTCGCCGTAGAGGAGTTCGCGGCCTTCTGAGGTTTTTGGGGTGGAGGCTATGAGGTGTGAGATTAAATCGGGTTTGGCATCTCTGATCTAAGGGAGACTGTTAGCAGTGGCTCCTGTTGAGTTGCGAGTGGGGGAGATGTACTTGCATGCGTGCTTTCATCTGGCTCACGCTCCAGTCTCGCCATTCCTTCATGGGTCCAGCAAATGAAGTAAGTACGCCGATTGCATTCATCAACCATGGCATGTGATACATGTATCCCAAAGCCTGGACGCTATTCGTAAAAGTAGCAAGAACACTCGCAGCGATATCGCTTTGTTCACCTTTGATGAAGCCCATGGGTTTGCCAAAGGCTAGCGCTGCCATGACATCGTAGCTGTAGTATGTTGCGTACTCAAATAGTGGAATTGATCTTCCTTCCTCATTCCTCAAGCGTGTAAGTAGCTGATCTGTGAATCTCTCGACCTGCGGCGCGTAGTCGGAAAGCGATGCCTTCATCGCGTTATCCCAGACCTTGCGACGCTGGCGGTGGAACGCCTTGTCGCGATTGAGGTGCAACGATCTTTCCATGACGTCAAAGAATGGTCCCTTTGAAGTATTCGATTGGGCCCCAAGGATTGGTTGGATCGCAGCTGCATCAAAGATGGTGAGCTCACGTGGTCCTGACGGTGTTAGCACTGGTTCTGGAAGGAAGTACACAGGTCGGACAGACCCGTCCTAACATAATCGCCGTGTTGACCCTGCAACCGCTGTAGCACTCGATGGTAATGCAAGCTACTGTCATATGTCTGTTTGAGAGTCCACCATCTCGATAGCTTCGCGGCCCAAGGTCCCGGGTAGTCATTGAGTGGGTGGAAGAAGGCACGATACGCTCCGATGTACAGCCATAGTGGAACCCAGAAGGAACTCGTCACCACTGTCGCAGTGATGAGTCCAGTGTAATATGACAGAACCGAGTATGCGGTAATCGCTAGCCCAAGGATGTGAAGGGTCAAATGGTCGACTTCCACTCGTCGCAGAATGAACTCGTGCAGGATGACCGCCGATAATGGTGCGAACACAAACACAGCGGTGGGAACCGACTCCATGGTCTCTTACGAACGAAGCCCCGATCTTGTTTGAGAGTGCTGGAATTCAGTGGTGACCACCTACCGAGGCGGTGGTGATCGATGGCTAGTTGCCCGCCGTTATTCGATTAAGACGTGTTTGACACTCGAAACATACTCCTGAACAGAGTGTGTTGAGTGTCGGTATTGAGCCGTTGCAATTACCGTGTGTGGTTTTATCGGGAGTACAAAACGTAGAAGATTCGCGGGTGCAACGTATTTGCTCGGAAGCCTACAGTCACACGTGGAGAACTTGTGCAAGAACCCAATCGGCAGCCCCGGTTTATGAAGCGGGACGCGCCTAGGTCTTCGTTCATCCTTCAAATTGCATATTGCGATTTTAGTTGGTGCTCCGCAACAGGTATCTTGCCGCTTACTGATTAGCACGCAGGGGTCAGCGTTATGTTGCTGGGTTCTGTCACACACTATCGTACATAGCCGGCTAGCTCCTTGGTACGAACTCATCTCTAGTTAGTCTTCTAACGTGTCGATATCGGCGAGTTCTCTAGCGGACCAAAGCCGTCTAGTTCTCCGCGAGAAATGTGGTGTAGCCTCAATTCTCCGAATGCCACTTGAATCTGGGAGTGCCGTAACACAGGGTGTGTAACTTCGGTACGTAAATCAGCGTTGCTGTTGCATGAGTGGCGCTTACCCTTTCCAGGACAGGAATATAAGTGTCCGCTAGGCGAGGCGGCGGCAGGGTCTCCATACGGCTAGAGCGGGTAGGGCCAACGGGTATAGGCATGGCAAAAAGGACGTAGTTCCTCTTTCTGTGGTTTTATGAGGATCTTGTCCGGCATTTGAATGGGAGGGCGCACGTTCAGGAGCGTTATCCGGTTGGGAGATGCGCATACATCTTATGGTTCCACTGTTGAAGAAGCAAGGTTGTACGGAGAAGATCATCTGTGTACCCCCTGTGTCGAGATCGCTGGCATGGTAACTCAAGCTGCTTCCAAGATAAGTTCGCTGCAAGTCCGGGAGTAAGCTCGCGGTCCTAGCGATTCCGCCTTCTTTTCAAAGTCCTGCCTCTTCCTGCAAGCCTACGACATAGTCCACCTAAAATGATTTCAAGTACGACAAAATCAGGCGTCCTGCCTGCACCTCCTGGTGTTAAGACAGACTTCAGTGGTGACCGAACCGATCTTCAAAGCAAGATCATCGTGGTATATGTAGTGATGACGATACTTTCCACCATTGTGCTCGGGCTACGACTGTATACCCGTATCTTCATCCGCCATATGACCGGGTTGGACGATGCGCTGGTGGTCCTCAGCTGGTGTGGCTGCATCGCATGGATGGTAATATGTTTCCAATGTGAGTGCCACCCAGTTACTTTGTGCGTATGACTGACTTTGAGTGTAGCCTTCCAGTATGGCTTCGGCCAACACCTCTGGAATGTGACTATGGAGCAATTGGTGGACTACACGAAGATGCTTGTCGGCATCATGGTGGTGTACGTTTGGACACCAGCTCTTGCTAAGCTCTCATTGTTAGCACTCTACTACCGTCTCAACCCAGACCGGAAAGTTCAAGCATCTATCTACGCATTAGCAGTCTTAGTCACCGGATACTCCTTAGCTATCACTGTCGTCGCCGCCGGACCGTGTAATCCGCGAACTCATACCGACCAAAAGTGCCTTACGGACCTCAACCTGTTTATGGCATGTATAAACATAATCACAGACTTCTTGATCCTTTGCTTGCCGATACCAATGCTGCACGCTTTGCAATTGCCCATGAAACAAAAGATATTACTGGGATTTGTGTTCGCTCTAGGATCTGGGTAAGCAAACTCGGGTGATGCACCGTCTCTCGTTGCGTGCTGACAGTCTCTGTAGCGTGGTCGTTATATCCACCGTCCGCATCATCTACGTCTACAGTATGATCAGTGATCCCGACTCGACTTACAACGTGGCTAAAGCATGCATCTTCTCTACAGTCGAGCTCAACGGTGGAGTAATTTGCGCATGTGTCGCGCTCTTGAAGCCTTTCATACAGCAGTATATGCCCTGGATACTTTCACTCTCGAGTGGAAGCGGAAGCGGAGACCGATCCAGGATTCGCAAGCTGAAGATGTTTGTGAAGCGAAGTGGGGAGAAGAGCTATGAACTACAAAGCGCAGACGCAGGTGCAGATGCGGCCAAGCACGATGACGACAACAGATTGGATCGCCGGATCGCCGTGACGAGGTCATATAGTGCCTCGGGTTCGAAGACAGGGAAAAGCGACGGTGACAGCATGGAAGACCTCTTTGCGCCGAACGCAGGCTGGAACGGCGGTCGATAGTCGCCTGCCATATAACTTTTCGCAAAAGATGTTGCCGCGACGACATGCAAGAAAACCGAAGGGAGTGCTTTGCACGGGCTTCTCTGTAGACAGTTCCTGGAGATGATGCTATCATGAGCATTTGCGGTTAGAGTCCTTGTGTGTACATACCGTGGTAGGCAAAGCCAGTGACCTAGGCAGCCGAGCGAAGTTCCAATGAATGTTTATATGATGGAGTATCAGACGATCGAAAACATTTGGTTAGCAGTCACATTAGTATAGGCTTCCTAGGACTTACGGATAGAGAATGAAGCCAACTTTATTAAGCCAGATTAGGGTATCAATTTACTATCTGGTAGCACATCACAAACGTACTACAGCAGGCTCTCAGGTCTCAAGCATCGACTTCTGCCCTTAGATTCTGTCGTCCGCGAGCGATCGCGTCGCCTAAATCCATGTTCGAGGCTTGCCCGCGCACACTCGAAATGTAGCGACGTCCCCCGTCCATGTTTTTCTTGTGCTTTTCTTCCTCCTCTCTATCCTTAATTTCCTGTTGTCGAACACGCTCAGCCCGCTGCTGCTCGAGCGATGTCGCCTCTGCTTGCATGGCGGCGAGACGATCGGCTGCGCTCTGACGGGCTTCAGCGTCGTCAGGTTGTTTTCGCGGCGGTGTGCGATCACGTCGTCGGTATGTGTCTCGATCGCGAAGGTCGCCACGATCCTCCCTCCTGCGTGGTGATCGAGAGCGATCTCGTCGGCTGCCGTGCTTGCGATATGGTGATCGTGAGCGGGATCTTGACCGTCTACGATGGCTGTCACGATCGCGACGATCCTCGCGGTCTTCTCTTCTGCGCGGCGAGCGCGATCGATGGCGCCGGCTGCTGTGTTTGTGCTCCCGCTCTCTGCTCCGCTCCCTGTCTCGATGCTTGTGCTTTCTTTCCCGCTCCTTCTCCTTTTCGCGCTTCTCGGCATACTTGGCCTCTTTCTGCGCGTCCTTCATAGCCTTCAACTGCATCTCCATTTTCTGTTTCTGTATCATGAGGAGTGGGTCTTGAAGCACCTTCTTGTGCGTGTCGCGAGCGGTGTTCGCATTCGGATCGGCGGCGGCGGCGACGGCGTCGACACCAACTGCAGCGCCTTTCTGCAGACTTTGGGTATCGTTTGATTTCAGCAGGTTGTCGATCCTGCGCTTGCCCAGAAGGTAGCCCTCGCGCTCCTCTGTAACGCCTACATCGCCACTCGGGCCTGCATACATCCAGTCGACCCGTCGCTGCACAACCTTGCCACCATTTTCAGCTTGCAGCCGCTGCAGTTCTTCAATCTGTGCTTCTTCTTCGCGTTCCTTGCGAAGTTTTTCTATGAGTTTGCGCTCCTCGAGCGCAGACTTCTCCTCCTTCCACACCCTTTCTTGGTTCTTGCGCAGGTGCGGATGCCAGGATTTCTTCAAGTTGAGGTCGCCTCCCATGGTTGCGGATGGATGTGAGTTGGATGTGAGTTGGATGCGGAAAGGTAATTGAAGGCTGGCACATCCAGGGCTGGGAGTTGCGCCACGAGCTGCCAAGGAGCTAAGAACAGGCCCCACCCAAAAGTTAACCTCCGCGACTTCTCCGCAAAAGTTTCGAGTGAGCGAATGCGCCTGTATACCGCCCGAATATCCACAATACGGCAGACTTCCCTCAGTCCAAAGAAGGATCTGCGCATCCAATCCGGTCCAACATATTTCGATCTACGAAGCGATCAGCCCCGTGACGACAATGGCGACCCGTAAACGAAACGAATACCTCGACGTTGAGGAAAGCGAAGATGAGGAGAGAGGCTATGATTCCGAGGAGGAGAGCAGAGCGCGCATGCTACCTGTATCGAAGCGACAAAAAGTAGATCACGACTCTGAAGACGAAGAACAAGACGAGGAAGTGGACGGAGACGAGGACCAAGATTTTGACGACGACGATGCGGAAGATGGAGAAGACGACGACGAGCAACACGTACCGAAGCGCTTTCCCTCAAAGAATGCCGAATTAGCACACCTCGAGAAACTTGCCGCATCTCTTCCTTCCGAACTGAAGTTACAGTCTACGAAACTTGGAAAAGCCCTACCACCATCATCACTCAAGAAAGACAAATCTGGTGTTATATACCTCTCTCGCGTCCCACCCTTCATGAAGCCAGCTGTAATGCGCTCCCTCTTAACGCCATATGGCGCTGTAGGTCGCATCTTCCTCACTCCAGAATCCAGTACCTCTCGTACTCAGCGCCTGCGCAACGGAGGCACGCGTCGCAAACTCTTCCTTGACGGCTGGGTAGAGTTCATACACAAGCGCGACGCCAAGTTTGTCGCTGAGAATTTGAATGCGCAAACAATGGGCGGCAAGAAGAGGGGTAGGTGGCATGACGAAGTGTGGAATATCCGATACCTGAGCGGAGTCAAGTGGCATAACCTGGTCGAGCAGATCCAGAACGAGAATGCAGAGCGTGCGGCAAGACTTAGGTTCGAAATATCACAGGGCAAGAAGGAGAACAAGGCCTTCTTGGAGAATGTGGAGAGAGGCAAGGTGGCTAGCGGGATTGAGGCTACAAGGCGAAAGAGAGGGGAGGACGTCGACGGTGATAATGCAGCGGCGGAGGCAGCAGAAGCAGTGCACGAAGTAGATGGGAAGCCGAAGAGGAGGAAGGGAAGGCTAGAGTTCTCGCAACACACGGCTACGAGCAAGGCGATGAAGAAGCCCGAGCCAGGCCAGGACGTGAACAGAGTGTTGAGTAGTATGATGTAGAGCGAAGCGCACGATATCCAGGAAACGAGTATAATTCAGACTTCAAACTATGTCTTTTCGCATTTCCTGCGATGGACCTTCGTACCGTAATGCAATAGTAACAACGCCAGATTCCCAATGTCTTTTCGCATGAACAACGCCAGCCCTTGAGAGCAAAATGCCAGGGTATAAATACAGTATCGTCTTCTCGCCCCTTTTATATCGCTGTTCCTCGCTCAAAGCTGTCTCGTATCTCGCTCGTGTATTTGTTGTAGAAACGCGACAGCTTGTCGTTGAACTGCTTGTTCTTCTGGTTGATGTACGTGACATCGCCCACATCCTGTTCATCGCGTATGCCCCTCGCCGCCCTGGCCTTCAACCTGGCGCGCTCACCCTTCTCCAGGTCTTCTACTAGCCTATCGACGGCTTCTTTGGATGGCTTGTGATCGTGGCTATACGCTTCATCGACTGGTGTGTTGATGCGCCCTTGATTGTCGACTGTGTAGATCTCTCCCGCGTCCGTCTCGACAAGCTGGAGAAGGCCAGAAGATACTTGCGACTGCAGTTTCCTGGCCTTCTCTTCTGCATACGCTTCCATATCGACTTTGCTCATCTGACCAATTTGCCTTTTGTACACCTTGTTCGCCTCGTTCCTGTAGTCCGCGAATGCAACTCCCTCCCTGTTTTTCGATTTCTTCTTCAGTCTCTTATCCCAACTCTCGCTCTCTTCAACTGTGTAATCCCAGTTCCTTTTGCGCTCGAAATCAGGGTCCTCGGATTTTAGGAGTTTGTACGAAGCTTTCTCGTTGAGAGCGCCGAGTTTGGAGATTTGCGCAAGGCGAGAACTACGGTCTTCAGCATCGCGAACCTCGCGCTCTGTCGCTTTACGGCCATTTACTTTGGCGGCTTGGAGCGCTTTGAAGCGAGCCATTCGCGCGGCAAGGGCAGCTTTCGGGTCAGGGTTTGTCGTGGTGGTGAGGGAGTTGTCTCCCGCCGCAACGGCATCCTGATTTGAAGTCGCATCTTGTGCTGGTGTTTCGTTCGCGCTCATGGCGGTCGAGGTTTCCGCTTCGTCGGCTTTCGGTGGTACAGATACGGTAGTGATCTCTTCCTTGATTGTTAGAGAAGTTCCAGGGGCTTGCGCCTCTTCGTCTACTTTGACTGGGTTGGCCATGATGGTTGTTGTTACTATCATGGCAGTCGCTCCTCCGCGAAATGTTGGATTGACGACTGCCAAGACACTAGCGTGACTGCCATGCGACGGCCTCAATCACGGACAAGACCCGTTTGCCCTTCATCTTTACAAAACCCAAGTAAGGCCATGCGAGCTTAACGATAATACAAAGGCAGTCCGAATGTAACTAATCGTCTTGATCTTGTCTACCACATATCTCCATGTTCTGCTCACCTTTCTGGTCATCATCTTGTTTCGTCATGTCTGTCTACATTGCGAGTTCTCTATATTTGCGGTATCTCTCATTCATGTCTGCATCGTTACCCTCGTCTCTTTTATCGCATTCAACAATCGCTAAATGGCGATTATAGTGTCTTACGGAGATAGTCATAGATGATTCCACCACTTGTAATGACGTTTCAGCCAGATTTGATCTCAGTGGCGGGGAACATTGAGCAGATGACCACCCCACTACTAAAGAGTAGAACGTGTAGGCTTAGGGGTGTTTGTGGGGCAGTCAAGTAGTAACATCCTTGCAATTGTCCCTCTCATATGGATAAAGGCTAAACGGAGAATATAACTATACAAAAGCTTGGCCTACCAAATCTGGCAACGACCAACAACATATCAGTCGCTCATTCAAACCTCAAGATGCATTGGCAGGAAACTAACTCCGCTAGATCTCTATCATGGCATTCTCTACCTACCTTATTCTCGCGCTCACAACTTTCGCGAGTACATTCGCAACCCTTCACCCTCGTCAATCCTCCACTATAACCGTCGACTTGGCAAAAACATACCAAACCATAGACGGCTTCGGCATATCAGAAACCTTCCAACGTGCAAACCAAATACACGCCCTCTCACCCTCACTTCAACGCTATGCCCTCGATCTGCTCTTCAATCGCACATCTGGCGCCGGCTTCTCCATCCTACGAAATGGTGTTGGTTCCTCTCCAGACTCTAGCAGTGATCACATGGTTTCCATTCAACCCAAGAATCCTGGTGGCCCAAACGCCACACCGAAATATGTATGGGATAATAATGATAATAGCCAGGTTTGGGTCAGTACCGAGGCAGTGAAGACGTATGGTGTGGATACTGTGTATGCCAACGCATGGTCTGCTCCAGGATACATGAAAACAAATAACAATGATGCGAATGGAGGGTCGCTGTGTGGAGTATCTGGCGCTAGTTGTTCTAGTGGAGATTGGAAACAAGCGTATGCCAACTATCTGATCCAGTATATCACTTATTACAAGGATATCGGGGTGGATATTACGCATCTGGGTTTCTTGAACGAACCTGGTCTTACGACAAGTTATGCTAGTATGAGGAGTAATGGACAGCAGGCTGCGGACTTCATCAAAGTGCTCAGGCCGGCGCTCGATAGGGCGAACTTTACGAGTGTCAAGGTTACTTGTTGCGATGCGGAGGGGTGGAGTAGTCAGCAGGGTATGATGGGTGCTCTGAGCAGCGTGAGTAGTATGTTGGGTACGATCACTGCGCAGTAAGCCTTTCCATCCTCCCCACACTAGCAATACAATCATGCACTAATAATCATTCAGTTCCTACACATCCCAACCCAACAGCCCAATAAACACCCCACACCACGTCTGGCAGACAGAAAATGCGGACCTCCAAGGCCCGTGGGCGACGGCATTCTACAACAACAACGGCGCAGGCGAAGGACTCACTTGGGCGAATAAAATCCACACTGCTCTCACAAACGCCAATGCCTCGGCGTACTTATACTGGATTGGCGTCCAAGGTGGAGCGACAAACAGCAAGCTCATCCGCATCTCCGATGATAAGAAGTCAGTCATACCTAGTAAGCGTCTTTGGGCATTTGCAAATTGGAGTAGACATGTGCGACCAGGTGCAGTGAGAATAGGTGCGAGTGGAGGGCCCAGTGGGAGTCGAATCAGTGCGTTTAGGAATGTGGATGGAACATTGGCGGTGCAAGTCATACAAGGAGGAACGGCAACAAGTGCGGTGGCGGTCAAGGTGAATGGCGTCGTTGTGGTAGCGGCGAAGGCGTGGATCACGGATAACGGGCATGATTGCGATGAGGTTGTGGCGACTTTGGCGGCAGATGGAAGTAGCATTAGCGCGCAGGTGCCAGGAAGAAGCATGGTGACTTTTGTGCTTAGCCCGGCGGCATGAAGAAGAAATTTGCAGCGGTAAGAAAGATGGTGGTCATAACTAAAACAGATATTATATGGCTCCATCATGAATCGTGCCGGTGTATGTATATAAGTCTCTTTACTGCACGGCGGCAACTAGATGGGCTCATCTCTTGGCTCAATAAGTACCTCGTTCACGGAAACGTGCTCTGGCTGCTTGAGCGCATACACAATGCACTCAGCTACGTTCTCTGGATCCAGCACCTTCGCGCCGCTTGGCTCTCCAAACTTCTTGAGAGCTTCCTGATCTGTGCTCATTCCCAAAAGATCTGTCGCCACATTTCCTGGCTGCACAGCAGTGACTCTCAGCCCAGTACCCGCTGTTTCAAGCCTCAAACTTTGCAGTGTAGCTTCGACGAAGAACTTGGACGCGGAGTAGACGCCCAGACCAGGGAAGACTTTTCGCCCAGCATCCGATGAGATGGCGAGGAGGTGACCCTTTCCACGCTTGAGCATCGAAGGTACAATGGAGGAGATGACATTGAGGAGACCTTTGCAATTGACATCGACTGTTTGGTTCCATTGGTCAGTGTATGTGTTGGCCATCATGGTGAAGTACATCACTCCTGAGACATTCACAAAGATGTCAACAGGTCCTAGTTGGCTCTCTGCTGCAGCAACAAGGGCTTCGACCTGAGCCTTGTCGGTGACATCGGTCTTCTGCGTAATGATCTTGCCTTCGCGGATCACGAGACGTTTCTTCAGATCTTCAAGAGCATCGATGCGGCGTGCTGCGAGGGCAACGTGGCAGCCTTCTCGGGCAAGAGCAGCGGCGGTAGCAGCGCCAATACCGGATGATGCGCCCATGACTACGGCGACCTTACCGAAAAGAGGGCCTCTTCGAGGAAGCCTAGCAGATCCACCTGCAGCGTCCTGTTGCGTAGGCGGCTTTGGAAGCCAGCCTCGTGCATACCAGTGCCTTGTGTATGTCTCAAGAAGTACTTGATCTACTTTCGGGCGTTCTACCGCAAGACGTAGCGGCCTGGTCTTTGCGTTGTCGAGCACAACAACATCCCTCAGGAACTCAATAGTTGGCATACCGCTTCGTAGAATATCAACCGTGAAAGCACCATCACCACCTTTGGCGGAACCTCGTTTATCATCCCAAAGGCTGGTCCACTTTTCGAATTCTATCGGCTGGGTTGGATAGCCTAGCGCACTGAGATCTTCGAATACCTTGTTGATGTCGACCGGATCGGGATCTCCAATGTGGAATATTGTTTGCTCTGTCTCGGTTTGGTTGCTGAGGTGCATTATAGCCTTGCTGACGAAGTCGACTGGGGTCATTTCCGCGCGCCAACCCTTGACATCGGGGTAGTAGCCGATTCTGACCGACTCAACAATCATGGCTGTCAACAGATCCCATGCATTAGCAGCACCTGTCTCGCTGTGGCCACTAATAGTTCCAAGACGGTGAATCTTGATGGGAAGACCTCTTCGGCCAGCCTCCAGAGCAAGCTGTTCGGCCACCCACTTAGTCTGACCGTAACCATCAGCGAGCTTGGTGACTTGATCGACCTCAAGCATGGCGTCTTCTGACCATCCTTCGCGGCCTTCGGCAGGAAGAAGCACTCCGTTAGTAGAAATATATTGCACTGTAGCACCACCTTGAGCGGCAAGACGAAGAACCTCTCTTGTACCACCAACGTTGGGTTTCTGTAGCGCAGCATAAGGATAAACCAGGTTGACAGTGGCAGCCGCATGAACTATTACGTCAAGGCGTTCCGCCAAACTCTTGAACGTGTCAGGAGCGAGACCGAACCGCTTACGTGACAAATTTCCTGGAAGAATCTCGACACGCTCCATGATGTTGTCGCTCCACAGACCAAAGTCCAGCAGGTTCCTGCGTATCCTAGCAATACCAGCAGGTATGTCATCTTGCGAGGAATCAGCGAATCGAACCATGCAAACAATCTGGGCAGATGTGCTCTCAAGCAGGTCTCGTAGAAGGAAAGCGCCCAAAAAACCAGTGACACCAGTAAGTAGTACGGTCTTTGCGTCTTTGAGCGCACACATCTTGGCATTCTTGGGTTGGATCTCCTTCTCTAGTACGGAGTCTGCACGTAGAACGGCGGGTAGGTTCTCCTGTACCTCGGCGGTGTGACCGTCACGAATGGCGCGAACAGTGTCAAGGTGGCCGTTGAGCGTTGCTGGAGTGGCGAGGCGTGCGACTGGTACCCTGAATCCGAAAGTGTTTGATAAACGCGCGGCCAGGTCAGCAAGTAACAGTGAATGACCACCGAGATCGAAGAAGTTGTATTCGGGAGTAATGGAGCTTGGGCTAATGCTCAATATAGATGCCCAGATTTCGGTAATCTGTTCGATGGAGATAGGACTCTGCTCGAATTTGCGTGCGCTTCCAGTAGGAGATGCAGGTCTGGGAGGAGGAAGAGCCTTGAGATTAACCTTTCCAGATACATCGCTCGTTGGAAGACTATCCATTTCGACCCAGAGTGCGGGTATCATATAATGGGCAAGATATGCCATCAACATGCGCCTGGCTGTCGAGCTACGGCCTGTTCGGTCAATTTCGACTTCTGGACGCTCTGCAGACGTATCCTTGTCTCGAACGATGTATGCAACCAGTTGTCGATCGATACCTTCTCCAAAAGGTACTACGGCGCAGTGGCTGACGGCTAAATGGTTGAGAATCGCGCTCTCAACTTTTCCAGGTACCACAGAGTATCCACGGATCTTGATCATGGCTCCAACACGGCCCGTGATCTCGAGCAACCCATTCGATAGAAGGCGTGCTTTGTCACCAGTCCTGTACATACGAGCACCAGGCTTCGAGCTGTACGGATTGCGAATGAAAGCCTTGGCGGTAGTCTCAGGGCGGTTGAGGTATCCTCGAGCAAGCAAGTGTCCGCCTACGCAAAGCTCGCCATTCTCTCCTTCGTCCACCTTCTGGCCACTTTCGTCCACGATATAGATGTATTTCCTATCAATGAGCGGCGGTCCTACAGGACAGTAGGCGGCGTCCTTGTCCAGCTTCTCAAGCATGTCCTTAATATCTCCGCAAGCAATCTCGTGTGTCTCACATGCGCTGTATACATTGAGGAGGCGGGTATTGGGTAGAGCTTTGATACCACGCCGTGCAAGGTCGGTTGTCACAACTTCGCCGTTAAGCCAAACAGTCTTCAAGTTTGGCAGACGCGTCTCCAGCGCTTGGTGACGAGCAAGAACGGCAGAGAAAAGTGTTGGTGTGAAGAGAGTCTCAGTGATTTTCTTGGAGGCAAGTAGGTCGACGAGCATACGCGGGTCATAGCTTGCTTCGTCCGGTACAGCAACAACAGTCGCACCTCGCAACAGCGGGCGTAGAATTTCCCAGACGAAGAAGACATTGCAGGCAACTCGATCGCCTGGTTGTATATCCGAAAGTCCGAATCGGAGGTTATATGAGAGAACTGCTGCTCGGTGTGGATTCGCGATGCCTTTCGGCTTACCGGTCGTTCCACTGGAGTATGCAACAAATGCTAAGCGGTCCAAATCGGTATCGTCGGGCAGTGGCTTCAGCTCAAACTTGTCCGACTGACCGTTCGTAGTCGGACTGGTTTCATCCAGAACAACAAGCGGTGTGCTTCCCTTAATCTTACCAACTTCGGCGCTGATAGTAACCACGACGGTTGGTTGAGCATCCTCGAGAACATCTGCGAGGAGATCGGGAGGATAGGCCAATTCCAAGACTAAAAATGCACCACCCGCCCGTAGTGCTGCTAGACAGGCGATTACATAGTCGGCGGATCGCGGCAACAGGACACCAACCAAGCTGTCACGGCCGACGCCATGGCCCCGCAGCCGGTCAGCGAGGGCAGCGACTTTGTCGTGGAGCTCTTGGTAAGTGTACGTATGCTTGTCGTCTTCCAATGCAATCAGATCCGGGGTAGCATGGACCTGTTTCGTGAAAAGTGCCGAGAGGTCCTTGGTAGTGTCGATGACAGACATGGTCTGGATTTTTCCGAAGGAGGGGCAGATGGAGAGTCAGAGCTTGCGAGTGGCAGGTACTCAACGTCTTATTTATTCAAATGCACTCCCCATAAGTCGGATCGACAGCTCTCGTTGAGTGATGCAAAGCGTGGGGAATTTGGCTCGTTGAGGATGAAATGGCTCGCTAATTCCTTCGCGCATCATGGCACGTTCCTTGTCTTGAGGTGGTGCCGAGAAGCCTGCCGATAACGTCATTTGCTAGCGTCGACTAACAATTCCGCAAACCCATATTATTGCTCAGTGAGGCGCATCGTTGAAGCCGTCGGAATGCTGCCTATGGCTGGTTGGTTCCTTGTCGACAGCTTGCATGAACACCATCCGGGTTACTGCCGATACAATATGGCCGCCCGTCGGGTCGTCGCGCGATAGCCCCAGTCTAGAAAACTCATAGCGCTCTTTCAATGGCCAGACAGTGGTCATGCGGTTGCTGCTGTCACTTTCTGGGCATTGTTGGGGACGTGGGGATACTTGAGGCGTTGTGGGCTTGCCTTGTCCCACCGGGGCAGGAGTCGTGACACATCTCTAAAGTGCGCATCTCCAGCGTTGTTGTATGATTGGAAGCCTCGATTCATGGTTTCCTAGTGCGTTGAAGGTCCTGTAGTTTCGAGGTTATCCTATTGGATTACTGGGTGTTGCAGATGGCTTTGGCAATGAAGCTGGTCGCTTGGGCAGATACAAGGAAGACAGTAGGAAGTCTCTGTCGTTCAAGTAAGCATTACAATGAGTAGTCAAGTACCGAACGATCGGTATACCCTGTACCGATAAGATGCAACTTACTGCTAGTCGGCTTTGTGACGTTAACGAAGAATTGTCTTGATAACCTACGGACGTTTCGTCGGCATAGAGCACCTTCGCAGGGTGCAGGGGGTATCAAATAGCTAGTCCATAAACCATGAATATTGCGCAAACCATGTCATTTGCTTGACACGTGTGCTACAATCAGAGCAATGCTGTGCAAGTCAGATAAGATGGAAACCTAAGAGTGAGGGTCGTCGAGGAGCGGGTGCGGGGAAGGCGCTAAGACGCGGTAACATAGGGCCACACGTAAGCCTTGCGCAAGTTCAACCTACCCGCATATATTACTGTTTGACTAATGCGCCTAATTTGTATTATATCATTACACTACAAACATATAGGAGAATCATGAACAGCCCCAAGACTCTAACTGCGCTTAACCCTGCCACTTAGTACGCCTCTGCCGGAACATAGATACCATACCGATAGGCAACAATCCGAAGTCAACTACATTCAGACCACCGAACGTATCAATCATGTCCGGGCCGTACATTTGTGCGATCCACTTCCAGTAGGCTTCCATTGAAGTCCAGTGGGCGGTGATACCGCGTAAGTTGTTCTGACCCGAGAGCTGCGCCTGCGCCTGCAGGACGTGTTCACTTGCGTCGATGGGCTTTTCTTGAGGGCGCTCCAGCAACTTCTTGTAAACATCTTCCAAGTTCGCTCTACCTATACTGTCAAATGATTCTGAATACTTGGTGAACTCCTCAAAGGGGAAGAATGTGTCAGGGTCCTCAGGCTTCCAGTTCGCATCCTCGGCATTACGACGCGCATTACGGCGAACGCCCTTGTCGAAGGCGCGCTTGACGGTATGGTAGTCATTATGTAAAGTTTCTTCATACTCGTCCAGCAGATCATACGGATTTTCTCTTACCGATTCCCGGATTTGCAGAAGACCCACAAACGGAGACTTCAAATCCAGACCTCCAAGCTCGACTGGGAAGAAGAGAAATCCATCCGGAACGTCTTCAACAGAGAATCGCTCTTTGATTATCGTCTTCAGGTGTTGTACGATGCTGCCATCTGGAAAAATGCTGTTCTGGATGTGGCGATGGGTAGCGAGCATCATGTCGACATGTTCGCGGCCGAAGCAATTGGCAGCCATCCCGAAGTTGGAGCTAAAGAACGTAGCTGCATAGGAGTTCTATTTCACCTGATTAGATATCTTGATGTGGAATCGATGGATTCGAAATACTTACCCAGACCTGTATATAGTCGATGACACTCTTCAGCTTGCCTTGGAGCTGCATGCGCAGCTCTTCCACATGACCGTCGACCATCTTTTGATCGATCTTAAACCGACCACTCTTTGGCTCTAGTTGTAGGAAGCCCCATCGGATGTCGCCTTCTGGTAGGCGATTGTCGATCTCAGCATCGGAGTCGTGCGAGACGCGAACACTGCCTGTCTTCTTCTCGTCTAGCTGGAACCATTGTCAGCTGAATCATCATAGCGAATTTTGCTGGAAAACTAACCTTGACTCCTGTGACGTCAACAAACTTGACAATACTTGCCCAGGCATTAGCACACGTATTATAGTCCTTGTTCCAGAACCAGATGTCGTCCCCGAGACGGTGTAGATCTGGTCCGTCAGTGGCTTGGTTTACAGCGAAATCTAAACAAAAAAGCACGGCCTCCCCTAATGTATCGCTCAGGGCGTGGGAGCCTGGCATGCCTCGGCGGCGCAAGCGCGGCTCAGACGATGGATCATCTATGAACTTCAGTGGTGCCTGCAGGTAGCACACAAAGAATTTCTGCCATTTGTTCGACACGCCAAGGAAGTCGAGAACGATAGAGATGGTCTGATGTGGCAACAGTGTATTCCAGGAGTTGAAAGTTGTATGCAGACAGGTCAGTCCTCCGTGCAGTCTCGTATTCAGAACGATTTCAGTAGATATGAGGTGAAGTAGGCTTTGCTTCGCTTCCATCGGCTTCTTGGGCTGACGGCGGTATTCCTCATCTCCGTCGCTGTACGAATCTCTGTCGTCCTCGCTAGCCTCGCATTCCTCCGGGACAGCGCCAAACCCGCCAAATAAACTCGCCTGGGCGCCAGTAGACTTTCTTGCTGTCTGCTTTGTACGTCCTGTACTTGGTTGCTGGACCGCATTTGATTGCATTCCACCGAAAAGTCCTCCTCGTTTCAACGCCTTTTTAGGCTTTTGGACAACGTAGTCTCCGTACTCTGCCTCCTCTTCACCGTCGTCTGCCTCGATCTGCTGGGTATCATGATCTAGCAATTGGTAGGCAAAATATCGGTTGCGATGTATGCTTTCACGCTTCTTTTCAACGGTCGAGTGAACTTGAGTACCTTGATCCCCCAAAAAGTACGATCGTCGTAGACGGTCGACCTTTGAAACCTGTGTTGAGTTTCTCTTCCAAACTACATGCTTGTGCATGTCCATAAATGCCGATTTGAAGAACACAGACCTATGGATTGAGCAGTCAGAGTCAATAATTGCAATTCGTTTGGATTGATGGCAACTCACCACTTCACACCAATGTAATGGAGGAAGATTGCCTGAAGAAGGTCAGGATCGAAATGAATCGAGAAGTCACCGTTAATCTTCCTCCTTTGCTCTAGCAGAACATGTGGACCCCAAGTCCAGCGATCAAGGGCCGTCATTCGCACGTTGAGAATGTCACACAGTTCCCCGAGTATTACTTCTGTAGGGTCGTCAGTTATCAAAGCTCACATAGAACACATCTATTTACCGTTACTAAGGAAGTCTCTGAGCGCCTCTCGCTTCTCATTTGAGAGAAGATCGGAGTTCAGGAGTCCCTGGATAGTTGAGCGAAGAGTATGGGCGTTGAATGATGTCGAGCCTTTGAAACTCGGCTCGAAATCTTCAACTTTTTGGCGCAACTCGCGAATCGCAGCGGAGCCATCTTTGCTATCTGTCTTGAACAGCTCGTCAAGGTACGACCTCAGAGCTTGCTCATCTACTTCAGCCGCGTTAAAGACGTCCTTCTCCCAATCAGCGCGGGATGCAAGCTTTTTAGCACCAGGTACTTCCTCGAAGCTCTCGCTCATCTCGACGTCGCCGTCGTCGCTTGTAGGCTTTTCAGATGAAAGCCATTCAGTGACCAGTTTTCCATATAGATCTGCATACTGGAATTTGGTAGACTGAACGGACAAGTATCGGAAGAGGGTTTCTTCCCAATCTGAAAGAACCTGAGCTGAAACAGAAGGGTCGAACCGGGCCTGCTCGATGAAGCGATCGAGATTCTTAAGGTCAGTCTCGAGACGAAGGTTTCTGGATGATCCGCTGATCACTCGGCCGGCACGACCATCCTTGGTTCTTTTTTCCGTTTGTAAGCCAAGACATGCTTTTGAGCCGTCAAGGAGGAGGCACAGACGTTTTAGCGGGTCTGTCTCAGCTTTCGCAGCAGCGACGAGCGTAGCATACTCTTCTTCAAAGACACCGCGTTGCTTCGCGAGCTCTTCAAGTTTTGTGGTGGTGATCGTTTGAAGCGTAGCCCCAAACACACTCCCAGACGAAGTCGCCATAGCCAGTGACGCGGGCGTATATTATGGGTAGATGAGCTGTAGAAGGGGTCTGACGATGCTCTTCAGTCGTGGACACTAGGATCGAATAGAACACGGCGGTGAACGTAGTTAGCACTCAATTGTTTGAGGGTGAGAGGCCTTGAGTAGAAAGTCGACAGGACCATAAGGCTTTATAGAGATGCGATTTTACCGCTCTAGGCAGCAGGTGCTTGGCAAGGCTGTCTAGACGTGCAGCTATATCGAGCCTGTGACGTGGGGATCGCTCTGCATGCTGCGTCCTACCAGAGAACCTAACTTACCAATGATGTCACAACCATTGGAAGCTAAGTGGCCGATTTGGCAACGAAGCATTGGAGGATGCAAGCAAACGACATCGTGTTCAAGCGAAGCATTGCCACTTGGAATCCAAAATGCAAAGAAATAAACTCGGTGAACTCCAAGAGGTTATGTCGTGGCACACCAAGCGCTAGCAGAGCCTATTTTGTGGGAATGAAAGGGTTTGTTGTGTGGAAAGGAGGAGGAGGTGAGACTTAGGAATGGAGCTTGGGAAGTGACATGGGTGGCTTCCTTCCTCTCTATCGATAAGCGCACAGACCGCATGTCTCGATCATATCCTCGACAGTATACACTACACTGTACCACTCAATCTATGAGCCCCTTGTTCAACATGTTCTGACTAATTAGGCTACAGCTCTCTCATACATTGCTCTTTGAAACTGCTCATGCAGCTTCAATATGCTCGGGCTCATCGGTGGGATGACCTGGCAGAATGCTACGCCGCAGACCCCAGCTTTGAAATCGATATACCAGGTCATACTAGGAACACCACCCCAGAAGAACGTTCCAGCGTTCATGCGTCCTTCTTGGCCTTGCTCAACAATCATTCCGGCGAACGACCATTGCTTCTCGATATCCGTAGGTAGACACATGCCGAGATACTGCATATGCAGGGGTGAAGACTTGAGGTAGTTGTTGAACTCCTTCTTGCACCTCTCATCGAGCTGTGGCTTGAAGAGCTCTGTCCAGGAATCTCCATTCAGTAGCTTGGGGTCGCGCTTTAGAACGGATTGAAGGAAGGCAAAGTAGGCCTCTGGGCTCGCGAAAGCACCCGCACCTCCCAGGCAGTCTGTGGCGCCGAACAGGACGTCAAAGCCACCAGTATCTGCCACCGGCCCTTCACCCTGCTCATTGAGTGTGCTGATGGTCGCCATCCGACCTTCCATATCAGGTCTTTCCTTTGGGTAGAAGGAGATATCCTGTATGCCAAGAGGCGTCCATATCTTCTCTTTCATGAAAGCATCGAGTGTCTTCCCAGACACTTTCTCGACGAGTTTGCCTGCCCAATCCGACCCCGCGCCATATCTGAAGCTGGTGCCTGGCTCGTACAGAAGCGGCAGAGTAGATTTTTCCTCAACAGTCGGTCCACACCAGGGGGTCTCTCCGCGGCTTGCACGCCACTTCATCAGATCAGGGTTAAACCAGTCATACTCATGGCCGTTCGTGTGACTCAGTAGCATCCTGTTTTGGTCAGATGGCTACAAGCTAATACACTAGTACAAGCTCACCTCAGAGTGATCGGCGTGTTATTAGGCACAGTGACCGCCTCATTTTTCTCATCGTCGAAACTGGTCATAATGCCAAATTTTCCAATAGTTGGCAAATACTTCGCTACGTCTTCGTCAAGCGTAATAAGTCCTTCCTCAACGCACTTCAAGGCTGCCACAGCAGTCATGAGCTTCGTCATTGATGCGATGGCGCATATTGTATCGAGCTGGAAAGGGCGTGTAGAGCCTTGCGCGAGTGACTGAACACCTTTTGCACCCGAGTAGAGGATATTGCCTGCCCTGTCGTCAGATATTGTTCACACATACCGAGCACAATTACAGACCATCTTTATCGCCTGCAAGTAGAGCATATCCAGGAAGGATATTGTCTTCAATAGCTTTCTCGTACGCCTTTTCGAAGTCCGTCATTGTGGCAATGCTTTGACTGTGAGCTTATCAACTACAAACATTATAGACGATATCAGACTCGCTTTTATAACCACGATCATACTGTCGCGGATATCAAAGGCATTGGATAGTGCACTCAAGATCGCATGCATGCTGACTGCATATCGTGGTGGTAAGAATTACTACGACTCAGCCAGCCAATGAGTGCTTGGCTAATGACCAAGCGACTCTACTCTCCTCCCTCTGGCGAATTTTTCCATACCAAGATTCAGCTCCGTTCAGCACATATCCTGTACTTCGATATAGGTAAACGCACCGAGGCTGACACGAGACGTAGTGGGGCTGGGGATCGGGTACAGCTCCCTACCTATACTTCAGCTTAGGCAATGCATCCGAAGACACCTGCAAGTTCCTGCATAATCGCAGGTTTCCTTCGTACGAACGATTGCTCTCATAATGTGCGGCTCGTATCAAAGTTGTCGATCATATGGGCACGAGCGCACGACGGCTGACAGGAAAAACACTCGTAAGCTCGGTAGAAGACAAACCCGGGGCCGCTCTTCCGTAACACGCCAAGCATGTTAGATATTCCGCGTCCATGCCCATTGCGCTCGCTTCTCGTTATTTCCGACGGTCATCCGAGTCCCTTGTCATTTGGTCGCAGCTTCAGTGAGGGCCAAATTTTTCAATGGTAGGGATTGGCCAACACATCGACGCATTCGGCATTGCCGCAGTCTCGTCGTTTGTGCACAGTGTATGTTCTTCATCTTACTCTTGCATACGTTTTTGGGCCCTGGGGGGTTGCGGAGGCTTATCTTGATATCCGTCCATCATAATGGATGTTTTAAATGTACTTGTTAAGCTTTGGTCGTGTTGTTTCGTGGATGCCTTTGCGATTGCCTTCAAGTTTGCGCTTGCCTAGGAGCTACAACCCTAGTCTTTCATGGCGCTGGATCGCTGCTCTACGCTTCTGGTAATCTGTATACCTCCTCCTTTCACAGGTAAAATGTACTCTTCACTCCCAACAGTCCCTTGTCCGTGCACCATGTTCACCGTTTGGCTATCCTCAAGGGCTACCCACTCCTCGTCTCTTCCACTCAGACGACTCTTTATAATCGGTCGTTTCGCATAGCCTGCTGCAGGTGTGTGCTGAGGATTTGTACCGCCGCTGCTTCCGAGTTTGAGTACGCGTTGGAGAAGTGGGCGAAGTGTGGCGACGCATCCTACGATCATGCCGACGCCATTTTCGGCGTAACCCCACAACATCACTTTAGATACACCATCTAGTGGGGAGATTAGTTCTTTGTCCGGTGGTTGCAGTAAGGGAAGCTTGAGAAGGAAGATCACTTACGAAGGTAATCGGTCGAGCTAGTGAGATTTACAGTATAGACAAGGCGGATGCATGCTGATAGACTTGCTCTGTGGCGCATTAGATGGTGATCGTGTTCCCAAGAGATAAGCGAAGGTATGACTTACAAGGCACCGAGGCCGAGAATCACACCGACCGAAAGCTTAGCATTACGGTTCAACTGCACGTTCCAGAGCAGCGGTATGGGTAAGAGTGCGCAAAACCAATCCGTCGCAATGTTGACCGCAGTCGTCGCATAGTATATGTCGGCCAATGTCTGCGCTGGGTTGCACTTCCCGCCAGGGGTCGATGTATCCCAGGCGTACGACACTGGTGCGCACTGGAAAATGATATACAACATCGCAATCAAGTTCATGACAATGAACATAGCTGAAACGACGTATAAGCTGTAAATATAGGTCATCCTCCGTGATGCGATGCGGATGAGCATGAACGAGATGCTCATCTTAATAGGGATAATCGCCGCGCAGTAGAAGACCTCGAAGAAGAAGAAGAACTATATTGTTTAGTATGTACAGACACCGACGCTGGTACGAAACATACCTGCATTCCTCGGGAACTCTCTTGTGCACTTAGTCTGGAGTCGTAGACTCCAACTCCACTGAAGGCGCCGCCAATGCATGCTATCGTCAAGCCTGTAAAAGGGACCTACATCGTAATCGTCAGTTGATTTGACCCTAAGAAGTCCCACGGTTTTACTTACAGTTGCGGCTGTCATGCTCCAGTCATCCAAGCCCCAAGCATTGTTGTGTAGTCTCGTGTAGACTCGCAAACCGAAAAGAGTGAAAGCGATCACTGTCAGCGCGATGACCGAACCAGCAAGTTCGGGAGCATTGTCGCCGTAGTAAGTCATATTGGTACCCTAACTCTGACAGCCGCGACTTCCAGAGCTCGAAGTGGGGGATGGAGGGATGAAGTAGACAAGAATGATCCAAGCAAGAAAGGAACGACTAGGAAGGAAACTTGTGGAAACACATCAAGATCTCGTGCAAAGACGCATGCACTTCAGGACATTGCAATCAGTTGTGAAGCAGACTCAACCGGAGGGAACAAGCCGAACTGGTTTCAAGAAGAGAAAGACTTGAACGCATATCAACCTGTTATCGGTGATCTCCCAGGAATCCCTAGTATCCACCCCAGACCAGCAAATAATTTGGCAGTTGCGTTGTGCACAAACCGCCAGAAAGACCCACGTAAGACGGGTTTTCGTCGCCCTCTGGCATAGCTCCTGGGGCGTAGTCTAGGATGCTGCTGGAAGGTACGGCGACCCGAACCCGAAGTTCGTTCCCGTGTCGAGGTTAGACACATGTAGCGTGGGTCGCCTAACAGTACGACCGGTGAAACTGGCACGGCTGGATCACAGTCCTGGGTGTTATTGTGTACCTGGCTCCTGAACGACTGCTACAGCTGGACCCTGAAGGATGCGAAAACCTCAAGACCACGCTCGCGTGCTTCCTGTTCATGGAGTGGCCCTGTTCGAGCGTAGGGATATTGACATTCTGATACAGCGTGCCGTGCGGACTTCATCAAACAGTGATCCCGTGATGTTTATCGTCGCGATATCGAGAGAACATCATCAGAAAGATCACTCTTTTCTACCTCTTTAGCTTCCTTACTGTATATCCGTGCCCAGCGTGCCATGAGGCTGCTAGCCGCGACGGCTGACGAGCTCGTCGTCGGCAGGGGATACGGATAGTGCACGTCGCTGGCGAACCTGCGTTAGTGGAGGCTCGCTTGCGAAAATGCTCCGCAAAAGGCCCGAATCATATACCTTGTACCTTAAATTATGAACCTCAACCGCTGCACGCATTCATCGAAAACGGACGGTCGGGTGGAAAGGGCCCATAAAGGATATGAGACAGCATGGGGAAGAGATGCGCATAAGATCATTGCTTCGAACCCCGTGAATAGCTCGCGGCACTCATTCCTATCTGAGGTGGAGTTTGTAACCGAGCTTCTCAAGGCATGCGGTCTTGTGCGAGAAATGCAAGAGTACAAAGTGCCGACATCGTATTGAACAGTGGCGTAGGTATGTCACAGTGGTGACAGTGGTGGGATCGAAAAGTCAAGGCGTCGGCTTCTTGCGTACCCAACAGACGCGACTTCCTATGACGTAATTATATCGCGCTACCTAAGTACGGGTCTGCCCTGATCCTGTGAGACGGCTGCCGAGTCGTTTCCTCGGTTTTACCCGTCTCTGGACACGAACAAACATAAGACTACATTTGGTTACGCTTTGATGGTCCGTACCAATATTAATCTTTTGGTACCTGTTTGTGTAGTATACCTAGGTAGTCTCAATGACTGGAAAGGCCATGCCATGAACTCGCACCACTCAGGTATTCTTCCAACGTTAACAAGAAATATGTCAGGGATACTGATCATGTTCGTGGACTTGTACTCGTCATTATGCTTCGTTAGCGCTGTACAAGTAAACTTAGGAATTTGACGTCCGAGAATGCTACTCTGACTTTCGACAACTCTACGGGTTACGTATCTCTGTTTGCTCGGGAATGTTGATGACTTTGTACGACAGACATCTTCGAGTGTCGCGTGCGTCTGTATCATCTGAAAAGCGCTGCGCCCAGACTGGACCCGTTCACATAACCCCATGTCTCCTGATGCCATAGGTCCATTCAATCGATGGGGTCGAACAGCGATAGGCTCCTCCGATCCAAAATATGCTTCTAGTTCCTGAGACACTCTCGACTGATGATCGTACGACCAAAAAATCAGCATATGAATATTCAAAGCGTAATACTTTGTTCGACGTCCTTGTCTTGCAACGCCACGCGGAATCACTTCGAGACTAATTTCTCGGAATCCGACTGCCTATATCAGTTCAATACTGTCTGATGTGCGCCTCCGATCTCTGACAGCCATATACCACGGCTCTTGACACATGCAATCTCGAAACGAGCATAATTCTCTTCCTAAGCACTAGTTCTTGTATCCTCGAATCATTAGGCAGGTAAAACAACCGACTTACCGACAGGAATTGCTGCGCCCTCTGCTGCAAGCCCTAAAAGAGAACAACCCCAGTCACGGAGATTGTGACACTCTTGATGGGGTACCTTTTGAAGCAAAGAGAAGAGTGGGTCTCCAAGTATGGTTTGATGGTGTCGCATTATGTCGATATGAACAGAGAACCTCCTGTCGACTTTTGCAGCTGCGTACAGCGGGTTTCGCGAGATAGCTCGAAAACTGTGAACCTCCACCACGTCAGCCAGAAGACAGGGTGCTCTGCTATGCGCGACCTCCTGTGTGATCCAGGCTCGGGTCCAGTACGTATGGTTCCCAAGTTCGACTCAGCCAGCCTCGATGCTCTTCAATACTTCCTTAGCATCCATCCACCAGCACGATTTCATTTCTGATCGGCGATGCTGGCTCCATACTCGGAAGAATTTGACAAGCCTACTACTTTGCCCAGCCAAGCAATCACGTGCGCTACTGCGGTGTATGTAGCACCCATTTGAGCCACCTAATGGTTCCTTTCGGCAAAATCATCTTGGTCGATACAAACAGAGTTCATTCAGAACAATCTCAGAGGATAATTCTTTCCGACGACATGTAGAAATTTATGTAGGTTTTGTCAGATGAGGACCAACTAGGCGTCCACAAGGATTGGAAACGCCGTGCTTTCGTCTCCCCAGGTATATGATAAGCAGGTATAATCGTCGCCGGTACTCACGTGCGTAAGAACGCACTGCACAATAACTTCTCGAGACAGACTTGGTAATACCCTAATAGTTCGGATTGACGGTTGCATGTGATCCAGAAGGGCGTGATTGAAAGGCAGAATATGACCGAAACTCTCTGAGGTTGTCAAAGACAGGATGACCAGCAAGCATACAGCATCCGACTGAACTACAAGCGAGGCTAAGGTGTATGTCGTGTCTCGTCGTTGATCTAGACAAGTGACTGGTATGAATTGGCTCGTCCAACCGACCACTGCGTCAGGTATGTACAGTAAAAGAAAAGGATTGTCTTCAAAACAGCGTAAGATATCTTGTAAAACTTGAAAAGCAGTGGCAAAGTAGGCAGCAATGACTGCGAGATGAGTTAAGTAACAGCACAAGGTTGTGCTTATGCCTGTTCTCTTTCGTCCTTGGGTCGATTGGTGCATACGCCTAACGTCGCATGCAACCCATCAACGCCAATAGTCTCGAAGCTCAGCTTTGTTATGCTGACTCGATATCTGCTACGATGGACGGACTTGCAAGTATTCTTCTCTTCTAATCAGCCCGATGCCAAGTCAAGAGCCATTATCCACCACACAGTACTCTGGTTCCGTCGGCTAACAACAGTAGCGGCCGCCGGCAATTGAAGATCAACACTCGTGTGCAGGAGGGCTGAGTGCGGGAAAAGCAGTATGTCGAAGGTTAGGCCCACATATAGAGCTGGGATCCGAATAAGCAAGGAAGACGCGTACTGGGCGTGAGCGAACTCATGGGGTAACATTGAAGAGGCCCGGTTAGCAGGATTCGAAAGAGTGACGGTATTTGTCAATGCCAGTTCTTGTTGATATTTAACGCGTTATACATGGCCGATTGCGTGATTGAGGTTTCAGAGGGTGGTGCAAAGCGTGATGGAGGCAGTTCGGGGTGAAAACAAGCCTCGCGCAATCAGATCAGGTTGCACATGTCAAGGCGTCGGTGCCCAATCGGGCGAGCGTCATGCGCACTCGCCGTCAACAAAGATAAGAATTCGGGATGTGGTCGCGAAGATGCAGGAATGGAGAGTAGCATGAGTGATTGTAGCACAAGAAGCCTGATCCATGGAGCCCTTGTGAGACGAGTGTTGTGTTCACCCCGCCATGCCACCTGCTGTTAGTCTTTTCCCCACCAACAGTCGACCAACGCCCAGACAGTCGCGCCGTCATAACCTCTCTTGTCTCAGTCTTCCGCCCGACGAAGCCAAACAGCACCCGCGGCCTTTGGTAGACAGCGGCACTTTACCCTTTCCCGACGCCACTCGACGAAGAGGGGGAAAGTGAAGTGGGGCTCCGCTAAGCCACCCTATGCGTGAGCTAAATCGCTGTTCGCCCAACGACATCACCACAGCACGACGACTCCGCCATTGTCGCCTGCCTCTATCACATACGCGACCCCTCCGCCGCCGACGACAAGGACGCGTTGGAACGGCTGTTTCTTGCGCGCACAAGCAGCTTACGTGACGGGTGCCTACCCGAGCGCTGTCGATCCTTTGTAGCCTGCCATCGCTGGGCACGTTATCACACCGTCGCCTCTGTCGGTGAAGAAATCTCCTGACGCCCTCCTCGCCCAACCTTAGTACACGACCCTCACCATGGCAAGCGTCGACGAGACCGTTGCCAATGTGCAACGCAAAATTGACCGCGAGAGGGCCCTCATCAACGCCGCCAATGCCATGCGCCAGTCGACCAACAACCCGGCCGTACTTTCCCGTCTCGATGGACAGATAAAGGATGGCCGTCGGAACATCGACTACTTCGAGTCGAAGCTGCGGGACTTGGACGTGCAAAGAACGTCCACAGGCATGGAGAACATGAGTCTGCAGCCAGGCCACGGTCCCAACAACCCACTGACTCCTCCCCCGAAAGATGGCTGGAATGGGTACATGCAGCAAGACCAGGGCGGCTACGGTGGCCCTCAAAGCCAGTATAGCCAGCTTAGCGGAGGAGAAGCTCTGCAGCCTCCTCGCGCGCCATATGCTCCGCCAGCACCCAGTGCGCCCAACAAGCGGCCCAACTACAGCAAACTCGGTACATATCTACTTTATGTGACCATGCTGTACTTCGCTAACACGCACAGATCTCATCAAATATGACACCCCGCATCTCGGCCCCCGCATTCAGCTCATGCTATCCCAGCTTGAATTCAAGCTCAGTGTCGAAAAGCAGTACAAGGACGGAATCGAAAAGATGGTGCGGTTATACCAAATGGAGGGCGACCGCAAGAGCAAGCAAGATGCCGAGGCTAAGCGCATCGAGAGTAACCAGAAGATTCAGCTGTTGAAACATTCGTTGAAGCGTTATGAGGATCTCCATGTCGACATTGAGGGCGACGCCGGCGGTGATGGTAAGCTCCTACTACAACGGCAGCAGCTGTGTACTGATCATACCCAGATGACAGCTTGAACATTCCAAGTCAAAGAAAACCTTTGAGCGGTCACCTCTCCCTGCGCGTACACGCCGTCGCCGATGTCGACCACGCAGCTACTGGGCGCTTTAGTCGAGGCCCAGAAACTTTTGTCAACATCAAGGTCGAAGACGCAATCAAGGGTCGCACAAAGCCCACGAGAACTGACCGCTGGACTGATGAAGTTCACGACTTTACCATTGACAAGGCCAACGAAATCGAGATCACCGTATACGACAAGACGGGCGACCATCTTCTGCCCATCGGTATGCTTTGGGTCCGCATATCAGACATCGCGGAGGAAATGCGAAGGAAGAAGATCGAGACAGAGCTTGCAAACTCCGGTTGGGTGGCTGCCGACAAGATGGGAGGCGCAGCTGGCATTCAACCAGACATGCAGTTCCAGCCGCCACCGGGGCAAAACTTTGCAGGCGCTGGTGCAGGTGCCGGTGGTGCAGCTCCTGGTGGTGCGAGACCACAAGGTGGTCCTCAGCCTCAAACAGGTCCTATTATGATTGACGACTGGTTCTCGCTAGAGCCGGTAGGTCGTATCCACCTTACCATGTCCTTTGCCAAGAACACCGGCAACAAACAGCCCTTCGATCTTGGCCTTGGTCGCAAAGGTGCCGTTCGTCAGCGTAAAGAAGATGTCGTCGAGCAATACGGACACAAGTTCGTCCAGCAGCAGTTCTACAACGTTATGCGTTGTGCTCTCTGTGGTGAATTCCTCAAGTATGCCGCCGGTATGCAGTGCTCCGACTGCAACTACACGTGTCACAAGAAGTGTTATCCGAAGGTTGTCACCAAGTGTATCACTCAGTCCAATGCCGAAACCGACCCAGACGAGGCCAAGCTCAACCACCGCATTCCTCATCGCTTCGAAAACTTTTCCAACATGGGTGCCAATTGGTGCTGTCACTGCGGTTACGTTCTTCCACTCGGTCGGAAGCAAACCAAGAAGTGCAATGGTAAGTGGCCCTACTATTTCGATTTGCAAACTCCACTAATGATGGTTTAGAATGTGGTCTCACCTGTCATGCTCATTGCGTTCACTTTGTACCTGACTTCTGCGGTATGTCGATGGAGGTGGCTAATCAGATTTTAATGGAAATCAAAAAGGCGAAAAGGGGACAATCATCGTCAGGCCCAAGTATGAGCCAACGAACTCTGCGAGAGAAGCCGGCAAAACCTCTACCACCAACGCAACCTCAATCACCTGGTCACCCTGGACAGGAGCAAGCACAGTCCGACAGGTACTCCTACGGTAAAGAGCAAATGAGTCCTCCGCCTGGCCCTCCACGACAACAATCTTATGCTACATCGGCAGCGTCAATCGATGCGGCACGGGCCTCTTTCTCTACATCTGGATCTTCTGCTGCCCCCACATCGCCTACTGCAAGTTCGCGACCCTCATCAGGCCCACGCACTCAGTCTTCGGTGGCTGCGGCTGCAGCTGCGATGAACAAAACCGCTGCTCAACCTGCCTATGGCCGTAGTAACACAGACTACCAGCCACAGAGCGGAAGGTCATCAGGTAGCGGATACCCAGCAGACCAACGCATACCACAGCAACAAGCTCCTCAACCAGCTACCTACGACCCATCGGCCTACGCAAACATTCCCGGCTACCCACCGAGCCATCAACAACCTGCACCGATGCCATCTTACCCACAAAAGTCTTCATACCCTCTACCCCAACCACCGCCACAGGCGCAACCTCCGCACCAGCAACAACCTCCACAGCAGAAGATGCAAGAGCCTCCAGTACCCGCGAAACAACCTCCATCTGCGGTGATCGAAGCACCAGGAAAGAAGGTCACACCTGCAGCCAACACACAAGGGACTGGAAAGAGAATAGGCTTGGACCACTTCAACTTCCTCGCCGTCTTGGGTAAGGGTAACTTTGGAAAGGTCATGTTGGCGGAGACGAAGAGTACCAAGCAGCTTTATGCTATCAAGGTCCTGAAGAAGGAGTTCATTATTGAGAATGACGAAGTGGAAAGCACACGCTCAGAGAAGAGAGTCTTCTTGATTGCGAACAAGGAGAGGCACCCGTTCTTGCTGAGTCTGCACGCCTGTTTCCAGACAGAGACCCGTGTATACTTCGTCATGGAGTACATTAGTGGTGGTGATTTGATGTTGCACATTCAGAGAGGCCAATTCGGCACGAAGCGCGCACAGTACGTTTACGAGACCCCATGAGAGGAACCATTGCTAACGATAATATAGGTTCTATGCCGCTGAAGTCTGCCTCGCACTGAAGTACTTCCATGAGAACGGTGTCATCTACCGAGATCTGAAATTGGATAACATTCTGCTTACTCTAGATGGACACATCAAGATTGGCGACTACGGATTGTGCAAGGAAGAGATGTGGTACGGATCAACTACGAGCACCTTCTGTGGTACACCCGAATTCATGGCACCCGAGGCAAGTCCCATTCTTCGGTATGCCGGAAAGCTGCTAACACAAGTCTGTAGATTCTTCTTGACAAAAAATATGGTCGCGCAGTCGACTGGTGGGCCTTTGGTGTCCTTATCTACCAAATGCTTCTCCAGCAGTCGCCCTTCCGTGGTGAAGACGAAGATGAAATCTACGACGCCATTCTTGCCGACGAACCGCTCTACCCCATTCACATGCCGCGCGACTCTGTGTCTATCCTTCAGAAACTGCTCACTCGTGAGCCTGAAATGCGTCTTGGATCCGGACCGACTGACGCGCAAGAGATCATGTCACATGCTTTCTTCAGGAACATCAACTGGGACGACATCTACCACAAGAGAGTACAGCCGCCATTTACGCCACAAATTACGAGCCCGACGGATACTAGCAACTTTGATACCGAGTTTACAAGTGTCACACCTGTGCTTACGCCCGTGCAGTCTGGTACGTTGACGCATTCCCCACCGCTTGTGTATATATGTGCTTTTACTAATGACGCGCTCAGTGCTTTCGCAAGCCATGCAGGAAGAATTCCGTGGCTTCTCGTACTCGGCTGATTTCGCCTAAGCTTGCCTTGCCTTACTTCTGATACCCTAGGCTTCGTTTGGGAAAATGGGTTGTCCTTTTGCTTTTGTGTTAGCGTGCTCAACAACTGCCTTGGCGACGAATGGGCGGTGGGAATGAGTGCACCAGTACGTATCTTTGTTAGCATCAAAAGTGCAGTGTGCTAGTGTAATAATGTCTTGAGTGAACGGGAGAAGGGTATAATCATGCACGGATATGTTCGGCTCGACAAGGAGTTGTATGTTGGTGTGGTGTAGTGTAGTGGAGATGTCTGGGGAGTAAACGAGGAGGCGGTGATTCTGCTTGGACAATCGACATTACAGAATAGACGAAACAAATTCCTTTGACTTGAGATTACGCTTCATCTCTAGTACTCAAGCTCCAGGTAGATGACTGAGTCCATTCACTGACTCTCAGTAAGTACCCTTGTCCAATCAAACTTCCTCCATCCCTTCCTCCACCCTTCCACCCTCCTATCCCCTTTGACCCATTTCCCTTGCCTCTTAACAACCTCGACATCTACATCCAGCATGCCGCCCAACACCTCCCTAGCAAACAAGTCGCCTCTCGGCCAAGCCCTCTCGTCCTCGACAATATGCCCCAATCCGCCATCCAGCTCAAACCAAACATGGAAATACGGCATCTCCTTTGCTAAACTTCGACGGAACGCCTGTTTGCCCAGGCCATCGCGACTCGCCTTTTGCGTATTGATAAGCGGTTTATGCTGTGTCCAATCACTGGCCTGTTCGAGAATAGCTTCCTTGAAGAAAGCAGGTGCCGTGTCACCTAGTTCAAAGGGAATAGGCACAGCATTGAGAGCCGCATGACCCTTTCTACCAGGAAAAGCGGCGTTTTCGTAGAAGACAACGTCACGACCTTGTTCGTGGTACATTCGCGTTAGACACTTCATGAAGTTGCGCATTTCTTCCCACTCGTCGTCGTCGCATTCGAGCAGGTTGGTGCGATGCTGGATGGGGACTATGACGGCGCCGCCGGAGCTGATTTCAGGTTCGGTGGGGAGGGTCAGGAAGACGCGTGTTGCTAAGCTGATAATGGGAGCGACGGGGGGTTGTGGTGGTGATTTGTCTTCGTGGTGGCATAGTGGGCAGGAATCGAGGATGCGGTTCATCTTAGTGTAGTCTTGGATTGCGGCGTTGCGGAGGTTGATTGAGGATTTGGGGGCGCGAGCGGCAAGTTTGGTAGCGTTGTCGTCAATGTAGTCGAGGTCGTTGTCAAACTTTGAGTCTTTTGCTATCTTTTCGGCTAGGATGGCGCCCTCGCCGCCTGCCTGGTTTTTGGTTCGGCGTTCTTGTCGGACCATGTCGTCGATGGACATGTCTTCGTTCTCTTTGACGAGACCGCGCTCTGTGCCTCGTTTGTTGGTTAGGGCTATAACTTCTCCTTGACGCCCGCCGGCTAACATGCGGTTGTCCATTGCGTTCAGAACAACGACATCGCGTTCTTTGGAAGTTGAAGTGTTGGCCAGGGCGGCGTTGTATTCAGCTTCCAGCTGGGCTGCTTCGGGTGCCTTTTTCATCTTTGCTTTCATCATCTGGGCTTTTAGCCTGTTGAGCTCAGTCTGACTGAGCATAACAGTGTTCGTTGTCGGTCGAGGATCTTGTACTATTTCGCCTTGTGGTAGTTCCGAAGGTTCGTGCGACTCATGAGATGGCCTATGAATGCCTGCCTTGAGTCTCCGTTCTTCGAAGAGTTCGCCAGATGGTTTCTCTTTGCCGACGTAGTCTTTGCCGTACATCTTTCTGCGGTCCAACTCAATCTCTTCTTCGCGCGCCTCATCAAAATCTCGTAGATCACCGTACTTCTCCATTGCTACTTCTTCCACACTTCGCCCTGACTCCTCGGCGTTCCGGTAGATGCCCTTCAGCTTCGTCATACGCCATTGCGCGCCCGAGTCGCCAAATGTATAGCTGACTTGTCTTTGCGCAGGCTCTTCAGTAACAGTCTCTTGGACCTTGGGATCCGCCAAACCACGGTTCAGTTCCGCGTGATGCATCTTGAGCGCGGGTTGACCTTCATCCGACGCTTTGACGTATGTCGCCTTCTCCTCTCTCTTCTTCCGCTGCACATAGTCGACGTCCATGGATGAAGGCGCTTTCATCCAGTCGTCGCGTTGCAGATCTGCACTCGCCGCGTCTTCGAGCTGCTGATCTAGGATCTCGTCACCTGGCGGCGCATAGTCCTTCTCTTGGGGTATCTCATCTCCAGAAGACTCATCTTCCTCGTAGTGTCGCGACTTGCGCTTTCGCGTCAAGCGGTCCTCCTCGTCACTCGATGCAGATTCCTTGCGCTTTCGTCGTGACTGATCATCTTTGTCATCTCTTTCTCGCCTTTTTCTCCGCGCACGCTCTTCCGACGTCTCTCGATGGTGTCGCGATCGTTTGTGGCGGTGGCGCTCGTCTCGGTCGTCGTCGCCGTCGTGATGGCGCGAGGAACGGTGCTTGCGGTGATGTCTGTCGCGACTTCTGCTTCGATCACGCTTCTTCTTCTCGTCCTTCTTTTTGCTCTGCGCGAGCTCCTTCTCAAAATCTTCCAGGCCCATGTTGGCGGCAATACTATGTCAATTGATGTTGATGCGGTTGAGTCGCAAGAAGAAAGCTTGGAGATAGATTCGGAGCTAGGGCCTGACATCACCGCGGCGGATTCCCTAGCGCGTCCGCCCCGCCTAAGAATTTCTAGAACAACTCCAACTATACAATCCGCTATCACCAACGTTCCTTTGCTAGACCTTCACTGTACCGTTTGACGCGTCTCCACCCGATACATCGCCGCCAATCCACCTCCAATCCTCCAAACCCCCACTTCCATTCCCGGTTCATCTCCAAAACACGCATACGACGCCCGTAATGTCCTCCGCAAAGGCTCCAGAGGGCTCTGCGCCTGGCGCGAGTTCCAACACACCCGTTTCGATCGTCTGCGTTGGTATGGCTGGTAGCGGCAAAACCACTTTCATGCAGCGCCTTGTTTCCCATCTCTACACCCATCCGGATCCGACTCAAAGCGAACCTTCCGTCTCCAAGTCGTCTCCGACACCGCCATACATCATCAACCTCGATCCCGCCGTCCACCATGTCCCGTTCACACCCAACATCGACATCCGAGACAGCGTCAACTACAAAGAGGTCATGAAACAGTTTAATCTCGGACCCAACGGCGGTATCTTGACGAGCTTGAACTTGTTCAGCACAAAGATTGATCAGGTCATTGGTCTGTTGGAAAAGCGAACGCAGCCGCCAGCGCCAGTGAAGGAGCCAGAGCAAAGCACAGTTGAGTTCATGACTAGTGGTGGCAAGGACAAGCAGGCAGCACCGGCTCAACAACCGCAGGTCAAACATATCCTGGTGGATACGCCAGGGCAGATCGAAGTCTTTGTCTGGTCGGCAAGTGGAGAGATTCTGCTCTCAAGTTTAGCCAGCACATTTCCCACAGTCATCGCATACATCATCGACACGCCGCGCACAACCAGCACAAGCACCTTCATGTCGAACATGCTTTATGCCTGCTCTATTCTCTACAAGACAAAGCTGCCCATGATCCTTGTCTTCAACAAAACCGACGCGCAAGATGCTCAATTCGCCAAGGATTGGATGACCGACTTCGAAGCCTTCCAGGCAGCTCTACGCAACGAGGAAGAGGGTGGTAGCTTTGGTGGGGAAGGTGTGGGTGGAGGAAGTGGATACATGGGCAGTCTGCTGAACAGCATGTCACTGGTACTAGAGGAGTTCTACAAACATCTCAGTGTTGTGGGTGTTAGTGCTATGACAGGAGATGGCATGGATGAGTTCTTCAGGGGTGTGCAAGAGAAGAAGGAAGAGTTTGAGCGCGATTACAAACCCGAGCTTGAGCGACGTCGGGCGGAAAGGGAGCAAGAGAAGAAAGCAACACGTGAGCGTGAGTTGGACAAGATGATGAAGGACATGAAAGTCGGTGGTGCAGGTACAAAACCAAAGAGCAAGCCGCGAAAAGAAGAGCCAGAGACGGTCAGCGATGCGGAAAACTCAGATGAGGCCGGTATGCTACATGACGACCTAAACTATGAGGACGAGATGGACTCGGATGACCCAGAAAACGGCCTGAAGGAGCGATACAGGCAGGCAGTCCAGGACCGCGGTGTCGACCAGAACGAAGATCATAGCTTCGCACGATACGTGAACATGGCAAAATTCACATGAGAGACGCAACCCAAAATGCAAAGATGCCCGACTCCAGCGATAAATGGCTGGGCGTTCGCATTGCACAATCGGCGGTCTCGCCCCCAGATTCTTGGTTTACGTCGGAAAGAGATGCGGGCGTCTACATGTAAGACCGCGAAGAGAGATGTTGTTGAGAGAGTTACGGGCGACGTGCATTCGTTGACGGGCCGCAGCGAGACGCCGTGTCAGTGTTTCGCACATCAACACGACTTTGCACATGCATGCGCATTGGGCCCTTTTCCACCCATACTCTCGATGCCAAAAGTAGTTTGACACGTACGAGCTAGCCGTTTTGCCTCCACCATTTGCTTTCTCGCCACCATGGCTTCATTATATCCTCCCGTCGTCAGTACTGGTCTTGGTTACAATGGGCGGGGACACACGCTTTTTTTTTTTACTCGAAGAGACGGGGGTTGCAAGCGGATGTCTCACTGCGCGTATGTAAGGCAGAGAAAGAAGGGTAGCGAGACGATAATACGCGATGTAGGGGACAGTATAGTCAGTTACACCTGTCAGTTGTCAACTTCGTGCATGTGCAGTGATAAGACAATCTCAGAATCTGCTCTGCATGCCCTTCTAGTAGGACTGCTTCTCATGTGATGCTTGTGTGTTCGTTTGTTCGACTTGGTCTGTTTGTGCTCTAAACGTGTAGCCAGGCTTTTTGTCTGGATGTCCTAGAAGGGCCTGGACACAGTGATTTACTCACAATAGTGTCCTGCAGCATGTTGGATGGCCTTTTACTAAACTCTATTGTTGAGTACAGCTACGAGAATAGACTAAATACATCCTAGATACTCAAACTACCTATGGCCTTGGGACAACATCCTTGCCTAGCAGTAATGCTACAATTTGTCACGACCTACATATCGGATTTTGCCCCGTGAATGATGATTGCCCTACTCTTTGTCGAAACCTGGCCCGGTGGTTAATCATTCTACCCGCCATATCGCACAAGTCTATCCCTTCTCACACGTCATATTACCTTGACACAGTAGAACGCGTTCGCCATGCATGTCGTGTCTTTCCCTTGCCTAAGCGCGACATGATCTGCGTGAAGAGACCATTGTATATCAGCCACAGCGACACTACTCAAAGCCCTGGTTTACGGTCTCAACCCACCCGTGGCTTGCAGGCTGTAAGATCGAGTTGGGGATGACAAGTCTATAATTCTCGATTGTGTGTTGTTAGAAGGCGAAGTTGAGATTTGGTTGTACGGAAGTAGGGTAAGGATAGATTATGGAATGGTGTAAGGTCTCACCTATACTTTTCTAAATGATAGTACCCCTTCGTATGTGATATGAACCTCGTAGTCATTACATTCCTTGTGAACATACTCGAAACAACTCCAAGACCTACGTTCCATTCAAATCTCTCCTCATACACATCACTAATGTCCCCATGCTCCTCACGCAGTTCTTCTACACTGAGTGAGAGACCTCAAGTGTGGTAAAGCGTTGATATGTTCGGTTCAGTTCTCGTGTTCTGAGACTGTACACCGTAAGACCAGGCGCTCCAGCCCGCGTTTGCGTGCGACGTGGGTGCATGGCGCATGTGGTACAACGTACGGAGCCGAATGTTCAGGGTCTCTGCTGCCCTTGCCGAGATGTTGGGTGGTGCAATCAAAGGAGAAGAAGGAAAGTAGAGAAGCATGATGGTCTCTATGACTTCTCATATCGAACTGAAGAACAACGAGAGGAAGGGATGACCGTGACGCTTGATTACTTGGTCTCACTCACTCACTCACTCAAATAAGCTAATGATGGATTCAAACACCTCCTCCGGCTCCAGATCCTTCTCACTGACCCTGGAAGTCCCCATCCCAACAGTCTCCTCGCCTTCCACGAGCCAGGGAACAGGGAACGAGGAACGCGGCACCGGATCTAATATCTTACCATGTATACAGCGAATGCGAGACCTGTCGTACAACATGCACAGCATGCACAGCATGCACAGCATGCACAGCATGCACAGCATCAAAAGACCCAAAGTACTGCTCCCCACAAACTCGCCAGGCCATGCTGTCTCATCCATCTCGGGATCTGCAGGCAGATAAACGAACGTCTCACGACATTGACATACCCCATCTCACCCCGCATCAGGGCCAGCCCAACCAACCCTCGCATTCAACGTTGTGCGGGGACGAGACATGAGCCGCAGGGCTTGTTCAAGGGCACCCTGTTTTGCGAGTACCAAGGTAAGGGAAGACATGGGTAATAGCTATAAGGGGTTTATTGGAGTACGCTGGGTGTAGCGAGTCCGGTGGCACGACTCTATACAATGCTGTATTTAGCGGATGCGTGGCTATTGTGCTACATACGCAACCGCGACATGCATTGAGAAGTGTGAAGAGCTATGAAAACTAGCATGGTGTGAGAACAGATGTTTTGCTGACATGCATAAACATCGCGGCGGCTCTGTCTGAACGATATTTGGAACGAAGTGAGATTAGGCAGGAAGGTGACATATCGCTGTGGACAATGATGATCTGGTGATTAAAGCCAAACTTTGTCCTTGTGTTGTATTGCCGTAGCGTACCACCATATTCGACAACGCGAGAGGTCACATTGTGATGAACCTTATCGTCCCGGTAAATCGTGGAACGAGTATCCCGCCTTGCCGCGGCAGGGCACAGACGACAGACAGCGGAAGGCAATAGTGACACCGAGCTCGGTCCCAGAGTTTTCGCTGTTGTTAGAGGATCCTTGTTGGACTCAGGAGACCCCAGCCACAGCTTGAGGATCGACGTTGGAAACCCAATTTCTTCTCGTATCGCTGCAGGCTGCATGGTGTTGAGGATGCGTTCTGTCGCCGCATATGCTTACTGCAGATCCGCAAACTTCCGTATGCACAACCAACATGCTGCGCGCGAAACATGGAACGACGCAAAAAGGAAGTGCGAAGGATCTGTTCTGATGCAAAGGTGATGTCACGCTCAGCATGTGCGCACAAGATGGGTCTGTATATCAGCAAGGCATGGATTGCGATACAGAGAGGTTGGAAAGTGAGCCGAGTGCGATGCAGGCATGAAGTCCGCTATCCGGCGTCAAGTCGGATGTGGGGTCATCCCAAGGCGGAAGTCGCAACCCAGAGTGCCGTTTACCATGCTGGATGCCTTGCGACACAAAGGGCTGGCGACTCGAACGAGTCCCTCCAGAGCCAAGGAAATGACTCCTGGTGATGTTGGGGATTAAAGGCCCCGGAAAGTGACCTGTTGTTCGGATAGAGTTTGGTTGCTGCGATTCCCGAGCCAATGGCAATCTGTGGAAGGGCGTGCTTCCGATTCGGGGTATCCGGGCTGAGGGTTCTTGCGCAGGTCGTTAAGGTTCGAGACTAACCTCGAGAAGGATCTGCAGGGTCATCAGCGTTGCGAAAGCGTTTTATTAGTGCGTCGTTAGCGTAAGGTCTACCGATGTTTTCACAGCTGCGAAAAGGTTGACGAAAGGCCGTTGGACGACACGAGTTGACTAGGCGCCGCGGAGCAGAAGTTCGGTGGCGTGTTGATGAGGACGAGACACTGGAATAAGCTTTGGAGGAGGGGTTCCGCTAGCGCGGAGGGTAGGCCTCGATCTTGCTATGGCTGAACGAGCTGTCGTACCATGGTTGAGGAGCGGGCAATAGTGCGTTTGGCATGAACTATGAGCTGACAGCGGGGTACCAATCCACAGTTCGCGACCGTTTCTTGTCGTCACCATCGCTTGTGGAAGCCACGGATTCTCTCTGCCCGTGAGGGGTTGTAAGAGGCTGGAGATCGGCGGCACTTTCCGTGGTTCAGACATGTTGTTGGGTCAAGCAGACAAATGAGGGCAGAGTGTAAGAGGATCAGATGAGTTTGTAATAGTTCATTGTATTGTTTTTCTCTTGGAAGTCGGCAAACATCCGTAGATGGAGTGTTGCAATTAAGAGAAATCAAAGGTTCATGCACCTTGAGTAAGGGCGGGTATCCATATTGCCAGTTCCGGGCCCAAATCCCTATGATTGGATGACATCCTCCACAAACACTACCCAACAGTGAGGATGCTAGCGATAAGACCGCTATTGAAGGAAATAGGCTTTGCTCGGCCCAAAGAGCGAAGTAAATGCGGCCATAGTATGTACAGTTAAAAGAAAAGAAAAGTGTGCGTCGATGCGCACCACTCCAAAACGCCAAGTTCCGTTCGTAGCCATGACGGCATGCGTCTATTGTGCGGACGAACTTTTGGACTCCATGAAATCGTGGTCGTAGCTATTAGCGCCTCGCTCCAAAAATCCCGTGGCCTGATGTAGCAGGCTGAAGTAGTGATCAGAGATTTGATCGAATGAACAGTGAAAGAGAGATGAAGGATATGACTATGACTCAAACTTGCGCTTTTCGCCACTTGCAGCTATCGCGAGTGCATCCAGACCACCGTACTGAGTGGCGGCAGGGTTGTAGCTGTAGTTGGCGGGGTCGGGATACCGAGAGCTGGGAGAAAAGTCGATGAAGGCGTCAGCAGATTGCACGGCGGGAGCCATGGAGAATCCGGAGGGGCTGAGGGGGAGCGACGGGTCAACCATGGAAAGCGATGACAAAGAAGGCATCGTCGACTGGAGGGGTGCCGGCTTGGGTCGCTTAGCCTGGTGTTTGGCCTTCTTGACATCGCGGTCTCCGCCCTTGGCCGCATTGCGACCACTCTGGTGAGTGCGGCGGTGCTGCTCCATGTTGTCCTTGCGGGTGAAGGCCTTGTTGCACTCTGGGCAGAAGGCGTCCTTCTTGCCAGTGTGCTTCTTGGCGTGGCGGGCGGCGTGGCCCGAGGTGGTGAAGAAGTCGTTGCAGCCGAATTGCTTGGCCATTGGGCATGGGTAGCTGTTCTTCTTGGGGCGCGCATTCAGCGCTGTTGGCTCAGAGTGTTGCTCGGACAGTTGCTCGGGCCTGAAGTAGCCGGGCTGGGCGCCGTTGGTGTGGTAGGGAAGAGGACCTGATTGTTGATGCATGGAGAAGCCGAGATCCTTTTGGGGCACGAAAAAGCCATTCTGGGAGAAGACGGGCGAGTCCATGCCAGGCTCGTAGGAGAAATCAGGCGTGATGGGCGAGGGCGTCTGCATGTTGGAGTCGGAAGAGTCGCTGCGGACCAGGCGAGGTGGAGAGGCGAGGGGAGAGGAGGAGTAACTAGAAGTCCGGGATTGGAGGGAAGGAGTGATGGAGGGAAGGCGGACAAGTTGAGGTGGAGGCGCCGGGCCGTCGTTTAGCAATGACACTCTGCGACCTGTCGAGTTCTTGCCGGACAAGGCGTCCATTTTGAGCAAACACGTGCCAGTGGGGGAATGCGACCAGATTCGCAGTAAGAGCGATGGGCAAGCACGTGGAAGTGAAGGCCAGGTGGTTGAGGCGCTTTATACAGGGTGATGTGAAGGTGATGTGGAAGTGCAAGGCGATGTGACGTCGACACGACAGTGAGAGTGAATGGTTTTGGGTGAGGGAGAGGTGGTTGTGAGTGATTTTGGGAGAGAGCTTACTGGAGCACCACCAGAGATGCGGGACTGGGAGCAAGTTATATTGGGCAAGGCACAAGCAGGGCAGAAGCACAGGGTTCTCAGGTCCCAGGATCAGGGCACTATCAGGGACTGAGAATTGCATGCGTGGAGATGGGAAAGTGCAGTCCGCCCTAAGACGCTAGCGCCGAGTGCAGTGGCAGGGGCCCCGGCGATCAGCCTTCGCGAGGCGATGCGCAACTAGACGATTGAGCGACCAGGAAGCGGCATCAGCTCATAGCCACCGCGGAACTCTACACCGCGCGCGGTTGGGATTCGTCTTGGGAAGAAGCTTCTGCGGTCCTGCAATCGACATGGGTTCTTCCACAGCGACGATCAGCTGCAAGAAAAAGCAAGAGGCGCAAGATTGTCGAGGTAGTCAGCGCTGGCCAATGCTATTCCGGCGGCCAGGTGCCGTCTACTCAGGAGAGATCGAGATCTCGAGGGGCAGTTTCAAGGAACTCTGCGACCTTCGGGCGCCAATGGCAAGAAACAGGCCCTGTGCCAGCTCACACCCGCACCCTCCGTCGGCGCACTTCCGGTGCTTGTCGGCGGCAAAGAGTCAGTTGTTTTGTTTGATGTTGTTGTTGTCGTTGTCGTCAAGCATGGCATTCATCACATTGCGCTTGTCGCTTCACCCGCGACATTGCATCACACCAGGTCAGCCTGGCACGGCGAACGCCATGTCGTGCCAATGTTGTGTAGCTGCACGTCGGCCTGTCAGACCGACCTTCAACCACCCCAGGCCCAGGGTCTGTATCCTCAACTCAACCCTCTGGAGGCGCTTTCGGTACTCGAAAAACAACGCGCCGGCATAACGTCGCTCGGTCTGATGTAATACAGAATCAGGGTCTTCTCCGCTTGTGGATCCCTGTCGGCCGTTCCGATCCATCCGCATACATCCTAGCGCCCCACTGGACGTTGAACAGTGATCGTGACAGCCGGTGGGGATCGGTCAAAGTGCCTCTTCCAATGACGTCGGGCGGCCTTCATCATTCGTCTCCAGCCACAGCCCCTGGCGCTCTTTTTAGCGTCAAAAGACCCATAGACTCCTCTGGCCAGACTCCTGACTTGGACGCCGCCCTCGAAACGGCAGCCGCGCAGCACTGACCGAGCCCCTCCATCGAGTTTTTGCACCCCATCGACGTGATCTTCCCACCTTAGCCTGCTTCGTTTCTTTTCACTTTGCGTGGCCTTCACCTATCCGGTCCTTTTTTTTGCCTGGCTGATCGCGATCACTACCTTCCCCAGCAGCCTTTTCCCATCGCTATTTAATGCAGGGCCCGCCCAAATGCCCATTCCTGCCGCCGACTGACCCGGCGTCAATCTTTTCTTACCAACGCTGATGTCATTCAGCCCCATACCACACGCCTCGCATTCGGCATCGGTCGTTACTACCGCCCTTCCTAATCGGGAAGCTCACGATACACAACCCCAATGCTGCAACTGTTTTACCAAATTTTTTCAACGGCGGCATCGGTGCAAAGCCACATGTGCCATCCAAGTGAATGCATGCCTCCCCTGCTCGATACGATGCCTAATATTATGACTGCATCTAAATCGAAGCCTACCCTTTTCCTAGAGCATTCAGCAGTTCAGCAAGAGCGCCACGCAGCCACGTGGACCAGAGGCTCGGTGCTCTCTGATCGTCCCGCCCAGCATCTGAGAAATGAGATGCGATCCTGACCAATGCCAGCCTCGTCTTCAGCCATAGATCCTCCTGAAATGTCCCATGGTACTGCCTGCATACCTGGTCCATGCTACTGCTGCTTTTTCGTCGCCAATCTGGCACTTGAAGCGCTCCTGCCAGTGTTCACCCAAAGTCAAATTACTTCTTCCACGCATCGTCCGCTCGCACAATCTTACTCGTGTACTACTGCACAGAATACCTTCACGACCATTGGGTACAGACAGCCCACCCGCTTAAAGTCCCTGCAGAATGTGTTGATGGCGCTCTCACAAGCGCGAAAGCTCCCAACGGCTTGCGGCCTCAGCCCCTCACAGAATCAATACCTCGCACGTCAAACTGCCCTTGCATCCTAATATTTTCTTTTACATGCAACCCAAACATCAATATTGCACCGAATTATACACTACCACTGACAGTTACTGCGAACGATCTCCATCTCGATGCACTACCATCGTGAACCATTGTCGCGAAAGTAGCGCAATCCACCTTAAATCCGCCTAATCACCGTCTCTACGCACAGCTGAACACTCTATACCCAGCTACACATACCCCACTCGATTTTCATTACCATGCCGTCTGCCGTGTGTCGAATGAGATTCGCGGGACTCTTCTCCGTTGCAGCGTTTACACGGTTGACACTAATCAGACTTGCAGGCGTTCGACCATATTGTGACCAAGAACTCAAAGACGGCGCCTCAGCACTTCCGATTATCCTGCCTACGGCTATTCAAGCCTATCTAGCATATCCGTACTGATGCGCATCCAATCGTATCAATCACAGCTGCGAGATACTCAGCGCGGCATACACTTCCGCTTCCCTGGCGAACGCCTGCTGCCGTAATTGGAAACACCCTGGCTGCATGTATTGATGGAGACATGTTCCCACCCAGTCACGCCATGCCCAGCTTCCTTCAGCCGCTGCTTTCTTTTTCGTTCAGGTCCCTGACCTCAAGAATAGACCCCTTGATTGTTCTCCGTCTATTCCGATTCAAATGTAGTCGTCGCAATACCGTCCCCGCACTAATCATAGGATCTACACATAGCACGCACGACATGGAAATCATAAATCCTATGCTCGGCAGGATAGATCAGGCGGTCCACAAAATGGGCATACGTCACAGAATACCGTTAAGCGACGCGGTTTGAGATCACTTGTTCCGCGGCGCCAATGGTTCCGAAGATATTCGGCCATGTAAGAGCCGTGTTTTCGTAGGCTGATAGCCGATCTTAGTAAGCTATAGTCGCTCACACTTCCACGTTCGAACTACGGCAGGCGCAAACTTCAAACTTTAACCCACTGTAATCTGTACGCTTCCCATCAATATCTCCCGTGGTGCGAGCAAAACAAAAACCCGTTGATTGCAGGGTCCCCAAACAGAAGCCATTGACCCCTCCAGATGCGAGGAGCAGGCTCCAGAATGAGGGTCCATTACTCGATACCCCGCGTCAGCCTCTCTCATTGGCCAGACTGCCCCGGAGCTGCTGTCCGTGAGGCGACGACCGTTGCCGAGTAACCGTGGCGAACCTGGTGACAAAGGTGCGCTAGGTTGTTCCGCTTCCCCGCCTTCGCGACAACGGAGTTGATCCACGTGGGAACTGGATATTGTACGCTCTTGCTTTTGCTCCCGACCTCTTCGCAGCGCTGAGCGATCTTAGGATCTTACCCAATATTCCTTGGTTCGCCGTGTAATGATAATGCACCAGGTTCCCAACTCAACACGAGGCGGCTCTCCGCAGCCGTATTAATGCTTCATGAAGATCCCCAGTCCTTCCTGCGCGAGCCACCTCACTTCCCAACACAACTGGGTTGTGGTTCTGGGATATCAATTACACCATCTCTGGACCCCTTTTACCTTGTCATGATGCATGTCGGAAGAGATCTGCACCCGGTTTACAAGGGGTTGGAGTCGTTCAATGCCGCGCTCAGATGATCGAACAGACGCAGATCTGGACCATGCCTCATATTTCAGGCATACTCTGAGTGGTATATGCTACCTAAGGGCGCATCGCATTATCATTCTCGGTTAACCTCATCCGCCGTCACTGCATGATTCGATAAATCTATCGCATCTCCCCTGGTAGCGATCAAGCCGTCCGCTGTCAAGCCGTCATATGATGCGCTCATGATTCATTTGAGCCGGTGAACACGTAGCCTGCGACATGAAACGTGCATTACCAGCTCATCGACCGCAAAGTGCAAACCTTTACGCAGAGTAACTGAGGCGAATATCCACAACTGCTTCAAGATCGTAGAAGTCATGCAGCCAGATTTTCGCAGTCTCAGTGTGACCTCATTACACCGAGCGAGACCCACCCGCACTCACAGGCATAATGACCGGCATAAGCGAGCAACGAGGTTCTCTTGTGACTCCATTTACCGGTCATTTTCTCCGTATCACGTCACATCACATCACATCGCGCCGCTAACCCAGTACCCTTGTCCTATTCGCTTCTGTAATGTCTCGGTGTTTTGACACACGATACTCCACTACCAGAAGATGCGGAAGCATGACGCGAAAGCGACAAACTTACGCGTTCGTTCGCTTGATTGCCGAACTGAGTTCTCGGGTACCCCGAAGGCCCACTTCCAACGTTTGACGTTTCCTCCCCTGCAACAAGGGGGCAAGTTTATATCCCATGATTTCCGACTTTTGAACGTTGAAGGCATGGATTCTGACTCGACATGCTTATTGCCGTTTGTTGTTGTTGTTGTTCGCAGTCTGTTGCCGTACCCGTAAACCCACATGCTGTTCAACGGTTTTGTCAATCTATTACCATGTCTGTCCTGGTAATATCCCTCCCGCTGAAGTAGTGGTGCCGGTTCAAATTCCCGATGGTTATGCATATCGCTGAACAGTGCACAAATCCTCATCTCACTTTACCACCTTAATTCCCCATGTTCAAGACATCGACAGTGAACTGTGGGTATATGCATACGGTAATCAGTTTAACGCTTTGGAGCAGTGTTTGCCGAACGGTCATCTTTGCTAGTGTACGTGTAAGATTGACACAAGGCAGAACATGGAAGCCTGCGTCAGATTTCTTGGGTCTTAACCTGGATTTTATTCCCCTTTTGAGCTGATTCGTTGGTTTCCATCTTCTCATGGTGGCTTGGAGGGTTCCTTCGATTATGCAATAACGTGCTTCTCTATACACGACATGTAGAATTTAGGGTTTGAAGGCAGATTAGGCGGATATGCAGGTGTCTCTTTTTGGAAACGAAATTTGCCCTGGGACTAGATCGATACGCGACTCCCCTTCTCTACACACAACACTAGGATATGGGCGAGGATGTGCTGTGCGGTGCTCACACTAGCGACGTCTGACCTATGCGACCAGCATGGGCTGTCGCTTAACTCGTGTCAACGGGTGGCCTAGACTGTAGCCTGTAGGGTTGAAGCGAGGGGGAACGCGAGCCGTCTATGAGATACTAGGCCTTCTCAACTAGCATGGTAGTAGTAGACGGATTCGAAAGCCGATGAGGCGTTTACTGAACAGCAAGGTAAGGGCGAAGCGAAACGAGCCTGCAATGATTCAAACGGGATGGATTGTTGAGTATCCCAGACGGCTGACGGGCAGTGAAAATAGTTTGTTGCAAGGGGAGAAAATTGTTGGGGGTCTTCACGATGCCCCAGATTTTCTGTTGACTTTGCTCTCTTCTCTAACTTTTATCTCTAGGTGCAGAGTAGACATCGTTAGAGTAGAGTGAGGGGAAATCCATGTACCTCGTTACCATGTTCTTCTTTGGGGGCATATAGACACTTACATGCAATGTGAGGAAAGTGGTCTGGAGATAGAAGGTTATAACAATATGTGATATATTCGGGCAGACAAGTGTATATCATCTATTTATGAGCCTGTACCGGATATGATGGTACATTATCACTGTAGTTGTTAATACAATATACGTCTGGATATGCTGGGAAGTGGAAATGAGCCTGCTCTTCCTGACCAACATACGCATCAGCTATCCTCATGTAAACACTCCATATTGCCAATGTAAAAATTCATAAACCATCAGTTCAATCTTTCATCTTTTATTTCATGGTATGATGACAACGGCAGCTTTCTAGCTCTATACTCTGATCTCAAGGTATTGTATTTGATAGTTTTCCTGACGAGATAACTAGATGACTCTAGGTTATTATAACGCAAATCTGACATGATTCCACACGTATCCGTTATTCAGCTGCGATAGGTTGCATAACTTCTGCTCCCTTCTTCTTCCACGCCGGTGTATGTTAATCTCTAGACGACCTGTTGTTCATCGAGCGTGTATCGGAGTTAAGTAAGTAGTCGTAAGAGGGCAGATGTGGAGTTGAATGTCGAACCCCATGCATTCACAAAAAGCTAAACAGCAGCAATGAACGAAATCGGTGTGGTTTATCGAAATTGTCCATTACAAGGTTATGGGATATCTACAATAAAACTCAAGCCATGGACATGCGAATAACGCCACTCGACGAACCCTACCAAGATGACCGTACAAGACTCACTCCTCACACCTACTTTTTCCTGCAACTAAAGAAGACCCAGCTACTCGCTATCGTCATCGCCGATAAGCTTCGCGTAGTCATCCATAGATGCGAAAGTGGGCAGGTTCTTGAGCTTCCTCTTCTTGGTCTTGCGGCCCTCCTTGTCTTCACCGCCATCGCCTTCTAGGTTCAATTCCACTGGAACATCGGCATCGCTGTCCATGAAGGCATCCTCGTCGTCCAGGTCGAAGTTCTCAAAGTCGTCGTCGTCGTCTGCCTCATGCTGGCCACCAGTAGCCTCTTCCTCATCCTCATCAATATCAACATCCTCGTCATCATCGCTGCCAAGGTTAAGTTCGACACCACCATCCATGCCTCCAGCCTCATCATCGCTCATCATGTCGTCCATGTCGAAGTCGCTGAGGTCATCGTCATCACCTCCGTCACCTTCAACATCCGGACGACTCTTGACGAGCGCCTGCCAGATTTCATCCTCATCACCACTCTCGTCCTCGCTGTCATCCTTCCTGCGGTCCTTCTTCTTCGTCTTCTTGTCAACTTGCTTGGCTTTGCCGGCTTTCTCAAAGTATGTGTGGAAGAAGACTTCATCGACACGGACATCGTCGACCTTGCGTCGCCAGAACTGCTCGGAATTGAGCGGGTCGTGCGTGCGGTCGCCGTCGCGGGCGGTGATGAGATAAGATGCGGCCTTGGAAGTTCCAGACATAGGCTGCATGATCGAGGAACCGTGAACACCTTGAGCCTTTGTCTTTGCGTTGCGGAAAGAGAACTTGTCGAGGAAGTTCATGAGAGTGTAGATAGTCGGGTCAGGCTTCTCCTTGATGGGTTCCTGGTTGACAATCTTGGAGGCCAGGACGTGGACAGAAGGGTGGTAATGTGCCTGAAGCGGTAGTAGCTCCCATAGACAAGACAGATCAGCATGCGCGTGTTCTGGGTCCCGTTTTCGGGAGTCATAGGTCGCCTGTGCAGACTTTTCTTCCTCCTTCTTAGTCGTTGGCTCCTTGTCCTCATCAACATCCTCGTAGTGCTCGTCGCCGCTGTCATCGGCATGGTCTTCTGGCGTCGACAACATGGACTTGATGGTCGGGAAGGTAACTATCAGCTCATTGACGAGGTACAAGACACCGCAGATGAAAGGTGGCTCGTGCATGTGGATGATCTGGAGTAAGCGCTTGACGAAAGCCTTGACACGCTTGATGCTAGTATCAGCCTTGAGAGAGCGATACAGCAAGTTCAAGAACATGATGTGCTTTGAAGTTGTCATAAGTCGTGGATCCAAAAGAGATTCGTACAGAGTACGGTAGAAGCGATCCGCAGAGTAATGCTTCGTCGCGGAGATCTGCTGAATGAGTGTCATGGCCTGAATGCTGGTATTGAAGTTGGAAGAATGCGTCACTTCGAAGATCATGTTCAGCTGTTCTTCGAACTTTGCGTCGTCGGTTTTGGCGAATGGGAAGGCACGATTGACACCCGTCAAGACGGCGGATATCAGCTTCTCTCGTGACTCGTCCTCAACCTTGAAGGCCATGGTAGCCGCCTTTTCAGCCTTTTGCTTGGCCATCTTTCCAGGCTGACCTCCGCCTCCTTGGACATGTCCATATTTGTTTATCCTCTTCTCTTCTTTCTCATGCTCTCTCTGCTTCTTCAGCAAACCAAGGAAGACGCTGAAGTAGATTTCCAGAAGCTTGTTGGCAACTTCGGGCTCCTTCACGCTAAGAACGGTTTGGTTGAGAGTAATGATGGCGTAGTACTTGGCGATGCCGCTCTGGTTCGGTCGGAAAATGAGGTCGGATTCGATGGAGCTGATGATGACGTTCTTCATGAGCGGGTGCGTAATCTGGAGTTGGAGCAGCAGGTAAGATGCCCTCGATGCAACCTTCTTTTCCTTGTCTCCAAGCTTGTTGATGAGCAGACGCAAAAGGTTCTCTTCCTGTTCCGGCTTCTCCTTCAATAGCTCCCAGACATATGTGACAGCACGGTTGCGCGAGTATTCGACTTCGTCGTTGGACCAGGTTTCTAGGATCTTCAGCAGCTCAAAGTATTGTTTCTTTAGCCAATCCTCGTATGCCCACACGATCAAGTGAGTCTTCTGAAGAGCACCTGGTAGCTTATCGCCTGATTTCCACTGCACATTCTTTCCTTGCAGTGCAGCGGTTAAGCCTGGCTGTCGCGCAAAAGCCTTGAGTTTTCGGTCCGGGGGCAGCAGAACACCCTGACCTAGCAGATCCTTCAGCGCAGCCAAAGCCTGCATGGCAGCGTTCCTGCTCTTCTTCTGCGATAGACCCATGAGTTGTCCAAAAGCCTTCTGCGTGTGCAGCGGCGACTCTTGAACCAACAAGGTCAGTGCGGATACCTTATCCTCCATCGTACCAGAGTCCATGACGGTCGCCATGAACTTGTGCGACGAGTCCTTGGCCAAGTGCGACGATGCATACTCTTTAGCCTCTGTGTCGAGAAGCTGGATAGCATATTCGTGGAGGGCGTCGATGATGTAACGGGGCGGGATCGTAGGATTATCGACGCTTGGAAGCTCTGGCAACTCTATCGCATGCCATTCTGGCTGCGGCTTAAGCAACTACAGCAAATTAGCATTGTGATGGATTAAATCTTTTCCTGAGGATAATGCGCACCAGCTGCGACCGCGACTTCTTGTCGTCGCCATCCTTGCGCTTGTCCTTCTTGTCGTTTCGCGCGCCGTCCTTCTTGTCGTTTTTCACGCTCATCCGACTCTTATCCGGAGAAGGCTTCGTAAAGCCATCCTTGGTCTCGGCATGGGTTCGCTTCTTCCCCATTTGATTTGGTTGGTGTCGCGAAAGGTGGAGCTACAAGGTCCGTCAGAGAAGAAACTCTGACCCGTCATGACCTTGGAAAGATTCCACGCCTGCCAGAGCACCGAGTCGAGATTTTGAAGGCCTTGGCATCGGCGTTTTGTGTGGCTAACGGCTTCTAGACTAGCGTAGTGGAGCCTTCATCATGGTGCATATTACGACCCAGGTGCGGACTTCGAAAACACCTCCGTGCGGCAATACTGTGACTCAACTGGTCACTTTGTTTCAGGGTCTTCTGAAGAACACATCTATTCGGACCTAAACTTCGAAATACCAAGAACATCAATTGGTATACATCGTCACTACCAACACATCCCCCACCAACTACCCCGCCGGCTTACATAGGCTGGTGTGAAGTAAGAGCGCAAGGGTAACAACTACCAACTTACATCATGGCTACCGAAGCTGGCGACGAGGATAAGAAAATATCCATTACACCCCTTCTCAAACGACTCTGGCATGAGTCACCGACGACCAAACCAACAGCAGACGAGATCGCAGCAGCCCTTTCCCTGATCTTCACAAACAGTCTATCCGAAGTGCAAACAGGAGCCTTGTTGACATGTCTCCACTTTACAGACCAAGACAGACAAGCAGAAGTATTGGCGAAATGCTCCAAAGCAATGCGCGACTATGCAACTGGCATTGATGTTAAAGGTCTCCAAGAACTCATCAACCAACGGGGAAGGAAAGAGGGTAGCTACCAGGGAGGCTTGTGCGACATAGTTGGTACAGGAGGTGATTCTCACAACACCTTCAACATCAGCACTACTTCCTCCATCCTCGCTAGTGCTCTCCTTATGATTGCAAAGCACGGAAACAAAGCGTCAACATCACGTTCTGGTTCAGCAGACCTCCTGTCCTGCGCACCTCCTAAACCACCTGTCATCACCGCTATCGCACCCAAGACCATCTACGAAATTTACTCAAAGACAAACTATGCTTTCCTGTTTGCCCCTATCTTCCACCCCGGAGCCAGGCACGCTGCCTCTATTCGGAGGCAGTTGGGATGGCGCACCATCTTCAACCTTCTTGGACCCCTGGCAAACCCGCTGCATGACTTGATCGAAGCGCGCGTATTAGGTGTGGCGAGGAAGGAGATTGGACCTGATTTTGCCGAGTCGTTGAGGCAGTCGGGCTGCAAGAAGGGCATGATCATCTGCGGTGACGAGGAACTGGACGAGCTTTCGTGCGCTGGGCCAACCCATTGCTGGCGAATAGTCGAAGATGCTTCCACTGGCGAGGCTAACATCAACTACTTCACTGTTACACCAGCGGACTTCGGACTACCCGAGCACCCACTGAGCGAAGTCAGTCCTGGACAATCACCCGAGCAGAATGCCCAGATCTTGATGAAGATTTTGATGGGCGAGGTGCCGCCAGATGACCCCATTCTGCATTTCGTGTACATCAACACTGCGGCGCTGTTCGTCGTCAGTGGTATCTGTGATGCGGACACGAGCAACATGGGCGAAGGTGACGATGGAAATGTCATCAAGGAGGTTGGCCCAGGAGGCGGACGCTGGAAAGAAGGTGTCAGGAGAGCCAAGTGGGCGATCTCGAGTGGAGCCGCATACAGCGAGTGGCAAAAGTTCGTCGAAGTCACGAACAGTGTCGCATGAGTTATGTTTACGAAGCATTCTCATTGACTATATTGTATTCACAGGTTCTACCATGAAATTATTCCATGATTCCGGTCAAATGCGAATATTATGTCTACAATGATCAGTTGAAGTTTCCAATCCATGGGACTCTTTCACTCGTTTCGCCCGTGACTCGGGAGTGCTCAAAGAGCTGTGCTTGTATATTAGTTACATAACGCCCGTGCTCAGCTTCTTCCTCCTCCCATGCAAACCATACGGTCTCGAGGTTCTTCGTGATCACCGTAACCGACCGAATTGTCTGCACTAGCACCATGATTTCCTCAGTAGAAACTTGATGCCATGACTGTAATCGTATGTGGTACGCTAGGAGATGCAGAGTGGCGCATTTTGTTGTGACGAATTGAAGAGACTGCCAATCATTCTCTAGCAATCACTCGCTATCACAGTCCAGGCTATCACAACCCTGGACTGTGACTGACGTCACATGTGGCAATGCCGAAGGGACAGCAAAGCATCAATTCAATAACCCAAGAACTACGTGTAATCGACGGATCGTTCAGGCATATGAGAGAGAAAGGTGAGAATGAGGCTGTTCCGGATGCCATAAAGCGCCTGAGAGAAAGAAATGAAAAGAAGGTTGTTCGGGATACGATCAAGAACAGACACAGACATCATCTGATACTGAAAGATTCGGGGCCGCCACTGCGGCGATGTAAGAAGTAGGTCTTGTGGTATCAGCAATTGGAGTGCACCTCGGATTATTACCCTACAGGGCTTTCCGACCGCTCGAGGCGCAATTGGACATCGCCATTCCTGCATACACTTGGAGCAGCTGCCCTGCTCTCACGTCCAAACTCACCATTCTACCATGCGAGCTACGTGATATCATCTATGAGTATCCTTTCGACTGAAAGATGCTTCCATAGACGCATAACCTCTTGCGCGGTGACCTGAACGGGCTGCGTCATGACTGGGATCCCATCAAAGAAAAGCCTCACTTTTTGAGGCACGTTCAGTTTACCGACCCTCAATTCGTGTACGAAGCTTATTAGCATGAACATTGGGTGTGTAACAAGGTTCGCGAACGAGAACGTAATCAGAAACGAGAGCGTATCCGCGGAAAAATCTGTACTCGACATGAAGAGTGTTTCCACCAAATTGTCTCCGGACTTTGCGCATGCCGTGATGATCACTGGCTGCTATATTAGTGCGTTGCGGTCTGATATTGGACTCCATACCCTGGCATGCCTGGATAGAACGGGTCTATCAGGGTCGTAAAACTTATTGATGATGGGAGCGAGACGATATTGGCGGGGTATATCAGATAGCTAGAGGTGTTGATCGAGTTTCTTGCTTTTAGCCATCTAGTAGATAATCATGCTTGAACATGAGAGCGCCGCTGGTATAAGTGCTTATGGTGGAATCCTACGTTTTATCATGATCTCGGTTGGCTGGCTTTGCCCGTCGAACCATGGTACGGCATGGGCGTGTCAGTTGAGCCGAATGAACAAAGTTTTCAACTGAACAAGTTCCACTGCCACTTCACAACATCAACCACTACCACACCACTCGAGGTGCAGATGAAGTGCCTAATCCCATACAACACAGAGCTAAACGAAGCAATAAGCTTCACCGCTGCCGTTATCAAACAATGGAAGCGCCTCCTGACCATGCGCAAATCTTCTAAACGCGCGTTCTGCCAAAGAAAGAGAAAGTAAAAAAAGCGACGAAGGACGTTCGTCGGTTGAATAGAACTAGAGACACGGAACGTATGTTCGTAAGAGGAGAGGGATCTACCGATCGATGCTTCAATGTTGAAGCAGCAACTATGTAGGTGCAACAAGTAAACTTAAGAGAATAGTTTCAAACAATATACGGGAGCTGCTATTCACGGTCGCAGGGCCTTTTGAAAAAAGATGGATACTTGAAGATTCAGGCCATTACGCTATCCAGGAAGATCGTACCGGGAACTTTTGATCGGGTATGGTAACCAAGTCGTACTTCGAAAGGTTATTGAAGAGTTAAGAAGCCGGAATCTCGCAGTGCCCCGAGTCCGTTGGAAGCCATTGATAGAAAGTCCATGTCGGTTTTCCGCAGGGCTAATGTCCGGTTAGATAAATCTGCGTGTCATCTAGTGCATATTCGATTGCTTTCGCGTATTTGTTCTGGTATCAAAGGAGTATGTGTAAACTTCCAATTATTGTGTCACAAGAGGCGACCTAGCATGTCGGATTGAGCTAACTCTTACGCTGCAAAACCATCGTTGCCTCCTCGCCTCTTAGTGTCGCTTTTCATATGTTAGATGTTAGACATGTGGTAAGCCAGACCCACCTGCAAAGCCCCTTCTAACGTTATCGCACTGGCGCCACCGTGCCCACATATGATACATCGCTGATCGTGTGAGGGGCTGAAAATAGGCGATGCAGTTGGGACTGCGCCCTGTAGGGCGTTGCATCTTGGTGACACTGTCGTGACTGTGTTGACAGCTTGGTGATGTTGAGAAGCGGCGGCTCGCCGTCTTGCCTGTCACGCCCTTGGCAAGCTGCATGCAGCAAGCGCACCATTTGTTGACCCCTTGCGAAACCTTGGAACTGCGAAGTTGCACGTGCATGTCAATTGAACCTGCATCAGAAATATTAACATCACTCAACGGACGTCCCGAAATATCGATCGCAGCATCCCGCTCGCATCACATCACCATTTCGCTTCCCACCAGCCTCAGGCCAGACCGACTCGGGGGCTGTTTCCCGTTCCAGACCCCCTTCTCAGCCCGCACTTTACGAAGACGCACGGCTGCCGAGGTGACAACCCAAGGAATCTTCTCGACACGAGGTCACGCCGACAAGACAACTAATTTTAGTAGGCTAACTTCATTGGACGCGTAATTAGTCTTGCCATCAACAACGCGAAGATTCTGCACCTGCGGCATGCTAAACTGTAGTGTGTATCTGGGGAATAGCGTTTTGCGGCTCAGTATCGATTATGCGTCAGCATAGCCCAAGGCTGGCGCGCATGTGGTTGGGGAAATGGTTGGGAAAGCAATAGGTGGGTGGTGGGTGGCCGTTTGACGTTTGACCGGTGCATGAAGCCGCATGGGCGCAAAAACAAGAGAAAGTGGAGGATGCGCCAGAGTAAACGGGCGATTGGATGGGGAAATGACGACAAAATGTGCACTGTTCCTATAGGAACATGGTTTGTTTGGTGGCACCACACGGGTTGCAGGATGCGAATTGGTTTCGAAACCCGGGGCAGTAAGCATCGCTGGAAAGACGTACAGCAGGAAGCGCCTGAGGCTCATCCGACTCGGCGTAACAATTTACCAGATTCCATCTCAACTCTCGCAGCAACAACGTCCATCCGGGCTACCCATGTGCAGGTCGATAATATGGATCGCCATCTGGACGCCTGGAAGGAGAACTCTGTTCAATAGAAGAAATCTCCGCCTCAATCACGAACACGAAACATCCTCGCCACGAAGAATGCTATAATTGGTTGTGGATGCCGCTAAGCACCTGGCAGGACGATAGTTCGCCTGTTCAGGGATAGTATGGGGCTCGCGTTGGGGCTGGTTGCCGGGTCAAAGTGGCGCTCCAGGGCTAGGGTTAGCCCCATGCTTGTTCTTGGGTGCGGGTGGAATGGAGCAGAGGCAATAAAAGGAGGACGCGTCTCTCGAGAAGATTGAAATTTGCTACTCATCTCGCATCACTCAATCACTACTTGACATACTTCTCGTCAAAGACTATCGTTGAAAGAAATCAATCGTTCAAAACAAACACAACACAACCGTCAATATGCGCGCCTCCATCTTTGTCTCCGCTATTGCTTTCGCCGTTGCATCGGCTCAGGTATGTTTTCATCCATCAATTCATGGTGTATATCGAATAGACCACTAACATTCATCCAGGACTCGTCCTCCACTCCTTCATCCTCCATCGACCCTGCTCCCCAGACCACCTACCTCACGCAGACCAACTCTCTCGGTGTCGTAACTGGCATGCCTGCGGCTGATACCTCCATTGCTACTCAGCCCGACGCCGTCACTAGCCAGCCCGCTGCCGTCACCACTCAGCCAGTACCCGCTGACATCCCCGCTGTTGGCCCTGGTGTCCACACTCTTACTCTTGCTGGCACCGGCACCGGCTCCATGGTCAACTCCACCCGCACTGTCACCGTCAGCGCCAACAGCAGCACCACCGTCGCCCTTGTTGCCTCACCCACCAGCTCTGATGCTGCTGCCAGTGGCTCCGGCGCATCTGGCAGCGGTGCTGACGCCTCAGGCTCTGGCGCCTCTGCTACTGGCTCTGGTGCTGGTGCTGACGCCACTGGTGCCGCCGTCAACGTCAAGGCTGCCGCTGGTAGCCTTGTTGGCTTTGGTGCCTTCATGGCCGCGCTCTTGTAAACGTACCCATCGTATTTTTTGTTCACTTTAGCTTCGACGTTTTATTTTTATGAGGATAGCGGTCCTCAAGATACCTTGGGTCTTGCATTAGCATTGCGTTACACATTTGCATCGCAATACTACGGCGTCGGCACTGGCATGTGTCTGTGACGGGAATAATGTCTGTTTAGTGTAGTCATGGCTTGGATGAAAACATCAGCCATGTTGGTATCCTTATTTTGTACTTCATGTGTAAGAAAATATATCAATCATGAACTCAACATCATCTCTCAACACTGTTTTTGTCATGTCCTTTTAGCAGTTACTGACTAACTCAATCAATTCTACTTATGGTATACTTCGATGCCGAAGAATCATACCCAGGTACAGATCGCTTGTTCGGCTAGGTTCCGTTCCGTTCCGTCACCATTCCGACGAACGTCGTCTGCATTCATACTGAGCAAGGAAATATCATGCCGTCTTGAGCATGTTTCTTGGGAATACAGATATATAAAATGTTTGTTGTCGACCTTGACCATGACCGACATCCATGCCGACCTCGGCAAACCTTGTTGTTCAACATCTGCGAACACCCCGCCAAACCTTAACTCCACCCAATCTGATTGAAACATGACAGCCACCACTTTCCCCAGACACATCCCTTCCATCCCTTACAGCGATCCCCCAAGTCGCCTCCAAACGCTCGATATCTGGCTTCCCCGGCCTCTCGAGGAGACAACGTCTCAAAATGCCAACGCGATATGGCTAGTCTACATCCACGGCGGCGCATGGCGCGACCCAGAAATCGAGGCGATAAGTTTTGAACACACCATCAAACACCTCGTCGCCTCGCATGCCTCAACCCTGGCCAACATTGCTGGTATTGCGAGTCTAAACTACAGGCTCTCGCCTTACCCGGACCACAAAACGCAACCAAGCACGCCCAGCGACCCAGCGCGCTCCGCTAGACACCCCCAACATATCCGCGACGTCGGCCACGCAGTACAATACCTACAGCGCGAATACTCTGTAAAAAGATGGATTGGAATAGGCCATTCCTGCGGCGCTACCATGCTTTGCCAACTCATCAATGGTATTGGTCTGACGCCTGAACTTATTCCAGCGCCGGGACCAGAAGCCTTGATCTTGATCTCAGGCTTATACAACCTCCCGCTGCTCATCCGTAACCATCTTCCGCCTACGACTCCAGCGCCTATTGCGAAAATCTACAGGGACTTTATGGAGCTGGCTTTTGGCGAGGACGAAGCAGAGTGGCAGAAGGCGTCACCGGTTACGTTCAAGTATAATGCGCAACAGTGGCCTGAAGGGAAGCTATTGATACTATGTCATAGCTATGAAGATGAGCTGGTAGAGAGGGCGCAGAGGGATGTTATGTGTGTTGCGCTGGATAGGGAGGGGTGGAATACAGTAATGGAGGTTGGAGATGAGGAGGACCAAGTAAAGGCTGAAGGGAGGAGAGTAGTCAATGTGCGGGATCTAAAGGGTGGCCACGATTGGATTTGGAAGGATGGAAAGCAGATCGCGATGTTGGCCGCTGAAGCTGTAGAACGATTAGTGTAGATGACAAATCGAAGGTGAAGTGTAGTTGTGTTCGCTATTCCCTATAGACAAGCGAGAAGTGGAGTTCCGAAGTGGAAGAGAAAAGACTCCGCGAATGATGCTTGCTTTTGGGTCATGCCCATATCCAATAACCATAACCCCGATGCAATCGCTTGCTGGTTCGTTGCTAGTTATACAGCGTGGTATATTATACAGTCGTATCCCATTCCTTTCTCGTCATCCCTGATCCATGGGTGCTGACTACCTCTTGTTCAGCCTCTCGTCCATGACCCTGTTGATCTCGTTGTGCATCTGGCTAGATCCACTCTCCGCATCATTCAACTTGCTCTGGAGCTCTTGGATCTTCTTGCTGCTTCCACCTTCCACCATCTTCGACGCTTGCGCCTTTGCTTGAGAAGCATTTACATTGCCGTATACAGCCATGGCGCTTGCGATCATGCCGCTCATATCGCCAACATTGCCTGGGACGACAATGCTTGTGCCCTCCTTGGCCAGGTTGCCAAATGCGTCCACGTACTTCTCGGCAACGGAAAGCGAGATGGCGTTCTGCGCTGCGCCCCCGCCCTGAGAGATGGATCGCGCAACTGCATCAATTCCGTTGGCAGTGGCAGTAGCCTTCAGCAAGATGGCTTCGGCCTCTCCGTTCGCCAAGTTGATCTGCTCCGCCCTCAAGGCCTCGGAAGCCAAAATGACTGATTGCTTCTTTCCCTCGGCGATGTTGATAGCAGATTGCCTCTGACCTTCTGACTCCAGAATCTCAGCTCGCTTTGAACGTTCGGCGGTGACTTGACGGTGCATCGCTTCGACGACGGGTTCGGGTGCATGGATGTCGCGGATCTCGTATCGCAGGCAAGTGACGCCCCAGTCTTGTGCTGCCTCGTTGATCGCGGCCGTTATATTGGCGTTCAAGTTGGCGCGCTCTTTGAGGACGTGGTCGAGGGAGAGCTGACCGATTTCGGAGCGCATCGTGGTTTGCGCCAGTTGAGAGATGGCGTATTCTGCGTCTTCTACACCATAACTACAGGTTGTCAGCACCATGCTTGGCTTTTGGATTCTGATATGCTCACCTGGCCTTGTATGCGTCAAACACTCTGGTGTAAAGTACACCATCTAGCTCTAGTGTGACGTTGTCCGCTGTGATGGCACTTTGGCTGGGGATTTCGATGGCATTCTCCTTCAGACTCCGCACGTAGGCTATCCTGTCAATAAAGGGTATCAAGATGGCAAGACCGGGCTCCAGTATGCGGTTGAACTTTCCCATGCGCTCTACAATCCATGCTGTTTGCTGTGGCACGAACCGGATAACGGTATTTGTAGGCAGACGCTTGCCTGACGAAAAATATGAGGGGAGCCCAGGCTTGGAGTTGCCGAGGGAGGAGAAGACATTCGTCGGATCTGTGGCGGCATGCGAGTTGAGCTGCGAGAAGCTGCGGACCGAAGATGTTGTCAAAGCAGCAGCGAGTGGTGATGTTCTTGAGATTGCGAGCGATCTTGAGCTTCGCAGTAGTCCGGAAGCCGTGTTGGCTGCCAGCCGTGTGCGCGACGCCATTATCATGAGTTTTGGTGCAAGCGATGATGATGTCGGACACGCGAAGCTCCAAGCCGCCGTCGGCGAATGTCTGTAGCCACCACCGACCGCCACATTATGTAATCTATCTATAACTTCCCTATAGACATCTTCCTTCCTACATCTCTCCTTGGACCTTCTATGCCAAGAAAAAATATTAGGTGCATATAGCGGACATGGGCGTTCGATATGCTTCTAACATGTGTCTCCGCTTGCATCGAGGCGTACACTTATACAAACTTTGACAACCGATGCTATTGAGGTCGCATGCGCGCGTCAAATATCTATATCAGGATCCGATGATTCTCTCCCAGGACGAGCATCTCACATGGGTTGTTGCATGCACTTCTCAACCATGCGTCAGCTCGAGTAGAGGAATGGTAATCTCCGAGTAAGGCGTCATGGATCAGTTCTCTTGTCTCGTCACCACTGCGATAAGTGTTTGGGCAACTTCAACTGGAAGCCGAGAAGCACAATCACCTAGTAACTCTTCCCTAAGAATCTTTCATCTTCTTTGTCTTTCAGATAGAGATAAATCAGGTCCATGCCTTCATGGCGCTTCCTTCGTCTCCTGCTCTCACCTTCAACCCTGCTTCCGCATTAGTCACTCCTCCACCGCAAATTGAAACAACTAAGCTGTCAACTCAAGACACCCGCAATCTAAGAGACACATAATGCCTCTGCAACGGTAGCAGAGAGTCGCAAGCCCATCGCACCTGAAATCGAGATGTAAGTAACACCAAAACTATACCTGAGTATACAGGGCAGTCCTGACTTTGCGACTCCAGTGGGCACAAGAACACACGAGACTCCCATCTCCTATACCTACTTGCAGAGATACGGAACCGAATATGGAGCTTTGCGCTCGGCGAATTACCTATTAAGGTCTCTAGATACCACTGGAATGTAAAAACCGATGTAGAGCGCGTGCACTGGAACCTATTCCGTGTCTGTCGCCAGATATACGTCGAGACAGCCATGATTCCATACACCCCCCACTACCGTCTGGTTTGCTATCCTCGCCGATGTCTCACGCTTTTCGAAGTCGCCGATGCTCCGAAACGTACAGACGATTCAATTTGGGGTTTGGCCCGAGGGTGTGAACGACACTTTGCAATCTGACTATTTCAGTATCCTTAGTTCCGACAACTTGATGTCCCTCCAGAAGGTCAAAGTCACGGTGTGTGTCTATTCGTGAACTGACCGGGAAGCCGAGGAACCGGGGGTGCACGAGCTGCTAGAGACGCACATTCCTGGCAAAGAAATTGAGATCTGTTGGGAAGGTCAAGGCAAACATTCCAAGCGCTGGTGTTAGTTGTGGTTGTCTGTGGGGATGAAACATTCGACTGGGAAAGAAAGTGCATGAATAGTTCGGCAAGCGTCGGTCGAGAAGCGGCACTAATACATGCATTCAATTTCCATAGAGTTCTGCGGATAACCACGGATGAATTTGGATCACCAATCGTAGCATGGAAAGAACGCTGGACAGTCATGGTTGTTCAATAGTAAATGTCCTATAGTCAACGCGTCTTCTGAGCGATAGCTATGGAGGACGTGTTAGAGATATCAGCGAATTTGACTGTGTGTCAAGCGAACCAAATCTGGGCAAAGGTACCAAATTCCTACACGATTGCATGACGAGATGGTGATATCACGAGAAGATAACATGTTAGAAAATGCTCCCGTCCAATTTAATGTGTTGCATATACAATACAACTATACAGAAGGCTTCCATCCACCCTCTGCTTCAAAGATCTCACCAACCTTGCTGCTTACTGCGAGCAGACGTCTGTCATGGTAGCGAGGCGCGACAAGGGATACTCCAATTGGCATTCCGTTTTCGCCTCTGAATCCCGGAACGTTTACTACTGGTGTATGCAGTGCCTACATGCGTATTAGTCAAGTCTGGTCCAGCTACATTTGCGAGCATAACCTACTGTCCAGATCAAACAGAAAGCCGCACTGCCCGTCTTCTCGATTCCAAGCGGCGCCTCGTCTGGCACACTCGGTGTAAGTACTGCATCGTACCTGCCAAGCACATCGTCTACAAACGGCCTTGCTGCAGCAATCTCATCAAAGGCTTCAATTTGCGCTTTGCGTGAGATCTTTCCGCTATTTTCAACATGACCTACGAGCTGTTCTGATATCTCGTCCTTGGCCACCGTGTACTCCGGCAGAAATGCAGTCCGACCGTCAGAGTTGAGTACTGTTGCATGCCAGTTAGGTAGCTCGTTCAGATACGCAGGGAAATTAATCTCCTCAACCTCAGCTCCATGCGCACGGAGTAGCGAGACGGCTTTGTCAAGTGCAGCAGAGGTACCAGGGCCTACGTTCGGCCAGGCCATAGTTTTGAGAAGAGCGAACTTTGCGCCTTTCACGGTGAAGTTTGTTGGAGGCGCAGCATCGTCGTGAATGGCAAAGGCATCGGCGAGGAGTTCTAGATCAGCCACGCTACGGGCATAGAGACCGAGCGTATCCAGAATCAGAGAGTAGATTTTCTGGCCTTCGCGAGTTATGGAGTTCCATGTGGGTTTGAGGGCGTAGATGCCATTGTAAGAGCCAGGGCGGATAGTGCTGCCCCCAGTCTGCGTGCCTAGACCAATAGGTGCTTGGAAGTCGCCCACTGCGGCACCAGATCCGGATGAAGAGCCACCAGGCGTGCGCTTCGGGTCGTGTGGATTTCGTGTCTTTGGGCCCGTGGTTGTTGCCGCGAACTCGGTGGTCGTTGTTTTGCCGAAGATGAGTGCACCATTCTTGCGTAGAATCGCTATGGAGCCAGCATCCACTTGAGGCGCATCATTGGCATATATGGGTGAATTGAACTGTGTAGGCATATCTGACCGATCAGTCAAGCCGCACAAGATAGCAACTCTGATAGCTCACCCTTGGTGTAGATGACATCTTTTACAGCGATAGCAACGCCATGTAGCGGACCGCGCTCAGCTGCTGGGATAGCATCGAGTGCTTTCGCCTGCTTGATAACGTATTCGGGGTCGAGGTACGCCCATGCTTGGACAGCTTCATTGCGCGATTCGATGCGTGCCAGAAGTGATTTTGCGTATTCTTCGACTGAAGTTTCGCCCGCTTTGATCTTTGCTGAGATCTCACTAGCTGTAAGTCTATAAAGATCGGAGCTCATGGTTACGTGGACTTCGCTGCTTGTACTGTTCGTATATAGTTGTTGATACTATGTATGTATCTCGGCGGTTTAAGGTTTGTTGCGATGGGATGACGAGGGGTTGAGCACAAGGACTCTTTGAAGCCGTGAAGTTGCAGCCTCATTTCGGACGCCGAAGGCAACGACGAGTTAACGATGCCATCGGCTCGAGTGGCCCGCATTGCAATAGGCAGCTGTTACATATCCCGTCTGGACCCACTCATATGCGATAGCCCGATACTTGTCTTACAAGGGTAAAGTACTAACAGTTGGAGCCGATAACGGCATCCCACTTTTTCGGAATGCCGGCTCCGATTCGGAACTCGAGGTATTCAGTCAATGTGAAGTACGAGAGAACGACGCGGCTCGCGGACGCAATCGCTTGTCAAAGGGCCAAATGTAGTCTGATGCGAAGATATGAAGAAAATGACGTTACATGTTATTAAAAGTCCTCTTTCATATCCATCACGATTCAATAATGGAGTTGTATAGATACAACCTCGATTCTGTCGCAATCTATCACGCTTCCCTAGCTCAGAAAGTGACCTTTGGTGACTTCTCGCCAATCTCAACATCCTCTCCTCCGTCAGTCATGGGCGGTGTTGCAGCGGCATAGATCTCTCCACCATCTCTGTCTCCGTCGAAGAATCCTTCACGACCCTCGTTCGCTAGCCATTCCCGTTCGAACGGCGTACTCTCTCGTCCGAATGGGAACACTCTCGGTTTTACGAAGAGGGTGACGACATAGTAGATTGTCGCTGCAGTGAAGAAGGTCAACAACCAACCCATGCGGTACATGTTTTGCGCAGCTGCCGATATGATCTGCGGCTGGTACTGGCCGATGAGACCTGGGATACCCATTGTAGTGCCGAGTAGCCATGCCACCACACCACTCCAGTTGACCCCGGACCAAAACCAGTAGAGGCCTGTCTTTTTACCATCGTAGCAAGATGGTACATGTATATTTCCTTTCCGTGCAATAAAGTAATCGACAATGATAACGGCGCAAAGTGGTGCCATGAAGATGTTGTAGGAACCCAAGAAACTTGTTGATTGTTAGTATGTACAATGGGATATTTGACTGAACTCTTACCTCAAGAAGGCTGAAGCATTTTTCATCAGCTGCCACGGCTGCACGACCACACCAAGGATGGCGCAAAGCACTTGGCCACGACGAATGGTGAGCCATTTTGGGAAGAGACCAGTCATATCGCTTCCGAATGGAATCGAGTTTGCTCCAAAGTTCGTCGCGAAGACGCCAAAGTAAAACGCCAAAGCAGCGAAGAAGATGCCAGCCCGCGCACCAGCGCCGAAATGGTGATCGAGAATAGCCTCAAATAGGTCCCAGATGTTCCAGTAGGCAACTCCATACGCTGCCTGCATTGAAGTCGTGGAGGCCATGCCCAAAAAGAACACGATGATGGAGGCTACGAACACGCTGATACCTTGGGTTATCCCGGCATCTCGAGGCTTTTTGCAGTATCGAGCAAGATCAGGTTGGTTGACCAGCATAGGCGAGAGCGAACCGAAGATGGTGTTAATGCCGGCCATGATGCTCCATCCTAGAGGGGTCACTGAAGCAGCAAGCTCGCCTTCATCGGAAGCAAGATCCATGGCGCCGAGTCCACCACCATTCGCCATGCACCAGCCGAATACAGCAAAAGCGGCGATGGGCATAATGAACCCTTTCACAGTGAAAATATAGTGAATGTGCCTGGGATGGACCCACATGAACGGAAATTCCATTAGCCAGGCCATAAAGAAAGCCAAAAGTTGTTTTGAGGTGACGCTTGCGGTTGGAGAGAGTGTGTTTGTGAAGTTCTCCCAGGAGCTGCCGAAGATGCAACGGAGCATCACCGAGAGGATGTTACCAGCGTAGAAGGATTGGATCCCGTACCAGATGATGCACACGATGGCTCGGATGAAAACGAAGAAGTAGGAACCGTACATGCCCATGACTGAGCGTGCAATTACGGGAAAGCCGATGTGGTACTTCACGCCTGGCCGGGCCATAAGGACAACTACGACGGCAGCAAGAAAAGAGCCAATGCAAGCCGATACGAAGGATTGTTGCCATGTCAGGCCGACAGTTACGAGAGCGGAGCCAGTATTCCAGCCGACAAGAGAGAACTGGTTCGAGAACCAGTATAGCGGCAGATTAAACCTTCGTTCGTCAGAAACCATTTCAAGATAGGTAGTACCGATGGTTCTCACCAGGTCCAAGTCCTCTGTTCCACCGGCGTTGGCTCAAGGTCCTTGTTGGACCATCTCTCGTCGCCAATTGGTGCGTGGCCGTTGTTACCTTGAGGGGCTTTGATGAAGTCGACAAAGGCCTCTTTCGAGCGGAAGGGTGCCACGAACTGGTCCCTAGTCGGAAGCTGGACTTTTCCCATGGTGCTGTAATAGCCTGGTGTGATTGACTACTGGACGTGGACAACCTCCCAAATCATCTTCACGTTGGCGGACCATGGTTTCTCATATATCGATTGGACCTTGCGCCAACTCCAGATCGTTCACGTATCGCACGCATATCGGACTTGGATTGACCAAAGGCATGGCCACTGGGGAAGCTGGTTTCGGCGAGTTTCTAGCCGATGTGCTATGTTGCCATGCGCGCATCAGTCATCCCAAAGCTTGACGGGAGCGTGTACAGTGCGATAAAGAGCAGGGGTGTAGATAGGAGGATACTGTACAGCTCCGATATGTTTCTTGTTGCGGCGTAGTTCTCCTGCAATCGTTGGAGTTCCCAGCCGCCCCATGGATGAATGCAGCCGAGATAAGCTCACGTGATGTGCTATCATAGCCTGTTCGGGACAATTCACGATAAGACACACGTCGGCTCATACATTCCACCTGGGCACCTCTCCAATGTACTATCGCACGTGGAGAAATATGGACCCAGACGGTATGGGTCCAAGCCGAAAGCTGCAGGGTGGTCGCATCCACACCAAACTCTCGACGACGAGGCCATGTTGCAGTCCTACCCAGAGAGCCCTGTGAGCCCCTCTAGTCAGGATGCAGTACCTCGATCGACGGCGGAAACAGCACCAGTATCGAATTCCGCTGCTGAGGCTCAGTCGAATGCCACGAATCTATCTCCTCCACCTCCTGCAACTAGAAAGTCTCGCGTGGCCTTGGCCTGCAAAAGATGCAAGCGGAGAAAGCAGCGTGTACGTCACTTTGGACATTACCTGATGCAAGAATCCTGGCTAAGGATGCTATAGTGTGACGGTGCGCATCCAGTATGCAGATCTTGCCAGCGTGCTGGCGTGGCTTGTGCGTATGAGAGGACTCTTCGTCCTCAGTACCCTGGCGGCAAGTCTGTGTAGGTTCTTCCCACAGTTATTAGCATGTGTGCGGCCTGTTTCCTAACTACTCAGCTACATCAATGCTCTAGAAGAGAGAATCGCCTTTCTGGAGGCTCGCCTCCCCGATCATGCTGAGGACCACTATGACAATGGATCAGAGACTCTGCAGAACACGTCTTCTATAAATGTTGAAGAGCCTCTTCTGGTTCCTCAGCCTCAGTCCAGTGCATCGCGCCGCGAATCTCGAGACGACTGTTTCTCCGAAGATTTCGAGGGTGAGGATCGGACTTCACTCGTCGATGGCGTGGCCTACTTGTCTTTGTGCGCATCTGGCACAACAGATACAACATCAGAGCCTTACTATGTCGGCTCTAGCTCTGGTGCTACCATTGCTCGCATAATTCAGTCCTCTATTTTCCGAAGTTCTGGGAAGAGAGCAGTCACTCAGCCCGGGGTTCAAACATGTCAGGCTACGGGTACTTCTAGGCCACCTGCTCCTCCTGAATCTACTCAATCCGATGAGCCCGTCGCTGATTTTCCGGATCGACAGCAGGCTCGTATGTTGTTTGACGTCTTCTTCGAACGTATTCACACGCGCTGGCCATTGCTAGATCGTGTGATATACACGAAGCTTTTCGAAAAGCAGTTTATTCGAGGCGCCCTGACTATCATCGAACGTAGCATGTTCCATTTAATTTATGCTATTACTGCTCGCTTCCTGTCTCTGACACGAAAGCCGTGTGGTGTAGATTCCGAGGTAAGGTTCACCAGAGCAGACCATACTATGATACTCACAGATCGTAGCATCACCTTGTCGCAGCTACCGAGCCAATGGACTATATTTTGGATCAACATAACCTCGCGACGGTACAATTTCTCATCTTGCTTGGAGTACATGGCCAGAGATCGCCTTACGGTGCAGGCGCCTGGTCTCAGATCCGATTTGCGACCTCCGTCTGCATCGAGATGGGCTTACACAGGAAGAAAACGGTGATGGGCTCTCCTGAGCATGCAAGGGATGCAGAGATCCGGCGACGTAATTTTTGGGCATGTTACTGCCTTGATAGAGTGACTAGCATTGTGCTCGGTAGAGCTTTTGCTATCGCTGACCGAGATATTAACGTCGAGGTATACTGCCCAACCAAATTGTGGTGTATTCACTGACGTGTTCAAAAGCTTCCCAGCACCAGCCCTGAGTTCTATACTTTGACGCACCCAGAAGTTCCAGATTCGGACAAAGCACAGTGGTCAAATATTGAGCCTTTCATACACATCATCAAGCTCGACCAAATCCAGTCACGGATTCATAAAGCAGTATTTCGTGTTGATAGAGACGTCTTCAACGGAACGCCGGAAGAGCGAGCCAAACTCGACCGAAAGATGGCCACGATCCGGAACGATTTGGACGAATGGCTACGAACATATCCGCAGACACCGAAGAAGGAAAATAAGATCACCTGGATGTACGACCCTGAAAGCGCGTATCTTGATGCACGAGACTTTTATGGCGTCCAGTACCACAAAGCAGTGCTCTTCCTCTTCACGGTCTTTCTTCCTACGCTTGACACATCCGACATGCGCTTCATCACTTGTGCGCGCTCTGCGGCTTGTGTTTGTAATGCATATAAGAGACTAAGTCAAAACCGGACGCTAACGTATACCATGATCTCGTTGCACTCATGCTTCGTTGCTGGTCTAACACTGGTGTACTGCATCTGGCGAGACAGGTCTCTCTTCTCATACGATGTTCTAGAGGCGACACGGGCCTGCTCGCAGATCTTGACTATCTTTGGCGAAAAGTGGCCTGGCGCCGTCAAATATCGCGACATCTTCGATGCACTATCCGGAAGCTTGTTTAAAACGGTCGTAAACTCAGCGCCTACTACGATGATTCACTGCAACGGCTCGCGGCCACTGCAGCTTGACATGGATGCAGAGCCCTCTGTGACGGGTCTTTCGCCGCGGAGCCAACGAGAGAGTCGCGAACAAGCGTCACGCCTTCCAACGCATAGCAACAATCCTACCATGTCGCATATGGTCACCGATGCTGTGAAGGAAGCGTTTATGGAGGTGGACGAAGAGGCGCCAGGTGGGTGGCAGGGTTGGCGGATGTGGAACGAGATGGTGAGCGATGATACTATGTCTGCAGCAAGTGCAGCGATGAGATTTGACGGCCTCGGTCAGGGCCAGACTGAGATGAGCTGGGATGCCTACGAGGGTTCTGGGTTTTACGGAGTGGACCCAATTCAAGATGCAGCAATGCAGATGGACAACGGCGGTATGATGGAGGGTAATCAATGGAACTTTGGAGAATATAGATAGGGAATATCATGGCCATCGTTTTGGTGATCTTAAGTCAGTATGGGCTTGCACAAGTGGATCCGAATCTAACGTCGAAATGAACTTCTCATTAACCATCTACGCGAGCTGACCCTTCTTATACGGGAACTGTTCCCTAAACGACTCGGCTATTTGAGTCCTAGTCGCAACCCAAACACCTTCCTTCTCTGAGATATACTTTACAAAGTCTTGAAGCGCCTTGAACCTCCCTGGCCTACCAATGATGCGGCAATGCAGCCCGATAGTCATCATCTTCGGCTCACCCGCTTCACCCTCCTCATACAGCACGTCGAAAGCGTTCTTCAAATGCTCGTAGAAAGCTCCCGAGCTACGGAAACCAGTTCCTTGGCAATGAAATTTGAAGTCATTGCAATCGTAGCTGTAGGGAACCATCAAGCAACCTTTGGGGTTTGCGCTGCCGCGCTCTTGGGGCAGGTCCGTCCAATACGGGAGGTCATCGGCGTAGGTGTCGCTAGCCCAGAGGAGCTCCTCACCCATTTCTTCGTACACGAGTGGAATGAGAGCTCTACTCTGTGGTGAGGGACGACCATAGTACCATCCCTTTGGTGCATAGCCGGCGAGCTTCTTCAGCGACGTGATACCATCTCTGATGTGCTGCTTCTCAGCCTCGACAGAGAGATTAGCATGATCTATCCAGCGATAGGCGTGAGAAGCGATATCATGGCCTTCTTCCACACTTCGAACGACAGCTTCTGGCTGTTCTTCGACAGCTGAGCCGACAGCGTAAAGGGTAAACTTCATCTTGTAGTCGTTGAAGAGCTTGAAGATACGCCACCAGCCGCGGCGAGAGCCATATTCAAACTCTGATTCACCGCTGTAGTCACGCTCATTGATTCTGTGTTGGGCTGGGTATTCGCGGAGGTTGATCTCGGAAACCCCGTCGCCTTTCATGACTGAGCGTTCGCCGCCCTATTGCACGTCAATGCTGTTTCCATAGTAACTACTTGTCGACTCACCTCCTCATAGTTGATGACGAAGGACACGGCAATCTTGGCATTGTTGAGCCATTTCAAGCCTTGAAGACCCTTCTCGCCGTAACCTTTGAATTCGCGTGGGAAGGCGTAGTCAGGCGGTGCGGCGTAAACTTCAGGCATGATGACGATATTTGCAAGATGGGAAGTACAATCTAGTTACAAGAGATATGACGGATTTGGTGTAGAGAACACCCATGCCTCGCGACACATACATATATGTACCATCAGCGGAGCATCTTGCGACAGCCATTCTTCATCGCCTACCTAGCTATCGGCCATTCTCATCCGTGACGTTGTCACGTAATCGGCGACATCCCAGGCTATGCCGTGCCTCACGATGCGATACCATTATGGCGGCCGAATATGACCCACCGCAGTGTTATCAGAAGGCTGAGTAGCTATCGGCTTGGAAAGAACCGCATGTAGAACATTGCCGTGAGGGGGATCGCTCAAATGAGATAGACAGGCCAATCCGACGTCGCCGATAACGACCGACTTTTGTGGGGCTGCACAGGACCTACCTAAGTTGGCATACCAAGGGTAAAGCCTAGGTTGATTTGGAGACGGTTTTCTGGTAATCTGATAGTTGGTGTTGGGGTATAGTGTTGCGGAGAACAGTTGCGTTCAAGTTCCGATGTCGCCATCACACGCGCTCCAATCATTCCAATGCAATGGACCGCTGCTGCATCGGGTCGACTGGGATGAGTTATGGACGGCCTGAAAGGAGGGCAAAATCGAAGGCATGCTATGATGTTCTCATTGTTTTATATCGGAAAAATTTCTTAATTGCATGTGAAATTGCTTTTGTGATTTGCTGCCTACGTGGTCGTCGTTTACTCTTCCAAGCTTAAGTCAACAACTTACATGGCACGACGACTTCTGGACAATGCCTATGAGAACATCTTAATGCGTTGAGGCATCTGGTCATACGTGCAGAAATGGACAGAAAGCTTGATTGAATGCGTAGCGGAGGCGGCGAACGACGCGTCTCGTTGGTCTGCCATATAACTGCGAAACTTGAGTGGACGTTGTTCCTACACGGCTTCTCCCATCCTTGCTCTCTTCTCATCAGAAGGAGTTCGTTCTATTTCAACTTCTTGGCCATGAATGACTTCTTGTCGAGGCGCATCTCGTGGTACTGTCGGCTGTGCTCTTTCCTCATCCAGCTTTTTCGGCGCTTTCAGACTAGTATTTCCAACCCAGAACGTCAAAGACAAGCTCAGGCCTGAACAGACTGTGAAAAAGACGAAGATATAGTGTAGGCCGCGCATATAAGTGTCGAAAATCTCTTCTTTTTGGTCTGGTGAAAGACCAAACTGGTCGAGGTCGTATGTTGAGGATGTTAGTTGGCTCATCAGACTCGCTGACACGAAGGGCCTGTTTGATAGGTCCCGTCTGAGCGTATTTGCAAGGACAACACCCGAGATAACCAGGCCAAAAGCGCCACCAATAGTGCGGATGAAATTACGCAAGCCAGTCGTCACCGCGCGATCCTCCGCACGACTATTAGCGTACATGCCCACAAGCGTCGGCTGGAGCGTTAAACCGATACCAGCACCTTCTATGATGAGTACAACTATCAGCACGGCGAGACTCGTGTCTCGGTCGAATAATAGGGTAAGGCCATTTCCAAGAGTCCAGAGGGCAAACCCGAGCAGGATGCAATGCATATAGCTGCCGACTCGGTTCATGTACTGACCAGATGCGATAGACGTAAAAGATGTTGTGATGACTACCGGCAGGATTAACGCACCTGAAACTAGGGGCGAATACCTAAGAACCGACTGAAAGTAGATCGGAAGGTAGAAGAAGTTGCCAAAGTATGCAAGGCCGATGAGAAACGTCTGCAGATATAGTGCCCAGCAATGCGGTGCACGGTACAATCGGAGTGGCATGATCGGAAGAGCCACAAGTTTCCATTCGTAGAGCACGAATAGTACGCCCAACACTGCGCCGGTGACAGTGCAAGCGATGAAGAAGGGAGACGCCCATGCATAAGTCACACCACCTCCTGACAAGGGGATGAGCAGGAGCAGAGTCGATGCAATGTTAAGCAACATGCCGCCGTAATCAATCTTCTTGACCTTTTCGAGGTGGTCGCCAGATCGATGTTTCAGCGGTAGAAAGAATAGAATGACCATGGAAGTAGGCACAGACATGATGGGTATTATCCAGAATACCCATCTCCATGTCGCTCCTTCAACAATAGCACCTCCAAGGAAGGGGCCTGCGCCGTTTCCTAAAGCAATGATCGCGCCCAGCCATCCTAGACAGAAGTGTTAGCACTGTTTGAGTAATGAGTATGCCAATGCCATTACCTTGATATTTGCCTCGATTCTGCAACGTTGTGATATCGCTTACGATGATCATGACAAGACTGTTGATGCCGCCACCACCAATACCCGCAATAGCACGGAGAACAAATAGCTGCACCGCCGTTTGCGCGAAACCGCATCCAAGGTCTCCCAAAGCCATCAACGTGAGACTAATCAACAACAGATTCTTGCGGCCAAAGATATCTGACAAACGACCGTTGATTAACTGAAACGCCGTTGACGCGATTAAGAACGATGTACCGATCCATGATGTTGCAGTTCCGGTGTTCAAATCCACAGCGATAGCGGGTGTTGCTGTCGAGACGCTAGTTTGATCGATGAAAGAGACGAAAAGGCAAACCGATAGAGCCGGAATTGCGATTCGGAGTTGCGCCGATGTCATAGTGTTCCTTTGGCCGCCAATGGACGCTGCGTCACTATCGTCATCATCGTCGACTTGTTCGATGGTAGGCGAAGGTGATGGGGTGTGATGGTCTTCGGTAGGCGTCCCTGGATCGCACAGCTCATCATCTTCTGATGGCTTCTCTGCAAGAACATGGTCGATGCGTGTATTTTTGTTCTCTTTGAGATGGTGTGTCGAAACCATCTCATCAACAGAGGTCTGTTGGTCTCTCATCGTGTTATTCTCCCAGGGTCCCTACGAGCCTCAAGAACATGGTGAATATCCAGACGTGTATATTTAGAACGAGGCCAACGGTCACAAACATCGTAGCTAGCGTTGAAGTTGAACGTGGAGCTTCGGGAGGCTGTCCGGGCGGGACGGAACTTCGCCATGACGCCCATTGACAGCTGCAGGATTGTCGGTACGTGTGTTCCTCCCGGAGCCATGACAAGAGCAGCCAGTCACAGCTGAGTAGTCTACGCGCATATCAAGATCGCTTACACGCTTCGATGGCGTAAGTGGCATTGCGGATGAAAGCAACCGATGACAGTGGGAATGCCCAGGTGGGTCATCTTAGCGCCGTGACATCTTATCGGCACTTTTTGAGCCGACGCATGTTCAACCCTGACCTTTCCCTTGATTGTGATTACCGTCGACATCGGATCAACATGCTGAAAATGGCGCTGGAAATGTGCAACCGACTTCTCGGCAGCACGGCTGAGCCTGACAGATGCTGTGTATCAGGTGGGCCCTGGGTTGCCGATAACGAATACGGCAACCCATCGCCCACCTTTCGTCGATGGCCTTAATATGTGTGATAGACCACAGCTGCACGAGTGCCAACCAGCAACTACGTGAAAACATAGCGAGCCATTGCAGTTGAGATCTTACCTAAACGAAGCCTTCCTACTGTTCAAACAGCACCAACATCAACATCAATATCAACATCAAGTACCAAAATGACGCGACTCTTTCAACCATTGACAATCGGGAATATAAAGCTAGGTCATCGTGTGGCTATGGCACCGTTGACTCGATATCGCATGGATGATGACTTCAAAGCGACACCCATGAGCAAAGGTACATCAACCGCCTTGACAACAAAGAAGCGACATTGACAGAGTATCTTAGAGTACTATGAGCAAAGAGCATGTGTACCAGGTACCCTCATCGTCAGCGAGGCAACCATCATCTCCAGAAACGCCATCGGATGCCGGAATGCCCCTGGGATATGGTCCGAAGATCAGATTACTGCATGGAGAGAAGTCACGACAGCAGTACAGGCCAAAGGCTGTGCGATTTACTGCCAACTTTGGCATCAAGGCCGGGCTGCAAAACCCGATGTGCTGGAGGAGGAAGGCATCAGTCTAGTTTCAGCCAGCGCGGTTCCTATGAGTCCCCAAGATCGGACACCAGAAGCAATGACTGAAGAGATGATCTGGAATACCATAGCAGACTATGCGGCCGCAGCCAAGAACGCAATTGCTGCGGGGTTTGATGGCGTCGAGATCCATGGTGCTAATGGGTACCTGCCGGATCAATTCTTACAGACGACTTGTAATCAAAGGACGGATGGTTGGGGAGGAAGCATCGAGCAACGAGCGCGGTTCCATCTCGAAGTGACCAAGGCGGTAATCGCCGCTGTTGGCGTGAATAGAACAGCAATGCGTCTGAGCCCTTATAGTGACTTCAACGGCATGCTGATGGACGAGCCCGAGCCGACCTTCAGATACCTGACGGAAGAGCTAAAGGGACTGGGCTTGGCTTACCTCCACCTCATCGAAGCTCGCATTACCGGTAATGACGACTCAGACTGTGGAGGACAGAAGAATGTGCGCTGGATGGTCGAGCAGTGGAATAACGCAAGTCCGGTCATGCTTGCTGGGGGGTTTTTACCTGAATCGGCGAAGCAGACGGTTGATGAGACGTACAAAGACTACGATGTTGTTATCGCGTTTGGAAGATACTTCGTTGCCAACCCCGATCTCGTGTTTCGCGTCAAGGAGAGCGTACCATTAGTCAAGTATGACCGCGCGGTTTTCTATACACCAAAGACACCAAAGGGGTACATCGACTACCCACATAGCCCGCAGTATTTGAAATCGATGGCGAAGGCTTGAGATAGACGTATTGAGTAGTAGTGACCAAGCTCCTGGGCTTGATTGATTCTCCACATGAAAATGGGAGAACCTTTTTGACTATGGTGTCGATGGTGATTCGGAATGTAGTAGTGGCCAAAAGCGTACAGCTTTCAATTCATCAAAATTGACTCATGACACAAGATACCTTGGGCTTACTCCGGAGTACACTTACTAAGACCGTTGTTATGACCAGATGCCTATTCATTGGCATCCAAAAGGGTGACGCTGACAAGTAGTGGAGAAAACAGGCAGTCACGCGTCGGAGCACACTCCAGGACCCTCACCAAATTAAGCGAACAACGAAGAATCTTTACTTTCTAGCCTTGTATGCAACCGGCAACAACAGACTAGGAACATATAGAATACTAGACTCATAGAGCAGGTATTCCTCTATATTCCTAGAAACCAGAAGTCTAACAAAGATGCTTTCTAAGCTGCGCTCATTGCAGCCTTTTGCAGGGAATGTTACAAGTAGGCGACTGTGTTCCAGGCGCGAAAGTTCCACGCTCTCAGGTGAGAGGGGCGCTACCGGTACCCCACGTCCAAGCTGCCGGGCCCGAATGAGCTCCCCGCCACTGCACTGGGAGCTCGTCAGACGTCTCTCAACCACAACAACAACCACCATGTCCGCCACCATAGACTCAGAGACGCTCAAGCAGTACCTGGCCGATAGCCCGCCTACTATCGTGCCTCTGACCATCAAGCCTCACTTTGACGCACTGAGCGACAAAGAGAAGCTCTATGCCCACCATCTCTCGGTGTAAGATATAGACATTCCTCGACTGTCTATGGCATAGTAATTGATCTGTATTGTAGAGCCTGCTTCGCCGGAACACGCGTCGTCCTTCGCCAAGTCTCCCCCGAATCCGAGCACATCTACGACTTCATCGTTGCGCTCCACAAGCACGCCAAGGGCGACTATGCTTCCCTCGCCAAAGACACTGGTCTTTCTCAGGAAGAGATTGACGCATATCTCGATTACTCGGCGCAGTTCCTAGGCAATCTAGGCAACTTCAAGTCCTTTGGTGACTCCAAGTTCGTACCCCGCCTCGAACCGCGGCAGCTGAAGGCGCTCGCGACTGCCTCCAAAGACACACTAGCCATATACGAAAAGTTCAGGGACGCCATATACATTGGAAATGATGTGGGAAAGCTGCATCTGGGCTACCCCGGTGCTGGACATATCTCAACTTACTACCCCGATAGTCCCGATATCACCAGCGAGCAGATCTCCAGCGTGAGCGACTTCCTCGAAGGAAAAGGGCTGCTCCCAGAAAACACAAGGGTTAAGAAGACCAGCGACGGCTACGAGGTTCTCATCGCTTCGGCTTCGAACAACCCATCGGCAGAGCAACGGGATCTCAAGGAGAGCGAGTGGACAATGGACAACGGGCTCAAGGTGAAGCTGGTATTCGGTGACTACTCCAAAGAGATGGAAACCATTGCGCACCACATTGAGCAGGCGAAGAAATACGCAGCCAATGACCACGAGATCAAGATGATGGAAGAATACTCCAAGAGTTTTAGGACAGGATCACTACAAGCTTTCAAGGAGAGCCAGAAGGCCTGGGTCCAGGACAAGGGGCCTCAGGTAGAATCCGACATCGGCTTCATCGAAACGTATCGCGACCCACATGGCATTCGCGGCGAGTGGGAAGGCTTCGTAGCCATGGTCAACAAGGAGCGAACACGGGCCTTTGGCAAATTGGTTGAGACTGCACCGCAGTACATTCCTCTGTTACCGTGGGACAAGTCCTTCGAAAAGGACAAATTCCTCAGTCCCGACTTCACGTCGCTCGAGGTGCTAACATTCGCGGGCAGTGGGTAAGTTGAGATTTTCGAAAATATTCCTGTAACCTTATCTAACACCAACAGTATCCCCGCTGGAATCAACATTCCAAATTACGATGACATTCGACAGAACTTCGGTTTCAAGAACGTGTCTCTTGGCAACATCCTCTCCGCGAAAGCACCGAACGAGAGCGTCCCCTTCATCAAAGACCGTGATCTAGAAACCTACCAAAAGTACCGAGATCCTGCCTTCGAGGTCCAGGTCGGTCTTCACGAGCTGCTCGGTCATGGGTGTGGTAAGCTGCTGCAGGAGACGGAGCCAGGCGTTTTCAACTTTGATAAAGAGAACCCTCCGATTTCACCCCTAAGCGGCCAGCCAATAAAATCTTGGTATAAGCCTGGTCAGACTTGGGGATCGACATTTGGTACTATCGCTGCATCCTACGAAGAGTGCCGTGCCGAGTGCGTCGCCATGGCGCTCTCGTGTGAATTCCCCATACTGCAGCTGTTCGGCTTTGGCGACGGCAAAGCCGACATGAGTAGCGAAGCGGGAGACGTCCTGTTTACCGCATACCTCCAAATGGCACGTGCGGGCGTTGCAGCTCTGGAATTTTGGGATCCCAAGAGCAGAAAATGGGGTCAGGCCCACATGCAGGCCCGCTTCTCTATCTTGCGCACATTTCTGAATGCTGGTGTCGAGTTTTGTCAGCTGGAATGGGAGAAGGATGATCTTTCCGACCTGACCATCCGCCTTGAGCGTGACCGCATCCTAGATCTGGGTCGCCCTGCTGTGAATGACTACCTCCAGAAGCTTCACATCTACAAGGCTACTGCAGATGTCACAGCTGCGAAGAGGATGTATGATGAAATTACCAGTGTCGAACCCTTCTACGAGAACATGGTCCGACCAGCCGTTCTGAAGAAGAAGATACCAAGGAAGGTGTTTGTCCAGGCAAACACAGTCGAAAAGGACGGCAAGGTCGATTTGATTGAGTACGAAGCAACCAACAAGGGCATGATCCAGAGCTGTGCGGACAGAGAGTACGTTTGAAGATGTCAACCCAACCAACAAGAGGGGCATTTCTTCTAATCTCACGGCGGATATGCAAAAGGGCGGGTTTCGGGCGGTTATGATTATGTTCAATACAAACAAGACCATGCTATGAATGACTGTATGCACGAAGAGACGAGCAACATGCAAGCATGAAGTCACAGTCGGCCAACAGGTTTCGATTACTCGCTCCGTCGCCCGAGCATTTGGTAGCCATGAGTAAGTGGATTATGGAAATTCACATTCCTAAAGCATATCCACCAGAACAATGTCCGCGTGAATAATCTTCCGAGACGATATAGATGCGGAAGGCGGCTTCCGCACATACTAAACACGAAAGAAGCGAATGCGCAAGGAGTTGGTGCTCCTGGAGCAACCTTGAATGACCATGACATCGCATTGTTAGAAACAACATCGTAATTGGGTGGAGACGAAAGGAAAGGACGAAATGACTGGGACATTGGCACCATCAGCTACAAGGACTCTTGCCTACCATCGGGCAGAAAATTGCCGAGATTTGCTTGAGTTTGCTTGTAGCGGTGCATAGCGCCGGCACATGGTGCGCTAACACGTACTAATGTAGGTCAAGAATGCGGAGAGACGAAACGTGCTAGTCTAGGGTTTGACGCGGTCGCTGTCCGCCCTACCCGTTTCCGAAGAAAACGCCGAGGTTTGTAGTATTCTTCCACCGCTCAAGCGTTGTCTGTATATGAAGGCAGATCATCTGACCATCATTTAGTTCAATGCTGATCGCAAAGGGAAGAGTAACTAGGGTAAGATCCAATGGGTGTGATGGTGTGGTCATTCGGACCGACGAGAACTACCATCATCGACTACACGTGTGAACGGACACAGCCAACGCTAGGTTAACGTCACTAAAAACCTCCGGTATCAAGGAATCCACACGAAGTTTCAGGAATGGGAGGCATCAGCGCTCGAGCGCGAAGGCCAGAAGCGGTGCAGAGACCAGAAATTGCGAACATATCTACAGTACCTGAATCGATGGCAGCGGACCGCCGGCGACAGTACCTGAAGCGAACCAAATTGCAAGGATACGGGTAGCTGTCAAACTACTCAGAGGCTCTGTGGCGTTTGTGACTGCGCCGTTGTCAATTAGAGGGTGCGTTAGCGCCATGAGCTGGTACTTTACCATGCCCCTATCATCACAAAGCGCTGGTCCTTCCGTCCTGCTAATGGAGGAATAACACTAAGACGCAAAAACTACTCCCCTCAAAGTCGAAGTTATCTCGATGCCGACATGGGTTACCGGAATATTCTTCCAGAGGGGTACGTACCTCCAAGCTAGCATGAGAATTGCTTTAAAAAAGAGTAGGTACTTACTGGAAAAGACGCATCAACACTATCAAGCCACTCTCTCTACTTGTTCAAGTCTTTTCTTCGCTTCAGGCAAGCATCTTCTCATCTCAATTTCATCATGAAGTTGTCCATTCTCGCGCTTGCAAGCGCATACACAGCTAGCGCTGCCGTCATCGGAGAGAGGGCAACATATGCTGTTCAGGGCACACCTGAAGGCTTCGGAAAGGGCACCACCGGAGGTGGTAGTGCAGCATGTGTAGTTCCCTCTTCAGTGACAGAATTAAAGACATGGCTCACTGATAGCACTGCGCGCTGTATCGTACTCGACAAAGAGTACAACTTCAAGGGTACCGAGGGAACCACGACTGCAACCGGTTGTCGCCCTGCATCCAACAAATGTCCTGGCAACGGGGGTCAGGATGCTATCAACTCCGCCAACTGGTGTACCAACGGAAATGCTGGAACAGGTTCAACATCAGTCACGGTTACGTACGACAATGCTGGTGTGACTGCTATCAACCTAGGCTCCAACAAGTCTATCATCGGTGTCGGTAGCAAGGGTGTGATCCGTGGCAAGGGTCTCCGCATTGCCAACGGAGCGAAGAACATTATCATCCAGAATGTTCACATCACCGAGCTCAACCCTCAGTACATCTGGGGCGGCGACGCTATCACTCTCGACGGAGCTGATCTGGTTTGGATTGGTACGTTCACTCCTTCATCTTATGCTCTTTACCAGTCTAATAGTCATCACAGACCATGTCAAGATCTCGCTCATTGGTCGCCAAATGTTTGTTGCAGGTTACGGTGCCTCCAACCGCGTAACAATCAGCAACACAGAGTTCGACGGTCAGACCTCCTGGTCCGCCTCTTGCGATGGCCGTCACTACTGGGCCATTCTGCTCCTCGGTGGCGGAGACCTCATCACCATGAAGGGCAACTACATCCACCACACTTCTGGCCGCAGCCCCAAGGTCGGTGGAGAGGGAAACACACTGCTCCACGCTGTGAACAACTACTGGTACAGCAACACCGGCCACGCCTTTGATATTGAGGCTGGTGGCATGGTTGTCGCAGAGGGCAACGTGTTCCAGAATGTTGCTACTCCCCTCTTGAACAACAACGGACAGTTCTTCTCTGCGCCTTCAACCACCGCAAACGCGGTCTGCAAGACCTACCTTGGTCACACTTGCCAGATCAATGCTTTCGGAAGCAGTGGAAGCTTTACTGGTAGTCAGACGGACTTCTTGGTCAACTTCTCGGGCAAGAATGTTGCTAGTGCGTCGGCAGCAAGCTCAAACGTGGCCAACACTGCTGGTGTTGGTAAGATCTAAAGTGTCTTGGTTGTAGACGTACAATGGCCAGCGTGACTGGTGTGGTAGACTGGTGGCTGATGCTAGACGCTTGGCCTCTCCACGTTTGACGCCACGGTTCCTATTTTCTCTGTATCTACTTTGCTCTTTTGAAACTTATATATATACACTTCCAAGCAACAGCTAGTTGCAGATTCTATCAAACTTTATTCCTACGAGTTTATCTCATTGCTTCCAGTGTGAGCTCCTTTGCAGTCACATCACTTCAAATGCAAATACTTCGCGGAATATCTCCAGATTTTTCGTCCCAATTGGTCCAGCAGCGTACACAGCAAAAGCAACATTCCCAAACCACCCCGCAAACTCTTCTCTCTCCAAAGCCATCTTCATCTCCTGTGCAACAACCCGTGGCGGACACCTATAAGCACCGCAACCCATGGCCCCCAGCACCAACCTCGTAACCCCTTCCCCCGCAGCCATCCTCAGCACCAACAAAATCTTCTCCCTCAGATCCTCCAAATCTTCTTCTCTAGCAAAGCCCTCCCCACCCTCCTTAACAGCGGGTAGACGCGGCGCCGCGACCGTCATGACAGCCACTACGTGGCGCTGATCTTCAGGCAATTCGGCAAGCCCATTGTCTAGCGTATCTCTGAAGACGACCACGTTGGGCGACATGACACCTGCAACGGACCCTGCTCCCGTATTGGGCCAAGGGTACCATTCCGGCTTCAAAGTAGCATACAGCGTGCTAGAGTAGCATAAAGCTTCTTCCTGCGTTCGCGAAAGCGTGTAGCGCCAGCCGCCGCCGGGTTCTTCGTCCGAGGCTAGGTTTAGGACCCCGATTTTGCCGCTACCGGGAAGTGCTCGCGCAAGGGCGAAAGAGTCGCTGTTGTGGATTGTGATGGGGGTTTGTAAGGGGATATTTGGGTATATGGGTGACTTTTTGGAGAGAGCTGGGAGTTGCGAGGGGATGAAGTGGCTGATGAGGGAGCCGCCTGGTGTTGAGGTTGCGATGGAGGGGGAGCGTGCGATGGTGTCTTCGCAGATTGCGCGGCGGGTTGCGAAACCTGTCATGGTGATGTGGTACTCGGAGTATACCTCCCATAAATGTGTTGGTGGTGACGTTTTGACAAAGCTCTGATCAATTGTGAGAAAATTGATATTGACAAGTAGGCAGCAGTTTTGGAGGTGAGGCGTTGAAGCGTGGCGCAGTCACAGCTTAGGCATCTACAACTATTAACGAAGTCCTGGAAGCATCATCCGAAAATCATCCAGATCTCAAGCTGTGTCTTGTTTACAACCATGTATATGAAGGAATGCGCCATGTAGTCTCCTAATCACTCTCTAGCAAAGGATGCTGGGGTGGTGATTGCAACCCCACCTTTACCAACTTGATGGCATCCTATAGCCACCATGGCTAGGTACGATCATACAACCGAACACAAATAAACACTCACTGACATCAATGCTCTCACTAACAGCCCAAATAGAAGAAGGAGAAGAGAAATGAAAGGATAGTAGTATAGTAGCATACTGTATGTAGTTTACTCTAATAATATACTATGTATACTAGTAAAACTACCGTTTGTTTCGTCGTGTAATTGCGACATGTAGTCTTGAAAGCGTTCCTAAGACTTCCTCAAGCAATGGGTATACTGGAACTACCTCTGGAATGACTGCGGCCAATCTACCCACGCCAACACGTTGCAGACCTCGCAGGCGCAGCCAGCAATGAACCAGGTGATGGTAAACCCTCGAATCCACCTATCTGGTTCCGGCAGTTATCCTCACTATCACGCGTTTCGTCAGTAACCCACTTAAAAAATAGTACTTCAACTATATGCTGGAGCTTTACAACATGTGATAGGATATGGAAGTAACGTACCGGTAGAATCGGCATCTAAATCCTGCGAATACACGAGCTTCGGTAACAGTGTTACCAAAGTTCGGCCCACAACCGCCGTTGGCGACAAGAGCACCACCAAAGATGCCGTCTTTCAAGACGATGCCTGCGTTTTCAGCCCGAGGTAGCAGATGTGTAGCCTCCGCTTGGGGAGTTGGAAGACTGGTGACCAAAACTGGGAGAGCGAAGAGTGGAAGGATAGCGAGCAGGCGCATGTTTGCTTCTGTGAACGAGGAGGCTGTTTGGTCACGTCGAAGAATGTATGAAGAATTTATGAGATTTGCGGATGATTCTGATGGAGGTACTTGACAGGAGGGAGAAGAGCTGCTCATATAGGTGATAGTAGGTATATGATGTCGAGCATATGACTACGAACTGGGACAGTGAGCACTCCAATCATGTACGAGTGCGGCGCTGTCCGCTCCATGTATTGAGCACTGGTGAGTAGGCGCCCGGGCGTACGTGTGGATCTTGTGTCGAAGCGAACCCGGGTATGGAATATTGGCTTGAGCTTACTCCGCACAGATCGCTCGACCTGTACTTGATGAATCCTACAATAGATTAACGGCCACAGTTACCACTTAAGTCGGAGGTGTTGCAGCGGACCAAAAGGACCGAGGTGCATTAGTGCTAGTAGAGGTTAGTCTACATGATTGTTGTCTTAGATGCATAAGCTGACGCTTACCGGCTAGACAAGCTCGATGTTATGGAATGCAGGTACTCATGCAAACCTTCATTCGCTTGTCGAGCGGTAGTAGTGATTGTTGGTATATACAATTTTCATAGCAGTTGAAGGGCATTTTACGAGCATATTCAAAGACACCTTAGGTGCTCTAACCTTCGTGGCTTGCTCGCGCACGAATCATGGGACTTCGTATGTGCAGGTACGTGGATAGCGTAGTCGCCCGGGCGTAAACATGGTAGTCTCCCGGCTAAAGGCGTGCTGCTCGAGTAGGAAGCATGAACGAGTTCTTCTTGTAGATATCAAGTGTTGATCTGCATGCTCAAACGAAGAGTACTTCTGTGCTTAGCGAAGTCGGTGTGTCGCGCTTGCCGAGCATGACACCTAGGCATCGTACCAACGCTACCCAACATCCTACTTCCTGCTACCTCTTCTCTTGCAGAAGATAAACTGTTTGCCATCTGTAAAGCCCTATTGTTGCTTCTGGGCAGATGAGTCTACCGCATCGATGAGATTCGTCAGTCAGTTGAACACGCGTTAGTTTCGCGTTCGCGTCTGAGGCGGGCTAGCAGATACCCCTCATCAAATCTCCCTGAACGCCTAGCAGCTTCCACCTTTGGGCATCTCTGAACTCAATGCTATTGCTGTAGCACCGTATTGTCCTAGTTCGACTCAACTTCCCTATTCACCATGCAGTTTATCCAAGAAACCACCACAGAAACTCAAAGACAGCTAGAGAGCTTACCCGCTCCAGGTGACATTAAGCAAATCAGAGTTGGGCCAGGAAAACCGGTCTATGCACCCCCTTGCTCTTACACTGAATGTCAAGACCATTTCTATCTGGAGCGCGAGCAGGCAGCACATCATTGGTACTGCTACACACGGAAGCTCAGAGACGTGGAAGCTAAAGCTCTATTGGCAGCAAAGGTAAAAGACATACATGCTGGACATGCTTACATCAAACGTGCGGTAGAGTTGCATGGCGACGCGATTTGAAAGACCTGGAGAAAACGCTCTTCGGCGAAACGGGCTGTTCTCCTCAGAGAGGCGGAACCTCGAGTTGCAGAACGCAAGGGGCTCCTAGCCGACCTCACAACTTCGGGTTTCGATTTTTCGATTCCAACTCGGATTGGGCTAAATATCGTACCAACATCCTCGTTCCGTGTCTCGATCTCGAAACGCTCACTGAGAATCTCGCGACTCTCTTTGTCTAATCAATGCTCGAGCATGAAGTCTACCAGAAAACTGGGCATTGTACGATTCCGAACAACTGAAAAGTTGTTGGGGGCTTGGATCACTCAAGGTCGCATTCCGCGAAGGTGCAGTCCACATGCATGGCAAAGAATATGGGAAACTCGTTCGATGGGAGCGAGGAGCAGTTCATCAATGCGATATCATAGGATTCCCATGAGCAAGTCTTATCATTGAGGCTCAGGCCCTCTTGATGCAATTTCTTCACCAGCCGACAGGAAAATTGCTCCAAGGAACCACGGATGACAACGCGGAGGGGCATGTGAAATGGGGTGAAGTAACTCGCTCTGGGCTCGAGATGAACAACTCGAACATCGACTGGTCGAAGCTTGTCCACTAACCTTTTTCCTATGGCACCTCATCTTGATGTATAAGACATCCTCTCTCAGGCGAAGCTTAGGCTCAATGCTAGCTCAGATCATCTCTGGCTTCTGCAAACAGAGTCGTCTTACCTCAAGCATTATCTGCACAAACTCACACAAGCGCAAAGCGTGAAAAAGTTCAAGTCGTTATCAAAAGATATATATGTCCTGGCCTCCGAGCTACTTGCTGACCTCGAGATGAACTTCCATTGGAAAGGGATTGTAGTCGAGTTCGCGCATTTGGACCGTATGTCGCTATATGTTCCCACAGACGGAAGAGGAACGACAAAAGCATGTTACTTGGGACACGTTCGTTCTGAATATGGGCGAAGCTTGTTTCACTGCGCGGGAAAGCGGCGGTTCGATCGTTACGTTCGAAGATGTCAATGGTGAAAAGAAGATCAACTTCCCCAAACCCCACCCAGAGCCCGTGATCGATCCAGTCGTGCTAAGGACTATCGGCCGCCGTCTGAACAAGTGATTTGATTGGGATCGTGAGACCTTTATACTTGCGACTAAATAAGTTTCGGTCATTGGTGGCAGTATACGCGAAGAAGAAAATAAGTATGAGCCGTTGCAGCTCTGCAGCGAACTAGCATATCGGGGTCATTCGGCCCCACATAAGCTTCACTCCCATTCCAGTCCGCTTCAACACCTCTTTCCTACATCTTGCATGTCCCGTTGCATGAGATGTTGTATGTTGGTTGCTGAACGTGTCCGACTGAAGTATCATGTCAGCACTACTTCCAGATCCGGAAGGTAGGTATGTATTCGGGTCATGATCAAATTCCAGTGCCTGCATCGTGCCGTGCTGAGCCTGCAAATCAATGGAAGCCTGATGCCGTATCGATACTCTGACTCATTGACTGTAACATCTAAGTCATAGTAGACTATGCTATATACTCATTTGCTATCTTCTATATTTCAAGTGTACCACACGTTCTTTGAAACTTCCATAACTGGACTAAACTGTGCGAAATCACATAGCTTCAGAACTGCTACTACATCGTTACCATGCCACTTCAACTCCACCCCATGACCACGGAAGACGCTCTGTCCTGGACACGGGTTCGCGCACTCGCCTACTACGGTCCTACACACGACGTTCTACACAACGGACCTATCAGCGAATCCTCAATACGCGGTGTAGCCGAAGACCGCAAACGCGAGCTCAGAAAACCAAACTCATGGCACTGGAAAGTGGTAGACACGGATCTAGAGCCTAGCTCGGATGACCCATCTAATAACGGCGGGCGCACAATCGCTGTGTCAGTATGGAGTATGCATAACACGCAAGCAGGAAAAGGGGAGAGTGGAAACAACGAAACTCCCTCCATCCCCGCAGAGAAGGCAGATGACACTCCTGGTTTCCTACCACCGGAATTGCGCCTCGAACCTCTTGGCTCGTTGTTGGGTCCTCTAAGGGCCGCTCAAGCTTCCATCATGGGCACATCGACACCGTACTTTATGCTGAACCAGCTCGCGACGCATCCGGATCATCAAGGTCGTGGAGCGGCGAAGATGATGCTGGATTGGGGGATGCAGAAAGCAGATGAGGAGGAGCTGGCTACGTATTTGGATTCGACGGTCACTGGAAGGCCTGTATATGAAAGGAGGGGATTTGCGCTGGTGAAAGCTCTTGAGTGGGATCGAGTGCCTTGGGGAGGGGAGGGGAAGGACTGGCATGGATGTATGGTTCGGCCAGCAAAGAGAGTAGAGAAGTAGTCGTGTGTTCTGAAGTGACGAGTATAAAATGCAGGGCATGTTGTACCACCTACCTGGATAGCCGGCTAGCCGCCCGAATCGGCCGTAGTCCGAATGCGAACGCCCGGCTCGTGGGCAGCCAACCCCGCAACCTGCGCCCACGTTGCCGGGAAGCCAGCTGGGAGAGGCTCTGTCGTGCTGGGCATGGAGTCTGTCCAGTAGTTTGACGATCGCATCAATAGGCCCCAGCGGCCAGTGACGTAGTTTTGTTCTCTCCCAAGAAAAGTCTCGGGCGCCGATGGGAGCGAGCGCGTGCACTGCTCAGCCTTCTCCGCGCCGCAATGGCCCCAGTCCGTCCTGGTAACATGTCCGGGCGGCGCGGGTTGGACTATGATGCACCTGGGCAGGGGACCTGGGAGCCCGCCTTGAATCCTTCTACCAGGCCGCTCTCCACCCCCCATAACACAGGTACCAGCAAGCTCTCCACCTTCTATCCAACTCTAATCGCCGTCCGCATGTCCGCGCAGGGCTAATCCAGGGGCATGGGACGCAACGCGCGGAAGCGTATCTCGTACGGTAAGTGTCGGCTACTGCGTGCATGCGCCGTCGCGACTTGAAGGAGTCGAGAGCTGACATGACATCTCCCCAGTGCTGCCACTTGCCAACTCGGCCGGAGGACACAGGCTCGGAGTCAATGGCTTGGCCGTCGACCCTCAGAACTCAATTCTGTACGTATCGCCCCGGCCTCTATCAACATGCGCCTGGGCACTAACACGCTACAGCTACTCGGGTGGACGTGATGGCGTAATATGCGCATGGGACCTGCATCTCGACCTGAACAAGACCGACGCCGATGACGAAGGCGACCCTTTTGCCGACTCCAACGCCGCTGACTTGAAGCCTCCGCCTACGCAGTTTCGCAACCAGGTGCAGGCGCACACGCATTGGATCAATGACATCGTACTCGCCCAGAACAACGACGCCCTCGTCTCGGCCTCGTCCGACATCACCGTAAAGGTATGGCGACCGGCTGCCACCGACAAACTCCCTCCGCAAACAATTGGCCTGCACACCGACTATGTCAAGCGCGTCGCATCGCCGGGCGGTAACGAGAACTGGGTAGCCTCCGGTGGGCTGGACCGCAAAATCAGCCTGTGGGATCTCAATGGCGCAGGCAAGAAGCTGGAAATTGCAGTGGGCGAGGATGAGAATACCGCCAAGGGTTCTGTCTACGCCCTCGCAGCAACACCCAACCTCATCGCGAGTGGCGGGCCTGAGAGCATCGTCCGCGTATGGGACGCGAGATCGGGCAAGCGCATTACCAAGTTTGTCGGACACACCGACAATGTACGCGATATCCTCCTTGCGCAGGACGGCGACATGATCCTGACTGGATCGTCCGATCAGACGGTCAAGGTGTGGTCCATGACGGCAGGTCGCTGCATGTACACACTCACCATGCACAACGACAGCGTATGGTCTCTGCACTCAGACTCGCCCGAACTCGACGTTTTCTACTCCTCAGACCGCTCCGGCATTGTCGCGAAGAGCGATGTGCGCAACTGTGCTGAAATGGACGAGGGACTCTCGCTAGCAGTATGCCAGGAACACGAGGGTGTGAACAAGGTCGTTGCAGCTGGCGACTACGTCTGGACTGCTACGTCCAGCTCGAGCATCAACCGATGGAACGACGTCGAAACCGCGGCCGAGGTTGAGCTTCCAGAATCCCACAAGTGGCAGAGAAACAGCATGTCGACTATGCAATCGCGATATCCCTCGCCTCCTGCTGGAAGCCCTCCGACCAACGGAGAGACATCCAAAATACCGCTCAAGTCTCTACTGCGCATGTCCAATACTGCACCCTTCCCACGAGCGCTTGCGACCAAGGATGCCGACGCATCCACTATAGCCAGCGCGCGCAAACCGTCCGAGGTACTAGCCGCTCCAGAACATAATGCTGTTGGTACTGTCCGGGCTCTGCCAGACTTCACAATCGAAGGTCAGAACGGTCTTATCAAACACCATCTGCTCAACGATCGGCGAAGAGTTCTCACTCTCGATACTGCGGGAGAAGTAGTTCTATGGGATCTACTACAGTGTGCACCTATCAAGTCATACGGCAAAAAGCACATGGAAGATGTACTGCCAGAAGTCAATACCCAGGATAGTGTTGCTCACTGGTGCGCCGTCGACACGCGGATAGGAACCTTGACATGTATGCTCGAGGAAAACTATTGCTTTGACGCCGAGACGTACGCAGACGAGCTCGATCTTGAGGAACAAATTGACTTCCGGGAAGACCACCGCATCAATCTTGGCAAGTGGATATTGCGATATCTCTTCTCCAATCTTATCGACGAAGAGATCAAGCGCGACGAGGTCATACGGGCAGAGCTGCTCAAGCAGAAGGAGGAACTACCACAACCAGGTCGCCCAATGAACATTGAGTTACCGAACATGAACATTGACGGATGGAAAGATGCGACTTCCGGACCTACTTCAGGTTCGACCATCCGAGCTGAGAACGGACTGCGTCTACCGCACACGCCAGGTCTGGCTATCGGTCTAGCCACGCCAATGGCAGCACCTATGAGTGCAGGACGCAATTCTACCACCAACCCCCTGACCCCGACCAAGGAGGAGGGCTCACAGCTAGAGAAGACACAGACCCAGCGGAGCTCGACCCAAGAAGGGGGCGACTACTTTGGTTCCGCCTCTGCTGCCAACGGCAACGGAAATGGAAAACCCGCCGAAGCTTCGAAAGAAGGCTCTACAGATTCAAAGGAGGAAACCGTTCAATCACCTACCGAGGCTGACACGCCAGCGAAGAAAGGCAAAGGCATGTTTGGCAAGAAGTTCAACATGGGCTTCAGCATGAAGAAGTTCAGCACTGGCACAGCCGTCCCTGAGCCCGCCAAGCCCGCCGTTGACGAAAAGGCCGAAGATAGCGATTCACGCTCCACCAAGACGGACGAGAAGACCATCGAAGATAACTTCTACGGCGCTCTTCAACGGATACGGCAAGGCTATGAAGAGCAACTTGCGGCTGGCGCGACAAAGTTGGATACACAGATTGCACCCAGTCTGCCCAGCGAGACACCTGTACTAAAGCCACCTGCTCTAACCACCATTTTGATCCAGGAGGATCGCCCTGACTCTGGTGGTGTGGCTGATCTTTTCGAGGGCAAAGTCGGAACCTTGGGTTTGCAGGCTGACCTCATTGAGAAAGCAGCACCAATGTGGCTGGCCGAAGTCTTGCTACGAGTAGGTTAAAGATCTGCATCAGTGCCTAGAGATTTCACAAACTAACTGTGGCAGAACCAACTCCCGCCCAAAGATATAGTCAAAGTATCCTTCGTCCTCGAACCCTTTGGCAACGCACTGCCGTCCATTTCTTCCGACGGGTACATTCCATTCTCCCTCCCCTTCGAAACCGCAGCTTTGGCTAATTCGAAACTCAGCAACAATCGTCTCAACGCAAACCGCATGCTGCGTGCGCGCAAGATACTGGGTTATGTGGCTGAACGCATTGAGCCTGCACCTACCAAGGAGGATCTGGAGAAGCAGGCCGAGGCAGGTGGTGCGCTGAAGCCTGATGAGTATTTGGAGTTGTACTGTAACGGACAGGTAAGTTTCTTCGCTGGCGTCTTATTCCAGGTCTGTTGAGGGAAGCTGCTAATTCTTGTGTTTGAATAGTTGATTCCTCTGACGATGACGCTAGCTAGTATTCGCGCACATGTCTGGCGTGGTGGCGGCGACGTACTTCTTCTCTACAAGGCCAATGGCCGTAAGGAGATCAGACACGCTCCTTATCCTGGTCCGCAGTCTGGTGCCCCACCTGGTCCTATACATGGATTGAAGGTCGGTGCTGGCTTGAACTCCGCACCGGGTAGCAGTAATGCGAGTGAAGGAAGGCAGAGCAGTGAGGCGGATAGGAGTACTAAGGACGCTGCGGTGTTTGGACCATGAGGTGTGTTTGGATTGGGTAGAGTTGGTTAGATGAGAGGAGAAAAGGCGGCTGTCTTGCCGCTAGACTGTGGAAGTTGAATATCATTCTTGGCTCAGAATCAGAGGGTTGTATAGTGTATATAGCATACCTGCTTGCCAGCAGACTCACACATGAGCTCGTGGCCTTGGCCTCATAGGGCTGAGCAGGATGGAGTTTATAGTATAGCCGTCACCAACGTTTCTTCCGATGGCGCCTTTCAGCTCATTTGAATTGTGAAGTAGACGGAACTTCTTCAGTCCTCGACCACACCACCCAAGGCATTACTCGCCCATTGATAGGAACCGAGGAAAATGGCACCTCCCACACTAATCCACCCAACACGCGGGCCCATGCCTGCGAAGAAAGCTCTCGGACCCGATTCCCTCATAATCGACGACAGCATAGAAAACATGGGCTGTTTCTCCCTAGCAAGCATCATCCTCGTCTTCAACACGTCCAACGGCGTCGTAACGCCCGCAGCCACAGCCCCCGCCACACTACCCAACAACCCACCTTCCAACCCACTAACCTCGGTCCTGCCCGTCCTTGCCATCCGCCATTTCTTCAACGCCTCCCAAAGCGGGAACTGAATGACCGTAAAAGGTACCTCCCGGATAATCGTTATTGACCACCCTCGATACAATTCCATCCACACGTGCGCCAAACCCTTCGTATATCTCTGCCTCAGCACAAACGCGAGCGCCTCCCGTGAACTCGGGTGCTGACTCGCCTGCGCCCTCTGCTTGATAACCTCCGTTGGCACCCTTACAGCGCACGCCGCTACCTCTCCCGCACTAGCTGCCAGCATATGTACCAGAGCTTCCGTGCCGCCATCTCTTACATCCTCTTTGTACGGTTTACCCTCGGCGTTGTACTTGATTGTAGCAGGCCTGTTCTGTGAAAAAGATCGTTTTATCGTGTCGTAGGTTATGAAGAAGAGGGCGGCACCCGGGGCGGAACCCACGATTGCGCTGCCTACGCCGCGGTATATGCCATTGAAACCGCCGGATGCGGCAAAGCCGGACGCGGATTGGAGGCGGGTTTTTAACGTGTCGAGCGGGTAGAGGGAGAGGTCTACTGTTGTGCCTGCTAAGCCGCCTGCCTGGGGGCGGGGTGTTAGTGAGTGTTGGGTAGGAGGATCGGTAGCTTTAGAGGAATTGGGGGGTAATTTCTTAGTAGATGAGAACATTGATTACTTACTATGAGTGACCGCAAGTATGGCGACTCAACCCATGCTTGTGGTGGTGCTTGCTTGGGGTCGAGCGCATGCTGCATTGTGAGAAAGTAATTCAGGAACCATGACGATGTTCCGAGAGATGGGCTCAGGAACGGAAGGCCTGTGCGCAAGCTAGCTACATCTTTCGACCAGACTAGTCAGCTCTGTTTGACACTTCGAATGCTCTTTCAACGTAACCTTCGGCTTCTGGATAAGTACTTGCAGATTCAGATTGTTCCACATCGGGAGGAAATTTGCATGAAAGAATATGGCGCATTGAATGATGAGTGGTTCGGCTATCAGTGTAAGATGCCTGGCTAGCACGAGAATTTCGAGACGCGATGTGCAAGAGGAGGATCAGAATGACGAGAAGCATGAAGACTCAGGTCGCGCTGAGTCATGTGGGGTGGTGGATGGAAGGGTGAGAGTGGTGGCCAGCCATGATGGCCCACCAGAACAGTCAAAAGAAGACGAACTGGAGAACGATAGTAATGACCGCCATGGAGATAGCTCGTCATCTCCAAGATCTCTAGATTCATCTTCATCTTCAGAGTCAGAGTCGGAAGACAGTATCAGCGACTCTGCCAGCTTAGATTCTTCTTTGGACAGCAAACACCACACGAGCTGCATACAAGAAGCCCAGCTGTCGGCGGACGGTAGCTGCGTCTTCACATCGGATTACAGCCGTCAGTTTGCTGTGTATCCCATTTCAAACGACATCCTGACTCAGACCACCACCCGGGATCTCTCACCTTATGCATCTCTCCGCTCTTCCGATCCAATCTGGGCTTTTGCTGTCAATCCACTCTTCAACTTACAAGATGCCAGCAGCACGACTGTGCTACTCAGTCGGCGAGATACCTATATCAGTTTGCACAACGCGTTATGGGTTACTTCACGTACATACAGCAACGAGGATACTCAGACCTCAAATGCAGTGCCCGTGGATATTTCCACCCCTCTAGCGTCGTACAAGCTAATCAACAGCCTTACTGAAGCAGTCATTGCCCCTCTCAGCCTCACCTACTCCAACGACGGCGCACATTTCTTCGCAGGAGCAAAAGACGAAATCGCCATCTTCGACTTCCAAGAAACCGACAAACCCATCCACACCATCCGTACCATCCCCGCAAAACGAAACAAGCTCAAAGGGGGCGGCCGTGGGTTCAAAGGCTGGATCTCCGCTCTATCTCTCTCCCCGCCCTCTCACACCTCGCACGACGGCCTCCTAGCAGCCGGATCACGAACCCGCTACATTGGCGTCTACGACCCCGTTGGCGGCAACGAAATAACGCATTTCTCCCTCCCCGGTACTACCAACGGTATCAAGTTCCGCAACGAGAAGCTCAACCACGTCATGGGCGATGGCGTTTCATCCCTCAAATGGAGTCCGTGTGGCAAATATCTCTACGTTGCTGAACGCAGTTCAGACGTCCTCCTCATATACGACGTGCGTAACTTTTCTCTCTCGCTGGGTTACTGCGCCGGAAGGAAGGGACTCACGAGGCAGAAATTGGGCTTCGATATTTGGAATGCGGGGGCCTCTCCGTATGATATCGAGGGTCTTTCGCATGAGGTTTGGGCTGGGGGCACAGATGGGATGATCAGGGTCTGGAGAGATCCATATGTGAAGGAAGGCGCGGTGGAGGCTGATGAGGTTTTTCCTGTGAATGATAGAGGGGTGCCGGTCGTGGGGTCGCTTGTACATGCTTCGGGTAGTTTGGCTGTTGCTGCTTGTGGAGCTGTCGGGCCGGAGGAGGAGATGGAGGGGAGGGGTTTGAGGAGGGGTGGGGGAGTGAGACCGAAGGTGAGGGAATGGGGGAGTTTGGATATCCTGGGGTTGGGCTGAGATACCATGCGTTTTTTATTGGACGCCATCACGCGCAAACGGCTGATACGATACGGAATCCAAATGTCATCAAAAACAGAACAACATGAAGGATACCTGGAAACCTGGTATCATTCCGCGCAATACAGTGTCGGCGTATATTCACAATCCGATTATTTCTTGTACTGCATCCTCCAAATTTGCTTTTCTGACCCGTAAGCGGCTTCAGAGAAGCCGTTACCAAGAACAAAATTCCAGAAGTAGTCGGCTTGACTTTTTGACCCAGGATCATTTGATAACGTATCTGCTCAAAGGGAAATCTCTTGGTGCTGCATGACTGCCGGCGATGCACGCATACCTAACAACGCTGGAGTGTAGCAGCAAACTCTTGACCACTTGCGTAACCATGTCAGAATTGTCCCCAGTCCATTGGCATGTTTCGGAACGATGTACAGTTACATCTGTGAGGGTGGTGGGTCCAATGATGGTGATAGTAGCACTGGACAACCATGATGTGAGCGTATAAAACGAGTATATCCGTCCCGCGAAGCTCCCCGGATAAGTATACAAATCACAGTGGGAGTTTGGCCCTAGCCAAGCGGAAAACGCAGATAATGCCTGACCAAGTAACCATGCAACGGTGGCGTGTAATTCTATGCTTATTCGTGCACAGCGGCAAACATACTCCGACGCGCGTTGAGGCTTGCGATTTTCAATCCTCTGGTAAGCATGTTCTCGCCGCACACTGAAAGCCATCGATGCAGCGGAGTCATGGGGATAGTCGATGGCGGCGCTGTTTCAGCTTTGTATAGCTCGCGGTTGCTTCTCGTCGTCTCTTTGCACGAGTTTGGCGATTATGCTGTCAACCGCAACCTGCAATGGATGGAGTGCCGACAGTAGGTATGAACTCCATTGCTGTGACAAGATTTGCCTGCTCTGGATGCGGTCGAGGAACGAATCGAATCGAGTCACAATATCTTGATGATTCTGGATCTGCCCATTCTTGCTGGGACCGAGATACTGCTCGTAGCGATTTAGGACCCGTTGATAGTCCCGCACATGTATACTTCGTATAAGGTCGAGGTAATGGTCGAAACGAGTCAAGATCTCTCGATGTGTCTGAATGTCTGGACCTTGAATAGGACCGATACTGATCGAAGCGAGTCAAAGTGCTCTTACATCCTCTACTTCGTCTCCCAAGGCAAGGATCTCGCCGGACGCATGGAAGGTGTTTTTGACTAGCCTGGAAATGTGGATAGTTAGGGTCGTAATAGCGATAACCGATGCTGTGAACGAAAGTGGGTCAGCCATGATTCCGACCAGTCTGTTTATCCCTGAATCATGCTACGAGTAATACGATTGTGGCAGATGACGGTTTCGGTGAAAGGATGATAACGGGTTGACGGTTTTATCGAGCAGCGCAATGTCTTTCGTTGGTGTAGATGGTAAGTTTGAGGCCACCTTGGGGCTTGTGGCAGTCCACCCCGTTATCTTATTGTACCTCGCCAGAGATGGCTATGCTGGGCGCAGATTGAGTATGGTAACCCAAGGCTGAAACAATTGTGGAGAATCCTTAGATCTTCGACGTATCCGAAGACGTAGTGAAGCGGGGTATTATGCAATTGGTGCTACAAGGATTCTGTGGTGTATTAGAGGTAACAATGTTTTTACTATCTACCAAAGTTCATTGGTGGTGTTCGTGACTTCGGCCCTGTATGTGTGCAGTTAGCTGACCGGTGAGCGCACGCAGAAATTCCATCGCGAACGCACTTGACTACGAGTAATCTGTGGATACAAAGTTCAAACAAAAGCATTGAATCTTTTACATTTTCCGTAATTGCTCCAACGCCATGCGAATGCAAGTCATGTAGAAGCAAAAGAAAGATTATCATCTAGCTCCACAGCCTCAGTGTTCCATCCGCACCAGCCGATACACACCATGGCTCTCTGGGATGCCAGTCGAGACCCATAACACCCAACCTGCTCTTGACCTTGTGTCCTTTCAATACCTTCAAGGGAACAATAGTTGCGTTCTCCATCAGGTCTCCTACAACCTTTCCGTGGAAAATCTGGATGGTGCCGTCGTCGGAGGTATCGGCGAAGAGAGGTAGACCGCCTTGATGGAAACGTACTGCACGGATAGCCTCCTTGTGGAAACGAAGAGTCTTGTAGGGTTTGTTGGAGAGGTCGAGATCGTGCCAGAGGAGACGCTGGATGGAAAGTTAGTGTATGTCTTATAAGAGGTCTAGCATTTTCAGAATTCACCTTGTCGTATGTTCCGACGATGATGTTATCACCACCGGGATGCACATCAATAGACGAGATCCACTTGGCACCTGGTTGCAAGATCTTAACAAGTTCTTGCTTCGCGAGATCGTAGCTGCGGATGGTGTTGCGGGTAGCGACGAAGAAGATGGCCTTGGAGGGGTGGAATTGTGCTGTTTGTGCGATACCCTTGAGGCGACGGAAGGGGAGTTGAGTGAGATGTTTCGAGACGGTATGGATGGCCACTGCTGTGCTTTGACCGCGAGGCGAGACTGTGGCAAAGTAATCTCCTCTTCGGTGCCAGTTGACAATCTTGACAGCTGATCGGACTTCAACTTGAACGAGAACGCCCTTGTTCTCAAGACGAGCTCCTGGACGGCTCCACTTGCCCGGTGCTTGTTTAGGTGCCTCGCCGTCTGTCGATTTAGGCTTTGACGTTGCGTAACCCCAACCTGCGTCGAGAACCTCGCGACTAGCTTGCTCTATGTCCGGTGAAAGAAGCGTGAAAGGTACGATCAGGTAGACGTTCTCGCCGCAAGCGGCAGCAACGACGGCCGCATCCTTGGTAGGCCTCCATTGTACGGCGTCCACAGCTTCTTCATCTGACAGCTTTGCATTCCAGACTTGGCGACCGGTCAAAATCTCCCAGATCCTCACGTAGCCATCGTCACCTCCGCTCGCAACAAAGATACCGTTTGGATCGATTGACACGCAGCGGACGCGTCCTTCTTGTCCGCGGAAAATTGCAGCACAAGTGGTTGGGAAGGGCTTCAGCTCTTCAGGATTTGGTAGCTTAGGTAGCAGTGATTCAGGGTCGATGTTGAGTCGGTTCCTTCGAATACGAGGAGCCAAGTAGAGATCCAAGCTTCGCTCAAATCGTTCCTTGACGAATGTCTCGTATCCAGGAACCTTGCGCAATGCATCGTAGTTTTTGGGCAAAAAGTCCTTCTCTCGGTCCTCTTCGTCTTGTTCCAACCACGCCTGTTCCTCAGCCTTATCCGGCAGATACTCGGGCGGTGGGTGATAACTCGCTTCGTAGCCAGGCGGTGGCAGCTTAGGGGCGGGAATGTGCATTGAGTTGTCTGGTCGTGGCTTCTCGTCCGCCCATACGTCGAAGGTGAAAACATCCTGCTCTTCTTCCTGCTCCTCAGGTGCCTTGTATGGCTGGATTCTGCCTTCTCTAATTGCCTTGACGAGTTTCATGACGCGCTTCGCCTCGTGCTTGGAGGGAATGAAACGTCGCTTGGGCTCTGGTGCAGCGCTCAGCGGCATAATCTCCTGCTTGCCAGAAAAGTAGGCAACCATCTCTGGGTATGGGTCATATCCGTCCTCAACGACCTCATTCCTTGTGAGCTTCTTGAGTACCTGTAGCTCCTCCTCTGACAGATTCAGCGGCTTTCCTGTCTGAGGATCCGTCAAACCTGTCCAGCCCTTCGGTATGTCGATACTGTCTAACAGCGCATCCAGTGCCTCTCCCTTCGCCGGGCGCATGATCTTCTTGCCGTTGATATCGTAGCCAATATGCGGGTATTCATCGTAGTACTTGAGGTCGATGTTTCCGATCGTGTTCGTAGCTTCGACGTCAGAGTCGTCTGACTCGTAAATTGGGTCGATTTCTTTGTAGATGTAGCGAGTGTTGCCGTGCGCATCGGTAGTGACAGTGTAGTTGGGCTTGAGGTCTTCATCGTCGTCCAGTTCGCCTGTTGCGCCACCGTTCACGTCCAGATCCATTTCGTGCGTCGGTACTCCATTCTTCTTGCGCAACGGAACATCTGAGGTATTCAAATTGCGCATTTCCTCACGGATCTGCTCTGCGTCACTATCTTCATCATCCTCCTCTTCATCTTCATCTGAAAGGCCCTCAATCACACTGCTGGCATCGGTATCGGCATCTCCATCTTGGCTGTCGTCCGAGTCGTCCTCGGAATGCGACAAGATGCCATCGAGCAGTCCTTCTCCCAATTCGTCCTCGGAGTCACTTGGCTCAGGCGCCGGGCGCGTCACTACCTTTCTCTTGCGGGGGTTGACAGACATATTTGGTGTTTGATGTTCACTTGTCACGTTCACCTCGACCTGTCGCAACTTCCCAAAAATTATCGCTAGCGTCCAAGATTTCGGTTTTAGCGCGTCGCACGTGCCAGGCTACCATCAGCCAAGGAAACATGGTCGGGGACCCTATTCGTTACAACTTTCAAACTCCGCAACTCACTTATACCCCACGCAATTGCAACCGCCTGCATCTGCTACTTGAGGACGCCACATCAAAACTGATTGCAGCAGTAATTCCACCGACTCAAGATGGCGACGCGCCACACTGATTACGATCGTAGACGCCATTCCCCACGCCGAGACCGTGACCGCGACCGTGGAGATCGTGGAGACCGCTATGGCGAGGGACGCTTCAGAGACGACCGTGACCGCCGGGACCGCCGCGATGACCGGAGAGAGCCAGATCGGAGGGAGCGCGATCGCGACACCTACCGTCGGCGCTCGCGTTCCCCGCCTCGCCGCCGCGACCGATCACGAGACCGAGGAGACCGTGGCGACCGTGGTGTAGACCGCGGAGACAGCTACAGGCGCGATCGCGACGGTGACAGAGATAGGCGTCGCCGCTCTACTTCCCGTCGACCTGGTTCCCGTTCCTCTGCTACACCTGCACCTGGATCCGATAGCTACAGGCGCGATGACAGGCGCGATCGGGTAGAGCTCGCCTCGCGCGATGAGAGGAAGAAAGACCCAGAAATACAAGTCAAGGATAAGCTTGCTGACCGCGCTGCGAAGCTGGCCGAGTGGAAGAAGCTCAACGCTGAGCGCCTGGGCAAGGAGAAGACCGAGACGCCTGGCTCTGGTACTTCACCGGCTGTCACTGCGCCTGCAACCCCCTCAGTCGCTGTGACGCCCTCAGCAGCCCCAGCAGCTGAGGCCAAGCTTGATACCGTTAAGACAAAAGCTGTTCCACAGAAGAGCGCTACTGAGAAAGTCAAGCAGAAGCTGCCCGAGAAGTCGACCTTCAAATTGGATGCTTCCGCCGCAGCACGTCCACTAGACATGGCCAAGCCTGCGGGCAAGACCGTTACCGCTTCCAGTACGTTCCTCTCTAGCTTCTCTTCTCTGAACCACAAGCTTACACCTGCAGAACCTCCCGTCGTCAAGGCCAATGGCAACATTGGTTCTTTTGGTCTCAAGACCAAGACTGCTGCTGAGACCGAGGAGGAGACCTCCAGAAAGGCTCTGCTCGACGAGGAAGGCCCTACCAAGAAGCGAAAGCTCCAGGCTCTCCCCGAATTCACCACCAACGACGAACCTGAGCCCGAGGCCGACGACGCTGAAGACGACGCCGCAATGAGCGACATTGGTAGTGACGACGAAGAGAACAACGCGGAGCTCCAGGCTCGCCTTGAGAAGCGCCGCGCAGAGATTGCCAACGAGAACCAAGAGGACGCTACCATGGGAGAAGCATCTGCTGTCGAAGCCCCTGCCGACGACAAGATGGAAGTTGACGAAAATGCAGGCGCCGAAGAAGATGAAATCGATCCTCTCGATGCCTTCATGGCTGATCTTTCCGAGCCGCAACCAAGCCGCGGAGCTCCTTCGGGTCAAGCCATGTTTGCTGACGAGCTTGAGCCTGTCGAGACATCTGTCGAGGCTGAGGACCTCCTCGCCCTTCGTGCTGCAAAGAAGAAGAAGAAGGAGGTACCTACCGTCAACCACGATAAAGTTGAGTACGAGCCATTCAGGAAAAACTTCTACACTGAACCGTCCGAAGTTGCACAGATGACACCTGAGGAAGTCGCTGATCTGCGCCACGAACTTGATGGTATCAAGGTTAAGCCAGATGATGTACCCCGTCCCGTCACTAAGTGGGCCCAAATGGGCTTGTTACAGGCTACCATGGATGTCTTCACTAAGATCGGCTACGAGAGGCCCACGGGTATCCAGTCACAAGGAGTGCCTACAATTCTCTCTGGCAGGGATCTTATTGGAGTAGCCAAGACCGGTTCCGGAAAGACACTCGCCTTCGGTATTCCTATGATTCGTCATGTCCTTGATCAACGCCCTCTGAAACCAACTGATGGACCTATCGGACTGATCCTCGCTCCAACTCGAGAGCTAGCATTGCAGATCGTCAATGAGCTTAAACCATTCCTTGCCGCATCTGGTGTCACGATCAAGTGTGCTTATGGTGGTCAACCCATCTCTGACCAGATTGCTATGATCAAGCGTGGAGGCATCCATATCCTATGTGCAACTCCAGGCAGAATGATTGATCTGACAAACGTCAACCAAGGCAGAGTGCTTTCTTTTCGACGCATTACTTACGTCGTCCTTGATGAAGCTGATCGTATGTTCGATATGGGCTTCGAGCCTCAAGTCATGAAGATCCTTGCCAATGTACGCCCCGATCGTCAAACTGTCCTCTTCTCAGCAACTATGCCAAAGAACATGCAGTCTTTAGCTCGTAAAGCGCTGCACGATCCGGCCGAGATCACCATTGGTGGCAAGAGCAAGGTAGCTCCGGAGATCACTCAGATCATCTCTGTTGTCCCTAATAGTTATGAGAAGAAGATCAACAAGACCTTGTTGTATCTTGGCCAGTTATTCTCTGAAGATGAGAATGCGCAAGTATTGATCTTCACTGAGCGACAAGAGACAGCTGAAGACCTCTTGTCCAAGCTCTACAAGTCTAAGTATTTCTCTGTCAACACGATTCACGGAGCTAAAGATCAGACTGATCGTAACGAAGCGATCAACGATTTCAAGCAAGGTGTTCTTTCAATTCTCATTGCCACATCCGTAGCAGCCCGTGGTCTTGATGTACCCGGACTGGCTATGGTCTTGAACTTCGATTCACCTACCCATTTGGAAGATTACGTTCACCGCTGCGGACGTACCGGCCGTGCTGGCAACAAGGGTACAGCTATTACACTCATTGAGAACCCTGGACAAGAGCGCTTCGCTCTTCACATCGTCAAGGCACTCAAGGAGAGCGGTACAGAAGTGCCCCCAGAGCTTCAGGAGATGGCTAACACATTCCACGAGAAGGCCAAGGCAGGTACGGAGAAGTACTATGGCGGTTTCGGTGGTAAGGGCCTTGACAAGCTTGACGCAGCACGTGCTCTTGAGAAGAAGCGCGAGAAGCGTCAACTCAAGTTGGAAGGTGTTGAAGAGAGCGAAGACGAGGAGGAGATCGCGCCGATCATCAAGAAGCCTGAAGTCGCTGGTCCAGGTGTCGTTAAGGCCGCTGACCCAGCTGCAGCTGACGCCGAGGATCAACCACATTGGATGAAGCTACTGAATAGTAAGATTGTGGTTAGCAAGACCGAACGCCCCGATGCTGCTGCCTCTGGCAAGCCGATGACTGCGCGCGAGCGAGCAATGGCCGCTGCTTCCAAGGTTGACGGAAGATTGAGCAAGAAGGGTATGATCCACGCAGGTCAGCCCATCGACAACAAGGGCCCAGATGCTGGTCTTTACCACTCGACCATCGAGATCAACGACTTTCCCCAGAAAGCTCGATGGGCCGTTACCAACCGCACCAACGTCGCCAAGATTTTGGAACAGACTGGCGTTTCCATTACGACCAAGGGCAACTTCTACCCGGCTGGTAAGCAGCCTGGTGAGACTGATCTGCCCAAGCTATACATTCTCGTTGAGGGCGATACCGAGAACATCGTCACGCAGGCTATGATGGAGCTCACTCGTCTTCTGCGCGAGGGAACCATTGCAGCTGAGGACGCCTCTGCGACTCGTGGACCAACTGGTAAGTACTATCCTGTACAAACTGCAAATAATACAAATACTAACTTTATACACATAGGCAGATACAGCGTCGTCTGAGAGACTCCACAAAGGTAAGGTACACTTGATTCAAGCTTTTTTTTCATTTCAGCGTTGTTTTCTTTTCCATGGCGTCAGTTCACTGCATTGGGAGGAACGATCCACTGGTTGGATGGGAAAGGCATGGGACGGAGTTGAAGGTTTCGACAGAACTACGCTCGAAGGGGTTGTATCGGCTTCATGCCTCTCGGGTGTATTAAAACGTAAGCACTCATGTGGTACTCTTTTCAATGTTTTCGTTGATTTACACAACCCGTCGCAGGTGTCTTCTCGGTTGCTAAGCTCTACCGCGCAACAACATCGAGGTGTCAAACCGGCGACGACATCACTGTACATTAAAGCGCTCGGCCACATGGTTCGCCGGTATGCCAGGAGGAGGGAAGATGAGTCTCGATTTCAGGAGGCGCGATATTGTGTAGAGATCTCATTACGGGTTTCATTACCGATTCTGCATCCCCCATATACGCAAGTCTGCCCACATACTGTAGACGAATAAAATTTCTCAGATCATGTGTGCCAATATACATGCAAGCGAACGTCGGTGACTCATTCCTCTGCGCCAGACCCCTTGGTATGAGTACGCTCTATTGCCCAGTATGTAGTGACGTAGCGATGCAGGGCCTCAGTGACGGCATCGCCGACCAGCATCCATCATCGGTACTTTACATGCATCGGATCTGTATCTGTAAAGGCGCCATAGTTGCATGCATATCCTTCCTCTCACCTCACAAGACCGATCGACAGACCTGCTGCAACAACTGCATTTAGCGTCCATCTCCACCTATTTTAGGAATCCTACAGGATCCTGCAGGGGCAAGGACCAGGGAAAATTTCTAACGGCCAGGTATTCCTACTGGCGATGGTAATGGATGGCGCGTACTCAAAAAACACAGCCTTGCCGCCACCAGATCTGGATCTGGATATCCCTTCGTCTCGGATGCGGTTCGGCAACCCAGCTTCGAGGCTGGTCTTACAAAAGAGTTCTGGGGGCCAAGTCATGGAAGTTCGAAGGATTTACTGATAGTGGTATATCCACGGAAAGACATTCCGGACTATTTGGTTGGTTGGTTGAGAGGGCATGTGTTGTTGTGTGATACTGCATGGTAAGGAGAGTCAATCTCACGTGTATTGAAGGGAGAGATTAGCTGAGGCGCTGGAGGTATCCTTGCGTAATTAGACGTTCAACGTCGCCGTGCCGGACGTAGAATTGTGAGTTCTTGGTCAGGGTTATGGACCTAGTAGTCGGTTAGCAGGGGCACAGCATTCGGTATTCCGATCAGCTGAAGCAGAGACTTCGGCATGCCGATCTGGTGCATTACGTACCCGTACTCCGTTTGGATCTCACCCGCATCCTTCAGCACTCGTACGTCGATGAACAGATCGCGAGGCGGCTCCAAACTCCCCGTCAAATCGATATCCGTCCATTGACCCTTGTACGCAGCAAGCAAGTCGCTGTATTGCCTCACGTACTCCTCCTCTTCTGGACTCAAGCTACTCTCCTCTTTTCCACCGCCGGCACCCATACCGCTTCCCCTTCCTCCTTCTCCACTATGGTCCTTGCTGCCCTGTTGTTCGAGCACATCGATACCCTCCCAGCAGTATTCCTCTAGCTTGTCACTCCGTACGCGGTGGTAGGCGAGTAGACATCGCTTGTTCCGGCGCATACATAGGTGGTTTACAAGAAGAGCGCAGGCTGTTTCAGGCGATGCGCTGGGGTTGAAAGAGCCGCTGTAGGGAGCGAGGATGGATGAAACGTCTTTGTCGAGATCGCGAACTTCGCGGACTATGGAGCGCGTGAGTTCTGAGGCGTACGGCGGGAGATGAGGGAGTGCGAGGGTGCGCTTTGCATTTTGTACCTGGGTGACGTTAGAGATACAACGTAGTAGTCTTGTATAGAACATAAGGCTTACCAGTTTATTAGCTGCCTCTCCATACATGATCTATGCTTCAGTCTTTCCAGATATGTTTTGTTTAGGTAGTAATGGAGACGTGGTAGTTCGAGCAAACGCGACTGTCACTGCAATTTGTAGGATGTGCAGAGTAGCTAGCTTCTTGCGATGAGGCGTCGTGATAGAGTTAGTATTATGGGCTTCAAATTGAGAAAAAATTAGTAGTGAGTGAATAGGTGAAGAAGAACAATTGACGTATGTATGTTTCTATGAACGTTTGTTAGACCCCTCATCCGCAAAGGCAGGCGCGTTCGCGACGCGGGGACAGGTGGGGCTAGGCGAGTCTTGGCTCGGTCGAGTCCAACTTCACTCTTCCGGCAATCCCTTTGACAAGACCAGCAGCCCACGCAAGCTCATTCGCCAGCATCCCAAAACCTCGACTAATACCATTCCCTTTGTCGACACTATGGAGCGCGATGGATTAATGTTACGTGCGATACATACGATGTCACGTCACGTCACGTCACTACGTCGAAATGATAGAAGAAGGCTGATTGAACACTAATGCGTACATCTTGGTCTACACACGCCATAACACCATGTCTAAATGCTCTATGCCCCGGAGCTTTCGGTCCGACCAACGCCTTGAACACTGCCCACCACGCGAGAGCTCATGAGGAACAACCCTACGATGCTAAAAAGAATGATCATCGCTTTGGAACAACGTCGCACGTAAGCATGATGGTAACACGACAAACCAGACGCACAAGCTAACGTGATATAGATCACTGCTCGCCCATCCATTTATCGAACTCCGACTCTTGTTCGAGCGACACCATGGTTGGGTCTGACTGCCAGGATTGGTACTCATCGGGCGGAAGATCCAGCAACCCGCCAAGGTTGTGTTGCTCAAGCCTCTCTTCTTGCATGTCCGGATGGACGTTCCGGTATACGTTGTTCTGCAGCGCTGCAGGGTCGATATCCGAGTGGTTACCTCCGTCGTAGGCCAACAGCATGGGATCCAGCTGCCCCTCGTCGAATGGTGTGCCCAGATTTGATTGTAGCAGAAGATCATTCGTATTCCCTCCAGGCAATCCCAGCATTGACGGGTTCGAGTGGAACTGCATGGAAGATGATGGTGTGTCTACCCTCCTCATGTGCATGTCGTCTGCGTAACCTGGACTAATGTGCATGTTTGGATAGGCGGCAGTCTGATAGTACTGGTTGTACAGCTCATTGTGGCTTATCGGCATCGGCATCGGTCTTCCTTCGTTCGTCATTTCCCAGGAGGATCGATTGATACCGTTGCCATTCGGGCCGAACGAGTGATCAAAGTACTCTGCAGCAACACCACTTGACGGATAACTGAACGATCGGTCGACTCTCCTAGCCTGTCGGGAGCGAGATCTGCCACTACCGGGAGCCCATTCGGCGTCGTCAAGGTCGCTAGGTTCTTCATCCTCAGACCATTCGCTTCTTCGTTTCCGAGCCGGAACTGCTGTTTTGCTAGGCGAGAACTTATATGTCGGGTGTGCGTTTTGGTGGTTGATCCTCTCGATCTTTGCGTATTCGTTGTACAGCTCGCGAATCTCCGGTGGCTCCAGAGGCCAGCTCTCTCCCGCTACTGACGATACGACCTGGTGGTTATTCTGAAGACACCATGACTTGGCCCTTTCCGCAAACGCCGACCGATACAGCATAAATGAGTTCATGGGACGAGTGATGTATCCATTCCTCTTCTCCACTTCGCGCCTTCTAACGTCCGCTGGCCTATTCACCCACTCCTCCATGTTCTTGACCTGGATATGATGCAGCTCTTTCGTCAGAATGCTCAGCGGTGCAGTCAGTTTGGGCGTCTTGTGCTTTTCGTTCTTCGGTGCTTTCGCCTTCTTAGCTCTTGGCGTCGCTTTCGGTCGAGGGCTACTCTCGTTCCGACGTGGAGAGCTGGACAATGTCGTGGCTCGTCCACTGCGGGTCGTCCTACGCCCAGAATCATCACCGTTTGTGGATCTTGGCGTCGGTGGCGAGAACAGGGCCTGATCATTCTGGCATTCATTAGCCATCGGATTAAACACGATCAGCGATGCTTGCTTACCGATATGCCGTTGTACGGCCCATTGTGGTAGTACTCTGCCGGTGGACCATACCCATCCTGTATCTTGATCAGCATGGTTATATGTGTGAAAATGCAGAGGCTTTTACATATTGTATACCTAGTCCGAGCCCACGAGGGTGGTTGTCAGCATGTGACGCATGTGAAGGGATCCCTTCGTGCGCCACCGAGCCTGGCGAACCATACCCTGCCTCACCGAATGAATAACCGCGATCTACGTTGTATTGCGCAACCTGGTGCAGCCTGGTCTGGTACTCCAACCCGGCATTCGGTGGGGTAGGGGGGTGTTGTTGGATGAGCGTGTCACTCCTCATCGTAGCGGGTATTAACGCCTTACTTAGTTGCTGCGATAGTGGGATTTGCGGGCAAAGGCTCTGTTCACTTTTACAAATTGACCTCGTTTTGAACTCAACAAGACACACAAGTGATAGAGGATGGTAAACAAGAGTGGGCGCAATTGGGATGGGCTGAATGATCCTTCTGTTGGCCTGAAGTCTCGGAGCCTGGAGACTGACGGGGAATCGTTGCTTCTGGATGCCGAAAGGCGTTTTTCCGGTTTCTAGAGAAGACACTGGATCAGTCTGCTCTCTTTCAGATATGGTGCTGCATATTTGTTAGTAACTATAGCGACTGTATTGCTCTTCGCTGGGTTTGCTTCATCGCAATGATGCATAGCAGTTCGCAAAGAGTTCAGGGAACGAACCTGTTGCAGTTACCCGCTTCTCACCGGCACCAATGCTTCGGTGCAGAGACAATCAACGTGGACGACTATGCGATGCCAATTTGCAAGTCAGACACCGCTGTACTGTTTGAGTTGTGTTGGTTTGGCCCGTGTCTCTTTGTGGCGAAGGCAGAGCTCGAGCAAAGCGTGAAGGGCAAATCAACGAAGAAGGATTCTTTGTTCCGGGTCAGTCCTCAGAAGGTATTTGTAGCGACTACTAAACCTCGAGGTCGACTGTTCACGTATAGTGTATAGTGTACCTGGTCGTCTCAACATGGACAAAGGCACTACCGGATCGGTGCTGGCTGGGCGCGCTTGACACACTGCGAAGTCGCGCTGCTTTGGGATTGCGGGTCTCCCAAGCAATTCAATACCTACAAGATGGCGCAAGACTTAGCCCTCTGGTCCGTTCACGTTTCGAAGTCGAAAATATCATGTCCTTCCTGCTGTGGGGTTGAAAGCGGCCCTCAGCCCCTCCAAGGCGACTGCTATAGACGGAAGCTACTCTTAATCTGGGTGCCCTTCTCTAACTTTCGCCTACCCCAAGAAGCTGTCTACCAATCTCGACAGGGATTTATGATGGCTTGCAGCAGTCATGTGCACTGGGCGCTCGCTATAGCAAGCCACACGCTCACTGGTATCTTTAGCCTCTAGAGCGACCCTTGGAGTTGTGTTCCACCAGATCATGGGCTGCATTCTTTGCACCAATTGAATTACCGGGGGCTGACGGACTCCCTTCCTCTGTAACCAATGACATAGATGGTACATGACCACATTTTTTCCTCAGGCTGAAATTGGTTGGGCGACCAAAATCTGGGTTCTTTCGCTACGTAGCTAGGCCCGGTGTGCTTTTTACGGATGGCTGCATCCCATCATGCCAGAACCCTGACAGCTGGTCATGCTTGGCAGGGCTGACCACGACACCACGAGATCTAATCTCCACAACGCGCGTCAACATCTATCTTCACAATCGGTTTACAAGCAGCGTCAAATTAGGCATCTTTCAAATACTCAATCTTAAACACTTCATCATCATCTTGCGTGTGCTGGACAAAGGACCAGCACAGCAATTCCGACATATTGGTCAAGATGCGCCTCCGCGGCGAGGCTTAGGTGTGTGTTGACCGCTTAAGCCTTGGATGATTTCGTCAATTCTGCTTGTTCGTCTATTGAGGCCAATGTTCAACGCCGACGACTTCTTCGGTAAGCCCGTTACGATCAACTAGTCCTCAACGTCCTTAGGCGACAGGCTGCGGACAGCTGGGCAACGTCCTGCATGTTACATGCATAGAGTAGAAGTTCGGTTGCTTCCGGTCGATCGTATTGACATGGGAACCTGCCTCTGGAATGCGTACTATCACCTTTTCGGCAGAATAACCAAACGATTCCGACCTGGGGCGACCAGGTTTGACCGAGCCTCAAAGACGAGAGTGATTGGTTTGAGCAAGCGCGAAACATGAATGAAGCCACCGTCTGCGACATTGCTTTGAGTCAGGAGGCTTGAGTGAGTTTGTGGTGTTTGAACATGCATGTTCTGACCGGTCTACCTAAAAGTGAACGCAAACGTGCTATCAACACGACATGATGTTCTCACAGCACCGCAGAAGCCTACGTCAGAATACATAGTCGGTATACACAGTGGGTACAACAGTGGCGACTCGAGCTACTCGTAATCACAGGTGTGGAGAGAAGCCTTTGAGCACATGTGCGTGTGATCGGCGCCGTAACTGTCAATGCCCGCCTCCACCGACCCAACTTCGCATTGCTCAGAAAGGCCATATCTCCGTTGCCTCCTGCCGGCCATGGTAATTGCAGGAATCCGTTTCCGTCGTCTTCCAATACTGTGATTCCGTCTGCAGAGCTAGAAAGATAAGCTCCGTTGGCTCTACCCGTCATCGACCCGAATCAATTCGGTAACAGACCTCTCCGCGCCTCGTGATACGTTGTACAACAGTCTTATCCCCCTAAACACTCGGTACCTTGAAATAACGACGAATGAAGAGCTGTTGCGATCCCATCCCGCGGAAGCTAAGAAACAAGGTCAGCCCTCATCTTCCTGTGAAGAAGGGTCTAGCGGTTTACCCCACTTTCCCAGCGGTGCTACCATGGGACGAACTCATGGCACGGGAATGCCGTCGATAGTGTGATCGAAATCACTAACATCATCGAGCTTGAAACCTCTTATGCTCAAGCTTCGGGCCTTTTCTGCTCACAGGATAGCAAGTGCCGCGCCGCCGGCAAACACGCATTGAAGCCGCATCTACGTGACATCTCGCACTCCGCATATGTCCAGTCGCGTCGAGTATACACGCCCCCGGTCCCAAGAAGGTGGCATTGGTACGCTAGTAGGCGCTCGTGCAGTAGGCCAACGGTCGCGGTTGGATCGAGCAATTATGCCGCGAGGTACCGATAAACACAGTGATGATTGGTATGGATATCATGCAAGTATCGCACGATGTGCCCGACATTACTCAACTCACCTTGATCAAGGTTTGCCCGTTCTAGCGTAATCAGAAGACACGGCACAGGGGTACAGTTGGTTGTGTAGCTTCAGAGCAAAAGCTTACGATACGTCTCTCGCGAATAGGCATACCCTGACACCCCACCCAATAATTGGAGATGGCTGTCGCTTCTGGCGTCAGAGCGCTTATGTCGGATAGTCGTCCGGCTAAAGTAGGTTTGTGACGAGCGACGCACCAGCGTCAGGGAAGCACATATCACATAACGTGCAAGATCCACCAAACATAGGCCTACGCTCGATAATCGCTTTCCAACAGTTCGCCCAAGGTTATCATAGACTCAGTGCCACCATCAACCTTAGGATACACTTTTCGCTCTACCCCTCACTTTCTGTCAATCCTGCTTCCTTCCTTGTTTCTTTTGGGTAAGGCGCTAGCAATACTCAAACCACAACTCAACTCGTTTCCCTGTTGAACTGATGCGGCTCAAAAGCGACATGGGTCTTCCCATAACCAGCTAGCACTGTGTTACGTCACTCCATGGAGTCGGTACGCGCTAGCACGTGATGCTACTAACGCTGCGCTCCCATCGCTTACCCCAGTCGCTGGGCAAACGCCTTTTGCAACGGCTGCCAGACTGGATCTGGGAAATGGTGATGTGTCCGAGAAGTGGCGAAAGTGTACGTCTTCGCTAGCTTACGTTTCTTCTGACAACCGTACTTTTGTTGACCTATCTAAATCTATGCCGAGAGTACACGAATTGTCGCGATACTGAGATTTTTCTTCTCAGTGCGGGACTTCATAGATCTTTGGGATAAACAGATGCAGGTCATGTGGCGCGCACTTCGTTCCGTGAAGTGGTTGCGCGGCCAAAAGCTGTCGTAAGATATAAAGCATGAAGACCTCCTGTCTGTTGATTTTTGGAACTCGTGCACTGTTCACAGTAGCGATTCCATCAAGGAAGTCTGCGTCGCTTATCGGAGAGTCTAAGAATGTTTCGTCAACTTTCACTATGTCTCTGAGGTGATTCACTAGGTAGTTGTTCCGATGTGAGAGACATTGTGCCATGCAAAAGATTTCATGATACAATGTGCAGGTAAATATTGAAAAAGGTATGGATAGGATGCGGTTGCCAAAATGGAGCTAAAGGCCAATTTTCAATACTTCAAGCATTGAAATCTTACACAAATGTCGCAACCGTACGAATTCGGAAAACAAGACTCTGTTTCGGGTGACGGGTTGACAGATGCCCTAGGTATGAACGGTAAGGCAAGGCAGAGATCGTCCAACCACTCCTCGCAGTTTGGTGAGAGTGACGAACCTACGTCGCCAAATCCTTTAGGCGAACACGCGGACGCGGACGCGACGCATGGAAGGGAGAAAGAGCAGAATGAGGAGACACAATCGGGCAGCATCGTTAAAGAGCCTATTTACGAGGGGGAGCAAAATACATCGAGGCCTTCACTGCAATCAAATGTATCGTCTTTCGCTGCCCCGACCAAAGCATCGGAAGCGAAGAAGAACGAGAAGATCGAGCTTGCTTCTTTTGTGAAGAAGATCTACTCCACCAATGAACTGGCTATCCGATCGAATAATGCGATGCGGCAGCATTCGGTTTCTGTTCTTGATAACCAACGATCAAGTTTAAAGCAGCGCTCTGTCACTACCTCTACTCATATTAGAGAGGAGGAGAATGCAGTTGATCATTCACCGCCGTATATGAAGTTGCAGTCGAAGAACATGCGGTGTCACAGTCTTGCTTCTACTATTTCCGATAGGTCGGCGGGAGAAGAGGGAATTCAAGGGGAGGTAGAAAAGCCGCCCAGTCTAGAAAAGGAACTGCTAGAGGAGGAGCTTCCGGATGAGCAAGCACAAGAGGAGGAAGTACAAGAAGAAGAAGAGCCATGCATGCAAGAGCAGAAGGAATTAGAAGAAGTGGAAGAACCCAGTACTGAGTTTCAGGAACCGCAAGAGCAGAAGTCTCCCTTGGCGAAAGACATCATGGCGTGGACATCGCAAGGAGGTCGCGTCACGGACCTAGAAGAGCAAGTTGCGACAACTCAAGGTCAGATCGAAAGCGAATCACGAAATGGTACAGAAGCAGACGAGAAATGCAGTGTCGTGATCTCAACGGACATTGACGATATTGCACTAGGTAAGACCACTGCAGACATGGAAGAACTGGAAGCCGGACTCGAGGATGCGAAGAGACAGCGTGACGAGGTGATGATGCGGTGTGAGACAGTACAACGAGACTTACAAACAGTCAAAGACGACGCCGAAAAGCTGCAGCAAAAGCACAACAAGCTGATCGTACAACTTCAGCACAGTGAGGAGCTAATTGCAGCGCGCAACGTTCGCGAACCTAATCTACCTGCTCTTGAAGCAGTTGAAGCAGTTGAAGCAGAGAACAAAAGACTTCAAGTGGCGGTCGGCAAAACGCGGCTGGAACTTAACAATGCAAATGCATGTTGCGAGAACCTTGACGACCAGCTGAGAGACGCTCAAGAGAAGCTTAACAACCAGGAAACATCTATCAAAGAACTATGTGAAATCATCGACTTGGTATCTCAAAGTATGTCGCAAGGCGTCGATATTCCCGTTCCCCAGTCCGAAGAGCTTTCTCAGAGCCTTGTGCAGGCCTCCGAGATAGAAAGATTACGGATCAAGATTGCCCAATTAATTGGAGGGTATGGTAAAGACTTCAAGAACTGGCATGAAAAGAATGAAGAGCTGGAGCGTCAGATAGCGGATCAAGAATCTGAGATCAGTAGGCTAGAGAAGACCATGGACATCCAGAGAAGAGAATTATTGAGCCCCGGTCTACAGAGCCCGATGTTCCCGCAGGCGATGCAGATGGATAGAGATGAATTTCAGCAATATTACGAGCGCGAGCGACTGAAGCGCAAAGGCGCAGAGCAGGAGCTCGCGAAGGCGAAGAAGCTGTTGTCACATATTCACCCCGAGAACGAAAAGCTACAGTCAGATCTCACCAACGCGCAAGAAGAACTCGCAGATTTGCGTCCCAGAGCTGAAAAGCTGGAGCAGGACGTCAAGGGGTGGAAACAAGACTCCGAGGAAAAGAATTTGCAACTTGAAGAACGCACTCGTGCGTTTGAAGCCAGTACCGACCAACAGAAGCAGGAAACCCTCCGTTATATCAAGGATTACTACAACAAAACCAAGGACGAAACACATTGGGAAGTTCAGGGTCTACAGAAGAAGCTCGCAGCCTTGGATGAAGAACGCGTAGGACTCAAACGAGCGTTCAAGCAAGCGAAGATGGATATCGCACGCTTGGGAGATTGTGTCACCAGACTAAGGAAGAGAAACAAAGCCCGTGACGCTCATATTGGAAACGTACAGCAAGCGTTTATGTGTGGTGAAGAATTTCCCACCCTTGAGTCCGATGACGACACTTCATCTTCAACTTCAGCCTCCACGATCTCGTCGCTCACTCACCCGCTTGATCGTGTTAACAGGCCGCCATCTATCCCACGCTGCCACCTCCCCACCACAATCGGAGCGCGCAACGCCGTAATAGCCACCTATCATCAGGAGCTCGAGGAATTGCGAGAGCAAGAATTGTTTAATGTGATTGTCAAGCCACCCGTATCTACCAAGAACAAGAATGGTGCCGCATACAATGAGATCATGGAAAGAGTGCGTGAATGGAAGATGGGAAGTTCGTATTCACCTAGAAAGCTGGGGTGGGGAGAACTAAGGCGAAAGAGTCCGTGGGAGAGGTGGGATGGAGAGATGTGGGCAAAGGAGTTTGCTACGGGGAAGGATGTTGATGTTCTGAAGGAGAGAGGGCTTTGGCATGAGACTTAGGTTTAGTAGTATACCTTTGAAGTTGGCGTCAAAATGGCAATAGAACAAGTTTAAGTTATTGAGATCACGACTGACTGTGGAAATCTTTACCGCTAGTTGACCTGTACCCTAGGAAATCTCAGCGTCTATATCCGGGCTGTCACGAAAGTATATCACGGTATCTATCATGTTCCTCGTCCACTACCACTTTCTGTTTGCACTTATCGCATGAGCCCTTCTCCACATCGATGTCTGGTGCGACATTATTGGTAAGAGAGGCGCATTCGAAGGTCAGTCCCGAAGGACCCAAAATAGCCATACCATGACCGCAGTTTCGTCCGTCACGTCTGATGAGTGTATGGCATCTCCTACAGCAGGTGCGGATGAAGTGGCACATAAATAGTCGTTTTAATCTTCGCTGGTGGAAGAATTTAAGAATGTGTGTGTGTGTGTGTGGAAAAGTGTTGATTTATATAGAGAGAAGGCTAGACAATGAGACGTACGTGTCTGAGACATGAACGTGAACTTGCGGCGATAACGCTAAGTGATTATATCCAACGTGACGACACCGCAATACAAATAGCCACGAACGTGAAGAGTCACTCGCCCCATGCAATGAACAAACTAGATAGGCACAGAAAACGCTTCTACTATGTTGCCTACTACAACAACACTAACACAGATATCACATATAGATATAGATAGCTTAGAAGTATACATTAGTATAAGATGTCTTTTAGTTTCTTAATATATGCGGTTGTAGGATGCAACGTAGTAGAAGGGTTTTTAGCACCTGTCCAGTCTCTTCCTTGTATAAGGTGCACTCAACAACGAAGCAATGCAGTAATACTCTGAAAGAAAGAGCCTGAATCAATGAGAGCAAGCCGGATATGGTATTATTTGGTGATATGTATACTGGATACTGTAGACCAGGTCTACTCAGACAGCCTCAGTTGTTTGAGTCTCACCCTTCTCTTTCTTGGCGATGTTCTCAATGGTGGCAAGAGCGTCTCCCTTGGCTTGCGCGGCTGTAACGTTCTCGACATTACGGGCGAGGTGCGAGCTACCCTTCTTGGTCTGCCAAGCATGCGGGCCATCTTTGCTGAACAAGACTTCGATCTCTTCAAGAGTCTTGCCACAAGTCTCGGGATATGTGAAGAAGAACTGGATAGATGCCAGAACACAAAGTACCCCGAAGACCACGAATAGTCCCCACTTGATGTTGATGAAGGCTGGCGGAATGAAGAGCCCGATCGCGAAATTGAACAGCCAGTTTCCTATGGCCGCTATGCCCATTCCAGAAGCACGTGTTTCTAGTGACCACACCTCAGCGGCGTAGACCCAACAGATGGGGGCGAGCGTAAGCGCGTAGATCTAAAGGCATGTAGTCAGTACGTAATCTCAACGGATGCACCTAGAGAAGTTACTTACAATGATTAACAGGTATGAAAATGCGATGACAGTGTACGCGGGCGATCCGGTAACCTCCATGACGACGTTCTTGTCCCCACCGACACCATCGGGAACATAAGTGTAATGAGCTCCTAGTGTTCCTCCAACCACAAAGTGGCATATAGCCATCGTGATCGCACCCCAGAATAAGAGCGTCCTTCGGCCAATCTTATCGACAAAGAAGAACATGATTGACGAGAAGATGATGAACAAGGCGTACTGCACGCCGGATGAGATGAGCTTGGTGTTGCCTGAAAGACCTGCCATGGCGAAGATGTATACGACATAGTAAGTCATGACCTGTGAGTAGTTAGAAACATGGTACCACAAAAAGTGTCTCCCAACATACATTCGCACCCGAAAGTTGTTGCCATGCCTGGACAGAGAAACCTGCGAGGGTTCGCTTCCACATGCCGTTCACAACGAACTTCCTCCATCCTTGGGGAGCTAGACGCTCAGCAGTAAGCGCTGTAACAATCTCCTCGTATTCGGCGATAACGTAGGGGTCCTCGATGTTGCCATCGGCTTGGATGGCGGCCAGGATGTGAATTGCTTCTTCTGTGCGGTCGACCTTTGCGAGCCAACGGGGTGACTCAGGCAGGAATGGCAGTCCAATCATGAACATGACGCAGGGAACGAACTGGATTCCCCAAGCGGTGCGGAACGAAGCCGTAGCGCCAGGAATAAACGTACATCCGTAACCGATGAAGTACCTGTACAGCATTAGTACGGCTATCTTACCTATATTCAGCTTGCTTACATGATAAGAATACCCCACTCGATAGCTAGTTGTTGGATGATGATAATCGCGCCACGCTGAGAGTGTTTCGAGATTTCGGCGAGGTAGACGGGTACCTGAGACGACGTAATACCGACAGTTACTCCGTTCAAGACGCGACCAGCAATAAGCATACCGCGACCTGTGCAAGCGACCTGTATAGCGGTACCGATAAGCCACCAAATACAGGCGAATACAAGAGCGTCGCGACGACCGAACTTGTCGGAGATGGGACCAGCCATAGCACTGCCAACTACTGAGCCCGCAGCAAGGGCAGAGCCAATGGCTCCTTGAACAACACCAGATGGGTTATCGAAGTATTCACTGTTCAGTGTTAGGGGACGTTTTTTTGGAGATTCTACCATCGCGGCGACTTACAGGTACTGGTCGCTTGGAATGATAGCGCTCATCGATGAGATATCAAAACCGAAGAGCATACCTCCCATCGTGGCAACAATTGCCAAGAAGTAGACATTATAGATCTTGGGAAACTTTTCGAACATCTTGACTGGATCCTCTCTAGAGCCTAGGTTGACGCAAAGATGGCAGTCGATTGACCTGTCGATCCACGTTCGCGGGGAATGTCGAATATAAAGGCCTCAAGAAGTCGGCATTACACGCCGGTTTGCACAACGTGATAATCATCTCGCTTGAAGCAACCATCCCCGCTGGGGTCCTTGCTCCGCATGAGGCTCTCCATACTGGCACACTCGTCGGCTAGGTAAAATGGTTAAAACGCGGGTTTACCGATACAAGTATAGCGGCCGCATGCCAAGAAAAGCCTGCCGACTTGAACATCGGAGAGAAACGAGATCGAGTCATTATCGGACCCCAGATGATTCGTGGAAAATAAGGCGTCTGGAGATGTTGGGGTTAGACTGGAGGTGGAGACACGCGCGCTCGAGGTCGGAGAGATGTGGAGATCGCCTCACCCGCGTTGTGCATGTGTCGATGTCGTCAGTGGCGCTTCTGCCGAACCGGCGGCTCTTTTTCGAAGCCTTGCCGGGACCCGATGGCGCAGTCCAAGGTTGCTTCGATGCGACGATGTTACATGTAGACTGGAAATACTTCCTGATGCGATATGATTTCCGCGTGTTGTTAGGTGATTGGGCAGGAATGCGATGGAGTGGTGTGAACAATCCATCGCAGGGTGGAAGTGCGATCCTTCCTCTGCTTGGCAACGTTCGCTCTCATCTCCCGATTTTGCCTCGGCATCGCGATGTTGTTATTGGTATGCGACTTCGTGGTCGCATTGCATCGTGTTACCTACAAATTTGTTTGCGGCAAAAAGCATAACATGGAAGCAAAGATGACGAAGTCTTGCCAACTGAAGTGTTGTTCGTTACAGACGCTTCTAAAATTCGCGCAAATAAACTTCAAGAAGCCCTGTCATGATCGGGGTGTTGATGGATATCGGGTTTGCTCATCGGTGATCCTTCCTGTCTTCCTTCGTATTCGGGCCAACTTACCGCGCCGCTTTGTGCATCAACCCTTGGATGTTACATGATGTGGATGTTGAAGCGAAACAACCTTGGATTTCAGGCCGCTCACAGGAACCTATGAAATCAGGGACAGCAGCGAAGCTAAAGCGCTCAGTGATGTCGGTAAGGACTTCATATGGTTTTATGTATGCCAACGCACGAACAGCCTCCGCTCAGATCTCATCTTGAAGGCTTTACGTTTCCGCTTCAGCATCGAAAGCATCAAAAGCGCTGACGCTCTACTGAGAAAATCACCCCTCTGGGAGCGTGAGCCTTCAAAGGTTACGCACATCGAGATAGGGTTTAAAAGTGACACAGCACTGTCGGGTGACCATCAAGGCCGTCAAAGTTACTGGAGAATGGTAAGCAATCTCCATGGGCTCGAGATGGTTCGCATCTTTGCTGATGGCACCTAGGAAGAGAAAGAGAAGGAAGATGAGATGCTAAAAGCTGCGATGGAAGCGTTCGGTTCGTCTCTGGACCGTTCTCGGAGCGGATTGCCGACTGTTAAGGTCAGGGTAGTTTGCATAAATCCTGATTCTGATACAGCACTACCGCATACAAGGAAGAAACTAAATAGATGTTGATAAGTTCTCTGCTATGCTGCAATCCGCAACAGTATAACAAGGAAGCTTAGGACGTTTAATAGTATTGCAGGCTCCTAAGTACCCTACTTATATACATAATGCTTATGCTACGTTTACTATAGTAGACCAAGATTAAAAGCTTGCTAAGAACTGTTCAGTTCTTTCATTGAACCTGGTTGCGCTGTGTTCGCAGGATCGACCTGGAAGATCCGATGCGTGTGTAGGTTCGACAGGTAGCCAAGCCACTCGGCAATACTTGAACAAGCCAAGAGAAGCTTTATTGTCCAGAATACAAGGACTTGATGTCATGAGCACTACGATCATGATCGAGTTTGTAGCATTCATGCGTCACCAGCAACATGCGGAAAGAATAGTGATGGTAATTTCACTGCTCTCGATGGTGCATACGACACCCACATTGGCGATATTAGATAGACTTTCTGGGCGTGTGGCGCATACTGGAGAAGGCACGCAAGCCGTGCGAAGCCGTGACGATGGAGATGGTCTGCGTCATCAACTTTTGACGACTACTATTTGTTCTGTCGATGCGCTGTCGCCCACAAGGGACTTTTTCCAACAGACTCTATCTCTTGACGCTGTTTTGAATGGAACCTAGCTGCGCACAAGAATGCTTTGTACGAGACGGAGAACCGCAAATACGGCGAAGATGTGTATCGCGAAGTGTTGTCACCCTAAACCTCACTCGTCCCCAGGTAGCCTCACAATTTTTTCACTAATATATACTGCACACTCATACTCTACACGCGTGGTTCTATGCCGTTGGGCAAGAGTGTTAAGTATTCGTACGAAGTTTTGATGTTCGTGTTCTGGTTTGCCGCCCCCTGAACCGCCCGTGTCCCCGCGGCTAAGTTCGGCCACCTTACCGTCAGTGGCATCAAAACCACACTTCCGATAGCCAGAAGTCCACAATTTTCTGTGGGAAGGTCAATTCCTACCGTACGAACAAGTTCCCCGCGCGTTTGAAGTTTGAAAACCGGCCAAATTTCCAAAAGTTACAAATTTTGACCCTACGAATATATATGCACAAAAACCCCCTTCTTCCATCAACAACAACAACAAGAACAACAAGTTCATTGGTCCTGTGGTCTAGTGGTATGATTCTCGCTTAGGGTTCCCTCTTGGGGTCAATAACCTGAGCATTGCTTGCGAGAGGCCCCGCGTTCGAGTCGCGGCAGGACCCATCTTTTTGCGCTTCTATGGGCCATAGCAGGCCCTACAGACATGACGGAAGCTTGGGAGACGTTTAGAGACATACATCCCTGAGCCCTTCGGAGAGTCCGTAGCTATGTGTGCTCATCCGTGGAAGATGTCAACTTTTATTTTTCATGGAATTCGGGCTTTGACAACTTGAAGAGCAAGCGGCCATCGCATGCGGCGGGCATACATATAGTATCGGAATCTCATTTCGCCCTTCTCCAACATCTCTTGACCCTTTGGAGTCGTCTGCCAGCTGTATGTATGTGCTCATGCGTGGAATGTTTCTTTTTTGATGCCCAATCTGGTCCTGCGCTACTTGAGAATCTCGCGGACTCCAAAATCCACAAATCTGACAAATACAACCCTCAATCAACCTTTTAGTAACACCGTCTGCTGTCTTCGTCTTCTCCTTTTTGCTTTTCTGCGCTTCTATGTATAGTCTGTTCGTAGCGTGCGAAGTGGACCGCCGTCAGGGGTCATAGCGCGAACCCTCCTGCTCCAAGTAGAAAACCACGACAACCTTGGAAACATCCAACCTCACCGAACCTCACAACACCAGAATCAGCACACCTTTCCAGCCCGCAACCTTTGTACTTCAAAATGCAGTTGCGATGGGACTACCCGAACCCGAATGAGTACATTATAGGAGCTTGGGAGCCAAAGACGTCAAATCACAAGTGAGTTTAGGTGCGGTACCTGCATGGTTGACTGGGTTTGGCTGACTTGTTATAGCTTCTGTGAAGAGGTGCGATATCATATAAGACTCAGTTTGTTTGATAGAGACTGACGAACGAAGGACTACATCATCACACCGTACATTGGCGAGTTCATCAATACCCTCACAAACATTACCTACGGTCCGTACAACTTCAATCAACACCAGAAGCATAAACTAACTCACCAACCAGTCATCTACGGCCTCTATGGTCTCCGCCGCGTCGCACCTAAACCAGATGGCGGACTAATCTCAACCCTCGCATTCCCCTACTGGGGTCTAATCGGCGTAGGTGTCCTATCAGCCTGGTTCCACGCGACCCTAAAATACCACTCGCAAATGGGCGACGACCTATCCATGTTCTTGGCTGTAGGTGCCATCTTGCACCAACTCCTCTGTTTCGGCGCCACGCAATCCGAGCGCCGGAAATACACCTTCTACATACTCGGCAGCCTAATCCCCATCTCCATCTACCACGTCTGGGCCGACGAAATCATCATGCATGAAATCGCCTTTGCCGTCATGATCTTCCTTGTTAGTAAGCAGACGCGCGCACTGATTAAGAAGCAAGTCAAGAACGAGGAGAGCAGGAAGAAGTTGGGCAGAATGGCTACGTTTGGGATTTCGACCGGGCTTTTCGGATACTTCCTTTGGAATATCGATTTCCATCTTTGCGCCTATGTTACGCAGTTCAAGCGCTATGTTGGGCTGCCTTGGGGGTTCCTGTTCGAGCTGCACGGGTGGTGGCACATTTTGACTGCTATTGGTGCGTATGTGGGTATGGCGTTGGTGGAGTATCTGGTTACTATTGAGGAAGGCAAGTCTGGAAAACTCGAGGAGGGATTTGTGTGGCCTGTTAGGGCTGTGCTGAGGGATTTGGACGGTGTTGAGCGAAAGGGTGTGGAGAGCAAGAAGACGATGTGAGAAGATGATGGAGCACGGGACATGTATGCTGAAGGGATGAGCGAGAAACTTGGGCGCTTTTGTGTTATACATTTATTGCTGTATAGCTGTAGAGATAGACCGACGCTGAAAGGAACTGTCATTGGCGTGGTCTGTCTTGGATATTCAAGGCCTACCTTGAAGGTATACACTGTTGCATTGTGCATAATAACGAGCTTCTTCTTCGTACTGCCGCAACCACTGCTTGATCATGAGTGCCGGCCTCGCGGCTCAGCAAACTTCCGTCTCAACACCAAACAACTATTTTAGCTTACCAACTTAATCCACGCTTCATCGTCGATTTATCCAAGCAGCACACAGTTGCGCATGAATTTCGCTGGAGGTATCGCGTAAAGTCCATCAACCTCCGCCACATCAGACCTTGATTGGCTACACGGCGTTAAGATCTGGACCCGGCAGATGGGTGTGGAGCCCAGCGTCATCACATTTAGTTACATAAAAATGATTTCGGGTCCGAGAAGACGGCAATTTGATATAAGAGCTCTGTGGGATAACTGTGAATAGGACATCAAACAACCTCAGCAGCTGCACAACCACTACACAAGCAATTGAGGCACCAGTGATCAAGGTTTAAAAGTTCCATCTACCCCACTATTCAACTCCAAAACTTCAGAGAAGCTTAAACCAGCAAACATGCCTGAACTGGTCGGAAAGAACGTAGGCCCAATAGGCTACGGCCTCATGGGTATGCACATCTTCACCTAACTCACCGTGGCTATCTACTAAGACATCACAGGTCTAACATGGCGCAAGAACTCACCGCCAGCCGAACAGAGCTACGAAGCTATGCGCACGGCACTCTCACTCGGTGCGAACAACTGGAACGGTGGCGAACTCTACGGCTCACCAGAGCGCAACTCTCTACACCTTCTCAACGAGTACTTCACCAAGTACCCAGGTGATGCAGAGAAGGTTGTCCTATCCATCAAGGGTGGTCTCAAGAAAGGTGAGATGGCGCCTGATGGCAGCCGCGAGAATGTGAGGCGCAGCATCGACGAATGCTTGAAGGTCTTGGATGGCAAGAAGAGTCTTGATCTGTTCGAGTGTGCTAGAGTCGACCCCAAGACACCTATCGAAGAGACTGTCGGCTACATCGCAGAGTATGTCAAGGAGGGTAAGCTCGGCGGTATCAGCTTGTCGGAGGTTGGTGCGCAGTCGATCCGCAAGGCGCATGCTGCTCACCCCGTCTCGGCCGTCGAGGTAGAGTTCTCGCTCTGGTGCACTGACATTCTTGAGAACGGTGTCGCGGCGACGTGCGCAGAGCTGGGTATCCCTATCATCGCGTACTCTCCTCTTGGACGCGGGTTTCTGGTAAGCGCATCTCTTCCCAACTGACGACTTACTGCTAACGCATTGAAGACGGGCAAATACAAAAAGTACGAAGACATCGAGCCCGACTCTATGCTCCAACACATGCCTAGATTCCAGCCCGACGTCTTTGACGAGAACATCAAGCTACTCCACGCTGTCGAAGACATGGCCAAGGCAAAAGGAGTCACACCAGCTCAGATTGCCATCGGCTGGGTACTCGCGCAGAGCGGTGCCAAGGGTATGCCCATTATGATCCCAATTCCTGGTGCTACGACATCGGAGAGGATCGAGGAGAACATGAAGCCGGCGAAGCTCAGCGACGAGGACCTGAAGGCGCTGGATGACATGTTGAAGGCGTTCCCTCCGATTGGCGCCCGGTATCACGAGTCCCAGTCGGCATTGTTGTTTGCATAAACACCCGTAGAACTAGTCTGAAGCATGTTAGTACTGTAATTGCAATGTAACAAGCTTATTGTGTATGGGAATAGAAGATCAGAAATAATTGTGTAGTGTAGAGCTAATCCGCATTTGGGCAGCTGTGAGGCTGCTCTTTGGAATTGCAGAACTCTGGAATAGATCATCATAGAACTGGGATGAAGGAACTAGCAAAGGAACTTACTGTACATGTCTGCGTGGTGGTTGGGAAGTGAAGAGGGAGGATGTAAGATTTGCGGAGCTGACCAAAATATGCGCCGAAAGCTAAACGGCTGGTCCCTGCACCTCCGCTAGACGTCCAACACGCGCCGGAGAAGCATCACCACGCTCTCCTCTCCCAAACGCGCCTAGAGCAGTTGCAACATTCACATCAAACCGCCATTATGGATTCGCCTTCAGAGCTCTCCGAGTACGGCAGCGATGATTTTCCCGAAGATATCAAAGGCCGCCAGTACGAAGCCACTCCTGACCACGACCCGCGCCCAAGCAAGCGACCACGACTGAACATTCGCGCGCCATCTTCACCACCTCATATCAGCACGATGCCGCCCGAGGAAGAGGGCGATTTGTCTGAAGATACCGATGGCTCCGTCCCAGCGTCGCCACACCACCACCCGGGCATGTCGCAAGACGACGATTATGGCCAGGAACAAGTCACCGTCTGCAAGTGGGACGGTTGCACGGCGGGCGATCTCCAAAACATGGATAACCTGGTAGAGCATCTCCATGACGATCACATTGGTACAAGACAGAAGAAGTATAGTTGCGAATGGAGCGACTGTACGAGGAAAGGCATACCCCATGCCAGTGGCTATGCGTTGAGGGCACATATGCGCTCTCATACAAGGGAAAAGCCTTTCTACTGCACGCTTCCGGGTAAGTCTCAACGTCGAGATTCACCTTCTCATATACTAAGCCTTGCCAGAATGCGACCGTTCCTTCACACGCTCCGATGCGTTGGCCAAGCATATGCGAACTGTCCATGAGACTGAAGCCCTCCGCCCCTCGGACCCCGTCCCTAAGCACCACTCGTCCAACCCCACCAACAACAAGCAGCGCCTCAAGCTCGTCCTCAACAACGAGGCCAAGAAGCTGCCACACGACAAGGGCTCAACACCCGGCTCCCCATCCTCACATTCCCATCCGCCCAACAGCGCGACAATCCCGCCCAACGCACCTGCATCAGATGCCGACTACGCCCACAACAACGTCATCTACCTGCAAGACCTCGCCAACCCAAACGCGCCAACGCTCGTGCAATTTCCACCAGACATAGAGTTTACACCCGAAGAACTACAGAAACCCGCTCCAGATCTATTCCAACTGCTACGTCGACAATTACTCTGGGCGACGCAGGAAGGCGAACAATTGCGCGCCGAAGCTGAAGAGCTGGAGAGAGTGCGCCATGAGGAGTGGCAGGCCAAGGAGCTTCTGTTTGAGAACTTCATGGAAGCACAAGCAGCGACGGAGCGGCGGCGACGAGTCGAGGAGGGCATGCCAGATGACATGGAGGGCTGGCAGTCTGTGGAGAACGATATCATGCCCGCGAAATCTCTCCCCATGGCACCAAAGGATGGACGGCTGCCGTGGTGGCGAGACGAGACTGCGCAAGCCCAGCGGCCCAAGATTGAGGAGGGGACACAGCCACCCAGGCCACCTCCAGCGGATATTCGGCACCATGAGGAGCTCCAGCCGCAAGTCCCTGTGGCTTAGAATGTTTCATGGACGCGCTCATCTAGCATGCAAGCAGGCTTCCTATTCGGGTCTTCATTATCCGACTTTCTCTCCTCCTCTTGGTATGGAATACCAACCATCAGGTGTGAAAGAACCGCATAGACTGCGACGAAATACCTATACAACGATGACCTTGGACGAAAACTTGGCTAGGAGGAATCGAACGGCAGGGCTCAAAGTTGAAGGGTAGGATACGTGCGCAGTTCTTTAGTGTTTGTTTGACAGTTTTCGTGTATTACTATGGGATGCATGGAGGGGTTCACGGTCTCTGGGTACATTCAAGATTATAGATACCAATTCATTTAATGCTTTCGTAGTATACAGCTTCGTTTCAATCCGTGTCTGGCAGTTTTCTAATGCCATATTTTGATGCCGGCTTGCTTCTATGCATAAACCCTGTTATATGCTGAGTCGCTCATTGTTACTTGGACGTCGCAGGCATCCGCTTCCATGCCCCTACCTCCTCCCAGAGTATGCCTTTCGGCCTCTCACAAGCGGTCATGCTTCCAAAAGCGTAGAGTGCACGCTTACCTAGCCTTCCTCTTCTCAGCCTCCTGGTTCTTGAACGGAAAGCCAGACGTCCTCTTGTCGGCGCCCGTCTTCCTGCTAATCCGGCCATTGCTGCTAGCGAACAGAATGCACCAAAGCGCAACCATGGCCAGGAAGCCCGAGCCGAGCGTTCCCAGACTGAAAGCCAAGACACCAGTTTTAGTCCACATAGCGTAGCCATAAAATGCGAGGGCCGCGTGGAACATTGCGGTTATGGTGAGTGTGGGGAGCGCGTAGGGAGCTTTAGGGTCTTCGGCGTTGGTCGTTGCTCCTGAAGACGTGTCAGCTGGATCTGCAGAGGATAGCAGGATGAAGAGAGGGAAAACGTACCCTCGGAAAGTCTGCTAGACAGTGGAACAGAGCCCGTGAGCAGAACAGTCAAGATGCCCAATGTGATGAGCGAGAAGCCCAGCACGCGGGAGAAGTAGACCTCGAGAGCTGATCATCGTCGTTAGTATATCATGCTATGTCGCATTTGAAGTCTTCAGAGTATACGTACTGGAGGCTTCGCGCACCTCGGGTGACAACAATGCTACTATCATTGTTGGGGACGCGATGAGAGGCGCGGCTTGGGTCGCTGCATTCTGTTAGCAAGCCGTAGGGTATTCTTGCGAAATGGCATATAGCTCACCCAGCCATGCGGCAGTGCCATAGGAATAGAAGTAGTAGACCTAGTGTTCATCATCAGCTTGGCTCATTGTGCAAACAACTCAGCCCTTGTTGTGGCAGCTAAGATACGTACATCCATGTTGGGAGCGTTGTTGGGATGTCAATTGAGTTGTCGTTTTGTTCTTGAAGTGTTATGGAGTGTTGGAGGAGAGGTGCAGCAGTGAAGATGATGTTCTTGGGAAGGGTGAAAGGAAGGGTTAAAACGTGGGCCTTGTGATGCAATGTCATGTTCCTGAGCGGGATTTGCGCAAGCATCCGCAAGGCCATACGTCATTGTTGCGCTAACATGGAAACTGCGGCACATGCCAACACGCTTGTTTTGGACATTGCGCGTAATCGGAGTTACGTGTTTGCCATGCGTGTTACCGCTTTCGTGTTATTGGGGTAAGCGACCGTGTTCTGGTGCTAGGTGTCTATGATGGGCAAGCTTGTACAAACGCGTCGCTGGAGGCTGGAGACTACCTAGGTATACGAGCCGTGTACAAGGAAAGTGTGACTTGCATGTGGCTTGTCGCTTCTCTGTGTCGCCGATCATCCACTTCGTGGTGGCTCGCAATGCAGAAGCGTAGCAACCTTCGCACTCCAACTTGCTCACGACAACGCACAAGGCTTGCGCATCATGCTTCGGCACCCCACGGAACACAGTCATGGAGCAGCTACGGCGTCTTGAGAGAACAAGCACGTGTGGATGATTACCGTGCTCTTCTACTGACATTACTGACATATGCATCTCTACCTCCATTTCAGAGGGATTCACAGGTTTGTTATTCCCGAGATCAAAAGGTTTATAGCCCCTCTTGAGACTCACGCACACGTCCAAAAGAGGAAACAGACATAACCACCCATCGATTATAGTCAACGGCTGTCAGACCGGGTTCCCGGGACACTTTGAGAAGTCTAATACTCAAAGAGCTTGGTCAACGTACGCCCAACGGTCAAAATATACCACAAGAGGAAGAGTATCAAGGAAGGCATCGCTCACGGTAGATCGCGCTATAAAGAAAGATCCACGAACCACAATGGAGAGTTCTGTCGAAAACTGGATCTCGGGGTCGAAAGCTGGTACGTGGCTTTCGAAATGCGGTAGCGAAGCAGCCATATATGCCGAGAGAGGAAGGAAGAAAGAAAACTATTGATTGTGGCGGGCGATAGGGCGTGTCGCCGAAAAAGCAAAGAGTGTCTTGTCATGAAGCTTGAGCCGCCCATGTCACACGGTTCGACATACACAGTTACCACATCAGGAAGCATGGTCAGATTTGGATCGAGAATAACGCATTCGGGCTATACTACGGCCTTACTACGAACACAATGGATTAGGAAGATCAGGTCGCGCATCTGCGTCTCAGCCATGCCGACACGTACAGGACAAGGACATGTCGCGCACATGTTACGTCCTACCATCCGCCTACAGACCTCGGTATCGTTTCCCATCAAAGATCCAGTTGTGTTTCACTTACTCAAATCTTCCCACCCTAACTAAACTGCCAGAACGGGCAATTGCAGTTTTGCATCGATTCCAGATGGCGCAAGGAGAATAAAAGGTTCGCACTAGCCATGGCTGAAGAGTTCCAGACGTACCTAAGCATCATCAGACATCTTCAAGCACCGGCTCAGTACATCAGACAACCAACGTTTGCCTAATTAGGCAACACATATTTGAGTGTTGAAAGCGGCTCAGGCGTCCAACTTGGAAAGCTTGGGTCATGATTTGTTTTGACTTTCTTTTTCGGAGTCAGATCATCTACCGGTGTGCTGGCGCCGCGGTACCAAAGTACAACTCCAAACACGTTCCGGAAAGGGAAGTTTGGGCTTTCACTGTTGATTCTAGATATGGAATGTGGCTTGATATGTGAACAAGCAAGGAGAAGCTTCTGCTCTTTCATAGGTTCCTGGTGTCTTTTCTCAATTCGAGTGTCACCGTGCCAGGCGTTGGACTACTCAGACAGGAAAGAGTAGAGAAGGTGTTGGATTCAGTAATGAATCGTAGGTGTATTTTCCAAGGGCTTTAGACGGGCGTGCGCTGCCTGCTGGACGTGCTCAAACTTTTTAAGCTTTCGAATCACGGTACGAACACGGACCTTGTGGAGAAGTCAACGCCCGGATCTTGAACGTGGGGACACCAGTATCGGGAGATGATAAGTATAAACCTATACAAAAGCTGCTACTACTACATACCCACTACTAGTATGGTCTATAGTAGTGACCAAAACATAATCTGCTGCAACTATCGTAGAGAATGACAGACTTGAACAGCCTTGGACTGAAACGCCTACTTCGACGTTTCACCATCACTGTCTCACCGTGCTCTATACAACACATATTTCTTTGACCCACTATATCACCTCTACCTGTCGAATAACTGACCCCCGCATGGCTTCTTCGATGTCGATGTAGTGAAGGGAAATGCCATAGACAAGCGACGTCGAGGCTACCCGTGAAAGTCCAAAGGGAACAAAAGTTCCCGATGGTGCCAATGGAAGCGGCACTTCCAACGCAAACAACGAAGCATTGCGAATCTGGTAGATATTTCCCAGGGAAAAAAAAAAGATATTTTCTGCCTGATCGGCCAAAAGTATGAAGATTAAACTGAGCAGATTGGTCGGCGCGAAAAGATGTTGGTCAGAACAACGCGCCTGGTCGTCCGCATTGAATTAATCAGTCAGCGAAAGGGTCGACGTCGTCCAATACTTGCCTAACACGGTATGTTGGTGCTGTACCCTCATCCCACCAGTCCGCCAGCACCAAAATATTGGGTTTCTGCATACAAACCAGGTTACCTGAAAAGCTCTCAATACCTCAAAACCCATTCGATGGAAAGTGCAATCACTATAGATAATGTCTAGTTAACTCTCGTCCCGATTTGGCGGAGTAAGGAAGTAATAGTAAGACTCCCGCTGAAAAAAGTAGGCCTTCGCCATTCCAGCCCTACATGAATTAATCGCCATTGTGTAACAGCTAATTTACGACCCAACATGTAGAAAATAAGTCAACAAACGAATATTGTGGTGGATTGGTATGCGATTTGCCTCTTCTTGGTTACTAAGTCTTCCTTCTGTCATGCTATAATATACAGCCTTTCATGCGATGTAAGCACAACCGAGATGCACGCTAATACTATCAACACACCGTCACATGCATATCCTCCCGGAGAGAGAGAAAGAAAAAAGGCCAGCCATCAAACGCAAAAGGGTATCAATGAGCGTGCCTCAGCAACGCCCTCTAATGCATCCATCAAACAACCGTTACAGTACGTCAACGTCCAGTCTCCTACAATTCCATAACCTCCTGCGCCTCTTCTAATGCTTCTGGTGATGATGATGCCGCGCCGAACAATTGCTTGATGTCATGAGGATCCATGGTGCCAACAAATGCTCGCTTGACGAAAGTGAACCATTCCTTTGATGCTTTGCGTTTCTTGTGATGTTTGCCTTTCTTTCCTTTCTTGTGCTTGTGCTTTTTGCCTTTTGTAGTGTTGTATTCGTCGTCTTCGTCCTCGTCCTCGTCCTCGCCCTCCTCAAAGTCCGCATCTTCGGCAACGTCCTCCTCTTCAACTTCAGTAGTTTTCGATGCGGATGATCCAATCTTCCTGGCATACTCAACCCACCGCCTGACGGTGAGATCAGCGAATCCCCTATCCTTCTTTGTGTCGTATTCGATCTCGAACACAAACTCGTTAGGATGCGGCTCTGGCCGGGGTTGCTTGCCCTGGTGTTTCTTGTGCTTGCCTTCGTTCCACTTCTTGTTCTCGATCCTGCCGTCCGGACTGACTGCGAAGCCGAAGATAGTGCTTGCGGATACCTCGTTTATGGAGCAGTCGACGATGGGAGTCTTGGCTGCGTCCGGTGGAGGCTCGAGGAAGTCGTTGTTGATTTGTGTGAGATTTGCGAAATACTGAATATGTCGTGTCCACGTCAAAGTCTGCGGCGAGTATGCCGGACCAGGCGGGGCAGACTTTGAGGGGCCATCTGGAACCTTGAACTTGTACTTTCGTGGCTTCTTCTTGTCTTTTTTTCCTTTGTGTTTCCTCTTTCGCGCAGTCTCCACGTCTCGCAGATATTCTTCGTCGTCGTCGAAATCGGTAGCGGTAATCGGTAGTTGCTCGGTGGGTGTATCGATCGTTGGCGGGCTGATGGGACTAGAGGCTACGCTGAGGTGTTCCAGGCCAGTGATGTTGTACTCGATAATGCGTAGGGTGGGGAAGTAGTTCGGTACTATGCTGGGTGCCACGTGTGTTACCGCATAGCGTTCAGCGTATCTTCCTCCAATCTTCTCGAGGTACTTCTTCCTCTCTTCTTTCCGGTCTTTTGAGGATTTCCAAATCTTGGTAACGAACCATGACCATGCTGAATCTTCTTGCTCCTCTTCATCGACATTCTTCGAGCGCAACTTCTTGTTCGATTTCGCGGGGGGCGCAGGCAGCTGAGCCCAAGCCTCTCGCAGATTAAGCAGATAGTCGGACGCAGATGCCACCGTCACCTCGCCATCCTCAAGCAGCTGGACCTCGTTGGCCAGAGCAGACCGGCCATTGATGATTCCCATCTTGCCATTTTCTGTATCCTTTTGGATGTGCTCGAAATCCTGCAACATGAAATGGTCGATGTTCATGTGCCCGTAGAGGCTTCCTACAATGACATCTCGGAACTGTCGCCCAAAAAGCGTGTACTTTTGCCAGCATGTTTCGTCCCAACTTTCCTTGCCGTCGACCCGAGCCGGTGGTACGTGGCCGATGAGTATAGCCTTCATGCCGCGATCTCGAAGAATTTGAAGCTGAATGCGCAGCCATTCCATGTGTTCGTAGCCGGGTTCGCGTTTCTTTGCGCAGCCGTCGACGGCGGAGTTTGAGCTGAAGAAGTAACTGCGCAAGTTAGCCACACCCCCAGAGGCCCAGCTGCTTCTACGACTTACATGGTGTTCAAGCTGATAACAGCTAGCTTTCCTGGTATCACCTCGACCGAGAACCACCCTCCTTGCTGAAACTGATGCCTTTGCGCCTCGGGAATGAAGCCCCGCCATATGTCGAGATACTTGATCGTCCATCTGTTTGGGCCGCTTGTGAAGATATTGTGTGGCATGATATCGTTGTTTCCGAAAGTGGGTATTATCGGTATCGTGAAGCTATTCGGGCCATGGCCCTGGCCGCTTTGTCCAAAGACTTCGGCGAATTTAGAGACCATGTATTCGTTCTGCTGGATAACCTGCTTTTGCGTCCGTGGTATATCCTCGTCGTTGTCGTGTCGCGCCGAGTCGCCCGTCCATATTACGAAGTCTACATGGTCCTTTATGTTGTCTTCTATCCACTTGAAAGTCTGGTTGACGAGCGCAAAGGGCGAATCGCAGCCGGTTGTTTCTGCGCCGTACAGGCCAGCGGGTCCATGTCTGCGATGGCACGCTGCATCAGATTCTGTGCTCGAATATGTCTTGTAAAAAGGGTCTGGATGGAAGTCTGCGTCATGCAGTTAGTTGCGACTCTGCCCTTGAGATCAGATGACCGACGTACCCGTAATATGTAGGAACCTACCCGTAAGCTTTCTTCGACTACCCGGGCCTGTGGATTCAGAATCCGCATCGCGGCTGTTTTCTGCAGCACCTGCCACGTTGGGCGGAGCGGCAGTCGCGTGTGCCCAAAAAAGCAGCCCGCATAGAGCTGCGTCCCGTATGCGCAGCATATCTATCATGATGGAGTGTCAACGAAAGGCATCTGCGAGCAACTCTGGGGGTGTCGTGCGCCTGTATATCCAGGAATACTGTGTAAAAGCGCCGCCGCCGAAGACAGGATACCCTGATGGCCCGACGGCGACGAAAGGCGCGACAGGGAGCCACGGCTGTGAGCACGATCCTCCAGCGACCCTTGTCATTGGAGCGTCATCGCTCTCGCACTAAACACATCTCCCACACAAACCCCAGCCAGAAACATACACATGCCCTTCCCCACAGCCACACATGTCTCACTAGCACTACACGTCTATTGATCTTGTGATGCTCTACTTACCGAAATTCCTCGCTTTGAATTTGCTCGGTATACTACTTGTTCGATATGCTGCCGTAACCATACCAAATTTCCCTCACCGCTTGGCTTCCAAGCCACGTGTGGGCCGTCGAATACTCTAGACAACTGAGAATCCAACTTGGAGGGCTGTAGATCTTCAAGATTGGGCAGCAGATGACTCGCGTGATCACATTCCAGCCTTCACGTAAGCCAAGACTGCGGTTGATAATAATACCTCACCATCACCATGCAATAACGTCACATCATGCAGTGAACCAAAAGAGTGATGATATGTGTAGTTCCTTGCAAACCCGCAGGTGCTGAATCTACATGGTGCTAAAGATGAAGTCTCTCTTTGTAGAAACACCTTCCCTTCTTGTAATATCATAAGGCACTATCCCAAGTGCCGCCGATGCTTGTTCAACAACCTGTACGCTAGTTTTTATTTGCGCCGCCCTGCGAAAATCATAAACACCGGGACGCGCCCTAACTAGGCAGTCCATGCAATACAATGAGAAAGACGAAGAAGCAAACTGTGCCCGTAACTAGTCATATCTTGAGTAGTCAACCCGAGCCGAACACCTACGCTATGCTGCAAATATACATGACGGTGTGCCGCCGTGAAAATCGAAAACGCCCATATGCCGATGATAGATGATGTTGAATGATGTACAAACACCATATGCGTGTGTATGGGAATATAACCTCAAGCGCCGTTCTTTTGTCCGTTCGTAGGAGTCGCACTGGCAGCTGGCTTCTCTTGGCTCAGCATCTTATTGTACATGCCCTTGACTGCTGCGACAGTGACACCGGGCCGAGGCCAATGGTGGTTGATCGTGTAATTCCTTCCATCAGTTAGTACATGTATGCACCATGTTGTTGCGAGTACTTACCATAGACGATCCTCTAGCTCCACATTGTCGCGAGTCTCTGCGCGGATGAAGTTGCCAATGGCGATCAACTCAATCTTCAGCACCTTGACCATGGTCTCCTTCTGCGGATAGTTCTTCGGTGTCGCCTTTTTAAGGCGACCGAGATTGTCGCGCACAGGTCGAAGTTTCCGCTCGAGGAAGTCATCCGGCTTCTTTTCCTTGGGCTTGGGCGTCTCCACACTGCGGTCCGGCACTTGACTCTGGCTATGAGAGCGTGGACGGTCCTCAGAAAGGCGTGGCCGATCATCTCTAACACGATGCCTATCCACATCACCATTCATCTTTCGGCGGTTTTCTGGCGTACCGTTTCGATCAGATGTTTGCGCACGACGATCAATGCTGCCTCGGTCGTTGCGGTGCTCCTTGCGGTGGGCGTCAGAGGGCCTGTATTGGTCGCTATGCCTAGGGCGATCATCCCGACTCCTATCATGATGGCGACCCTCAGTCCGGCTGTCAGGACGACGGATCTCGCTGCTGCTGTGCGTGCGATGCGCAGGACGCTCTGAATCCCGTCCTTGCATCTTACGTGCTAGGCCAGCTGGAGCAGGACTAGCGGAAACACCCTTGTCTGTCCGCCGCGCAATGTTCAGCTGGTGCTTCTTGTTGTTGCGGTGATGGTTTTCCATCAAGCGCTTGACATTGGGATCCGACGTGCTCTTGTCCTTGAGGACAGTAAGCAGGTAGTTCGCGCGACGAACCAGATGCACAGCACCAGGAGACTTGGCGTTCTTCTCTTCAGTCTTGGTCCGCTCTTCCTTCTTGTCGACACGGTGCTCCTCGAGATAGAACTTGTCAGTCAGTCCGAGATCTGGATCGTCACGAATAGGGATCCAGGCACCATAGCCGTGACGTTGAATTCCAATGCAAAGCATGCCGTCTTCGCGTGCGCCCCAGGGACAAGAGTAGCTCGCGGGTTTGATGGCGTCCGGCACACGGAAGTTGCGCCACTCGGGAGTCGCTTCGACTGCTTCCTTCAGGACGCGCATCTCAATTGGTCGCTCGAGAATGGTCTCTGCGTTGACCTTCTTCACTTTGCCGAAGTCGAAAAGAACAGCCTTCTTGTCCTTCTTCGTGATCGGGCGCTTGGTCTCAGCCTCCAAGTTCTTGAGCCTAGTCTGCTCATCCTTGACAAGTTGCGTGCTCATGGCAATGATCTCATCCAGAGTGGCTTTGACGACACCCATGTCACGACCAACAAGCCTTGCCGCGCGAAGCATCTCCTCGCCACGCTCCTCAAGCGAACCATATCGGCAGTATGCGCCGATAAGATTGCGAGCCTCCTTGGTGTTAAGAGGCCGCTTGGGGTCGCGCTTGATGTTGTCGTCTGGCTCGGATTGCTCATCGTCATCGGCGTCAACTTGAGTAGCCTCGAGTGCTCGCTTCTTTGCAGCTCGCTGCTCCCGTGCGCTTGCTGAGGCTGCTTTTCGCTTTCGGGGTGCATTCTCCTCGAGCAGCTTCTGGGTCTCTTCTTCATCCTTCCGTTGCTGAATGTCAGCCTTCACTGCCTCCAGCTCTTCTTTCGGAATGATATCGTCCCATTCGAGATCAATCTTGACATCTGTGTACTCGAAGTTCCTGAGGAACTCCTCGCCACCATCAGATGTAAGACCGGCGGCCTGCTCCGTCTTGTGTTCCTCAGCATTCTCCAAGACTGAGTCGATGTCGAGCTCCTCAAGCTTCTTCTGGTTACCAGACTGCTCGAACATCTTCTGTCCACGACGCTTAAGAATGTTGTTGATATCGTCGGCGGAGTTAGGCTCTGCTGCAGCTCGACTCATCTTATCGTTGAGCTCCTTCTGCTGGCGATCAGTCACGCCACGCTGGATCGTGATGAACTCGAGCATACGCTTGTTACGAGCGCGTTCTAGAATCTCTTCCTCGATCGTGTCTTTTGAGACAAGACGATAGACGCTCACAGGCTTTTGTTGACCAATACGATGGGCTCGAGCCATGGCTTGCAGATCTGCCTGAGGGTTCCAATCGGAGTCGAAGATGACAACAGTATCGGCAGTCATCAAGTTGATACCGAGACCACCAGCCCTAGTCGATAGCAGGAAACAGTAGTCCTCGCTGCCGGGAGAGTTGAAATGGTCAATGGCAATCTTCCTCTCTGCCGCTGGAACTGTTCCGTCAAGACGCTGGAAGGGGTAGTTGCGCAGCTTGAGGTAGTCGGTCAAGATGTCCAACATATGGACCATTTGACTGAAGATGAGCACTCGGTGACCGTCTGCCTTCAGCTTTCCGAGGAGTCGGTCCAACAGCATCATCTTACCACTGGAGGTGATGAGAGCCTTCAAGGTCTCCTCCTTTGTTGCGCCGGGTTTGACGAGCTTGTTCTCGGCATTAGGGAAGAGCAAAGCATGGTTGCTAGCCTTCTTAAGTTCCATGACGATGTTCAAAAGAGATTGCTTGTGACCAACACCACCCTCATTGAGAGCCTCGTAGTTGCGCGTGAGGATGTTCTTGTAGTACTCAAGCTGAATGTCAGACAGTTCGACTCGGAGAATCTTCTCAGATTTGGGAGGTAGATCGTTCTCTACCTTCTCCTTAGTACGGCGAATCATGTAAGGCTGAATCGCTGAGCTGAGTTCGGCAAGCTTTTGGCTAGCGTCTTCCGAAGCAAGATCGACGTTCTCGTCAACGGAAATCTTGCCTGGCATAAGGAAGTCCATCAGAGCAGCCAGCTCTCCCAATGTGTTCTGAATGGGAGTACCAGTGATGAGAAGTCGACATGGTGCCTTAAACTGTCGCAGCCTATCGTACAGTTGCGACTCGCGGTTCTTCAATCGGTGGGCCTCGTCGACAGCAAGGAACTGCCAGTTGATGCTCTGTAGGAACTGCCAGTCCGCAAGGACGTACTCGTATGTCGTCAAGAGTACGTTGAACTTGATCTTCTTGGTGTTGCCATCGACAAGCAGCTCCTTCTCTCGGATGATGCTGCGGGCCTCTTCTCTACCCGTGTAGATGACATAGTTGACATCCGGTGTCCAATTGTTGAAGGTGTCTGCCCACGCTGGCATCGTCGACAATGGTACAACGCAGATCATGGGGCCGTCTTGCCTTCGATCATGCCTCAGCCAATTGATGAAAGATACTGTTTGCACCGTCTTTCCCAGACCCATCTCATCGGCAAGGATAACGTTCGTGCCACGACACCAGTTGTGTGCAAGGAAGTTGACACCTTGAAGTTGGAAGGACCTTAGCTGACCAAACTTGATGTAGTCAGGCTGCGCGTCCAACTTGACAAACTTCCTGCGGGTGTTCGGGTTCGCCTCGCGGGCATCGGAGGAGGGTCGGTTCGACGAGCGGTCAAGGAATCGATCGATCTCGGATTGCGACAACCGGCTGACGAGTGACGCAGGTTCCCATGTACAGAACTCATAGGTCAGTCCCTTCCCTGTGAAGTGTTAGGTAATCCAGATAGGGGCTTGGAAGAGTCAACCTACACTTGACAAAGTACTCTGTCTCATCCTCGCCATCTCGCGAGTCAATGACACGCTCCACGACGTGAAAGTCGAGCTGGCTCTCGCGCTCGGCTTCACGTGCGACCATGTGCTGCTCAAACTCTTCTGGGTCGGCGTTTTTGCGGCTGTAGACGTACATGTCGTTCTGGACAGGTCCCTTGTAATAGTTGTCCAGCTTGCGGTAGCCCTTGTATGAGGCGGCCGTCTTGTAGTCTTCCCAAGTGGAATGGTAGTGCGCCTTGTCTTGCCATTTGACCTAAGGACAGCGAGTTAGTATCGCGTGTGATTGAGACCAGGACTGCGAATAATGCTTACCAAGTATTCAAAGTCGCGCTTGTCAAACGAAGGATCTATTTCTGCTCTCAGTCAGCAAAGGATAACACAAGAGACCAACAGATCTTCTTACCTAGTCCATCCTTTGGCCGGTGGTCGAGGATCTTGTCGATGACGGGGCCGGTGTCCTCTGGCGCGGTCGCCCAGTAGTTGGGGGTCATATCGTCGTCATCCTCCACGAACTCGTCCTCGTCTTCTTCCTCGTTGTAGTTCGCAACCTGGGCACCGCGGCGTGCAGAGAATCTGACCTCGGCTTGCGATGGAGGCTCGCGACCCGCAGCAACGGCTTGCTGACGTTGGCGTTGCTTCTTGGTCGGGATGTTGCGACGGGCGCCCACGTAGCCATCCGACTCGGAGTCGGAGCCAGCTGAGCGATAGACTGGTGTGGGATGGTTTGAGGCTAGACAGACGGGTCAGTGCGACTTCAGATGGGCAGGGTGAGGGTAGACAAACTCTTGCGCGAGGCTGTCCTCTGTCGCTTGCGGGGCTGATCAGAGCTGTAATCTTCATCGTCTTCATCATCACTATCGACCTGCAGACTGTTAACACTGGTTTCTTCTATCGACCGAGGGTGACTTACGATGCGACGACTAGGGCGGGCGCGACCCTGGACTGCAGTTAGCTCGTGCACATGGAGACTGGAGATGCCACGTACGCTGCGGCGTAGACCATATAGCTCCGGGTTCTGTTCTATATAGTCCTCCTTCTCATCGCTTGCCTTGCGCTTGCGCGGCCTAGTCGACTCTTGTGATGAGCTCCGGGCGCGGTCGCTCTCTGCCTGCTCAGACGGCGGTGACTCAGAGTCGTAATCGCCGTCCGGCTCGCCTTCGGCATCAACATCCTCAGACGAGTCTGAAGCAGCAGCCACCTCGTCGTCTTCATCGTACTCCTCTCCCGGCGCGTCGACGTCAGACGCTTGGTCGATTGCGGCGGCCTCTTGTGACTCGGACTGTTCGCTATCGCTGTGGTGGGAAGAGCTATCGGCGGCTGTCATATGAGCTGCTAGAGGCGATAAATGGCCGTTTGTGTATGGTGCCGAGGCGACATGGCCCGGTGAAGAGGGCATCATGATGGACGTGGCTGTAGGAGATGGTCAGCACGAAGCACGATATTTTCACCTTCTGCGGGCTCCAGCGGCTCACAGCGGGTGCGTTGGATAGAGCAGAACTACGCGATCCAGAATAGCCAGAACGCGACCAGGAACACGAGCGAAGACTTGTACAATGGAAGTCTGATGGAATGCGGTGTCGGTGGATGAGCGCTCGATGGAACAAGGGCGGTGGAGTTGCGTGTGCCGGTGGGTGCGCAGAGCGAGTATCCAAGGCGGTGGAGGGCTGTTATATGCGCCCTTTGCGTAACGAAAGACCGTGTTATACGTGAAAGGCAAGTTCTTGGATGCGTGACCGTGATCTGGCGATGGGATTGATGGGCGCAGACAAGGCCGACAACAGACAATTTCGCCAGGTTCGCGAGTGAAAGTTACGCGACAACAGACTCAAAAGGGAATATACTCACAGTCCATGTCCAAGACACCCTCAATATGGGTAGTGGGGGTTGGTCTGGGTAGGGTGAAGTGTGGGTAGGTGGTGAGGGAGCGGATGTTCCTTACTGCGTCCATCCACATCGCGCGCTCGGGCCTTCAACCTTGCCCTTTGTATGCGCGAATCACAGGCCGGCAAAAAGGCCTGACCCAGCGTGAAGGCCAACAACGTCAGTCCACTTCTTTCACGTCGTCTCCTCTACCCCGTGCAGTCGTTGGAGACACTTCTTTCACTCTCCGCCTCCAGCATCCGAGCGCGCGCCTCCAAAGCAGTGACTCTCCTCGAGTCCACACACGCACTGCTTAGCTCTCAACTTCTTCACAGTTTGCGCCTCCAGGGCACTCTACACCAGCAATCGCCGTCACAACAAAGCCGCCGCCAACATGTCTGACAAGCTCACCCGGTATGGCACATGTCTTTATACCTCTCTCCCATGTGTATTTGCTAACTTGCTCCAGTATTGCCATTGTCAACTCGGACAAGGTACCCCACTACCCCTCCACACACAAAAATTGATCACCGACTAACATGAAGATGTTCGACGTGACAGTGCAAACCCAAGGCAAGCACCACCCTTCTTTCGCGCCTTCCTTATACTGACCCGTCGTAGAAATGCCGACAAGAATGCAAGAAATCGTGCCCCGTCGTCCGTACGGGCAAGCTGTGTATCGAAGTCGACTCGTCCTCCAAGATCGCCTTCATCTCTGAGCGCCTCTGCATCGGATGCGGTATCTGCCCCAAGAAATGCCCCTTCGACGCCATCAACATTATCAACTTGCCCACCAACCTCGAGACCCAGGTCACCCATCGATACTCGGCGAACAGCTTCAAACTACACAGGCTGCCTATGCCCCGTCCGGGCCAGGTCTTGGGTTTGGTTGGAACAAACGGTATTGGCAAGAGTACGGCGTTGAAGATCCTCAGTGGCAAGCTTAAGCCTAACCTCGGTCGCTACGACAACCCGCCAGACTGGGAGGAGATCCTAAAGTACTTCCGTGGTTCTGAACTCCAGAGTAAGAGAAACGAATTTCGGATAAAAGGAGTGACTGGCTAACGACGCGCAGACTACTTCACAAAGGTTCTGGAAGATAACCTCAAGGCTGTCGTCAAGCCCCAGTATGTCGACCAACTTCCAAGGGCCATCAAGTCGACCGACCGCTCCGTGGGCAAGCTCATTGGGGCCCGCTCGCAGATGGAGAACCTCGACGAGATGATCGACGAGCTGGAGCTGCGACACATCTTCGACCGCGACATTGGACAACTTTCTGGAGGAGAATTGCAGCGTTTCGCCATTGCCCTTGTCTGCGTCCAGCAGGCTGACGTATACATGTTCGACGAGCCGTCATCTTTCCTTGATGTCAAGCAGCGTCTCGCAGCTGCCCGTAAGATCCGCAGTCTGCTTCGCCCCGATGACTACGTCATCGTCGTTGAGCACGATTTGTCTGTGCTTGATTATCTCTCCGACTTCATCTGTGTCCTCTACGGAAAGCCTGCTGTCTATGGTGTTGTCACCCTGCCAGCATCCGTCCGTGAAGGTATCAACATCTTCCTGGATGGTAACATCCCTACCGAGAATTTGCGTTTCCGTGAGGAATCCCTGCAGTTCCGTATCGCAGAAGCTGGTGACGAATACATGGTGGACCACAACCGTGGCTACAGCTACCCCAGCATGAAGAAGACTCTCGGAAGCTTCGAACTCAACATCGAAACTGGTTCCTTTACTGACTCTGAGATTATCGTCATGATGGGTGAGAACGGTACCGGAAAGACCACTTTCTGTAAGATGCTTGCTGGCGCTCTACAGCCTGATGGTGAGACCAAGGTCCCCAAGATGAGCATCAGCATGAAGCCCCAGACCATCACCCCCAAGTTCCAGGGTACCGTTCGTCAACTTTTCTTCAAGAAGATCAAGGCCGCCTTCTTGAGCCCTCAATTCCAGACCGATGTCTACAAGCCCCTCAAGATGGACGACTTTATCGACCAGGAAGTGCAAAACCTCTCTGGTGGTGAATTGCAACGTGTCGCTATTGTCTTGGCCCTTGGTATTCCAGCTGATATCTACCTCATCGACGAGCCCAGTGCCTACCTCGATTCCGAGCAGCGTATCGTTGCCTCCCGTGTCATCAAGCGTTTCATCATGCACGCCAAGAAGACTGCTTTCGTCGTCGAGCACGACTTTATCATGGCCACTTACCTCGCTGATCGTGTCATTGTCTTTGACGGCCAACCTGCTGTTAACGCTCGCGCCAACAAGCCTGAGTCTCTTCTCACCGGCTGCAACTCCTTCCTGAAGAACCTGGATGTTACCTTCCGTCGTGACCCTAACTCTTTCCGTCCCCGTATCAACAAGGACAAGTCTCAGCTGGACCAGGAGCAGAAGCTGAGCGGAAACTACTTCTTCCTCGAGGATGATAGTTGAAGAGGTTTTCGAGAACCGGAACACGCCTCCCTCCCAGCGCCGCCCGCAAGGGCACGTCAAGACCGGGGTGACTAAAAAGGGCAACAAGAAGCGTGGTTTGAGAGGACGCACTGTGAGCCTGCTGGAAGATGAAGAAGGTGCGGATGAGGAAGTTGATGAAGATGGCTGTCCTCTCATCGGCAGTCGACCTCCTGCGCTGGTAATCCACGTTACATATCAGCATGTAACGTTGACAAGGACAATTTCTACAATAGCCAGCCCGGGTCAAGTTAGGTGACTACCGAACATCTGGAGGATGGTGCAACACATGTGTTGCTGGTGACGGAATACCAAAAGTTATGAGCAGAGAAAAACATGTAGTCCGCAACTGCTCGGATGTAATAGAGAATATATGACAACACCGCAAGCACACATTTTTCCCCCAAACAATTCGCCAACCTTGCATCATTGACATGGTGTATTGCAATAATTCGTATCAGACTCAACTAGGCGATATCAGCCATTTTGATGTACTCATTTCACCAAAGTCAGCATTCCTACGTATGAAGCCATGGAATGAGACATGCGCTATCGCGATACTTCATATCGCTTGCAGCAATTTGACTGGCTAGGGACATGTGGTGGTGCTCAAAATCACAATGCTAGAGTATGACCGAATGATGGATCTGTAAAATGTGCTGTTTGCTGTCGTGGCCGATGTCTTCTCGGTTTCCACGCTAGCTAGCTTCAGGTGCTGGACCCTGACTTCCGTTCATAATCTTCAACGCGCTTCCTTGCTCAACGCGGGCATCTATACTGCCCGCCTGCGATTGTATTGATGGTGTTGGGCGGAATGTTGATGAATTGGTGGGTGTCGTTGAGCCAGGCGTATTCGCCAGACTAGGCTGGTGGGTTGGAACCACGCTGGTGACTCTGGAGGCCGCTTTCGAGGCCTTCTCCTCACGCCGTCGGTTGCGTTCCGCCTTTCTTATTGCTTCTCTGGTCTTTTCAGTCTCTTCATTCTTAGCACCTCTTTCTATTATCTTTCGCATCATCTCGTGATGGTCCTCTTGGTTGGGTCAGTCTTGTCTGATTACAATGAGGGGAACGGTTGCTTACCTTTGGACAATGGCGCAAGCCGTGTGTTTACGAGTACGGGTTCGGCATCATTAAAGATGAACAATCCTTCATCGATGATGAATATGGAACCCAAAAGCAAGTCATAACTTGCGTCCTCCAGGACCAAGAACTTCGTCTGCCATGACTTGATTGAATCCCGCGTCCATTCTACAGATACAGTGCCTACTGCATTGAACAAGCTGTTATTGGCCGCAACATAGAAGGCTTCCCCTATCGGCACGATTCGATCCCGCAGCCCGGCGCGATCTACCACCCTGCCTGATATCCAGTTTTCTCTGCTCCCAGTATCGAGTTTCACACACACCTCTGACCTTGGCTGACCGGATGTCATGATGGTTGCCTGGAAACTGAAAGCGTCGGGACTGCCTTGAGCTACTCTTGTCCGTGCTACTACACCCATGGCAGCTCGTTTTACCTCACGTAAGACTTCTGGAGAATGCGGCTGGTCACCCTCACTCTGTGACCTTTCCGTGAAGCTGTTCGTGACGTGGACATCGCGGATACTGAGACTACCGTTACTCAAAGTAGTCTCTAGTTTTTGCATCAGCGTTTGAATCTGGGACTCTCCCATCGCTTCGTCTTTGGTAAGATTGATCGAAATGTGAACATCCCTGGCTGTACTCATCGGTGAACTTGCGTTTTCTGTGATACGCTCCTGAGTTATGGTACTATCTTACTGCTTAGCTGGGAAAACATCCAAAAACGAGGTTCGCTTCTTACTCCATAACTATATCCCGGAGAATTTTCACTGAGCGCCTATAGTCCTTTATGCCACTGTCGAGCTTCCCCTTGTTGTAATTATACCAGTTCACTGTTTTGAGGCGATCTTTAGGTGAAGTCGGCACTTTATCGATTTCCTTTGCCAATTTTGCGAGCTGCTGCTGGCAAAGCTGGAGAGATAGTGCCGCGCTCGTTGGTAGAACACTGATTTCTGAAAGAGCTATTTTGCCGATTTCTTGCAACAGTTGCGTGTAGATTTCAACTTCAAGCTTCAATGTTGGGAGGGTCTTGAGAAACTCCGATGCGCCTAGTAAGCCAGGCACTTTGGATGCGATCGTGATGATCCCGGCAGCGAGTCCTACAGGTTCGGCCATCCTGGATCACAAAGAAGACGGTGATTTGTGGCAGAGAGGGACAAGTGCAAGCATATGTAGGGGCTGAAAGTTGCGTTGCGTCCTGTATGTCTCACGTACATGGGGCCGAATAACGCCTCTACACGCCACCTTACATGTAATCCAATCAATTTGCAGCCAAGTCGTCTACATATATTCAGTTTAAGCGCCAGTGAGGGAGAAACCAATTAAATTTGTAACGTCCTGCCTGTTTTTGTGCTCTTGCAGAAATGGTCATCTTCAGCCGAAGTCCGTGCATTATATCTAAATGCGGTCAGTCCCACGCAGTGGTTAGGGTATAAGCCATCCCGCGAGCCTTCTTCCATTTAAAAAAAAAGACAGGATTATTCCATCCATTTGGTGCGTCTCCAAAATGAGTTTGGTTGCGTCAGTGGGAAAACCCCAGCCACTCCAGAAAGTCGTGACCAGTCCAACTCTGATGGAGAGCTCTCGCGATGGATACCCCTCACTGGCAGCGCTAATGCAAACATACCCCGACTACGCTATATTCCGTCGCTTCGGCGAACTGAACTACTTACATCTGTTGCGATTGCAGTCAGAGTTGCAAGATATGGAAAATGAATTGCAGAAGATAAGGGAAGAAGACATGGAATCAGACGACCCCATCCGTATGTGCTATGCGAAAGACTTCCGTGCCATGCGAGACAACAAAGAAGTTGGAGACTCGGAGCAGTACGACCATATTGTCAATATTGGGGAGAAAGTTAAGGAATACAGTAAGTGTTTGTTTTAGTGCAATGCTTGGGTGCTGTACTGGCTAACACGCGGATGTAGACGAGGCGCTGCTACAAGCCTTACAAGTGCAAAAGGTCACTCAGCCAACAGAAAGAGAGCTAAACCAACTTTCAGACTGGCTATCAAGACCGAAAGGCGGAAATAACTTCCTCGTGGGCGAAGAGGCTCAATTATGGCAAGGCAGAGATACCACCGAATACGTCACTTTGTTCCGCCGAGAGCTAGAGGATGACGCCTTTACATCGTTCCTAAGTGGCTGGTTGTTAGATATATATCACAAGATCATTGGCCACAAGCGAGAGAAGGTACGTATCTTACTGGTTGAGACTTATGGCCGAAGCTGATGAGAGGTGAAGAAGTACGGCACCGGAGCTCGAGACGTCGAAGTACGGAAATATTCGACTGGACGTATTGGTAAAGCGAGCAATGTCGTCGCTGCTGCCATATCCTCGATACTACCAACACTAGCCATACTCGCGCTCTATTTCGTCAAGCGTATGATAACAAGGATCGGACTGACAATTATGTTCACCACGGTATTTTCTGTCGCCTTAGCAGTTTTCACAACCGCGCGCAAGGTAGAGATTTTCTCTGCTACAGCAGCGTATGTATACTTCACTAGTCGGTAGACGCGTTAAGCTGACAGTATTATAGATTTGCTGCCGTGGAAGTAGTGTTCATTGGGAGCAGTAACAGCACTGGGTAAGACCAAGCTCAGTGAACGGCACAGCTTCTATCCAATGAAAGGTCACACGGTGGTAACAAGAGATACGGAGTTGCCATGGCAGTAATCTGGGCTCAGCACTCAGCGAATAGAATATGTGTTCTGATATTCATATTTCTATTCGTATATCAGGCCATGCACTAAGCGAACTAGCCCTGCTCGATTCTACCAAAAGAGAAGATGCACTGAAACGAAAGAGGAAGAAGGAAGGGTATCCATGTCCAAAATATCTCATCTTAGCGGTCCAGCAGCCGGGGGGTATATTGATGGTGCCCAGTAACACCAGCGACGATGCAATTGTATGGAACAAAGGGAAAAAGAAAAAGTGTAAAATGATGTAGAGAGAAAGCCGTATCGAGCCGGTATCGAGCCGGTATCGAGCCGGTATCGAGCCGGTATCGAGCCTCTCCATCTGAGTGTTTCTAGCCGCGCCACATGAACTCCTCGTCCATGGGCATCGGCGTGCGATTTGTCAGTTCAAGGCTCTGGTTCATAAACTCCGCGTCCTCTTCCTCCTCAGTTCGCTTACTCGCGCTGCTAAGTGGCGTGCGCATAGGACTCGTCTGCATCGACAACTCAGCGTCGAGACTAGTCGAGAGGGACTTGGCATCTTCTTCTGGTTGCGAAGGTAGCGGCATGCTATCAGTAGAAGCCTTGCTAGCGCGCTTTTTCGCACGCTCCTGTCGAGCCTCTTCTCTTTGTCGCACGAGCTCTTGTTCGTGAGCGACGGCTTTCGCACGGCGTTCTTCGACGTCCTTGCGCTTGATGACTTTTCCGAGAGCGTCTGATGCTTGGATGAGACCGTCGATACTGATGGCGTGGTTGGTCATCTGGTGGTTGATGTAGTGGTATACGCCAGCTGGGGTATCGCATTGCAGGAGCGCCTTTTCGTTCAATTTGAGCAGTGCGAGTGCAATCTGGAAAAGGAAGGTTGATCCGTCATGCATGCAGAGGACGACGTCCCAAACGCGGAAAAGTGCTTCGGCGGATAAACAGTCTGTAAAGACGGATAGGAACCATTGGAAAGTCAAGGCCTCGAGCTCGATCTCTAGCTCGTCAAGATGAGCAGAGAGTCTAGGTAGAATTTCACTGACGTAGGAGCGGAGGACGGACTGATCGGCGCGGGAAGTAAGAAGGTGCTGGTCGTAGTAATGTTGAGGTAGTATTTCCTCAATCATCGCAGTGAGCACCCAGAACGCATCTTCCGGTGTAGGCATAATGAGCAGAAGACATGCAGCGATCAGATTCATACCCTGACAGTAGCCAACCTCCGGATTGCGGCGAGAGTAGGCGAGCAATACTTCCTGGAGCTTCTGTACGCCAGGACCTGTGCGGAAGAAGATGTTGTCGGTAAGTGTGCGGGTTATGTCCATTTGGATCTGCGTTGCAATGGTAGGGTCGTCTTCGCCGTTGTTCACCAAGTCTTCGTAGTAGCCTGGCATGCGCAGATGCAGTGCACCGCTTCCCTCTGCCCAAATCGCGGCTCTCATATTGACTGGGATACCACCTAGAACAAGGCGACGGAATTCCAGCCACTTGGCACGGCCGATTTTGCCTTTGTTACCCAAGCCTGCGATGCCTACCAACTCACCATCAGCAAGGAATTGTTCAGGCATTGCATTGGCTTTGCCATTCTCGCCGGTGCTAGCGAAGTCACCTTCACGCTTGTTTTGCGCACGCACTTTACGCAAGAAGTCGTTCCACTTGACAGTCCTTTCCCTCTGAAGATTGTCGTGTAGCTCACTCATCTGCTCTAGTAAGGACTGGACGGGGTCAAGCTGGGGCGGATACTGGCTGATAGGCGTTGATGGGCCTGGCGAGGTGCTTGTGACGGAAAGTTCTGCATTGCCGGATACTATGCGTGATGGTGATGGTTCCGGATTGACGCTTGCTGTTGGTACGGATCCTCGCTTCATCAAAGTGATCTGGTTCTGGCCAATCTTGAAAGAAGAGGTCTCGCCTTCAGCAGACTCTACTGTGGTGATGGGTGCCGCAGATGGAGTGTGAGAGAGTAGCTCAGTTGGGTGTGTGGCCAGCTTCAGGTAGTCGGCCCAGGTCTTGCTAGCTGGCTGACTCTGTTGGTTGTCGGAATCAGAGCTAGATGGGCGTGTAATGCCGTCATTCTGGTCGACAGGAGCGGAGCTAAGATTCCCGTGTTCCTCGTCCATAGCGAGGTTGTTCAGTGCAGTTCTGCCATCGCCCAGTGATTCGACATTGCTGCTTCGCTTCTGCTTGATCAGCTCGGCTGCTGCCTCACTCTGCCTCTTCTTGCGGCGCTGGTCATAGATGAAACCGAATCTATCAGTCAAATACTCGCTGCTGCCGATGAATCTGTTGTGCTGCTGTACTAGTGTTGGGGGGCGTGAGTCCTCAGGCAAAATTCGGTCCATTTCTACAGGCCCTAGATTGCTCATTCCACGGGTGGGTTGAGTCGGACCGAGGCCGTTGGATATACTCTTGGGCTGTTCTATCGTGGTGCTTTTGATTGTTCCGTTGGGGCCCAAGGCACGGCCTCGTCGTTGTGTGCTTGCAAGAGACGACTTTGCTGACTGCGCAGTTTTGGTCGAGTCCATGGAAGGCGCACGGTCTACAGCATCTGAAACGGTGGGTTTACGGCCTCGCACCGTATTGGCCTTGTTGGGGCTTGCAGAGTTGTTGCCTGCAACCATCTTCAGTGCCCAACTTGCTAGTGACGTCGACGAAGATCTACGGGCCGATGCGTCTGTAGCATGTTCTTGGCTGTTGAGTCGACGCAGTGCGGGCACCGCACCGTTTGGAGGTACGAAAAGATCGCTCGCAAGGCCCTTTCGTGGTGGCTTTGCTCCGCTAGATGCGCGCGACCGCGTGTGGCCCAGACGTTCTGCTTCTCTGTCCATCATGCTCGCCACAGAGGGGGCTCGGCTACTCTTCCTGCTGGTCCCTGTCCAAATGTAGTCCTTCCAGTTTGGTTTGCTTGTATCGCGTGGCGCGTCGGACGCAACCGAGTTGATGGACATGACTTCGGCTTGTGGCGCTGCAGTGCCCGTGTCCATGCCCAGAGCATCGGGATGCTCAGCTAGCTCGTCTTCCATGGCTCTGGCTAGCCTGTCCTCCATAGGGTCGTCAGGGTGTAATCCAGTCGCTGCGCTATCGCCCCTCGTCCTCGTCTTGGTGAGGCCGTTATCTTGGTCCTTGCTCTTCTCCAACTCGCGCAGTCGGTTCTCAATGTCCATGTTGGATACTTCGCACTCCTGCAGCATCTTCCTCAGCATGCGCTCGCGCTCCTCAGCTCTTCTTCGTAGGGCCGTGATCTGCGCATCGCGTTGTGCCAGGTCTCCAGCGAGCTGCTTGACCAGTGCCACGGCGCCCGTCTGTCGCAGCGCATCCTGTATGTTGTCGTCGCTCGCGAAGTGTAGATTGCCAGGTACTTTGGTCGACTCGGTGGGCGTGTCGTCGAAGAGTGCTGAGCGATCTCTGGCAGACGAGGCGGCGACCAGGCTGCCCACTATCTGCTGCGTCGACTTGGTGACCTTCCTGACGGTAGACACGGGGGTTGTGTTCTTGCTGAGGTCTGGCGGGGGGATGGCCTTGACCGTGTCCGGCGATGCAACCGTCTTGTTCTCTGCACTCCTGACGCCGTCCTCGGGCGCAGGTGTAGAGCGGAACCAGCCATTCATGCGCGACTGGGCCGGGGACGTGTCCGGACTAGGCGACAGTGAGGGGAACGAGGTGAGGCTTTTGGTGTCGACTTCGGGAGAGGGTGCTCTGCTGCGACTTCGGCTCAGAGACGTGTTGGAACTGCGCTTGGAGGGGCGCACGCGCTGGATGCTGCGGTTTCTCGGGTTCGACATGGTCGAGCTCTGGGATGCCGTCCGTACTAGATCAACAGCCCGCGGGGGGTCGGTTGCCGCCATGTTTGTCGAGCCTGGCTACAAACACGCCCATTCGTATAGTTGTTTGTGAGTCGTCGAGATATTGGTGTGTGTACGTTATGCGTGGTGGAGGTCTTGTTCGCGTGCATGGGTTACTATGCGAGAAGTGGAGACGGTGCTGCGTCATATGGCGATGCCTTATACTCGTTGCCCCACGCTTCTTTGTACGGCCTGTGTGTGAGAAGCTGCAAGAGGACAAAAAATTCCGCGTCCTCAGGGGCAGACAAAGCACTCGGCGGGCACTGCAAGTTATGAAGACGCAAGGGGCACCGGCACAGACAAAGTCACGACTCCTGGGTGTGGGTGGTCATGTCAAGCAATCATTCCCGACCCGCTAGGGCGGTTTTGTGCTTGTGCATTGCAGCCCTACGAGCCACCATCTCGCCCGAAACACGTTCCCTGGCGATCTCCCTTTTAATCCCAAGACCCTGGCTTGCTAAACACGCCCGAACAATGTTTCGCATGCGCCATGCCCGTTACCGACCAAGACGCCGCATTGGCGGCTGTGGCGACCCTGGAGACGTTGTCCCCTGAGCAAGACGACGCCCTGAAGAAGATTAATGCCATACTCCACAACGGCGAGCCATTCGTCGATATACACGAGCTGTTCGCTCTATTTGACATTCTCTACTTCCGAAAGTTGCTGCTGCCACGTGTTGAAGTCGTCTGGTCGCCGCGCTTGACTCTGGTAGGTTTTCTTTGCGCGTTACAACTTGCTTTCTGCGACCGTCTCATGCAGCATTTCTGAAGCCGGCCTCGTATGTCCGGACCGTTGCCCCACACGCTTCTAGATTGCCGTGTCAGACAACGGCTAACAATAGATACAGTGCGCGGGCATCTGCGAGTTATCCAAGGACCCCTCGACCGGAAAGTTCACGCGCATCCGGTTGAAGCTGTCAACGCCTCTGCTACAGTACCGTCCACGCTCCGACACCATTAATACACTGCTACACGAGGCGATTCACGCCTACTTCTTTATCACGACATCTTGGAAGCACTCGCGTGGGGATGATGGCACCGGCCACGGGGCGGGTTTTCAGCTGCTTGCCGACACCGTGAATAACCACGGCAACTACCAAGTCACTATATATCACACCTTCCACGATGAAGTCGACAGTTACCGAACACACGTCTGGCAGTGCGATGGACCTTGCAAGAACCAGCCACCGTACTTTGGCCTGGTCAAGCGAAGCATGAACCGAGCTCCTGGCAAGGGTGACACGTGGTACTCGAGACATCAGGCCGAATGTGGGGGGACATTTCAAAAGGTACAAGAACCCGCGCCAACCAAGAAACAATTGGATGCTATGAGCACTAAAGAGCGCGCGGGAAGGCAAAAGAATAAGCTGGATAGCTGGATCAAAAAGGACGTCAAAGGGGAGGGTAAAACCCCTGCTACGCCCACTGTTATTGGACGAGAGGGTGAAACCTCGACCAAATCCTCCAAAGACAGGCAAAATGCGGCGTCTTTAGTCGTGCGAGATGCTGTTCATTCTTCATCATCGTCCACATCTTCGCAAACTGGCCAGAAACGGCCACGGGTGGGCGAGGAGCATGACCTTGTCGTCCAGAAGAAGTTGCTTGTGGACTGCCCCATCTGCAGTGCCAGAATAGCCGAGTCCGATATTAACGAGCATCTGGATGTAGTACATCCTTGATTCTACATGTGACATTTGCGAAAGCAAGGATGTTACGTCATTGCGCACTAATGCTGCCTGCTACAACTCGAACTTACTCACCTTCCACCCACGCCCGAACACTATTACTCGCGTTTCTTGGTTCACTGTATTCCACATCAACTCTCGAGTACGTCCTCGAGTTCAAACACCCTCTACGATACCTGCCTTCTGTTCAGAAACTATCCGTCATGGCATCGGATGCTCCATCCTGTCCGTTCCTACGTCTTCCAAGAGAGCTGCGCTACGAGATTTACGATCATCTATGTCGCCAAGATTTCAAGAGCTACCCATTCCGCAAGCTGCCAATCTCGTCCATTGATCAAACAGGCCCACCAACAGCGCTACTTGTTACTTGTCGCTACCTCTGCGACGAAATCAGTACCTACTTCATGGCAAAGGTCACCTTAGGGCTCATTGCTCAGCATACACCATTGTGTTCCGAGGAAATTGACCCAATCCCGCTCAGTGTCATCCAGAAAGCAAAAAAGATCGATGTGAGGATAGACTGGCAACGCGTCCCGCAGGCTGGTGTAGACATCAGCCACTGGCCGTATCAAGTGAACGGGTGGCTTGCGGACCTGGTCCATCTGCTGCTAGACAAGACCAAGGGCTTGGAAATCATCACTATGTCTTTTGTTGAACTTGGACGGGGCACAAACTGGGAGCAGAAGGAGAGGACACTAACGCCGTTAAAAAATATTGCTGGGCGAGTGAGGTTTCGGCTAGGCGACGTCATAACAGAGGATGAGAAAGCTGCTGAGTTGAAAGAGCGACTTGGAATATACCTGGGGGAGCTCAATGAGGTTGTGTTACCGGCTGTCGGCTCTTGAGGTGAAGTGTAGCCTCAAAACACCGTGGATTGGTGACGCTATGGACCCGGGAGTCTGGAAGTGGAGAGCGACCTATTCCAGTAGCTCACGACGGGCACTTGTTGACGTTTCGCATCCATTACACCCTCTATGGGTTACTCCATCTTCTCTTGTGCTCAGTCACAGTCGACATATCTGTCGGGCTCGTCATGACAACCAGAAGCTCCGTTATGCCTAGCTTCATCATAGACAACCTCACTTCCTAGAGCATGTCATTCTTTGTATCAATCGCGCCTTTTCTACAATTCGTCTTAGTGTCTGTTCACAGCTCCTGGTGTCATTGTCTCCTCCACCTCTCATCGCTGTCACCACGCGCTCTCATCTCTCTCTTTCCACAGCCACCACGGATCTGCTGGAATCTTCTCGCTGCCAGTCTGATCCCATAGGCCAATCACTTACCTTGCCGTCATATGGTGCACGCTTGGTCCGTGCCCTAAGTTGATCTTGCGCTCCAAGAGCCGCCTTCACCTGCGACCCGCGCCTATACCGCCCATCAGATCATACACCTGGAACCTTCTGCAGGCAGCGAACTACTCACAGACCACGCCGCCTGATCGATTTTCCGCATATGCTAGCGACTTGCCGGTGATCTGCCGGCACTCCTCCTGTCTATATAAATCCCTTCTCCCCTCACTCGCTCAACTTCTGCTTGAAATCGACTCCCTCATTCAAGTCGACCTTCAGAATTATGGCCGCATCTTCTGAAGTATACCATGCCTTCCTTCACTTCCACTTCAGGTATTGCTAACACTTTCAGACATTGGCCAATATCTCATGATGTATGACATCATTCATTACAACAACATCACTTCCACTCCTACTTCCACTCGACTGTCGACAGTCATCATGGCTTCACTACCCTTCTACCATCCAGCCTTGCTTTGATCAATATCAACATTGTCGCCTTACATGCCTCACACATATCCGCCTCGGTCCAACATACACACCTCACTTCGATACGACCTTCACCTATCCTGATACACATGTCACTCTTGGCCTACCCCACTACCATATCGAATGCGCATCGTCCGTACTACTATGGCTCATCGACATGCACTACCGACGGCAACTCGGCATAGGCACCAACGTCTGGCACCGGCTCTATTTGACTGTCGACAGTCTCACGCCACTCCTGATACCGATACGCGTACGGAACGTCAAGTTATGGCACAGGGATGCAGGCCAGTCTGCAGGTCGGCCCTTGAGTTGGTAGCGGTTTGGATCAGAAATAAAGTAAGATTGGAGGATCAGTGGTGTTGAGATTAATTGTCATTGCAAGTCAACATCTGCACATTGGACGTTGGAGCCATCTCGACATTGCATTGAGCAACAAGGTTGGAGGATAGACGGTCAATGGCGCTTCGGCGCTAAACCGGGCCTCTTGTTGTCTTCTCTGAGGGGGTTGCGGCCCCTGGGATGGTTGATCGTCTTATCCGACTCAGATGGTGGCCTCGCTGAGGTTCAAGTCAATTCTGAGAAGAATAGTGTGGTGTTGGCTGAAGATGATGCTGCTCAACTCATTGCTTGTGAGCCCAGGGATGGAGATGGATGGATGGATGAGCATCGGTGGACCTTGGTGGTATCCGGAGGTCTCGGGTAGTGGTTCAATGTCTTGGTAGTTAATCGGTTGGTCGGATTCTGCAAGAGTTTCAACTTCAAGGTTGTTAAATGTGGTGGTTTCAACAAGTGTCAATCAAGGAAGGAAGGAAAGATTGTCCAGGGCGGCTGGCAGTTGGATCCTCAAATCAATCAAACCAACTTTGCCACTTTCGTCTTCTCTATACACTTCTTTGCTGGCGATGTCCTCTTCTGTGAATGCTTACCACTTTATGCTTCCTTGTTGTTTTCGCCCACATCATCTTGCTCATGTTCTTCTTTGCTTACCATGCCTACTTCTGTAGATACTTGCTACCTTACACTTCTTGTCGTACCTTAGCTCACTTTATGTTGCACACATGTTTCTTAATATGTTTAGTACGATTGCAGATTTGTCACTACTGAAATCCATAAGCACTGTCCTGTAGTTCGTGCCCAAGTTATAACGACGTACTGAATCTACCACCACCTCCACAATACCCTCAAGATCCTCTCTCAGTCAATCTCAATCGCACCCTCTATCGACTCCCCACCTTTATCCTTCCACCCTATCCCCACCCTCCCCTTCCCTCTACCCGCCCTTCTTCTCACCCCACCCATGAGATTCTTATACGGCTCCATGCCCATCGCCTCCCACTCCCTCCTCAACCCCTTCTCAGCGTACTTTCTCCTTTCTTCTTCCGACCGCATACTCCTCGGCCCATTTCCTTTCCTCTTCCCCTCCCCTTTCTCAGTATCCCATTGCTCAGGATCCTCATCTCCCATGTCTGGCCCTAACCACCACCCCGTCCCTTCAAGAAACTCGATATTCAGGTGTTTGATAATGCGCTCGTGTGCCGCGGGTCTTGGGCGCATATACGCGTTGTCTTTCGCTTTGTCGCCGAGGAGGCTGTGGATGTATGCGCTGCGGGCTAGGACGTCGGGGGTGGATAACATGGTTGCTGTGCCGCCCATTACGTGGTAGAGACCTGTTGGTAACGGTGGGAGGGCGGGGTGGAGTGGGGACGGCGTGAAAAGGTCGAGTTTTGAGAGGTGGGTTTGTTGGCTTGCTTGGGTCATTGTCTGTGGGGTGATGCGTGTTAACTTTGTTTCTTCTGAAGGGTTGGGAAGAGGACGTGGGAATGTACCATTTTTGGGAATTCGGCCTTGTCGCATTTGTGACAGCATGCTAGTGTCTTGTACAGACATGCTTTCCTTTTACTGGGCTTCTTGCAGAAGTAACATAGTTCTGCTAGCCATTTGCGGCGGCATGTGAAGACTCTTGTGTTGCGCGGTAGTACGATGTCGGCATGGCGTTTGAGGAGGTTGCGCGCGTATTCTTCTACTACGGCGTTGAGCTGTTTGTTCGTTTCGGCGAGCGCATTGAGTGGGTAGGAGTTGAGAGTAAGGTTGTAGATGGGCTCAGTATAGGAGAGGATGTTGAACAGAATCTCTGGGGGAAGTGTATCAAGACGAGTCATGCTGCGGGTTAAGGCCGTCGCGTGGTAAGGTCTTGGGTTGTGAGATCACTGGGGCGGCTTTTAGGCGGAGATAAGCTAGTTCTGTCGAAGCGCGATGCATGCCATTCCACGCGTTTCACCCATCTCACCTCACCTATCAATATACATGAGCTCATTAGGGAGAAACAATCAACTCAACATGGCCTCTCAAGGCTTTTCGAGGCTTCTTGCCTTCCTGAAGACCCTTCCGTCTGTGTGCCATGTGGACATACACACGCGCTGAACATTGCCAAGCGCGACCCTTTCAGAAGCGACTCTGACTCTTCTGAAAGCTGATTACTTGATCGCCACGAGGACCAAACGCTTGAGTGTGCTGCGAGCATAGGACGATGGTATAACTGGTGATGTGCGGATGAAGATGGCATTGAAAGTCTTTGGCGAGCTCCATTGCCGGCTCTAATAATTTCATGCTTGCAATGAGTTGCATGAACGTGATTTTCAAACTGCTTGTGCTAACAGATACTAGTCATTTGATATGTCAACTCGAAACGATCAACAATCCTCCATATTCATACGCCTCTACTTTCCCCGACGGTCCCGCTTGAACTTTGCCAAGATGGTTACAAAGAAAGTATTGGACGTTTGAAGCCACACGTGGGCTCGGGTAAGATGCGGAGATACTTGTGAAAGCATCCGCTGCATTACGAGGGCGGAAGAAGTCTACTACGGGCCGACAGCAGGTCATGTCTTAGAGTAAGACGGACCAGGTCACATCTTGGCTGAGAACCGGATACTTTCCCGCAATTCAAGCTTCAGGAGCCCTTTCGAGCTTGCGGAGACAATCTGAAGGTCCTACGCGAGTTGAAAAGGCAGCATTTACATACGACGATATGCTGGCGGGGACGATATCCGAAGTGAAACCACACATGGAAGTATGCCTCCAGCTCAGTACACCGTATGATTACCCCGAGTCTAGACATGGTAAGAGCCGAAAGTCCAGCCAATACAGCTCATGGCCTGCAGATTGTGGACCGGCCGGGCCAGCTCGATCTGGAAAAGGCTACCGGCATTTGGCTTCGAGAGCAAGGCGGGAGGAAGGCCGCTTTACTCCCCGCATACCTACATGTTTCCTTCTCTAGCTCGTAGTGGAGTAGCCACACGAGCGTCATCTTACACGCACTTCTATTTTGAACGCCCGTTGCATCAGCTAATGGATGGAGGCATATGCCCTCTTCACCACGTTCCTGCTTGCGATTGGTAGAGCCGCTCTCTCACGTCTAATCTTCATTGGCTCAGAACTTGCTACACCAGACATGAACAAGGCCCGTCGGTCATTGAACCTGCGCCGCTTGGCCAATAGTCTCTTTATCGGCCCTCAACCTTGTGGGTCACAAGGTAGGGCTACCAAACAGTTACACAAGCAGCCTAGCTTACCAATGTGTTGGTAACGCGGAGCCTCTCTTGCGGCTCGAGCCATCGTCTTGCCCTGGCATAACGCTACTGACTTTTGAGAACTGAGCGAGCATGGTGAGCGACTTTTGGCGATTGCGATCGCGTGTTACACCTCGCAGCAATTTCCTGAAAACCTTAACCAATGAGCTAGCTTGCCCAGCTTCCAAGACCAACCACGCCCTCTCGACTTTCTCGCCCGACTACTCACATGCGCAAAGGACTTCACTCAATCCGATTTGCCACGGTGGGGGCATCTGTTCTGACTAGCGCCTCGCGAGAAGGGCCGAATTCCTTTCCTGGAGAACTATCATGCCTCCACTAAGCGTTCCTGCGGGAAGACTATCGTGAGTCAGACAGTAAGTCGTTCGACTGAACAAGTTCTAAGGAAATGTAAACTAGAAACCGCATAACGTATGCCCCTACTGGAGGCGTATTGCACGCCCGAGGGCACGGGGCACAGGAGCCTGGGTGCCTGAGGGGGCAAAATGGGGTTTGAGAGATACAAGGTGAAGGACTCTGCTGTGCTGTTAAGGGGTATTAAATCGCGTCCGCCCACACACAAACAAGTGATTCCCTACTCACACTCCAACCGACCACCGGACTTATTCCTTTGGGTCATCCTGTCTAGTCTTTCACTGATTCCGCTACTGTTTGAGTGACTGTAGGATCACTCATTGGCATATTGCATCCTCCTGTGCCTGTCCAATCCCCCCTGCCGTACCTGGTGACCTTGGCTACCCCATCCTTCCCATATAGTTCATTCTTAGAGGTCGCTCGCTACACACAACGTCCTCAAACACTCTACTAGTTCATTACAAGGCAAGATGAGTCATTCGAATCGTCAGGCCGGCGTTAACTCAAACGGATCACATCAAGATGGCGGTGGTGGAAGCAGTGGTAGCTCTCGTGGCAACGCGGATGTAAACGTGAGATAGAACGACTGTTCACATTGGAGCTCATCGCTAACAACACACAGTCCACCTTGGGACGAACCGCACCTCTTTCAACTACGCAACGTTATGCCTACGATCCAAGCAGAGATCCATTGTATACACAAGCGCCGCGCTCTTCCAGGTCCGATCACTCAGACATGCGCGATGTAGTCAACTCCCCAGCTTTGTACACAGTACCTGCCCCAGCACATCCTCAAAACCAACCGTCTCGCTCCTACAATGTACCACAACAGTTCTGGACTGATCACGCGTCATCCCATCTTCGCATTACGCCTTACGATACATCTGGTAGCGATTTCAATGCCTCGCAAGCGTTCCAACCCACGTTGCCGGCGAGCGTCTTCGCGCAGCCGAGCGGGCAGACATATTATCCTCCAACTGGCGCTTCCCATCCGAACCGAGCCGCGGGACAACACGCCGGCCCGTATGATGCCGTTGGCTACATCAGACGCGATGGAGCGGTGTACGACAGAGAGGAAGTGTATGAGGAGTACAGGCCGTATGATCCAAATGCCCATAAACGCGGGCAGCGAGGATACCACGGAAGTAACGAAACATCGCGTTGAATCACGACACGACACGACGGTATGATCTGGAATGAGAAGAGAAATGGCTTTCTTTATATTCACATACATGATTGTTTGGGTCGCTTATGGGTTGGCTACAGTTCTAGCCCCGGGCTTGCATCCTTCGGCAGTGATCTTAGAGTCCACAGCGGCCTATTAGCCTGCCGCTCATGGTGTCATGTCTTACGCACAAGGGGATTCTGGGGGGGTTCTGCTTCAGCCTTACTCACTGGTGCGCTTTCTTTCTTTCAGCTGGCGCCCTCTCTTTCATCTCGACTGGCTGGTACAGTCATTGTTCCCTTGTACCTTATACACATCATCGTAGCGCATTAGCAAGCGGAGAATCTGGCGTCTCATCTATCATCTTAATTCGAATCATTCTCATTCGCTATTGCCAGTCATTTCTGAATTTTGTGAATATGTCGAGATTCTTCCATTCTCATCAACTTCTCCGATTCTCACCCGAAGCTCGGTTGAGCCGCAAACTGCTGACATATCTGCCCGTCGGCGCAAATGACACACGCATCGCTCACCGGATACTCACCGGAATTTCGATCATCCCTCAGGCAACAACGCTATCATTCACCGGACGTTGATAAGGTAGTCGCCGAGAAGGTCGCTGTCACCGGAAACTATGCGCTGGCCATAGTGAGACATGTTGCCAAGTTAGGCATGGTATCAATCTCGGGGAGATGAAGACCGCCGTAGAATAGAGCTCTACCAGCCAGTCGATCGTAGGAGGACTTGCACGCTTCTGCGACGAAGTATTGAGTCCTCCTTGGAGGCGTCGACTTGACTCATATGCAGAAGAAGAGAACCTACCAAGGTCGACTCGCATTCGCCATGGTGACATGTCGTCTGGACAAGAATATGTAGATCCACCGATATGCTGTGTCCTCCATTGCGGCTATTATGCTGCAAGGTTTACTCTAACTTGCCCACGATGTGACATTGTCCAGTCGCTCCAGCAGGCATACGCTTTAGCGTTCAATCCGCATTGCCTCCACCGATCGGGTCAATGAGGTGATCGTCGTTTGACGTGTAAACTGTAGCGCCATGCCGGCAGGTGCTAGAACGGAGGCATGCCGCTCACTCAGTATGGTAGAGGGCACAGCTGTACGCCCGACGAAGTCTTGACGCAGCTCTGAGGTTACCAGGCAACAAAGCTTGACACAACTGACCCAAGGACGCGAGGCGGGCGCATTCTCGCGAAGCGCTTCGTACCAGGCGGGACTAGCAGCGTGTGGTAAAGCTGTCTTACCATTGGCACTTCGTGCAAGAGCGCGGGTGGGGCACACGAAGGGCACGATAAATGCTGCGATACGGCTAATGTGGTGAAAACAAAATTCACCCGAACGGGGCGTGTGCGCCGAGTCCTGGTTCCTGCGGCTCTGTCCTGGGTCACCAGCAGGGGTCGTAGTTGTCGCATGTCACACGCTAAGCTGACCCAGTAGCCAGGTCAAGAAGGCTGTTACGTTGATTGATATTGATAGCCGTTATCGAAGTCTGATAAGCACGTCGGTCACCTCCGACATCTCTGCGTGCTTATCCTTGAGAGCATTCGTAGTATTTGATAAACCCGTCTCGATGGCTGACGGTTTCGGCTTCCAGGAATTAAGATGACGAGTAGTGACGTTATCGTCCCGTACGATTAGCGCGGATAGATCTCGCGCTAGCTTGACCTAAAGCGGGGGAAACACTGGGCAGTGGCCGTGTGGCCTGATAGCCTAAGCCCTAAATCAACGTCTTCACGGCTTTTGCGAAGCGCTCTTCCTGGTTTTGGTATCTTTTGCGATCTTTGCCTCACTTGTTTCTTTAATCTGGAGGACTCCAAGCGCCGGGAGAGGCCTGCCGCTAAGAATATGCAGTCAGATAGCAGCGGAGCACACTTGGAGGCCGCCAACAACAATCGTGAGATGCAACCTTGGCATTTTCTGGATAGCGTTAGGGCTGAAGCTTGATTCGGCTTGGGAGTTCTGCAAGAGGACGGGCGGCTTCGCAGCTGCCCTGCTGCCAGATGAGTGCGGGCTCCAGTGCTGCGGGGTTATTTACACGCTACAGGTGCTTGTGCTAGAGAATTCATGCCATCAGCCGTCTGCTCAACTAATTCTGGGGTGTTGCAATCTGGATCTTTGTCGCAGCCGCCTTTGCTTGACGTAGAGCACGGAATATCGCATCAGGGCAAGCTAAGGTTTCGTGAAGCGCCGTTACATCGATTGTCATCTATGGCACGCGATACCAAGAAAACTTGAATCGCTCAATGCCTGACATACCAGCGCGGTTCGTGAATGTGGGCTCGGAGCACCAATGTCTGGCGTCTAAGATCCGTTGAGGCTGCAGGTTTGTGTGGAGGATGTCAATGCCTGGGTGATCTCACCGGTCGCTAGTCATAGCACCCACGATGCGGCTCCAGCTCGTCCCAAGGCATACTCGCAAGGCGCATTCGACGGGTTCGCGCTTGCACTCCTCGCATTGAGGTCTGCGTTCCTTTGGCCCCATTCCTGCGGCTGTGCTGTTCAGGCATGCGCCGTCGAAGATGAAGCATCAGGTAGTCAATATAGCTGAAGCTGTGCCTCTGTTTTTTCCAAAGGAGATTCCGCTCTCAAAAATTCACTACCATCCTCGTTGTTTGTGCGAACAGAGCTGCACCTTTGCCAAATTGCTTTCGCAAACCGGTCAATACCCCGCCGCCACAAAAAGGGCTTACAGCGGAAGCATGTTCCTGCTGGACTTTCACAATCGCCCACAAACAACATGCCAAAGTAGCCGACTCACCTCGTCCGATATGCGCGCCCCTTCGCTGCCGCCGGTGTCCAGGAGTAGCCCCGCCTCATTTTTAGGGCTTTAGCGTTGTCCACGTTGCCGATGTCTTGTTCTGGAACACGGTATGGGCAAACTCCACATCGACTCCGGCCGACGAACCCTTCCTCCGCATTGGCAAAGTCGTTCAAGTGACAACACTGGCGTCGCTCTCTTTTCTGACATGCCCATGCATGTTGACGCAACCAATGGGTCATCGCCAATTCCACGGCCCAAGACATCGCATGCCCCAGGCAACAACGATAGATGACCGATTTAATTCTGTCCACTACCTTGACCTCAATGGCATTCGAGCTAAGACCCACCCCGAACTTGGCAGTTGCTGGAGAAGCTTATACGCCCACGTACACACGTTTTCAACACAGGGCTGCTTAGTGCGATGCCGAGTCCTCTTCAATCTGTTGCCTTCTTTTAAGCTTTTGCGGCCAAAACTGCTACTAGCAGCATGGCGCGTTGGGCCTCAAGACAACCTTTGCGCTGGCTTAGGACTCCTCACGATGCAGTCATCTGTTGCGCCATCATTCATTAAGGCGCGGTCCTGTTGCCAGTCAGCACAGTCCTCCAGGAACTTACATAGTCACCACTAGCCATGATGTCTGGCTGTTGCATGATGCTTTGTGGTTGATAAGGTCCTTCAGCGTTGGGAGGTCTCGCCACATAATTCGAGACTGTCCCCGCATTCTGAAGATGCTCATTCACTTCGAGACGAAGCGTCGCTGGAACATTACGTACGTGAGTTCGAGACCCCGTCCGGTGCTTCATCGCAGCTAGAGTGCATCATACTAACTTTTGTTCAGCATATCAACAACTCGGCACGACTCCGTTGATACGAAGCGGCCTGGTGCTAGTTCATGCGCTTGCCGCAACTCAACGTTCGCTGTCGAGGTTCATAACACCAAGAACTCGCCAGCTCCGTGGTACCCAAAAGATCTTATCGAAAAATATTGGCCGACTGCCGATAGTGCAACGGCTGTCGGGTGTCGAACCTTCGTTCGGAAGATCTATCGACTCTCAATACGAATTCACCGGATGGATCCCCAAAGATGTGCGGACGCCACTTACGACGAACCCCCACCACCTTACAAATATCAGCGAATGCAGGAGCTTCCTGCCTTATCGATCCACGAATTACCGGATCAAAGAATGCTTACTCCGGAACTTGAAGGAGACGATGGGATCGCCGAGCTAGGAAGTTCTGTGGAGCAAACTATCGACTATCCCTTCAATCTTGACCCAAGTCAAACGTTCTACCCATGTTCGAGCGAAGCCAATGAGCGTGGTGCAACCGCCAATTGTACGGTGCTACAACAACCCACATCTGTCGATGTGCCAAGGCTACCTTGGAGTCTAGATACCCAACAACACTCCGCTTCAGCACCCAGTTTGACCATCGACGGGCTTTCGCATGAGTCGTCGCCTATATCACCTATCACAACCGATACTAATGGCAATTCTCCCACCCAATCTTATTCAGATACCGATCTCATGGCAGGCATGGTGTCTCCTCTAGGAACTGTATCATCCTGTGACAGCTCTTGGACAAGATCGCATGTAGTCGACAAGGACTATGGCTGTGCTTCGTATACTAGCCTTCCAACGTCATTGGAAGCAATTCCTATAGAGTCTTTCCTGGAAACGCCACAACAGTCTCAGGCAGAACGTCTCCATGTTCGAAGAGATGACTTTTTGCATCCTGCGGTGACACCCATCTTTGCAAGCCATGAATCATACATTCCCAATAGTCACCCACCTGTCGCATGGAACGATTACTTGCCAGAGTCTCACGCGCAGCAGGACGACTCTACAACCATTCTCTTGGGTGATTATGCGTACTGTGAGCGCCTGGGATGGCGATATTGTGGTGGTTATGGAGGAGGTGCGGCTCAGGATGAAGGGGCCAAACAAGCGGTGTTAACGATCAGCGAGCCGGGGTCTTCGCAACACGCCAGTCACTTCGATGAGTGTCAACCATCATCGCACAAATTCATTGAGCTTCATGACCACCAAGATCCGGAGCTTTACATGGAGTCGAGAGCAGGTGACACTAACTACCCGCTTGAGCATTGTACTCAATGTGACAAAACGTTCAGTGGCAGGTACGCTTTACTGTTCACATCTCGCTCGTATACAAGTATTGACTTGACTACAGATATCGGAAAGGCAACTTGCGACGGCATGTCCTCGCTTTCCACAACCCGCTAGCGGGCGTAATCGGTACAGCGTGCCGCGTCTGTAAGAGGGCGTACAAGCGCGCGGATGCGACCCGTAAGCACGAGTGGAAGAAACACCATGTCTTAGATGCAAAGCCCAAGAAGCGAGCGAAGTAGTCGCGTCAGCCGCGACGGCCATGATCGACTGTGGCGATGAATGCGTCGTAGTGCAGATCGGAATCTGGGATTCCTCCCACCCTGGTGGTACAGATAGCTGCTTGCGGCTTCTTCTTTTCTCCTTCTTTCGATCGCACTGGTTGTTCTCTTGCTGCGCCGATGCGCTCTTAATGTCTTTCAGCGCATTTGCGCGTTTCCATTCTCTTTGGTAGAATGCTAACGTAATACCACGCATCAAGATGCACCCAATGATTGACCCGGTGACTGTGACATCATAATGTACAACGCCAAGAAAGAATATGGCAGGCCCCTTATTTCTTGTTTTCCACATTCTGGGCAAGCCTAGGTTGGCTGGGTGATTACAATGGCCCACTTTGGACCGCGTTGAACGACGTCCAAGTGGTACGCATGCGCCCACGCGTAGGCGCTCTCACGCCATTAACTCCAAGCCTTTCTGGCCCTAAGAGTTCAGTGAAACAAAATGGAATTCTCCATAGTTGCCTAACCGATCCCGACAGCATGGTATAAGGTGTTTGCCACTTTGCCTGACGACTTGACATGGGTAGCTAGGCAAGTACCTGCTGGATGCTCCGAATGCTTCAACCTTGCAGTCCTGGACGGTCCAACATCCAGTCCGCAAGGACTCAGCCACACACTACCTGTATCCGTTTTAAGCTTTGGGCGGCGATTAGGACAGGTCGGCGGTCGACGGTCGACGGGCCTAGAACCAGCCTTTGGAGCTAACTCATTCCCCATCTTTCGGGAGGGCAGATTGTGAGAAGCGAGAATACGGGCATTACTGACATCCTTCGCGTCCTTGCGCCAGCGCATCCACCACTATGATACCGACGGTGATTATCACAGCGAATGATGGGCATATGCTGCGAAGGAAGCCCTCACCGCCGCGATGGCGGAGCCAGACGGTCGGTGGTATGAACACGTGCAACGTGAACAAGATCGTCGCAAATGCATGACACAAGCCAACGATAGCATGTGCGAAATAGCTACCTAGGCTTATTGTAACCAAGTCTAGGTTAGCAATAGCTCTCTAGGCTATAATTAACATGAGAAAGTGGTTTTTGCATCTCGCAGAAGCCGGACGCTGCGGAGATTTCCTTCTGCGACGTGCGCCCGGGACGACCTAACGCAGACGCAGAAAGAAAAAGAAGAATCCGGGTAAATAGCCTTGTACAGCTGAATTCCACTGCCGTGGGGCGTTTTGCGCGGTGGGAATCATCAAGAATGCGACTAGTTATCTTTGAACAAGCGTGATGTACAGCTCCTCCCGAGCAACAGCAGCGACAACGCCCGGTGTCAACCTCTCAGTAGAGAGTAGCATCGTAGTCCAGCATCTGAGGGTTACGGACACCACCTGGAACGTGCAGTCCAATGCGTACCGGGTACTCGAGTAAAATAGGCTACTCGTAGTCGTTCTTCGTAACTACGTGGTACATTTCTGTATATCGCTAATCTGACTTCTAATTCGTCGCTCGCTTGCAAGCAGCCGAACAAAGCCGAACAGAGCCGAAAAGATTGGCCAAACTCTCGAAGTCATGTTGTGCAACTCTCTTGAAACGAAGGACTTTACTTCCGGGCCCTCTGGAAGCGTGCTCGTAGTCTGACGAGTTACCCGGAAAGCTCTCGAGTCAGGATCGAAGGACATCGAAGGCGGCACGTGGAGTGATGAAACAATACGCCTCCGAACCTCCGTGGTATAAGCCATGAAGAGGGCCTGTCTTGCTTTTATGGTTATCGCTGCTTTAAGGGTCGGGTTTCAACAAGAGCAGTCACAAGACCTCAAAGCGTCAGGCTAAAGGTCAGTATAATTTGCCTTGGCGGTGAGGCTCTTCGAAGATGCAGTGGCAAATTCGACGACACAGTAAGCTTCGTGGTGGCACATGGAGTTGCATGACCGCCATGACGATATGCGCTGGCAACGTGAGGTTAGAAGCGAGGCTTTGTTCCATTGTCAAGGCGGACTAACCTCAACACTAGAATGATAGCGCCCGTCTCGTCTCACGCTACGCGCATCAGTTGAATTGTGAATGCATTGCGTAAAGCCACATAAACCAGTTGATCCGAAGCCGTTTGACACCGGCCCGGTCCTATACGGAGAGCTAACGGTATGCCAAGGTGCCGAAACTCTTCGTATGCGCAGTTGTATTTCTGGAATGCTATTTGTGCATGCGCTTTTGAGCCTCAAGTGGGGCAGAGAAATGCTGTAGCAGTGTCAAACCCTTTCTTTCACTAGAAAGATGGCGCAACGGAACAGGCATTGCGTGCGCAGATAAATGCCGCTGCATGCGGGGTCGAGGCGCGTACACGTGCATTGCTTTTTCGCTTGTCGGGACTAACGCTCAGTTCGCAGCAGCGACAACGTGCTTTGGAGCAAATCCTCGGTCGCGTAACCTGAGGAATTTTAGAATCATGTAGCTCAGCACAGCGGGAGGTAAAATGAATCGAAGAGGCGCCTGAAACATCGGAGGGTTGTTCCACTCATCGAATCATTGCTTAGCCATGATCCTGCTCTATTCGCCAAGGGCTCGCATGCTGCTTGCATACTCAAGCAGGCTCTCGCTCAGCTCGGCATGGTAGCTGCAGGCGCAAACTTGAATGGATGCAAGTCGTCAGTTGCCCAATCGTCCAATGCCATGTAAAGCGCCATGAGTGACGAGGCGCGCAGCCCACAGCTGAGCGCAAGCGGTCGGCGGTCGTTCCTTAGAACCGCTTCCGCCAAAAATTGAAAGCTCGAAGTAAGAGCTCCACCGAGCCTGCGGGCCATTGTTAGCTTCTGAATGAAGCCCACCGTCTCTGATGATGTCCAACAATCAAACTCCACACGTTGTGCGCAAAACGTTGTTGATGGCGAGGTATGGTGTGGTGGCTTGCCGGCAGAGCGGCCCCAATCCATCTTCAGCGCAATTTAGCGCTTGGTATCCGCAGCCGATCTTCGAGTCGGTATACGAGAGTCTCAGTCCCAAGAAAGGTTTCGAGGCGGTAAAAATTGTACCAGATCATAGGATCGGAAAAGTGCAGCTTTCCGCCCATGTTACAATACCCGGGAGTTGATATTGAAGCCCAAGAACTTACGTTAGGTATATAAGGATGCGTATCGGTATGCAGAGTTGACGTGCCCCACACCGAGGTGTATGTAGGCATGATAGTGAGCTGCAAGCCATACATGCACAGTCGCACCCTTTCCATATTAAAGCCGGATGGCGTTTGAAGATCTACTCGGATCAAAAGGGCCAGGAGCCCACCGTTGTGACCCTAAGCCTTCCGTACCGTCCGATTCAACCTAGCAGTTGGCCTCGTCGCGGACCACTGCGTACACCAATGGCACTGTGATCGCTGCTTTTACCATCAGCCGTGCCCTGCGCACATGACTACCGAAGGCGTCCTCTTGCGGAAACTGAGCCCGCTCAAATCCGATGCGAAAGGAGAGACTCCGGCTTAGACGGCCACGTATCGTCACTCTTGTCCACTTAGGATCGACTTATTGGAATGGACGGGAATTTTCTGCTGATGGCTCCAGGAATAGTCGACAAGTGTACTGGACGCTAGCGCAACGCTGTCCTTGCTCGTCACCAGGTAGGCAAGTAGGCAAACGGGCCCACTTCCAAGCTGTTGGCTGAACCCGCGGTATCCCATAGCAAGACCAAGCTCTCCGAGGGACCATCTCAGTCGGCTAGAGATGTTTCGTAGCTCTCACGACGACAACGGCACGTCTGATGGTGACTCGGAGTAATGTGGGTCTGGGGCTAACTGCATAGCATCCCTGGTCATCGTAGTCCTCCTCACAGCGCAAGACCATAAGGTACATACCACCCATCCGCCCCTTGAGTATTCATCTGCAACCATCGGTCGTACCTCGTCTTACTTTTCCGCGCCTTCGCTCGATTGCATACCCACGCTTTCCGCTGCCCATATCTTACGAAAATACTCGAGTCGAATACAAAGGCTGCTGCCTGCCACGGACAGCTTTACCAGTGCAAAACATATCTGTTGTCGAGGCGAAGAGCCACAGGCTCAATACGAAGGCTTGGTACGGACGTTCCTGTGTTCCAGGAGGCTTCTTGGTCGCTGACGCTCCGACTATTCATCACCTTCGCCAGCCTCTTCAGCCGCGCCAACCCCGAGTACAAAGCAGGCTGCCCGACAAAGAACTGCTAATTGTTCTCGACCTCCTCTTTCTTGGTCTGACCTTGAACACATCGCCAGCGTTTCCAAACTTTATCAACTAGCTACCACGGTACCGGCAAGGCTGTGGAGCACAACTCTAAGACCTCGACATCATCAGACACATTCCGTCCTCCATTGTTGGCCTGCCGCTTCATCCCCAATCGTTCATCGGACCAGTATCTCCCTTGAGCTTTTTTCGTTTCTCCGGAAGCTTAAGCAAGCGGCTTGGAGCTCACCACTGGCCTCAAAGTCGCATCGTAACGCGTCGCTCATTGTTGGACGAGATCGAAACCCGCGTACTATCGGCCAGTCATTCGCTGTATCGAAGTTAGACAACCATCCCAACAGTCCCAGTAACGTGCCGTCGTATGCTTTTCTCAGCACTCGCGGCCTTGACGAAGCCTAGTAATAAAATGGACCCATACAAGCAGCACCGGCCCCCTTCTCATACCAGGGGGCGCAACCATAGACGTTCCAACTGCAGGCACGGCAAACAAACTCCGCTGCATGAGCATTTCGGCGGCAGTGAACCTGTGTTTGAAGACAACATCTTCATCCCATCCGGCCTCGAGTCCCATGAGACACAATCCTTCCAGCAGTCGGGTACAACACCCGCCAGTGGTGGATACTCCGCAGACAATGCTATGTCGGAAGACGACCCGCTGCGGATGTGGCCGCAGGAACGAGAAAGCATGGAGCTGGAACAATTGCGGGACCATGGCAAACTGGCTCCGATGCCAAATCACGACGCGTCGAACAATCAGTGGAACGCGCCTTGTCCTCCGAATGGGTGGCAAGATGACAGAGCAATCGCTTCCGAATATGGCAATGCGCCGTTCTCGATAACACACAACCATCTCGCGCACCGTAGAACATCCGGTGTAACGGCTAATAACATCCCAAACTCTTCTACCCAAACTGCGAATCATTTTCTCCGAGTAGACAAGGCTTTCGATAGCCGGTCGTTTCAGAGTACTGGACTGACCAACTCTCACCCCTTGGGTCCGCCAACGGACCTGGATATGGCACTCTTCGATGTTAACACTCAACGAGAACCGTGGTCACCTTACCACACAGCCGGTGTGTACCGGGCGCCAGACATGGCACTTCCATCGGATTGGCACGATATTCCGAAGACAACACCATCGGCAACAGATCATGACGAGTCAGGATCAGGTTACGTCGGTGACGTTTTTACTCCACTGACGTCAACAGACTACGCCAGTGAGCACATGGTCGACAGCGGAGTAACCGAACGTCAAGCTCTAGGGACCTTACAATATACAGATTCCAGCCAATTCCCGATCTCTTTTGCTGGTGGACCTTACGGTCCGCCCTCTCAGTCTTTCCCTATCCATATTGAGAGGTCTAGGGCTTTGATGGAGACTCCTTCAACTCCGCCAGGATCTTCTCATTGGGGTTCAGGCGGTCTAGCTGTACCAATGCAAAGAATCTCTTCCATACACTCTTCTGCCTCTGAAGCGTCCTCGACCGGTGCCCCTCCAGTTCATACCCCGGAAATGATGTATTGTGACGAGAGAGACTGCAGACAACCCTTCACTGGTCTCTATCGGAGAGGCAACCTGGCGAGACACAAGAGGTTGAAACATGGAAAAGGCAAGCCGTATGTGTGCGAGGACCTCACATGCGCCAAAGAGTTTCGACGACAGGACGCTCGACTCAAGCACTATAGGAAATACCATTGTGAGCTCGCTGCCAGTAGTCCCTTCGTGCCCCGTTCGACAGCCTCGAGGCCAGTGGCAAGCGAACAGGAAGTCGACCTAAGCAACATCTCCAGTTGGGCTGGCTGAAAATCTTTCCTAAAAAAACAAAAGGTTGGCAGCCCTGCCTTACCTATTCCTTCCAAGCAACGACGCCAAGCCTATCTCTTCAATCTTCCATCCTGCTCTTCATACCATCCTCCACCGGCAACTTTAAACCGTACGGCGGGGGCTTCGCACTTCATGACATGCAAAACTACGCATCTTCCTATGTCGTAAGCGATCGTGTCCATACAAGGCTGAGCAAGCTTCTTTATTGCCCTTCCCTGTGTTGCCGTATAATGTAGATGTAAATCGCGAACCGAACACCACGCACCCTCATTTCCTGTATGTAGTCTTCTTTCTCTTGTTTCCCTTTGTTGGCGTTCGGATACGTTTGCGATCAGTAGTCTTGGTGTTGTTGCATTTCTTGATAGGGTGTGGTCAAGGAAGCGTTGTACAGCGGGTTAAGATATCAGGAAGAGGCTCACTGCACGTCCTCGTCCAGGCAGCAGTTGCCTTGCCGCAATCGCGCCTGAGGACAAAGAAGGAGTGCCTAGTGGCTGCAATCGTTCCGAAGCGCGACGATTTCGACGAGACGGGATCGTTGAGGATGCTGAGGTCGAGGAGGAAAGGCATCGGGTAATACTGGGCGTTGGCTCAAGGTACCGAGCAAAGCCGGGCCGACCCACAGTACAAGTGTACCATGACACGTCCCTTGCCAATCTGGCAACAGGCACCTCTCCGGCATAACTACAAGATGCGACAGGCTCCATGTCGATAGCTGCCTACGCTGGTCAATAGAACAAGGCCACCCCACCCATCAACGTCCGAGATGCTTGAGGGTTGTTTTGGCCGAAACTCCGATCGCGCAAAATAGGCTTCCGGCTGACAGGCCTTGATGAGACACGATGCGATTATAACGGCAGTTCGCAAACAGACGACAAGGGGTAGCACAGGTTACACCCATGCCTCTCGCGTTCTCGTACCTCAATGCCCCGACGAGGATAAGGCCCGAGTGTCGATCTGTTCAAAGTGAGGCGAAGGTAAAGGTAAGTGAAGGTCGTCAAGCTCCTATATCGCGAATGTTAGCTAATGTGCTGTTGCTTTTGCCCACAGGCCTGTGACATGTTTCAGGCAGACGGCTAGCCATCTGTCCTTCCAGAGCGGGACGCGTGCGGTGGCAGGCCGAGCCTCCTTTATATGACGGGAGGGCTCTTCCAGAGCTGACTGTCTACAGTGGCGTAGTGCATCAGGCGACCGATTTCAATAAGCTCGTCATCCATAGGCAGCCGTAGGCATCTATAGGCCGCCCCGGGACTGCGTAATGTCACTCGTCTCGCTGTATCATCCTTCTGTGTCCTCTCGTCCCGTCTTCACGCCAATGACATTCAATAAAGGCTGGTGGCTAAACCCTGATCGTACAGGGACCACTGGTTGTGTTTGAGTCATGGCTTCCAGACTCTCGACTACAGGTACGACTGTTCTTAAGGCGGTTTCAAACGGATTCGCCACGATTGTTGCCATGTAGGCCACATACGAAGGTGGAGGGACGTGTTGTTGGTGAGCTTGGATGTACTGGATGGTGAACTGTTGAGTTCATAGGCGGATCACATACCTAGCATTCTTTGGGTATGTAGAATCGAATACCATCCACCGTCGCAGCTGAGCCCCTTTACGTGTATGCAGCTGTTGCGTTCTGACTGAGCTGACCGACGCTCATGGCAAACGCTCAGACGCATGGCCATATGCATGCCTGTTGACGTAAGTTGCCTCATTATTTAGTGGCAATTTACTCTCGCAATCTGACGCGTAATCCGAAGCCAAATTAAGAAAGCTTCTGGGTGTCAGAGTGGTGGTGGTACTGTTCGACGGAAGCGCGCCGCCACTAGTGTGGCGGTGTAGCGCAGGGTAGAAAATCTCGACATTATTAGCTCACTACGGTCGGTCAGTCCGATACGCTTTAGGAACAGAAGTCGAGAATAAAATCGATTCTTATTCTAGCTACCAGATTATTCCTTTTTTTTCCCCCTAAATTGCCAGATAGGTGTAGGCCTGTCGATGACTTTGATGATGTGTGCAGGCCTGTATGTGCACGTCATGTGCATGCTTCTTAGCCTATTGCTTGCGGTTACAAAGCGAATTCTGAGCACTTCGCTGTCAATCCATGATGCAGGCGACTCGTCGACGTGTGACGAAAGCTGTGACTGTAGTGATATGCCCATGTCAATTTTCTTACGTCACCCTCCAATCGCTTCTCTAATTCATCGGGTACTGTTCGCATTGCAGGTAGCATCTCCCGTTGAACCCAACCTGAGTATTCATAATGCCCGAATTATGACTCTGCAATGTCTTCTGCCCTTTCGATTCATGATTGTGAAGCCAGTTGTTCTCGTAGCTTATCGCTCTGCTGCGTGACAACCGACAGCCCTAGACTGCTAGGCAGTACTGCTTAAATCCCAACTGAAGTGGAAGGTTAAGATACACATGATACCCGTGTAAAATTACGATCTCATAGCTACCAATCCCCTCACACTTCACTTTGGCATGACACAGTGCTGTCGCATATGGTCCACCGATTAGGAGAGGCCTCGGGATACTACACACATATCCTCGTGAATGTTAGAGCCCGAATGACGCCCTCTTCAAACTTTCAACAGCGCTGTGTTACCTCCAACACCCGAGATACGTCACGCAATCACTGGCCGCTGTCGACACTATCCCAACTGCTTCCTGTTGGGCTAAGGGAACTGCATCCTGTAAATCCAACTATTCTCTCAATCTCAGTTCCCCATCGGCTTTACTTAAACAGTGCCTTAACCTTAACGAAGTACTTCATATCCCTAACAACTAACCACGAGGACTGTTCAGTACGTGCCAAACTGATAGCTCAAGTTTACGCCTCCCAATGGCGGTTGTTCGGCGCTAGGATTGTAGCTGGACAGGCGACTACTCATCAAACCTTAAACATCTATTTGGACCTCTTGAAAACATCTCAACGCCTACGTTAGAGTGTATACTTTTGAAGAGCTCTTCATCAGGTGAAGTGAGGCAGGCATAAGGCGTCAATCTTGGGCTTCTTGGTTGGCGACGGGTACCTTGTACCAGCTACCTCGGTATGCACCCCACTGCGATGCTGCCTCATTCATTCCTGCAAGTCATCTTGAACCAGACAAGTAGGTACCAGGATCAGTACTAGTTCCTACATCCTTCAAAAGTTGGGCTGATCAGGCGTATGAGGAGCAAGGGGAGCCACGTCGTCTAACGATGACTGGAAAATCCAAAACACCGCCAAGGAAGCGCAGCTGAGCAAAATCTGGGTGTAAGACTATCGCGGTAAACCAGTCAGCAGAGGTCTATCAAACCACGCATGCACAGTGGCGTGCGTAGTGTCGCACCGTGCCATTGGACACCTGCATAGAAGCTCGGATGATCGGTATAGATGATGCGGAGACAAATGAAGACCTTGAATTCGCTCAGGCGGTCGCACATACTACCAGACTGCACTATCTACAGCCGATAAAACATAGTCCTATCCGAAGTTTTGAAATATGGTGTTTTCAGTATTCGCGTTGTCGAGCGGTTTCGTAAATTTGCCCCCAGTGTGTGTGGCGACCTTGGCGGAAGTTCTCGGCACGTGGAAGGCGAGAAAACATTCTGAATGGGGCTGTGTTTTGCCATCAGATGCACGCGATGACAAGTGAATATTTCTCAAGAAAAACAAAAGAAGTCAAGAAAACCACGGAGTGCCCATGTTTGCATGACGTATGCATATCGTTCCTAGGTGGTTGGGCATTGAGCAGATGCCCTGTGAGCCCAGTCGAGCATGCCTTACCAGCGATGCACATTCTCCACTCACACCATGGAAGGTAAACATGCGATGCCATGGACTGCTGCTATCGGACATGGCGACGTGGCACAGCGTATAGAGCGCTCAGGCTGATGGGATGCGCCCAGAACGGATAATGACATGGAAAGCTCGTGATTGAAGCTGATACACGAGCAGTCTCAGCTGACGTTGTCATTGATGACATCGCACAGCCCGGCGCAGTACTACACTTCGTGGATGGTAGCTCCTCTTCTGGATGTTTTAGTACAACCAAGATGCGGCTGTGAAGAGTCATTAGCATTCCCCGGTTCTCCGATTGCTGACAAGCTGCGTACCGATTCTATAAGAACGCGTGGCGAACGAGGTCTAGGATGAAGGGATCGTTACTTCGAAAGAAGATGTATACGGGCGCCCCTGCACGTCCCTGTTCCTCAGGACAATTCCCTCCGACTTTTGACTATCTGGAGTACACACGCTTGAGAAAGCTCGATATCCATGACCTTCATAGATCTTTCACTGGCTGTACCAAGTTACACAGTCGGGTCGCGCTGCATACGGCGTCCCTGAAGTTCTCCAAACGACGGGGCAACTGCCTTCTTCCAAAAGTGAAGCAAGCTGCCACCCGACCGCAGATCGTCTGTTGCGGCGTCTTTCCTCTCCAGCGCAGCAGTGAGGCTGAAGGCCGAGATAGATACGCGAGGAGATTTTCGGCCGGCAAGTTGTGTTTTCGATGTGTCGATGGGGTCCTCAAAGATAGGTATCGCGTTGCGTGGAGTTGCCCCGGTTGGCTCTCTGAAACCAGGCGACCTAGCGGCGAGCCCTGATCTTCCAGCCCCATGGCCACTTCTCACTTCCTCCAACGTAGATATCCGTTCCGGGTGTAGCTACAACGGCGCTATGCGTACCTTCTCTCTGACATTCTTTAGCTTTCGTGTTCTGATAGCATCGATACCTTCATCTGTCTCTTTCTCTGCATCATAGGACCGACTCCAACCCCACCGTCACGTATCAGCCCATCACGCCGATCCCCTAAAAGCACTCAGCGTACCAACAGCCTGACAGGACCAGCACAACAGTCTCTTTAAGCAACCTGTCCCTATTTGCAAGAGTACAGCGAACATCATCGAAACATGTGCGAAGTGTTATTACAACACAAGAATGGAGAGATAAAGGAACGTGCGAATCAGAGATGACCTAGGACAACAATGAGATCTGTTACCACCATCGAGTGTCGATCAGACTGTTTTCGTGGCTGTCCTGACACGGCGTCACACCGACCGATACCTTTTACGCGACAGCGCTGGCCCAGGAGCGAGGTGGATATGGTGCTTGCGATAATGCTTCACGCGTGCGTCCTGACGCTTGTAGCTTTTTGAACACTCGTGTTCTTCACAGTTGTATTCGCGCTCTTCTTGGCCTTGGTCACTGCCATGCTTCAGTCGTCGATGGCGTGCAAGACTGCCCTTCGCATAGAGTCCTTTGAAGTTGGCACTGCAACCAAACGCAGGGCAGTATAGCTGTCCTTCTCTTAGCGTTGATGATACGCGACTCGTATATGTAGCTAATGGACAGCTTGGCGCATATGTAGGGATGAGAAGGTCTCGCTGGCTTCGTTCTGGGTCCGGTCCGCTATACCGAGTTCAGCAGTCATTCATTGCTTGCGACGGATATCCACCTACCTAGAAAGGTTGTTGTAGGATGACCAACTGGATGCTTCCGCAGACGTTTCTGCATAACCAGATCTTCTCTCATACAACCGGCTCGGTGCGGACTCGACCGAGCGTCCCGACCAGCATTGGACTAGGGAAGGGTGGTAATACCTCGTTGTAGAAGGATGCAACTCTGATTGATCTTCCATCCTGTCGTGAGACAATACAGTACAAGACGCTCGTGATGCTGGTATGGTCGCCACACTATGGGAATACGATGCTAATGTACCGGCATGTCCCAAATTACCCACTGTTGGACTTTTAGTAGGCAACGCAATGTTGGCGCAAGGTATCGCACTGTCCAGATGAGCAAGACCTGATTGGTGATATGGCAACCCTAATGAGTTCCAAGGTTCGCTGGTGAGTCTGTTTTCTAACCACGGTTGTTCGACATCGTACCGTGTTGCCAGTTGGTCGTGAAACGTCGAATCGTTCCTATCAACGTGTGTGTACAGCACAGAGTTTGGATCTTCGTTACATTTCCACTCTTCGACCGCACCTTGCTTGTCGACGTTTATTGCTGGTCGTTCAAGGTCTCGGTTTACCGCCTTGTGGTATCTGGCTGGTAGTTCTTCAGAATCGCCGATCGCACCGAAAACATCCATCTCCGCAACGTAACGTCGACGTGCATCAGGTCTGCCAGTACATTCTCGGCCACGGGGTACATTGTCGTATGCCATAGCGCGATTCTTGATGCGTAGTGTCTTTTCTATCGACGCCCCTGATCGAGAAGGAGGATTTGCGATTCTTACGCGACTCAAAGGTCAAAAGACTTGGGGTAGGCGGGGGAAGGCTGTGCGCTCAGGCAGATCCTGCTAAGCGCTGTGGGCGATGAATCCGCAAGGCCGACGATTCTAGAGGAAGATCAGTAGCAGAGAACACTCTGCATGAACGGAGAAGTCTCTTGTGTGCAACGAACAACGACTAGGAGGTACAACGAATGTGTACGTTAACGAACCGCCCCCGATGACAGCAAGGATGACAAAGAACTCCGGTAATGAGGGGATGCTTCAAGAACAGCAGCAGCACCGGACGACATTCGTGTTGCTATTATGTCGACCTTGGGTAAAAGGGACAATGTTGGCCGCCTCACTTCCCTCCGATGCGAACAGGGGAACTAGTGTCGATGTGGGCAGTGCTGACATGCACGGAAGAGAAAGTCTACGAGACGAACGTCAGGACGCATCTATTGGGCGATACCTGAGAATGAAGACAGCAAGCGGGGTGACGTTCTTCGAACGAGTCGACTCGAAAAAACGGGCCTGTGCAGCGACGCGGAAAGTACTTCGAATCACGTCGCCTCGACCTTGCTTGTACTAGCGATCAATGAATAATTACGATGCCGAGGCGCTGGTGAAACGGAGCCTGGTGTCGGACCACTGATGCTGCGTACCAGCGTACAGGGCAACCATTTTCAACCCTTCAGGCGACAACTAACAGCAGGCAAAGTCATGGAAGGATGATCCATTATAACCAGAATGCTCGCGCCATATCTCAACGACAGTACCCACGTCCGAGACCGTCTTTGGCTCCACGTTGTGATGAGCTGCAGTGAGCTGGCATGGCTGAGCGAGAGTTGTACTGCCTTGTTGCGAGTGGGTCAGCTACTGCACTTGCAAGGCAGATGGGGCAACACAAATGTTAAGGACCCCATGGGTGATGAGTCGCTGATTTGGCGGCTTTAGAACCCCTCAAAGACTTTTAGAGGCTAGTGACAGAGTTGTTTTCATGAGAAACAAGCGTTGTCCAGAGTGGAAGAGTATGTGGCACTGAACAGTACAGGCGACACTGAGAAAGAGGTTTTGAGTTGGACAGCATCCTTCAAGAAGTCGACAGAATGCGGCATATCGGCTGTGCTTATAGCACATCAACCAAACTTCCTGCTTTCACCTTGGTTGCATCCTTAGGTACGCCTATTATTCTCAATAGATGCATGGCGGATGCAGAACCGCAAGGCGCAACCTCTACGGCGATCACGCAGATACATACAACGGTCAGAGTACCCCACCCATGGCTGGTCAGGTGCGTCGTCATATCATATTAAACAAAGCGCCTACCTTGTCCTTCTCAATTTGGTGAGAGGTGGCCTTGCCTTCACAGCCGTACTGTACGAGCTTCCCACAGCGCCTTTCAAAGCCTGTAATTACTGGAAACACCCACGGCCACTCTATCTGCTCCTCATTCAAAGCATGCTTTGAAGCTCGATTATCTGAAGTCTTGAAGCACACCAACAAGTCGTACGGGTAAGCCAGCCGTTTGAAAGCTTGCGAAATTGTGAAGCGTGCATGCACATGGTACCACACTTCCGCGGATCGCAACCGCAAAAGTATCTATAGCCCTTTGGAAGGGCGAAAAGCACATAACCAGCAGCTGATATACCAATCGTCTATCAGCTATAGAGCCGCCTCCACCTTACCTGTCAGCGCTGAGCCAACAGTTCGCAACTCAGCAGTAAGGATGTGTGCATGTTGACGATCGATACAGCCATTTCAAACGCCATTTTTCAACTGAAGTGCGGGGCTTCCGCTTTCCGTTTATTGAGTGCGCCATCGCATATAGTGGTTTCCGTTGACATGGGATTAGCGCGCATAGTGGACGACGGTCTGCGCAAAGTCGCACAGCTGAGTTTCGTGAACAACTTACGAAAGCCGCATACGATTTCGGAGACCTATCTCTACCTATGAACTAACCAGGGTGGCAATAAGGAATCCAGCAAGTGCGCGCTCCCTAAAATCGTATCGAAAAGAGGCTACCTAGGTACTCTCCCACTTCATACCAATCGCCGCAGCGCTTCTACTTCTTTTTAGAACTACACGTCAAAGGGAATCAATGCTTCATATCGCGCTCTCGAGTCTCAACGGAACGGCGAATTGAACCGCGTCCAAGCAAGTCAAACTGTTTCTCTTCAACGAAGTGGCGTTAACGCCAACGGAGTTCGTGTGGGCTCCAGCTTCCAAGGATTGGCGGGTGCAGCCACAAAACGTAGCCTTCCCACATGCACTCCTCTAGGATCGTTGCCCCTCTCAAGCTGCACGGAGTCTTTGCTTGCCACCTGCGCAAGGTGCCATCTAGCCTCTGCCGGTTTCATATTGCATTTGCACATGCGCATGCATTGAGATGGTCGGATAGCGATTTTGCGCTAAGGTCTTGATGGGCTAGCGTAGTCGATCTTGTGTGGGGGCTGGGAAGGTGATGGGGCGTCCAAGATCGATTCTATTGTACCAGACCCATCAGAGACGTGTGCGCCGATTGAAGAACGAAAGCATACCATCTCTCTGAAGTTCGTGAAAGGCACGATCACAACAAGTACCACAAGAAAACCATGAACATGATTCGTGTTTGATAGATGAGCTAGGATGCGCTGACCTGTCCAACGCGAAAAGTACGCATGCTCGTTACAGAACGCTCTCAGCCTATCTGCCCGTCTGCATCAAGGCGGACAACCAAATTCTCCTCCTTTTCAACCACGGAAACAGCCTTCTAGGGGTGTCGACAGCGCTCGCATGTTCTCCGCGTCCTGGTGTCGTGGGTTCTGTCCCGATTTCCGTCATCTCCGAAACGGAAGGGCTCCTGGATTCCAGCATCCATTCTCTCTTCTTGCCATACACCTCCATAGTCGCATGGAAGCCGTCCCTATGCTCCACGACGCTCCGCAAAAGACAATCAACGAGCGCGTCAACATCTTCTAAGGTACTCATGGCTCCGAGAGTTACCCTAACTATCCCAACCGGTATCCCCTCTAGGATGTCAGCGTCGGTATTGCATCGATAGCCTGCATCAAACGCTCCTCGCAGCCACTCCGCTGTCACATCCAGTGCGCATGCGATACCTGCAGGATTACAAACGTTGCCTGTACGCACATGGATCCTACTCGCTCTCAAGGAAGCGCCGACATGCCACGGGCCAATATATGTCCCATTGCTTCTGCATACATTGAAAGCTACGGTAGGTCCTTGTGTTCGCGAGCGGCGGAAACTGGAGTCTTTCGACTGGTATATTTGGCATACTGGCGCGCCATTGTAATGAGCCATTCTCGCCAAGCGCTCGTGCAGGATCTTAGCAAGCCAACTGGCATGCTTCGAGACTTCCTCAAGTCCACCAAACAACTTGCGATGGGTTGTAATGGCATGTTTCAAAGCAAGTATATTCCGGAATGCGATTGTTCCGTCCTCTAACCGTGCATGTAGGCTTGATTCCTTGCGAACTACCCATGACTCTTCAATGCATGTCGTCATCTCTGTCGTACCGCCTCCGAAATATTTCCGCTTGTCGAACACATGGCCAGCCGCCTTCCGAACAATCAAAGCACCGAGGTCTGGAAACCCAAAGATCTTGTAGAAGGAGAGGGTGATGAAGTCTGGGGCGAAGAGGTGATTGCTTAAGTCGATTGTGGTCGTAGATACCATTGCGGCTACGTCGAGGAGAGTGTAAGAGTGCGGATGGTGTAACGACAGGCGTAATTTTGTGGCCCAATCTAGTGGAAGCCGCTCGCCGTTCATGTTCCTATCATGGGGTAAAACGTCAGTGCGAATTTCCATAGCGTGCGCAAGGTTACTTACGACTGCGCCGGATACGCAAACAACATCGGCCTTCTTGACAGAAGCTCTCCATCAAGGGCGTGGTTCCCACCGGCAAGCCAGTCTTCTGTCTCCTCGTTGGAAGCGAAGCAGTGGCTACTATGCGCCAGTTCCCGAACACCAACCAGACTTGTATGACTATTACGATGATAGCAGTAATCGAATCCCTCGTCTTGACCCGAGAAGCCTTCGGTCACTAGCTTGATTGCCGCAGTCGCATTGGCAGTAAAGACAACATCGAAGTACGTTGGGTCGGCATTGAACATCTTCAAAACCGCAAGCCGCGTTTCCTCTACCATTATGGCGGTCACACTCGGGTTGGTTGAATCAGAGTGCGGATTGGCGAGAAGGGTGCGTTGCATCTCATCGCAGAAAGACTTGAGTAAAGACTTCGGCGCGAGAGTCGTACCGCCGTGGTCGAGATAAGTCAGGTCTATCAGCTGTCAGTGACATGTGAAAGGGATGCTATACCCCAGCATACCTTTGAGCATCGGGTATTCGTATTTCCGCATACGACTGATTCGTTCATTGTAGGCTCGTCGTTCAAGGTCATCATGCCAGTGCTTACTACCAATGGCACTCATCGGTCGTCGACGAAGATCCTGGAAGCAAGTCATCCTCTCATAAGGGTATCCTTTGATCTGGGCGTCAGAAGGAGCTGTATAACCGACAATTGCAAGCAACCTATTTGGTATGCTGTCTCAGTACGGGGTAAGCATGGAATATGAACCACACAACTGTCTCCAGACCGCGAAGACTACCGCATTCGCTTTTTCTGATCACACTCTTTCCCGGAACCCGTTCGCCCATCACTATCCTTGCCGATTACAGGAAGTCACTGCAACATGCAAGAGTGCGGCACGCCTCAGTCGGGCGTAGTCTTGATTGAGATCAATGATCTCGACACTGATTTACTGTACCATGACGAGTTTGCATATCATTTGTCACAAGCCACTCCGGCCACTATATCCACTACGGGACAATCACTCAATCCAATCTATGCATTTGGGTTCTAAACAGTAGGGAGTTACAACCAAGATGCCGTCTTGGAAAGCAGTCTTTCCGTATCCTGAGTTTCTGGCCCCAAGTGTGTAAGACTATTGCAGCTAGGTGAGGCTGAGCAAATAACGACTACATAAATATCCAGGAGTAAGCCTATCATAGCCACATACATTATGGTCTTCTCCATGTCTGAGCTTACTGCCCAGCGGGCAACGGGCGTATAGTCGATGGTGGTCAGCGCCGGGTAATACTATGCCGAACAGCGATCCACCCCAAGTAGCCTCATATTAGAAGCATATGATGACGATGATGGAAAGAGTCTTGAACACTGGATCCGGAGTTGTACACGTTCGGTTATAGAAGCGCCCTCAATATCGACCCAATACTGTCTACCACTTGCCATAGGTTTGTCTCCGTCCGCGGAGTACTAGTAGCTTCTTCGCAGTGGGATTCGATCCGTTGGTTTGTATCTTCTAGTCCCGGCACACGTAATTCCGTCGTTACTTTGGCAAGGCCTCGGTCAGTAGAGCGTTGGGCTCTCCATTGTACACGCGACTCTACCTCTCCACTAATGCTATGTCCCAGCTACAGGAATTACGAGGTGCACGGATGGGGGGCACCGCGGCATCCAACAATTCTCCAACCGTCGTGAGTTCTTTGCGGTTGCGTAAGGCTGCTCCTCACGCAAGAACTCCTAACAAGTTCGGCAATGCTTGAACTTCGTTCTTTGTTCGTCGCCTTTGCAATGATCGTTTCGGACACTACCAAATTTATTCCGCATAGGATCTCGTGTTGTTGTACACTGCGACTGGCGGTGAAAGCTCTCAACCTGATCGTCGGGTTTGTGTTGGTACCCAAAGAATCTGCACTTTCAAGGCAACCTGTGGAGCACACCCACTCGATGACTGCGGGCGCACTATCACCTACTCTTTAGTTCATACCCTACGACAATTCTCACATTGGTAGTGGTGGTAGACCATAGGCAGGCTATCAAATCCTTCAAGTAGAGTTCCGCCAGCCCGGTCATGTTCGCGCAGTCCTACATCCCTTACGCAGTCCCATGAGCAACACCGGCGCGTCGGGTCTGCACGCGACGGGAGGTCAGGATTGAGAATAACGCAATTCACGCTAGTCTCGGGATGACGGCCTGCCATTTTGATGGTGTCCACCCTGGTGGTTCCCGCCCCAACGGTCCACCTGACACTACGGCCGGCACTTTGAGCTCCAAGCGCTGTACAAGCGCTGTATGGACTTGCAATACTACAAACAGCGCGCTCAACGCGGTGTCGCAACTTGAATAACATACTACTCCCCGCCCATCGGCCCCACCCATTGAAATGATGATGGTGTGGTGGAAGATAGGCTTGCATAAGGTGGGTGGGAACTACGCCTCATCTAGCCGCTCACCCACCTGTTTCGTTTAGAAAAACCACAAGCAGACAACCCTCGGCTCCTGTCAACCCAATACCACCTTCCTCCAGTTTCCTAAACTGCGGCACAGTCGTCGCAGCCACCACTCCGAATGCGGCCCGCACCTGGACTGATCGTTGGGTACTTGATTGGCGTTCGCGGAAGACATCCCAAAAGAGCTAGACTCTTCACCAAATGTTTGAACAGGTGTTCTCTCATTGATCGATCAGCGTAGTGGCTCGTTCGCACATGTAATCTCAACCCGCGGGTGTATTGTAGCGCCCAGTCCCTGCAAGACGCTCGTCTACATATGTCGATAGCCGCCGCAATGTCAGTTGGGTGCTAATACGAGGCCAAGATCATGCTAGTATGAACTTCGGCCTCAATCCGTGGCGCAAGCGCGTGTGACTTTTCATCGGTGGCTTCCTTTCGGTATGAGGGCTGCGTGAGGGATAGGATATGCAAAGCGGCTTGAACTGCCCACATATTGATCGGATATTAGTACTTTACATAGGTAGCAAGGGCGCTTAGGTAAAATCGGCACTATCCATGCGCAAGATCTTATCCATAGCTGCGTTAGTACACACCCACAACGTGGAGGTTGCAAAGTTCGCCGAGGCTAAACATTCTCTGTGTCAAAACGGTATTGCGCAGAACGATCATTTCTCAGCGTGTGCTGAACAAAGATGTGTTGCTGTTCAATATCGTTTGTTGCACGAACAATCAAAGATTGGGGTGCGTTGACTGGTTGAGTGTTGTTAGTCATTCGAATGCTGTTACAGAACCTCAGAGTGCTGCCGCTGAGGCTGGATCCGCCTCTCCACTTCAGCTGGCTGGCCCCACGTGCTACGGGAGAATGCATCCTAGCACACCGAGGACAATCGGTGGAGGCGTACATAGAAGGGGGCCCCTTCAGGTAGGGGCGGGTAATCAGTCAGCGGTGATAAAGGCTGTCCATCTCTTCTGTTGCTTAGAGCTTGATGCCGCTTTCACGATTCTAACGCGCTCCTACTCTTACGCCATACCAAACGACAGTGGCGCTTCAAGCCTTCGGGATCACTTTATTCTGTGTCGTTGTCAATTCAGCCTATGCTTCCATTCTAGGCAGAACCAACCCCTTACCATGGTAAATCAGCCAAGCGGATCCGCAACTCAAGATGAAAAGGTAGCTCCGCGCTGCTTATGATCATTGTCATCGTACTTACTGTATCTCTAGTCTGCCTCGCACTCTGCCCCAACGCTTAGTCTCTCCCTACCGTAGCGCGATCTCGATGACGACAGTTAGTGGGTCCCTGGCCCTCCAATCATAATGGCCAGCAGAACGGATGGCATAACGAACACGACTTGCAGAACGATCAAGGTCGACATAAGAGCACTCTTGAGCAATCCCGCACTGCTTCTGCTATTGAGTCACTGTAGCTGTTCTCGAAAGGCCACCGAAAGTTCTCCATTACTCTCTGGAAATTTTGCGACTCCCTCAACCTAGAGGAGGGAACCTATCCTGTTTGCGCTCTGACAATGGAGGACCAAACAAGGCGCGATTTGGAGCTACTGCTCACCGCTTAATTGAAGCAGCAGCATCGTACCCCCATCGGCCACGCACGATTGAGGTGTGTACGATTCGGTTTGAGGATGGAGGCATAGTGTTGCAATGCTAAACCGGGTTCATGACTCCGGTGGAAGCAGCGATATTCCCTCGATGCCGGAACAGTTCCTTCCAACAATGCTGTCGAACAGTGACAACGCGGTCCCGAAAGTACGGGTACTGAAAGATTGGCCGAAGGTGTTTCGGATCAATTGTTAGAAGGACTGCCCGCGCTCACCCTACGCTCCGATGATGGTGGTGGTTTCTTCGGCCACCTGTTGTCATATACCTGGCTGGTGTCCGCCTTGTACATCACCACCAGCAATACTTGCTGGTGCGCATCACCTCTTCTCCAGTCATCGCACATCTTCCAATCTAGCATCCGGAAACTTTGGCTTGAAGTCAGGGCCCTCGCAGGACAATTTTGCGCAGCAAGGCTCCCAGGCGCCGCCAGCACCCCTGTAGCCCCTAACCAGTATCGGCCAGACACTTGTGGAACAACTCTCTTCACCACCTCAATCCATCTCGGATCATCTCCATCATCGACCAGACCTGGGTTCCTTCGTCCTGACCTTGTTGCGACGTGTTCCTCGCCCTCCGCACCAACAGTCACTGCAAAAGGACGATCTTTCGGGATCAGAGAGCCAGAGCTTCCGCAGCACATCGGAAGAGAAAATCATTGACGCATCGCCAACTTTAATCAAGGCTTACTGCCATGGAATACCTGGATTTGACGGGTTCCAATATAGACCACAGGTACCCGCAGCATCCTACATTAGATGACAGCGCTAATCGTCGTAGCGATAGCATGAGTGAGTCTGCTACTCTCGATGTGGCCTGGTCCGGAAGTTGTTATAGTTACGTGCATGTTGAGCACGGCGATGCCGGCACCAGTGGGGAATCCTCCCGAGAAGCAGGGTCGTTGTATGACGCTGAACAGCGATGGCCTGAGTATCAAGGTCATGAAAACAATCTGCATGCTAATCAGCTCGCCTACCCGCAATCTTTGACGTCAGCAAACGATCTTCAATCTGAGGCTGCCCCCTCGAGCGTTGCCAACAACCAAAATGAGCATCAGCCTCAAAGACCCGAGCCGGACTACTTTGTCCAACCTTACCCGATATCTACCTTGGATGCCGGGTCTAACGGCAACGATCTCGAGTTCCAGTACGATGCGCTAGCTGCCTTCGATAACCAAGAGCTACTAGTCACACAGGACAGTGCCCCATACTATGCGCAGCAGGATTACCCACGACATGTTTTCGGAGACGACATCCGGCGACTCTATTCCACGTACACTCACGGTGACAACGACGGGATCTCTGCTCATCAGCAACCAACTGGCGGGGATGGAGATGGTCCGTGGTCTACAGTGAACCAACAAGACAACCGTCGAGAATACCTAGAACGACGAACGAACCACCTGGTAGAAGTAATCAACACACCTCACACTCGAGATACCCCGAGCGCCAGCGATCGGACATCCAATTCGGGTTCTTCGTCGGGTGACGGGCGCAACGGTCAACAATGGGGAGGGGCCAGCGAGGCCACTATTCGCCCCGATGGCCCTGAGCAAAGCCACCAAACCTGTTACCCAAACAACTTGCGAAATCCGCTTCACTCTCAGTATCAAGACGAGTTTTCAAGGTTCCAAAACCGAGCTGTGACACAGACTGGCTCAACATCTCTTTCTGGACAGACCGATCTTCCAATACGGTACGCCTCGCCTGTCCACTACTCTTACAATTGACGTATACTGATAGCAGTAGTGAACCAACTCGTACCGATCGTCGTCATCCAACACCCGAGTCCGTAGCGCCTACCTCTTCCAGTCTCGCCCTATCAGACGTGCTTTGCTGCCCTTTTTGCACAGCAACATTTGAAGGGTCCTACCGAAAGGGTAATTATGGACGACACAGAAGACAGAAGCACCTCGGTGAAGTGAGAGTCTGGCGCTGCGAACATAGTTCTTGCGATAAAAGCTACCGAAGGTCGGACGCGAGGCGCAAACACTACCGACAACATCATCCGGATCTTGCGGGTGGCCACATGTAATCCGAAATTACCTGGCCCACAGAGGAGGGGCATCAACTCCGTCGAAATCCTCGATGGAAGTAGTTGCGCATGCTACCACCTCCGAGACCATGGCTAGGCCACGCCGCGTCCTCTTCCCAGGCCATTCGTCCTTCTTATGTCGCGGTTCGCCCGCGCCTACACGCAGCTCTTTGCTTTCTTCCCTTTGTTATTTTGCTTAGTATCACTTGCCCTCCGCTTTCTTCTTGCAATGCGTTTCAGCGCATATTCCCATTATGAGGCGTCTGAGATGTCGAAACGAGCCCTAATGCGTACATCGTTTTCGCCGACTGTCCTCAGCATTGCCCCCCCCAAAAAAAATATTGGCTGCTTATTCCATTCATATTCACCATGTTGTATATTGCAGCCGAGCCTTTTCTTTTCGTTCTCGGCTGGGAGGCATATCTAGATGTAGGATGACGACGGATCGCTATGACGTTTCGACGACGTGCGTAATGTTTCAAGATGACGGTAGTGGATCAGGCTTGGTGATGGGTTTGGTTTTCCTTGAGGCGTTATGGGATACGTATACGTCGGTCCTGAGATGCTACGAGCACATAGACAAACAGATGGGCGACGCGGAGTAGAAGGCCGGGCGTCGGACAGGCCAAAAAGATTGGTCGTTACATTGTCGCAGACATGTATGGGTCGGTTAGGCAGGCATAATGAACACCTTGATTTACGATGGCTTCGCGTCGATGTGTCTGAGGGTGATGTTGGGGGAAGCGTACGAATGTCGAAGAAAGACACGTGAAGTGAGAGCATCTGTAGTCCTACAGGAGAAGACCGTCTGACTCGCTGCCGCTACCGGGGAAGCTACAGTACGGCCCCATTCCACTAATCTACGCTAGTTAAAGGAGAGGGAGGGGCATTTGACGCCTCCAGATGTCCATCAGTCCATTGTCTTCAAGCAAACATTGCTTCTTTCCACACCCATGGATAGCTATGTTCCCCGTCCACGACAAGCATCCATACCCATCCGCGTAGCATCTACGCGTCCTAGAAGCGACCAACGAACACCATGAACGTGGTAGGTACTGGAAGAAAGCAGTGTCATCGCTGGCCGAAGGCAGAGGCTTGCCGTCGTGGGAACCTTACTTATGCTTTGTGTCTCGGGATGTCCAGGGCCTGAAACCCCGAGATTGATGCTCACACGGTCTAATTGCGACGCGGTTGGTAGCTTGGCGCGAGCCCATTCCACGACTGTTCTCAATACCACTACCTTCAACTCGCATACCTAATCCTTCAAGTCCTGTCCAGGATAAAATCACGGTTCAAGCTGTGAGCACGAAAAGGCACCGGACACCAGGTGTCAGAGCTGCCCAATGAAGACTTCCTCCACAAACCCTCAAAAGAGGAGTAGCGGGTGCGAGCACTCTGCACAAGAGCTTCGACCCAACATTCTCAGGTACTGGTTGGGTGGCAGTAGCTATCAAGGATATGCGACAGAAGCCACAGCAGGCCTCTCTGCGCTGATGGTGTGCAGGGACTGACCGCTCATAGCAAGTCGACTCTCCGAGCCCAGGTCGTCTGCATGGGTACTCGGGCTCGTAGACCTATCGGGTGCTATGTTGACTACATATTCATTCCTGCTGTCACCCGCTTGCTAGCAAATACCTTGCTTTGCAGGGTCGTAGGCTGGACGAAGTAGACTATCTTTTCCAAACCTTGCCCGATGAAGTCCTAACCAAAGAACGCACGCGCCAGACATTTTTTCAAGGTTGGGTATATTGTGCCCGCTATCGAAGCCATCGTATCAGAATTAATAGTCGTCGAGCACTTCGTCGAAGCAGTTGAAGGCGACATGAACGGCCGTCCCGTAACGATGTTACGCCACGCTCACCATTCTCATCAATGAGAGACTCCCGGACATAGGCGGAGCGGCCAAGGAATTCAACGAATTTCATTCAACGATTCAATTGTACTTGTGGTGTGGTAGCCAAAGAAAGCGACGAGCCGCCGCTCTCAACCTTTCGAATCCGCCCCTACGCTACGCCATGTTGAGGAGGTTTGACCCAAACCAAGGATAGTAAGCGTTTTCAGCTCGGACAGCTGCCTCGGCTCTCTTGCGCGCCCAGTTTGATACTACAACACGACTGTGCACGACACGCCTCCCTAAGCATTGCATACTGCTGCATCTATGGCATTATTTTCTTGATCCATACGCTGCGGTTGCTATTCACGTCACCATGTACTATGAATTTCACGACACCTCGAAGCCCTCAAGATCGCCCTTCGCATCGTATTCGCGGACTATGCGCTCGTACATAGCCATGCCCCCTCCATGAAGCACCTTTCGCATCGCCAGCCGCCGCTTCTCAGGGTCGCTATTAGCAAGGCGTAACGTGGCGCCCTCGTGGTTGAAGTAGCCTGGGGTGCAAGCTATCACAACAGAATACCACAGCGCCCGCTTCTCTATCTCGTCCATCCACGCATCCTCTGCCTCTTTAGTCGGCTCGATGACAAGCTGTGCAGGGTCCCGAGCCTGACGCGCAGCCTCCTTCAATACGTTGGCGAGATGTGTAGACTCGATGTCGTAGACGGCGGTGAGGTTTGGCAAGCCTGCTCCGTTGCCGAGACCGGGGTAAAGCAGATTGGGGAAGCCATTTGTGACGATACCATGCATCGTACCAAAGTCGGCAGCGCCATATTTGTCCTTGAGACGGCGGCCGTTGCGGCCAATGACGGGGATGCCAAAGAGCTCGGCAGGCGCCGCGTTTTCACCCGTTGCCAGCAGGAAACCCGTGGCCAGAATCAGCACGTCAAGCTCGTACTCGACTCCGTTGGCAACGAGACCCCGTGGCGTGCACCGCTCCACGCCCTTGCCATCCGTGTCTACGAGTGTGACATTCTCCTGGTTGAAGGCGGACAGATATCCGTCCTGGAACGTCGGCCGTTTGCACCACATAGGATACCATGGCTGTAGCTTCTCTGCCGTGGCTGAGTCCTTCACCACACTATTCCGCACATGTGCTCGTGCTTGCTCCGCTAGCGGCACGTCCATTTCATACAGCGCGCGAGCGTGCTCTTCTACGTTCTGGGGCGTCACAAGGCGCGGACCCCCAATGAAGCCCGCGAAACCTCGCGCCAATTGAGTCCAGCCGTCGCTGACGAGGTCTGGGTGGTCCGCTGGATGCTTCTCACCATCGAAGAAAGTGTCGAAGTTGAGCCGGCGAGCGCGCTGCCAGCCAGGTCCCGTCGCCACGTCACGTGTCCATGTGCTATCATCTGTGGCCTGCTGGCGACGCGGCACGCAGTACGAGGGTGTGCGCTGGAAGGCGTATAGATGGCCAGCCCAATGTGCTACCTGTGGTATCACCTGCACCGCCGTTGCGCCAGTACCGATGACGCCAACGCGCCTGCCCTTCAGCTCGGAGAGAGTAGCATCTGTCGGTGAGCCGCCAGTGCAGTTGAAGTCCCAGCGTGCCGTGTGGAAGACGGGGATGTTGGCGCGCAGTTCGTCGAAACCATTGAGTTTGGGCATTCTGGGTTCTGTGAAGATTGTACTGGCTGGAATCAAAAACTGCGTCAAGATGGTCATTTCCTCGCCATTGCCGTGCTCCTTTCGCATGGGACCACCCAGCGCCTCCGTCCCTCGTCCCATGTCGCGCTGAGTATCCGTGTCGAGAACTGCCCCCGCAGCCCATAATGCGATGCCACGCGCTCGCAATGTTGGCGGATCTCATCGCCCGATGCGTACTTGTGTTTGGGCACGTAGCCCGTTTCCTCGAGGAAAGGCATGTAGATGTAGCTCTCCACGTCACATTGCAGGCCTGGGTACCGGTTCCAGTACCATGTTCCACCAAAGCCGCCCGCCACGTCCACCAGGTATATACCCTTCGCTGAGAAGCCCGCTTCTACTAGCCGTCCTCCTGCTAGCAGCCCTGCGTGGCCTGCGCCGATGATGAGGAACTGGATGCTATCACCGTCCTTGAGTGGGCCCGCTTCCTGTTGCTGCCCTTGGTCAATCCACGGGTCATTGGCGAGCGGCTTGTCTCCTTTGCTGGGAAGACGCGTGTACTGCTGAAAGCCGTCGGGTCGCAGCCGCTTGTCGCGCTCTTGCGCATACCGGGCTTGGAGGTCGGCGGTGTTGGGCATAGCTATCTGTGTTCCTTTTCCGATCCTTCACAGAAGGAAACTTTGAATAAGAAGTCTATATCTGGAATGACGGACTGCGGATCAAGATACACACTTTTATGTCAATTGGCAATCCAAGCTTTTTATTGCGCCGCCGCTGCTCCTCCGTCTCGATGCGCTACCTCACCCTGTTCCTCTTCTTCTGCCATATCTGCTCCTCCTTCATCCGAGCCGGCTTGACCGAAAACGAAATGAAAGCAATCTTGCCATGATGTCGCGTTCATGTGGTGTCGGATTCCGACACTAATCAAAATACTCCGTTTTCGGTTTCTGATGTGGGGGCGCGGGTTTAGTACATCAACGGTGGATTTTGACGCTAAAGTTCTGCTTAGGGACGAACCCTCCCCACCTCACTCGCTCAGCTCGCCATCCGGATCAGGTCATCAAAACCATCAACGGCTCTAAAGCCACCATACGAACCTGCAGCCCTCTGGTATATCAAGTAGAATCATCGCTGGGCGTAGAAGGATGACCAGTCTCCTGCCACAGACAGGAAGACTCTCACGGAAATTCGCTTCCTTGATGGTTTTAAAGTGGCGGCCTAGAGTAGGGCTCCGATGATGGATCAGAGATCAAAAGCTACATTTCAATCAGCGGGAGTTTGGCAAGTAAAGGGAGCAGCAAGTTTTGCAGAAGAAATGCAATGTGCCTATGTCTCTTCTCTCCTTTTCACAACAAATGCGCCGATAACACCCAAACTCCCCGATAAGCCCCTCGCATGCCGAGTATGTGACGTGTTGACACACCAATAATATGGCGGCGAATACCAAACCAAGAGCCTACAAGTTTGAAAATATCATACGGTTTAAGAAGTGGTTTGCAGTCGAAGAGTAGAGAGGCCCAGAGGCAACTCGTTCCGAGTCTTGTCTCCTATTGAACTACATCGAACCTCACGCATCATAGTTGAGCTACAAAAAATATGTCTACCCTACGCACTCTTGTGGAGACGGCACCTGCCAAACTATCATCCATCTCGTCAAGGCCTAAAGATGCGGCACCGAAACCTTCCTGGGGACCTTACTTGGAGCTGACGCGTTTCAGCAAGCCCGCTGGGCTTCTGGGCGTCTACTTCCCGTACTTCACCGGCTTCCTCTACTCGGTCAACTTGACCAACCCGAAAGCCCTCTCTCCGGCCGATTGGTCCAAGCTGAGCGCCATCTTTCTGCTTGACGGCCTGATCCTTCGCAGCTTTGGCTGCGCGTGGAACGACACTGTCGACCAAGATCTCGATCGGCAAGTCGAGCGCTGCAAGAAGTGGCCGCTCGCTCGCGGTGCCCTGACAACGCCAGACGCCCTCTTCACGACCCTCGTCCTCGCCATCTCGCGCCACGTCCTGTTTTACGCCACGTTACCAGCCCGCGCGGGTCAGCACGCCTTGCTCACAACTGTTCTCGCTCTCTTCTACCCGTTCATGAAGCGCTTTGGCAATTTCCCACAGCTCTGCCTAGGCGCGGGCGTGGGCTGGGCCGTCTTCTTGGTCGACGCTGCCGTCGTTGACGGACCCTATCCAGCTGCCCCTGTCCCCAAGCTCACCGTGGAGGATCGCAGCAAGGCTATGCTCGCTATGTGGGCCTGCCAAACCCTCTTCAACATCACTTACGATACCGTCTACGCCTTCCAAGACATCAGAGATGACCTGAACGCGGGTGTGGGCTCTTTGGATATAGCCGTGCGCCACTACCCTAAGGTGTTTCTGCTATCGATCGCAAGCGCCATGGCTGGCTTCTTGTGGGCTACCGTGTCCTGGGGCAATCTAACGCGCGGCCCGTTCCAAGTTGGCGCCGCAGTATCTTCCCTTGCTGCATTGTTCATGTTAGCCCAGCTCGATGTGTGGGATCCGCGCAGGTGTAGGGACTTCTTCGTGTATAGTCAGTGGTGGGTCAGTGGCGTTTTGGTGAGCGGTTTATTGGGTGAATTGTTGATGGCGAAGTGGTGAGTCCGGGCTTCGACGATGTGAAAGATCTCTGGTCAGGCCGTTGAGACGACGGATCTTATGGCCGGGCTTGGTACTGCGACGACGCAGAGCAGAAGAGCCACGCGCAACTCTGTTAATTCAAATGAATCTGTATAAAAAGATTCTCTCGGACGAGGGATAACACAAATATAACGAACTTATGACAGGGTATGGGGTAGTCAAGGTGATCCATAGCTTGTGTTTCAATATAGAGGAATACAAATTGATTCAAACCATGAAATATTAGGGTATTTCCAACTTTCATCAAGAAACCAATGATCAGTAACTTAACCCATAAGTCACGCAGTATGAGAGCGCATCGAAGGATGCAAAAGACTGCAGACCAAAGGCAAATGCCTCATATAATCGTTCAATATGGAAGCAGCGAATCATCACTCAAAATAGAGAATGACATCGTTGCCTGACTACTCTGGATGTTGCGCTTTCTGAGAGAAATTCATGGTGGAAAACTGGTGGGCAGATGTTCGAAGTGGTAGGTTCACTACTTGTACTATCGGATCGATGATAATACTATTGTATGAGCGCCTTGGCATCGGGAGGCGCGGTGGTGAATCACCTTTCCCTGGGTAGCCAGCGCGACATTCGCGATTGAACAAGGTCCCTTACTCGCAAGTGGCGGCACCTCTCACTATACCGCCGATCGGGCCGAAGCACTACATAACCTAGCCGGCATAACAACACGATCGGAGGACACCGGATGCGGCCAGCGCGGAGATGACCGACGGAGCAATAATCGAGATTGCAAGACCGAGATGAAAACGAATAACTATACCGCTCTCGTCAGAAAACCAATAATCATGCCGCTCCCATTAGAAGATAACAGATCGTCACAAAGAGGAGGATCACAATTAACAGCGTCGAAAACACATTTTGGTCTGAACAGATACATGATGGCGCGCTACAGTATGATATCTAATTCTCTGGAATTGACACTGGCCTAGCAGGCGGCTTGCCGCCGGGCAACCAGCCTTGATGCACCGTCCTGACGTCCCAACTGGCCGGACAATCAATCTTGGTATGAAAGAGGCCATAGTTCTGGAAGAGGAGAATATCATGTTCTTCCTCAGGGCCCACCCAAATGTGCTCAGGCTTGATCATTCTTCCTTGGGTGTTGTCCAAAAACTTCCTGACTTCGCCTAAATCATCAATAACCTTGGGAGCATCGTTGGGACCATTGCGGATAAATAACCAACGAGCCAAGTTGTGCTGCACCTGGAACGACTTCTTGCCAGTGACGGGATTGACCCAGACCAGCAGTAACTACAGTTGCGTTAGCATCAGACTGATTGAGCCTCTTCCCAGGTTGAACATACCTTCTTCTGCCACTCCTTACTCCTCTCCTCATGTCTCTCTACCTCCTCGTCTAGTAACTCCCTACCCTCGTTTGCCACGCCCAACCCGTTCGGAGTACCACGGCAACCCTTGATCTTCTCGTACGGCCAATACATGTACTCAACCCAACTGCGGTCCACCGTCTTCTTCTCCTCATCGCTCAGCATGTCATACAACTGCTCGACATCTACAAACGCTGTACGTCCAGGCTTAACCTCCATGCTCTAACCCAAGCCGTTAGCCCACTCAACTGTCTGCGTCTTTAAGCCTTCTGTTGGGAACTTGATAGGCTGGAGCATAGTAAAAATCAGGGGATCGGATTGCCAGTAGGTTCCGTCCACATGCCACTAGTGGAAGCGGGTTTTGCCGGCTTCAAAGTCTGGGTCTGCAAGCGGCTTCTGGTAGTACTGGTTGGAATTAGTATCGCCCATGTTAAGGCCCGGCTTGCCGTAGCGCGGGTCATCTTGAAGGCCTTTGCCGATAAAGACGAAGGCGCCCGCGTCAGGAACTTGGACATAGTTGATAGCAACCTCCACATTCATCAATTCTCTGCTAGAATTTACAGCGTTGAAGAGTTTTTCCTTCTAGGACTTACCACTATCCCATCTTTGGGGTAAAACGCTCGGGCGAACGTGGTGTTATCAATCTTCTTAGAGTCTGGGTCGAGCTGTTGCAGCAACTCCTAGCCACGCTTCGGTTCAAGGCTATTTTGGCCTTTGATGATAAGAAGTTTGTGCTCCTAGGTTGCCTTCTGCAACTGTGCCACTGTTTCTTCCGTGAACTGGTTCAGATCGAGACTAGTGACCACGGCTCCGAACTAAGCGCAGTTTTATAAGCGGAGAACTGGAAGAGTGTTTCCAAAAGCTGGCCAACTCCTACCTTGCATGTTTTCCCCGAAGGGTGAACCAGAGGCTCAATCTGGAAACTGCTTGCCATGATGCTGATGACAATGTATAGATATGTGAGTTGTCTTTTTCTGTTCTGCGCGCAAGATATATTGATCGCAATGCTAGAATGTAACGAGAGATTGAGCTACTTATTAACTTACATAGACATATGGCTTCGCCATGCAGAGCCTCAGACCCGGGCTGGTTGATTATCGCGGACATATTTGGTAAGTCGGGGTCCGGGGTATACCAAAACTTACCGAGTCCCGGACCCGGTCGGCGCAAGCTCCAAAGTGACACCCCCTTGTTTACCGCCATGTAATCGTTAATGATCCAAGGTGAATTTCGAGGGAATGCACCGATGACACCAAAACAAATCTGTAATCTTCACTCTGCTGGCTGTGAACTGAATTCCTAAAAGAGTTCTTTTTTTTGGACTGGTGGATAGGTCTTCACCTGGGAAGCCAATCAGGGCTTACCAATAAAAGAATGCTTTGGCCAAGAAACAGGAGCCCAATGGCAAAGGTATACGTGCCATTCCACAAATTTCCAACCTAACAGCTCTGGAGAGAGCGATACATCATATACAATTCCCGTTCGCCAAAAACCGAATAACGAAAGCACACATGTTTACAACCTTTCGTGAACCGTTGCTCGAGCACCGACTACTTGGATACCATCTCCATGCATGCTGTATGGCAAAAACGTTTTCCGTTCCAACCCAACCTGCTCAAGAATGCGATCCCATTCAGCCAGTGACCTCTCTCGCGCCCCGTAGTTTGCCATCATAAGCAAATCAAACGAGGCTCCATACCAATGCGTGCTCTCATCCCCAAGGATAAGTTCGTCAAGCAGGATGACTGAGTCGGGAGCGAGGGCGTCTTTGAGTTGTGTCAGGATATTAAGGCAGGCCTGATCAGGCCAGTCGTGCAAGATGTTTCGTAGGTAGTACACGCACGCCCCCTTGACTGGTTGCGCCTTGGTGAAGTCATGATAAGCAACCTCCAAGCCTTCGATGCCCTTGGCAGAGTCGATCGCAGCTGCATGTGTATCCTGAAGCACAACACGCCCTTGCAGCCAGGGCAACCTCCTGATGACCTCCTTGGACTGGTGTCCGTAACCGCCCCCGACGTCCACGAAAATTGTTCGGTGCTTGTTTCCCGTGCTGGAGGTGTGCACGTACTTCTCAAGCGGGAACACATCGAGCCAGCTCTTTTGGCCCACTCGCTGGAAAGACATGTACTCATTGAAGGCCTGCTGGTGCCGCGGCCGTTGCGATAGCCATTCGAAAAAGTGCAGGTCGGTATTCTTACTCAGATTGAATGGAAGGTTCTTGTTATCCTGTGGCTGCTTGTAGCAATTGTCGGCTAGCCATTTTGGTATCGCGTTATACAGTGCGATGTTCCTCTCCGTTCTGCAAACAAAGTCAATTATGATCGCAAGATCAACCCCTGCGAAGTACTACTCACACGTGAAATATCACGGACTCCAGCCCTGACATGGACAGGTATTGCGTAATGTTCGTCGCACGGTACGTCTCGGTGCCGACCTGCTCAACCGTCCACTGCGTCGCGGCCCACCGCAACACTCGCACTAACAGTGCTTTCTCAGCGCCCAACTCGGCAGCCATCTCACTCACGCTTATCACCGCACCTTCCCGCTTAGTAATTAGCCTCCACAGCCCAAGATCAATACCCACTTGTACCATGTTGGGTGGTAGTGCACAAAAGATCAAACGCTGCATAGTATCCCATGGTTGCTCGAGCTTGAGAGAGGCCATTCTAGCGGCCTCAAGAAATCGAAGTCGCTTTTCCTCGTTGTCACGGAGGGGGGCAGGAATGTCGCCGGCGGCGAGCAATTCGAGAGTCTCAAGGACATTATCGGCTGCGACACCCTCTCCAGTGTCTGCGCTCGAGAGTTCGGACAAGTATGGTATGGCGGACATGGTTGTAATTCTTCGCTGATAGGTTGGTATGCAGATTTATGGTTGGAAAGATACAGCACATAAGGATCTAAAGACGGACTTATACATAAGCGCATGACAGCAGGGGTTCAAATTGATGTTACCCGAGGTTTGATCGGTATATTGTGGGTTATGAAGAGCTGCTTATATGATCGGTGGCCGAGATTGTGGTACCGGAAGATCATGTGGAGTTTAGCGATGGCCACGAAGGTGAAGAGTGGAAACCACCGCGCGATCATGTTGTTGATTGACTCGAGTAGTATTCCCCGAGATAGAAAACAAGCCGAACTATCGATAAGAGCCTTGACCCCTATCACTCCCCCTCTACCCTTTTCTCATTACATCTTCAACTTTACGGTTTCCACTTTCTCGGTCACTCTCTTCGTAAACTCCCCTACGACATCTGCACATAGTGCTAGCAGCGGGTTCTTTACTGCCACATCCCCACCGACTAACAACCCTGACTGTAAGGATTCCCGCAGCCGCTCCAGTACCCGCTGCGCCTCCAGTACCCGCTTTACTAGCAGTACGCGCACCACAGCCCGCCTGTCGGCGCCCTGGATCGGCAGTGTCCCACAGCGCAGCGGTTCGCACTCCTCGTCTATCCTGGACGATGGAAGCATGATGCCATTGCTATTACTGTCGCTTGTGCTTGACAACGACGATGGTGATGAAGATGTCCGATTTTCATGATTTGGAATAGGCGTCAGTGTAGGTATCCAGAGGGAGTTGCCGCCCAGTTTGAGTGTCACGAGCGCCCGGTCAATGTTTTCGCAGATGAGGAGGGCAGTCGAAGGGCGCGTAGAGCATGCGTTAGGACATGCTATCGTGGTGAAGCAGCAAGTGATAAGTGTTCTGGAGGTGGATAGGGCGGCTGAGGTGAAGGTGGGGGCTGATGACGAGGGTCCATAGGAAGGTGTGGATAGGTAGTCAAGAAGGTTGGATACGCAGTCGCATGATTTTCTCGAACGAATGGTGTGGTCGAAAGGCTGTGGACATTGCGCCTGCACTTGCTATTGTGGAAGAATCGCATAGCTGCCAGTTTCGGCTTTGTTGCTGCTTGTGGTCGGGATTGGTATGTCGTTTTGGTGTTGATCCAGATGGCGTGGTTGGTGACCATCAGGGGTAAGCAAACCAAAGTAAGGCAGCCCTTCATCGAAGAGCATAGGAGTGGAAAGAAATTGATTTTGTTCCTGATCCTGTTGCTGCTGATCCCATGGTGCTCCGCAGAACCCTATATTGAGAAGCTCTGGAGCGATGTGGAGCTCGGGAGACATGGCGTTATAGCAATTGGTGGTTTGCTTAGGGGTATCGCACTGTGAACCAGTGAAGTCCGGCAAGCCTTGCAGAAAGTTGTCGTCTGGATGTCGATACGGGGAAAACTCAAGATCGTCGGGGCTCGGTAGTGGAATAGTCTGCGCCATGCTAGGAATGGTGGACGTGTTGGAGCTGGAGCAGGAGCTGGAGCAGTTATCGGAGGCTGACAGCATACTGAGTGGACCAAAGGGCGACGTCTGATCTGAGGCTGGAATGGCGATGCCGTGCTCCGTCATGGGTGTCAAATACTCTTTTAGGCTTGCAGATGCACTGCTCCCAACGCTAGATGTGCTCTTGCTGTTGTTGCGGGTGCGTGGTCGTCCGGCACGTCGTGCTGGACTGTAGACACACTCTATTCCCTTCTTCGCACATCTGCGACATTTTGGCCGGTCCTGGTCGCATCGGATCTTGGAGTGCTGACAACTGTCACATGCGAGACGGTATTTCGTGGGTTTTGGCGTTGGAACGCTACCCTTCACGTTTGAATATTTTTCTTGCATAGTCAATTTAACATTGATACTTGAGTTGATGGCTGGTGGGCAATGGCGACATCGCAGTACATGTACTTACCATTGTCTCAGACCAAAGTGTTGTAGGCATGTGGAGACGCTAAAACCTGACAATATGGAAGCACTTCGGAATGGTTTCTAGCTGATAACAAGCGCTGATACTACTGATCTCACTATGTAGCCACATGTTAGTCACTCGATCTCGAACTACCGTGGTGGTAGGCAAGAGTTTAGTATGCGGCTGCTGAGATCTTGCGATCTGGTGAGACTTCGGAAGGTCCCGACGCGTCGCTACGTTCCAAGGTTACATACTTGAGCTTATTTATCCTATCTCGGATTAGGCGCTACAGCCCCTTGCTAGTGGCCCACTTATGGTACTTTTGCCTGATACCTTAGCAGGCGAAACAACCTCTGACTAGCCGCCTCCATACCAAATCTTTGCTTTTTACCACAGTATTGGAACTGCACACCATAGAATGTGTCAGCAGAATTGCACTAGGGCACGGCCCGGAACGATGCACGTCTTACTCCTTACCTGTGTCTTGGAAACGGTGCTTCGGCCCAATCACGGGATGTAGCGATCGGCTAGCACGCACCCGACTAGGGCACAGACTTTCCACATCTCACACCTTCCGAGGTGGATTGCCAAGGTCTGCGGGGTCCAGGTTGAAGCAGGGCTCGCGCTCGTATTGCGACGATTTTATCGCAAACCTGGAGTTAGGCTTTGGTTTGGTTGGCTATTGGACGCTGCTGGTCTGCTGGCAGCGTCTGAAGCCGCCAGCGAGCCGTGTCTCCATATCCACCTGTTCTTAGTGTTCTCTCTCATCTGTAAGAAGAGAGATACTGACCGTACGGTAAGTCGAGTAGGCTTGGCGTGCCAGTCGGAAGCATCTACTTTAAGGTACCGAGACAACTTTATGGCCGAACACACAAGAGTTCGAGACGAAATCAAGGATAGACAATTTACTCCGCTGTCTGATAGGTAAAAAAAGAACGGAATGTCCGGGTGTTGGCACATCTGCATGTTCAACAAACGACGGCAGCGGTGAATGAAGCAGGTTCGTTATACACGCTGTAAGCGTACATATCACGTCAGCCAAATCCTACCTAGTCAGTTACATGTGCGACATATCTTTCTCACGAGTATCTTTCTGTATGGGTTCTGTTTAGAATGTAGAGGTCGTAAGTGGCTCGTCTACTCTGGATTATCGTTTTACCTGAATGAAGTCGTCGGCCACCATGGTGTCAGCTAATACCACCTGCCAGATCCGTACGCTATGTCAATGCGCTGCTGCTACTCTGGCAGGCACGCGTGGAGATTGGCGACCCAAGGGGATGTCTTCAAAAGGGCCTTGTTCGGTTGCACCCACAGGTCTCCAAAGATAAGATATATACAAGCCTTCGGGCCGAAGCCTCAAGAGGGCCCATTAGCTAATACAATATGAACCCGTAGTATCCTGTAAGCTCCTTGAAGGACCCTGTTGGTAAATGCCCTTGTACTTCCATCTCAAATGCTGGGCACGCATCGTTTGGTAAATTCGTTGAACCAATTAGGTAGATAGATAAGTTCACGTGGAGACCAGCGGGCGAAGGGAACATATCCAAAAGGGCCTTCTTCGGTTGCAACCGCCTAAGTACAGATTCTTCGTCAAACAGTCCAGATTGCACCATCTTGAGCTCTGATCCGAGGTCTTCCAAACTATTGAACATCCTACGTCACATGCGAGTCATGTTTTAGTTTGGTGTTGAAGGGATGTGTGGAGGTACGACTGAACCCACACAAGTGTATAGGCAACAACGAGCAGCTGAAACGCTACTCTAAATGACGACGAATAGAACTTAGCCGGAACTGTTATTAAAAGACTGGTTGTTTCGCTATTCTACTACTGTGTTAATCAGCCCAGAAATAGTTTCACCGATTCAAGGCTTTGTTTAAAGTTCGAAACCTCATCCATCGAAATACCGAGCTCCTCCTTCGTGACGAAAAGGCCTTGTTCCTTGACGTGGCCAAACCAGTCCGACACTGCCTCGCCAAACAATACACCGGTAACAGCCTCTTGTCCTGCTAGGCCGAACAAATTGCCAATAACCTCTGGCTTGACCTCCACATATACACCTTTCTTGCCCGAGACGACTGCCCACTGTGATAGCGCCTCTCCGAGAGTGATGACCTCAGTACAGACGGCGGCGTACTTTCCATGCGTTAACTTGGGGTTAGCCAGAATCTGGCGCGCCCAAACACCTGGGTCCTTAGCCATATCGCCGGACATGGGATAAACGGTCGCTGGATCCGACGGAACCATCCAAACATATGTCCCTGGCGCAGTAGCCTACTCGCAGATTGATCAGTCATGTCATCAGTGCGCATTTCGAGAGCATTGACTTACCACTGGCTGCGGCTTCAACATGGGGAAGAAGGCAAAGTTGGATGGATAGAAACCAAACATGAGAAAGGTTGTCTTAGCAGCCAAATCTGGCATGTTCTTTCGGATATGATTGTCGACCTTGGCTTTGTAATCGAAATGAGGAACAGGAAATCTGCCTTTAGTGATTTCCTCTGCTGCAGGAAGTGTGCTCCAAATGTAATGCTCCAACGTCGGCACTTCAGCCGCCAGCCTCGCGAGCATAATACCTTGACGCTCCTCAATCTCACCAGCTCCGATCTGACCGGCACCTCTAAAGAAAGCTTCCCCCCATTGGGTCACTGCGAAGATAGCTTGCGCACCCTGTTCACGTGTCAGGTATCGACCAAACAAAGAGCACAAGCAGCAAGTGACTTACAGCAAAGGCCTTCCTGACAGACTCTTCATCTTCATAGCTGGCTTGAACCACCTCCATACCCTCCGCAGCAAGTTTCTGCGCCTTTTCTCCATTTGGATTCCTGGTAATTGCGCGGACATGCCAGTCTCCTGACTTCATCAACCCGCGAGCGATAGAGCCGCCCTGGTTGCCAGTCGCACCAGTAACGACGATAAGTTTCTTAGCCATATGTGGAAAATAGATATTATCTTTCCAGGGTTATGATACGAGAGGGAAGTAGATTATAGAAGGCTCGATTGTAGAACAAGATATGCACGTCCTGAATTGGGGGCACGAACTTGAGCGGAAAGTGTGCGACTATGAATGGGAAAAATAACTCCTGAATACGCGGGAAAGGCCGGACGCACGCGAAACCAGATGATGTATACTAGCCTTCTCTCGGTGTCTGAGATTTCTAGTGAAGCAGTGCGGTATGATCGTTGACTGATAGGATCTAGCAAGTGAACTTTCGGGGAGTAAACGAAGCAATAGCATCGTATATCATCGCCACTCTCAAAAGTGAGTATCCGGCAGTTCAGTTTTCAGAAGTGTACTCATAAATGTCCCGCAGAGTGCATAGCTCGGCCCGATGTTGCACAAATGCCCTGAGCCAACATTTGTGACCCACCACTATGGGTCTTCATGCATTAGCTATGAAGAAGGTCAGTTGTTCTAAGCGATACCTAGGTTAACTGTACCCTGAAGGTATTCGCTGCATTCATGTGATTGCGAGAATACCATAAACCTTAGTGGATAAGGTTAGGACACGGTTTGCCCAGGTGAAACTCAGAAAAGACAAGCATCTTTGTACAGCCGCGTAAGGCATCAAGTTTGAGATCGCTCTTCGCAGCTCGTACCACCATGAACATATGTACCGGATGCTACATTGATGAGAACGAAATGCGCCGACTTTTCGGTCTCCCGGTTACGACTTGGTTTCTTGGAACCCATTATTACAGTAGCAAGATCGCTTCTGTAGAGTCAAGAACCACTTACATCTCGCTATCTTGTGCTTTTACACAGTTGATACCTCATCAGCCATAATGTCGCGAACCGCCAATGCCTTGCTACGCCGCGCTGCACCAGTACTGCGTCTCTCTGTACTGCAGTCAGCTCGCTCGCCATGCCTTCGCAGAGGATTTGCCCAAGAAACGAGCTTCCCGAAGCCATTGAAGCTGAAGGGCGTTCTCAAGCCTCTGAAGCAGTTCATGGTGACGCCTACTGTGGGTACCGAGTTTCCAGAAGCAAATCTGGTTGAGATGCTCAACGCACCCAATTCAGATGAGCTACTTAGAGATCTCGCCATCACAAGTAAGTACGCGAAACACTCCTACGAGAAGACTGAACTGACGCATGTGTCCCCGTAGTATCACGACGCGGAGTCGTCTTCTTCCGCGGCCAGAATAACATGACCAATGATCTCCAAAAGACATTGATCCAACGTATGGGCGAGCTAGTGGGAAAGCCGAAGGAATCAACCCTACACATCCATCCCGTGCTCAACCCCCAGAGAGCATTGGGTGGCGATGACCTCCACATCAGCACCATCAACTCCAAGCAGAGGATAATGGCCCAGGGCAAGTCCGTACCTCGTGATCTAGGAAATGCAAGGCAGGCGCTTGAATCGTGGCACAGCGATATCCAATCCGAACAAGTGCCTTCCGATTATACATGCTTACGACTTGTGGAGCTACCCTCTGTTGGAGGAGGTATGTTCATCTCAAATCGTACCTTCATATATCATATTGATCCTCTTCCCAGACACGTTGTAGGCATCTGGCTATGAGGTCTACGACCGCATCAGCGAACCCATGCGCAAGTTCCTGGAACAACACACTGCGAACTACACCGCACCATGTAAGTCAGATTGAGCAAAGACCATCAATCTCCTTATCCACTAACACATCTTTCCGCAGTCTTTGAGAAGATTATCAAGATGAAAAATCTTCAAGTGTACACTGACGCCCGTGGTCACCCCGAAAGCATTGGCAACCCTCTGAAGGCAGTACACCCGGTCGTCCGCACGAATCCTGTAACTGGATGGAAGAGCGTTTTCGCCATCGGCGCATACCCTGGTTCTATCAATGGCCTGACTCCTCCAGAGAGCGATATGATCCTGAACTGGCTGATGGACATGGTGCTCCGCAACCACGATCTACAGTGTCGCTTCAGGTGGCAAGGTCCAAATGACATGGCTATCTGGGACAACCGCAGCATGGTGCACAATGCTACCATGGATTACGATGAGTTTGGTGATCGGTTCGGATACCGCGTGTGCGGCATTGGAGAGAAGCCCTACTTCGATCCAAACAGCAAGTCGATGCGCGAAGGATTAGCTGAAGAGGCGAAGGAGGAGTCTTCATGAGGGAGGTAAAAGCTGCGAGGTTTTATTATTTTGTCAAGCGATTTGATGTCTCATGTTCTTGATCGAAACATAGTTTATTGTGGTTGTCAAAGCAAAAGAACTAGTTGATGTCATTGAGGCTGTTCGATTTGTTTGTGTTGCGCGTTTGGGAAAGCTGGCAAAGTCGGACGCGGCTGTCGATAATCGCGCGCCGTCGTTGTTGTTAGTGCATCTGGAGACATGCCGGTGATCGGAAGGGTTCCTCGCGACGAGGCTTTCTAGGGTGGTACGCTAACTTTCGCGCTAATGCGCCCCCGGGCAGGGCCGATATACTAATACGAGCGGACAACATCAAACCTTAATCTGCTCGAACCAAGCTGATACTACTTCCAGAAAAAGAACGCTTCGAACGTAGTATAGAAATTCATTAAGACCGAGAAGGCTATGGAGATGCATTGATACGCGTTTTAATGCTGCTGACAATGGTCTCTTCCAATCTCCACAAACCCTGGCCGGCCCATGTCCTTCAGCAGCGCTTCAGCCTTGCCTCGGGGTCCAATCTCCGCCAGAGGAAAATCTAGTCCCGCAAGTTTCTCTTGGTGCTTGTAACCCGAGACAGATTTCGTAAAGATGTCGAAGAACTCGTTGATGGAATATGGGGCGGCATATGCGAAAATGCGTTCATCGCTGGTAGTCGGGTGGATCAAGCCAGCTACATGAAGCCGAGCGACGTCCTGCACGTGGACATAGTAGACTGCTTAAGTGTTAGCCATAGTTCGAACTACACAAAATGTGAAGAGCAGGAATCACCTACAACGCTGCACGTGTCTGATAGAATCGGTATCGCCGTCCAAGATCTGAAGCGGGATCTTCGCAGTAGATGGAAAGCCCTGGTGAGCCACGTCCAGTGGGCTTCCGTAGATAGTACAAGGCAACACCGCGTTGACAGAGAAGTGTGGCTTGTTGTTCTTCACCCACTGCCAGAAAGCTTGTTCGGCCGCGACCTTGGAAGCAAAGTAGGCGATCATGAATTTATGCATTGGCGGAAGAGCGTCGGGGATATTTTTGGACAAGGCCAGCGTCTGCTCGTCATACTCATCCGCAGATACTGTATCTGTTCCACGGTATGCTTGCAGCGAGCGAACCGCAGCTGAAGACGAAGTCAAAACGAATCGCTTCACACTGGGCTCCTTAGCCGCGGCCTGCAGGCAACTCAGTGTCCCGGCCACGGTAATTCGGATCAGCTCGTCTGGTGTGACGTCCATACTTCGCACCAAGGCAACGTGCGCGATGCCGGAAACGCCTGGACGGTGGAACCTCGTCAGTGTTGAAGCAATATGACGTGGAGGCGGGGAGAATACCTGAGACTGCGTCGTCAAATGCACCAGGCTCTCTCATGTCCTTGACCGTGATGAGTTCAAACTTGTCCTGACCATACTTTTGCGAAAAAAGATCTACAAGCCATTGGTGTTTGGCGGCGTCTCGGACTGTGCCTCGCACTTTGTAGCCTTGTTGAAGAAGCTGATCTGTGACGTGAGCTCCAACAAAGCCGTTGGCCCCCGTAACGAGGACGGTGGAGCCTGGTGCGATTGCGGGACTATCAAAAGCGACCATTCTGGGACCAAATACTACACAGTGATGGTGTACGCTCACTAGCTTCTTGATGAAAAATATAAGGTTATTGCAGAGATGTAGATAGCTAATGTTTCTAGATAGATTTTCGTTGCGAAGACATCATTTTGTAACTCATGACATGGTTAGACCGGTGCGGCCGTTGGTAGCCCTCGGGGGATTAATGGTATCGTGCATTCGAAAAATACTATTCCTGATGCAGTTGTCGGATGATACCACTGTAACAACATGACGTTGCAGAGCGTGTTTTCACTCGCCTAGCAGGCACACCCTCGGGAACTTAACTTAAAAACACACCGAGCTCGCTAGTACCTGACACTTGCAAGGCCCCCTGACTCGAGTCACGATATCAAGTAAGTGGCGGCCACGTCCGCGACAGTTGCAGGTACGAACAAAGATGCATCGCGCTGACTGCGGTTGTGCCTTTCTTGCTCTGCGAATGCTCGCGCGTGTCGAAGAGGTTACCACATCATCGCAGGTGCCGCTCGAAACCGCATTCCAAGTCACGTCTTCGGCGGAACAGCCCTGCCTTACCGTGCTAAGCTGCGAACGGTGTCGCCAGCAACGACTCCCGCTTACCGCAGTCACGATTCTGTGCGCTCATCTGGTCGACTGGCTGTGTCGGTTATGGAACCTGAAGGACGAGGACGCTGCCGAGATCTCCACGGACGCCAGCAGCACCAATACGAGTACGACTACAACTACAACCGACACCAGCGAAAGCCGACATGCAAACCAGCCTTGGAAATTTTCTCTCGGCAGCTATGATCCCGCCGCCGACGAAGCTGACGCGCTCAGCAACGAATTAATGACATTGCGGCTCACAGGTTTCTCCGCTGTGCTGGGCTCCCTTGAAGCTGCTCTTGTCACATCTGGGCCATCTCCCTGCATCCCTTCTTCGCCCGGGGGCACCAACGGCACGATCAGCGGTAGAACAGCTTTTGCGCCAGCTTGTCTTGAACTCGTCCGCGCAAATCTCAGTCTAGTACGCGCATGCATCCGTCGTCTCAAGGCGCGCTCGCTACTGAATAGCGACGGAGCTAGCGCTTCGTTTTAGTAGCAGTTATAGACATGGCCTGGAACAAGAGTCTTTGATGAGTAGGTGATGGTAGTAAAGGCTCTTCCTTAAAACCATGCGCTCGCTGGGGCACCGAGATAGCACACTTTCAATACACCTTGCTACATGGTTATAATCCTGAGACAAGACTTTAAGGTACGTTCGTATTACATCTCACTGATTTTACGCACTGTAGTACTCCCTGCTGTTTCATCCAATGTATTAAAATACAATAACATCATAGCTTTCACTGAGCTAGATAACCCCTATTGTTTATCAGCGCTTCATGTTCTTTTTCATCTAGTGAAAGAACATAACATACCCATCCAGGACTAGTGACTGACCAAACATGTAGCTGCTCATGGGTCCGGCCAGAAACACCACTGCATCAGCAACCTCCTCAGGCTGTCCCAGTCGGCCTGCAGGCACACGTTCGCGCACAAGGTTACCGATAAAAGCCTTGGTCTGTTCGGAGGATTCGATGAGAGGAGACGCAATATACCCAGGACATAGCGCATTGATGCGGATCTGCTGCGGCGCGTACAGCACTCCCTCAGAGCGTGTCAAACCGAGTACAGCGTGACGGCCCGCTACATACGCACCAGCAGCGACCTGGGGTGGTGAGGCAGCGAAGGCATGTACTGAGCAGACATGTACGATGCTTCCACGGCCATATCGCATGTCACGTGGCTCCTGCCGCAGCATCTGCCGTAGCTCGGCTCGATACCACAACCACAGAAGCGTCACATGGTCTTTGAGATGGGCTTCGAATGCGGCGGGCGCTGTGTCGGGACTGCCGCCTAACGGCCCACCGAAGCCGGCATTGTTGATGGCGAAGTCGATACGTCCGAAGCGCGAAGCAGCCTGCTGGACAGCAGTTTCAATGGCCTCTTCGGTGCTGCATTCAGTGGACACGCTCAGCACGTCTGTCACGTTGTATTTCGATGCCAGTGTCTGAGTCGTCTCTTGCAACCCGGCTTCATTGGTGTCGATGATGGCGAATTGGTGTACACCGTGCTGGGCCAGCGAGTATGCAGCGCTCTGGCCGAAGCCTGCGACGCCGAGTCAGTCGTCTTTCTTCTTTGTCATAAGCTATCCTGCTGACTATCATAATACAAAGAAAGTTAAGTCATAATTACCAGACCCCGCTTCTGTGATGAGTACTACTCCCGAAAGCATTTTCGTTATGATGATCTTCGTAGCTACAACTTCACCCGGTGGATCTCAATGTTGTTTTATCGTGATCTTGCACCTTCGTCGGCGCTTTCTGACTCAGAGGATTCGAAAATACACCGATTGAGTTAGTTGGTCTCGCCTCGAAACCTAAACACTAGTGCGGAGCTGGGTGGAGAGAGATGATCTCGGGAGGTGGAGGAAAACACCCCGCTTGAAGAGCCGCATGCTATGCTCTCAGCTCGAAGCGCCCGATGTGAAGCCGCTACCGCTCTATTAAATCTGATAACAGCTGATGTATGCTGCCCTTGCTTTCGGCGTTCCATTAGCGCTTCCATACGAATTATTACGTTGCTTGCCTTCACAAGGGTTTTGATGATACAAAAAGTCCCGGTGTCGAGCTCCATACCATTTGCTTCCGACGAGTAGCAACAACTCACTATTGTAACAATCATCTCGCCAACAATACTGCAGACTGCGGTATGCATCGAGCTTACTGGAATTTACTCGAGCTTGTCTTTATAAATGCTCAACCCACGGGCATCAGCCTCGAGTTGCGTAGTCGTCGATCACATGTTCGCATCAGTGCAAACAAGGTTGGGTAAAGGTTCCCCTGAAGTCCCTTTCTTCGTTCCATATCTAAAGCATAAGAAACTCTGCTTCCCCCTTTGAACCTATGGCCTGAACATCTTCTGTCACGAATAACCTGGGAGCAATCGCGAGCCTGACGATACTCATGTGCGGGTGGAGAGGTCGGATCTAAGAAGCGGTTCACGTAGCCGGTATAGAATATCAGTCGTGTACAATCACCAGAAAACCCAATGTTCAAGGTGTCACGTGGCTGAAACCTCCCAGATGGTATGACCAAATAATGGAAACAACTCCTGCGACATCTCAACATCGTATGCTCGACGAAATCGTCGCGAATGCCCGGTTGTCGGCCCTAAGCTCGACACGCCTTTGCATTCAGGTCGACAAACTTCTAGACATTGTCTTGGTCATTAGGAGGAAGTCAAAGTGGAGGCATAAAACGATCCCAGCTCATTTTACCACGCTTTTCATCTTGGCCGTAAGCGTAACGACACTTAGGATACCCGTAAAAGCTTGGACGCGAACAGGTAGTCAGCAGGAGAAGACTTTATTGCAGAGGAATACCTATGGCCAGTTTCGTGGTCGTGGTCCTCAATGCAGCACTTTGGCCAACACTCGGGTTGTTGTCGCGTGTCCCATTATTGACGAAAAAGCTCGTGTACGACATTTTGTAGCTTGCGCGTGCGCTCAGAGGCTTGGACGGCTCGTAGGCTTGGTCGCAGTGGCTGCCATTTTTCGCCTGCATAAAATCGAGGTCAACTAGATGGTGATAACGCTTTTACAGTCGGAAGATGATGACATGCATAGATGTCGTCGAGAGGCGTGAAGTGGATCGACCGGTGACGAAAAGCTAGCGCTACTGTTTCTTGGCACACTAGCGCTAAACAGCTCATCTAGGCACACCGTTCCTCTTGCTGATTCACGATCTCAACACTACCCTCGTCCCTCATTTTCATCGTCTTAGCTCTATGTTTTGGATAGACCCTTTTCTATCGCTTAGCGGATGTTGACCGCTTCGTCGACTTAGTAAGACACACCCCACTCTAGATTTCCACGGTTCCCTCTACAACAGCCGATACATCCATACCTACACTGCATAGCCAGACTAGGTGAGATGGCAGGTGTTGGACACTTTACCTCTTCCCTGCGACATAGTCGGGCTCGAAGTGCGCGTCATACCCATTCACGGCACGTACGAGGAAACATTGTTTCTCGGCCGATGCAGCCGCGAAACGCGTTGTCACGAACCAACAAGTCAGCCTCATGAGTAGATCATCTGCGACGTAACTACTACCAACTTCCACCGCTTTCGCTTGCTGGCTGCAGCTCGTTTGGGCGTGAAATTGGATCGATTCTCCAATCAGCCTTTTCGACACAACCCTTCCAGGATACTGACGCCAACCAGAATGGACCCCTTTAGATACCGTAAGGCGTATGAGGCAATGGTACATACAACGCAACTCATCGAAGAGCGTTTGCGTCAAGATGTCCAGCCTGACGAGGAAGGCGCGGTTCAAGACGATGCACCACAGGTTGCTTTCCAGGAGCAAGACCCGGACAGCATGGACTGGACACCTACAGAATCGAATACTCCGCCTCCGGAATGCGGACCACCGCCAGCATTATCTAAAAAGATGCGCAACCTTCTACCTGGTGGTGGCGATGGTGATCTTCGGGCTGAAGATCGCGGCAAGAATGCAGTACTCTTGCACAAACTCAAAGAAGGGAAAATAATGGATGAGTGTATTGATAAGCTGGTCCACGATCTACCGGATGTCTTGAATTATCAGAAGTCACTCTCATTCACTCCTTCTACGATTGAAGTGCCTAAGGATTTTGGGCTGCAGCTCAGCATCTCCATAAATCACCACCTCGCTCAGATAGAGGATCGCAAGGCACTGGAGAAGTACCGCAGGCTACTTGGACATCGCAAAGATGCGAACAAGAAAAAAACTGTTAGGCTCGGATTCGATCCTGTAGATTTGATCAAGAAGCAAGCCGTGGCCTTTGGAAAGGACATCCCCACACCTGTCTGCACACTAGACAACAACATACATCCTATCTTCCGCCTAGAAAACTGGCACGGGTGTCCGGATGGAATTTATGAAGTCTTGAGACCAGCTTTGCAACTAGCCACCCTAATGTTGACATCTCGAGCGACCGCTCACTTCTGGCACACGTTGGTATTTGGCAAAAGGGAGCATTGTGGGGAAACCTCCGCAGCGTACGGCCAGCCTTGTTTTCGTATCAAAGAGGACGTAGCATGGGCTGAAGAGCACCATGCGACATTCAAGAACTTTTTGGACAATCAAGTCGACACAGTTCATTTCTACTTTCACCACGATCCTCTACCACTGGAGACCGCGTACGCTTCAATGGGTCTCGTCAAGGACTATAAGGAAGGCTTGATGCGAAAAATCAATCACAAGTGCCATACAAGTCGCATTTGCCTTCATTCAGACTTCTACACTACCGCAAAGAAGCTCAGCTTGCTGCGATATCGTGAGCCTGCAATGGTGCTGCGATACAACATGTTTCTCGCTACGTGTTTGGCGCACGAGGTTGCACACTTCTGTGAAGTGTCTGGGCCGCACCACGACCATCCTCTGCTCTCCGAGCCTGAAGTCTTCTTTGGCGACAACATGTGGACTGAGAGCGGGATCTCTTTCGAACTCAAGATTTTCGGTGGGCGCATACATCCTCTATCTAGCCGGATCGATTGTAAATTTGGGCTAGCCTGTCTCGACTACCCGCTTAAAGAGCTGTACGACAAGGACGACAACGTTCTATACGCCCTGCCGATGGACTATATTCTCAAGCTTCAGCAGAAAGAAACGTGGGAACAGGACTTTAGCGAGGCTGGACCGGACGTCTTCTTCGTTCCACGCACTGGTGGCCGTTCTATCGAGATCAACGGTACCAACCTAATGATCTGGGAAGATGAGAACGACGCGGATATCTCCGACCATATTGACAACGAGGACACGGAGTGGATGCGCATGGACGATGGATCGATCGCGAAAAACCCAAAAGCAAATAATCGCAAGCCACAGCGACAACCCGTGGTGCCTCGATGGAACCCGTACAACAACCAAAAGAGGAAGCATGTTGTCGAAACAGGGGCTCCATGTGTGTCCAAAGAGGTGGTTGAGATCAAAGATCAAGGAGAGAAGGAGGAGCAGAAGTTGGAGCCTCCGGAAGACACCGAAGTAAGCAAAGGTGCTTCTGACCAAGATATGGTTTGATTAAAGATGGATTTTACGATGGAGAAATAAGAGGAGGAGGAGTTGCATTCACATTTAGCACCAGCTTTCGGATACCACTGCATCTGCGTAGGGCGTTGTTGTTTTGTACCACATTATCATCAGCACAGACAGTTGTTCGTATGACTTATTTGTATGCACTTCAGGCTTCATCAAGAGCCATGTTCGCCAATGCATCTGCCTCTCGATTCATATCCCTCGGTACATGCCAAAACTGCACCTCTCGGCCACCTGCTTCGTCACTATACTCCATGTAATCCAGTGTTTCGTGCAATTGTTTCAGAACCTTGAAGTGTGCGACTTGTCTTCCATTGGAGCCTACCCCATCGTCTTCGATCCAACGTTCCATCCATTTGCTCATGGCATTGACTAGGAAGCTCGAGTCGGTTGCGACCTTGATGCTAGACAGTTTGAGATCTACATCTGTAATCTCACGAACGATGGCAAGTGCTCGACTAAACGCTTCGATTTCTGCACGCGTGCTCGTCTGAGGTAAAGACTCATGAAGAAGGCCGCGTGTGTTGTGAGGAGAGTTGGGGCCGAAGTAGACGCCATAGGAAGCCCGTGCTGTCGGATGGCCATTGTTACGACAGGCTCCGTCGATGAAGACCACAAGACTTGTTTCGTCTGGAACAGGGTCTGGTTTGGATCTGACCTTCATGCGCAGCTGGGAGATCTTCTTGTCGGTGTTGTAGAAGACGAGTTGGGATAGTGGGATGGGGTAGGAACAAGGATCTTCAGAAGGGACGTATAGACGTCGGATCTCTTCTCCGTACTCGTCGTAGGACATGTCGTTGTCTTTAATATTGAGATAGACTGAAGTTGACTGAAGTTGTGAAGGGTCTTATGTGAAGCGGATGAGCCGGATGTCCTATGTTAGTGAGAATGGGGGGAATCTCCGGCTTGAAAGTTAATTTGAAAGGATCGCGGCCATGGCTATTCACGTTACAGGTACATGTACCTGCCTGGGCCTACATCCAGGCTAGTCCGGTTAGGCTAGCGTGATGATTGATGTCCTAAGCGAGGTGAATCTTGGCAGAGTCACTGGAGCCCGAATTCTGCTTCCTAACAACGACGCACGCCTATCGTTTCTTACCCTCGCCGAACGTTAACCCCAACCCTTTCGACGACTTCACGATGGCGGACACCCAGAAAGATGCGCTGTTCAAGACGGTGCAGATCGACGCCCTGGTACGTAGGAAAAGTGCAAAGCCAGTACCCCACTGTGCGCCCCGCCATTGTGGCAGAAACATGCCTTGATAGGAGCCTGCTGTAGCTACAGAAGACTGACTGTGGCCTTCAGGTCGCGATCAAGATCGCTACTGCAAGCGGCAAATCCTTCCCTTCGCTTGCGACCGGCAGCATAGTTGGCATGGAGAAGAATGGCGTACTGGAGATCACAAACTCGTTCCCCTTCCCCGAGGTATCTGCCGCGCAGACCGATGGACAGAACGAGACGGTCGCAAACCTCGCTGCTGGTGCCCCCCGCGCCAAGCAGAACATCGCATACGGCAACGAGATGATCAAGTTCCTCCGAGAGGTCAACGTGGACGCAAACAACGTGGGCTGGTACACAGGCACAAGCATGGGCAACTTTGTCAACCTGAACACAATCGAGAACCAGTTCTACTACCAGAGCCAGCCGAACGAGAGGACTGTCGCTTTGATCTACGATGTAAGCAGGAGTTCGCAGGGCACCCTGAACCTGCGCGCATATAGGCTCTCGCCTTCCTTCGTGACGGCCTACAAGGAGGGCAAGTTCACGACTGAGAGGTATGTGCAACCGATTTCGTGTCAGGGGCGGAAACTAACAATCCCAGCCTCCAGAAGAGTGGTCTCCGATACCACGACATCTTGGTTGAGCTCCCAGTTACCATTCGCAACTCCCACCTCCTCACCTCGCTCCTACACCAGCTACCTTCCGATGCGCCCAAGGAAGAGCTCAAGTTCCCACCCAACCTAGCCGCGCTGCAGCAGGACCCGAACACCCCCCAGCCGCCTCTCTTCCCCAACTACGACTCGCTTGATCTCTCAATCGACCCCTTCCTTGAGAAGACATGCGACTTGCTCCTCGAGAGCATCGAGAACCACCACACCGAGATCAACAACTACCAATACTACCAGCGATCGCTCGCCCGTGAGCAGGCCAAGATCACTGCATGGCAGCAAAAGCGCAAGGCCGAGAACGCGGCACGCACAGCTTCGAAGCAGCCCCTACTTCCCGAAGACGAATGGCAAAGGCTGTTCAAGCTGCCCCAGGAGCCTAGCCGACTGGAGACGCTTCTCAACTCAAGACAAGTTGAGCAATACTCGAGGCAGGTGGATGGATTCACGGCTGGCGTTACCTCCAAGATGTTTGCTGTCAAGAGCAATCTGCTTCCTGGAGAGTAGAGTGTGGTAGATACGCTTGTATTTCATGATTATGCTTCTCTTCGTCACGGCATGGGGCATGGCGTTGCGGGTTAGCGGTCCCTTTGACGGGACTGGATTTGATCTTTTAGATGGAAGGACCACGATGATTATGTGAAGGGACATTTCTAGCATTTGCCCATGTGTTCCGATGACAAAAGTTGGAAATGCTGCAAAAGCGGTGAAGTTCAAGGCTGTTCAGCTGGGCGGCTGAATGCTGTTCTAAGCGTGGGAAGCTATCGCCACATAGAGTTGAAACAGACAATGAAGTAATCAACACCCTTTCGCAACAACGATACAAGTACTCTGAATGCAAGTGTGTGTCTACGCCTGCTAAACCCGCCAGCCCTGGTTACTCGGATATCGGATAAGCGGTAGATCTGCCTCTCTCACGAAAACGGCTTGGGGCTAAAGCAGCGTCCAACACCGGCGCCATCATGCAACAGGCCTCCTCGCCTGTCCTCCAGCAGCTCCGGTCACTGCACCCTGGTGCCCTTCAAACGCTCCACCAGTCGCCAGACGGGACGCTATATCCCCATAATCAAGTCCTACCGGAGCTTCAGAACCTCCACACGAGCGATGTATACCAACAGCAATATGCCCTAAGCGGGCCACAACACCCACAACCACCGTCGCATGCGCACGCGCTGCCAGTACATTATGAGCAACACGCGCTTCCGCCTTCAGGACCGTACCCGCCGTTCCAGCCGGCGGGCTATCAACATGGCGCAAGTCCGCGATTTATGAACGCGCCCCCTCCCCCGCTTCAGGACCACGCGCAACAATATCACGCTTCCCCTCCTCAGACGGTGCAACGCCCGATCCAACAGCTCCCTCTCCCACCGCCTGCACCGCTGATACTTGCGGCACCACAACCGCTGCCACGGCATGCGGAACAGCCGCCCTTGCTGCATAAGCAAGAGAGTCAGGATGGTGATGACACTCCATTGTCTAACCACGGCCAGTTCCAGGGCTTGAAGCTCATACCAAGCCCGCCAGACTTGGACGATTGGAGGCAGAGGTTGTTTCATGTAGACGACATGATTACCTTGACTGAGGAGCAGTATGGATTCTTCCTGGCATGCTCAAGCTACGTGCTAATCCCGATGCTAGGTTTCAGACCTACTTCCCTCATATCGACAACGTCTACTCGCATCGCTCGACCCAGCGGCACAAACGGAAGCGCTTCGTATCACACTATTGGGACTGCCGACTCAAGGGGCGACCACCAGGCACCAAGAAGTCCACAGATCCAGACAAGAAGAAGAGGAAGAGGATTGCGAGAGAGCGGGATCTCTGCGATGTCAAGATCAAGATTACCGAGTTCTTCGATCGACGGGAATATGAGGAACAACTCGGTCGACGACCCCCAGGCACAGAAAACGAGCCGCCGAGCCCAATAGCATCGAACATGCCGATAAACCCGGGTCGAGGTGGAGGCCAGAGTCAGAACCCGCAGTTCTTCGGGCAACCACCTCTGCTGCCGCAACAGCCGGCTGGGGGTTGGGATATGCCTCCAAACATCGGTGCTCAGTCGGGAATGAATATGCAAGAGTACGCATCATCATCCGGTCCTTCGTCGAAGAAATTCTATACTTTCCAGAGAGTCAATGGAAATGGTGGGAATGGCAAAGGCGATGGCGTTGCCGGACCACATAAGCATACACTCGAGGAAAGTGACCGTGTGAAGAAGAACAGTGTCATCAGATGGCAGGCAAAGATCGACAAAGACGACAGGAGGAAATCACAGGTAAGCCTTCCTGCTCTTGTTCTATTTCAGACTCTGCTCTCCCGTTGTACCGACTCATCTGGCCATGATCATATGCAATGGCGATCCACTCTGCCCGCAGATCAAGTGCATACGTCATTTTGATGCATGCTAAGAACACCAACAATCCCCATCACTCAACTTGCAAAGTTGTTTACGAAATCCTGCCCGCTTCATACCCTGAGTTCAATACTCTCCCACTGTTCATGAATCCTGTCTCTAAACTTCTTCGCACATTGCCCTGCCGTTTACCCTCTCCCTGCACCCATCATTCAACTTTCTCCAAAAGTACATCCTGTCTAAGCCTTTCTTCATTCCAAACACAATCATCGTTGCGAATCACTAGTGTACCTGCTCGATACAAAATGACCGACACCAATCAGGGCGGAGATCCTTCCAAGAAGACGTACCATAAGAAAGCCACTGGCAACGCTTTGACGACAGTCAAGAACCACTCGAAAGAGGACGATCTCAAGTTGTATGGTAGCGCATTCTGGTAAGTGGCACCCCCAAGCTGCACACTTGCGAAAACCCGGTTATGTCACAGATAAGGTTCTAACGTCCATCAGTCCCTTTGTGCAACGAGTGTGGATATCACTAGAGCACAAGCAAATACCCTACCAATACATCGAAGTCGATCCCTATAAGAAGCCTCAAAGCCTTCTCGACGTGAACCCACGCGGTCTAGTACCCGCTATCCGACACGGTCCAACATGGTCAACCCACGAGTCAACCGTCATCATGGAATACCTTGAAGACCTCCAAGCCGGACCACATCTGCTACCACCAGATGCACAAACCCGCGCTACCTCACGCCTCTGGTCTGACCACATCAACCGCAACATCATCCCATGCTTCTACAAGCTGCTCCAAGTCCAAGACGCAAATGACCAGGTCTCCCACGCAAAAGAACTCCGCGATCAAATCGGCAAGCTGGTCGATGCCGCAGATGCCAACGGTCCTTTCTTCCTCGGTCCCCAAATCTCTTTTGTAGACGTACAGATTGCGCCTTGGGTGATCCGGTTGCGCAAAGTGCTGGGTCCATATAGGGGCTGGCCCGAGGCTGAGGAGGGAAGTAGGTGGAAAAGGTGGATTGATGCGATCGAGGCGGATCGGAGTGTCAAGATGACTACCAGCACCGATGAGCTTTATCTGGATAGCTATGAGCGGTACGCGGAGAACAGGCCGGGTACGAGTCAGCTTGCGGATGCTGTTAATAGTGGGAGGGGCTTGCCTTGAATAGGGTTAGTTGGGGTAGAACGGTAATATGATAGTATTGAAGCTGCATGTGTTGCAGAATTGCAAAGATGACATGATGTGAGACTTGTATTGAAAACTCAAGCGATGATTCTTCAAAATCAAGTTCTGGTTGTTTGAAGAATGCTGCAAAAGGGCGACTAAAAGATCGTTACAGTCGTTTTCTTGAAACGGTTCAGTGCATCCTCAGCATCCTGCCTGTCCAATTCCATTAATCCCATCCCGATTCTCACGAACGCAAGCTTGCTTTCTAAATCTGCCACAGTACGAGTCTGGATCTGGTTGAGATCGTCAAGTGGTTTGAGCAACAAGCCATGGAACTCCAATCTTTTTCTCAACGCATGCAGCGTTTTTCTGATGACCAAGAAGGCTATCGGTACACCGATGACGCCGTTCGGAAGCAACAACGATGGCTTAACCTGGTCATCGAGCAGACAACAACAGGCATCCTCTTCAGACCACTGAACATACCGGGGCCAGCCAGGACTGCAAGCGACATGGAAACGATCACAGCTGTCCTTGGATCCCAAGATCGACTTCCCCATTGTAGCGGCGTATCTTTTCCACGTACCCTCCAAAGGAAATAATGGCGCTCGCAGCGTGATGTGACCCCCTGAAATCATGCCTCGTGGATCATTTGTGCTGGGGTAGGTGCGAACGTCGAGCACTTCAGCGACTTCTTCTCCATCGCCAACCCCAGATCCAGGCGGTTCGTGAACCCACACTTTGCCCTCAATGGATGCCCAAGACCAAGATGGTGGATTAGAATGAGGATCGCCGTGTGATTCTGGACGGCTCCCATTTTCAGAACACCACAATAAGCCTGTTGGCATATGAGATTCTCAAAGCCCAGCAAAATAACCATCGGAGTCTGTTTGGAAGAGATGCGTCAAACTAGATAGTGCTGGTAGTCTATCTTTGCAAAAGCTTATCCGACGCGCCGTGTAATGTTCGATGATATTACCCCACATTTGCCTCGGTGTGCAAAATCTGCTGGTGATGTCTGATAGCGACATGAATCGGTGGACCCAGTAAGGTTTGCATTCGCAAGCGGTTGCTTCACAACAGACGAAAACGATTTCGTCCCAGGTAAAATGAATCATCTTCCTAGAAAGCAATTCTTCTTGAAGACACCAAGCACGCTTTCGTAACGTCAAGTCGGTATCGTGTACAAAAGGAACCAATGCGTTATCTTGGAACTCATGCTGCATCTCATCGCGAATACACACGGTAAAATTTGTTCCGTTGTGAGTGCTTTCGAGTTTTCGAGTGCTACGACGATTCAATAGGCCTTGTTGCCCGTTCTTGGCTGCAGACGCCGCAATCGTAAGGTATGCATTCGAGAATATGTTGGCCATTTGAGAAGCCTGGTGGACCCATTCTGCAACAGAGTCCTGCAAAATGCCTTCGATAGTATTAGGAATTTAGTGCAAATAATGGGATGTAGTTGCAATCAAGAGCGCTTACATAAGGAATCGATCCAGATGTATTGAATGTCGAGCTCTCGCGTCAATGATATAGCTTCTTGAAATGTCTTGGGCAGACATGCCCAACTGATACCTTCCGTCATGAACTCGACCAGTGAGGCAGCCGTGGTTTTGATGATCGGGATAGAGCCCCAGCAGTGACTTAGAGCAGTATATCGAAGACCCAGCCCTCTCAAAGATGCTTCGCCGCCTTCGAACTCGCACAAGTGTATTCGATACGATAGAGCATTCCTTTCGATACGTAATAGCCGCTTTGGGACGAAGTTTGGCGTCCTCAAATCCCTTGATCCTTCTAGCGGGTCGTTGGCTTTGCATGCAACATGTTCGGTATTGCACGCATCCAGCATGCTTTTAGTCCATCGAGCACAATCCTGTAGGCTCACATGCTCATGAGGTAATTGTTTCGAGATCATAAAAGGCCATGGACAGCTGTCTCCTACGTTATGAGTAAGTGATCATCGTGATAGCTTCCGAATTTCCATGAACAGCACATCCCTTACCTAATGCAAGATAAAACGATACAGTATGCCACGCTGAAGCGTCAATATATGTAGTACAGTGGACTTGATGGCGAGGTAAGGGCTCCCAAAACGTACATTTTCTTGTTGATGACCTCTCACCTTCTTCCGGATCCCATTCCACCGCCAGATATGCCGGATCTCCATGTTCACCAATCACTTTCGGTGACACAGTTATATTCCAAGCGTCCTGAACCAACGCATTTGCGTTGACACAGGCGGCCTCACTAATCCGTCGAAGGAGGTCGCATAACTCGCATCCATCAATTCCTGCGTCCTCGAGCTCCTCATACGTTGTCTTGATGAATTCTGGATATGGCAACCGCAGATTCCAACACACTTGGCAGTCTGTGTCACTCATTTCATAATCCGACTCTTCTTCCGACGACTCGTCCAGCCGCGACAAGGTTGCGTGTTCGGATCTTGTGGCGCTGAATATCGTACCTCAACCTTGATAATCAACTGACCGTTGGGAAGAAGCGTTTCGCAATAAACAAGGAAGAATCTAACACGGGAACTGAACAGTGCTACTAGTGTTTTAGGCGCGGGACAAGGAAACAGGAGGAGCTGATACTGTGGATAAGCAGGCTATCTCTCAGCCTGATGACGTCGAGTTCCGTGGTCGCTTGCACACTCTGTCCATTGGCTGTGGATGATTAACGGAGATCAATGAAAATGCACGCCATAGACCACAACAGCTTCGATTCTTGGTTCTCAGTAGAATACATCAAGAACATCTCCTTCATACAGTGAGATGGTGAGTTGTCACAGAAGATACGGCCTCGTTCTAGGGTGGAAGAGCGTTGAAGATAGCGCGACAACACGGACTTCTACTGCTGGTGGTCCAAAGTGAATATTCAATATGCCAATGGTCAAGAGCTTTTGAGATGAATAAGTGGAGAACCCTTGAAGCTCTGGAGGGAAGTGCACGCGATACCTGACAGCCCATTAGCGCGTCCTATGAGGGGCAATCGCGGGGCACCATCCATACAGCAGCAGTCTCAACACCAAACAACGTCGCATACACTCAACCCCCCACACACAACCGCCACAATGTTCAAGAAAGAGTAGATTCTCCTACGCGTCATATTAGGAGAATTGACTAACAAGAAGACAGCATAACCTCGGGCGCGAAATCCAAGGTGAAATCCAGCGCCCAACGCGCCATCCGCTCAAAAGTTCTCGAAGAATACCCAAAGCTAGAGCCATATATCGAGGACATACTGCCGAAGAAGGAGCAATTGGATCTAGTCAAACTGTACGTCGTCTTCGGTTCAACCTGTTCATGAACATTGTTACCCACGACAGGGTATTGGAGAGCTGACAATCACCATCACAGACCCGACCGCGTATCCCTCTACACCCTAAACTCCACACCCCTCTTCTTCCAACACATGGACGACGCGCTCCTACCCCACCTCACCCTCGTACACAAATACCCTTTCGCCTTCCACCGCCTACGTATAGACCGCGGCGCAATCCGTTTCGTGCTATCCGGCGCTACGCTCATGGCCCCTGGTCTCACATCACCGGGTGGCCGTCTACCAGGACCTGAGCTGAGCGACGAGGACAAAGAGAAGTACGGCGCGGAAGACCTGAAAGAGGGACAGGTAGTGGTTATTGAGGCGGAGGGCAAGGAGACGGCGTGTATGGTCGGTGTGCTGAAGATGAGCACGGATGAGATGAAGAAGGTTAAGAAGGGGCAGGCATGTGAGGCGGGTCATTATCTGGGAGATGGGCTTTGGGGATTGAAGTTGGATTGAGGGCGTGAAGATGGGAGGCTTTTGACGTCACAGGTTTGAGGTCGGGGATGGAGGGCCAAGGCAGCACACGGCTGCAGAGTCATACGAATGAAGGCGTGGTTGGTGATGGAAATGGCTCAGGGTTAATAGCCACTCAAGGCTCCGAACGCAGATATGCCATAACAATGCATCCTGCGACGTGCGAGATAGTTGTTGAGTCCAAGACGGAACCTCCGTGAATGCAAACGAATTTGTACATGGTATCATAATTCTAATCGTGAAGAGTGCTCTTAGATAGGCCACTGCCTACGCCAATGATCTACTCATTGCAGTCGCTTTATAGCACCTTATTGCCCTGCACCACGACCAGCACCAGCGCCTCCGCCTCCCATGAAGTTCCGGGCCCTGTTACCACGGTTAGTTGGAACTCAAGTCATCAGCGTGGGTCAACTTACATCTCAGCGAGGTTGGGGTCGTTCATGAGGTCCTGCATGTTGGGCATTCCACCACCGCTTCCTCCATTTCCTGCGCCCCGGCCTCCACCGCCACCGAATTGTTGGGCCATCTCCGCTATCCTCGGGTTGTTCATGAGGTTGCTCATCATATCTGGGTTGCTCATGAGGTTCTGTGCCATTTGCCTCATCATCGGGTTCTGCATCAAGCCAGCGAGATCAGGCATTCCACCACCACCGCCGCCGCCGCCGCCGCCACCGAGCATTCCAGCCAATGCTGAGAGGTCAGGCATTCCGCCTCCGCCGCCCATACCACCGGGTGTTCCTCGAGAAGTGCCAGCATCGGGAGCGCCGACATCGCCGCCCTCTTCTTCGACCTTCTTCTTGGCTGTCTCGTAGCCCTTGCGCATGACTTCTGAGCCGCCGCCCTCTGCGTCCATGCCAGACTTGTATGCCTCCATAGCACCCTTTGCATCGCCAAGAACGTACTTTGCGAGACCGAGACGCGACCAGGCCTTGGAGTAGTTGGGGTCAGCAGCGACTGCCATCTCAGCGTCCTCCTTTGCTAGCTCGTGCTTGCCTTGGCCTGAGTATGCGGCGGCGCGGTTGGATAGGTAGATGGGGTTGAGGGGAATAACGTCGAGGGCAGCGGTGTAATGCTTCACAGCAGAATCGTAGTCCTTCTTCTTCATCGCCTCGTTACCCAGACCCTTTAGCCTCTCTGCCTCATCCTTGTTTGGTCCGCCTGGTCCTGAACCGGCGGCAGGTGTCTGTGGTGTTGCTGGTCGGGCCTCCTTGGCCGAAGAAGATCCCTCGGTTGTGGCAGTCGTCTTCCCCTTGAGCTTCTCGTAGACGTTGTAGATTGCAAGCAGATTCTGGTCGCCAATGGCGTCCTTCTTTGCGGCCTCATCGGCGGCATCTACCTTGAAGGCTTCGGCGATGCAGTTGGCGGCGACTTCGAGCTGTTCAGCGTCGTCGGGTGCTACTGAGCCGTCTGTCTGGGAGGTTTGGAGGAAGTCAAGGATCGCGAGCGCAAGGCGCTTCTTTGATTGGAAAGCCTGTGGTTATGTGAGCGACTGTTTACTTGCACAAGTGGGGCAACTTACCATGACGGCGTGATGTGTATTGTGGAAAGATGCCGCAAGTTGGCTGTGAGGTACAATGTAGTGAGTTCCCTTGTGGTAGGCTTGTGAACAGGTGTTCTAGTAGGTACACGATTATGGTTGGTCGCAAGTCTGAGATTAATGCATCGATACTCGAAGCTTCCAAGGTTCCTTCGGGCAATTGGCGGGGCAGCCCACGGCCTGGTTAGTGCCAAGCTGCTACCACCAGCTTTGTAGTATCCATCGGTGCAATACATGAACAGCGGGATGAGCAAGTTCCAATGTTTGAGTTTTTGTGAGGTATTATTCAAGCCATCAAACGCTATCATATACACGTCTACTCTTACACCCCACTACTATATAACACATGCTAGAAGGTGAGATGGGTATCTACAGGTCTTTAATCGTCGCTCAATCCTTCCCAAGCGCCCTTGGGCTTCTCTTTCGGCCACAGTGAGCTGAACCATGATCCTTCTTTGGACACAGACACGCTCTTTGCGCGCTCTTCAACTTCAACGTCTAATGCAAACCTCCGCATGCGCTCAGCAATCCTCGGGTCCAGTACCATCTCATCTAGCCATACCCTCTCCTTGGTATCGCCTTCTTCGCGCTTTCGTGCAGTCTTGGACCAGTCTGGCTCTTCATGCGCGAGTAGTCTTTGCTGCTCCCACTGTGCGTTGCTGTGCCTATCTTCCTCGTTTGTGACAGGCGCTTCACCTGCAGTCTCGAAAGGTCGGTATGCACCCAGAACCGCTGCTGCAGTTTCCCTGCCAATGTCGTCCGCCGCTTGTCGCTTGTTCAAGAAACGATACATGCGAATGGGAAAGTTGAAGAATCCGAGGAGGTGGGGAAGAGGTACTACGGCGGCTGGACCGAGTGCTTGTGGGCAATTCTGGGAGAGTACAGTGTTTTGGTATTCGGCTGTCGAGATGTATGGCGGTGGTTGCTTCTTCTTTTTAGGCTTGTTCTCCTCTTTGGGTTTCTCAGCATCTTCTGGTTTGGGAGCTTCGGATGTAGCGGTGGGAGACGCATCGTCGGTCGTTGCAGGTGTCGCGCCGTCAGAGGACGATTCGTTCGACGCAGGTGTGGGTTCAATCGCAGCAACTGGTACCTCGACAGACGGTTCTGATGTTGGTGGGGCGTCCAGAGGTCCTAGCCAACCCTCATGTAGTCCTCGAACATATTCTTTCCATGTATGTCTTCCAATGACGATGTCTCCTCCTGGTCCGTTCCACCCGTTGACACCTGCTCTTTGCCTTAGACCTTCCAACTCTTCTTCGAGCCCTGGTTCCAGTGGCTCAGCGGTCGACTCGCCCCTCTTCTTCCTCAACTTCCGTATCCGCTCTGCTAATCCAGCTCTCACATCTCCTTCCCTTCGGCCTTCAACCGCATCCCAGTCCAGCGCCGCTGCAACAAGAATGGGCTTGATGTACTCGTGAAAGTGATCGCGTGCGGGCACTATTCCGTCCGCCGGCGGTGCAGACAAGAATATCGTAAGCTTCCGAGGCAGCTGGTGAACGTCCAACGGCTCGTGTGCGATGTGCTCTACGACTGTTGCCCATTTCTTTTGTATGCGCTTTTTCTGGCGACGATCGTACATGACCGCTGCAGTCCACGATCCGGTAATCGAGAGGAATATCATCCAATTGCGCGAAGGGAGCTTGAAGCGAAAGTTTGGCAGTCCTATGATTGTTAGTTGTACTCCGCACGAGATAGAAGAAACTCGCACCCATCATCCTCCACACAGGATTCGGAGGCTTTTGGGGTTTGCTGGGTCCGGCAGAAGCCTCGCCAGCAGGTGGTGCTTTTGCATCCGGTTCGGCCATGCTGATGTCGACGGCGATGGTGGTTGCAATGTTGGTTGCGCGCCCAAAAATTTCCTGACTGTCGGCGAGCGCGGGATTGAATCGGAGCGGGCTAGTCACCACTCCCAACGACTTGACTTAGCGAACGATGGTCCCCACTGCAGCCCCTCCTCACCCCTCATTGCAATTCTCGAAGCATAGAACGGTCTGTCCGGAGCAGGCAGCACTTGCCAGCAAAGATCACTCGAGGTATTAGTTGATATAAACTCAAATCGTTCCATCAAATCATCATACGGTGGTATGGTCTAGTGGTATGACGTCGCGTTGTGGCTGGCGGACACATTGTGTCCTGATCCAGATCCGCGCCAGCCTGGGTTCGAGTACGTTTGATCCCTCACAATTGGTGGTCCTGAGACATCCTCTAACATGTCTACAGTTCCCAGTACCGCCAAAATTGCGACACATTTTTTTTGCTCTTTCAATCGACTCCAGGTCTTTTGAAGAGGAGCAAGGAATATTCTTTTTGTTCTCTTCCAGTAATCGTTATGAGAGTTGTGTTGCTGGAAATCTGTTGTTTTTAGTTGCATCTACTATCTAGGTTGTGTACTTGTAGTACAGCAATGTGAGTCACCTTCTGGCGTGGCGACCGAAAGCTCGCTCCCCAACAACCATCCTTCTCTCCACATCACGCATACAACTAGTTCTCTTGTCCATTCCATGGACCTTGGGATACATTAGACCCTCCAAGACATTCAGATATGTCACAGCAAACCGAGCAAGCACGAGCGTTCGCCGAACATGACCTACGACAGTAAGCATTTCGACTACCCACATTTTCTCCAAAGTTAATCCCAGATATAGGGCCGTCCTGCGTCGTGTACCACAGCTTATGAGCATTAAATCCGGGTGGGAGAAGCCTGAGATTCCGAGTCTCCATCATCACGACTTGGCAGACCATCTACTTGCCGCAGTCCAAAGCTACACACACGATGCAAACATGGCGATCATCGCCCGTGTTTTACAACTACCCCAGGAACTGCGAGATAATATCTACATGTATCTATGGGGAACTGACGAGGAGCACGATCCGAGCCGCAGTCTGCTCTACTGGTGGGACTCCTTCGACGAGCCTTGGTTCTCCAAGGACGATGATCTCTGCAAATCGCGATGGCTAAAGACGGTGTCGATGAATCTTCGACCTCCGCACTTCATCGACAAATCTTTCGTAGGACCAGTCTTCGCTAAAGAGGCTCTCAAGCGATTCAAGGACACTGTCGGGAAAGATCTACGGCCAATCGGCGAGAAGAACCCTGTAGCTGAATACGGAGTACATGACACGTCTATGGAGGAATTTGTAAGCAAGGACGCATTTGGGGTCGGAGTAACGGTGGAAGAGTTGGCACGGAACCTGGATCTGCGGGTGAACTTCCAGTGTGATACACTGACCGACGATGAATTTGCTGAGATCCAGAAGAGCAAGGTACATGACCAAGGGTCACTCGTGACGGGTACAACAGTATACACACGGGACGACTACCTCTGCGATCTCAATGACGGTGTCACAGCTCTACTGAGCATTCCGCACAATAACCGTGTCATCACTCACAATGAGCATGGCCGACATATCCAAACGCGAGCAAGGGTTGTCACCCTTGCTATAAGACAAGAAGACGATTTTATAGTCAGAGATCTTTCTCCCATACTAAAACTCGTCGCCCGTACCTACCATGGCCTGAGAGCAAAGGGCTTCACAGTCAAAGTTCAATACTACAGTGAGGACATTGAACTTAATGTGTTATTCGAAGACGACGTCTGGGAGTGGACAAACGATGATTGGAAAAAGAACCGGTTCGCGAAGAACAAATTTGGGATAGGTCATAGCACCTCAGCTGAGAGGTACGTTTGGGAACAACTTCGAGAACATTTGTTCCAAAAGCCAGATGAGGATGTCTTACCCTGAGTACTGGATGATCGTACATGGGTAATTCCAGTGCGTTTGAATACGCACCGGGAGCATTCGTAGAAACTTTGGAGGCGACACACCAGTCCCAAGCATAAGATAGGTTTAGAAGAGAAACATTCTGCAGGTCTCAGATACGGCTGCCATCTCGAATGAAACGGGCGACTAGCCAGATCTGGACCCTGCCACGTTGAGTCTAGCACACACCAGGCATTCTTAAATTCGGTTCATCCACTACTCTCTTTAGTCTGCGAATCTGAATCATTTCCCGGCTCTTGACTAATGCCGAACCTATCCCCACTACCGCTACTGCTACCGATACCGCCATCAGCCTCACTGCTCACATTACCCCTACTATCTCCGACTGTCGAAGCAAACTGCATAAGCATATTACCATGCCTAACAGAATCGACAATCTCTTTTGGGCCCATACCAGCCCTGATTCTTGCTAGCAGCTCACTCGCGTCCTCATTCGGCAGCGACTTGAGCAACTCGAACAACTCCTCCAAATCCTGATGTCTACGTTTCGTCTGAGTATTCTCCGTCTCCGAGTACTGGCAGAGGCTGTCCCGAGACACGCATTCACTGCATCTGGGCCGTTCGCCATTACACTATATAACCCAAAAATGATCAGAAGGGCTACTCTTGCCGATGTTTGAAACTAAAGTTTCACATGGTATATACTAGGTCTGGTACCTTGCTTTTACGACTTCTACACGCTGCACAAGCGAGAGATACGCGAGCTCGCTTCGATTGCGTGGGCGAAGCATTGGTCTTGGGTGAGATTGCAGGGAGGAGAGGGCGTAGAGGGCGTGCTGCAGCACTGTCGCCGAGGCTAGCTGGATTCGACTGTTGTGGTTGCATTCCGTACGAAACCGTTACTGGGCAAGGGCCGCTTGTTCTTCTGGGCCTGGACGGAACTCGCATGCAAAATACCAATCCAGACACTTGGTTTAAATGGAGGCTTGAAACGAATCTCTACAAGGGCATAGAGAGGGGGGGTTTAGGCATACAAACTACTGGGAATAAGGTCGAGGAACCAAGGAAGAAAGAGTTTGGCCGAACAGGAAGTGCGTAGAACTTGCACACAATCACGGGAAATAAACAAGAAAAAACTGGATTGACTTTACTTGCACAACTAAAAAGCCGACTGGGTTTATCTAGAAACTTTACCCTTTCTAAACATAAAGATTACCCACAGCATCGCCCCTTGGGTCATAAGTCCCACCTCGTTTCGAATTTCCTAATATTGCCACATGTTGTGATCTTCACGGATATGTAAGATGTCGCTAGTGGGGTCCTCCAATGACGTTGCACGTACTATGCTTTCGCAACCGGGTTCTGGACCCTGCATGGGCATGACTGCTGATGAACTAGACCTTAAGAGTGCAGTAAGGGGGTCTGCTCTTGGTTGTCAGATGCGATTGTTGCCATTAGACTATTTTAGGACGGATTCGCATATGGGAAATGCGGTCCAAGTAAACGGTACTCGGTGAATATTCCGTCGCTATCGTATTGCCTTCTGATTATGGGTAGTGTGCCACAGTGTGGGTTTGGCAGTGTTCTGTTCTAAGCATCTTGTTTTTTTTATCGCCAATTGTATGTGGTACTCACTAGTTATTGCAGTGGAGAGCGTGTCGGCGCGGGGGCTAGCTTACAAGCGCCGGTTATACGCCTTTGCTCCAGCCTTGCGCAGCCTAGTCGTTGCATGAATTTCAATCGACGTGGATTGTTGCGTTAGCAGTGCTTGTCTAGCATCATGGTAGTCTCTCTGTGACTACCATCTTACAACGACATATATAGTATAGAAACCGTTGATGTGCGATGCCTAACCTACAGTCTTGCGAAGAGTCCCTAATTGTTGTCCTACAACCAGTGACACAAAGAAGGGTGACGATGTATGCACAACAGATTGAAAAATGTGTCATCTTCACAACAAGAAGAAACTCTCCCAGGAACACAACCACCTGCCCGGGACGGACTTCCAGCCCCAACCAATACCACACTAATGCCCAGGCCATCTCAAACAGGTAATCCAACTGCGTCAAAGCAAAAAGGAACAGCGTTCCACCTATATCTTTCCACGGCGCAAAGCTCCGCGGAGCAACCTAAAATCTCGATTCACTTCCAAGAACTCATGCCACACGAGGTTGTAGACACCACTACGCGAGCTGTCCAAGTCGCGTCGTTACGTGGTGTGCATCCAATGAGAAGCCGAGATTGTGTCGAAATGGGACCCTAGAGGAGGGCGGCACTGGGTGCCGCACATGCTCACAGACCATGGTGGAGTTTTGTTCATAACTGTGGGGGCCTTGTGGCGTGTGTGGAGAGAAAGTTGAGCTGCGAATGCCTTTTTTTTTGCTTTGGAATATATCGGGAGATAACGATACTGTGATCCGTACTGGAAATTACTAGGTCTGCTGTGTTGTCGTGGTAGCCTTCAGTGTGGTACGAGCCCTGTGTCACGGCGCTGGCTGGTGAGGAACACTAAGAGTAGCGCCTACTCTGATTAGCTGCACAGAATCTGGGTGCTAACTAGCGCACCCGGATTCTGCAACACTAAAATTCCTGCGCGCACGCGTCCCGTCGTAAGCTCCTTGAGCTACGTCCTTGTCCTAGCCTAACCTAGTGCTGTCAGTTATACGTAGTGAATACACCAATCACGTGCACCTATCTTCCCTGCCTGCCGCCCCCGTGACACACTGAATTAGTTAAGCAGCTCAATGTGAGCGGACGAGTTAGTCCGCAATACGAATTAACTCAAATTGTCTATATTCCCAATCTCTATTACGCCTTGAACGTATGGCACAAGGGCATAAAAGAATCCGTGTTGTATTTGTAAGGGGCTACGCTCGAGGAGCTATCGCACAGGTATACTGGAGTTGTATTCGATGGAGAGCTAAGCTCTAGGCTACGTAGCTATCTATATATACCTAGGTGTAGAGCTGGAAGAACTATTGGCCGATAACGTCCGAGCGCCTATCGGGCCGAAGAAGGAGAAAACCGAGGTCGTAGACGAGGATAAGAGAGCAAAGGGCTCTAGCCCGTCACAGATAGCCTTGCCTACCTTGCCTACCTTGCCTAGCACTAGACGTGTGCTCTAAGAGAGGGATTCTGACTGTAGGAGCTGCTGCTGAGCTTGATATACATCCTGAGCTCTCTTCGGGGTTGAGAAGAGTAGATCTGTAGAAGATTAATGCTGTGTAGGTAGTGGAGGAGTGATTGGGCGTGCAGAAACCTAAGAGGAGTGAATGACTACACTAGGGTTGTATGGGCATATGCCTGTAGCTCTCCAACCAGCTCGAATCACACGCTCAGAGAGGCCTATCTCTCGCGCATGATAGTATAATAATATAAAGCGCTCCTTCTTGACAGGAGCTGCATCATCAAGAGCAGACAGAGCTCTAATCTCAGCTCTATATCCTAACTTAAGTACGCTAAAAGGAGCTAGGTCCAGAGGCTGCAGGACATAAGAGGCGTGAGGAGGGAGATATATAGTCCATATTCTGTGCTGACGGCAGAGTAGCATGAACTCAATATCGACGTAAGACCCGTAGCCATTAAGTATAAGTATCCTCCATCGATTTCCATCAGGCTGAGTCTCTAGGATGAATATACTCCTTAGCCACTCAGATCCTATCTTATGCGAGGTCCATCCATTCTTAGAGGTAGTATATAACCAGTCTGGCACTAATCTAGATAGAAACCACGTTGTTTGTAGGCTCTGTCCCTTGAAGATCACTATACACCTAAGTTTCCGCCCAGCCGCTAAGACTGTCTCAAGGATTAATACCCACTCACGATCGCCTGGAGTTTTCACGTAAGCCTTACGCTTGCCAGCTCGTGCGATCACCCGAGAGTTTGTACATACTCCTAGTGCGATGCCAGTCTTATCCATATTCTATATATCCTCTACCCATATATTAAGCTCAATCCGAGTCCTGTGGAAGAGCTTAAGGAACGCTAGGATCTGATCAGGAGTCGCAGCCTCGGCCCTCGAGGCCTCGATCGATCGTCCGACAATGCTTGCAACTTGAGGTTGACGGGTGAGGAAGGAGGATATCCATCGCTGGCCGAGAGGCTCGTGGTCGCCGCCGAGCTTCAATATCCGAGTCGCCATCTTACGTACACGCGCATGAGATAGAGGTAGAGATCGCGCATCCTCCTCAAGTATCTAATCAACTATAAAACTCTCTTGTTCTGGGGTCAATCGCTGCTGTTGCTGGTGAGCTATCGCGTGTGGAACGCTGCCCTGCAGCCTGCGCTGAATTGAGGTTCGAGGAACTGCCCAGGCCTTAGCAGCTGCCCTCTGGCTTGTAAAAACACCTGATTCGAGATCGCGAATGGCGCCTTGTAGAGCCTCCTCATGAGGTTCCATATTAAGTACGGCGTTGTTGAGTTATCGCGTGTTGAGCGGAGGGCGCGCCTTCGCGCACGGTGGCCGCAAACTAGGGGTGGCCGCAAACTAGGGCGCCCAGCTTACACAAATGTTACACGGGGTTAGGCTATACTTCTCTAAGCTCGGTCCGTACTAAGGCGAGGTAGACTAAAGCGGAAAGCCGTGCGGTTTGTCTGGCTATTCGTGTGGAAAAGAGTTATCGAAGTTAACCAAAAGGTAAAGACAATCCAATTCTATAAGTGTCACGGGGGCGGCAGGCAGGGAAGATAGATGCACGTGATCGGTGTATTCACTACGTATAGCTGACAGTACTAGGTCAGGCTAGGACAAGGACGTAGCTCAAGGAGCTTACGACGGGACGCGTGCGTGCAGGAATTTCAGTGCCGCAGAATCCGGGTGCGCTAGTTAGCACCCGGATTCTGTGCGGCCAATCAGCGTAGGCGCCACTCTTGGCGTTCCTCACCAGCCAACGCCGTGACAATAAGCGATAGAATAACTAGTTGACAATCTGTGTGAGAGATGAACTATTTGAGTTGACCACAACGAAGTGTAATAATGAAACCTTTCCATCCTTATATCCTCGTTGTCATGTACGTTGCCATCCCTTCCTGCCCTGCCATCCCGGATGGCTAGCCTTGGCGGGATGGCGCATCACGTGACCGCAAGCCCCGCGATGATCATTACCTTCTGACGTGGACGTGGTTGACCTCCAACCCACCTTCCATGTCAAGGAGAGAATCCTTCGTGTTACTTGTAACAACAAAGCTGCTACGCGACGTAAATTACACAAAAGAAAGCGGATTTAGAGAGAGGGTACTCTTGTTGTTACTAAGGGAGTTTAACGCGCGTACTAATAGGGAGAAGGCAAAGAAGAGAGCGCGCGTTAAAGTAGGCGGACCGTCGCAAAGACGCTGTAGACGCTGCGGCGAGGCAGGACACAACTCACGCACGTGTAATCAAGATGTAGTAGATGTTTCTAAATAGATTGGCCTATTTCGATTCTTAATTACTGTTCTTAATGGTGCTGTACAGTCGTATGTAGTCGTGGTTTTGGTGAGGTCTTGGCAAAAGCGGGCAGCTCGCTTGGGTGGGCAGCTCGCTTGTGACCTACGTCATCATATGTTTCATTAACATGTCAGTACAATGCACTGGAAATACATTTGGGGGAAGTGTTCAATGGCACACAAACTCTTTCACCCTCTCACGCGGTTCAAGGGAACAACCAAACACCTTCTCAGTGAGCTCAACTTCACAATCTTACAATGCTACAATAGCAATCCTTCAGAGAACGTTAATCCTGCAGAAAGAACTCTTCTCTATGTAAAACATAGGCTGGGGCTTCTCGAAAACTTTGAGAGCTTTCAATTGGGCTATGCAGCGCGTATAGAAGATATCTTGTCTCTAAACCTGTTTATTTATTCTCTTGAACCGAGTGCTCTGATGAAGATACTTTTGCTGCTCGCATTACTGCACATTGTCTAAATTTCAGTCGCTACATAGCCATCACACATTCTCCGAGAAACAAGCAATATTCAATAGAGATCGTGGGTCGACGACCTGAAGATCTGGCATTACTATATTATAGGGACTTCATCGCAAGATTAGACATATCTTCGTACACCGTTACCCCCCACTGCGCTTGATTTGAACCGCCCACTGCTTCAATACTCAAAGTCATCATCGGCACTCGGTCCCTTATTCTTGCTGACGCTCTCCTGTCTCTGATACATTTCAGCAATCATGCGACTCGAGCTGGCCTGGTCTGGCTTCTTGTCATCTCTCTCTTTGATAAATCTAGGGAACCTCAGACTGACACCTTTACCACCGCCAGAGACTTCATCTGCAGCAGCCCTGTACCGCGGTGACAGAGTCAAATCGGCCGTCTTGACTTCCCAGACGTAGCGCGGCTCAAACCAGACGTCGGGCTGGTCCTTGTTGCCGGTGGAGTGTGTATAGAAAGGTTTGGGGCGATCGATAACGATTTCGGATAGTGTCTTGTGCAGGGTTTCTAGAATGGCTTCGGAGAAACCGGTACCGATGTTGCACACTGTCTCGTACTTCTCGGTTGAAGGATTGTAGCAGGCGAGAAGGAAGGCGCCATACCAACTTGTACGCTTGCCTTTGCCGTAGTATGCTCCTAGGACGACGAGATCTAGAGAGTCGCCAACACCAGCAAGATAATCTTTCTTGACCTTCAGCCAGTTCTGCGAGCGCTTCGATGGCTCGTAGAAGGACTCCGGGCCGTCCAGCATCTTTACCATGAGGCCTTCGCAGCCTTCTTTTACGGAGTCTTCGAGGAGGATTTGTATCTCCTCTAACTCATTCGTGTTGCCGTACTTGGCGAATGCGAACTCCCCTTCAACAGGTGCAAAAGCTTCGTTGAGACGCCCGCGGCGCTCACGGAAGGACTTGGTCACGAGGGCCTTTGATTGTTAGCAATGATACGATAAAAATTAGAGACTGAAAAACTTACCTCACCGTTGAGGTAGAGGATATCGAAAGCAAAGACGCAAACCTTGACCTTCACATCCTCAACCTTGACATCCTTCCTCTTGCGCGTCATGAGCTGTTGGAACGGCAACACCTTCTTCTCCACCATGTCCCAGGCAACCGTCTCGCAATCAAGAACGAAGCTCTTCGTACCTTCCTTGACCCAGGTCGGTAGCTTGGCGAGAATATCAGGATACTTCTTCGATAGGTCCTCAGAGTTTCGAGAAAAGATGTTTGAAACACCCCGGTCACTCTTGCCGGCCGTAGGAGCTGCAGTTGCCAGCTCTATCTCTGCATCATGCGCAACAAAGTGTATCTGCGCCCGCTCACCATCGTACTTGTATTCGCAGGTGAAGTCCTTGCCTTCGAAACGATCGAGTACCTCTGTGATCGACTTTGTCGGTTTTGCAAGCATAGGCTTCAGTGGTACACCAGGCTGGAGACGGCAGTTCTCTCGTAGGTTCATGATACCGTGTTCGAGCATGGCCGGGATGATGACTTCGTAGCTGGGAAGCTCACTGTAGACTGTCTTCAGCATGGCTTCGGCCTTTGCCAAGTCTGCTGTCGATGGTATTTTGCCCTCTTGTGACATCTCATGGAAGATCATGGCTTGCGCTACGGCGACCACGACAGTCTTCTCAGCAAGACCTAATCGAAGCTTTCCTTCTAGCGTTCGGACTATAAACTTGGCTTCACTAGGTCCGCCCTTGTCCTTTTCGATATCAATATGCTTCCCAGAGTTGTGCGCATCAGCTGCTGACAAGAGCTTCTTGATGCCGTCGACCTTGCGCCCTTGGGCTCCTTGTCCTTCAACAGTAGCAATGCCCATTAGTCCCTTGCGTACGCCTTCAATAGTCAAAGCTTTGGGCTTGAACATGGTGGGTTGTTTCGATCGACTCTTCGCCGCAACGAGTCCTAGATCGCCGATCTCGTTCTGGTCACTCTTGATCTGTTGTAAATTCCGTCCGGTACTCTCAGAAATAGCCTTCATGATGAGAGACTCGCCGATACCCAGCTCGATGCCCGCGTAGTCGGCTGCGAGCTTATTGACCATGAGCATGACAGTCGGTAGCATATCAGATGGCGTTAATCGTAACACTTGACGGAGGAAGAGCGAGCAATGGGCCAGAATCTCGAGACGCTTTGTCGTCATCTCGATTTTCGAAAACGTTGTGCAAAGTGCGGCGTATGGCACTGGCTCACCGGGTTTCCAGTCAGGATATGGGTCTTTGGTGTTGGACGAAAGAGTAGTCTGGACCTTCTTCCTCGCCTTTGTCTTGACTTCCTCTGGCTCTTCCTCTGAGCTTGCCACGTCGTCCTCTTCTTCTTTGTTCAATTCGGCATCATCATCTGCAGGTACGGGTGATGATCTCGCCTCTGTCTTCTTGCCCTCACCGACCTTGGCTGGTGCTGACACTTCCTCGTCGTCGTCTTCTGGTACTACAGCTTTCGGTTTGGCGGCCGCCTTCTTTGATTTTGCGGGTGCTCTGTCGGATTTTGGCTTCGTAGCTGCTTTCTCTGGGCTCTTCTTCTCTTCCGCAGGTTTCCTTCGTTGTCGTTTCGTTGGAGGTTCCTCTTCGGACTCCTCCTCTGCTTCCTCTTTGATTTGCCTCTTCTTTCCCGACTCAGATGTGGTACTGTCGACTTCCATCGCATCCTCATCTGCCTCTGCCTCTTCCTTGACAGGTGCCCGCACTTCTGCATCCGAATCGACGTCGTCATTTTGCTCCTTCTTCGCTTCCTCTGGCGAAGACTGCGGCTCTTCCTTTGCCTCTACATCCTTCTTCGCAGGCTTCGGTCTTGTGGAAAAGGAGAGTTTCGATTGTTGTTTCGCTGCATCGCCGTTGGGTTTTCCGAAGAACTTTCTATAGCCACACCGTCAGCATTGCACAGTACGCTAACAAGTACAGTCTGCTGCTGTCGCCGCACCCTAATGTAGTTTGAGAAGACTTGACATACCCAAGAGTAACCTGCTTAGAAGCCATGGCTACGAAAATGCGGACGTCGTGTGCACCACTACGCTGCTGCTGCTGGAGGAGGCAATTGCGACGTAGAAAGATGGACGACGATTGCAATGGTCGAATTGACGGCAACAAGGTTGAATTTAAACGCGGAGTGAAAGTACAACAGGCAGCATTGAAGCGGAAGGGCATGCTCTGAGGATGAATCGAGACAGTGGTCTAGGCGGCAGGCAGGCCTCAAAGCGCGACGCGCCTGCCGCAACGCGAAAGTTGAGCGGACCCCCGACCCCTGCTGACATCATTAAGCCGACATGGATTAGGCGACATCTCGAGCATCATGACTTCGACATTTGCAACTCTGCAACTCTGCAACCTTACAAATCGCCAGTGTACCAGTACAAACTGTCTTCGAGCTGGCTTACTACTTTTGGAAACACTCGGAGCCGTCTCCATCCACAACTCCCTCTCAACCATCTGCATCGCCGGTCAAGATGTCGAAACCGTCTGCGCAACCTCGCCTCACGCCACAGTTCTGCTTCAACCAAACTGCACTGCGAGGTCAGCACCCCGATAAACTTGGTAGCCAGCTCACTAACTAATACGGAAGTCGGTTGAAACAGACTTCCTTCGTATATCACGCGGCGCAATCGATGATTCTATAACCCAGAACCTTAACGCCCTCCTTACACCAGCACAACGAGGCTTCGATCCTGCATCCACGAGCGCGAGACAGTTGCCATCGCCTGATCACGGTCGGTCTCTAGAGCCAGAGCAATGTGAGAAGTTTAAAGAGAAAGTGCTGTTCCCAAGCTGGGCGGTACGATCAGACGTGTTAGACTATTGCGCGGGCGTCGCAACATCACCAGATCCCGATGATCCAGATAGTATACTGCGGCAGATTGAAGACTCCAAGGCGCGGGAAAGGACTGTGGATGAGCGGTTAGATCCGTACTCGGGACGCTACTTCCCACGGGAGGCGAGAACAGAGAGCTTGGCTATGCTGATGCGCAATGAGAGGGCGGTCGAGAAGATCATACGGATGAGGACTTGGAGTTTACTGGGCGAACGGTGTGGCATGACGAGAGAGTCTGCTGAGGTGGCGTTTGACAAGTGGAGAGAGACACAACAGCATTGAAGTATGCGTGTTTAGACGGTGCATAGATAGATACACAAGATGGTAGTAGATCATATAATCTCCTCTCATTGCTTGTGTAGACGCATATAGCACCTAGGCTTGAGTAAAGGATATGGAGTGCTGCCAAATGCTGCCTAAGAAATTTCATCTTCAAAGCTGAAGCAACGTCGAAGGCTGTAAATGGCAGCCTCGACACAAGTACACAGTGGCAACAAATGCAGCATCTTCAGACGCAATCAACCAGTCCATCGCAAATGAGCGATGCACATCGATAGATGCCGTGTTGCGTACATGTTCCCCACAAAAACTCCAAAAAAAGTCTCTGCGCAACACCTCCCAACTTCAGTTGAGGGAAAGCAAGAAACAATAATATAGTTTAAAAAGCATTTGCATCCGACTGATGCTCAACAATTCACAAACACAAAAGAATGTCCCACACCACCCCACAACTCCAATCCATCTTTTCACGGATAATTGCAATTGGTAGGAAAGGCAGGCGGTATCGATCTACGGGGCCGGGAACGGAGAACTATCCACAGAAGAAAGAGGGATAACTCTCAGCAAGCCGCTTTCGCGGAGCCACGATTTATTAGGTATGTAGATTACCAACTGATGATGAAGAAAAGGAAGGAGGGACGGAGAGCAGCGCGGTTTTGTACACAGCGCCAAGCCGCTAGACGAAGGGTTAGTCAGCAAGACGCACAGTCTTGAGGGTGCGGGTTGGGAAAAGTTCGGTAGTGGGGCAGCGCGCGGGAGAGGTTGGTGACAACAGATAATGGCCGTGCGAAACAGAAAATTCATGACATGAGCGCGGATATCGAGCTTCAATGGGATAGCTCTTGTTCAAGGCGAAGGCTAGGATTCGATGACATTGCACAAATGCAATGCACGGTTCATATTCACGGCGTGGGTCAGGTTCAAGGCAAACGTCAAGGCTTCATGACATGGTTCAGATTCTCATCAAGCATGGAAAGTCACGCATGCACGGTACTAAAGACACTCAGAGGGTTCATGCATGCATTTAAGCTAGCTAGACCCATCGTTCATTTCCATCGAGATTCCGTAAGATCGTAATCCATGGCAAGTCGTCTTTCGACAACTCGCCACGACATAACCCAGCAGACGTAACGACCAACTCTCTAGTAGAGGCGCTTGGGGGGGCTCATAGTGGCCTTGATGGTCAAGGAGCCCACGTTCTGCCATCCCTTCTTAAGAAGAGAGACGAGGTAGTTGATGGCCAACATGATGTTACCGATCAACTCGTCCTCAGTCATGCCAACGTTGCCAATAGCGACACCCATGCACAGAACCTTCTTCAACTGGAACTTGATGGTGGACTTGACTTCGTTCATCTTGTTGGCGAGGTCCTCAGCGTGGGAGACGGGTGTGGGGAACTTTCCGGCCTTGGAGAGACCGGGTCCGAGGAGACGGGGAATCTGCTTGATGAGGGCGTCGGAGGCGATGAAGGCGTCGTACTTCTTGGCGAGCTTCTTGATGAGCTTCTTGTTCTTGTTGAGCTTCTTCAAGTCGTCGGTGCTCATGGCGTCGACGCCATGGTGCTTGGCACGGTCAATGTCGTGCTGGTCACCAAGAACGCAAAGGGCCATGCCTAAGATCCGTTAAATTGCGCTCTTCCGCTTGTATACCAGTATCAACTTACGAGGACGGGGAAGGGTGGGGAGCTTGATGGTTCCCGAGAAACGCTTGTCACGCTGAGGGTCGTAGTTCTTGAGGCCGATCTGGAGTTCGACGGTCTCGAGGAAGTTCCTCTTCTTGGTCTCGTTGGAGTACTCAAGGAGCTGTTGAACGTTCGTGCGAACGCCGGCGACAGAGATTTTCGACATGTTGGCTGATGTGTCTCCCAGAGGATATCGTTTCCTTTGGTGGCTCTGTACGGTGGTGGTTGAAGAAAAGAAGTGAGTGGCGGCGGCGGATTTGTCGCATTGTGGCCGCAAAGCCGCTAGCGAGAATCGCGCTAGGCCGTTTCAGCGTATTAGGTCGCATGTCACATATGACTGTTGCGACGCAGAACACCAATCACAAAAGCGTAGAGGTATATTAGTCTCACGAAGTCATCTGCACTAGTTTCATCACCAGAGTACATCGTTATGTGTAGCACTCGAACGAATCGTCCTGAAAGCATGCTCTTACATTGCTCATATGCGTGAAGAAAATGAGATATAATACAGTACACTTGCTTTTCCTCCCAGATTCCGTGCATTGATGAGTGCACTACGCCATGCAATGCCCGAAAACTCCTCGCCATGACCATGAGAGAAAGAAGAAAGTAATAATGCAAGTGAAGGAAGTAGCACCTGCCAGATACAGTGTTGCTACGGGTATCCCATGTGAGAAACCCTAACGCCATAACCGCACCATTTTCGTAAGCCAGATCCGATCGAACTGAGGGGTATGTCGTCCACGCGTGCTGCCGCGCCAAATGAAGCAAAGCCGAAGCCAGAAATATACAAAAGGCGAAGGGGAGGTACTCAAGACCGCTGAAGTTACCCGAGCCAGATTATCGATATTAAGCATAAGGAAGCCGCGCAGCCAGTCTCCCTAATGCATGAGCTGCTGGTTATTCGCGGCATCGACAACGTTGTCGGAGAGGTTGATCAAGAGTTGAGCAAGACAGCGCTTGGTGGCCGCGTCGTCTCGCAGAACCGACGAGAAGGTGGCGTCACGGAGAGGCTCTGGTAAGCACTGGCGGAGCGCTTCACGAGCGCGGGCGTTATCACTCAAGCTGGTAAAGTTAGTCATACGTCCAAGAGACAAACCAAGAATGAACATACCGGAGAAAGCAGCGCACAACGTGCTTGAGCAGGCGAACGGTTTGCTGTTCCACAAGCTGGTTGACCATGTTGCTAAGTACGGTGCCTACAGCATAAAAGCGCTCGTAGGTCTGACATATGTAGGCAAGACCGATGTCATCTAGCAGGATCTTCTGGACGATGAATATGGCTACTGTCTTGCTGAGCTCTGAACCAGTCTCCATGATACGCAGACAAAGCGGGATGATCTCAGTTGTCAGAAGGAAGTTGATGACTTCAGAAGAGTCGTTCTTGACAAGGGCACCTATGACACCCAGAGACGTAAGACGAAGGTACTCGAAAGGTCGCGACTTGGACGTTGTGTTGAGGAACGGGTAAAGGAAGAGCGGAATATGCGCTATGGATGCATTAGCTACGTCGCCTCAGTGTACGGTACATGACTTACCGCTTAAGAACAAGCCACGAGTTTCGGTATGAGAAGCGACACACTGAAGAAGTGCAAGAGCGTTGCAAACACGGTTTGAAGCAGCAGCGGTCAATTGCGAAGGGTTGAGCAGAGGGTAGACGGAGATGATCTCTTGGAGGAGGGAGGCCATAACACCTGACGTTGTTAGTACCCTGTTGCATCCTCGATCACACAGTTTTCATACCGAAAGAGTGCCAAAGGATCAGAGCCAACTCTGGGACCTGCTCTCGCTTCTTGCTCAATTCCAAGAGAGCTGCTTCACGCGTGGTAGGCTTCATAAGCTGGGCTATCCACTCCAAGACGCGCCGGTTCTCTTCTGTCATTCCGATTTCGGCTGCCTGAACGTCATTCGCGGGCCCGCGAGGAACGGCGTTGTTGCCGGGCAAAGAAGTGCCATTGTTGGCGGCGAGTTGCTGGTGATACTGTCGTTGGGCAGCCGCCTGGACAGCCTGGGCCTGTTGTTGGGCATGCAACTGGGCGGCTTGCGCTTGGTGTTGACCGTGCTGGCCTACATGATGCTGTGATTGCTGATGATGGGCTTGGGCTTGAGCGGGCCAGTCGCCGTACTGCTGCTGCTGCTGCTGCTGCTGATGCGCGAGGAAATGTTGCATTGGCCGCGAGTACCGACAGGTTCGTGTTGATTGTGTAGTGGAGGTAAGAGAACAAGGTTTGCGCGACTGTATATGACGAGCGGCGATTGATTGGAGAAGAGACTAGTGGCTTCAGGGTCAGACAGTGGGCAACCGGGCGTGGTGAGTTTGTCCTGGCGGCACTCGAGCGATGAAGTCGCGAACCCCCCACTGGGCTCCAGCGCCTTGGCGCACGCGGGAGCTCGAGCTTTCGACCGAGATCGACGCCGCCTCCGCATCAGGTGAACCTTAGGCAGGCGCCCGGTGCAGTGATAGAGGCGCATATTGCCAACCTCGCCATAGTGAAGTTGTGAAGGCAACCGCATGGTGCTGCTAGTGGTACCTGATTCACGTCAAGGGTCTAAAGAGGACACGACTTCGCGAATGCAGTCAGGAAACTAATCGAGATCGTATAGTATGAGATCTAAGACTCCCTCCCGTCTCGTCTGCTACCAACCGCTCGAACCACTACGGGAGAATGACAAATGAGATTCGTGGGTGTCCTTACCCGTAAATTGTGCTTCAGCAATACTTCCACACTAACGAAGAATTACAATTCACATAACAAAGCTCGTAGAAGCGAACATGCCCCATCCATGCCGAAAATAATCAAACGCTCCTAAACACCTCCCCTAGTCTGGACTATCAAAGCCTCAACTCTGACAGAATAGTTTGGGCCATATTCTTGTACTGCCATGTACCCCCATCTACTTTCTTAAACTGGATACCGTGCAGCGTTAATAGCGGAACCTTGACGATCAAGATCTCAAACACAAGACTCATGCTCGAGCCCATATCGCTCTGTACATGTGTCGAAGTCTCGCCCGCAGGCACTGCGCGTCGTGGTCGTCGCTCATCCCGTTCTTCGCTGCCATCAGACTCGTCGGTATTCGTATAGCTCTGGTCCGCAGGCGATGGTCGTGATCGGGATTTCGGTGTCTGTGGTGCTCGGTTGTGGTCCCGGAACTCATCACGATCTCTGTCGCCGCCGCCCATGAAACCCCCAAAGCTGATCTTCCTCTTGTGGCTTCCGCTTGGCGGAGAAGCTGGCGAATCCATAGGCTTGTTCATATCGATACTAGGTGCATGTCGACATCTGAAACCACCTTTGACCTCACTCCACTCAACACCAAGTTGATCAAGCACCCTGATCAGGTCATCCTGGATGACAGGTAGCGGTTTGGTGCTTGTCGTAGAGACGCTAAAAAGGCCTTTGAGGAATACAGGTTTGACAGCGTCTGGACTTCGACTAGCTTCTGCTTGCGCTTCTGCAAGCTCTGCATCTGTCTCCTCGGGTACGTTTGCCTCCTTGGCTTGCTCTCGCTTTGCTCTTCGTGCCTGGATACTTTCTCGTCGCGCATGACCAAGCGACTTGGCCCGCGACGCCTGCATAGGTCGCGGGCTCGATGTAAGGTCATCAGAAGCAGCATCGTTGGTCGGCCGAGCCTTGTGCGCGCTCAGCTCGGATCTATCTGACCCACTTGTGGTAGGAGGGTTCCCAGGGTCTTCCGAAGATCGTCCACGGCGACTGAGTCGTCTCCGGAGATCAGCCGAGTTAACGCTCGTGGAGCGACCAAGTGCCTTCAACTTCCGGGTAGCGCTGTTACCGCTTCCAGGAGGCGAAAGTAATTCGGGTTGATTGTTTGCGCTGTTCGTGCTGTCTGGTAGATGCGGAACAGAACCTTCGTCGCGGCCACGGGGCCTTCGAATACTGAAGCTCTTTCTTGGTACAGTGGCTGGCGCTGGAGCAGGCTCGGCAGGACTAGAAATTGCAACCGCCGGAGTAGGTGGAGGCATAGGCTCAACAGCCCGGTCTCTGTCATGGCTTCGGTACTTTCTCGTACTGAAGCGGCGCAACAGGCCAACTGCAGCACCCTCCTTCTTTGGCTGCTCAACCTGAGGCGGCAGCACTGGGGGTGGGTTGTTAAGATCCACCCTTTTCAGACCTTCGGTGAGATCATCTTCTCCATGAGTTCTTGCTCTTGGCCGTGACCTTCCACCTGTAGGCTTTTCGCCTGCCATCTCGTAGGCAGCTGAGTTGGTATACGCTGCTGGCGGCGGCGGAAGATCCGGCATCTTCAATGGTTTCTCATCTGGCTCCTGAGGCATGGCGGCAGGACCTGGGTTAGCTTCTTGTCGTTCACGATCTCTCTTCTCCTTGACCAGAAAGTAGACCGAGAGGAGAGGACTGTATGCGTTGACTGGGTCCAATCCCCGTTGGATATCTTCAGACGACGAAGCGGTCAACTGCTCTCGACTTCCGATTGAAGTACGTCTTTTGTAAAAGTCGAACATGCCCCTCTTCTTCTCCGCTTCTGGTGTTTGCGCAGTTGCCCTGCGAGCGGCTGTCCGAACGGCGCGTTGATATTCCTCCGACTGGATCACGTTGGTCAATTGCGTGGTGATGTACTCAGTGGTACCGAAATCGAACCCTTGCATCTTCTCGATAATCTCACTGTCCAAGGGTAGTTGCACGGGTTCCCGATGAGGTAAGTAGTTTTCCGGAGGACTGTTGAATCCCTTGGTGAGCCAAGGATGGCTCATGATTTCCGAGAGAGTCAGTCGCTGGGTCGGGTCGGTCTGCAGCATTCTGTGGATGAGATTGCGGCATTCTGGGCAAGGTCAGCTTGATACGGAATCCTATCTTCGTGTAACATACCCGCAGATAGCCACGGAGGATAATCAACATGGCCCTTCTTAATCTTCGCATGAAGCTGTGGCATACTCTGATCATCGAACGGCACTTTTCCGCAGACTAGGACGTACAATACAATGCCAAAACTCCAGACATCGACTTCGGGACCAGTGTATTGTTTGGCCTGAAGCAGTTCTGGAGCGGCAAAGTACAGACTTCCACAAAATGTCTTGAGCTGATTTCTGGGTGAGAATAGGTTACTCAGTCCAAAGTCAATAATTTTGATGTCGCCCATCTTGCTGATAAGAATGTTTTCAATCTTGAGGTCTCGGTGCACGATGCTGTTTCTGTGGCAGTAGTCAAGGGCACTGGCGATCTGTCGAGCGAACTTGCGCGCCTGCTTTTCCTTGAGGCGGCCATGAGAGATGATGTAGTCGAGCATCTGTCCGCCGTTCACGAACTCGAACATCATGTACCAGTGAAAGTTGGTTCGGACTACATCCTTCATGCCGCATATGTAGGGATGGTTGAGCAGACTGACAATAGCAGCCTCCCTAGCTGTGCGGACTTCTTTGGAGTGGTCGGCTCGTTCGCGGTCGGCGGCACTCTGGTGCTGGTCTTGGGACTGTCGGGGTACGATCTTGACGGCGGCCTATGGCTGGTCAGCATGCCTACTCAACTGTTATGGTATTCCAGTATGCGCGATTAAGTGTGTGCCCCTCCATCTGTAAGCAACGCAAGGTACACACCTGCTCCCCGGTCTCAGCATTCTTCGCCAGCTTGACCTTGCCCATGCTGCCTGCGCCAATTGTCTTTCCTAGCGCCCATGTTCCTGTGCTGGGTGCAGTGATGGTGGTTCTGCGCTTGTTGACGGCCTGGGGCTGGTTCGGCCTGGCTTCGGCAGCTACGCCATTGATGGGCATTGCGGAAGTCGTCGACGCGTCAGACGCATACCGCGAGTGGCTTCGTCTGCTGGATTCGGCGCGGGCTGGGTCTTCGCTGCGACGTGATGGCTGCTCTTGAGCGACGTTGCTCTGCTCGTAGTCTCTGCGGGCGATGTTGGGGGGAAGGCCGCTCTGCTGATGGCGGCTGGGCGCGTGTCCCGTGGGTCGGCTTTGGGTGCTCTGGGAGCGTTGGGGTCTGTCTATTGATCTGCGCGAAGAAGAAGAAGTGCGCACGACTGCGGGCGATGATGGGGCGGCGGCCGACATGGTGAATGCTCTCTACCACGGTACGCGCAGTGCAGGGAGCAGATGCAGGCCTCGATTAGCACAGACGCACTGGGCGTGGAGCGAGCGCAGAGGCGACCACGACAAGGACTATCGTGACAATGTGAAGAGATTACTTTGTCGCTTCTCGGTGGGTATTGCGGCGTAAGTGTACAACAGGTTAGGGGCCGGTGGATGGCTGTGGTCGCGAAACTTGGCACAGACGGTGAGTTGGGTATGCGTCTGCTTGGACGTATGCAGGTCCCAGGGCAGCAGCCAGCAATGGGTTACAGCAGATGCAGGATCGAAGTCGAGGGAAGCATGTATCACGGCCAGCTCGAGAGTGTGTGTTGTTTTGTTAATGTCTATTTCCGGTCGGAGGTCAAACACGATAGCTCCCTCTCTCTCCACGCCTAGGCTCGTCTACCAATGCCGCCAGGCCGCCGTCGCTTTGGGCCGATACGGTGGGGTAGGTACTTGTTCGGGGCAATGCACCCACCCTCTCCTGCAAGGTATTCACACGTCTGTAACTTATACATGCAAAGACTTCAGGAGGTGTTGCTGTTTCTTGGATGGCCTCGAGAAGATTGCGTTGCAGCGCGATATCAGGGTCCCTGGACTTAGCCGCGATACCAGCCATGCTTCTATGCTCATTCGGCCGCTCGACCATCCAGGCGCGGCACTACATCATCGGGCCCACTCTAGCTAACTCCTTAGTTCAACGGCAGTCAAGTCATCTTGAGCTGAGCAATGTGCGGTGAAAGCCATCTATAGGCCCTGAATCCGATAGAGCTGAGTGTCATTCCAGTTTGATGCGCATGTAATTGACAGCTCATACATATCTCGTGGCTGCATTCAGTTGGGTACACGGATCCAGCCAATGATATTGCGGCTGATTAGTCACCCACAAGCCGCTTACTCGTGATCGCGCCTTTCTACTTTCCTTCACTCGACTAAACGGCGAACCAAGTCCACGGGATGCAATAGTCAAATCCCATACCAAAGAGACTGACTCGAGGACATCTGTCGCGAACTACGTGACTCTGTTCTTCCCGCGACAATGGCATACAAGCGGCCACGCGCGCCTTCCCCAACCAACGCCCAAAAGCGCTCTCGCGGTGGACCAGCAACCTACATAACTCTCGGCACCGAGCTTCCTGACGAAGATGGAGATGATGGGGCTTTTGTCCCTGTCTGGAAGCAGACTGTAACTGACGAGAGGGGACGAAGGAGACTCCACGGCGCATTCACGGGAGGTTTCAGTGCAGGGTAAGTTTCCGAGCCATACCTTCCATGAACGCAAGACTTCTTGACTATGCTAAGATACTTTAATACAGTTGGATCTAAAGAAGGATGGACTCCGAAAACATTCGTTTCCTCACGCGCAAACCGCAACAAGGATCAGCCCAATGGCCAGACACAGCGAGCCGAAGATTTCATGGACGATGAGGACTTGGCGGCAGCAGCAGAGTCACGCCAGCTCGAGACTGCGCAGAACTTCGCTGGCATAGGCGAGGCTGGACGAGCCAACGACGATGGACTGTTCGGCCTGTTTGTAACACCTGAAGAGACAATGGGCGTCAAGATCGCGCAGAAGATGGGCTGGCGACGAGACCAGGGCATTGGTCGCAAAGTGCGCCGGAATGCTGACCTTGAAGATGGCGCATCAGGATTCAAGGACGACTCAGCTCATATGTTTGCTCCTCAAGATGCTCGAATAATGACCTTGCCTCGAGAAGAGGTCCATCGCAAAGGCTTGGGATATACAGCAGAAGCTCGCTTGGGCGTTGTGGAGGAAGAAGCTGGGGATCATTCATCCAAGTTCGATCTGCACTATCTTGAGGGTCCGAAGAAAACATCAACGGTAAAGAAGCCTTCGCCAAAGAAGTCCTCTTTTGGCGTTGGCGTTCTCAACGACACGGGTTCAGACGATGAAGACCCATACGAACTAGGCCCGAAGATTACATTCAACAAAACCTTAGGCAAGGAGAAAAAAGTAAAGAAACCTAGCAAGTTCGCCAAAGCAGGAGCGGGAGAAAAGCTTGTCTTTATTCCCAAGAAGAGTTTGTCGAAGAGTTTGGTCTCGCTAAGCAGGCCATCTGTAGATGGGAGGTCTCCATTGAGTGGTTTTACATTCGCGACTAGCCTCACAGACCTCACGAGCAAGCCTAAGTATCCTCCGCCGAAGATACCACCTGGTTGGAAATCGTCCAAGAGTGTCACTCCAATTCCGGAATCGAAAGACTACCAATCTGTAGCCGACGCAGCGAAGGCTTCAACGCTGGATGCAAAGGGTCGTTCGGCACTTTTGGGTGAGAAAGCCTTGCCCGGAAAGTCTATCTTCGACTTCATACCTAAAGACGCCCGAGACCGTTTGGCTGCAATATCTGGTAAAGCTGATCTGCCTCAAGGCTTGGGAGAAGCTGCTCCTGAGGGACACTTGCCTGCGAGCAAAGCCCAACCGAAGGATCTCTGGAGCCTCGTACCTACACTTGAGAAGAGCCTGGCAGCTGCGGCCCTGGCTAAGGGTGCGACTGGCTGGATGCCGTATGCTGAAGACATGCAGAAGCGTGCACGTTACGTCGGTTTCCTAGAATTGAAGGCGGGGCTGAAGGAAGACCTACCAGAACGGAGAGATGGTGTATCCGTGTCAGATTGGGTCAAAGAGTTGCAAGAGTTTGCACATGCTGCTGAGGTGTTCAAGCCCACGACCGGCATCATGGCATCCCGGTTCACGTCTGCGTCGTCCTCGACCTTGGAGGGAAACAGTGGTGGGACGGCGAAAGACAATTTATTACGACAGCCAGCCGCAAAGCCAGAGGATCCAGCAGAGCAAGCTGCGAAGCTGGGCATGTATGGTCCGATGACTCGAAGCAGTTTTCCTTTTTACCCGTCGCGGCTCTTATGCAAGCGCTTCAACGTCAAGCCTCCGCCGGATATGCCGCCTGAGTTTGACGCTGGTGAAAGCCAGTTCAAATCGCAGACGGAGGAAGCCGTGTCCAAGTCGGCTATGGAAAAGCTGCAACATGAGTTCTTGACCAACGGTCCTGCTCTCCAGCGGCCGGCCTGGATGGGCCAAACATCCGAGGCTTCTACTCCTGTTGCTGCTGCGACTGCTCAACAAAGCGAGCACGCAGTCGTGGACGTGGAGAAGAACGACGCCCTGTCGAACGAACGGGCTTCCGAGGATGTATTCAAAGCCATCTTTGGAGACGATGACGATGATGAGGACTGAGCAACGAGGACTCACTTGGCTGTTACAGACATGCATTATTGTATACGGTACTTTCTACACTCAAAAGGGTCATGTCTGGGATTTCTTTAAAATGACCTATTTTTGGTCCGATGTATCATTCACTACTTGTACTTGGTGTCGCGAAGTCATTGCTGCCAAGATTTACAAGTCGGCGCGTCTGCTCCATCCTACGTAAGAAGTATGAAACGTGCATTTAGTAATCATTTTCGCTATGTTGAATCTTATAGTTGATGTAAAATGAGGCCGTTGATAGGCGCGGGTGCCAGCCCTAGGCGAAGAGATGGTGCCTCGGCGTACCGACACGCCGGTGCTCGGAACATGTCGTCAAAACGTCATGCACTTTTTCGTGACACAAGTTTGGCTGACACGATACTACCCCGTCTGACTCTAATATCTACGGCCAGCATTCCAGGGCTGTTACCATGATGCGTATTGTTGCTTCTACTCTCTTGTTATAGCAGTTGAATATTTGACGGCGCGGCAATGTCAGATGGCGGAAAGCGCTCGTCGTCTTATTGTAAGTGCGGCAAGAGCATTGGGCATAATTGCTATTCCAAGAGCTAGTGGAAATGCAGTTGCTAACGAGCATGCAGTCCATTTCTTCGCCGGCCTAAACTCAGGCATCCTGTCTGCAGTTCTCCTCCAACCCGCTGACCTCCTCAAGACCCGCGTCCAACAATCTCGCTCGAGCACACTCTTCGGTACTATTCAGTCGATAGCCAGCGGACCGAACCCGATACGTCAGTTCTGGAGGGGTACATTGCCAAGCACTCTACGCACAGGTTTTGGATCTGCCATATACTTTTCAAGTCTCAATGCGTTGCGACATAAAGCGAGTCTGGTTGCGGCGGGGAGCAGCGATGGAGCAGCTAAGGGAGCGGAGCACTCAAGCTCTCTACCAAAATTGAGCAATACCGCAAACCTGGCCACTGGTGCTTTCGCACGGACATGGGCGGGCTTCATCATGATGCCGATTACCGTACTGAAGGTGCGGTACGAGAGTAATTTGTACTCGTACAACTCGCTCTTCACAGCATCACGAGATATCTTCCGGACAGAAGGACTCAAAGGTTTCTTTGCTGGGTTTGGCGCAACAGCAGTCCGCGATGCACCTTACGCGGGGCTGTACGTCCTATTCTATGAGCAATCGAAGAGGAAGCTTTCCAGTCTTGCAACCAAAATCGAAGAGACGTCGGGCGCATCCACCAAACTTTCCTCCAGTACATCCGCCGGAATCAACTTCGTCTCTGGTGTTGCAGCCGCGGGGTTGGGAACAACCGTTACGAACCCCTTTGATGCCATCAAGACGCGGATACAGCTCATGCCTCACCAGTACGTAAATATGGTACAAGCAAGCAAAAAGATGCTTGCAGAAGAAGGTCTACGAAGCTTGTTCGATGGGCTTGGTATCAGGATCGCAAGGAAAGCAATGAGCAGTGCGCTTGCCTGGACTGTGTACGAGGAACTGATTCGACGAGCGGAGAGCTTGAAAGAGGTCGTCGAGGAGAAGATATGATCATGAATTGTACGATATTTGCATGGCTGGCGTTCGCTTGCGCCGACAGTTAGCTAGATACCTCTTCGCTCACATTGGAATGTTCAAACACAACGACGATCTGCTACTGTTATCTTTCACGGAATATACCGTCCGACTTCGCAACATCTGCAGCAAACTACAAGTCCAGAACCCGGACCATCGACCTCGAGTAGAAGGGTGTGGCTGGAGAACTATGTTTATCCGTGACGATCTTGGGTCAGCTCTAACCGAAAACGCCAGTCCCGGGCGCATGAAGGCTTACTCCGAAAGCCATGCTGGTCACAACACCTCGGTGGGTCGCACGCGAGCGTCACTGTTTCATGAGACGCTTCTCATGTCGAATGTGTGTGTTGAAGCGCGCAAAGAAGAAAAAATGCAGGTAGCGAGAATGCACAAAACGACGGGATCCAACGATTTGGCGATTCGCTTGAGACATGTGCATATTGAGGCTGACCAAATTGACCAAGCTGTCACAGTGTTCCAACCCCCGCGGCTGAGAGAGGAAAGAGGTATTAGGCGTCTTGGTTAGTGTACAATTTTAGACATGCCCCACCAAACCATCGCCATCTCGCGCCGCTAGAGACTGAGGGATGTAGAGCAAAGCGCAGCATCACAACGTCGCTGAGGGGAGTGGGGGGCATGCGGAGGGTGGTCTACACTGACGCCCGCCGATGGACATGCACCACAGGCTGATATGTGTCCAGCAGACCCGGCGCATGAGAAACCCTGGCCTCAGCCGTGGCGGCAGCTGCCTGATGACTAGCTGCATCGCGAGCATTTCAGCCCCCAAATGCACCATGAGGGCGGGTTCTTTCAAATTCGACTGCAGCCGCACTTTCGTGCTGACAATTTCCTGCTTTCTTACGTTACCTGCTCTTTTGTACCGTGTCACATCTGCTGTTGTGCCGCCCCTCAGTGTGTGGACATCACCCCGCTCTGCGCCGTCTACGCTGCAACTGAGACCAGACATAAAGGTCTTGGATTGATTGCTCCGTCTTATAATCACTCCAGTTTTCATCTCGGAACGGTGTACGCAGTTTGTCTGTTTTCCACCTGACCCCCTGACCCATACACCAACCATGCCGCGAGCAAACGACTGGGACAGCTACGAAGAGGACGAGTGGTATTCCAACACCACGAGGGACCATCTCACTGCGCACACTCGTCATGTTCATCCCCCAGCGCCTAGACCTCCTCCACGGAGAACTCAAGATGACGAACTTTATCGTCCCGACTATGGTCGCCGCACGACCGAGTTTCTGGCCCCAGAAGTGCACTTCACCACCGGTCTCCATAGGACTCGCTCACAAGGTCACGCGCCCGCTCCCAATGTGACTATCTACAACACCAGTCACTTGGACAACGATAGCCATCCACAAATGCGCACTGAGCAGAAGGGCCAAGAGACCAGTCCTCGTGGTCGACGCGAACGGAAGATTCCTGGTGCGTTTGAGGATTTGGAAGATGAGATCGCTGGGCTGAGGGCAGATCTAAAGAAGGAGCACCGTTCGCGCTCTAGGCACGAGTACCATGAACGCCAGCGCTCACCCGAGCCAAACTATGCAGACAAGATTCAGTTGACACTTGCTCAGCAACGTCTCAAAGATCTTGAAGATAAACTTGAGAGGGAGCGACAAGAGCGACACCATCATCACTCGCCGGACCGCAGCTACGAGGACAAGATGAAACTGGCACTCTCGCAACAGCGACTGCGAGACGCTGAAAAAGAACTCGAGAGAGAGAGACGTCATCACTCGCCGGACCATGGCTACGAGGACAAAGTGAACCTAGCACTCTCGCAGCAGCGTCTCCGAGAAGCTGAAGAGAAACTCGAAAGGGAACGACGAGAGGAGGAGATGGAGAGACGGGAGGAACTGGTAAGGCGCAGGGTGCAGCTCGACTTCATCCATGATAGAAGAGAACATGAGGCAGAAGAAGAAAGAATCAAAAGGCTAGAAGAGAGTATGCGTCGTGACTGGGAGTTGAAGCGGGAGAAGGAAGAGCGTGATCGCGAACGACGCGAAATCGAAGAAGAGAAGAAGCGTGCTTCTATCATCGCCGAGAACAGGGCGAAGATGTCTAGAGAGCAGAGGGATGCCGAGGAACAGCGTGACAAGCTCCTAGCCAAGTTAGAAAGGGAGCAGAGAGAACAGGATGAGGAACGCAAGCGAATCCTTGCTGAGAGCAAACTAAAGCAAGCGAGAGAGCAACATCAGGCCGAAGAGCAACGCGAGAAGCTCTTAGCCAAAATAGAGAGGGAGCAGAGAGAACAGGATGATGAGCGCAAGCGAATCCTTGCCGAGAGCAAGTTGAAGCAAGCCAGAGAGCAACGAGAGGCTGAGGAACAACGTGAGAAGATTTTAGCTGATATGGAAAAGAAAAAAAGGCGGGAGCAAGAAGAACGCCAGCGCATCATTGACGAGAACACTGCCAAACTTGAGAAGGAAGCGCGTGAGCGTGAACTCAAGGAAAAGGCTATGGAAGAAGAGCGCAAGCGCATCATCGCTGAGAACGAAGCCAAGGTAGCTAAACAGGCTCAAGAGGCAAAGGAAGCTCAACAACGTGCTATCGAAGACTATGAGCGAAAGAAGGCCAAAGAAGAGGCCGAAGCTCAAGCAGAGCATAATCGCATCATCTTCGAGTACGAGCGCAAGAAGGTCTTGGATGCCGAGAAGGAAAAGAGGGCACGGGACGAGCTCATGATGAAGATCCGGCTCGAGGAAGAAGAGAAGAAGCGCAAGGACAAAGAAGAGTATGAAGCCTTCATGCGAAAGCAGAAAGCGCAGGAAGAAGAAGAGAAGAGGAAGAAAGAGGAACAAGAGAAGGAACTTGAGGAGACAATGCGCAAGAGGCTCGCTCAATTTGGCTTCCAGGACAACCAAATCCAGGCGCTGGTCAACCCTGAGAAACAGAGGGAGCTACAGGCAGGCATGATGCCTAACCATCCAATACATCAAATCGCCCCTCCGCCTCCGCCTCCACAGCATCACCATCATCACCAAATCGCGATTGCGCCTCCGCCTACATACGCCAAGATCCACAGGAGCCATCTCGATGTTGAGACGCTGCATTACTATGATATCCCATATGAATACGATGTGGTAAGTTGTCATTAACTGGTCTTACCTGACATCGAGTACTGACTCTTACAACAGAACCCTGAATACATCATCGTCCTCCGTGAAATGTCTCAACGCGAGACTGACATCCTCTTCGAACATACTCGTCGTCTACGCACTGGACATGGTAGCAAGCTGTTCATAGAATCAGAGGGTCGCGATAGTAGGGGTAAGAAGGAATATGCTTTTGTGAGGAAGAAGTCTAGGTCTCGCTCCAGGAGCGTTGTTGGGGCTTCTTCGTCGAGGGCAAATGTCAGCTTGGGGGAGATGTTCTTCAGATAAACAGGGATTGTTTAAGGTTAGGTTATGATGGATTTCACTGCGTAGTGAGTGTTTATGAGGAGCTGGCAGCTATGACTTTTTTCTCTCTCTAAGATATACCAATCTTTCCTCTATTATCCGATACATAGGTATTTCAACTCGGCCAGTTTTGACTTCGCCCTTGATTGGAGTTGGACTTTGTAAGAAATGCGTACAACATATGCAAAATGTCTCATCTCAGTTCTCTGCTCTTGGTGTGTAATGCGTTGTGCAGAGCGCACTAAACTGTGAACATTATCCCGGCTCGAAGTCGCGTAACGCGCGTAACGGGAATGAGATCCGGCCGGTTGCCGTTCACAGAATGTCGAGAGAATGTGCAGCACGTGTTTGTTCGTCATCGCATCTCGCTGACATCTGACGCGTGGGGCGACGTCGGTCCGCATCAGCCAACGAGCCTCGGCTTCTGATCATCGGGACATGACGACCAGTTGCCGCAGCTCAACTCTCTCCGACAAACCTCTCACACTTCCCTTGTAGTACGCGTTGATACCCCTCTTGCTTTTCTTCTCCTTTGATTCAACATGGCCGACGCGCTTTGCGGGCCTTCCAACGCCCTTCAGAACTTCCAGAAACACACTACCGTCGATCGGACACTGCAACAGGATCGTCTGGTCGGCAGACATTCACCAGCGCAAGTATGTAGTCATGTCTGAAGTTTGCCTTTCCGCACCTAAACTGTAGCAGGGTTTCAGATCATCACCGGGACCGAATGTAGGGGCATTGGATTCCGAGTTCGATGCATTCCAAGCCGGTCGACCAGTTCCGGCGCAGGACTTCCAGCACTTCGATCCGCGATTCGCACAACCTCCCCCTCAGTTTGCGCAAGCCCATCAGGCCCCAGACTGGGCTGCCGACTTCCAACGCTTGAATGTCAGCAGTCCGCCTCCGCAAACGTTTCAACAGCAGCGACCGCAGCCGGCGAGCGCGGCGTCAGCATGGCATCAGGACTTCTTGAGGCAGCAGGCCCCGGTCGCACAGGCGCCGACATTACAGCAAAATACATATGGAGGCATGTCAGGATACAACATGGGTGGATTCGGTGGACAAGCATACATGCAGGCACCGAGTTTCCAGAACGCCCAAGTATCGGAGATTGCACAAGGAAAGCAGCGCGCACAGGATGACGTCCCAGCTTTCGACGAGGCAGCCTTTGAACAAGCTTTTGCGCAGGCGCAACAAGATATGATGGAGGTTGCAGAAGCAGAGCAAGTACACACACAGCCAGCGCAAGAGGCGCTGGATCTAGACCGGCCGGGTGAGATGGATCCTCTTCTTCAACGGATACGAGAAACGCGGCCAGGTGTGTAGTGTCCGTCAAATCTACTACGAGTGCTGACTGTGACCCTAGCTGTCTACTCTGCTATCCAGGTCTGGAGCGAGACTGGTCTTGGACGAACCGACGAAGCTGTAGCATACCTCGAGAACATGGAGAACATGGAAAAGAGCGGTACTCTGGTACAAGATGCAAACGAGGGGAAATGGATTGTCGACTCTCTTCAGAGAATCGTAAATCGTGACGCCCCTCAGGAAGTCAAAACCCGCGCCGAGAAGCTCATCACAGCGATCAACCAACGCCTTATGTCACAATACCCACTAGGCTCACGGGTTCTGATGAGCGAGGAGCAGATCTGGCAGGATCTAGAAGCAGCAGGCTATATGAGGACACCAGATCCAATAATGCAGCGGATGGAACAGAGATCCGAGGAAGAACAGAAGCAAGAACAACAACCCCCGAAGAACGATGACGATGAAATGGCGGCAACAGCAGGCCGACTGCTGGAGCGTGTAGCAGACAACACAAGCGAAAAGTTCCAGAACTCACAGTTCCTGGGGCTAATGCGCCGCCTACGGGACCGCGAAGTAAGAGTACAGGAAGACAAGATTGTCGAGGTCGACGGCGCCCAACAGCAGCAGACTGGCAACACTATGACCACACCGCAGGCCTACGCGCACCAACAATCGCCACAACAGCCGTCGTCTACGCAAATACCCGCCATCGACCCAACAATCGTCTCCCACGCAGCCATCGATTTCGAACAACCAATCTACTCGAGCGATGAACCACCACAGTATGCCCACACTCCTCCCAGAGATCTCATGGAGTCCCTAATAACTGATGAGATTTCAGAGCAATATAGATACTACAACGTTGATGCCGCCTACCATCGCTGAAACAAGCGATGACGGCGATAATGGGGGGAGGGGTATGTTGAGAATTCCGAGGCACGAGCAAGATGAGGATTTGTACCGGAACGAGATTCCGGGGAGGGATCCGGTGACGCAGATCAGGGGGTCTGGGTAAGCGGCTTTGTGGTGCAAGTCATGGGGCATGCGTGTGGGTTAGGCCATGGGAAGGAACGTATGAGACTAGTCGTCTAGAGTGCTTGGGCGCTTGGAGATGACATGTGAGCTTTATGGGTGGACTGGGTCTTTGGGTCAACTTACGGGACAGATGATCTGCACCCTGGTGCGGTGCACGAACGAAGCCTGTATATCATGAGTTTGACTAGCATTGCTTGCCTATAGAAGAAAGCGTAATTTCTACACCTCCAAGCTACATCTGATGTAAATCGTTCACCAAGACCAGTAATTTCACAAGTGACTCTTCCCACCTACTCTACCCCTCCTTCCTCTTGCCCTTGCCCTTGCCCTTGCCCTTGCCCTTGCCCTTGCCCTTGCCCTTGCCCTTGCCCTTGCCCTTGCCCTTTGCCTTCTCCATCTTCAGGTACCCAGATCCCAACACCCTTCTTATCGACTCTCATCCCCTCTGTCCCCTGTACCTTCAATGTCTTATTAAAGTACCGATCTGTAACCTTGAGATTCGGTGTAATCCAATCCCCCTCTACATTCGACAATAGATTATACCTCACAGTCTGCCGACTCATGGGCAAGAGATGCAGGGTCCGTAGTTTAGGTCCGCTGAAACCAAAGTCTTCGCTGGCTTCCATGGCGAGTTCAAAGGTAAGGAAGTGCATGGTTGGATTCTCGAGCACGTAATCGAGGTGGAGGAGGGAGGGAATGGTGAGGGACAAATGGGAAGAAGCGAGGACGCGGGGTTCGGAAGAGGGGATTTGGATGCGTGGGATGGGTAAGGAGGAAGTTACTGGAGAGGCAGTGGGTTCGGAAGTGCGCTTCCATGTGATGTTGAGCGTAGTGTCAAGGGCGGTAGATCGACGTTCCTCGAGGTTGTTCTTCTGGACGTCCAGACTGAAGCTCCATTCGCTGAGGACCTGGGGTTCCATGGCTGTTTCCTCGATATTGAATTCTTTTGTCACGTCACATGTTGCGCCGCCGTGGATACTGTGTACTTGGACAGCTAGATCGCTGACGATGAGCTGTTCGTCGGCAAAGGATGCGACTTTAGCTCGTAGACCCCATTTCTGTGCTATACCGAACGCATCAGGCGATTCGGGATTGACGTTGCTTTCTGCTTCTTGTAGCTCGAAATAGCTGGGCCATGGATCCGGATGCACACGTGCATTTAGATCGTAGCTTGCCTCGAAGGGAGCATTGAAGACGAGATCTGCGACCATGATCTTGGAGATGGGTATGTCGCGGTCGCTGAGGAGATGATATAGCACCTTGACTTCCAGGGCATAGTCTGCTGGATCGGCGGGTGCAGTGAAGCGAATCCTCTCCGTTGTTCTTGCCCCCTGGGCTAGTTTGCCCACTACATGACCTGGGAGATCCATATCCGTTGATCCGTCAAGCGCGGGCGGAACTTCCTTCATGGGTGACTCTGCTGGACGCTCGACCCACGTATAGCCCAGAGTATCTTTAGAGCGACCCAACAGTCGCACCTCAAGGACAGCCTCGGTGTCCTCCTCTTCTTGATTCAAAATTTCTATCGCCAGTGTCACGGATTCATCCGTATAGTATTGATTGCGGACGTCCGGTAGATTGATCTCCATTTTCGGCGGTTTGGGTAATATGTGAACGGACATGCCAGAACCGTGTTTCAGTGTCCTTGACTTGATCTTAGTGTCCGACTTGATCCACCACATGGGATGGGCTGGAGTCTCCGGATCTGTATCTGAGCAGACAAGGTCAAACTTTTCTGTGCTGACACCGAAGACGCATGCAACGACATCAACATCACCTGACTCACGCAGGATGAGTGGGAGGCTGTACACTTTTGTCTGTCCAGGATAAAGCGTCAAGTCAGCTGTACCAGCCCAACGTGGCTTTCCGGTAGCGGAATGGGTTTCGTCTAATGTACAAGAGTACATTTTTGAGGCATTTCCAGACGGATCTTGTTCCGCATCGTGAGTCAACCTGACTTCAGCCAGTCCACCGTTAAACTGGTACTGGAGAAAAGACAGGGTGACAGGAGCAGAACCTGGTCGAGCATTCGAGGTAAGTGCGAGTTGTGATTGGAGTGGTTCACCCACATTGCCCTCAGCTTCAGCAAAGGCGAAAGATGTCGACACTGCAATGTCAGCGTTGCGTCTTTCGGATAAGATGTCCGTACTTACAGCAAGAGATGTGGTCTTTGGCATTCAGACTCACGCTCACCTTCTCCGCTGAGGCATCCGAGAAGACGTCCAAACACGTCATCAAGTCGTACTTGTACTTTGTCTTGCCAGGGATCGCTGAGTGGTATTAGTCAAGGCCGTTCTACAAAACAAATAGCAAAAGAATACTGACTTTGACTGTACAGCTCCCATTCTGTTGCAACATAAGTTTCTCGGTCCTGTACTCGCAGTGCACATTCATGTAGGATCCACACTACTTCTGAGGCTAGGCTCCACCATCCTTCTTTCCGCCAAGCCATCGTCTCCCAGAGTGGTCGTAGTACTTTGGAAGCGTCGTCAAATCTCTTCACATGCAGCAATGTCCGAGCCACTTCAAGTTGCAACTGGTCTACCTTTCGGTGCTGTCCTCGAGTTCTGAACTCAGCTATCGCAGCGTTCAGCTTGGCTGAGATGTCTTTCCAGTGCTCAAATCCATTGGCAATACCAGGCACAGGATACTCTTCATGAGGGTGTGGGACAAGATAGTGATCATATATCTGATTTCGAGCGGAGACCTTTGCAGCAGGTGACATTCCAGGCGGTGTCCGGTCTTCTTCTGGCATCTCCCTGGCGAGGATGTAGCGCTTCTTCGCATGATCACTGGCAATCTTGTGCCAGTACCCAGCATGGTGTAACAATTCCCATGGTGGTAATCTTTCTCCGACTGGAAACTGTTTCTCGGGTTGGGAGTACAGTGCACCCGGGCTATCCATCAAGGGATCTGTATCTGACGGGAGATCCCTTATTTTGAAGATCGGCAACTCTGTTCGCCTAACAGTCTCAGCCATGACCTGTGCCCATGTAGACTCCCAGGCTTGCCAACCGTAATTGTTAGTGCCCTTGCCCCGGCGATCGAGCACGTCTTGTAATCTGTACTTATATCTCAACCAATTCTGAACCGCGGAAGTAGGGAAATTGTTCCATAGCTGACACCGAATGTGTCGCAGTGCGGTGATATCTGCTAGCAAGCGTATCTCGTCCCATCTTGGAGACCAGCTCGCCGTTGTTTCGAACAGACCCTCGGCACCGAACAAGGCTTCCAAAGCAGCATTGTAATGTCGCTGCGCAGCGTCCATCTCCTGGCGAAATTCGGCGAGTATGCCCAGCTTGAAATCGTAACGAACACCCCATCCAGGGTATGACAGTGTTTGTGAGGTTCCGCGTGTAGGTGGAGCTGTTGGGGGAGGGATTGTACCCCGTCCCTTCTTCCTCCGTGCATGCTTAGTGAGGTCTCGGTAGTACTCGACGCAAATGGGTTGTAGTATAGCTAGAATCGATGTAACGAAGGCCTGCAACTCGACGCGGGACGTCCTTGGAGGCAGGAAGAAGAGTGAATTCTTTGGATCCAGACCAGTAGCCCGCCGTATCACCGCCAACCGTTCCTCGATATCTGGAGCCTCAAGGATAGTCTTATCACTCAGTAATACCACGACGTATCTTGTGCGATAGTCCGACTTCTGTATTTGGCCCTTGATCTTGTTGATGTCCGTCTTCAGTTGGTTGTCGTGCAAGCTGTTTGTGATGGGATCGGTTGTGAAATTGAAGAAGGAGACGAAGACAGAAGGAACGTAGTGCTGGTGTTTTGCGACCCAAGCAGGAGCGATGACACCGTCGGGGAAGGAGGAAGAGGCTGGGGAGAGGGGTGAAATAGGCGAATGCAAGACCCATGATGTTGCGGCTGCGATGGTAGGACTGCCTGGAAGAGTTGTTTCCGAGTTTGAGGGCGCATCTGCCTTTTTCGGTGGCAGTTGGAAGTTCTAACAAACATCAGCCCATGGCTCCTTCCCGTGGCATATTCGCAGGCGCCTGTACCCTTCCTACACTCCGTATTCTGAAGCCATGTGTAATGCCTCGACGGCTGAAGTCGCGCCCATTCCAGGGTGCATTAGTGCCATCTGCACTTAGGAACTCTTGGAGCAGCTCATTTGCCCGGTCGCCTTCTACGGGTGGTAGCTCTGAGTTGATGCTTGTGACAGCTCGGCCAGGAAGCACATGTTGGACTGATGGCGGGGGATCGACCTCTTTGCTTGTGGCTAGGCCCGAGAGGACAATGAAGGGTAGGTTATGGACTACAAAGTCGGATGGGTATGCGTCCATATCTCCACGCGCGCAAGTTATCGCTCCATGCCAAAGTGAGGGACGATGGTAGCTTCGGAGGGGGAGGGCGGAGGTGTTGCGGAGCTGGATTTGCTGGGCGCACGCGAGATGGCAAAGTCGGGCGTGAGATTTGCTACAAGTGGTCTCAAATCGGTAGGACTAAGCGTGTTTGTGGGAGCATCAAGACACTGGGAAGATTACTGGCGGCTCTATGTCATCGATGGCCGACACCTGGGCGTGTGCTGAATCGCGGGAAAGGATGACGCTAGTTGAACCCTGTCATGTTCTCTCCGCCGAACGATTCCTCTACACAGGCACGAGCTCTCCTACACCTTCCAGCCATACATTTGCAGTCCAGCCTTGCCTTCACGCGTCTTCCTACCCCGCGAATACCCCTAGCAGTGCACCACGCCGTTGTATGAGCTGAACGCGCCTATATCCACACTTTGTCTCTCCGCCCGCTTTCTGCTCGCGCTGGCCAGAGACCGTCGACACCATGGCGGGCCAACAGCAGCAGATCCTTGATACTATTTTTAATATGAAGAGGAAGATGCTGCGAAAAGACGATTGTAAGGCGTACATGTCTCCGTACAGTGCCTGGCTAACACTGCGCAGCCGACACAGAAGACTCCGAGACACCCTTCAGCAGCAGCAAGCAGGATTTGAGGCGCAAAGTCCATTATGCGCGCGCCAGCGACCCAGACTTCCTATCTGACCCGCGACCCTACAAGAAGGTGCGTCATGCTTCGTGCTACTCACATGCCGACTGTAGACTGACGCCTCCTAGCGCATTGAGCATGCCGGCTACCACCGATCCATCCTGCAGCGCAACCCTCCGCGATACGACCCGGACGGAGACATAGTCGAAGTTGACGACGAATACGAGGACGAGGAAGATGTCGAGGCTGTCGAAGAGAATCCGTACGGCAACATACAGCTGGAGAGTCTTCTTGCGCCGCTCACTTCTGCCGCCGACCTACCGAATCATCCTGCCCTGAGCGTGGCATATTCCTCTCGACACCTCACAGACCTCGCAAACGAAGCCGGAAGCCTCTCGCGAAAAGAGCAAGTCACCAACGCGCGGGCAAAGACTTTGTTCGTGAAGCTCCAGGGCGACTCTACGTTTGCGCCGGATGCTCTGTCCACCATGGTCAGGGCACCGTTTCAGGAACCCTGGATTAACAGCGCAAACGGGCGCACGGAGGAAGGAGACCAACAGCAAGCTCCTGATGCTGAAATGCAAGATACTGTGGAAAGTCCCCATGACGTAGACATGGAGGATGCAGATCAGCCAAATGGCACTAGCCGACAGACCGAGACCAACGGCAACACAAGACCAGAAAAGGTCAATGGGGCGCATCCTGTGACGAACGGAACACATATCGGAGATGCAGAGCAAGTGCAAGAGAACGGAGAAGGAACGCCCGAAGATGCGTCTGATACTACATCGCAACAGACGGCGCATAGGATGACGACACGTAGACGAGCCCAGGCGCACGCAGCCTCCACTCCTTCCCCGCCTCATTCGCCTTCGAGCGGTGTTGGCGCGATTCATCCTCTTTTCATACATCCGTCAGATTCGTTGCCGGACCGCGACTTCGGTCTGCCACCCAATGAGGCAGAGGAAACGCGCATGCTGCTCATGGCCTACGTACAAAAGCAGGAGGAGGTGGCCCGGATAACGTCCGACCTGTACCAAGGTCTATTGGAGGCCGACCGCATGAGGCAAGACGTTTACAAATGGTCAAAGGCGGAAGCTCATGTAGGAGAAATGAGCGATGGCGAGGATTGGTATGATAATGAGGAGTGGGGTCTTGAGCAGGATCTAGCCAAAGGTCGGGACGAAGAGGAAGATGATACAGCTGTGGCTGGGAAGAAGAGCACAAGACAACGGCGGAAGCCTGACAAGGATGACCGGTAGTTCTCATTGCGGGACCAAAGGCGGCATATCGTCGTACACTTTTGTTTATCTATTGTATGCGCAGCGAGATACCACATTCCTAATATCCAAAGTCCATGCTACGCTCTGGTATGGACAGGCTTCACGCTGGCTTGGGTTGCTCTTGCCCAAGTGAGCCACACGCGTGTTCTCGCGTCAACATCGTGCTCCCTCCTTCTGCCAACCTCGAAGCTTCCTACACCTCACACTCATCAGCTGGCCATGGAGTTTATTCTGCGTTGCAACGATCTGAAGTGTCGATCGCAGCTGCATGACCGCGCCGTAGTCACCACTTGCAGGTTCGTCCATCACAACTGCCCATCTTGCACTTCAACCACTAACGATTTTACAAAGCCATGTGTTCTGCAGCAATTGCGCAGATACCACCGGGCTGTCGAGGTCTACGAATGCGCATCGAACCTGTCCAGCATGCAACGCATCACTACACAACCCGGACGATGTTGTTGTCGCGGGTCTCAATCCATCGGAAGACTACAGGACATCGGTACTTAGTGGCCTAAGTCCGACAATCATCATGGAATGTGCCAGCCGCGGCTTGGCATTTCATAGCTACCAGACGTCGCAGGAGATCATCTATCAGGAGCATCTCGCGAAAGGCTTGACTGACAAGTACGATATGCTCAGCCAACAGATGGATCAGCTCATCCACGATGCAAATTTGCAGATCAAGGCATTACAAGATAAGATGCTAGGTACACCATACACTCGGCCTATGTACATGCCTCGTACTGACAACCATGCAGCTATGCAAGCCGAACAAGAATCTCTCGAAACTAAGAACCATGAACTTGCGAAAGCCTACAAAGAAAAGACTAAAGCGCATCAACACTCCCAGAGTCTCTACCAAGCACTGAAGGGGCAGGTCATGGCATCTCACGTAGCCTATGCTGCTGGTGATGAAGCCGCGCATACGCTCCAAACTGCTCGAGGAGACCGTTTCATTGACCGCCTTCCCGGAACCCGGACGAGTACGAACAACTACAGCCAGATGAACATGCCACAGCAGACTGGCAGTGGTAGGATGCACAACAGGGATGCCAGTAGGAGGTCTGAGAACAGTGGACGGCAACAGCAGGGTGGCATCCATATCGGGCCTCCATTCAATCCACAATTGCAGAGACGAGGCTTAGGTGGCAGGAACATTACTGGTCGTGAGTCGCTCCTCTCCAAGTTGTTTCGCACAATCTCACAGGTGCGAATACTTTGAGAGGACCACACGCTCACGAAGTGAAGATTCTGCTCCAGTCGGGACGCCTTCGCAAGTCCATAGAAGTCAACTCCCGGTTCTCGGTGGTTCACGTCAACCCCCATACCCGAACCAAAATGCTGCTTCTTCGTACCAGAATTCACCGATGACCAGGCAGCCTCTTGCTAGTGGCGTTGGTGTGAGAGGCCTGGGCAACTTTGCGCTTGAAGGAAAGTCATCAAGGAGGGTTGGCGATAATGCCAACACAGGGCCGCTAGGACGATAAGCTGGACAATGCGTATCAGGTATTGCGTCAGATGGGGCTTAAGGAATGATTAGGGCCGATAACTGAACAGCCGCTGCATGATATCAACGTAATGCGAGGCGTGGTGCTATGTTTATCTACTAGTTATCGCTTAAAGCAATTATCACATGTCCGTAGAGATACACAGCCACTTGTTTCAGTTCTCGTGCTCTTTCAACTAGTAGTTATCCTTTAGACTCCTTCGTTAGACGTACTTTGCGGAAGTGCTTGCGCATGAGATGTGCAGGTAGAGAAGACGTAGCAGTGCGCTCATTTCATATATTCTCTGGCCTCGAATCACCTTGAAGTGCAACAATATAGCTTGTCTACGTTTACTTCAATTACTAGTATCGCGATAGTACAGGGCAGAATGGCAAGCTCCTTACAACTTCCGCAGCTAATATCAATACTATACTCATACCAAAACGTTCTCCTAGATAAGAAACATCGCAAGCGTAAGGATCTCACACACTTTGTCAGAGTCTCACTCAATCCAACCTACTGCCGGCTGTACATCCTTGGTTACTTCCATCCAAAACATGATGCCCAGAGCTACTCGGGTCTGCAAGTTTCCTATTCTCGCACAGCATGATCAATCACGCTTAGTGAAAATTTGTATTAGACCTCGTATGGCTGGCTAGATGATCAACTGGTTTTATTCCAGGAGCGAGATATCAAGTGCTTGAATAGATCCCTTGCACCCACAAGCGTTGATCGGGGGCTTTCGGCATCATTGTATTCGCGACTAGTAGTTCTGTTAGAGGCAAGTTCACCCTTCCGATGCTGGATGAGAGAAGCTTATGCTTCAGGTGCTTGTTGCAATGTCAGTGCAAGGCCGTCGATAGCCACGATGGTGCACACGGCTAATGTGTATTACAGACGCATGATAGAGTCAGACAGAGACAAAGGTGATAGTTCACCCATCGCGATAAGTTTTCATTGTAGCAGTGATAGCTGATAGGAACATGGAAACATATAAGTAGGCCACCACCGTCCAGAAAATTAGAAGCCATCCCCACTACATGCTGCAGGTTCACCAATGAACCGACCTCAAAAGAGTTGCTTCCTTTTCCAATTACCCCCAATAGTCGAAATGAGAACCTCGCAGCTTACGGTCCTCCCTGTGCTGGGTCTATTCTCTGCTTCCACCATGGCATACTTTATCATCGGGAAACATTATGGTCAACAGCTTGGTGGCACTTTTGGGCAGCCGGGACAGGTGCGAGTGATTGGGACGTGGGTCAGTACAAGTAATTCCATTTCCAACGAAGCATAAGCGACCACCCTCCTCGATTAATCAAAGTTGATCGCTAATCACACTCTCCCACAGATATCCCCAACCAAGAGTCCGGCTTCACAGCCTCCGGCTTCTGTGACGCAGACACTTCGGCCGGCACAGACGACTTGGGCAAGTGGCAAAACAACGACTTCTGCGATTTGCAGATCCCCGGTCGCCTATCTACCGTGCGCATTGTCAAATCCGCAGGCAGTTTGCCTGGTGACTGCAGTGCCGGCACGAACGACGCGGACTACACGGGTTACTACGGCGTCTTGATTGACACAAGTTACGTCGCCAGATGCGGCGATCGGGGACTGTTACTATGGACGGGCTCAACTTTCTGAGGACTGTTCTAATACAAGAAGTATTACTCACTAGGCCTTTGTTGTTTGTCTTACGGGGCTCTGTGGGGGGCAATTGGAGTGTGAGTTCAACCCTTAGAATGGGTATAGGACAATATAGGGTTTCTTGAGTGGGATAATGAAGCAAAGGTGGAACCCTCTAGTGTATGTTGGGCGAGACACGAGGGTCCCTAGGGACGGGTTGGTAATTGAATGTAACCCTCGTGATAAATGTTATCTCGCTACAACGAGCCAAGTGCATCGCTGGTTTTGAGAGCTCGTTATATGTATGCTGTTTCCCGTTCGGGACGATCATTTCGTATAGGTTCGTTGGGATTACAGAAGTAGTGAGTGGTAAGTGGCTCTATGTCACCGCGTTGCAAGTAGATGAAGTGAATGGTAAGCATCGCGCACCGACGTGAGCATTCGTGGTGATGAGCCAGAAATCCAATGGACTGGAATGATTCGGGAGTTGAGATGAAGTTTCGGCATCGGCTAGCAAAACCGCTCCGATCCGTGAAGATCTTCAGTGTAACGCTGAGTCTCTCACGCGATTTCGATGCGTCTGCCCAGACGTAGTTTGTCTGCGTCGTCGTAATCGTAGTAGTCATCCGATCGTACCAGTTCGTCCGGTGTGTCTTCGACATCGCGAATCGTAATTTGCACTTCCTGAGACCAGAGTCGAGTCAGCGACTGTTCCCAAGTTACCACCGCCGTCGTAGTCGTTCGGTTGTACGAGCTCGTTGGGTGTACCTCCGAGAGCGCAAATTGTAATGTACGCATGTTTGGACTGAATTGAGTTAGCAATTGTACGTAGAGATCGTATTTTTGCCTTGCCTAGATACTAGCTCAGTCGAGACCTTCCTTCTCTAGCACAGCCAAGAGGTTCTCACGATGCCTTGAGTTAGTTCGTGAGAAGCTTATAATCCACCGAACTGTGCTACTCGGCAGAATCGTGCGATCTGCGTAGTCATTGACCCCAGTTATTCATCACGAACAATCCACCGAACAACTCCAGAGTATCGCGACAACCGCGCATTTGGCTCCCAAGAGTTCTACGAAGAGCTTTACGAGTTTTGTTTTGGAAGGCCAAGCACAGCTATGCCGAACAGGTGGATCGGGGAAAAGACGGCGTGTAGTAGCCGGTGAACAACGATGGGTTTCTTCGTGTGTTAGATATCGTAGATATGGTCCTGCACAGTGATGTTGTGTTAACTTCGACGGCAAGTAGCTCAGCCAACAGCGCTAAGAATAGTCGAGTGGGTGTGGGTGGCACGTCTGCCAGAAAGCAACTTAGGAAGATTCTCTTCGGATTCCAAGAGACAAGCTCACTAGATCGTCCGAATTACAAAACTACAGCCGAAACAGTATGGCAATCGTCACTGTGTAAAAAATATATGTCAACCCTAGTCAGTCTATTGTATTTCGCAGTATGCGGCCAAGTCTTAGGTATTGCACCGTGCCAATAGATTTCGGCGCTTCATCTCGGTAAGTAGTACGGTAATGATGTCATCAGATTTCCTAGAAGCCTCGTACTATCCACCAAAAGGCGCCAAACAATTTTTTCTTTCTTCTTGTGCACTACCAACTGTTCGTGGAGCGATGTGCATAGTCTGGAGGGATACCAATGGCGCTCGTCACCGTTAGAATAAAGCCACAATTAGACTTTATTAGAGTGGGGCGCGCGCCACTTGCGCCTCCACAGCCACGGCCCGAGCCACGCTTGCGCTGCCACAGATCCTCTGACATACCACCATGTGATCTCGTTCAAGGACTTGTGGCTTGTCTGTTGTGCAGTGTTATTGTCAATGCTCGACGGAGCATTAAATATGTCCGGTAATTAGATGGTCGCATGCATCCATGCGATGAAAACAGTGTTCTTGGGATAGATAAGCGTGCAGAGAGTCGCTGCATCAGGTTCTTCGTGCCGTTGATGGCGGTATCGGCTGCCATCCGATAGCTCATCGCGTTTCGGATGGGCACACCTCGGAGCTGCTGGTCCGTTTCACCAGGAAAAAGTCTTGCCCGTTGAGCGTTGCGCCCAACATTCCACCACAACACTGTCGAGGGATTGGTTAATGCAGGCCCCTCATTTCGGCGTGCTGTTTGCTTCGTGGAGTTGTTGCGCCGGGCGGGTCGCGTCTTTCAGGCTATCGATGTTCGCTGTACAGTCCAGAGCCTGTCCGAGAACAGAAGAGATACGCGTCCTCATCTCTGGAGTCGTTATCGACGAGGTGGTGTGGACCCTTCGAGTCAGTGGGCTGCACCGCAGCCTTGCCGTCGAAGTCGCATACACAAGCTTTCCCGCCCTTTCTTCACTTAGTGTGCCAAGAACGGCTTACGACACACCCGTATCCTTCACTCCACAATTCTCCTGGCTACGCTATCGAAATCTCCTCTATACTAGATCGAAACCACGCCCGGACCTATGTGTGGAGCGAGATCATGTTTTAACGGTGAGAACAACGCCCAAGAGCGCACGCATTGTGAGGCGGCTCGATACCACCGACCCTCTCACGCTCATGCATACTCGAAGAATTAATACACTGGAAACGTGACGACGATGATCACAACTAGAAGCGCCTTCGCTCCTCGTGCTCGAGTAGTGACACTGAATCGTTGTTTCCACCACTCAAACACTGTGTTGTCGCGCCAGGACATATCTGCAGTGAAAGGAAAAGTAAACTCGCCAACTGTGCTTCTAAGTTCTCTTTGTCGATTTCTGTATATGTTGCGTAGCCATAGCGACTGTCAGAGCTCACTGCCACATGCTTTGGTCGTGCAAGGAGGCTCTCCAGAAGTGACAGATGTAACCGCAACCTTCTTTGATGTCAAAAAAGCTAAACACTTGACATGCTGTAAAACCCAATTAGTATACAGAATTCGCGATACTGGGCGCACCAGCGCCTTCGAAGTGACTTTGCGATTGGAGGAAATTTTAGTCCACTCCTTTGAAACGCTTCACCCTTGGCACAATAAGGCGAAACAGGCACAAACCGCGTGGATCACGATAGGCGAAGCCAGGGACTACCCCAGCGTGTCGTGTTTCGAACAAATGAGCATAATTGCCAAGCCCAAGACCAAGAAATGTCCGACGGTATGGCGATCGACCCTCGTTCTTTCCCATCTTGGTGGCAAACCATAGTTTCATGCGTCCACGAGGCTGGACGGGACCATGTGGATTCACTCTATTTGCGATCTCGCCAGACCTGCATGGTGCATGTTTCCGTGGTTCACCCGTTGGCAGGCATCGAGAAGATGTCGGATATGGGGGTCTGCGAATGGTATAAGAGGGAGTGGGAGACGCACCCAGTAGACAGCACTCACCATCGAGCCAACAGTCTTTCACAGTCCTCATCTTTCCAACCTTTTTTTACAATCTTTTGCTTGAAGCATCACATTCGCTAGTCGAACCCAACGTCTCTCTCTTCCATCCAACAACTATCCAGCTTTTCCAGCTTCAACTATTCCAACCATCAACATGAAGGCCTCCGTCGCTGCTTCCATCATCGCTTTCGCCGTTGCCGTCTCGGCCGGCCCAGCCAAGTCTTCTCCCATGAACTTCTTCAGCATGACCAAGCGTGCTAGCCTTCCTATCCCAGCTTCTGCTGGCACTGAGACTCTCAAGGAGGCCAAGGAGATCACTGGCGTTTTTGACGGTGGTCTTAAGACCTATGGCCGTGGCGTTTCCTGCACTGGTCAGGCTGAGGGAGGCGACTCTGACGCTGTCTTCATCCTCAAGGATGGTGCTACGCTCAAGAACGCTATCATTGGTATGTTGACCAATCGTTGAAGCCACAGTCGAATCATTAACATCATTCAGGTGAGGACCAGATTGAGGGTGTTCACTGCGAGGGCAGCTGCACCATCGAGAACGTCTGGTGGGCTGCTGTCTGCGAGGACGCTCTTTCCCTCAAGAAGGACGGTGACGCAACCGGTAAGACAACTTCCCGAACACATCTGCACTCACCCGAACTAACACTCTTTAGTCATCGGCGGAGGTGCTACTGGAGCTGAGGACAAGGTCATTCAGCAGAACGGTGCTGGTACCGTCACCATCGATGGCTTCACCGTTGACACCTTCGGCAAGCTGTACAGGTCTTGCGGTAACTGCAAGCAGTCCGCTGAGCGCCATGTCATCATGAAGAACGTCAAGGCCTCCAACGGCAAGCTCCTTGCTGGTATCAACCCCAACTTCGGTGACACTGCCACCATCGATGCCACCAACTGCGCCAGCTCCGTCAAGGTCATCTGCGAGGAGTTCAAGGGTGTCGCTTCTGGCAGCGAGCCCGAGTCCGTCTCCAAGGGTCCTTCCGACTCTTGCATCTACAAGGAGCCCCTCTCCTCTTGCTAAGCAGTTTCGACGACAACAACATGGATTTTTGTTGGGGATGAGTTGGTGGATGCTGAAAGGTCATAATTGAATGGCAGTGATGTGTAGCATTTGTTTGCGCTGGGAGCATTGTATATAGCCTGGAGCATTTACTTCTTGTATAGATGATATATTGATGGTCACAAAATTGAGAGCCTTTTCTCTAAATCTTCTCACTGTTTGATCGTGTTGGGTGTGTTCCATAGAGACGGCAGGTTTTCCGCATTCGAGTAAACGGAAGGATTCTGCTATCTGCAACACCAGAGGATGAGAGAACTTGTGTCGCATAGAACTTCGCCTAACAAGAGAGTTTTGTTGCTTCCAAAGGAAGCATATCAACCCAGAGCGTGAGTCCAAAAATTGGAATTGCGTCAAATGCTTGATGATGTAATTCGAAACCATTCCAAGCTTGGAGCACCTCCAAGTATCTGCATCAGAGACCAGGACAACATCGGACTTCACAACCATATTCGTCCCACAAAGGAACACCATCTTAGAGGAGAGATTGAACTATAGAATCACATTATGACTACAGCATTCTTGTGCTGATATTGCTACTGACCCTGAACTAGAGCTGTGCCAAGGTTCCTCAAGTACCATATTGACGCCTCCTCCAAGTGACCTGCTCCTTGTATCCTTTCCCACAGCCTGTCTCCATCCCCAGCGAACCACCCTGACACACTACTATCACAAGACTCGGCTACTCTTCCTCCACGAAGTCGCTCTCCTCCAGTCGGATCCCACTCAAGAGCTTGCCCATGTGTGTCTTCTCAACACCTTCACCCTCACGCCGAATCTTCATGAGTAGAGCTCGTAAGAAGGGTACAGGAGACTGCTGAAGTCCCCAGATACCGGTTGGCGGGTCGATGAAGCCATCTGCATAGACTTGCTGACCATCTTCTGCCTTTCCCTTCAATAGACCAAGATGATCACATAGCTCTCTATATTCAACGAGGCATCGAAGATAGAGACTTCCAGCGAAAAGGTTCAACTGCAACGTCAAGCTGCGCGAGACGGTGCCAGGCGAGAACGTATGACCGGCATTATGAAGCATGAGTTGATCGATCGATGGATAACTGGCGTTGGACCGCGGCGCAAAGAGGTGGAGAGTGACCTTCTTTGACTGACGAAGTGAAGGTAGCAACTGATTTGCCTCATAAGGACTGATGACGATGAGGTTCTTGATGGTTCCCGGATTGTCTTGGCTGGGCACTGAAACAATGAATTGGACAGGTCGCTGGTAGGAATCCGAGATGAAGGATGCTCGAGTTGTCCCAGGAGGTATTTGAACGGTGTGCATGAAGTCTACCGTGACCAGCAAGTCATCTGGGAAACTGCTTACGTTGATAAGCTTACCGGCACTCGTTGTGTAGAGCTTTTGGAACGCCGGTCCCCATGCTTTTGAACCAATTACGACTTCTCCAGTGTTGCAGAGGTGTTTGAGGTCTTTATGAACAGTATGTTCATGTGCTTTCAAGCGTGGAGGGCGCTCAACCTGGCGCTGCTCTTCGATCTCAGGAGCAAGCTCACGCTCTTGTTCCTCACTCAGCGCAGCAGAGGAAAAGCCCATGGCCCCGAAGTCACGGCACCGCGATACGATACTCACGATATTCTTGTTAGACTTGTCCCAATTGCTGAGGTGCGCAGAGCCTTCGTGGTCTGGTGTGCGTGGCTTGTAGCGAGTCTCAAGACTTGCAGCTTCATCCTCCAGAAAAGCTTCCGCTTGATCTCTAGTCGTGTTAGCACCGCCGATCAGCAAATGCTTGTGGCTTTCGAATCGGTTGCCTTGAACGGCCCAGAGCGGCAGGCTCCTCTTCAAATCGGACCAGGTCTCGCCTATGGCCCATGCCAATACATCATACGTTTCGATTGGAGTACCGATTGGCTTGCCGTTTTGTTCATATATCTTCGTTCGAATTTCCTCGGGAATAACAAAGCACACCGACTGGCCGTTTCCCAGCTTTCGTAAGCGCATAGCAGCTTGTGTGAGGCGATCCTTGGTCAGTTGACTGCCCAGCGTAAGGGCGGCTCGATAGTGTCGCGGCAATCCGGGTATATCCGTTCCCCTTGTATGACTCTCGTCCAGATAGACGACGCAGGAATCTAGCATCTTGGCGTATGGGGAAGTCTGGAAAGACTCAATCTTGCCAGTGCGATCAAGGACTGAAAGCTCCTCGTCTTCGAAGTATACAACGGCCAGAATGTCGTTTCCACGCAGCTTCAGCCATGCCTCAGCTACCTCCCTATTGTTTTCTTCAAGAATTGAGGCACCACAGTCCAGTATAACTCTGATATCTGAATCCAACTGCTCGATGAAAGTTAGAAGATGCTTACCATCGCTACCATGTGTACGAGCAGGTAAGCCCGCCACCGAAGTCTCGTCCATCAGAAGATATGATAAGACTTGAGCGTTCGTATGGTGCTGGCTAGGCAGATCCAGGTGTCGAATGTTGAGTGGAAGTAGGTGCAGAGTATCATTGGTGCCGGAGAAACCAGTTGTCGAGGACGGCTTGGATATCGCCAAATCCCAGCCACTTGCGCTCAGTTTGGAGGGGAACTGCTTCAATTCTTTCGGAAACACCAGATACGAGAGGTAGTAGTCAATGGCCTTCTTCGAATATCGCAAGCTTGGGAATACTTCCGTGATGCACTGATGTCGATCACGTATGCTGATTCCAGAGAGTTGCCTAAAAGCCTTGGGTAGACGTGAAGACGCGGTACTGACGAACTCGTCGTAGTGAATGATCGCTTGATCGGACTTCAGCACATGTATGAGCGTATCGAAGAGAGCATCGTCGCTCAGGCCGCTATAATAAAAGGCGAGAAGGGTCAGGATGATGACGACGTCCGGATGAGAGAACTCGCTTCTAGGTGAAGGTGCATCCTTACTGCGGTATGGAACAGCAAGGCGAGTGCTCGGGGTGCGGTAGTTGTCCAGACCAAAGTTCACACGATAGCGCTTCTGACTGTAGATGAAACGTAGCACACCACCGGCGAACAAACCACGTAGGAGAAGAAGTGACGGCTTTGTCGTATCAGTCCAGAACTTGCTCTGTTCGACTGTCTCAATCTCGTTCGCTTCCAGCTCCAGTACGGAGATGTAGCGCAAGATAGCTGCTTGCATTGTGGGAGACTGCGAGCGAGAAGGACTTCCTATACCCGACTCAACGACCCGGATCGCAAGCAGACGCAGAATTCGATCAGCAGCGTCAGGTCGTAGGAACCTGACCCTGGGATACCGTCCATCCCCATCTCCTTGTATGTCAATAGTTTGGGGAAGTTCCTCCTTCACCTGTTTGGCCACGACCGGAATAAGCGCTAGAAGATTCTGAATGATCAACCACCGCTCAGGGGCGTGCTCTATCGACTGTTGAGATCCCATCGTATAAATGAGCTCAAATTTGATCGAGAAGTTCTGCAATGACGTCAGTGTATGTCTCCCATTCATATTGTACACGCATGGCTTACCTCATCACTCTCGTCGATGCAATCACACGAAACGTCATCGAACCATTGCTGGGTTGCCAGCAGTGATTGAGCGGTTTCTGGCTGGTTGATGAGGACACATTCGACTGCCATCAGTTTGAAAGACAGGATGTGCTCTGGTTGGATCAACAATACGCCGCGCTCCCGGATGCACTCTTCGTAAATTTCGCGAATGGTGCGGGCATCCTGGGCGCTTAGTCGGAGGTTGCGCGAGAAGGGCATCTGGTAAATCCTTCGGTTCAATAGACCACCCAGCTTAGCTATAAGCATTTGCAGCATCTGTTTGCTCTGGGGTTTTGCGACAACTACCCGGACAAGTTTCTTCTTGTCACCAAAGAAAGCGCTGAGGATGGGCAAGATGGTTGTCGACTTGCCGCCACCCATCAGCAATTGCAACACGATGTTCTGTCCATCCTTTGGTGAACGCATCTGGCTGGCAATATACTCTTGCTCCTTTCTGACGAGGATGCCACTCTCGGCCTCAATGAGAAGGGTCTCTGGATATTGGTGCACGTCCCAATTGGTGTGGCCCAAAAAATGCAGTTCGTCAAGAAGATCGACCGGCTTATTAGACAAACGGACCAACCTCTGAGCGCGTTGTAGGCTGGTGACGGCGAGCGCATACTGAATGACGGTCTCCTTCCATGGAGTCGACAGTGTCTCAAAACGGTCCCGGTGCAGTTGGCTTAACCAGAATTTTGTACAAATACGTGGCGAAAGCTGTATCCGATGAGCGATTTCGTGGTGGAAAAGACCTTTCAATGCGGAGTTGAAGGTCTCGAGATAATCCTGGCAGTTACGTAGATACCCTTGAAGCAGGATTTGAGCATCTGCAAGCAACTCGTCGTGCGTGTCGTTGCTGCTCATATGCAACCCAAGGGCTTTGCAGCTTGATTGTAGACTCTCAACGTATTGTTGCTCACACTTCGACTTGGCGTATACCCCAATCTTTTGACAGAAGTCATCAAGCCTCTCTCTCATCTGGTAGTGCTTCTCAGTTATATGACTCCTCGCTGTGGTTACTTTGGGTTCGCAAGGAGGTGTTATTGATGTAGGTCCAGTAGATGGAAGTAGATTCGCAGCGAAGATATCCAGCGCGCTGGAGTGACGAGTAGTGTCGCTGAGGCAGTCCTTCTTTAGCGGCAGAGCGAGGATATAGCGTGGCGCCAGCACTTGTGACACTGCCTGTCGCGCAATGATTGCTGATAGTTGACCGAGGTACTCCATGAACAGGCGGTTATTGAACCAATGTTGAAAGTGATCCCGAACAGTCGTCATTGCAGCGGAAACGTTAAGGTAGGTTTCACAAGCAGCTGCAGACGGTACCGTGGGACTCTGAACTGGCCATTGGTGATCCAGGTTGTTCACGAATTCCTGGACTGCGGTAGTTTGCTTCTGTTGAAATGCGCCTTGCATCCTGTTGTGATGCTGCTGTTCAGTTTCCGAATCCCACTTTGGTAGCCTTGCCTCATCAGAGTCTGTAAACGCCTTAGTGTAGCTTAGCACAGTGTTCCGAATTGCTGTCTTGTTGAAACTGTGTCCCTTGTTCAGGTCGTACTCTAGTGCGTCAGGTGGCTGTACCGCCGAGAACTCACGTAACCTATAAGCTGCAGCCAAAGCCTGTATGGTATCCATGTCCGATGTTTGGGCGTAAGCCATCGTACACAGCCATGTTGTCACGTCGTAGCGATTGCTTTTGTCAGCCATGCCGCCTAGAACTCGCTGTAGGGTGCACCAATGCTCTTTGACTAGCGCCGATGCAGCTCCCAGCCACTTTGAATCGTACCGGAGGCCCCCAGGATTGAAAGAGCTATCCACTCCCGAGACAGTGGCATTGGCGAAATGATTTCGAAGAAGCTCGCCTTTAAGGTCTGTAATACGACTGTGGAGAGCGAATCGATCCTGTAAGATTACGTTGGCTGCCACATGTACCTGGTTGCCTCTATCGGAAGTTCCTTGGTTGTCACGCGTGTCGTAACGTGAGTCTTGTGAAGAGGTGAATCCTTCAGCGCCGAAGCTGGCAACCTGATACGTGGCGGTTCGAATTGTAGACCGCTCATCCAGATGGGTGTTTGAGGAAGACATCAATCTCTGCTGGGCCTGGCTGATCATGTCGAAGACTGCAGACTTATCTGGATGGAACAGCCGCATTCTAGCAACTTGATGCAGTAAGCTTGAAACAAGGGATCTGAAAGAGGCATGCTGCGACAGTGACGGAAGGTTCGCGTTCCAGTCGATACTCTGCATCACTCTCAAATGTGAAGGATAGTACGATCTCACAGCCGAGAGACTGGCTATATCCTCCAGTATACCAACATCTTCTTGGGTAAGAAGGTCAATCGATCCCACCGCTGCCGACTTGAGAATTGAGATTGCTGATTCAGTGCCGGTAGTTCCGGTCAAAGGATCGGGTAGGCAGTGAGACGTTAGCGCATGTAGATAGCAAAGGATCAAGCGACTGCGAAGACTTCCGTCGCCGATGATCTGACCAAGAGTCTCGTCGATATGGTAAGCACGAATTCGAGCTGCAGAGTCCTCTGACATGCTGACTTTAGGATGATGTATGGATGTCTTCGCGTACTCGAACGATCCTTCCGGAATAAGAATCATCCGCCGGCCTTCCACAGACCTCAAAATCAATCTGCTCTGCATGCCTACGAGGGCGCCCATTGTCTGATCTGGGTCGATAATCATGTCCCGAAACTGGCTAGAGCGTACACGATGGTCGGTTTCATTGAATTCGAAGGAAATCCGTAGCCTCAAGAGCTCGATCTGAACACAGGAGGGCGGTGCGTGATCTGAGCCAACAACACATATGTGGATGTGTAGCGGTTTCTCGAGTGGTGCCAACATACTCGATATAATACGAGATGTATGACTGCGAACGTTGATCATCGCTTTCTCATTGTTGACCAAACGCCATGATGTTCCACGTCGTATAAGACGCCATCGTGAATCGTCTTCGGTTGACCATGGAGAATACAAGGGTCGAAATACGATCTCTTGAGCTTGTGAATCATACCAGTGTACGGCATCTGTCACCAATGACTGAGGTAGCAGGTTCTGGAAAAGACGTGATGGTACCAACTCGAGTCTTTGGCTATCTCGGATGGCAGACAAAAGTATATCGTCGCCTTTCATGCCAAAATGAAGCTTGTATCCGTGATAAAGAGCCTTGGCGGAGAACATAAATCCAACCTCGTCCGTTGGTACCACTTCCAAGGCTGACTTGCGGAATAGTGGCGCATACATCTTGTGGCGCATGTATTCAGCCGGAAGATGAGCGAGTGGAAGGCCATTGACAAGCAGCTCCCCAGTGAGTAGATTGAAATGCACTGGCAAGGACCCAGAGGTTGTGAGCATCCAGTGTTGTTGGTGGCTTCCGTTGAGTGAAACCCAGGAGTTACTGGAAGTCGATTCAAAGGCGGCCCAGTTGGCTTTAATGGCATCAGAAAGACCACTGTCGTTTGTGAGGACACATCTCCGTAGTGTCGGAAGGATGCGATACATAACCGATTTCCACGACTGTAGTGTGATGCGGAAGAGTTCAGAGAAGTCTGATTGCATGGACTCACAATGCTCCTGTACTACGATCGACGATTGAAGCAATGTTGAGATAGCCGCATCTTGCTGGAGAACAGTTTCGAAGTCAGTCTCCTCCACGTCGTAGGTCGAGGTACACAACAGCGCTACTTCTGTAGCGCGACTGTAAAGCTCTGTACGCTGACCATCATCCGTTGAGGCGGCCACTCTCTGCTTCAACCGTTGAAGCCACCTCAAACAGACGCTCCGCAATCTCTCAAGGTGATCAAGTGCGCGAGAACGGACGTCTGAGGCTAACGTTAAGCTCAATACTCGTCGAGCGAGTAAAGAGAATGTTGCTGCAGCCCTCCACGATTCCCAGTTCTCTCGGATACGACCCAGGTTGCTCTCAAGCTGCTCAAGCAGAGCATGGCCAAAGGACGATTCTGTAAGGATAGAATGGGCTAAACGCTCGATGCGATGATTTGATGGGCCAGCCTGATGTACAGTCTGGAGGACTATACATTGCGTCTCGACTTTTGTGTAATCAACCGACGGGATCGCTAGCTGAGCGAGGATGTTTGAATAGATGATATTATGCCCAAGCGGTAGCGCGCCCAGGGCCTTGTATTCGTCGATCGAAAAATGGAGTGGACAATCATACAAGCTTGCCTATGAAGTATGTTAGTGAGATCTATACCATAGCGCACAAGGAAATCCATTCGGGGTCGACGTAAAACACAGCAAATACCCTTAGGGTACTTGGTGACAATGAAAAGCCAGAGAATAAAATCTCCTTTGAAGATCAGAGAGCGGACTAGGATTGAATCTTACAATGACTTCATTGGCTGGCAGGCCATCGGGCGAAGTAGGCGGTCGATACATGAAGCGTTCGAGAGCCTTTGATCGATCCGGCATCGGGTACATGCAGTTCTTCGGGACTTTCGCTGTGCAGATTGGCATGTTTGTGTTGAAAATACGGTTCGAAGTGTCGTAGTAGGCGTATACCAGGGCGTTCTCTAGGCAAACATCGTCATCGTTCAGGTGAGGAATGGCTTTCGTTAGCTTCCGATGGGTGACCGTGTGGCTCTTGATTTGCGAGAGCGGAACAATTTGTCGCTCATAATATCGAGGGGATAGTACATGGGACAGATCGTGGTGCCTGTCAAGAGTATATGAGCATGATGGTCGTGATTGTACCGCGTCCTTGTAGCCGAGAACCGTGGTGATGAAGTGTGCTGAGGCATCGCGCCAGTCGCTGTAGGATTCCGGTACCATCAACTCAAATACGGTAGCTTTTGCTACAGGTACCTGAGGTGAGACTGGCCATTCAAAGATTCGGATGGTGAGATCGTCTGCGCGGTGTTTTGCTGCACATCTCCTACAGTTTCTGGAGTGTCGCTCCTGCGTGTAGCCAAACCTATGGTTGTAGACCACCGTCTCAGTTTCGCATGAAGTGCTGTTGTAGTGATCCATATACTGTTGATACGTACGCTTGAGACTCCCCAGCTCCTCACACTTCTGCTTGCGCTTGGCAGCTGCATTGGTTTCGATCTTTGACAACATGGCCTGGAGGGACTCTTGTTGGTCGAAATACCTTACAGCAAACGATGACGAGTGTCCAAACTGTCGATAGACAGAGGGCTTCTGCAATGCTGCGCGACGCCGTGAATGTACATAGCACTCTGAAGCGTTCAGACGGTTCAAATGGCTCTTTAGAGGGAGCGCAAGGCATTGAAACTCCGTCAGGTCGACCTCAGGGTCGTACTCAACCAACATGGGATAGATTGTGCAGGCGATCCTATCGCACGCAATCCAAAGCTCAGTGAGTGTAAGATACATGATGGACATGCCGACAGGTGCTCGAGCGTAGGTACTACTGGCGATGTTATAGTACCTGGTCATGATTGTACGCAGTCTTCCGCAAGCATCTTCGTCGTGAAGATGAGACCTGATCCAATCGGCAAGATGATACTCAACCCAGGTCTCGAAGGCAGCCAAGCGGAGGAGTGTGTCTTCATGTGGATGGGACGACTCCAGGCTGTTCGGCAGCTGAACAGCTTGGTAAGATGGATACTCAGAGGTGGGTATGAACGTAGACAGGGAAACCTCTCGCTGGCGAGCTTTGATGCCTAACAAGAACGCGTCTAAGCCTGACAGGTCCAGATCAATATCAGCCTTAGGTTTGAGCTTGGCAATGGCGCTGGAGTCGATATTTGCTCGCGAGTTGTCGATCCGAGTCTGCCAGTGCTGCTTGATGAATACGTGGGCATTGATCATCCTGTCATGAATGTGAGGCGCCCAGCCTGGCTGTAGGTAATCTGTCTGCTTGAGCTGCTCGAACTTGCGCAATCGCCGCGTCAACTTGGCCAAAATGATGTGAATAGTCTCGCTGCCCATGTCTTCCCAGTGTTGCTTAGCCAGATCAAGTACTCGCGCTAGCATGAAAATCATAAAGGCTTTGTAGAGGCCATCCGCGTTAAGCCTGCCAGGTGCCTTGCGAGCGAAGAGCAGCTGTAGCGATACACGTAGCAGGAGCCACACTGGAGATCGTCGCCATGGTGATAGGCAGTTACTCCAGAGAACCTCCTCACGGGTATGCTTCGTGATGCGCTGTAGCTTCGTCGACTCGCCAAGAGCGGTGATGAAATTCATGAGGAAGTCTGTGACCATGCCTGGATGGGTTGTATCACGTTGTTCGTTCATGATCTTCTTGTTCTTGGTAATTTGAGGTTGGAAGCCTGGAGCTGTCTGAGTCGTCATCGTGGCTATAGTTCTAGAGATCGATTCAATAAGATCTGGGTTGACATCTACAGTCGGTATCCTTGATGCGTAGCCTGGGAACTCTCTCACAAGCCGTCCTGAACACATAGCCGCCTCGTTTTTGGGAGAAAGCTCAAAGAACTCGAAGTTCAAGTTAGTCGAAGATCGGCTGACCAGAATTCCGGCATTCTGTGCTTTGACCTCTAGCGGTACTGCACCAATAGTGCCACCATTTGCAGCTTTGGCAAGAAGATCTTGTAGTTGACCTTGACTGTTGTTGCCGTGGTCATCGCGACAGATCTGGAGGTTCTCGACTGTTGCGATGGCAGCCATGACAGTCTCGACATGCTCTTTGTTGACGTATGGTTTCAGAGATTTGAGGGCGTGGACGACAATCTCGAACAGGACCAAATCATGCGCGGTGCTACGATCGTCTTGTTGCGGTAGCTTCGGCGGAAGTACGACATGGTGAATGACGTAGGCCGTAGCCGTCGCCGACAACATGGTGTAAGGGCTTTCGAGGAGTACAATCTGTGGTAAAGTAGTCAGCATATTTAGTCCTACTTAGGGAGAGTATAGTGCAAGGCTGTAGCTATGTCCAGTGCTCATCGCAGTTGCGTTGAGAATGTATGTGTATCACGTACCTTATGAGTTCAGATTCTAGGCTTCTATCCAGAACTTTCAATGATGCCCAAGATATTTGTCTCAGTAGCAACAATAGTACCGTAACGATCGTGACCAATGTGGTCAGCAAAAAGTGTGTTGTCGTGGTAGCGAGAGCAGTTGTACAAGGTGAGAAAAAGACGAAAGCCGGCAGATGAAAACTTTGCAGGCAGCAAAAGATTTGGGTGATTGAAAGAGGAGGTATCTGGTTCTGCACGTTGTGGTCGTGTCTAAGATGGGCAAACGGACCTTTTCACCTTCACCTGGAGCACTGTGCGGCAATGGTCCACCGCCTCATCACCTCGCCGCATCATGTGGCTCACTATCCACAAGACAGCGAGGCTGAGCATATTACAACACCCAAGCCACAAACTAGATTGTCCTCAACTTCATGCATTTCTAGACCCCACGTCGTTCCGGTGACTCCAGGTCAAATGGATTCGCAATATGGCGCGCGCGTAGCACAAGGGCTAAGATGTGCAAGGCAACAACTCCAGATTGATTCAGCTCCAGATACTATTTCTCAGAGGCCTCCTTTACTTCTTATCTGTGGCACAGTCGATCGTCCTTCTCTTTTGGGTGAACAATACCTGAAAGGCACATGCTTTCGCAAGGCTGTAACGCTACGCATCACGAAGATACCGGGGTGCTCGACGCAAGGCAGCCATGGTCTATCGATGTACATGAGATAACGAATCAATGGAGTATGGGCGAGTAGCTTTAGTCCGAGACTGAGATGATGGATGTTCGATGCGAAGAGCGTGCTGACGCTGTGAAGTCGGAAGTGTAAGCCTTGGGCGGAAGGGCAGCAGGGCGGCATCAACTCACAGGGTTGCGCTAACCACCTCTAACATCACGATCGCACATGGACACCACGATGCGTTACCACAAAACAGACAAGTGGCAGCATGTACTCACAGGATTCTAATCACGGAGGAAACCGTTAAGAGATCTACCTTGGTGATGGAAGTCCATACTGGTGCTGATGTGTAGTCAGAATGTGGGGATATCTACCACGACCGCTAGCTGTGTTTCCTAGTTTTTGCGCTCAAAACCTAATGGAGAAAGAAATGTCTCGCCTTCCATCATAAGCCAAAAGTGCAGAGGTTTTCTAATCATGCTTCCAGCCATGAAGAGCTAGACATCCGCAGTCTCATGGTCCTGTGCAGTCGACGCGCATTCGTCTGCTGCATGCACAGAGCCCACGACAGCCACATAGTCAAAACCATAAGCCAGCCTCTACATCCCGTCACGACAACTTTCTTCCAACCTCGTCTTCACAGCAGATTATGCTAGCATCGGACATGCACGGCACTCCAGTTCTCCAGCCATCTAGTCCAGCCCCTCCAATCACCTGACTACTAAAAGCCAACCCCCTACCAAGACACTACTATCTTGCCATGGCTCCAACAGCGCCGCAAGATCCAACAAAATCTAAATCTCGATCTCGATCTAAAAAGTTCACATGTGCGGAACCCAGCAAACAACGACTTAGCATCCAACCGTTGTCGCACAAGCCATGGTAACGAGCGAGTCAAAAGCCCACTGTTCGATGACATCATCGGAACGATCGTACCGCGGATCACGGATGTTTACCCGTTCCGGGTGAATCTGCAAAAACGCGTGGCCCAGTAGTCTGGCAGGGAATAATCATGGGTGATAACACGATGTTTGAAGATACGAGTTGGGATAGATGATAGTTAGGATTCGTGATTATGAGTGTCCCGTTATGATCTACGGAACGCGTGGTGTGACGGAATGGTCAAATCTCGTTTCCTCGTGATAGCGGGCATCCCAATTTCCATGCGAGCCTGTATGTGATGGTTTATGCAGTGGAAATCAAACCCAAGTCCCAAACGCCGTCATGCGCAGTGCGATCTTCAACGGTCTCCCGAGCTCAAGCAACGGCTCTTCGGTGTTTGTTTGATCCCCACAATTCATTAGTTGTCCTTTACATGTATCATCGCGACTCCACGGGCGCCTCAAATGATGGCTTTGGCATAGGCTTGAGCTCCGAGCCCGCTCCGCTCTCAGCCCTCTTCCGGCCTGTTAAAGAGAAGTGATGGCTCGAGCTGGGTCGCTCTTCCGTCTTCTCGTTCGCATGGTTGTTGTCCCCGAAGCGCGAGAAGATGCTGCGCTTCTTGGGTTGGGGCTTCGGCTCGTCGTTCAAGCCAACTTCCTCGAACCCCTCCTCGGGTACTTGCTCGTGGCTTTCGCTATGGCGGGGTTGTTGCATCGACGAGCGGGGTGTGGCGCGCGAACGGCGGACATCGAGAGAACGTCTGGTATCTACGGAGCGGCGCGCATCGAGCGACTGACGAGGGTATGTTTCGTGGACATTGTCTTGGATTGGGGAGCGCGCGGAGATGTCCTATGCCATTAGCGGGGTCTTTGCCACTGGTCGCAAGACATACAAATGACCTCCTATACGAGTCGAAACTCTCGCGCGAAATGCTAAACGGCTCGTTTTCGCTGAGTAGGCTCCGGTGATTTGAGGATGTGGTAGAGACGTTGGACTTGGAGTGCCAAAACGTGGGCTTCTCGTGCTGTGGGGATGGCTGTCGCAACATTAACCCATGTCTTACCAAGTGCTATTCGTGCGCCAAACGTCCTGCGCCGACAATCACATGGGCTTGACATTTCTTACCGGTAGGTACACGCCGCTATCGTTTATTTCTATCACACTGTAAGCGCCCATTCATCCGATGCGCTGATGCAGCCTCAGGGACATGTATGAAGAGGAACATGTTTAAACAGGAACATGTTTGAGCCCCAGGCGCATTTCTGGAAATCTCACCACTCAATTTGTACTCAACGGGGTCCTTGACCTGCAGGGGCGTGGCGCCCGAGACAGCTGTGCTCTTGAAACCGTTCTCCGGCGCGCTCCGCTGGGCCTCATCGACGGCCTCAGGCACACCCGCACGGCGAAAAGGATTGCGAATAGGCATGGTGATAGGGCACTAAAGGTCAAACAAGGCGGTACGAGAGCAAAGTGGAGAGGTTCAGTAGGCTGGTGTAAGATGGATGCAGTGAGCACAAAATGGACCGGTCATGGCCTCGATCGCCCAGCCAATCGGGCAGGAACCAAAGCCCTAACCGGTGCCCACATTATCCGATTCAATGTTCTCGTGCGAAAGGACAGCGCAAAGCCGAAGACGTCATGTCACAGACGGATCCAGAACTGATTGAGTGTTGTAATCTGTAATGATATTTTCAGCGACCATATCGAACGCTGAGCGGATGCTGGGGTGCAGATCAAACAGGTGCAGAAGACCTCCAGGCGGTCCCTGCATAAGAATAAGACGAGAATGGAAGTCAGTCAGGTACCAACCGGTGTAATCCGAGGGCGCTTCAGCTCACCACCATTGCGCCTAAAAACAGCTTGTCTGCACCTCACACAGCTTGACCTGCGTTATCGCGACGGGACAACTGCTCACCGGCGGTGTCTTTTGCGTTGCGCTGGCTACGACTACTTGCTACGACAGCTCGTATTAGCGTGAAGCGCCATGTCGGTAATGACTTTGGGAAGCAACTAGAGTCGCATTACTAGTGTAGGCGAAGGATTGCGCCTCATATTCGAAACTTCCAAGAATCGTTGGGGTTCTCTTCCCCAAGTCAGCACTGCGACGAAATATGAGCTGCGGGTAAAGGCGTTTCTGTGCCTTAGCAGTGCTGCCCCACGATCTGAAGATCGCAGTGGCCGAGACGGGCAGAGATGCAGCAACTCCACTTCTGTCAAACGAGCCCCTCCTTTCCTCGATCAGTGACCAGGGTATCTCTGTGCGGAACATGAGGCTATGTTCAGGTAAGCATGGTTGGCAACGGCCGAGATCCCAGACCGAGGTTACATGAGATATTTTTGAGTATAGACACCGCAGGCGATCCATGCGATGTCGGCAGTAGTCACGAACCCGCGAGACGGACTACCACGGTGAATAGGGCCTGATTTACCTTCAATCTCCCCGGTAACACTTTGTGTGTTTTGTGATGCCGTTTGCCTATGGGTACTCCTAACGGTAGCCGCATGGAAAGAAGAAAAGCAGCTTACATGAGCCACTCTATGGTTGCCGTAGTCCACGATACCGCGTCGAAAGGCAAACCTAACGGTAGTCAGGCCAACTGACCTTCAGCTGAGTGTAAGAATTGTAGTCTAAATGTTGCAATTCCCTACGCCTTTTGTTCAGCAGAATCGCACTAGATTCTTGACAAGCAATGCTAGCTGCACGGTGGTCAGTGGGTCAGTAGTGTATACTGATCTGTCGGCATCTCAGTTATAAGGCTGCCTCTCTGCGAGGCTGGATTGCTGCATATGCAGCAAAATATCCGCGCGCCGATGCATGAGGAGGTGCAGAGGTAGTGCATGCATCAATGAATGCCAAATGCCAATCAAGGGTTGCAGCTTCCCCTCACCTTAGATCAACGCTGCAAACTAGCTGTAGCACGAAACTCGTTCACTTGTTCTGGTCTGCTGAGGAGCATCCAAAGCTTATACGATGCGCGTCTAGTCTGCCCGAATAATGGCAAGCGTTGACGCATAATTTGAAGTTTTCGGATCATGCCATGGCATGGGTACGAGGAGATGCGCGGATACGAGCACTAGAACTGAGTCAATAATTTGCTGCTTACCTTGCAGCACTAATTCGCCTTGTGAATCCTTCGCCGAGGCTGAGGTACCAAGACCGCATCAACATCATGATTTCGTCACGTTCTGGGAGCGATCCAGTCATGCAAGCGAACGAGAAGTGGCTTCCCGGAATTACTCCAAAGAGAATCGCGATGCTGTGGCTGGTGGGGTCTGTAAGCCGCCTGCCGTGTGAACCGCAGCAACTGGAAGAAAACTGAGCCGAACTTGAGTTCTGCAAATTGTTTACACATTTACCATGGCAAGAGCTTCGGTTGGGCAATTGGTATGCATTGTATGATGCTTTTTGGCCATGGTATGCAAAAAGAACATTTGGTATGATGAATGATGGTACGTGTAGGGTTGCAGGATTAGTGCGCACTCGGAAGTGGTAGGAGATTCCACCCACGTGCAGGCAATCGATAGCCCGGGCTAGGCTGGACTTGCTGCACGGGATACAGTACCGACACCGTGGCGAGAGACGAGTTAGTTATGCCGATTCGATAAGTGGAAAAGAAGGCCATGAGACGAGGAGCGGTGTGTGCTGGGAGTGACCGTTACACAGATGCGGTGCGCTGTGGCATCAATATCGCTCACCCCATGTTGTGCGCTCCGCTCGAGGCAGAAGCAAGGAAAGGCCCCGCCCCAATCGAAAGTCTGTGCCTGAACATTCCATCATGGTGGAGCAACGTGCAAAACCCATCACTCTGGTGGAGTCATTGCGGAATATGAACCTTGAAGGTTGGCATGTAGCCGCGAATGGCGTAGGGCCTTAGGTAAGAAAAGTCGAAGCAGCGTCTCAACGAACGACGGGACGACATGCCCACGCCGTGAGCCTGCCCCGAAACTGGACGCCTATTCGCGATGCAATGGCGGGCCTCTGCGACAGTCTCGCATCTCGAAACCTGAGTACAGCCAGTGTCGAGTAACAAGTTCTCGCGTGCTATAACAACTCGAAGACGCAATTCACGTGAAAGCAATCATGTCGTGATGTGGTATTTCGAAACACAACAATGTCGGAAGATGCCCCCAAGAGGGCGATTCGTTGCTCTCGCTAGCCACTCACAGGCGCCCGTACCCCTGGGCAGAACTAAGTAAGGAAGCCACGTCCCCGGGGCGCCTTCCTTCTTAGCCTACCAGCATGGCTCGGAGCCACCATGGTTCCCAGCGGCTGTAAAGAAGAAAACATCAACCACGGCGACACGTTGGATATTTTCCATCCACGGCGCCTGAGACTGGTTCTTCGTGTCACGGTGCAGACCCCAGGGCTTCAAACGTATGCGGCATCGAGGCTCCCGACAGGCTAGCATTCCATTATTGGCCTCTGCCGCAAGTGTGGTTAGGGCTGCAACTCAGGCTCGTATAGATCCACATACGGCGCGTTGATCTTCCAGACACTCAACGCTCCCAAACACTCGCGCATCGTCGCTTGCTATTTCGAGCCTGCAGTCCTGCCGTCCGCCCGCGTCACCAATGCAAGACCGCTGCAGGCTCCGTGGCCATCCATGACGCCCGAGCAGGGTGGCGCCTGGCCAACGCTGTCCCAGCAGCAGGCATACCTTGTATAGCCCGTTCTTGGGAGCAGCGCCACCAGCTTTTCACTCCTCATCACTTTGTCCCGTTGTTTCTCAGTGGGTCCGAGTTGGCGGCGATCGTTCCCAGCCGCTGCACGCAATATAATAATTCCTCCTCCCATGCCGTCTTCGCGCTCGCTGTGCCCTACTACCAGACAAGCCACACTGCATCGCCCGTGACTCTTGCACGCCTCCAGTCTTCCAAGGTCCTTTTACGTGTATGACAGGTCTGCTTCACTAGTGACACCCGTCTCTATCGACGTTCCACACTCGTTTCCACGCCATATTGCCAGGGTCCGACTTCAAAACCCCCCGCCCCGTACCCCATTTTGACGCCTGAGACTTCTGTCCGAACCTTCCGCTCGCTCACTTCTCCGTCTTTGTCACGGGATCTGTACCCTATCGATTCCAATCTAATCACGAACATCCCAGTCGCCGCTTCCTCATCCCATCTGCACCTCCCCTCCTGACGTCCTTCTCTCCCAGCCAGGCGTCAACAACAATTGCGCCTGCCTGCATCTCGTCGGCCCCACCTGTTATTCTTACCTGGATTCTAAACCTCATCTCACTCCACCGCAAACATGGGCTTCGGAAGCTCTGATGGCAATGAGTTCTTCCAGAGCTGGGCCTTGTGGCAGAAGATGACTTTCGTAAGCAGTCTGGCTGACTCTTGACTCTGCTCTTGCTAACACTGCCCAGGTACTGGCTTGCGGAATTGTCCTGACCATCTTCCTTGGCCTGCTCAAACTTTGGTATGACAAGAACAAGGTCCGCAAGTACAGCAAAGTCGACAAGGGCAAACGGGCGGCGACCCCCGAAATGCTCGAGGCGCAGCCAGTAACCCAAGTACAAGAAGAGACCAAGGATGAAATTCCCTTCGGCATTCGCGCAATCCAAAGCGGTATCGAGGTTGATGGCGTCTGGATCTCGCGCACCAACACCCCCGTTGGCAGCAGCCGCAATTCTATCATGAGCGAACAGTTTCCCCGTAGCTTCAACAACTCCCAGCTCGAGCTGCCCCAGCCAGTCGCCCAGGGTTCAAGCCGCAACAGCTCCCGCGCCCCTAGCACATTCGACCGCGCCGTCTCCGCTGAGCCCCTTCCAAGTCACGACTCCCGCTCCTCTTCGCCTGGCCGTGGACATCACCATGAGGGTCCCCGCTGCAGCAACTGTAACCACCATGTCTCCCGCAACACCATTGCCCTCAACGCTTTGGAATCTCCCAACTCTACCCGCAACTCTGGTGCTCCTTCTCGTAAGCACTGACCCGCGCAACCAGTCGAATTACACTGACCTAGTCTAGCTCCTCTGAATGGCAAACACGGCCAGTCTGGAAGCTCCTCGAGCAACCGCACCAGTGACGAGTCTGACTACATGGCCATGGGTCAAGACATCCGCGCATACGAGTCCGCATACTTTAGGCCCAACCAACCCATCGACCCCAAGACCGACCTCGAACTTCTCCGCAGCCATCGTCTTTCCCACGTCGCTGAGACTGGACAGCTCACTCCCAGAGTGCGCAAGCCAGGTAATAGCGGAGAGTGGGCCAGCGTGGCGGACAACCAAGTTTCTTCGGTCAATGGTGTTAACTATTTCATGCCCCAGAAGTCACCTTCTCCTCCTCTGCCCACTGTTGCCGACCAGTACGAAGATATCGGTCTAGGAGCCTCTGCCGGACCCAGTCACGACGGCAATGCAGCGAACCAGGCTAGGCAGGCGGTCCCTTTGACTGAGTCTTACGCGCCCAAAGCTCCCTACTATCCCGACACCTACGAGCCTCGTGGCCCTCAACATCAATACAGCTACGACCAAGTGCCCTACGAGGTCAACACGGAACAGAACCAGGATCGGGATGACCACGTCCTGCGCAGCGTCAACTCTGGCTTCCAAGTCCTACGGCCAGGCACCTTCCAGCCACCCACACCTGAGGAGGTTGAGCTTGCCGAGCGGAGAACATCCAAGAAGCTCCAGAAGAAGAGGAGGACATCCGGCGACTCGCGGAAATCCGCCTTTACCGAACAGGTCTAATTCTCCATCGCGATAATCTCACGACGGCATCGATCTTTACCGCCTTTTCCTCGAGTCCTCGCTGTCACCCGTCCTCCTACCACTATCACGTGCCGGCACCAGCAACTGTATTGAAAGTTTTATAGCGTTTAATTTTGTATCATCTGGCAATCTCTAAGGCTTCTTCTGGGCAGCATAGCATTGGGCACTTTGCATGTACGTTTTGGAGCATGGACAGACCCACCTACTGCTGTTTTTCATAATCACTCTCTCCGCCGCAACAGGTTGCTTGGCACCAGGAATGCGAGCGGTGTCGTAGTAAATCATCATAATCGGGCGTTATAGACACAAAATGGGCACACCTAACGATCACCACGTAGCATGAGTACCAGGGACTACCGGCTCATTGCATAGCATATAGTAGAAATCATGAACTTTTTCTCGCACTGCGCTCGCTGTCTGTTCGTTGTCGTGCCGTTTTTCCATCTACTCATTTCACACTAAAATGAAGAATAGCTTCGCGCAGTGAACTTGACTTGGTACTCGCTTTAATCTACTCCTTACAGACTACGGCTATAATACTCTCCGTCAGACCTCACGTTTGACAAGAGGCGAGACGAAGGATTAAAGTTCTTACCCCCTGGACGCCCGCAGCCCGTGGCTTTAATCTGACGAACACGAAAGCCAAGTCGTTAATTGCCGTCCGTCAGCAAACCGCCAGCTGCACTGCTGACCCCAGGAACACCAGCCACGCCCAACGTCGCAACTTTTTGATTGGACAGACGCACGGCATATGCAGAGGAGGCTGAAGAGCTAGAATAAAAATCAAGTGTTTCTTACATTTACTGCGGAGTAAGCCTGGCATACGCTAGGCTGCCTGATTTAACGTATAGTAGTACAATGTACGCCACGGGGATATGTGGGTTGTGAAGCCGGCGGAAGCTGGGAGAGGTTTGGGTTAGGTAAGGCGCCAGCCTTACCTAGGTAGTTTGTCGACATCTGCATGTCAGCTTTGACGGCTAGAAAGAACGCATGTTTGCCTTTGTTTGCGCTCAGCTGGGGACAGAAACAGGGAGGGTTTGTAGATAGACAGGGTGGTCATTACACACATCATGTTCCAATCGCATCTTGTTAGAATGTTCAGCTGGATTGTAGGACATGTTTCATGCACGAGTTGAAGAAAGAAAAGACGACACTTCACCCACTCATTCACTAATTCACTAATTCACTCCCAACATAAGCTCAACTACATTAGGATAATGGGATGGAAGGAAACCCGGTCGCTGGACCGGCAAAATCGGCTTATATCCACTGGTACTAGTACCGTGCCGTACTAACCAGCTATCGCTACCGAGCCGTGTCTCTGTTCCCTTGAATCCTCTCTCTTCTTCTTTTCTTCGCTTAGGCGTGCAACTTGCGTGTTTTTTTTCTTGCATGTGGCTTGTTGAGACTCGGTTTCCATATTGCTTATATTTTTCCACGCGCACGTGGTTGGTCAAGCTTTATCGAAGATGGTAAGTGCGTTCGGTCCGGTTTACTGAGATGAAAGGGATCAGGGACGGGTAGGTAGGAAATTGGAGACTTGGGACGATATTGCGAGTTGGAAGCTTGAGTACTTGCGACGAAGAAAGAAAAAGAGAAAGGTGATGTTGAATATGTCATATAGCATGCAGCGTTCTCTGTTAAGAACTAGAAGAACTGGGATAATGCTGTTGCATGAAGACAAGTAACCTGGTCATCTTGCAGCAAAATCACGTCTTACATGGCTGTTGACGGGCGAGGACTGGGGTGTTTGCCGCCAAGAGCTCGGCCTCCTTTGACCAAGGTCGTCACTTCCACATTCGCACATTCCAGAACATCGTTTGCGTTATATGGTTCACAACGGCAGCTGCGCTCACCGGTCACGTCACGCCTTGCATACATACCCCCATAGGCCAATTGCTCACCCCGCGCTACTAGAGTTCCAATACCTAAACTAGAACGTCAAGCCGTGTGGCTTGCATAATTGACCTCGGGCGGCTTTTTCGCAGCGTTTGTAATCGATAGGTGAGTGTAGCGAGAGGCGGGGTTAAGTCACTGCCTGCCTCCCTGCCCGCTAATAACCTGATTTGCGAGATGAGGACCCCGGAAAGCCTCACCATCATCTACGATAACGGCGTTGTCTTGTCTTGCTATATTGATTCGTTGCGCTTTGCTTATGTCGACATGTGGAGATGGAGGTTACGTTGATTCGAGACGTAAGGAAAGGTTGAGGCGTGGTGATGTGCTGGCCTTTAGACGAGATGTTTACGGACCGAGATTGTGGGTATTGGCCTTTACAGGTACAAGGGACTTTGTCCTGTAACCCGCCACAGTCGTACGAAATCGGTATCTGATGCATCGGTGCAGGATCTTTGTACGCCAATCGATGCCTTGTCTCAACAGAGAAGCCTGGGATTCAATCGATACAGCTTACCGTGCACCAGGTCGTTGTTTCCCTGACCTTGGCTATACGTCCAGCGTCTGCGTTGCCCTATTTGCGACCTGTCGATCCGGCGTTGCAGATCTTTCGACTACCTTCTAGACGCGATCGTCCTTCATTTATACCGAGTACAACACGGTGATTCTGACGAGCGAAAGCGTGTCCGTCAGCCTTGCAGGTACACGCATATCGCGTAAGAGTGAGATTTCCCACAAATCTTGTAAGATGACGAGTACAGTCTGCAGTATGGCGGAAAAGAGAAGCGCATCCGACGGTGGCAAATCTGGAAGCAGGTTTAACATTTGGGGTTGGTGGAAAGGTGGAGCAGAACTGAAGGACGACGGTTGAGATGCATAGCCACGTGAGGCTTGCATGACTGACGGTGTGGGCGGTCCGCTCCGGTTCTAGAGCGTGTAATTCCCGCTAGCTGAGTATTGAATCTAGTGTAGAGATTTACGAGAAGGCGTTTATGAAGTGTCATGGCTTGCAGAAATTTGGCGGAGAAGATGGAGCCAGGTTGTGGTATATCGACGAGAACACAAGCAATTCTGTGGCTCAACGACCCGGGACAAGACATCCATACAGATTTACATCACATTGCGTGCTATACACATACTTACCAATGGTAATGATGTGCTCGAATATGGGCGGCTGCAGTATCGATCAACGGACACACTGACGTAGCGGTTACTACGCAGCCGCAGGACTGTATGGCCAGCCCTGACACCCAACCGTCATCATCGGACTCTCCTTGATCTCGTCCTGGCGCGCTTCCAGCTCCTCCACATCCCAGTTCGCCCAAACCATCTTCCCGCTCAGAAACTTGGTTTTTGGTTGCGACAGCCAAACGAGAAAGTTCGCGCTTAGTTCCACTGCGAAACAACTCAGTATATGTCCTTAATATCTTTTATTAGCACTTACCAGAGTCCATAGGCAGCTGTGACGGATCCGCGCCAGAGCCTCGGAAGATACCTGTATCCACCATTCCAGGATGTACGGCACATGCGAACAAATCTGGGTTCTCGGCGGCAAGGAACTCGATGATCTTTGTCTGCGCGGTCTTTGATACAAGATATCCCGATAATCCAGGTGTGTACGCTGGCGGCAGGGCGGCAGCGCCAGCAGCGAGCGTATACAACGCAGCACCAGGCTTTGCACTTGGGATGAAAGCCTGTGAAGCAATGATGATGGACTTGACATTTGTCTCATAGTCCGCCCACCAGTCTTGCAGAGATGTCTCGACAATCTTGGACGGCGAGGAGATGTGGGCTGCAGCAAGAACGAGGACATCCCAAGCGCCGACCTGTTTAGCAACGTCATGCATCGCACTTTCGTCAGTCGCTGAGACTGCGAAGACTCTGCATTCTGACTTGCTCTCTGCAAGCAGCTTTTCAGTCTCTTGAAGGGTTGATTCCGTGCGGCCAGTCAGAATCAAGCGCGCAGCGCCTGCTTTCGCAAAAGCGAGAGCTGTGGCGCGACCGATGCCGCTACCGGCCCCCGTGATAATCACTGTTTTTCCTGCTTGGCTAAGGTTTGAGTTTGATGGGTCGATAGCAGCATACGACTCGTTATGCCAAGTGGCCGTGGGGGAGGGAAATGGAGGCTGCATTGTCGCGGAGAGCAGATTGAACACGCCAAAAATGAGAACGGAATCGGTTCAAGGAAGTTCGCAAAGTTCTATGTTGTAAAGTGGGCCGGGGCGTACATCTAGCATGATGCCTAGAGGTTTGTCTGCGAGACCAGCATGTCTCACGTTCCTTTCGTACATGCTGATAGGCAGATGTACCGGATGTGTTGACATATTGAGTAGGTACATAGGTAGAGTGGGTAATAAGCACTAGTACGGAACAGCCCAAGCGCTCACTGCGGTACACCTGAGCCGGTATTTTGAGTTATTCGTACTGCATAACCAGAAGGTATATCCTTCAGGTAGCGAGAATATACTGATCTCGCCCTCATATACACCAATCGTACATTCATACATCGAAACCATGATATTAAAAGACCATGAACACTTTCCGACCATCTCCGCTTTTTCAGTTGGTGACTCTTCCCCTGCCATCCTCATGTGTTTGGCGGGTGGTAGATAAAGTCTGGTGGATGCGCTTCTGGAAGTTGGCTCATTGCGACATCCGCTCCCCCACCGAGATCCCACCAGTCTGGCTGCCAGTTTCGCATAACGAAATCGTTTTCCAGTGCTCTAAAGAATCCCAGAGATTGGAAGTCGCCTTCCATGTTTGCAGTATAGTCAGGCATTGACGACAAGGCCGACATATCAATGTCTGGGAGTTCACTAGCCATCAGATTTTGAATCGTATCGAAACTTGTCGGTGGCAGGCCCATCTCCTGTGTCACATTTTCGCTAGTGTCGCTAAAGACTAGGTCTTTGCGCCTCTCCTCTTGAAGGGTTCGTGAGACCCGATTCAATGCATTGATCGTCCTCTCGAACGGCACCAAGTCTTGACGCTGTGTCCCACTTTGAGCCATGGCAACTCCGATGTTCTCGAGAATTTGTATATCGCTTTCGCAATCTTCTGTTCTGTTGCAAGCTAGGATGTGCTCGTAAAGTGCGAATACGACACAGAAAGGATATAGTGTTATGAAACTGAAGCCAGGTTAGCAGCCGCACTGAAGGAAAGCTGGAATTGCTGCACTCGAGAAAAGTTACGGGAAAGATAGGACAGGGATGAGCGATGCTTACTGATTGGTTATGCTTTTGAACTTGACGTTCAAATTGGGCTCAGCGTAGAAGTCAAGGATGATGTTCAGGACACGTCGAGCGGCTCTGAGGGCGAACTCTCCTGGCCCAGGTCTTGCTTGGTGACGACGTACCAATCTCTGCAACCCGATTATCGTCGCGTAGATGTTCACTATGTGTAAGGTAAGCTGAAATTTACCTCTTATCTGCATCCACTGTACAGCTTCCACGTACTAATGTGATCGGCGACAAGGCAGCGAACGTCATCCGAGGTATCCTTCGCGTTCATCAATTCGTGCAGTTTCCACTCGTCCATGAGTGCCTCCATTTGAGCACATGTCTCATCGGTTTTCTGGGCGACGCTTCTGTCCTGGTCGTATGAAGTGTGACTGTCAACGTAGCTGATCAGTTCCACTGTCAACAGTGTAAACCGTACCCACATAACGCTCATCATAACTAAAAGAGCTGAAGGCTGCATGTTGTCGGGACGAAAGAGTAGTGGTGGCCGAACTCTGTTTGGCACATACCGCAAGACTGTCGGCTTCCCATAGAACAGGCGGAAGAAGGTGTCAATAGATAGGATGTACCAGTACGTAAAGCGCTCTGTATCCCTCTTGCTCTCTTCCTCAAAAGACTTTGCTGGTACGACATCCAACTGGTCTATGCCGGTTGATTTGATGTGCTGGCAGGCCTTGCAATGGAACTTCCACGCTAGTTGGTAGTCGTGGGAGGTCATCGCTGTCCATGCTGAAAGTGCCGCAGTATGTATGTCCATGATTGTGTCGTTCGGAGACTCAAGCCATGCAGGTACGCTCTCCAGAACTTTCATATAAGCCTTTATTGTTCGGTCCCCTCCTGGGCCGTCCATCAACTGCAATCCATAATACATTGCATTGTAACTTGGCGTTGATGTACAGTCAGATTCGGCTCGCATATAGCTGAGGTAGGAGCTACTCACTACATTACACGCACGCCAGGATCGATGTTGACAAAGGGAGAATCAAGAACCTCGGGTAGCGCGCGAAGAAGCCCAACATCCACCACAGAGTAGGCAAATGCGTCTGGGACAAGCATTGAGGTCATGACGCTGACGAATCCGTCTATACAAGATCGTGCCTCTGCCGGGGATATTTTAAAGTCCACACTAAGCGCCTCAGTACGCACTCTCAACTTTCCAAGGTCTTCGAGGGCCTCGTTGAGCGCCAACATCGCATTATCGATATTTGATGTTGGTGTCGCGACTGGGGTGGCCTTATCTTGGAAGCTGCGCCGGGTGTCAGTTGCAAGCCGGTATATCTACAACAGTTAGCTGCTATAACCTGATAGGACTTTAAAGGATGCTCGTGTCCTCTAGGTTGCACTCTCTAACGCCTTTAGTACATTCCCGCATATAGATGCGAACATTCCTGAAGTACGTCGAGTCGTCTTAGAGCCTAACTCTGCGAACACGAGCTCCTTCGGCATTGATTATATTACCCATGATTCTTGACCATCAGCCACAGTTAATGAGGCCTCTGGAGATGGCACTGGTGTGCTCTTTCGAATTACTTCGCGTCTTGGTGGTAACTCTGACGCAGACGATGAACGGTCATCGGCAACATCGCTGATTTGCTTCTCGAGCATTTCTAATCGCTGGCTCAAATGCTGCACAACAGCCTTTTGTTGCGCGTGGCGCGGTCTTTGCCGCCTTTCTACATACTGGCATTCTTCTTTGGCAGCGATGCATTGGTGACAAACCGGCTCCGCTTTATCGCATTTAATCTTTTTACGCTTGCACCGAAGACACTTCAAGAGATGTTTAGCAATCTGCACTCTTCGATCGTTGTGGATGATGGGTACCTACGGCAAGCTTCATTGTCATTTTATAGCTGCAACGACTTCTTGGACGCACTCCCGGATTCCGAAAAGAGATCCGCGCGCGTAAGCGGTCTGGTCAGCTGCCGAATCACCAGATGTTTTGCAGAATTGCGCATCGAGAAAAGGACGTAGATGAGGTGGGCGGCATAGCTAATGCCGCGCAGTCCGTGGAGCACGGACATATGGAGCTTGCCAGAGTCCGAAGGGATCACGTGTTCCCGAAACATGACGCCTAGGCACCAAAATGTCTCCTCTCTCGATGCAAAAGGGCTGAGACACTCGGGCCAGCAAGCGCCAAGAAACCCGAGAGCCAAGCGGCTGGAACGGGGTTTCGGGAATCTCTGCATCATGGAAATAGTCGCGAAGACATTGATCGTCAAGAATCATGGTTCAATAAAAGGAATCTCGACGACGAGCGCTTCAGAACTATTCCAACACCGTGAACTAGCATCTTGCTTACACTCTACGAGCGCTGTTCGATCTGTGCAAGGGCTCCAACTGTAAGTGCCCCCGTTATACATGCCCAAAATCTACGAACCCTGACTGTTGCTAGTGCTATTCGTGACCAATAACATTATAGTAATATTTCGAGATACCCTGGCCGCAGTTTCTTCGAAGTTCGTTGAGCGCGCATCTCTATCTGAGCATGTCAGCTGGACTAGGTTTCACTGAGACGCAAGCGGTTACCGAAGAAGCCCATGTTGACCGCTTGAAATTGGAGTCGGACGCTAGCTCCAACTCCACAGGACTTGACGACAGGACCGACGTCCAACAAGAAACGCAGCGTGATCGACATGTCCATGAGCTTGTGCGCAAGTTTACAACACAGTCTGAGCAGCAAAATGTTGGCTCACCCTTCACCGACAATGTGCACGAACGACTTGACCCCAAGAGCGACCATTTCCGTGCCAAAGATTGGGCTCGATCGTTTTATGACCTGCGCTATAATAGCGAAGAAACCATTCCTCGTGTTGCCGGCGTCGCTTTCAAAGGTCTGAATGTCTGGGGCAAAGGTTCGCCAACTGATTTTCAATCGTCAGTCGGTAACACCATCCTCAAGCTTCCTTCTTTGTTCGGTAGAGGCACGCAGAAGATTGAGATCTTGCGAGGTCTAGACGGACTACTCCTTCCGGGAGAGCAACTATGTGTCCTTGGGCCACCTGGGTATGTTTGAAAGTTGTTGGATACTGCTATATGATCTAACAAGTAGTAGATCAGGATGTTCTACGTTGTTGAAGACTATTGCCGGCGAGACTCATGGTTTCCAAGTCAGCCCCGACTCGTATTTGAACTACCAGGGAGTGCCAGCAAAAGACATGAACTCCTTGTTCCGTGGGGAAGCTATATATACCGCAGAGGTTGATGCGCATTTTCCCCAGTTAAGCGTGGGTGACACGCTGTACTTCGCTGCCCTAGCTCGAGCACCTCGTGTCATTCCTGGTGGCATCAGTCGCCAGCGCTACGCTGAACATCTACGAGATGTGGGTATCTGAACGCAAGCCTAAGTTGAATGATTACTGACTTATAGTAGGTCGTCATGGCTATGTACGGTATCTCGCATACGTCCAACACACGTGTCGGCAACGATTTCGTTCGAGGGGTTAGCGGAGGTGAGCGTAAGCGAGTAACGATTGCTGAGGCCTCTCTCAGCTTTGCACCTCTCCAGCTATGGGATAACTCGACTCGTGGCTTAGACTCAGCGAACGCGGTCGAGTTTTGTAAGACGCTGAGGACCCAGTGTGACGTCTTCGGTGCAACTTGCGTGATCGCCATCTATCAAGCTCCACAAGCCGCATATGAGGTTAGTTTTCAGCGAAATACATACCGCAGAAATGCCCGGCTGACTTCCCCAGGTTTTCGATAAAGTCACTGTACTGTACGAAGGCCGACAGATTTACTTCGGACCGTCGAACGAAGCGCGCGCATATTTCGAACGTCTTGGCTTCGAATGCCCTGCCTCCCAGACAACGCCAGATTTCCTCACCTCTATGACGTCCGCATCTGAGCGCCGTATCAGAAAGGGTTTCGAGAACACCACGCCCCGTACCTCCGACGACTTCGCTCGATGCTGGAAAGAAAGCCCCGAACGTCAACGGCTGTTGCAAGCGATAGAAGACTACAACAACACCTATCCTCTCAAAGGCGAGCAGCACGAACGCTTTGCACTATCCAGGACCTTGGAGAAGTCGAAGAAACAACGGCAGAAGTCGCCGTATACCCTATCTTACTGGAGGCAGATCCGTCTCTGCATGTGGAGAGATGTGCAAGGACTCAAGAATGACCCGAGTGTTCCTCTGACTATGCTCATTGTCAACTTCTTCGAGGCGCTCATCATATCGAGTATCTTCTACAACCTACCTCAGTCGACCGCATCGTTCTTCAAGCGTGGCGGAGTCTTGTTCATGGTCGTACTGCTTAATGCTTTCGGATCGATGTTGGAGATCATGAATCTCTACGCAAAGCGTACTATCATTGAGAAGCACAATCGGTATGCTCTTTATCATCCCTCCGCGGAGGCGTTGTCGTCGATGATTGTGGACCTGCCATACAAGATCACCAACAGTCTTGTTGTCAATACGACATTGTACTTCATGTCCAACCTACGCCGAGAGCCCGGCCCATACTTCTACTTCTTGCTCGTTGGGTTTACCACCGGCCTCTCCATGAGTATGTTTTTCCGGCTATTCGCTTCGATGACGAAGAATATCGCCCAAGCGCTTGCTCCAAGCTCTCTCATCCTAATGATGCTCGTACTCTATACCGGCTTCGCTATCCCGATCCAGTATATGCAAGGATGGGCAGGTTGGTTCCGATGGATCAATCCGGTTTCGTATGGCTTCGAAAATGTCATGGTCAACGAGTTCCACAATCGGACATTCGTTTGTTCGTCTTTCGTTCCCTCTGGGCCATCATATGAGAACGTCGCCCCCGAACAGCGAGCATGTGCTGTGCAAGGCTCTCAACCAGGTCTGGACTACGTCAGTGGTACCGCATACGTCGAGACTGCCTTCCGATATAACTACGGCGAGCGATGGTCAAACTACGGCATCATTGTAGGCATCACGGTTGTTCTCTTCCTTGCTCACTTGATCATGAGCGAGTTGGTTGCTTCCGAGCGCTCCAAGGGCGAAGTACTTGTGTTCCGCCGTTCCAAAATGAAGAAGACGGCCAAGAAGCAGGGCGTTGACGAGGAAGCTGGAGGGGCAACTGTCCACGAGGGCGAGAAGATCAGTCGTACCACGGAGTTGGAACCTGGAATGCAGAAGCAGGTGTCCATCTTTCACTGGGAGAAAGTTACTTATGAAGTCCAAATTAAGGGAGAAACCCGTACTATCCTAGACGGTGTGGACGGATACATCAAGCCGGGTACGCTGACAGCGCTTATGGTATGGTAATCGGACTGTTTCTTCGTAGACCAAGTTGACAATGTTACAGGGTGTGTCAGGAGCAGGCAAGACTACACTACTCGATGTGCTCGCCAGTCGCACGACCATGGGTGTCATCGGGGGTGACATGCTTGTGGACGGCCGTCAACGAGACGAGTCTTTCCAACGACAGACCGGCTACTGCATGCAACAAGACATACATCTGGACACATCTACCGTACGAGAAGCCCTAGAATTCTCCGCGTTGCTCAGACAGCCGCCGGAGTATGGACGCGAAGAACGATTGGCATATGTCGACCACGTCATTCGACTCTTGGACATGGAAGAGTACGCGGATGCGGTCGTTGGTATTCCCGGATCTGGACTGAACGTTGAGCGCAAGTACTCCTATGCTTACAGTTATGCTCCCGCGAGCTTCGCTAACTTACCTCAGAACGCAAGCGCCTCACCATCGGCGTCGAGCTCGCCGCCCGTCCCAAATTGCTGTTGTTCCTCGATGAACCCACTTCCGGTCTCGACAGTCAGACTTCGTGGTCCATCTGCGATCTGATGGAGAAACTCACACGAGACGGCCAAGCGATCTTGTGTACGGTTCATCAGCCCTCGTCTCTTCTCTTCCAGCGCTTCAATCGACTCCTTTTACTTGCCAAAGGTGGAAGGACTGTATACTTTGGTGAAATCGGCCGTGACTCCGAAACCCTCCTCGATTACTTCACCCGCAACGGAGCGCCAGCATGCCCACCCGGTACCAACCCTGCCGAGTACATGCTTGCAGCAATCGGTGCCGCACCTGGCGCACGAACCGAGATTGACTGGCCTACCGTCTGGAAGTCCAGCAAGGAGTACGCGCACGTACAGGGTGAACTAGCCAGTCTCAGAGAACTTGCCAACCGGCCTTCTGCTGTCATGGACTCAGCCGACGCCAGCCATCAAGTCTTTGCAGCCTCTTTCATGGATCAACTCCGCGCTGTAGCCATGCGATGCGCACAACAATATTGGAGGACGCCGTCATACATCTATTCGAAGGCTATCTTGACCATTGGCTGCTCGTTGTTGATTGGGTTTTCGTTCTTCGACAGCGACAACACCATGCAGGGTCTGCAAAACCAGATGTTCGGCGTATTCATCTTCTTGTTCGTGGTCATCCAACTCATCTACCAAATCATGCCGATGTGGATTTCACAACGAACTCTGTACGAGGCCCGAGAAAGGCAGTCAAAGACCTATGCTTGGCAAGCATTCGTTCTCTCCAACATCTTCATCGAGTTGGCTTGGAATGCTTTCATGGCGATCTTTTGCTTCCTTGTGTGGTACTATCCCGCCGGCTTGTATCGCAACGCAGAAGCTACGGATGCAGTCAACATCCGCGGTTTCCACGCTCTTCTCATCGTCGTAGCCGTCTTCATTTTCGCAAGCACCCTCGCACATCTCCTCATCGCCGGCTCGCCCAACGAAGAAATTGCTGGTGCCATAGCTACACTGGTTACCATCATGCTATACGCCTTCTGCGGCATTCTCGCAGGACCCAGCGATCTGCCCGGCTTCTGGATCTTCATGTATCGCGTCAATCCTTTTACCTACCTAGTGTCGAGTTTCATGTCGACTACGCTAGGTCAGGCGTCCGCTTATTGCGCCGACTCGGAGTTCCAAGTTTTCTTCCCACCACAGGGTCAGACGTGTGGCGAATACATGTCTGAGTATATTGACACGGCTGGTGGCTATCTTCGAGATGCGGAGGCGACCGGGCAATGCGAGTTTTGCCAGATGGACTCAACCGACCAGTTCCTCTTGCGTATTCACGCGGACTGGAATACCCGCTGGAGAGATTTTGGTCTACTCTGGGTCTACGTTGCATTCAACATTGCGGTAGCGATCTTCTTGTATTGGCTTTGTCGCGTTCCTAAGGCGAAGAAGGTGAAGAAGAGCGCGTAGGCGATCTCGCGCGCTTTGACGCAAAGACGCGTCGAACAGTCTTGGCGCGTTGATATTGGGATCATTGCATTTAGAGCGTTCTAGGGATTTGACGTGAAGTCATTGATCCTTTTTTGTGTCTCTCCGATCGCTTTCCGGAGGAAGAAATTTCGTTACTTAATAGCGCGTCCGGGAGCCCGGCTTGTGATGTCACAGCCATCCGCATAATTCCATCTTGACATCACGAATATAGATTTCTCTTTCTTCGACCCTTGGGTCATTGTAAAATAGTTTAATTTAATACATAGCCGTTTCCCGTCCATCATGTTCGTTTCTGAAAGCCTAGTTGTCGATACACTGCACGCGAATCTGGGGTGACACATCCTTCACACCATGTCGATCAACGGGCGGAGTAGCTCGCAACAACAGCACCAACGAGATGGCATCGCACCGAAACGTGAGCCAGGATGGTCAATTGCGATCAAAAACTTCAATCCACAATGGTATTTATCTCGCAGCCCAAACGATACCCATTTCGCATGTTAACCATGAATCAGGTTTACCGTATCAATGGACACAGGCATTCTGTCCATAATAATGAACCTCCTGCCCTGGCAATTTCGCGGTCTAGGCGTCCTCGCAACGATAATGTTCGTCTTCAATATCGTCCTCTTCACGGTCTTCGCTCTCATCTCGCTGTTGCGCCTCACGAAATTCCCACGCCACGTCAAGATGCAGACACTCACCCACGAAGAAGAACTCTCGTTCCTCGGCGCGCCAGCCATCGCATACTTGACACTGGTAGCGCAGGTAACACTCACGTGCTCCACAGCATGGGGATACGGCTGGACTGTCTTCGCGTACGTACTGTGGTGGATAGGCCTGGTATGGACAGTGACGCTGTGTAGCTTCCAGGTCATAGTGCTTGCGAAGCGGGACATAACCGTTGATCGTAAACTCAGTCCTGCGATTCTGCTTCCGCTCATCTCCGTCATGACGCTTGGTACGACGGGCGGTTTGATCACGAATTACTCTGTTGGGTTGAGTGCCAGCATGGCCGTTCCTGTTATTGTTACAGGATACATGTGCATCGGCTACGCTTTCTTCCTCTCGCTTCTCTACTACGCGTTCATTGCTCATAAACTTATCGCTGTCGGCCTGCCCCCGCCGATGAAGATCCCCAGTCTGGTCATTACGGTGGGTCCTGTTGGACAATTTGCTACGGCGATTCAAGTCTTGAGCACGGCGGCGAGTACGAGAGGCATGTTTGGTAGCTATAACCAAGGGACGTGGCTACAAGCTAGTGCAGCGAGTAGTGTGAGTGCGGCTGCGACGTTGATTGCGTTGTTATCATTGGGCTTTGGTTTCTTGTGGATCACGGTGTCATGGTATATCGTGGTTGAGGCTCTCATCAAGAGGCAGCTGCCGTTTAGTTTGACATGGTGGAGTCTTATCTTCCCAATGGGTAAGTCAAACTTTCGGCATTAATCATATACAGAACTGACCAAAACATCCTAGGTGTCTTCACGACTGGCCTCCTCAACCTTTCGATATCGCTCAATTCGACTGCCTTCCGCGGCTTCACTACAGCCCTTCTCATATTCATGTTGATCATCTACTTTGTCAACTGGGGTGGCACGTTGTACCGGATCTATACCAAGCAGGCATTGGGAGTGCCTCAACAGCGAGAGGAAGAAGACGAACAAGCCAAAGAGAAAAAGGAGACGATGGACCGATACGTTGTGAGAAATGGAGGCCACAACGCGTAGTTTGAATCATAATAGAATAATTTTAGCGATATGATTCTGATACTTGTTATCCGTGTTAGATGCCCGATACTGTGTCTTAGCAATCACGGACGGCAGTGACAGAATACCGCTCAAGCAAAACATCAGCGATCTAATGGTCAATGCCAACTCAAATTCAATTTTACCTACGATTTATGCCTACTAAGCGACTTCAAAACCTGGGAAGAGCAAACTCTCGTAGTTTTACAGATCTTGGAAGAATGATAAAGCCTAATAATTTACAGAAGCAAAACTAGAGTGTATCTTCAGAATCGCGAGACCGCGTAGGTATTGGGCTCACTGCAGCGGCTCAACGAATTGTTTCGTTACAGTAGACTGTGGATTTGTCCAATGCGCTAAGACACTTGCTATCGCATGCGAAATATCCTTTAAGTTTTCCTTTGCGAGTTACGCATACACCATCGCCTCAACGATCTTCCCTAGTCTTCCACAACACACCATAAAGGCACCAAACCCCGTTAACGCCAAGGCTAAACTTCAATATCTATCCCTAAAAATCGCTCTGGCCAGCAGCAATGCAACAAATCGCCCAAAAGAACCTTTTTTGAGACTCCGCTTATTCGAACGCACTCAAATCCAATGGCACACTGCTGCCTCGTCCAGCGCGATATCTCTTTGGTCCGCCAGTGAATTCTCTCGGTCGTGGAAATTGTGATTCGTCTTGAAACCTCCATCTCAGATCGTGAATCGGCCTGATTCTACCCTTCTCTCTTCCACCTCCGCCGGCATGAGAGCTAGTCGGGCTCTTCATGCTTGATCCGCCATTTGTCAAGGTGTACGAGCTGGAATCCATCATCGATCGCAGTGGTGTTTGAGAGGCAGGTCTACTCGGCGGGGCACTTGGCGGTGGAGGTGGCGGGGCAGCAGGTGTTGGAGTGCGACTAAAAGCATTGCGCGCAGCTGTTTCTGCGAGAGAAGGTGCATGTCCATTCGATGGAGGCGGCGGGGGCGGAGGAACTGAGGGTGCGCGATTATCGTATTTGTACGGGTCGTATTCGTCGTCGTCTTCGTCGTCTTGCGCGCTCATTGACGGAGGAACAGAGGGGGGCGGAGGCGGCGGAGTTGATCGCGATGGTGCTTGAGGCGCTGGTGAAGGCGGTAGAGGCGGGGGTAAAGGAATTCCAATAGGTCTAGGAGACGTTGAACTCGGAGGTAACGGTGGCGGTGCTGGGGGAAGCGAGGGCGGTGCCCGAGCTGGAGAAGGAGCGAGACCAGAGGGCTTTCGAGAGGATGGTGGCGGCATAGGGGGTTTCTTTCCAATCGGAGGCGGAGGCTTGGGCTTCCCGCTTATACTTGAGGCTACCGAATTGGGCCTTGAATCCTGACCTCGAAGAGCATTGAGCGGTGGTCGCATGCTCGGAATCGGGGGCGCTGGAGGAACTGCTGATGGTGCCTTGGGTGCTGCTCGTGGTGGCTTAGGCGCTGAGCCTCGATTCGACTCAGGATCTGAAGCATAGGGTGCCTGGTCCTCTGCGCCTGTCTTGACGCCGCCTGCCTTTCTCAGTTTCGGCATCCCTCCAGCGAAGATTCCTGCCAGTTGCGGCGCGCTTGACCCATCCTTTGTATCGCTGTTGCTTCTTGCTCGGTTTCCCGGCGGCGCTAGACCTGATGGCACTGAGGGCGGTTTCCCCATGCCCGGAATCGCAGGGGCACCCATTGGGACTGCTGCTGGCCCGTCGCTCACTTTGCCTACTATAGGGGCAGATCGATCGTTGACTTGTGTGACTTTCTTCAATCGTGCGCCCTTTGTAATGTCACCCAAGAGTGCTCCCTGTGGCACGTTAGCTACGGCTCCACGTAGTGCCAATGTCCCGAGTGAATGCGACATACTCTGCCTGCGCCTGTCGCTTGCTTGCCACTCACTGGCTTCATTGCTGGAGGCATGCCTCTTCCCATGCCTGGCGGAGGAGGAGGTGGAGGAGCTAAGCGTAGGCGTGCGAAGTCAGTACATGTCTCACATGCAGTTCGTACAGGGAGACTTACGCGGTGGGGGAGGCATTTTGGTGGTTTATCTCGCTCTTCGATGCTATGTTTTCAATCTTTTCGGGTGATGTGTTGGAAGAGTGTATGCAGGCGTTGCTGCCTGGTCGTGTGCGTGGGCATGCAAAGAGTGGAGTGGAGTGTTGGAGTAAGATGATGGTCTTGGGTTCATTCGTCACAGCTTGGCATCATTCCTCCAGGCTCCACCTTACGTCAGCAATGGCTGTGCTGCCGATCAAACCGACCGTTAAGCTCTGCATTGCACCTTCCTCTCGCCACTTCCATTACTTCTATACAACCTTCGCTTCGAGGATGCAACCCGAATAATCACTCAATCTCTCCGACCTGCTTAAGATTTGTTGATACTATGGAAGTCTATCTCTGTTTCCCAAATCCTATCGAGCACAAGATACCTACTCTCGCTATTTCTCCCATACATGTCCTCTCTAGCTTTTGTCTTCAAAACTCTTACCTTGATTCTGTCTTCATAATCATCCATCTTGTCCTACCTCTCCAATGCTGTCTGCTTCATGCTGCTTCATTACTTCTGCGCTCTCAATTCCGTTATTCTATTGTTGCCCCCTTAATGTGCACTCGCTCTAGCTTTTGAGACATTTGCGGACGACGTGGCCTTCGTGTTCGTGATATCTGTTTTTCTTTTGCAGATGTGCGATGCCGTCGAGGGAGGGACTTATAAAGGTAGGAGAATCGATGCTTGCGCTGGCGGATCGTCTTGGGCTTGTAATGGTAGAGTAGTGACCGTGGTTGTGGAGATGTCGTGTGTTGTCTCCTGGATTGTTATAGCCATGCCAAATAGCATGTTAGTTGCTGGCTTGAAAACGCGCTTAGACATAGCATTGCATTGACAACGTCGCAACGAATCGTGAGGCATGCGCAAAGGAGGGTAGGGACTCCCTACCGCCTTCTATGGAACTTGTGAAGGCCTTTTCAGTCGTACAACTCTTCACCTCATCGTTAGTCAATCACCATCGTTTGCTGCCCATGCGCCTTAGCGAGTATCACATATAGCAAATTCTTTTTCCTTGACCCTTTCTGCTCTGCACCACGACAACACCTCAGAGTCGCGCGTGGGCTGACTGCAGGAAAACTGCACCCACTTCGTCGCTCTTAATTGTAGCGCCTCAGTACTGTGCTCTTAACTGCAGCACTTCTGAGTCTTCCAACTCATTGGGCCGCTCCTACTTGCCTTGTGCAGTAGGGTCCTCCTGAGACAGTTGCGCGGTTTCGTTCATCCTTGTGGCCCGACTCCGTTTCTTTCTCTCCCTCCCTCCTTTGCTCCTCTCGGAGCAGCTGAGGTCCTCTTCGCGACCTCTTCAGCTCCTAACGGAGACGTCGAGGCCCACCCCCGTTGACCATAGCTCTTAAGTGAGCTGGGTTGACACACCGACCGCTTCTCCTTCTTAGAAAGATTTGCCTCTGGCGAATCTCCTACGGGCGCTGAGTCGTCGTTACTATAGTTAGGGTCTCCTTATCTGTAGTTCTTCTTTACCATTATGTTTAATCAGCATAATTACGCTGCGTCTAACGCTCGATATCTGGATGGCGAATAGGCCATCTTCCCAGACGGCCAGCCCACTGTACCTCTGCCAGCGGCTACTCTACTCGAGCAGGAGACTGAGGACCTCGAGATGCTCTGTATAGCGACGAAAGCGACATCGAGGTCGAGCTCGAAGGAAAGCCAGTCCCAGGAGCAGACCAGAGAGCAGGCGGCGACACTACCTAGGTACCATGGGCGACGCCGAAACCGAAACCACACCGCCGCCTTCAGACGACGACGAAGACATCGGCTCGAACAAAGACAAGGACGAGGTCATGGAGGAAGCGAACGAGCAGGACGCAGACGAGCCTCTGGTAGACACATGAAGTGGGGCAGTGTGGCTGAATCGAGTACATCAGCCCCACTAAACGTCATTTTGCACAGCCGCTTATCCGTAGTCGTACGCAGCTGACTGCACAGCACAAGTCACTCGCAGGCTTTTATTACGCTTCCCTACAACACCATTTTACTCCTAACTACCTCCTGATATCACAGCCATGGGGATATCCTCACAGTACGTGCTGCTCGTCGCCGTTGCGATACTCGTGCTACTGCCAACCGGCGCCTATGGCTTTGGTGCGGGCAACATCGCGAGTATCTCAAAAATTGAAGGCAAGAACTGGCGTCATGGCGACATCGAAGACATGCTCGCGACGGTCGCTTGCTTGAAAGGGCACAAGTGGAAGAGTAATATGATAAAGGTATGCCCAAATGGCAATACTACTGCGCTTACAATGACTGACCCTCCGTGTAGCGTGTGTACTTTGGCAACTGGCTACGCGATTACTCACAGGTGATTCCTACGGACTGCGCGACGCTGACTTACGCTGACTGATTCAGGCTGTTGATGTTGGAACGTTGGCCAAGGTCCAAGTACGTAAATACGGCAAATACGCTTTCGTGAGTCAATAAGCTTACATTGACTAGGGAGAAACCATCCGCGTTCTGGTTTGGGTTTTGTCGTTTATGTCTTTTGGCTATGCGACTGGAGAGTTCGAGGTTACAGCCGAGAGACTAGGTGTCTATAGGCCCGAGGAGCACATTGGTAAGCGAACTTGGTCTCTTCGGCTTATCCATACTAACGAAAGTGCAGATAATCCAGTAAGCAAACCCGGCTTGCACATATGAGTGTGACTTGACACTAACATCTCCAAAGAAGGATTATGCCGACAATGAGGACGCACGAAAATACGACCCTCGTCTGCGAGGTCCCGTTTCAGAAGCTGAGCTCGCAGTAGATCCAAACACCGGTATGAAGAACTATATCGCGAACGAGCATGGTAACTGGGCTACATCAACCGGATATGTGAAATACTCCTTTGCGCGCGCCATCCATTTTGGTCGACTTTATACCCACGGATCATCAGGTCAACGCGGACGAGACGAGGACCTATCAGAGGCGCTTCGCTGTCTAGGCCAAGGACTGCACTGCCTCGAAGATTTCGGAGCCCATACCAACTATACTGAGCTTGTACTGCGCGAGCTTGGTTACCATAATGTCTTTCCTCACGTGGGAGTACAAGCTGGCATCAACCTTCGTGGAAAGCACACTTATCCGCTCGTGACGGGCACATTCGGAGGTGTTGACTTCTTCCATTCAGTACTCGGAGAGGCCAATGACCATATTACGCAGACTGAGATCGACGAGGTGAACACTGCTCTCGTGGATGCAGTGTCTGGTGGTGCTAATGGACAGAGAAGTGGACCTGGAGGCCAGTCCAACGCTTGCGGTGGACTGATAGATGTTCTGAGCAAAGTTCCCGGTACTGGCGATCTCATCAGACAAGCGCAGGATCTACAGGCCTCATCAGATGCGCAGGCTGCGGCCAATGCGCGCGGAGGTTACGGTGACTATAGTTCATCGAGAGCTGGACCTAATACCTTTGATGCACCACCTGGATCTATGGGCGGACCACCAGGACCGGACATTCCAGGAACGAACACCGATCCAGCCACCATTATTCCTAAGATCTACCCTATCCTAGGTAAGAATATTCATGAATATAAGACATGGAGGCCAGGCTAACCTTTCGCAAGTCTTCCGCGATAATGTTGTACGCAGCATCTCGGCCATCATCTCCAAGATTCCTGGCCTTGAGAAACTGATCGAGACCATCACCGAGCGCGTCACTCTATTTGTGCTATCACTTCTTGCACCCTTCATCCTACCGATCATCAAGACAGCCTCATCCCAGCTGAAGAGTGGTTCTTCTGCTGTCATCGACTCAGCAGCCAAGCATCAGTTTGAGGTCTGGACAGACCCTACATCTACCAACCCAACACACAGCATGTTGTCCAAGGACCACTTCTCGAACGTCTTGAACCCGCCAGCCGGTCAAGTCGCCGTGGCGATCTTGCAGTATGTCGCGCCTCGCGTCATATACGCTTGGGACCACCCAGATGTTCCTGTCGACGAGGTCTTGAACGACTGCATGCGTGTTTTCCATCACCCAGCACTCCGAGACCCGCACTGCGAGGTACACAACAACATGTTCAAAGTTGTTGAGCAATGGGCCCGCAACTACCACGGCAAAGACTTGAACCAAATTCTGTCTTCTGAATCAGTAAAGGCTGGACACAACCACAGCGGTGACCACGATCACTCTACTGGTCACAGCCATGGTGCGGTAAACATGTCGAGCTTCGGAGGCCATAGCCATGGCAGTGGCGGTGGCCACGGAGGTGGCTACCCGGGCCAACAACAGTCCAGCGGTTCCAGCGATCTCCTCGGCTCCCTGACCAGCAAGCTTCCCGGTCCTCTCGGCGGTATGCTCAGTAGCTTCAGTAGTAGCTCTGGAAAAACTCGCGACATGGACGATGACTTCTCAGCCTCCTCGTCCGCAGCACCAGCACCATACCAGCCGTCGCCATCACCGCAACCCTCGCAGTGGGCTGGTTTCCAACCTTACCAGTCCTCCTATGCAGGCGAGGCTTACCAGCCGCCTGCCGAGTACAGCAACGCAGTACCTTCTGGTGGGTACGGATGGGGTCAGGGTCAGTACTCTGGAGGTCAGGGTGCGGAGCCTAGCTATACTGTTCCGACAAACTACCAGCAGGGTTACGAGAATTACAACCATACACAGGGAGGTTATGGCCAACCACCAGCTCAACAGCCACCTCCAGGATCTTATGGTGCGTATGATCAGGGTGGTGCCTATGGCCAAGGTCCGTCAGAAGGTAGTGGGAGGCAGTGGGGCAGCGGCGGGAATTCAGGATGGTAATTGCTGGTGCAGATGCCTGAGTTCCAAATAGGGCAGAAGGCGTTGAACATCCTCGGCGAGACTTTCTAATGGATACGTGTTTTGGGACGAGTCCATAGATTCATGAGTAATGCAAACTTGACATTTCAGTCCTGTCAATGTGTTCAGTGCGATAGAGTAGAGATTCTTTTATCCATTGTTTCCCCACCACATCTCTTCCACGGCCTCATATCCTTTGGTTCCAACCTCTTGTAAATACATGCATCGAAGAATCGCCTTCCAAAACAGATTGCCCCAAGCCAGATGATATGCCAAATGAACGCCGGCCGTTATGCTAGCGTCTCGTGTTTCGTAAATCTTTGGGTGATATTGGTACAAGATACAGGATAGAGCTGCCTCGTTCGCAAGCCACTATACCCTCACTTTCTTTTCGTGATAGATTATGACATGTATCGGATTTACTCGTTGATCTTAGCCAGGAGCCTACACATGAAATGTTAGTCATCTATCCCAAAACATGTAATCGCATCTCGGTGTATGGTGCAAACATACTCGTGGTCCCGGAACAGGCTCAACTCCTCTTCGCCAACCTTGATGGGGCTTCCGCCGAATTGCGGGATCAAGACCTTGTCGCCGGGTTGTACGCTGGGAGTAACGCGCTTTCCATCTTTGTCAAGCATGCCGGGGCCGACGGCGACGACCTTGGCTTCGTTGAGCTCCTTGACGGCGGTCTCGGGAAGGAAGATGCCCGTTGCGGTCTTGGCTTCGGGCTTGATGCGCTGGACGAGGATGCGGTCGAGGAGGGGCGCAATGCTGCGGATGGACTTGATTGCGGACTATAGGGGGAATTGGTTAGTCTGAAACTGTGCGTGCATGTGTAGAGGTGTAGAGTGTGTAGTGGGGTGAAAGTGGTCGTGGTGCTCAATGCTCGTGTAGATCGGATGGTAAGTGGATTGGAAACGGGTGGAGCTTACCATCTTGACAGACTATAGAAACTGGGTATCACAAAGAATCAGGTAAGACTAGAGTTGCGCTGGCTTGTAGAGTAGAAAGATGTCGATGAGAGCTAAACAGGAAGATGAAGATGTTGTGCTTTGCCCTTCCAGAAAATTCCATGTCCGTGCACTTACCTCGGAACAAGCTGCGGAACGCTTCGCATCTCGTCCATTACCAGAACCAGTAACTTTTTTCGCTTCGGCCTTTTGCATTCTTTCCTTGGTCTGTTTCATTTTCTCGCCAGTACATCGGTGTCTTCAGTGCTTCTTATGTGGAGAAGCAATGTCCTCAGACGCGGGCATTGTTATCACACTGCAAGACCGAAATATGTAGCTAGGACATTCCGACGTGCGAATTCTACGAGAAGCTTGCCAATTGAAAACGATGAGTTCATGCTGGCTATGCGAGCCGGTGGATTGGTGGAGGAACAGGGTGATTATGTAGTCAGAAGTCGTTTGGGCAAGTGGTATTTGTATTTCTTGCAACTATGGCCGACTGACGGTACGCAGGTGGCATAGGCATTGCTATTAGTGGGGGTGTCGACTCAATGGCACTCGCTGCGCTGTATACACAGTCTCGAACAGAAGACTCCCGGCTACCCCGTGCTCATGGTTTCATCGTGGATCACGGAGTGAGACCTGAGAGCACCGAGGAAGCGGAGTGGGTTGCAATGCAGTTGCGCTCGAAGCGTGAGATACGGAACATATCTCTTGCCTTCTAAGCACTGACTTTGTCCAGTTGGCATTGAATCCACCGTCCTTCCGCTCACATGGCCCGACAACTTCGACCCCAAGGACTTCAAGCGATTCGAAACCGAAGCGCGCACTCTCCGCTACCAAGCGCTAGGCCGAGCATGTAGAGACATGAGGATTACACGTCTCATGGTGGCACATCATGCAGACGACCAAGCGGAGACAGTCATGATGAGGTTGGCGAACAACAGACTGCGATCGGGGCTCCAGGCGATGCAGCGCAAAGAGTGGATACCAGAGTGTGAGGGTATATACGGCGTGTACCACAGCGGCGACCAACAAAAGCCCAATCGCAGCCTAGACATACCGTTCCCTGTCGAGCAGGGAGGCGTACAAATTTTCCGGCCACTGTTGACGTTCGAGAAGACAAGACTGATCGCAACGTGTGAAGAGAAAGGTGTAGCCTGGGCAGAGGACAAGACGAACCAGATAAAAACGCTTACGTCCCGCAACGCTATACGCCATATATACAAGAACCATAAACTTCCAGAGGTTCTGAGTGTCAAGTCGCTGGTTAATGTTTCGCAGCATATGCAAGAGCGCATCAAGCGACATAGAACCCTCGCAAACGAACTCTTCGACAAGTGCCTGATAAAACTCGACATACAGACAGGTTGTCTTGTGGTCCGATTTCCTCCTTTCTCCGACCTACTACCTTCTACAATCTATAACGAAGCCGACAAGATCGATAAGACCTACGCGAAGAACACAGCATATTGTCTGATAGAACGCGTGGCGGAACTAGTCACGCCCCGCTCTAAAGCGCCTCTTGGTCAGCTCGCAGCAACTGTCTGTCGCATTTATCCCGAACTTGAGGATCTGGAAGATGACGAGGGGCCCGAACATTGGAACGTGGTGCGGAAGAAGAACTACTGCGTCTACAACGTGTGGTGGCGCTTCTGGGACCAAACTTCGCCGTTTGACAGGCGTAAGCACCAAGAAGCAGGCATCGATCCGTCTTTACCCCATCCACGAGAATGGCTGCTCACACGACAACCCCTCGATACGAACGAGAAAGCAGATGCCGGGAATCACATCGTCTTCCCCCCACAGACATCTCCGAGATCAGAGTTCCGACTTTTTGATGGCCGCTACTGGATCCGGCTGCGCAACCGTCTTCCGTACGACAATCTGGTTCTGCGCATCTTCTCAAAAGACGACATGCGCTACTTGCCAACTTATCAGCAGAACAAAGCCCAAATGCAGGAGTCTGATGCTGGTCGTCCTTACCGCTACATCATGGCCGCTTTTGATCTCCTCAAACCAGCCGATCTACGTTTCACCCTACCTGCCGTTTTTCGAAAAGACTGCAAAACGGGTGAGGAAACTCTGATAGGGTTTCCAACGCTCGACGTGCGCACTCATGGCTTTGGAGCACCAAAAGAAATCTGTGATTGGACTGTGCGCTACAAGAAAATCGACTTTGGGTCACGGTCAGCGGGTGATCTCATTATACCGGGCAGTTCGAGAAAAGACATCATTGTTGAGGAGATGCGGGAGAGGAAGACTCTGGAAGGTGTCGAAAAGGCACGGAAGGCGGAGGCACGGAAAGAGAGACACAAGGAGGCACTAAAGGCGAAGAAACAGCAACAACGTGAAGAGACTAGCAACGATGCTCTCATAGGGTACAAGCGCGTGGTACATGTTGATGGAAGGGATGGAAAGAGAAGAGAGTGGAAAGCCGCTGCAGAGAATGTGCAAAGAAGTATGCAAGCAGAGGAGGCGGATGCACTAAGCTTCTTGGAGAAAGAGAGCAGAAGGTAGTATCTGTACCTTTGAATTTAGCAATTGATACCCCATACCATTCGATACAACGTATCTTGACTAGATTGTGCAAGTAGGTCGAGGTGTGAGAGGTGTCCCGCAAGGCTAGACTGATGACGTTGTAGGAATAGGCACCGAAAGTGCATCCAGCCAAATGGGAAAGGCATATGTCGTGGATGCCCGTCTCCACCAACGCATCGCGCTCCTTCCCCGCCTTGCAGCGGCAGTCGAGCGCCATTGCGTTGAGCTTATTTTGACCGCTATTACTTTGCAGACCGCCTGTGATGTTGGTGTTGGCTTATCACGGTTGTTAGCCGTGGTTGCATTAATAGTAAAGACAGAAAATGGCCTCATGTTTCGTTGGCCCAATGACCAAGTGCATCCCGGCAGCGCGGGGAAGATTGCTAGACTAGGGTGCGAAGTTGTCGTTGTGTGGTGCTGCAGATACTGACACCGTAGCTGACATGGGGTGCAGAATTTGGAACAAAACCACACAACCTCAACAAGTATTGTATGGCTTGCTCGTGATAAAAGTAGTTCCCAAACGCTATTGACGTTGACTCATGTGGTGGATCCCGGCCGGGAGCCTTTGAGTAGCCACGAGCTCCGCGCTCCAGAAAGAAGCGAGAGTAGTCAGGGACAGAGATCCACAGTATTTTCGATGGACGAGGCCCTTTGCGATTGCTCGACAAATCGTCAATTGGGCTACCAGCGGCTCAGAGATGCAGTGGGCGGTAGCTTGTCAGATGTTGATTAATGTGTGGTGGAGTCTGCTCATGGTAAAGTTGTTCAATAGCATTTAGCGTTTCAAAGTCATGAAACGCAGCGCGACATGACTGGGTGCACAAGGTTGCTCACGCCAGGCACAAGGCCGCACGGTAGAGGTCAGCCTCTTGTCGCCAAATTTGCGCCCGAGTGCCTGTGGCGGTGAGCGGGACGCGGATTGGATACGGTCATAATTATTGCCAGGGAGATCTTCTGCGGAGTTTTATCGAGTGCTCTGTGCGTACCGTCATGTTGGGCAACAACCGCTGAGATGACAGGATGCAGATCTGAGCAGAAATTCCTTTATGCGTCTCAGGTTTGACAGCTGTCGACGTGTGTGGAGAGTCGATGTTTAGCTGAAAGATGGGCGACTGTCCTGATACGACCGGTACGTAACAGACGGCTTTTAGATGTGGCAGGCTAGTCTATGGTGCTGCCCGTGGTTAACACCCCTTTCACGTGAGTGGAATATTGAGCCGGCATTGCCCTAGCACACTGGCCAGGTGTTTTCGGCTGATCTGAGATGAAGGCGACCATTCTGAAGAGTCAGTCCGACTTTAGCAATTTTCACTTGTACCGCTGCCGTGGCAAGGCGGTGTCTACAATCTCGATACGACGATCAACCCTCGTGGGGGCTTGTGCAAGATGTCAATGGGTACATGTGTTAATACTGTTGGAGTAGTATACTGGACAGCTTTCGGAACCGAAGAAAAGCAAGTATGCGTGCGTGAACGCCATGAAAGCTAGAGGATGGCGGCACGTAGTCTCTTCGGCTGCATTCGCCAGCTGGAAGGTTAGCAATTTGGGCGCCAGGGTCTTGACGCCTTTTGTAAACGGGGATCACGCTTGGAGGGTGGTGGCGTGGCGCGATTCGTTACGTGCAGGCCGCTAGAAGTGTCTAGCCTTGTATGCTCAGGCATGCTTGGCGTGGCGCCAGAGTTGGAGTTGTGCAGAGTTCGCGATGGCGCGACCAAGACGGCTGTGGTGTAGCACAGAGCTGAAGAGGTGGTAACAAACTTGTTCACAGCAGCCGTTGAGCCGCGCACTGGTCGAGAGAGACTTGAGGAGCGCTCTGGTGATGATGTGCATCCCATGGATTGGATGCAGGATAGCAGTGCCGATCACGGTTATACTGACGATGGTGTGAGATAGATGTACAGTGTAGTGATGGATGACGGTTCATCGATGACAAAGACAATGACGGCCTAACAGACAGGCACATGTTCACCACGACGGCGCCGCTTAACCGTGTCTCGTCGTGGTCTAATCGTGTCTCGTGAGCCATCAAAAGATATCAGCGTCTCAGACTGCATCCCAGGCTTGGTCGATCTCTTCAGCAAGTGGTGAAGAGGGGCAGACAGATCATGCGACCAGGTCCCAAGGGTCTGTTGGCCACGAGCTTATCAGACGCGTGGGCGCCAACCGTGAGAAGCGTCAGAAGCCGCCGTGTGCCGATGACAGACACAAGACAGTCTCCCTCTGCTCACCGTGGCCATGGTAGTGAACGACAGGTTGATGCTGGATGCACAGTCGCTGTTTCAAGACTTCGCAGTGCATAACGTTGGTGAATGGTGCTATTCGGGCGGGCTAGGTGCAGGCGGGTCCGTCCAAGAGGACGTGCAGCCGCGAAAGCCAATTTCGTTGGTGGCATCCCTGCCTGGCGAACCCCTACCTAGCAACAGCCCTCACCTTAAAGTTCTCCCATTCCTTGATCGTCTGAGATTTTCTATCCTTCTTTCCTCCTCACCGCCCTTCGTATCCTTAACAAGGTCGTGCCTGCTCGTCTGCCGCTGCACTTTGCGAGCGTGGAACTTTCCCTTTCCGTACATCTTGTAATACCCAAACATTGAGCTTGCCTCGACAACACTCCTCTTTTCGAACCCTCTTACCCCCCACACACACAAACACACAAACACCCGCTCCCAAAACAAACAGCAATACACAACATGTCTGCACCCGTCGACGCCCCCAAGCCGGTTGAGCACCCCGAGGTTGGCACTGTTGGTACCGTTGAGCCTGCGCCTGCCCCAGTAGTAGCGAGCGAGCCAGTCACCGCTGCGCCTGTAGTAGAGGAGGCGCCAAAGACGGAGGATGTTTCCAAGACTGAGGGCGAGACCGTCGCGCCAGTAGAGGAGGTCAAAGAGGACAAGGTTGTTGAGCCCATCTACAGCGGTGCGCTCGGCTACAAGGCGCCTGGTCTGAAGAAGTGAGTGCATTCGCCGGTCATCGCACTGGCTATTTGCTAACATGCTCCCCAGCGCTTTCCGCTTCGCCAAGAAGTACTTCTGGTTCGGCGAGGAGCCCGTTGCCGCCGACAACCTGAGGGAGTACCTCCGTGGCGAGAAGCCCGAGATTGCCCACCCTGTTGTCGCTTGGTCCAGCCAGACCGGAAAGGGTCTTTTTTTCTTCGTCAAGCACGCAGACCAGAAGGAGCACCCCGCCGGTGTCCTCAACTTGGTATGTTGGAATTAAAGCTTTTTACGAACCGACATCTAACGCGCAAAAGGCCTATGCCACCGACCTGGCCAAGGACGGCGCTGTCGCTTTCGCGTTCAAGATCTCCGGTCACAAGCACACCTTCGAGGCCACCACCGCCGCCGAGCGTGACGGATGGTTCGTCGCCGTCGAGAAGGCCATCACCGAGGCCAAGGCTTCCAAGGACACCATTGAGTCGAGCGAGGGCTACAAGGAGCACAAGGAGAAGATTGGTACGTTTGCACTTTGTTCACGTCGCGTCGCGTCGCGGTCGCACTAGTGGACGATCTGGCCGTGTTGCTGCAATAGGCTAACATCCCGCAGGCAAGCCCACCGCGCTAGCGGGAGCTACATCCTCCGCTCCCAAGAAGAGCATGGACGCTACCCCCAAGCTCGCCGAGGGCGAGACACCTGTCGCCGGTGAGCCCGCCGCTGCTCGTGCTGGATCTTCTTCCAGCTCTTCTTCCGACGAAGAGAAGCGCAAGAAGGCTGCTAAGAGCAAGTCTCGCTCCGTCTCCCGTGGCAAGCGCGCCAGCCTCTTCGGTGGCCTGCTTGGAAAGAAGGACAAGGAGCCCAAGGACGAGACCGATGCTCTCAAGACCGAGCCTGAGGTCAAGAAGGAGGAACCTACCGTTGTTCCTGCCGTCGTTCCCCACCTTGACGAGAGTAAGTTCATCTTGTTCGTTTTCCATATACCTCATACTAACGTGTTCCAGTCCCCGCAACTACCCCCGTCAACGCGACCGAGGTGACCCACCCCGCTGAGACCACAACCGAGCCCACCGCTGCCGTTGTCGCTGCTCCTACTGAGGAAGCTGTCAAGGTTGATGAGACCGCTGCTCCTGTAACCCAGGAGAAGCCCAAGCCCGCCAAGCGCGGTTCCATCTTCGGATCTTTCGTTGAGAAGCTCAAGTCTCCTACCACCGAGAAGAAGGAGCACGAGGCTGGTCTTGCTGCTACGCCAGTGAAGGAGAACGAGACCATCCCCGAGGCCTCCAAGCCTCTCGAGGAGGCTCAGGTCGCGGCGCCCGTCGTTCCTGAGACCACTACCGCTGCCACCGAGCCAGCGGCTAAGCCTGAGGAGGTAAAGGCCGTATCTACTCCTTCCAAGGAGAAGGACCACTTCAAGTTCGGAAAGTTCTTTGGCTCCAAGGACCGTGCCAAGTCCCCAGCTCCCGAGCCCAAGGTTGACGCTGCCGCTCCCCAGATCGCGGACACCTCCGCCCCGGCTACCACTGAGCCCGTCCAAGTTGCCGAGCCTGCCCCCATCGCTGAGACCAAGGTCGAGGCTACACCAGAGACCGAGGCCCCCAAGCAAGACAAGCGCAAGTCGTTCTTCGGCAACCTCGGTCGCTCCCTGTCCAAGGCCACGGGTAGCAAGGCACCCAAGGACAAGAAGGACGCCACCAGCCCTGCTCCTGTCGCTGAGGAGGAGGCGGCTGTTCCCGCCGTTGAGGAGAAGAAGGATGAGACCACTGCCCCAGTTGTGGGTGACGTTCCCGCTGAGACCAGCGTGGCCGATGCTTCGAAAAGCGCCAACCCGACTGTCGCTACAACTGCGTAAGGTGTGGTGGGAAGATGTCAGCCTTTGCAACGACAGCCACGACGGAATGACGGAAAAGCAAAGACAACGTAAATCCCTTCTTTGACCGCCCGGCCAACTCTGATACCCCCCCAAAAATCTGCTTTGGATCTTCTACATTGATTCAGGCGTCTCATTTGGATCAAGTTTCTTCACATATCCCCTCTCATTCGATTTTCTCCTTGCATTTGGACCAACTCATTGTCACTCTCTTTTGTGGATCGCGATGGTTTAGACTGATACCACTTTAGCTGTTTCTCTCGTTTTGATACCACTGGCGGATCTCGGACGCACCCTGTTTTTTTCGCGCAATACCCCGGATACCCTCTGCGTACCGCCTTGTTAGAAGGAGTACACAAGCGGCCACTAGGGCACACATCGACGTAATAATCTCTAATAAATTGTCGTTGCTCTGTACTTGATTGTCTAACTATTGTGTCATGTCTTGATGTTTGCTCTTGGTATCTTTGATAATGCTAAGCTGAAAAGCCTTGTTGATGCTATTATAGTTTGATGAAATACTTCGTAATGTACCACGCACTACCCTAGTTTTTCTTTCCATCCAAATCCGAGTAAAAGTTCCACCCAAAGTTGGCACTCGGGTCGTTGAAGCGCATCTTCTTATCAATCTTCGCAATCTTGTCCACATCCTCCTTGGGCAACTCAAAGTCGCCTTCCAAATTGGCTTTGATCCTCGACTCCGTCTTACTTTTCGGAATAACAGAATGACCCATACTAATACCCCAAGCTAGCGCTACCTGCGCCCCAGTCTTTCCATGCTTCTTACCTATCTCTACGAGCACAGGGTCGTCCATGAGTTTATTCATGTTTTTCCCGGAATCATAGATTTCATTTTGGTTTCCAAACGGAGAGTACTGTGTTACGTGGATGCCCTGTTCCTTGTGGTAGTGTGAGAAGGCGGCTTGTTGGAGGTAAGGATGGCATTCTATCTGGTGGACAGCGGGTACAACGCTGGTTTCCTTGACCAACCGCTCGAGTTCAGCTCTGCTAAAGTTGGAGACGCCGATTGCGCGGGCTTTGCCGCTTTTGAAACACTTTTCCATGGCCTTGTATGTGTCGACAAAGTCTGTGTCGCCGGTTTTGGTCTTGCCTGAAGAGTCCTTTGGGAACATTTCTGAACTGCGGGCGAAAGGTGAGGGCCAGTGCATGAGGTAGAGATCGAGGTAGTCGGTTCCGAGGTCTTTGAGCGAGGCATCGAGGGCGGCTTCTACATCGTCCGGGTGGTGCGAGTTGTTCCAGAGTTTGCTGGTGATGAAGAGGTCGGAACGGGGGACGCCGGATTTCTTGATGGCGGCGCCTACGGCGGGTTCGGTGCCGTAGATGCGTGCTGTGTCGATATGGCGGTAGCCGGATTTGAGGGCTATGGTGACTGCTCTATTGCGTGTGTTAGTAAACGGCAGGCTTCTTGTCGACGAACGGAAAGCTTACGGCTCCTGAGCGTCCTTGTCCTGCCATGTTCCGAATCCAATGGCAGGAATCTTTGCGCCCGTGTTGAGTGTAAAGGTTGTGCCGTTGTGTGCCATTCTGACTTGTTGCGGGTGAAGTTGTCTCGTTATTTGTGAGAGTCTGTTTGTGGAAGTCATGCGTAATGAACGTGAAGCGGATGATGCAAACATGTTGGCTTTGTATATTTCGTCGGAATATGCAACGCCGTTCTCTTAGGGAGACTTTATGGTACTCACAATGAGGACTAGTTCGTCGTCATGGCGGCCTATGTTCCGAGGTCGGTTGAAGAGCGATGATGATGTCACAGGGTTCACGGCAACCATCATGGTGTCGGTAGATGATGCGGTGAGGTTTGGTGAATACAGCACGGTAACTGACACTTGAAGATTAAGCTCAGAGAGGGGTTTGATCTGCTTCTACTAGAATTGGCTTGGCCAGTACTCTATTGTGTGGGCGTGAATGTGGTGATGTTGCTGACCCGGAGTTAAGCGCAACCCGGAGGTATCAACGCAGCATTCAAGCACGAAGAACTTGTAGGTATAACACATGTACTGGCCAAACCAAGTTCTTGAAGGATTGTGAGAGAAGTTCGATCAATGGATAGATGCTTGATTTCACGAGAAGGAGGTCTATACCCCTACCCGGCTTAACCCATCCAGCACAATTACAACTCGCAACAGCGATAAGCCAAACCATTAATAATGCTGGTTACAACCAAAGATTACCATGCCTACCGCAAGCAAAAAATAAGATAGACGAAAGAAAGGGGTATCAAACAAGCCACCAACCAAGCTCACCCAAGCGAGGAGTATTTCCACCGCTGAAACCCCCAACATGAACGTACCAAGTCGCTCAAAAAGGTCAAACACCCCGCATCAGATGTCCCGCCATCGCTGCTAATTTCCGACCGTCCAGGCCGAGGAAGAAGAGGATCGTTCTCGCGACCATCAGATGATTCCCCCACAAAAGACTCGCGGTTCGGATCCTTTATGCCCATCTGCTCGAACGTGTAGGCAGATGAGTCAAGCACAAATTTCAAGTATTCAGATGGTGACCTAACAATCCGTGTGAGCCACGAATCCAACACACTCGGGTAGAGAACTTCGGGATGTGGTAGGGGAGCGGTATGCAGACATGCAGAGGATTAGCTGTTTACTGGAACACGAGCGCAGTGAGAACAAAGTTGTTGGCAAAGTCCCAGTAGGGCTGGGATTCGAGCGTCTCGCTGTCTTGGTAGACGCGTCCGCCGTAGGCGAGACGGATTATGACGGTGGGATCGAGCTATATGTTGTCAGCGACGTACTTGCTTTGTGCGGGCCGTGCAGTGGAGGGGAAAAGGAGAAGTATGTACGTACCTTTGCTTGTTCCTTTAGCTTCTCAGTGATTGTTGCGACCGAGTCTTTCATTCGTATGACAAGCAGAACATCCTTCTGGTCATGACTCGTCCTTACTCGCACACGTATGAGGCTATTGGATTTGTCGTCGACCGCGTCGTCGAGTGTCTCGTGCATAGCGCTGGAACTAGCGTCTCCATGTATGTCCTTGTCTTCCTCGTCACCCTCTTCCGCCAATCCCTCGGGCTCCACAATCACCCACTCGGGAACTTTATATTGGACGCCTGTGGGATCGTATACGCCTCGCCATAGAAGGCCTGTGGGGCATGTGCAGTCAATCGCATCTAGCATCGTCTGAGCTTCTTGTAGCTCTCCAGACTTTAGATACTGCGCGACGAGCCGTATAGCGCGCCATATCTGTTCCGACCCCGTGACTTGTGTATCCCACCAGTCTCCGCGCTCCTTCTCCAGTCGCGATGGCGTCCATGTCAGGTTTGTAGAGTCTGTCAGAGGTTTGACGCGGCTACTCGTCTTGGTAGTGGTTGAAGCGAGCGTATTAGGCAAGCGCGAGCGCTGAGTTGAGGGAATCGGCTTTAGAGGCGAGTTTGGGCGGTCGTTGGCACGGGGTGGATGCGCATTGTCGTGCGAGGCATGTGATGGGCGTGGTGAGGGAATGGAGCTTGGTCGCGTCGAGGGCGCCGTGATGTTGCGCGACGACGAATGCGCGCGGACTGCAGGGGGACCGTCGTCGCTCGTGCGTGAGGCGCAACAACCCTGGTGACGTGTGTTAGAAGGTGCGAAACAAAGGATTATGCGCTGAGGCACGCGATCTGCATCGACATACCATTTTGGAATCCTACCCCTCAACCGTGGGCTGAGCCGACATGTGTGAGCTAGCAATGCGCAGAGCGAGTGTAGGATTGCAACAACAATACTGGAGGGGTATGAATGTAAGCGGATGATGATCGCATGAGCATAGTGTTTCTCCGTCGAGGTAATATGAGGCGAGTTGGGACGAGGCTGTAGGATCCAGGCAAGTATCAATCGATAGCACGAAGGCGCAGTACACATACCCTATATGGCTGCCGCGGTACGCCTTCCGCTCCTCCCGTGATCAGAATATGAACGTATTACGAATGCCTTGCCACACATCTTCATGCGCACAACAAGGGCTGGGCCGGTCCATTGCGAGTCGTGTATGGTCGACGGTCACTTGCCCAGCACACAGCCGTTGTGAAGTGAGCGTCATGCAACAGGACGATCCACACGGCATATCGCTCAGCACAACCCAACCTTCGGGGCAGCGCCGCGTACAGCGTGCAACTCCCTTTGTTATAAACTGCAATGTGCTAGGCAAGTTCAAGAATAACATTATACTCATTGCATTCATGAAAGCGAAGAAAAACCCCCTAATAAATACCATGAAACTAACTGTAACTCCCCGCCGCCCAACTCTTCCGACTCTCCCTGCGATCCTCACCCTCAAAGAAGATAGCGACGCGATTCGGCTCCCCCTTTCCTCCCTCATGGTAGTCATACTTGATCTTCTTGAACCTAAGCGCCCTGGCATCTTTAATCTCATCCCCACTCATAACCATAGCCGACTCGCCATTGATGCGGCTCACAACGGGGTTCAACAACATAGCCATACTAAAGAAACTCTCATCACGCACAATCGTGCGGTTTGCAAAGATACCCAACAGACAGAGTGCCAGGAATTGGATGAAGCATATTCCGCCTAGAATGCTAAAAATGTACGACCAATCTACGTTGAGTTGTTGACCTTGCGAGGGAACGACTGTTTGGCCGGTGACATTATAGCGGATGCCGTGGTCGTCGAACGCGGCTACGGCACCGATCGTGAAGCGCATTAGCAATTCCTCAACCTCCTCCTTGGCGATCTCGTGTGCTGGTGACAATTTGGAGCCCTGGCTGTAGGATCGTGTTTGTCGGTCTTCCCAGCCATTCCAGGGAATGCCTGTCCAGCCGATTGCCCCAGCCGCTATACGAGCAAAGTCAGAGCTACCCCAGACTGCATCCGTATCCTTGCGGTCGCGCAGTACGATATCGTTTTTGGCGTGGCCAGATACCACTTCTTCGAGGGTATTGTTGCAGAGGAATAGCGACGTGTTGTTTACACGACGGCTGTCTGGCAGTTGCATGACGGTGAAATTTGTACATCTCGTACCACAGTTCTCATACACTGATGCCATCCAGGTGACAGATCCACTAGCTTGTTCGGTAACGTTGTATCTGACAAATTCTGTTTCGCCTTGCTTTTTTGCCATGATGTACAAAGGATCATCACCTACATCATAAACCTTGCCATCCTTCAAGTCAAGTTGTTCGCAGGTCGCCCGCACGGTAATATTGCGGGAGCTGGCTGCGTAATTGATCCACGGATGCGTTGGCTCGCGGTTGAAGAAGCGATAATGCCAGGCGTTGTCGCCTTTGTAGATGGGTGTGCCTGGTAAGCCGGATAGATCAGTCACCATAGCCTCGGGGGTTGTGAAGGTGAAGTTGGGGTAAGTCATGGCCTCCGTGCCGTACATCCAAGCCGCCTCGAGCTCGCTCTCGCTGGAATAGTCATCCGAGATGTCGGGTGGGGTAGCGCCAATGTACCAAGTGTTCATGTCGGCTACAGTTACGTTCCCTTTGGAAAAGAGCGGGATTTCCGAATTCTCCATTGGCCAGAACAGACTGAGTAATGCAACCAAGATTTGAGAGCCGATGTTGAGAGACAGCCAAGCTAGACACGCAAGCCACATCCACTTGGTTCCATCGTCTCTAACGTCCTTGAACCAGCTAAACTTCCGTAGCCACGTCTTGCCTCGAAACCCAGGTGAGGAGATGATCATCAGCTTCGTCACCTTGGCAAGCGAGCTCAGGTGTAGGATGAGGTCGAATACTTCTAGACTAACATATCGTCTAGTAAGAAAAGACCATCGAAACACGGATGCATAGTGTTTCAACGAAGCCAAGATGTTCAGACCCAGACACAGCGAAAGACCGATCGTGAGTGAGTTGAAGATTCTGACATCGAGATTGGAAAGGACAATGCGGTCGCGGAATCCTTCCCACGATTTGAGTGTGACACAGATCGCTGCACTGAAGAACAGTGTTACAAGGAGCTTCATTGCTCCAGTCTTCAGTAGTGTCTTCCGTGCTTCGTGGTGGTCGAAACGCTTGATTTGTTTGTGATTTTTGTGGTGATGAGTTCCGTCTTCCACGTCGAATGTCGAGCTGGGGGTATTCAAAGTTGTGTAGACACCGCCCTTGGAGTCCATGATCTCAGGCGACAGTACCATCTGTGGTGAGTACGATGTATCGTCAACGTGTTGCATCGATACGTCTCCACCATCGTAACCTGGCGGCTCGGCTGAACTCATCAACGGCGCATTGTCGGAGTGCCCGCCACTGACTGTGCGATTGCGGTCCATTGACCCTTTCCTTGTTTCGATAAAATGATGTATCGGAGCTTTGCCTTCTCTACTCCACAGCTGTAGATATGGGTTTGTAGGGCCTCAGATCTCGTGCGCCGTCAGGTCGGGAAGCTGCAAGCGTTCTAAGTGGATCTAGCCTGACTAAGTGGCGGGTGAGGCTGTATGCGCATTCGACAGCGAAATCAAAAGTCTCGACACGGTGGTTGGGGTCTCAGGATATCTGAGGACGAACAAGAGCTTTCCCGGGTGATCTTGCAAAACCTTGCCTAGGGAAGTCGCAAGAGGTATGATTCGAAGTAAGAGAAATGATGCGATTTCATGGAGCACACATGGTGCTCTTATCGCTTCCCTCCCGGCGCATTCCTACGCGGCGATCTAGGAAATATTGGGGTCTGGGGGCTGAGGGCTGAAAGTTTGGGGGCCGCAACAAGCGGGTCTGCAAGCCTCCTTGTGTTGCACAAGGCAGGCGAAGCAAATACAGAATCGATCGAAGAGGCGGAAGGAGGATGATGGAGAGTACCAATGTGTAATAATAGAAGACGGAAGAGTCGTTCTACTACTTACCATACGCCTATCGTGAAGCGGCTCCCATATGGAAGCGTGCTCCAGCTCATGGCCCTCTTCATCCTAGATTCTACCGAACGGGAGGCTGAGTCTTACACCAGAGCCAATGATTGTAGCAATTGGTAGTCCTATTGTTAGTTCCAGCAGCCGGTTAAGTGCATATGGTTTTATCGAGGCGCATCTAGCCTTGTAAGTCTACAGGGTGGGTGAAAGCCACGAGGGGGCCTAAAGTCATTCGCTTAAAATACAGCTGCGGGAAAGTAGCGCAGGAAGCGCAAGGCTGAAAGCTTGAAGTATGTCGCGGAATGCGCTTGAACACGGGCATACATCCCCTGGATACAAAAGTTACGCGAGGGTGTAGCATGCTTTGCAGACGACAGGGAAGGAGTACATAGGTAGCCGTGCTGCTCACGGATGTCGGCCGCGGCTCGCACGCTTGACGAAACTGTCATCTTGCACCTATGCGGGCACCCACCAATCATCGAGCTTCGAGCAGGCACCACAAACGTTCTGCACTGCTACGTGCAATGCATCCGTCATTACACGGGTATGACAAGGTATGGTTCATTGACGACCCGCGCGCGAGAGTGGCAGGCCGACTAGCCTTAGGTATACCCCACATAGCACTAGATGACAAATGACTGTGGAGATCGTATATCGAAGGGCGTGATGGAGATTGGCTTCAAAAGACTCTTTCTTGTCGTATCTATTGTCTTCTCGCTCATAGTTGTCCATCCTCACAATCAAGCAACAATGTCGTCGTCAAAAGTTGTTTTGTACGATCTTCCCAGCCAACAAGGCACTGCGTGGTCATTGAACCCGTGGAAAAGTGAGTACTTTCCACATCAACAATGATAGTCAGGCATTCTGATGATCTCGCAGCTCGTATGGTCTTGAACTACAAGAAGATCGACTACACGACCGAATGGGTAGAATACCCTGACCTAGCCCCAAAGTTCAAAGCGCTTGGTATCCCGCCCAACCCAAAGGACGCACCTGGCTATTTCGCCGATTACACCAGTCCCGCCATCAAACATGCGAATGGTACCTACCAAATGGACTCATGGCCCATTGCTTTCGAGCTCGAGAAGCAGCACCCAAGTCCTTCTCTACACCTCGACGACCCGATCGTTGAGAAGATTAGAGACCACCTTCCCAAGTTGATGGGTCCACTCAGGCTATTACTTATCCCTCAGGTGCCAGTAGTGCTGTTGAACAAGCCTAGTGCAGACTACTTCTTCGAGACGAGGGAGAAGATGTTCGGGAAGCCGCTGGACCAAGTAGAGAAAGATGCTAACGCGGAGGAATGCTGGGAGCAGGCCAAAGCGCCGGCGAAGGAGGCAGGAGATCTGCTGAGGAAGAATGGCGGCCCTTATTTCCTGGGTCAGACTGGTAAGTGCACACGTATTAGATGGGAGATTTGGACTATGTACACTAACCAAGAACCAGTCTCCTATGCTGACTTCATCTTCGTGTCGATGTTACATTTTGTCAAGTGCATAAGCGAAGATCTGTTCAAGAAACTCCTAGCACTGGACGATGCCTTCCCGAAGGTATACGAGGCAAGCAAACAGTGGTTGGAGAAAGAAGATTAGTCCATACTTTGCACGTAACAGAACAACAGTCTGTCGACAGACAGCATACTTGCATTTTAGAAGACAAATGAGTTCAATCTAATTGGCAACAAGTAACTTCGCCTTGCGCAAGACTTCTCGGTCCGTTTCATAAAACAGCAGTTCTTCAGCCTCAGCATAAGAGTACAAGCCTGTCTCAACACCCTCTTCACCAAGCCCCCTCGTTTCACAAGCGCATTCGTCCATTATCGCGATATACCACCAAATAATCTTGACCCCTTGATCCTCTCTCACATTCCGGACAGTAACCATAAAAGGTTCTACAGAACTGCGCAATACGCGCGGCACATCAGGAGCATCCGCTGCATCACCTGCAACGGGTGTTCTAGCAACGATATCCACAGGCAAGATCTGACATTTGTACCCAGTCTCTTCGTACACTTCGCGAAGTGCCGCTTCTTGATGCGGTTCCCCAACGTTTCGCCGCCCTTTTGGTAGTGCCCACATGTTCGATTGAGTGAGGTGGATGAGGCAGATCTTCTGGCGAGTGGCATCGTGGACAATGGCGCCGCAGCTCTCGATAAAGTTTTCAGACGTGTATTGCCGTGTTGGGCAAGGTGATTGCGCCATTTTGATCGTAAAGAGGTGATGGACACGAAAGGTGAGTAAGTGAGTTGTGGAGGAACAAGATGGACGCCTAAACTGTAGGTTGGTGGTAGTCGCGTTTGACCAATGAGATCGCCTCTTGTTTGGGATTACGAAGGACCTTGTATCTGGTGACTTGTAACCTCAGATACAAGCTCCGGGTCTTCGATGAATGGTAATGTTAAATGCGGTTGGCTTGTGATCATCTCCAGAATACATTTTGATTGAGAAACACTCCTCAGAAAGTACCAAAGACATAGACCGTTCAGGAACAGAATTTAGGACTGAATGATCGTATCTGCCAGCCCTCTACTAAAGCGCAATCTGCCGTAGATAAAAGGTCCGATTGCGCTAGCCTATGACTCCTAATCTAGAGTAGTCTACATCTGTCGTGAGTAGGGCGTGAGTCTCTAAAACATGGAAATAGGTCCATGTCTGACTCAACTTCACATCTTCCTACCACTTACACCCGTTGTCTACCAAAAAGGTTGTCTTCCTTCCAGTTCTTTGGGATCATCCAGATAGCGTTCACCTCCGTACCACTCAACAAACCGAGATGACTACTATTGGGGTATTGGTGTCGATATGGCCAAGGCGAGGCGCTTTGTTCAGCGCGGGATGTTTGGAAAATACTCGTGGGCAGACGACAGTGTTTGTTATGAAAAGTGGCTTGGAGGTTCTGTATCGTGATTGTGGACTGGCGAACATGCCAGTGTTACGAGTAAATGTATCGTGTTTTGTCTAAACGTGTTCTCCGCGAACAAATAATGGTAAATGGGTCCTCTCCAGAATATATACAAAATTGCACACCTTTGGTCTATGTGTTACTGCATCATCTCTCTTCTCGTTTTGTACATGCCCTTCTACGTTCTCAATCTCACGCTTCTCCACTATGTGCCACAGATCACCAGGATGTGGGAATGCTACACCTTGAGGTATTACGTCCATCGCAGATGAATCCAGAAAATAGAAGCGATCGTTAGAGTAAGATAGAGCTATCCACCGCGCCCCGGGTTTCGTCATAAGCGCTAGATTCACAGTCATGACTACTAAGGGATGAACGCGTTCCGATGACTTGGTAGAATCCAAATCTAGGGAGTCATAAGATCGGACAGCTAGCGGGTACGGTAAAGGAACGAGGACGTCGTCGGCGCAAGCAATGGAGTCTGATGTCGACTTGTCAACTATGACAGAGTAGGTAGCACGCTTGCATGCGCGCATCAAAGACTTGTAGTCGAGCAAATCTGCAGCGTCCCAGCGCATGCATGCGACATTGGCCTTCGGGCCCTGGTATATCTCTTGTTCACGGATCTTGCCGACTTCAATCGCAACGTCCGAATAGTCCAAATTATGTATCTGCATCGGGTTGTCTACATGCGAGCGCAAGTGGTACGATAGTAGTGACGTGCCGCAACCTATGTGGAGAAGTTCCGGCTGCGGAGTGAGTGTAGCTTTCAAGGAATCGGCGATGTGGGGGTCTAGGGCGTTAGGGGCCTCGAGCCATTCGAATGGATCCGTGTTTGAAGCGAAACGGTCATTCCAGTAAGCTTGCGATCCGAACGAGGGAGGTTGCTTAGAAGGCATCGCGACCTGGAATATATTGGCGTCAATACTATTCTGCGATTAGTCGTCATCTCTTCACTAACAGATCGAACGTGATTGATATGACGACTTCGGTCCTGGAATCCGCACTTGAAACGCGTGTGTATATGGGCAAGGTTTGTATAAGCAGCCTGTTGCGGAAAGGAAAGGTGTGAGAGAGAAGATGGGACGATGCCCAAATAATTGTATGCGCCGGCCCGAGCTTTCTCCGGGCATCTGAAGATCTTCATCTCATCAGTCTGCGGACTCCCGAGACAACGAGCGTCACCACCCACAGCCATGGCGACCCTCCAATCAATACCACGTTTCCTCCTTCCCCGAGGCCCTCTGCTCCTACGGCCCCAAGCCCGCGCATTTCTCCCGCTACCCGCGCCCAAGAGTGTCCGCCATGCCTCCATTACCCCCAAAGGCCTCTCAGAAGAGTTCCGAAGACGGCGAGAAGCACAGCAGCAGAAGGGCGCGCCCGTAATACCACAACCCGACAAATACCGACCTCCATCGCATAGCAAGCGAGCCCCGAACCGCAATCTAGAGAACAAGATCTATGGCGCGCCCGTATCGGAAGAAGACAGGAAGCGCATGGCGACGAAGAAATACCCCAATATGATGAGTCCAGAGGGCACATTTTCGCATTGGTTCCTACACAACCGGGCCATTCATCTATGGATCACAATGGTAATATTCCCTCGATTACCCCACCAGATTCTCTAAACGTCCCCTCAGGCTAACCCCACTTTCTTCAACAGGGCATACTCGTCTCCCTCGCAATAGCAGCATGGTACATGGACTTCATCTCCAAGACTGTCTTTGGCCACTTGCTTCCCACGCGCAAAGATTTCCTGCGCCACCCTTTCGAATCCTCGTCGCGCTTCATTGAAGTCTACAAGATGCACATGGAACAGACATCGCAGCAGTACCAGCAGCAGAGGCTGAAGAAGGCAGAGGAGGTTGAGAAGAGGAAGCAGTTCAGATTGGAAAGAAAGAAGGAGGCTGAGGAGAGGGGAGAGGAATATGTTGAGGACCCGAGGTATTATATTGGTGAGGATGGTATCAGGAGGAGGAGGGTTAAGAAATGGTTCGGCATTTGGGAGTGAGCCGTCCATGGACGGATCACCGCGATCACTCCAAATGACATCAGCGCCAGGTGGATTAGTGGAGATTGGGCTTGTCTTAGCTGAGGACCCTATAGGATATGAGTGATGGGCTGCACCGAGTCGTGAGACGGTGGTGGCGGAAGCGGTCAACAACACAATGCTCGAAACTCAGTTTCGTTATCGAACTGTGGATAATGGTTGTTACGAGATTTGTATATGAAAGTATGTAAACTAGATGCACTGAGCCCAAGTGTTGACAAAAATGAGAACTTGGGGACATCCCCTTATAGTCCAGCAACAACAGTGCTGCGCATTTCAAAGCACTTTCAATCTTGCTATGCCACTCTATCAACCTCGTCACTGCTATCTTCTTCCCTCCTGCCAACCCATATTTCATCATCCGGTCCCATTCCTCTTTCCACTCCTTCCACCCCACACAGCCCACCAACCTCTTCGGATACCTCCCATCCCCTCATTTCTTGTGTCTTCGTAGCAAATACCATCATCAACCCAGCCTCAGTATGCCAGCCTATATGGCAGTGAAACGCCCACAGGCCTGGATTATCTGCCACAAACGATATCAGCAGCCACCCATATGCTTCTACACTCGCCGTGTCTCTCCGCAGCGGATTACTCAAATTAAGATAATTTCCAACCTGACCAGGGTCGAGGAGAGAAGAAGGTGGATACCCATGTCCCTGAGCCAGAACGAAGAATTTGTAACCATGGAGATGGAAGGGGTGGTTTCCATCGTCGAGATTCTGTATCAGGATTGTTATGGTTCGTGTAGACTGAGTTTGGTAAACGAGTTGATGCAATGGATCAAACGGGGCTGTATCTAGTACGCCCTCATGATCATTCGAGTTGGGTGTCGGTGTCAAAAGCATGGTGTTCAATATTGGCCATGTAGCGTTTACGCGGAAAGAACTATCGTTTAGATAGCCCCGCGAGAGTCTCCAATCACGGATCTGGAACGAGGAGCGCAGGTAAAGGGTGTGTCGGATGTCGATCTCTGGTGCTGGTATTGCGATGACGGACTCCAAGGTTGAAGTATTTAGATCCCGACACTCGACATCGATGATCTCTGGCCAGTCCTTGCTCGTTGGTATAAGGTCCTTCGTCTCACCATCCCGAGTAGGATAGTACAGTATGCTCCTGACTTCTTCCTGCAACTCTGGCTCTTCGTATGCAAAACAATGCGTCACCATCCTTGCACGCATCCAATACGTCTCCTTACTCACTTCCTCATTCGGCGGAGTAAGGATGATACTATACCGCTGCGCAGGATTGATATTCAACCGATGGATCGATTGTGGGTGCACATCCGTGCCATCTACTTCGGTAACCTGAAACTCGTGTTCGTCTATTTGAAAAGCGAACTCTGCGAAAGCTCCAACATTGATGATGCGAAGTCGCGTGTTGCTCATACGAGATAAGTTGAACAAGGCGTTGCTGATGCCAGAGGATGAGCAGTTTCGGTTCGGTAAGTCGGTGCAGTTTCGCATGTTTCGTCCATTGATCAGGGCAGATGGAGGAACGGGCTCGTCGTTCTCGCTGTCGGAGGAGAGGTACTGCATGAGCAGGTCGGAAGAAAGATCATAGTAGTAGTCCGATAGTAGTACTACGCGGTCCTGTTCATACGGTACCTTTTGCAGTTCTTTTTTCTCTTCTCCGTTCCCGGCGTGTATGATAAGAGGTCCCACCAGTCCATCTGATGCTTGCATGCTGACGTGCGAATGGTACCAATACGTTCCCGTTTGCCCCGACACGTTGAACCGGTATGTAAACGAGTGGCCCGGGGCAATAGGACATTGCGTAACTCCCACTGTTCCATCCATCCAGTTCGTGCCGTTCTGGTAGAGACCATGCCAGTGGATAGAGGTAGCATTTGTAGCTTGGTTGTGGATATGGACAACAAGCTCGTCGCCTTCGTTACACTCAATCAATGGTCCAGGAAAAGTGCCGTTGATGAGTATCATAGGCCGATATACACCGTCGGGATTGAGAATGTGATCGGAAACTATCCATGTATACTCCCGGATCGTAGGTGGAGCGTCGGAGTTCCATACTGAAGAGAGTATGTAGTCTTCTTCCGGTCGGAATCTTGCAAGACTAGCAGTAGTAGGTGGCGATGGAGTGCGCTCGCTACTTGTCAAGCCTCGGTGAACTAGGATGATGGTTGTACAGACAAGAAGAACAACGACGGTGATGGGTCTGATCCACGGCCACCGAGGTTTGTGATGTTGTGAGATTTCGTGTTTATCGTTCCAGCGCGGTTCCAAGCCATCTTCTAGGTGCTCGCGGCTGCCTCGCGATCGGTCATTGTCCGTAGATGCATACAACAAGCCAATTTGCTCCTCAGGCTTACGCGCATTCGACTTAGACATCTCTTTCATGCCGAAGCTCTGGTCACGGCCCATCGCGGCTAGCCTGCAACGTTCTTTGCTAAGCCCTGGCCTATATCATAGAAGTTCTACACTGGGTTTTGTAGCCGTAATGCTTCGATGTCTTAGTGTTCCCTATGTCAAACACCCGCTCTTGTGTCTTGTAGGTTGTCATTGATCATTGCTACCAGCTATCTCATCCGGAGGGCTCCCGAACGCCATCGCCACCGTCAGATAGCCGCCACACGAGTCCAGAAGATCATCCCGCCACGCCGCTTTAATTGCAGCGTGGTCATGTTCTGCGTCCGCGGGTCGCGCCATCAATCAACGAAGATTTGCCGAGTTCAACCTGTCCTAGGGTGCGTGTCCAATCAGCCCCGCACGTTGATCTAACGAACCCATCCGAAGCTTGTCCACCTTCCCGAAAAGCTTATACTCCCGCATAGATGTGCGAGGTATTCATTCCAATAGCGTGCACGAGTGCTTTACGGATGTTGCAATTGGCGGGAATGTACGGCTTTGCTGCAGGTAGCCTTTGTGTGATGTCCAGAACCTTCAGGCACTAGCAAAAGCGGCGCCTCATGACCCTGACAGATGGGATGAAAAGCCCTAGAGGCAGATCCCATGCGTAACTATCTGCTGTCTTGCTTTCTGGCGTTTCTTTGTTGTCGTGACGTTCCCCGGTAAGAAAGCATCGAAAAAGTGTCCCATCAACAACACACTGATTGAACTGATAGACTCGTATAATCATTATGATCACTCCAATCGTCTTATCACTAGCACTGCTAGCAAACTTCAGCCCTGTACAGGCCCAAAGCAAAGTTGCAGGAAAAGCGTTCGACCGCATAGCCATAATATGGCTTGAAAACACCGACTACGACCTCGCAGCTGGGGACCCAAATCTAGCATGGCTCGCGAAGAAAGGCATCAGTCTTACAAACTACTTTGCAGTAACCCACCCTTCTATGCCCAACTACGCTGCTTCGATATCAGGCGACTACTACGGTATCAACCACGATGACATGGTCGCCGTTCCCTCCAACGTCTCCACCTTGGTAGACCTACTCGAAGACAAAGGTGTTAGCTGGGGCGAGTACCAAGAAGACATGCCGTCGGTAGGCTTTCAAGGCAAATCATACACGAACCCTAAAACCGGAGCCAATATGTATGTCCGCAAGCATAACCCAGCCGTGCTATACGATTCCGTGGCGCAAAAGGCAGATAGACTCGCCAAGACGAAACCCTTGACTATGTTCAAGGAAGATCTCAACAAGAATCAATTGCCGCAGTGGATGTTCATTACACCCAACATGACAAGCGATGGTGAGTATCCGCAACACACTGTTCGTTGATCTGGAAACATACTCATCATGTGCAGGACATGACACTACTGTGACAGTAGCAGGAACTTGGACGCGAAAGTTCCTCGAACCACTCCTAACCAACAAGAACTTCATGAACAACACACTCGTCATGGTCACTTTCGACGAGAACCACACATATGGCAAACAGAACCGTGTCGTTAGCATATTGCTAGGAGATGCTGTACCTGCTAGTCTGGTCGGTACCACAGACAGCACCTACTACAACCACTACAGCGAAATCGCCACTGTACAAGCAAATTGGGGCTTACATACTCTCGGCCGTTGGGACGTGGGAGCGAATGTATTCAAGCTCGTAGCTGCAAAGACTGGCGATACCGTGCGTGCGTGGTCTGGAAAAGTTCCCTTCAGTAACATGTACTTCAACGCGTCCTATGCCGGCAAGTTGAGCAACAAGAACACGTCAGTTCCTTGGCCTGTACCCAACACCAACGCGGTATATGCGGGAAGGAGTGTGTTGCCGGCTATTGCGGACACATGGGGGAAGCAGGTCGGACAGTCTGCGTATACGACTGCATTGGAGATTCCGGATGGCATGCATCCAGAGGCCGAGTTCAAGTAGAGGTTGAAAAGGATTAGCCATTAACAGGGCTATACCCGCTATATCACTCTGTTATCAATTATACTGCCCATCGTCTGCGTGACGCCTTCTTCACCTCCTCCATACTCTCAGCATTCCGTCGCAGCACGGCTCCGACTACCTGTATCCTGCACACATCTGCGTAGGCACCTGTTCCGATTTCCTCTGGCCACATATCCGGATGCAGGATTGTGTACTCGGCGAGCTCCGCACCATCTACCTTTTGCAGCTTCTCTAAGAAGGCATCATGGCCAGGATCGGCTGTGGGCATTGCGACGCCCGTGTAAACCACAATGACGCCAGTTGAAGACAAGAGTTTCATCCCTTCTTCCACAATACGTATGGATATATCTAGACCGAATCCGGCACCACCATCTGCGTATATGGGTAGGTCTTTGCCGTCGGTGCTGGATGCGATGTACGGCGGATTGCTTACGATGAGATCCACACCGTAGTGCTTCATTTCCTCGGGCACGGTCGCATAAAGGTTCGACTCAGAAAAGCCGACCTTCACGCCGGCCAGTTGTGCATTGATATTGCCCAGACTCAGCGCACGCGGATTCAAATCTAGGCCTAACGTCTCTGCCTGTGGATACGTCCTTGCCATGTGTATCGCGCCTGCACCCGATCCGCAGCAGACATCTATGATGCTGCTAGGCGCTTGTGGAAAATGTCGCGTTATGTTTTGTAGAAACGAAACGAAGAGATATGTGTCGGGTCCGAAGAAGACGGAATCTGAGGATGCTGGGAAGGACGAGTGAATGTAATAAAGCGACGTGGCGTTGGTATCGCGACTTGGGAGGTGGGGGAGATAAAAATTGGATACACGAATAGTGGAACGGTAACTTTTGTCGTCGCCCTGCGTGATTACGGAGGCTTTGTGGAGGCTTTCAAACACGTCGTCGGGTATCATCGATCGGAGTGCTTCTCTGTCAGGTTGTTAGCATGGTAAGATCCGTGGTAGCTTTGGGTAGTCAAAGACGATAGTAGAGAGACAACATGTGTAGCATACCTAGTACATGGCAGGTTCCAGCCAAAGAAGTCGTACGCGTTCTTGGCATCTTCCGTTGAAACATTGGAACGTCTTTTGTTCACTACCCGGCCTTGTGACTCTGGCGACGGACATACGAAGACATACTTCTCCTTCGCCAGATGGTCAGTGAGGGCCTGGTAGGCGGCGGTAGTTTCGATCATGATCAAAGAAGTGCTACAAATCCAACTCCGCGGGTGGTTTCATAGCGCAATGCTTCTGAGACACAGCCAGCAGGTCTCGCTGCCAGGGCACATCACACCAAGAGTTGTCTGAGCCGCGGAGCAAACGTAGAGGTCAGTGTGACGTTATTGTTAGTAATGATGGGTCGGTCAGAAGCTTCGCGCATGTCGTGATCTAGCCTTGGTCTCCGCAAAGGGAAACTGGCCTAGACGCGCAATGTCGGTTACACCCAAAGAGCCGTTTGTTTTGCCTGTCGTATGTCACATCTTTTCCGATGAGCCAACGACATGATGTCGTGAAGACACTAGGTCCCACATGGACGGATCTCGCAAACTGTGGGGTACGCTCGGCCTAGCTGCAAGCAGCCTAGTCTCAGGTCTCGTCATGGATCGACTTTCAGGGCGATGACATTGACATTGACATGTACATTTCAGGTACCGACCATGTGCGTGTTCATCGTCAGCATGATTCACTGCGCGTGTTCGCCCGGGTGTGGCTGCTTTGCCACAGCTGCGCTAAGCATAGTCAAAACCGCTGCGCTCCCCAATGGCTAAACAAAGAGATGTAGTGCTATCCACACCAAACCAACGCCTACATACCTAACAACCTCGACTCATAATGTATATTTTACAAACAACCACAGCGGTACTTATCGCATTTCTCGCCATCATCGCCTATAGCGAAGTTCGAAATCGTCTCACGAAAGGCCGGTCAAGAAGAAAAGACCTCGAAACCCCAGGCAGCCCCACGATACCTGTCACCAACGATGTCAAACCACCGCTGCAGAATGCAAATTCGGAAAAGCCTTCTATGCCTGAGACGTCCCGTTTAGTCGACGAAGAACTGGAGAACCATAAACAACTTTACTACAAACTACATCACCTCGAAAACCACCCCGAGATTTTACCAGAGTGCCGCGAACTGTTCCTGGGTCTACTCTCCTCAACGATTGCTGACGCAGCCAAGGAATCCCACAGTGGCATCTTGTCTGTCGAGAGATTCTCTCGCGAGGGATTAGTTGAATTCCTCAAAGCCAAAGACGTCGATGTCACCAACCGATGGGAGGAGTACCTTTCGCGCCGAAGAGCTGGAGGGTCTCGAGAGATGTTCGGTGACAAAGACGAAGCGAAGTGGTGGCTCAAGCAAGCAGCACCAGTCAAATACGTTGATGGTGCATGGCTCGGACACATCAACAAGATCACCACTCCTTTCATGTACCGTCAAATCACCAAAAATGCCTGGCAGGTCATGTCTGAAGAGCTCGGAGACGGAGATCTCGCAAAGAACCACGTGCATGTGTATCGGGAATTGATGGACGACATCGACGCCGGACTTCCTGCTGCTGACTCGGAAGATTTTATTCATCCTCGTCACAACTTGACTGAAGCGCGTTGCTGGAAAGCTGCTATGGCTCAACTAACCATCTCATTATTCCCTCACGATTTTCTCCCGGAGGCTTTAGGCTTTAATATGGCTTATGAGAGTTTGCCGCTCCATCTGTTGAAGACCGTCAAGGAGCTTCGCGAACTTCGACTAAACCCGTACTATTTCGAGCTTCATATCTCCATCGACAATGCCGACTCGGGTCACGCTGCTATGGCAATGGCCGCAGTCACTAACTACATTGAGTTGGTTGCAGAGCAGGAGGGAGAGGAAGCTGCGCATGTCGCATGGAAACGGGTGCAAGCTGGCTACATCCTCGCTGAGGGCTTGCCGACAACTCCTGAAAGTCCGTCGCTCAAAGTCCAAGCTAATGAACCCTTTCCTCGCACCGATACAGAGGCGGCACTGATCGAAATCTTTGCTGCAAAAAGCTTCGTCGCCCACAAGATCCACTGCAACAGTCGCCTGAAAATTGGCCGCCGTTCGTTGGTAGATTGGCTGGAGCCGAATGCTTTCAAGGACGCTCAATGGCAGAAGGAGTTCCTACAGGACCTTGGCAACTGCAAGCCTTGGGTTATCAAGGGCAGCAGTGACAAGAGCAGACTAGTCAGAGAGTTGTCTTGGGAAGGCAAGATGTTCGGAAGTTTTACTGAGAAAGAGGTAGAAATCGTGAAAGCGTGGATAGATGAACTTGGCTCGCCTGTCCAATCTCCAAAGCAAGACTCGAAGGTATATTTCGAGTTCACAGGACAAGCTTCCAGTCCTCCAGCGGAGTCGATGACCCAGGATCTGGACATCCTTGTTAATTACCCGGTCCTTGCGACGCCCGAGCCGGTTACTTCATTCACAAGCATCAATGCCAGCGCTCTGGATATCGACGACGCACCAGCTCTTGATTTGAGTAGGCTCAACGTCTCCAATCTCCTCCCCTTATGGCTCACCTCGCCTACTCTACTGGAAGCGCTCCCTGCAGTACCTGTCCGAGCTGCCGACGAATTTGGCTCTGCCATCGTACGTGTGCTTCGAGCTCAAACTGGATTCAGCGCTGAAGGTCCTGGTGTAGCCGGCATGGACGAAGTCCACCGTACTGATGATGGTCAAGCTATTGGCCTTGTCGAGCTTGGCCTGGAACTGTGCCGCAACGGAGGCATGCAGACACCGTCGAGCTTGAAGGAAGCAGTGGCATTGGGTAATAATGAGTCAGTGTCGTTCTCGCAGTGGATGATTTGGATGGGTATGCGATGGCTAGCCCACCGAGATCTACTCGTGGGTATGACCTGGGCCTTCATGGAAGTGCACGAGGCGCTGGCTAGATGTCAGGGAGACATCGTACTATTGAGCGAGGAGAGTCGGCGTGTACTGCAAGAGATTGCGATCAGAGAGAGGAAAGGATTGAATGTTTGTAGGGAAGAGATTTTCCAGAATCCAAAGCGCAAAGAGGAGTTTGGCAAGGGACTTGGTATAGCGAGACAAGCGATTGAAGCATGTTTCACGAAGTAGCATTCATCAGTAATGATAAGCAAGCGGTCATGGATAGGAATAGGGATCTTAGGATACCCTGAAAATATATTTATTCAAGAGACCATCTGGTCTTGAGCAAGGAAGTAAAAACAAGCTGGCAATTTATATACGGCCTCCAACTGAAAATGTATGTACAATGAAAGACTTGTAGCAAGTCAAATAGTCCCACTTTACTTCTTGAGAGTAAGGAGACCGGGCCTGTAGGGAAGACGGTCGTAGTCACCACCGGAGTTGGGGTTGCGTCCCTGGTACAACAACTGCAGGTTGCAAGGGTCGACAGTCATGGTCTGGTCGTTGGTGACCTTGACCAAGTCACCGTGAGAGATGTCGTTGGTCCAGGTAGCACCGCTGTTGGCCTTGCCGGCGAAGGGGTTGCTCTCGGTGGCAGCGTTAGGGGTCCAGTTGCCGCCGAGGCTGGAGGCGGTGAAAGAACGGAAGTAACGGCCCTGAGAACCAACAGCCTCAACAATCATGAGGTACTTGGCGGTAGTACCACCCTTGACGGTGTAGACCTGAACAGCCTCGAAGAGGTTGTTCTGGGTGTCGCTCATGACGACAGTTGAGGCGGTGCCGAAGTCGCCCGGGAAGTTGCCAATGGGCATACTGGAGCGGTAGATCTTGCCGTTGTCACCCGCAAAGAACAGGTACATGTTCTTGTCGTCACCAATGACGGTTTGGTCAATTGGGCCAGTGCTTGAGCCAGTGATCGTGCCGGAGAAGAGAGGCTTAGCCGCGCTCCAGCCGTTGGCGTTGGTAGGGTCTGAAGAGGTCTTGTAGGAGAAAGCGGTAGGTCCCCACTGGTAGGCGATGACCCAGGTGTTCTTGGGCTTGAAGTAGAAAAGGGTGGGTGCGACGAGACCCTGGTTCATGGCGTTCTGAGGAGCAGATGCCAACTCGTTGAAGTTGGAGACCAGACCGAAGTTCATGGAACCGTACTTGCTGCCAGTGTCGTGGTTGGTGGCGTAGACGAGGTGCTTGCCGTTGACCATCTGGGTAGTGAAGTCCTTGAGGTTGGCCCATCCTGACTTGGGCTGAGCAAGCGCGTTGGATGAAGTCCACTTGTAGCTGGTAGGCAGCTGGCAGCTCTGCGCCGAAGCAGTCGATGCCAAGAAGGCAATGGCAGCCGCGGGAAGGCTGAGGTCGGTAGGAGTGAAACGCATGGTGGCTGATGTGGGGGATAGGAAAGCTTGTGTTGTTTGGATGAGAAGCTTGGTTCTGGTTGAGTGAGGTGAGGCCTTAAGAACGGATTACTACAGGATACTTATACCTTCAAGCCAACTATCGGACCTACCAACCATACCTACAAAGCACTGTCACATCGTCTCCACTCCACGAACCACCTCATTGTCTCGACCGTTCACATTGGCCTCGGCACCATAGCTCATCCCAGCACTGGAAATTGATCGTCCATGACATGCGTCTGTTTAGGGCTTGGTATATTGTTCCGTTGTTGTGGGTATATTAATGACAAGGTGTTTCAAGGGATTCTGTGTACCTGCACGGACAGTAATTCTCCGTAATGCGGGGAGTGCCCGGCAACGAGATGTTTTGCCGCACGAGAAGCCCGGTTGGGGAAGACGCGCCAAGTCGTGGTGGGTATATGCTTAAATCCTATGCAGGCTTGTGCGGCAACTAATGGTATGATCGCTGGGGCTTTGTAGCTCTATTTCAACGTCTATCCTCTATGTGCCTTAGGCAGACTGACAACATCTCGCAAACATTTTGTTTCAACAATTGGCTGCGACAGCAGGGTGGACAATTGCTTTGATTCCTGAAAACGAATCTCGGCGGTATTCCCTGAAATGTGAATAGTAGTGAGCTTTGTGATACAGAAACTACCACCGGGTGTTTACCAGAACCCACCCTTTCGGCCATTTAGGGTTTAGTGCCCGCCGTATGTGATTGTCAAGACGCTTTGAAACACCCGGTGGCCGGATTCTAGAAGCAGGGTTAACAGCAGTGACGGTGGCGAAACTGTGCCAGCGGTGGAGATGCCAGTGTTTGGAACGATCGCGGGTAGGCCAGGCGGAACCTTAGCGAGGTTGAAGTTGGCATTGCTTATGCTGCGGCGCATTGATACTCATCGTCGCGAGATTGCTACTACGTCAATGGTAGGTGGATCTTTGTTTCGTTTCTCGTCTGCATCGCACAGTTGAAGATATCAACCGGTTTTGCACCGCCCTGAAGTCGGTGAGTGATCTGGAAGCAGTCGGTTCAGATCGAGCATAGACCATGAAGCCCAATGTCCGATTGTATGTTCTAGATGGGTGGGACATGGGCGCCGAGTAGACCGACCGCAAACGCCTACCGGTATTCATCCAAGGTTCGTATGGAGGCCAGGCGGTAGGGTCAGTATCTCAGTCGACTCGTGGAAATTCTTTGCCCGTTGATATGAAGAGTGGCGGTGGGCGCCACCGAGCACTGTTGCCAGCCAAGTCAATTAAGAGCGTTGCCGAGCAGCCAAATCTGACCAGCCGCCCCAGGTGACCTACTCAGATAGATTTAGTAGTGAAGGCTGAAAGCTGAGCGTAATATCCTGCGTGAAGAGTTGAGTCTGCTATGGATAGAGCAGAATGAATCTCCTGTGCAGTGCAGGTAGGTACGATGAGCTTTACGATGGTTTAGAAGGGATTGCTATGAGCTGAAGATACTCCCACATGAGCAATAAGTCGCACATCTGTACGAAGAGGGAACAGACTCGATCATGTGGGCCAGGATACCATTCAAACCCACTGCACCCCATACCAAGCCTCGTAAAGCTGGATAGCAAGCTGGGCGTCCAAGACACTAAACATCTCCCAAGAGTGCCGGAAACGTTCCCAAGACGGATAGTAGCACAGATCAGGCACTTACGCGCCCCATGGGGTAGTGGGAAAGATTGTTTATGATGTATGTGTTGGCCTTTTCACCTAGCTTGCTGCCCAAGTACGAACAACGCTCGGGGCCGGCTTCTGTGCGTGATGTGACGGCTTTTGGTAATCAGATTGCGCAAATGCCGCCCATAGAATCTCTTTCCAGGTCGGGAATAGATTCTGGCTGCGGAATCCGGAGAAATTGTTGCATTGGACGACGTTTTTCCAGTATCTATACACATTGGTCTAGGGTACCGATGCCCGAGCAAGATCTGGCAGCCATGAGGCTAAATTGAGTCGTCAATTACTATCAATTCTACCAGACGAATTGCAGAGTCCAAATTCCGGAGCCCAAGTGTTGTTGTGTTAACGATTACAAAAGACATGGTGAGGTGAAGAGCAACTGCTCTGAAAAGAACGACATTGGGTTGTAGACGAAGCGAGTGCTGACTCAGCGACAACCTATTTTGGGATATACTACTGAACTCTTCACACATTTCCTGATGCGGCTCGTCTTGGTTTCGTACTCTTGGGCTGCAGGTTGTGATTTTGCTAGATTCGTGGTTGCGCGAAACTGATCACCAATGTCGATTGACATGGCTATCATAGCATGCACATCTCTAATGATTTTGTATTACAGGCATCGCAAGATCATCTATTTAGCCATATGACACCCCTCTCTCTCTCTTTGCCATCCTTTACTGCCAGTAGTCACTCTACTCTATCGGTAGAACGAAATGGTCAATGGGCATCATTACAGCCTAAACTTTGCAACTCCATTGAAAATAACGAAAGGCCCTTGCCCAGTATTGCGAAATCGTTCAGGGATGCATCGGAGTCTCTCTAAGCTTCAAGGTTTTGAGTATCCAATCTGCAGGTGGTTCTGAGGTCCTTACAATGCCACAAACACACCGTCCATGCGCAGCTATGTTTGGAATCAAAGTGCTAGTAGGACGTCATGCTTTGACGTAATCCCAAAATCGTTCAAGTCACATACGTGACTACTGCAAATTCCTGAGTTGATGAAAGCTGATAGGAGTGGATATACATACTGGTGTTAATTATTTGATTCATGTTCCTCCCGGTTTTTTGGCGGCTGCCAGAACACTTGTTTGTGCATCAACACGACTCCTCTCAGGCAGCTAGTCCATGATCCGTGTATTGCACCGCCATCTTGAATCTCATCAAAGATACACGCCATCGTCTCCCTCAGGCGGCGCCCTATCACCGTTCATGTGCTCTGCCGCTGCCGTACCATTCGTCGTTGCAATCGCATTGCCATTCACCGCAGCAACATCGACATTCTCTTCTTCTCTTGGCCTCCACGGTAGGCCCCTAACGTCCTTCACCTCGTTCTTGATCGCCTCTCTCCTGTCCTCAAACCTCTTCATAACCTGCTTGTTCTCCAACAGCGCCTCGTAGCAGTCGCGATCATCGTTTTCGCGCGCAAACTCTTCGAGCTGCTTGTTACTGGATTCGAGATGAGTGAGTTGGTTGGTGATTTCGGAGTATTTGGCGTAAAGGGATTCGACGGAAAGGTCTTCGAGGGCTTTGGAGAAGCGCGTGAAGGTTATGGGGGCGGCATCGGCCGACATGGCTGGTTGTCGTTTGAGAGTACAGCGTTAGGTAAAGATGTTCATGGATCCGAAGGAAGTAGCAGAGACGTAGAATTAAATATGAAGTTGAGATATATGGTTTAGTGCTGGGTGTAGTCGTGGCAGAAATCCGTAAGCAAGATGGTCATGTACGCTTTCGGGAAGCTTTGGTGGGGTAGCTCGACAGCTTGCCCCGCCATCGTCACGTACGATTGACAAACTGGTGCATAGCATGACTCCACTGAATCACTCACCGCTCATACGCACTCTTCGAGTCTAGAAGGTGCTCCAGAGGGTCTTGAGACGCGGTGTCGTGCTCGAGTCTGCTTTTCTGACCATAATTCTTTCGTATATATTGTTATTATCTGGAATCTGCTCAAAACAGAAAAGCTCGGCACTTTGGCGGGTAAGCTCAAACCATCCCCTTCAGCTCCAAGCTCTCACTAATGAAGAACCACAGAGTGGTTAACGCGCTGGCCTGCTAGTCCTTCACCGGAAAGTCAGCCAGTTCCTTCGGGAGCGTGTGTTCGAATCACACAGGTGTCGCACCAACCAGTTTTTTTGCTGATGTGTGGGACATGAGCTACATACAGATTCAGACCTTAAGATAACTTTTTGCCCGACTTACCTCACATAAGCAACACATGTTATGCATAAGGTAGGTAGAGTGTTCAACATATGGGTTGTCTTACAGTGTCCATTGCTTGTGGTACTACTGCTACTACTATCTTCCAGGATTCATACCAGGCATCAGGTCTGGTTTGTCGAGCACCATACCGCGGAGCAAGATCCACTGCCTCAGACCCTCCCAATCCTCACCTTCTTCGTCACCTCGCTTCCACACTTCCTTGAAACCCCATGCACAAGCTATACGATCCAAGGCCGCCCTCTCGTCCTCTCTCAGGTATCGATCCAGTAGCGGAACACCAGGCCGCCAGACCACTCGGTCGTGGTGGTCGTTGTACGTTGTCAGGGCGACAAACCCGAGCGTTCCCGTGCACATGACATACGTGCTCATGCCCATGAAAGCGTACAGCTTGAACGTCCATGGGTCGATAAAGCCGCTGTATACGGATAGTTCCTGGGCGATCATGTAGAGGGCGAGTGGTGTGATGCCCGCCAAGACACCAGGTAAACCTAGCTTTGTGAATATGCGATGCCGCCGCCATGCAGCAGCGCGATAGGTATGATCCACAACATCCAGAGCCAAGGAGAGATCTTTTGCGTCGATTGCAGCTGTGAGCGCTGCGTCAGCAAGATCAGCTGGGATGGCCTGCTTTGCCGACTTGGGAGACGGTCGGGAGAACTTGGGAGGCGAGGAGCCTTCCACGGGCACTGGCTTGTTCGCGTAGAGGTAGAGCGCCTCTGGAATAGTTTTTGGTCGTGCGAGTAGCCGTTGTAGGTGGATGTATATCGCGAGGACGTTTGGCGATAGGAAGACTTTCTCGTGTTTGACGAGGCCCTCAGCGAGCTTCGAAAGATACGATGGGGAGGGTAGCGCATCAACTCCTAATAGTCTCGAACTCCTTGTCACTTCAGTCTTCGCCTTCTCCCCACCTCCCAGTCCAGAGAGTATGGCACCTGCACTACTTTGCCTCAGTGGCGCCCTAGTCGGTGGAGGCTGCCTTGACCTTATGGCTATCGCTTCTTGCGCAATAACATCGAGTCCATTAAATGCCTCCAATATGACCTCCTCCTGTTCGACTTTGGGCGAATTGTATATTTCTTGTATTCGAGCCTCTACTTGGGCGAGTCTGCTCTTCAGCGCTATGATCCTCTCGGAGGTTTGCAGGCCGCCATCGTCGCTAGTATCAGCCACTACTGCCTTCCGAGATGTCGTCGTGATGCTTCGTGTGGGTTTGGTATATGGCGTTGGCGCGTTCTGCCGCCGTAACGAGGGCGCTGAGAGCCGGAGGGATGATGTGGACAGGAATGCGCGGCGACTTCCAGGCTGCTGCAATACGTAGTCGCACAATTGGCATATTGGTTGCGACTGAGCGCGAATTGGCAGGCTGCCAGGCTTCATTGCATAGGTTGACTTCGCTGTGGTTCGACAGTCGGTTTGGCGATTCGATGTTCGGTCATACCAACTCTGGTGCAGTCGAGAAAGTGCGGAATAGGTTTAGCGCGGCTCGGCATGTTTTTTCAACCGGCCGAAGATGGTGAAGAGGAGAGCAATCCTTTCTGTATATGTTGCCTCAGCAGCCTCAGCTCCGCAGCTCTGTGTTTCTTCTCCTCATGTGTTTCGGCCGTCCGTCTTTTGTACCCAGTAATCTAATAAGCCATGATGACGTGAGTGGACAGTACTGCGTGGACATCTAAAGAGCACTTAGAGATTATAGGTAGTAAAGTATGACTTGTCGACCGGCGCAAGGTTGAGTGCACCCAGTGCACTGTCGTTATCGTGGCCAGCGCGAAACGAAGCCGCCGTCGCGCTGTTGGATTGCTCCACCATGATAGTTCTCCTCCAACATTGCCGACTCCAAAACTGCTAGCAGCATGCTGGTCTTTTTGTAAAGCAGAGAAGTCTACGCTTCACCTATATCCTTTGACGGGGATGGAATATCAAAGTCCATGGTCATGTCCTAAGAGGAAAGAAGATATGGTTTCAAGACTTCATAGTTTTCAATTGGTCTCACCGTCGGCCTCACTGGTGACGGATAGTCTTCTCCATGCTACCTTAGCTCTTACTTCGAGTCTGATAACCAGACCGTCTTGAGCTGGCTAACTGGGAAGATACCTTCGATATACTCGAAGCTGGGGATTGATCGTCGGATCAGTCTCTGCTTTACAGGTCGGTACTTCTACAAGCTGCACAATTTTCTTGCTCGTCTCTACTCTTGTATTTCCTTAAGTCTAGCGGGGTTTACTCATACTGCAACTTATTTTTGTACCTACTTCACGTCTTACTAATAAAACCGCGTCTGGCTTTTCCGATCGTCCGCGACGTAGACTGAGATCCGTAGCCGCGTCCAGACATCCTGGAGTCGTTGATTAAGCCATCTCCTCACACTTGCACATCTCTCGCTTGTATTCTATGTCAACGTTAATAGTCATTTCGGATCTTTGTATAACTATTTTGGCGGGGTTGGTCATCGCCGTCTTGCTGTCGATATGCATGTTGGATTTATCTACAATCTCTTTAGCGGTGACGGTCAACGCAACGTCTCTGCAGTGCGCAATTCGCTTACTTACACACCTTTGCTTCCCTAGCAATATTGGAAGGTACATGTAACCGACACGCACCTGCTAGTGAAGTATTCTAAAGTTAAAGTTTACTACGAGACACGGCGTGAGGAAATCTGAGGTTTGGAGGATTGGGAACTATGTACAGGTGCTGGTATAGTAAAGCCCTCAAACAAGAGACACACCGAGTCTGTTCATCGCTAGCAGATTGCACAGTACTTTGGGATCTACTGCACTGTTATCAAATACCTCTAGGCTTGGCTTGACGAGCGTCGCGTGCTTCCTCCACAGCAAAGAGGCAGGAACTACCCAAACCTCACATTCACCTGAATGCGCAAAACTCACAACTTACAATGTGGTATCGTACTAACTCCACATGCTTAGTGCAGGCTGTTGAGCTTCTTAAACATTGGCGCGATGTGGGTTGATGAGGGTCGAGGACAGCACTCTACTAGGATCGACCCGTGTGAGGCTTTGCTGCAGCGCCACACTGCCCCGCAGGCACTATCGCAGCAGACTCCGCTTAGGCCTGTGAAACCGCTTGACCAATCTGCTTTCCAGTTACGCCTCTTGCTGCCGCCTGCCGGCAGCAGTGCTGCCTAGCAGCTGATGAGTTCAGCTTTGGAGGCATGATGCTGCCAAAACATACTCGCATAGCGACGTTCTCGCAGTTCTATTTACACACCTGATATCGTGAACTAAGAGAATCCGACGAACCCTTTGAAAGTTTACTTCCTCTGGCCGCAAGGCGTTGATGACCGTTGTACTAAGCCCCAGCGTACAGTCCTCTATCTGCCCGACATGAGCAGGAAAACTACATCGACTCTACACGAAGCTGCAAGCACATCTCCAGCGAACGTCGAAGACCACTTCGATAGTCTGAACAGCGACCTCGATGTCCTTAGTACACCTGGATCACAAGATAGCACTCCCATTCCGGTTATCGCAGTAGCAGAAGAATTAGAGCACGAAGAAGTGATAGATACTTCCAAGGAAACCCGACGTCTGTTACTCAACTACGATGAGTTCCACGACGCGATCAAACACGGAGACTTCGATAGCGTAAAGGAGATGCTAGATGATGGCGCGAATATCGAACGTACCACAGATAATGGAGGGACACCGCTCATCATCGCCATTTACAAGCATCACATCGACATCATAGCACTTTTGCTGAAAAGGGGTGCAGATGTTAACTGGCCGGTCATCGATTCACCTCCCATATTCCATGCAGTTACACAGAAAGAACACGCACCTCAAATCATCCAGCTTCTACTGGACTACGGCGGCATGCTGGAAGCTGTCGCTGGGCCGACTCATATGAACGCTTTGCATTGGGCTGCTGTGAATGGTATGATACACGCGGCTGACTTCCTGATCAGCAAGGGGTTAGACATCAGTAGGACATGCTCGAGGGGGAAGACGCCTTTGATCCATGCCGCAGAGAAAGGGCATCTTACTATTGTCAAGTTACTTCTTGCCAAGGGAGCAGATCTGCATGGAAGAAGTGCGAACGATGGCTCGGCTTTGATGTGGGCGTCAAGTCAAGCACAAGATGAAGTAGTCGATTACCTGCTGAATGAGGGATCGAGAGTCGATGACTGCGATGAGGATGGTCTCAGTAAGTCACCGCCTAATCCAAATATTGATGAGCATCAACTAACGTTATCAGCCGCGCTGTCAGTATCCAGCAAGTTGGGCTCTATGGCAATCGTACAGCTGTTGATCGAGAAGGGTGCAAACGTCAACACACTGAGTACTTCGCCGAAACACTGGACTCCGGCAATGTTCGCGGCCAACGCAGGTCGTGCCGGAGTGCTACAGGCGCTGCTATCCCACGGAGCAGACCCTAAAGTTTCGTCAGGTGATGGTGTCACAATCCTCGAACTGGCCATAAAAAGTGGCCACCTGAATACTGTCAAGATCTTGTTAGAAGCTCTTGGTGGGCCAGAGTACCCGAAAGACAGTGTCGCCCTTCAAATAGCCATTGCGCAGTCGAAAGCAACGGTGACGTCTTTGATGACTACCGTTCCTATCATGTATGGGTACATTGACTCCAAGCCTACCGGATCTGAGAAACTGGACTGGATCAAATGGGTCCTGGATCAAGGCGGCGAGCTCGTCAAAGCAGGGGCTATGACCAATATGCTACATGCTGCACTAGCTCACCAGGATGTCAGCATGACTGCGGAGCTGCTGAAGCTTGGAGTTGATGCGAATACGATCTTCTGCACTGGAAACACACCGCTCCACATCGCAGTCTATGTACGCAACTTGGAGCTCATCAAACTGCTTCTCGAAGCAGGCGCCGATCCGGCCAAGCCTTCGCAAGATCCCAAAGGGCTTAAGCTTACGCCATTACATGAGGCAATCATCGACTGGAAAGACGGTTGCGTCAATGCCATGTCTGTCATTGACTTGCTACTAAGGAGCCGCCGATGCAGAATCATGGAGGGAGAAAACGCTCAATCCACTGCATTCGCGTGCGTAGTACGCAAATTGAATCATTGGAACGACAAAGTTGTCTTGGAGGCTGATGAAATAGTCCGCAGCATGCTTGGCTGGACAGATGATCGATCTGATGACGGCTCTACTCCAATGCACGTTGCGGTCCATTACAAGCAGAAAGGTCTGATAGATGCACTCCGACGTGTGGGTGCCGACATTAACGCAAAGAACAACAACGGCCACTCACCTCTTCTCGTGGCGTCCCGGAGCGACGTCGAGATGGTCAATTTCTTGATTACACGTTGTGCAGATGTATCTGCTGTAAACAACCACGGCCAGGGAGCTTTGCAAATCGCCGCTGCTTGTGGGCAAGTTGAAGTGCTCGAGTTTCTCCTCGGCTCGGATCTTGCCGATGAAGCACCATTGAATATCGATGCTGTAGACGACGCTGGTCACACGCCTCTAATTGCTGCAATTTTGACCAATCATGAAGGCGCAGCTTTGTATCTGCTGGAACGAGGAGCCTCCACCCATTACCGTACGAGCGACACCGGACGATGTGCCATGCATCTCGCAGCACAGGCTAACATGCAGCGTACCGTAGAGAAGATCTTAGAGGATTCCTCCATCGACAATATCAACGTCGAAGATTATAGAAGATACACACCTCTTACACTCGCGTGCATCTACTCTGCCCCTGCCGTTATATCCAAGTTGCTCTCCCACGGCGCAGACCCAAACATCGCAAACGACACGACAGGCGACCGCCCTCTACACATCGCCCTCAAGCGACGCTCTCGTATGTCCCCCATGGACGCCAGACACGGTGATCCAGCTCTCGACCTACTCAACTATCACCGCATTGACATCACAGCCCGCGACGCTGATGGCCGCACACCACTCCATCTCGCATCCGAGTTCCACAACTTCGCTGCAACGAAACTCCTCCTATCCAAAGGCGTTTCCCCACACTATGAAGACAACAGAGGCCGCACGCCACTTTGTCTGTGTTCAAGACCTGATATCGCACAAGCGCTCATTGATCATGGTGCGGATGTCAACCATGGTGACGAAAACGGATGGACGCCGTTGCATTACGCTGTATCGAGGTGTTGGGTAAAGGCCTTTGCAGTATTGAGACGAGCGAGAGCGAATATGGATGCTAGGACGCGAGATGATGGGTTGAGCGTGAAGGAACGGTTGGAAAGGTTTGGAACGTGGGAAGATTGGGTGAATGCAGAGTGGGAGTATATTTGTGATGATGTGCGGAGGGAGAAAATGAGGGAGGTCGAGATGGAGGATGAATTGTGAGCGACGTATAATTTGTCTTGGGGTAAACTTCGGCGGTAATGTCATGTTAGATGCGTTCACTCTCGATTGTAAATGCATGTATGCACACATTTTCAAAGGATGTATAAGCCTCGCAGGGCAATCGTTGCTTAGTGTTTACCTCATCGTCCTCATCACATCGACGATTAGACAATAAGGACAAAAGGAAAAAAAGTATTGCTCGTCGAAGCCATCCAAGCAAGACGTAATGTATGACGACGATAACCAACAGAGAAAAGAACCGATACCAATCAACGGTCTGGAGAAACGCCCTCGCTAATGCAGAAACACCAGTAACAAAATGCCCAACCGACAGTAGTTACCCGTAAAGAGACACCGCCCGACAAAAGGAAGAAAAAGGGTGGGATAGAAGCCCAATGTCAGCGTCCTATCCAAACTTCCCAAGAGACGCTAGCGGGAAATAGAAGGAAGGAAAGAAGAAGTGTACAGTCTTGGAGTCGTCAACGGCCTATAATATAGGCCGGATTGTAATGTAAAAGGTAAGCAAAACATGTCTCAAGGCTCAGAGAAGTTAAATTGTCGGAAAGGTGTAGCTCCCGTAGTTGGGGTACCGGGTACAAGACTGAAAGGGCTGACGCCAGACCCTGTTGAAGAGGTACCCAGAGTGTGGGTATCGCTCATAGTAGAATCCAGGCTGGCCCTGTGGATTGAAACGCGGCGAGCCACTATGCACCATCAGCCAACATCGTCAAAATCTATGACGAAGCACAGTGATGAAGGCAATGGGGACTAGTTGTAGTTGGAGTTTTGCCTACTACTCTGTGGTGTTCCGCTGCTCGAATTGCTATCACTCGGCGTTGCTGGCTCCAGACTGAGCTGGGCGCGGAGCGTCATGATCCATTCGTGCTGGAGCAGCTCCATCGCACTGGCTCGCTTGTTCGGGTCGCGGTCGAAGCACTTCTTGAGGAAGTCGATACCAATGTCGCTTAGTTGCTCCTTGGATGGCAGTTGTGGTGGGTCACCCTGGGCAATGTGGTACATGATGGCCCACTCATTGTCCATGGAAGCCCACGGGCGGCGACCTGTAGCCATCTCGAGGATCACGCAACCGAGCGACCAGATATCAACAGCGCCGTGGCGACCTGTGCTTCCACCTCGAATGACCTCAGGGGACATGTACATTGGTGTTCCGGTCATGGAGCCTTGGCGACCCTGACGTGTGGCGTTGTGTTCTGCGGCGAGGGTCCTACCTTGGCGAGCAATGAGTTTGGCAGCGCCAAAGTCTACGAACTTGATCACTCCGTTGTGATCGAGCAGGATATCTATGACGTGTTAGTAAGAGTAAATAAGGAATGTTCCGGAAGCCAACTTACTCTCGGGCTTGATGTCGCGATGCACCACACCAGCGTCGTGTAGGTAGGCAAGACCCTCCAGCATCTGGAGTGCGTAAACCATGATGACGGTCTCGTCTTCGATTCTTCCATGTTCAAGTAGTCCAGCAAGCGAGCCGCCAGAGCAGTATTCCATGAAGATGTACACCTTATCTCGATGTGGTTCAATACCGTAGTAAGACACAATGTTCGGGTGATCAAGCACCTGTAGTACACCCATCTCATCTCTGATCTGAGCAACGATTGTGGGAATGAGTTGTGGATCTTGTAGACGAATTTCCTTGACGGCCATGAGGTGATTAGAGTCTAGGTTCATCGCCGCGTAAACGGATCCGAATGTACCTCCACCAACGAATTGTCCTTGTTGCCATCGAAGTGTGACGTTTGTAGCGGAGGAAGACAGGTAGGTCAGAGCTCGATCGGCTTCGTTAGAGTCTTCCAGCACCCTACCAAGTGCTTGACGTTCGGCCTCCTTGTCTTTGCGGAAGGCGTCGATCTCTTCAAGCCTTTGCATCCACTGCTGTTGCGTCATCTCAATGGATTCGTCATCGTCCTTTGCGTTCTTGGGGTCCAGCAAGCTCTTGCCAGCGATAGCGTTCAGGCGCTGTCGCTCAGCTTGAGCTGCGATGGTGGACCTCGCACCCATGATATCGAAATGAGAGATGAGGACAGACATGCAGCCAGCTACTTTGAGTCGAAGTTGCGAGTATTCTTCATCGCTGATGGAAAGGATGTTCTGACCGCGGGTCATCATCATGGCAAACTCTAGAGCGACGACAGCCCATCGGAACGTCTTGCGATCCGAAGCAATGCAGTCATCGCAGATAAAACTGACCCAGTCAAGTGCCAGCCTAGTTAGCTTGATGTTGTTCATGGCCCTCCGGTTGTAGTCCATGTAGAGAACGGAACGTTGACCGAATTCGGTCGCGAAGGCGAAACAAGTCTGGATGAGATCCTGGCAGTCAAGACCGACTGTTTGCCTGCGGACAATCTCGACACTGTCCATGATGGTGTTGGAAAGTTTGTATGCCGTCTTCTTGATCTTCTGCAATTCCGCATTGACACGAGGAAGGTTGGCGCGCTGATCGATCAGGGTAGTGAGTTCGGTCCCTATTGACGATAGGAACGACATGTTTGCGTTCGCTAGGCGTTGCTGGGAGCCATCCGCGACGAGCCTCAACCGCCCAGGCTTGAGATCGAGATGAGGTTCAATAATGTTTGCTGACATCTTCTTGCCAGGCCAGTACAGGGGCTGTTCTGGTCGGATGATCAGGACATATGGGTTAGAGGGGTCTTCTGGGGCTTCTTCCGCATGGTAGCAGGTTGTGAGAAGTGATTGAATATCGTTCGGTCGGTCGAGTGCAGTCGGCGATGCAACAATGTAAATGCCGGTGTTGTTCCCACCGGTTGTCTCGACGAGGAAGTGGCCGGTAGCAACTAGAGATTCATACAATTCCTGCAACTGCTCCTCGTCGAGATCAATGTTGTTGATGTTGAATTCGGTGCAGTTCTCGAAACGCTGTGTGAGGATCCTGGAGAAACGGAACAGCTTACGCTGTCGAACACGGACGGAATCCAAGATTTGCTTGTATCGCTTTTCCATCTCGGAACCCGTGAGCTCATCTGGGCGACGCTGCAGCTCTCGCTCGAAGTGGGCGCTGAGGCGAGTGAGCGACTTGGATGTCAGTACACTGAACTGTTCTGCCGTCTCGACATCGCCTCCTTGGAGCTGTCGACCGAGCTGGTTACAAAAGTCCCACTCCTGTTCTAGGATTTCGGCCTCCTTGAAGGTGTTCTTGTTGGCTGCCAGCTTCCAGTTCAGCATTTTGAAGTAGAACTTGAGGGCGTCAAGGACGACTAGATCAAAGTTCTCCTCGATGCACGGAGGCAGGTCCCAGCCAGGCTCCGGTCGGGAGATGACCATGTAGCTCTCTTTGACCTGGCCGGCCATGGCAAGCAGGATCTGGAACTGCGCAATCATCTGTTCGGCCATCATGACACCCTGTTGTGATGGATCCTTGATCTTCTTGGCGTATGAAAGTCGAACACGGATAATCTCCTGGAGGAGACGCGAGGGGAAGTTGATGAGAGTAAGCAGCTCCTCGATGTAAGGGGGGAGATGTCTCTCTGCGAAGCCTTCGGCGTTGGCGATGAGCGTGGCCTTGGCCTTCTGGATAACCTTCTCGAGAGGTGCCAACAGGTTGGTGTCGCCCTGCAGTGACTTGAGTCCATCCTCCTTGAGTATCCGGTCAATAAACGAAGAGTCATCGGTCAGATGGTGGTCCTGGGACGAGCGCGGGCGGGGCTTGGTAAAGTCGAGCTCTTCGTTGCCAACCCATTTCTTGAGGATAGACATCTCGGTGTTGATGAGGGCGATGGTGTTGTGCCAGGCTATGACGGCGTCACATGCGTCCTTGTAAGGCTGCGAGGCTGCCCGTGGGTATGCTGCCTCGAGCGACTGCCTTGTAGGGTAGACGCTCTCCACTTTTTCAATCTTCTTGACAATGTCTTCGACCTGCTGGGCCGCCGTCTGACCAGCCTCGGCCTCTCCTCCGACCTCGAACGAGATGATGCTCTCTAGCATGGCCCTAATCTTGCCGCGCGTGTCGTCAACTATCCGCCGTTGTGCCTGCAACGAGCGGCCGCAGACCTTGGCACGGATGCCCATCCAGATCTCAGCCTTCATGGTGCTGTCGCCCTGCTGCTCGGTGCTGCCGATCAAACGCTTCTTCTCCTGCTTGACTACGTCGCCGGTAAGCACGCTGGCCAGCATCGAGTGCCACTCGAGACGCTCGCGGTTGGCGGGAATCTTGAGCTCCTCAATCGAGGGCTGCATATCGTCGTTGCCATAGTAGAGCAGCGTCTCCTGGTCGTAGGGGTCGTTGTCGACATACTCGGCGGTGGAGGGGGATTCGTCGTCGGTCTCGGAGTCGGTGCTGTAGCCCAGACTAGGGGTGCGCAGAGCCGGGTCGAAGAAGTCGTCCTGCTGGTCTTCCTGGCGGATGCGCTGGACGTAGGCCTTTTCCTGGGCGCGGTATTCGGCGTTGGGATTGCGGCGTGAGCGCGTGGCCGAGTTGTTGCGCTGGCGATGTGAGTTTGAGTTGAGGGAAAACTGTTGGGGGCGGCGGGCAGGCGCATATGCGTTGCTGGGCGTGCGGGCAGCCGACGGGCGTGGTCCTCTGGTGCTCGAGCTGGGACCGCTGCTGCTGTTGGAGTGTGTCTGCGTGGCAGGCGGCACGTCCGTCATGATGGCGGGACCGCGAGAACGCGACGACGAGGCGTTGCTGTTCCAGGAATACTGCGGCTCGCGCAGAGGAGCTACTTGGTCGACTCGGCTGCTGCTTTGCTGCTCGCCTGGAGAAGCAAAATTGTACTCATCGATACCAGCGGCGCCAAGGTGGGCATCGTGATCGGAATCGCCAGATGAGCCACTTCCCGAGCTTTCGAGGCCAGGGCGCTGGGCTGGCTCGGGAGCGTTGACTACTACCGGCTTGGTCGCGTCCAGGGCCATGTCGTTGTCCAGCAGTATGTTGTGCTGAGCTGGGTTCGAGAAGCGCACGACGCCTCGAGCACTCATGGTAATCGACAAGACGGCTGCTTTTCCCTCCGCGGAAACGATCAGCGCATAACCTGTTTGCGGGATGTTGTGGCGGTGCAGCACAGACAGTAAGATGTGGGATGAGAGAAGATTTATCCATTCCATTCACTACCAACGCGAACCTAGCGCTATTTCCGGCCTGTCCTGTCCTGTCCTGTCCTGTCCTGCGCCTTCCGCACACTTCCACGCAGCTGCCTCGACGCCATCCGCCACGCCCATCCAAGCGTGCAGCTGTCCATGTGCATATGTGGTTCATCGCCACCACAAGCCCGCATGCGGCGCTAGCGGCGTTAGCATGGGCTCCCCAGTGTCTTCCATCTCAAAGGAGCACCATGCCGAGATCATGCCTAGAACATCAGGGTCCAGCCAATTCTACACCTCCTATCCAGCGTCATGGTCGTTGCAAAGTCGACGTCCGAATTTAACTAGAATCTGTCTAGACCCCCGAGCACATTGGACCACATAATAGATAGCCGTTGGAGGCTCGGCAACCTGCATCGCTTCGACCCTGACGTAGCCACAACGTCTGTTGTGCCACTACTCCTCTGCTCGACAAAGCACTATGCCTTTTGCTTATGCCGAAGGAACACACTGTCTCCAGACCCACCCATGTCGGCATTAATCGTAAAAAAGGAACGTGCAGCGCCTACGGTGATTACGTCGACCATGTACCCAGCACGTCTGGGGAATGCCTTGGCTTCATCAATGCTTCTTCGAATAAATAAACATTATCGTCCTATTGGATCGTTTTGCTATACACACACTCGTGCTGCATACAGCACCCCCTTAGATATCCTTCCTTGCCAACTTGCTCTTGTGTCTAATCTGCTTTCCCCATTTATACAGCGCAAATGGAATTGGGATAAAGGCGATGCCCAAGAACGCCAGTAAACTACTCGCCCAGTTGATGCCCAAGTTCTTGTACATGGCAGTGGCGAACAGCGGGAAACCGGCACCGAATGAAGACCTCATCAAGTCGTTGCCCGCCAGTACACTGGCGACCGAGTCTGGATAGGCGTCCGACAGGTAAGGCAAGACTGCCTGGAACAGCGTAAAGGACGCGATACCAAAGAAACTGGATCCGATGATGGGTACAATCCAGTGCACATCCGACCTAGACGTCCATCCGAACCAGAAGAGACATATGGGTACGAAGAAACAGCCGACCATGGCAGGGATGAGGCGCTTCTCAGGCTCGATGTTGCCGTTCTCGTCAAACTGATTCTCCAGGTAGTAGTAGTTCCACGCAAAGAGTACCGCGACCGCAATGAAGGTGCCAACGAGGATACCGAGGAACGCCACACCTTCAAGACCAAGGTTGAAGCCGTACAGCCCTTCAAACACCAGGGGGAATGATTCAAACCAGATGTAGAGGAGACCGTAGATAAGCGCAATGTACAGGTTCAGAAGGAACACGATGGGTTCTGTGAAGTTGAGAGTAATGGGCTTGAGGAGACTCATGTTGACGACCTGTGATGATGTTAGCAATGCATCAATCAGTCCAAAGCTTGCAATACGTACATCCTTTGCGGACATCTCTTGTGACATGATGTCCGCCTCGCACGTGAGACGGTCGTCACCCGTCAGCTTCCTTAACCTTCGTGTCCTGCGGTGCAAGATGTTTGGTGCGCTCGTCTCTGGCAGGAAGAAGAACAAGAATACCCAACAGAAGCCCGAAAGCCACATAAGCTCCCAGATGGTCCATGTCCAGCCCTTGGCTTGAACCGCAAAACCACCAACAAGGGGACCCAGTACAGGTCCGCATCTGTACAGCCAATTAGTACATTTGTCTTCTGCGCTAGCTCACAGATATTCACTTACACAGCGCCAATTCCCCAGACTGCCAGACCGTACACCTGTTTCTTGGGTCGATACATGTCGGCGATAGAAGCACCTCCCGTCGCGAGTGCTGGCGATCCAAAAAACCCAGTCAAGAATCGGAAAGCCAGAAGCATGCCGAAGTTGATGGAGAAGACAGTTGGCAACTGAAGAAGGACGAAAACGACTGATTGGCATTCACGTTAGTCCATTACATCTTCAATCTGTACGGATAGCTGGCACTTACGAAGCGTGATAATGTACACCCAAAGACGGCCAATCTGCGGAATCTCACTCATAGGCGACCAGATAAGAGGCCCTAGACCATATCCTGCAACATACAGCGTCAATCCCAATGTCGCAGGAACTTGAGCGACGCCGAACTCTGCCATTACACCCATGAGACCGGGGGTGTAGATTGCTGAGCCAATGTATACTGAGAAAGTGAGGAAGCAAATCTCAAAGGTAACAAAGTATCTCTTTGCCCGCGACCAGTTTCGCGGGTTCTAAGAACTGTTAGCGAGACTCATGCATCTCGACGCGGTGCGAACATACCTGCGGGTCGTCCGGTCCATACCAGTCGATAACATGAAGGTCTTTGCCCTTCTCGGGATCGACCCTCACACCACTGGCCTCGTTGACGCCATCACCAACTGTGCGCGACGAAGTCTCAGAATCGTGTCTCTCGTCTCGACTTCTTACTCCATGCGCCTGGGTGAGCTCATCAATTAAATGCGAGTTCTCTGGCGGTTGTGTAGATCCGTGGTAGGCGGCGTATCCAGACTTTTCATGACTGACATACTTCTTCCAGATCTCGGGGTCCTGCTCTTCGGGATATTGTAGATATTTATTCCGTGTCACAAGTCGGACAATATGGCCAAAGGCCGAGTCGCGGATGAGGTCAAGCATGATGCTTTACTCACAGGATGCGTTAGAAAGGGCTTGGAGTAACAAGAAACACAACATCATTCACCAAGCCCTGGCATCGAATGCTTAAGTTCAATACCCATATGTGACATCATCGCCGATATCAGTACTGACACAAAAACCCAAGGAAGCTTATCCGTCCCCTGGCGCCGCAAAAAGGGTGCACACGGATGCCGAAAATGCCCCTTGTAGTAGCAAAGCCAAGAAAATTGCGGCTCCAAAAGCTTAGCTTGACACAATGTTTGCGTTGATGGGATTTCCTGACGAGGCCATCGACAAGTCAATGACGATGCTCATCGGCTGCGATCGGACCTAACCCTAAAGATCGCGTGCAAAGATCTAACGTTTTACCTAACTTGTCCGGAGGTCCGCGGAAGGGCTACGATGGTGTATCTAGAAAATCGAATGCGCTGGCGATGGGCGAATGGAGGCCTTGAAACAAATATGCATTCTGATTTTTAAAGTTGCTTATGGTGTTCTGGACTCGTGGTTTTCGATGTGGTGACGTCGATCATTTGGAGCCTTGAGTGACTCATGCGCGCTTGAATACATGACTAGTGCAGCCTCTGAAAGCACTCACAGATGCAGGTGCCATGCAGACATCTGTAGGGCTGCGACGACAAGATTCAAGATTCACATCCGTCACCACTAGTTACAATCAACGAGCACTTTTGCTGTACCACTGGTAGCGTGTACACAGCTAGCAGATGTATTCCACTTGTGACTTGATCGTGCCTAGGTGAACCTATCAATAAATCGGGCCATTTAGATCATCCACTGGCTCAAGACCTCTTCATCCACATCGCGCACCAGCACATGCACATGCTCCAAACTCCTAACACTCTGCAAGTTTGTCGTGTTTTTGAACCAGATGACCTTCTTCCCCTCTTCCTGCTCCCCTGTCTTTTTCCTAAACTCCCTCTTCACAAAATCCTTGACCATATCTCTGCCCACATCACTCAGTGCGCCTTCCTTATCCACCGGCAACCGCTGCTTCAACCACACCACAATGTGTCGAATGCCAGGCTCAAACGAATATGTCCAGTCGTTCCTCAGGATCTTGTAGTCCTCTGGATCCGCAAAAGGCGTCGTGTTCCGTACTTTGAATCGCAGCGCTCCTGTTTCGTCTTCGATTGGTTCCCAAAACAGTCGCTGATCGAGAAGATATGCCGTCACACTCCCGTACTTCTTTTTGACATGCGCCGTCCAGGCAAGATAGGCTTTTAATGAGCTAGGCCAACGTTTCAACTCTTCAAGTTGGTTTGTAGAGATGAGATGATGTAGGTTTGACCATGAATGTGGCATGAAGTCTGCATCTTCGAGGGACAGCTGGTGCCAATCGATGGCTGTGAGCGGGAAAGGTGGGTTATCTCGTGGGAACGGAAGTGCTGTCGGGTCTGGGTTGGATTGCCATTGGGATTGGAATACGGATGGGAGTGAAGACTCGTCGATGGTAGCATCTCGTGACATCGTCGTGTAGGCGCGTTTGTGGGGTAGTGTATAACCAGAATGAGCTGTGTTGGTACAAGAGGGTTGTAAGTCCAGCTGTTTTGCAGTTGTGCTAATAATACTGAAACGGCGAATAAACTGATTCTAGTGAGGGACAAAGGTCAGTGAATGACGGGAAAACGTAGTCTGAAAGGTACATGCATCGAACACGTGGATTATTAGGTTGTGGTAGGAATGACAGGTGTATGTTCAGGTAAACGAGGTGCCTGCATTCTTTAGCGGATACATTTCCCAATCGGGGTTACTAGGCGTGCAGTAAAATGTAGAATATATCAATTGAGCACATATGGTCCGATGGAGCATATCAAGAACGTAGAAAAGAATGTTAAGCACAGCGAATGCTTGAGGAAGCCTCATATGGGTATCATCATACAAGTTTGAATGCAACATATGCTACTCTACAACTTCTCAAGCAGAATCTTTGCACCCGCGTTTCCTCTGGGAGTGCTGTCAGACTTATCGCCCTTCTTCTGCTTCTTGCCCTTGGGCTCTCCATTTTGTGCACCTGGAGGATTGGCAGCTGCTTCTAGTGCCTTCTTCTCTTTCTTCAGCGCCTTCAGTACCTCGTCCTTCTTTCCAAAGCCTTCAGCTTCGGTCAAAGCAACCACCACAAAGGAGCCTTGGCCAGTCGCCCAGTCAACAACATTGGCCTTGATTTGAGGCCAAAGCAAATCTGCGAAACCGAGCGCAGGTTCTACAGGAACGACCTTCTTGGTGGCAGGGTCGAATTTGCCACCTTGTACCAGCATCTTCAACATGTTCTTGCCATGACTAGTAGCCTTGTTGTCGCCAGCAGAGGCAGGAAGAGCAGAGTCCAATATCGATTGCGATAGACGAGCAACCTCTGCCAGTGCCTCCTTGCGCTTCGCCGGTTCCACTTCCGGGGCTCCAACGAGAACCTCGCCCATAAATTGCAAGCCGAATGTGAACGAGGCAAAGTCAGCAGCGCGAGCAGTAACAGCGGTCAGTAGCTGCGGCTCGATGTTCTTCGCGATCTCTTGTAGACGGATGTTTGGGTCCTTCTTTGACGTATTCTGACGAATGGTGTACAACTCGTTCAGTCGCTCCCGCGTGTTGTCATCTAACAGCCATTTCGCATCTGCGGCGAATGGGTATAACAAGACTGTGCGTGCGCGAGCATCGTTGACAAGGTTCAACACCTTTTCAGGGAGGGCGTCGTTGTTTGGTAGAAGCTCGCTGAAGATTGATTTGGCGGAAAGCTTGGTGTCATCAGTAACTGCCATGGCAGCAAGAAGAACGTGATGAGCGTGTTGATCAAAGGCCATTGTCTCAACTGTGTCCTTGTACGGTCGTAGGAAGAGCTTGCGGTCTTTGGCTGTTCCGTACGCAAAGCAAAGTGACATCAGTCGCGACCCTGATTTTGTGAAGGCAAGGTTCTTCAGGAGATCCACGTTGTCGGCTTCTTCACCCTCCTTGGTTGTTGGGTCCGGCTTAAGATGTTCAAGGAAGTCGTTGGCTTGTTCGGTGCCGGGCTCGCAAACCAGGAAGTATTGCAACATAGCGTCGTGTAGCATGGTGAAACCTGTGAGCTTCTTCTGAATGAGTGAGTTGATCTGGTTCTCTAGGTAGCCCATGATAGGCTTCCTCTTCTCCGGCGACTCTTTTAGGATGGCCGATAGCTCTGCGCTGTCGGTACCCTCGGCAGAGAGACCCTTGATAGAGAACTCAGGACCATACCATTCCCGAAGAAGACGGTTCTTCTGCTCTGGTGTGGCTACGGCTCGGTATATGTCGTCTACTATCCACGCGGCTTCGGGGTGGTTGATCATGCGCTTGACGTGGCTGTAGAACTCGGTGATTACGAGGTCGCGGATTTCAGGGTCACTATAGTCGGTTAGATGCGTGGTGTAGTCGTGCGTGAACATTGTACTCACCCCTTCTCCACCAACTTGGCAATCAAGAATTTGGAGTACTTGCCCTCAGCCAGGACCTTGAACTCTCCCTTCAGCTCTCTCGCGATCATCCGCCTCTGCTCCATTGTGGAGTATTTGATCGCCGTCTGAATGACACGAACGGAGTCATGCTTGAAGACAAAGTCCTTGACTCTGCCAGTTATGATGTCAAACAGCTCCTTGACGAGGCCCTTCCTCTCCTCCTTGTCAACGTGCGACTTCAGCCTTAGTTTCTCCCAAAGCTTCTTGGACCGCTCGATGATGTCGGCGTTCGGCTTCGCGGCTTTTCGTTCTCTGGCAAGAGCTTTCTGCTTCGCATGCGCTTCTCGCGAGTTGTTTGCTACAGGGACAGTTAGTCAACCATTATGAATTGGGTATGTCACCACAACTTACAATTTAGACCCGCCAATTTCGACTCTGCGCCATCGTCTGTGGGCTTTTGGGTCTTGCCGTTCGACTTTGCAGTTTGTTGCTCGGTCTCGTCGCTGCTTTCGGCGTCGCTCATGTCGACATCGGCACCGTCAGCCGCAGAGAAGCTGTAAAAACCATTGTCCTTTTCGCTGGTGTCTGACTCCTCAAAGTCGTCGGAGCTCTCTTCCTTGGCCTTCTTTGCCTTCTTAACCGGCTTGACGTCGTGCTTCGTCTCGCGCTTCGTCGTGGGCTTGTCGACCTTGACCTTCTTGCTCTTGGCCTTGACGTCGGGCGCACCTGCGCCTGTGGATTTACGTTTTATGCCGGCCATTTTGTGTTGTGGTTGTCGTGTCGCAATCCTCAAGCTCGAGATCGCAAAAGTTCGCGACTTCCTGAACTTTTTCTGACAAGCGGGCCGGGGTCTTGCTTCAGCCTAGCCTAATCAAGACAAGTGCCGAACCATGTCCCACATACGATGCGCGCCATCTCTCCCCATCTCAAATCCACTCGCAACCTGATATAGTGCACTTTTGCCGCTTCTCTATTCCGATCGAAACAGACTTGTTTGTGTTTTGAGGCTCGTCTATGGCAGGTTCGAATCGCGAACAGACTATAGTATTAAGGTATACCATCGCGTATTGATTCAACCCACCGATGCATTTGAGGTTTACGACTATATGGTTACTTCCTGTCAATTCTTACCATCCCGATGTAGAATCTTATCTCTCTAGGTCGATGTGTTCACTCACTCATTGTTCGAGGTGATCACACATACGGGAAAGATGCTGAATCTTCAAGTCTAACCAGAATATGTTTGCAGTCTTTCAACCCATCAGCGCGTTCAGGGAGAGTGCAGCGAACAGCCTGAAGCTGTATCAGGGCCTTCGGCTACCTCCTGGGAAGCAATGAATTTCTTCTCACAGCGCTACAGACTTGCGCTTTCAACCATCCGGTTGCGGCATCCTTATCAGCTGCTTTACGTATTCTTGCTCAGCTCGCTACATTGCGCGATGAGTTCATCCACGAATTCGCAAGATATGCGTCCTTTTACCCAGGAACCGGGCTAGGCTGTTGAGTTTGTTTTACCTGTATTCGCGTTCTCATGCAGGGTGCACGACAACGTCCTGATATTTGGCGGATAATTGTGTTTCGAACCCATGTGGTCAATTCGCAATATCGCCGACGCTGCCCAGAACCTGCATCTTTGCTCCGTGGGGCACATCTCCTTGCAGCATAGTAGCTGTGACGTCCTTGTGTCCGACACACGCTTCCCCGCATGTTTGCAGTCGGTCCGTCTCTATCAATTGAATGATAGTGCTTGCTTCATGCTAACCAGGGTTCGGCTAATTGCTTGACAAAAGCTTGAGCTTGCGTCCGCAGGTAAACACACTTGGTACTGGTATTGTCGAAAGTAGATACCGATGCCTTTTTCACAGTAGACAACCCGAAGACGTGGCCGATCGAGACGCTGTTTCTCGTCCCAAGAATCAAGAGTCCCTCTAGTAAGCTCTTAAAATTCCTATGCCTGCGTAAGATTTTACCAGAGAGCAGGGCGACACACAGCCTGTCTTCATGGTCAGGTACTAGTGCAAGGACTCCAAAGAACAGGCAGTATGTCATCAACGTAACCAAGGTCGAGGCATGCGTACAGTTTGAACATCGGTCGATAGATTGTAACACGGCCAACCTTGTGGCTGGTCATCACGTCTGCAACTGTCCAATTCCTGGGAAATGAGTATAACCATAGGCGCAACTGAACAAACCCGGTTGTCAAGCCGACTCTGATGTCTCATGTGGAGTGTTCATAGGCTCTTGCATAGATGAAATCGTTTATGATATATAGAACTCTTCCGGAGCAGAGGAAAACGCGTTGCATGCAGTCGATTTCGTAGACATGTGCTGGGGTGTCTGGTTAATTGACGACATACGTGCTTGGGATTCGCAAGCGCATTGCGTGTTCACAATATCGCGAGTGCGTTCAACGATGCTATAGCAGATAGAGATGACTTAGTCAGCACTTACCCTAAACACCCTTGACCACTGCAGCTTCAACCACGAGTTGTAGTCTGAGAGACATATAAAGCTTGTACGGTTCGCGCCTCATTTTCGTTGACAACTTCAGAAGACATTTTACGTGCCCATCAACGCAAGACAAACAACATCATGAAGGTTTCCACCATTCTCTACTTGATGGGCATAACCAGGTACAACTCGGCTCGTTATCACTAGCTACGATGACTGACAGGAGAACAGCCTCGTGTCTGCCGCACCCCAGGAAGACGACAAGCCGGAAGTCCCTGCGTTCCCCAGCTTCTCCCGCCGCCCAGTACCAAGCTACTCGCGCGTACCGCTCCCAAGCTTTTCGCGCGGCCCTATCCCTCTTCCTACCGCCCTTCCTCCCTTTCCGACCGGAGCACCACCTCGTCCTACTGGAGGTCTCCCCCCTCGTCCTTCAGTAAGCCGTGGTCCGGCTCCTAGCTCCTCGCGAGCCCCGTATGTATATCAATGAACATGCATATAGCCTGTTGTACTGATGTCGTTACCAGTCGCCCGTCAGTGAGCCGCTCATTCGTTATCTCGGTCCGCCCTACGCCTTCGGCTCGCCCTTCTCGCTCAGCTATTCCTGTGCCTTCTCCTCCCACTAGGCCCTCTCGTAGTGTTGGAATCCCGATCCCCCCACGTCCTACTTCTACTTCTGGTGACGACGAGGATGACGACGACGATGATGATTCTCAGTAGATGAGAAGCGCGCTGTGGCGTATTGACGGATATATAGTGGTTTCTCAGAAACTATGTGTGGCTGGATCATCGTGGCAAATATCCTGAAGAAAGGCGAGATTACCTTAGTTTCGAGATGTATGCAGATTTCTCAGGAAACCAAAGCAGCGTTCTGCTGCACATGTGCGGTGAAAATTAGCCTAACATTCGAACAAATTTGATGGGAGACTTACTCTAATCCCCCCACTCCGTGTGCATTAATCTTTTTCTTCCTGCAAAGGTCCTCTTGTGCAGAATGACGCCTGTCACTCAATCAGGCCTCACTAGTCGCGGTAGCTAAAGTCACTCAACTATTTCCTGGTCGAGACCGGATCTCCAAGCACAGGTAACGAATTGATGAAGGACTCAAAGCCCGACTTCCGGCACGAAAATATCACCTTGTTGAGTAGCGATGTTTTGCGCGTATCCTCGCGGTAGCGTAGCTCCAAAATCGACTGTAATTGGGAAGGTGACTCAACAGCGCCTTCTCTTGTCTAGGGAAGTTCGGCTCCTGAAGCGTCGTCGGGTATAGTCGGGAGCGAAGCTAGAAGCTATGTGTTGAGGGATGCATGTCATCGCCGAATGCGAAGGGCCATTTCTGATGTATATCTCTTGACATGACCATGGTAATGATTGAGAGTTCATGCTGAACACCTGAATGGCTTTTGTGTCGTCGACAACGGTACGCCCATCGATTTGACGTGAGGATGTTGGAGAGCGACTGCACCCAGCGTTAGAACGAGTAGCTTTGCATCGCCAGGTAATGTCTCGTTGCTATGAAGAAGTGATCGAAAGTCTTGACCACACGGCAAGGACGGCTTAACCTAGTTTTTATGTGGCGGCGTTCATTCCTGGAGGGCGGACTGATGCAAACTTGCTGTTTTCCGTATCTGAGATGTCATTATATGGTTTCGACAATACCAGAAGAAAGGGTGGCTTGCCGGTACCCTCTTCTTCGATGCATGTAGCTTGGCTGGTACCGGATTTCACCGATCCCTCTGAGATATCTCAGAACGGCGATCTGCTTAGAGGGGCGATCACAAACGGCTTTTGGGTCCATGATTCCCGAGCTGGTTGTGTTTGTGGTACTTCTCATTCGTGAGTGAGTACCGTATGGCGGATGGGGGGCCTCTAGTCACAAAGTGATCGTGGTGTTGGAGCTGACAGAGTGTCGAAATAGTGTTGGGGTGATAACTTTGCGCTGTTGTAGGCCTCAAGCGGTATCAAGGCGATGTCTAATGTTGATGGTAAAGTAGAGAGTAGAGCGCACGTAGCAGGCGTGACACTCTATCTAACATCTCCTTGTCATCAGCGGGAGCGGTAGCGTCAGCGAGAGTAGGAACAGCTGGGCTTGAGCCAAAGAAACCCGTAGGCACGGCCTCCTCATCCCCCAGAGCTATTATGTCGTTAAACATTTCAAGCATGGTACGCTCAGTCTTTGACTAAGCAGCTGTCTCGGTCGCCCGTGGTGTCGTAACCGGCTCCTGCTGGACATTCTCCATCTCAGTGCCACCTAAGATGGGAGCGAATGGGTTGCTAGCAGAAGACATAGCGAGTATGAAAAAAGAAATGAGATAACAGAGCCACTGGTGCTCTGGGAATTGCCCTTGTCTAAAGAAACTACTTGCGTAGTATCCTCATACTGGGGGACTTGAGATGCCCTATTCGGACAGATTCTACTTTCGTAGAACCTCCGTGCCAGGGGACTTGATAGGAAGGATTCAAAAAGGGACAACTGCTCTCGCGCTGACCTTTTCTACTACCGACCTATTGGAACGTTGTTGCTTTCGGAAAGACAACTGCTCTTGGGAGTCGTGCTGCTTTCCTACTGACGAACGAACAGAGATGCCAACAATCAAGCCAATCTGGATTAATTGTTGATATTTCTGCGAAGTCTGGGTTCTCGACAGAACTGCTGTCGCAGTAACTACCAATGCTTGCAGGCGAGTGACACTGGTGTATATGCTTGTAACAGAGATATTTCGCGCTGTTGCAGATTGTACGCGACTGTGTGTGCGGAGAAAAACCAAGACGCGACAGCGACGATAACAAAAGTCCTACGCGCGGACATGGCCCGTGCAGTGACAAACAGGGCAACAACAACGCGCTAAGCCATAACAAGAGAGCACTCATCACATTGCGTGACGGGTGAAGAGGGAATCATAACGAGACATGAGTGGGCACGAAGCTGATTGCGCCGCTCTCACTGCATCAAGCACCAATCTACACTCGAGGCAACCTTGGAATGATAATAATGTGATGTCTCTGGCTGTGAAGTCTAGCAATGGAACATGACGAGTCCATGGATGTACGATGTGACTCCAGAGATTTCGTTTCAAAAATTGTGACAAGAAATACGATCTGCGTGCCTGATATTTTGCAGGACATTGGATGAGGCGTGAGCTCAATTGCCGGAACGAAGATAACAAAAACATTTTCTTTCTAAACAAAATGAAGCCTTAATAGAGAATTTGCTCCAAACATTCGAGTGGAGTTTGCAGAAAAAAATGAACAGAACAGCGAACCCGGAACAAAGGAGGCTAATAAACCCAAAAGTCAACGAATCATGCGAGACGTACCTTTGGACTTGCGCCTCTGAAGAGAGCAGGTAGAGCGCAGACAGATGGGCAGGCCTGTGAAGATCGTTAATAGTCGTAAGCAAAGCTGGTTTCAGCACACTCATGAAATGGAACACATACATATGCACTGCTCTCTAGAGTAATTGGGACATTCTGAAGTCTTGTTTTTATCCGTTCATTATCGAGCAACTAATACAATACCATGAATATGTACCGAACGCTAAGCTTTACTGGTGGGTACTGCCATAGTAACGGTCGTAGTGGCTAAGCTTCTAAGTGTTGAGTAGCGGATCGTGGACTGTGTTACTTTGTATTTGGGATGAAAGATTGATGGAATGTGTGAATGTTAGAGACATTCTGGAGTTCTTCGCTTCAGCCTAAACTGGAAAGGGCTAGTAGGTCAATCTCATGGTTGGCGCCTGTACACATCTGTGCGGGCTTGCAATAAAAAACGCGCTGTTCATTAAAGTGAGCCAGAGTGTTGCACATTTACTGTCAGGCATGAGCAACAGAAGAGCAAAAAAAGATCCTGGGATATCTGACAATGCCAGACGAATGCTGATGAGAGTGGGACTCGAACCCACGCCACTTTCGTGACCAGGAATGTGATGTTAAGATAACCTTAACCTGGCGCCATAACCAACTCGGCCATCTCACCGTAATGGATTTGATGGAAGCATTGGGAGATATGATTAAAATATACTTAAGCAGTGATGTCTTCATATTGAGTGCTGCGGGGGGTTTGCACATGTTAGCCAAATGAAGTGGATCACGGCAACACTGTGAGCTATTGAAAAGCAGTCTTAGTGCTTGGATCATACGCGACCGCCGCCAATGTATACTGCAAGCTTCCAACGCTTCCCGGTATCTAATTTCAAATGCAGGAAGATGTTTCTTAATGTCCTTGCAACACCATGCAACATGCAATACCCATGTAGCATGCAATTATCTTTACTACGTGTCACCGCCAATACTCGCACTGGTACGATGGACACTACACGATGGCGAGTTCAGCTGCTATGCTTAGTCTAGCTGGGTTATTGATAAGACGAGGCGTCTCATGGCTGCTGTGCTGCCCTTGGCTCATGCATGTGCTCGAATGCGCATCTGCGCACCGTGATCGATGCTGACTCTTTCTTTCCCGATGCGGTAACTCCATCATCACTCTGTCTTCTTTGACCGAACCTCACAAACATGCCCAGGTATTATAGCACGACCGTCGGAATATCTCGATTCACAATCACTGATATTGATTCTTTAGTCGTACAAGTTGCAAACATTGCGTAGAGGTGCAAGCACGGGCCTGACCGCCACAGCTGCTGCGCCTCGCGCGGAACCAGTTCACCGCCATACTCCACAACCAGCCTCCCCTGCATCAACCCAACTAGCATGAGCTTCGTGAAGCATACATCCCCGCATTGAGATGGACGCGCGCAAATGCAGCCTTCGCTTGCGGTAGACCGCCATGACGTATTGGCCCATCTCGTCGCCCTCCGTCTTCGCGGCCACTAAACGTACGGATCCCGGGCGCACGCATACCTCCCACGATGGCGTGGAACACAAGCAACCAGGCGAACAACGTGACGGGTCGAACAGTGAATCGCGGACTCAATCCGAAGTTGAGGCTGCCACGCAGAGCAAGAGCGGGGTAAAAGAAAAGAATGGCGTCCAATTCTCGCCAGCAGGCGCATCGGTTCAATCAGTAGAAGACGACATACATGGCACCATCATTGCGATCAGAGTGACCAGGAGCGGACATATGTTTGCGACCCTCACCAGGACAACCCTCACAGTCTGGCAGACAAAGGCATGTTTCATTGCTAGCCTGATACTTCATGTGCTAATTCGTCATAGCCTACGGTTGTTCTAGCTTCTGTAATGCGGTCAGAGCAATCCGTCAGAACATATGGCCCCAACATCGACGTCCTACTCCGCCCCGACTCCCAAATCTTCGTCGTACAGACCACTCTCGGATACCTCATCACGTACTCGCTCGCGACAGACCATTCATCCCGCATATACCAAGCTCAATTCACCAACACACACGGAGGCCACACGAGGAGAAGCAGTGCAATTACAGGCTTCAAGATTCAGCGTCAGCATGATGTCAATGCGGGACCAGGAGAAGGTAGTGGTCTGAAAGAGCTCAGTCTACGGTTTCGGATGGTCATACGGGTAGATGCTGGAATAATCAGGGCCCTAGCTCTGGACGACGAATTGACTGTGGCAACCGAGAAGCCCCCAGCCGTACAATGTATTCGTTGGGCACCGGACAGCACTGGAAGCCAAACTAGCACTGAGCTACTGGCCAAGATGGCATGGCTAGGGAACAAAGCGTTGTTGCGCGAAATCGTCCACGACCGGCCCATGAACCTGTCGTGTTGGATCACAGGCGACGGACGAGCGTTTGCAGTCCAAAAAGCGGCTAGACGAGAGGCAGTTGTTTCTAGCCTCTTTCGTGGCTACGGTTTCCATACACCCGAAACTGATGCTGATCACGGCGTAAAAGCTGCAATCAACGCGAGATTCTCTTTGCTTGCTGTTGGTTGCGCCAGTGGTGAGATCTATGTATACACCGCACGCGACTATACTGGCAATATTCCCCTCTCGCATAAGCTACGACCAAACGTTACATCACCTGGCAAAATGACCGTCTTAACTTACTCACCAGATGGATACTGTCTATTCGCTGGCTACGAGCATGGCTGGGCAATGTGGAGTGTATATGGAAAGCCTGGGGCGACCAGCTTCACTGCAGAGAGGACGCTTTCCGAAACAAATAACGAAGGATGGCTTTTAAGCGTCAAAGAAGCCTTTTGGATTGGAGGTGGCGCAGAACTCTTGATGTTGGGCAACGACGACAATCGCCTGTTTGTGTTAGAGATGGCTCGAAGTGCAGTCACTGGCTGCTTCTCCTCGGCTAATGTGTCGCGTTCATTGATGCAGACAAGTACCGGCTTTATGATCTACCGTGGGTACGACCTGCCAGACCTAACGACAATCTCCGCAGAGGTCTCTCTTTGGCATCATGTTCAAATTCCCTCGGCTTACCTTGTCGACCAATGGCCAATTAGAAGTGCGGTCATCTCAAACGATGGCCGATATGTAGCGATAGCGGGCAAGAGAGGGCTTGCCCACTACAGTGTAAACAGTGGACGTTGGAAGATGTTCGACGATCCTTTCATAGAGAATGAGTTCACTGTGCGAGGGGGCATGTGCTGGTTTCAGCACGTTCTGATTGCGGCCGTCGAATGTCGCGATTCTCATGAGGTATGCCTGTCAGCTCGTTATCATATTATCGATACTGACATGGTGTTATCAAGGTTCGAGTGTATTCACGCGAGGCAGCTCTCGACAACAGCCACATCATGCATACACAGAAGCTACCTGCACCCATTGTACTGATTGCACCTTCCGGCGAAGATTCACTTCTTGTCTACACCTACGAGAACATATTGTATCATTATGTGATCAGTGTTTCTGATGCAAGTGTAAAGTTGGTGCAAGTGGGTCAAATCGCGCTGCATGGCATCATTCGTGCACCTACACGAGTACGGGCTCTTAGCTGGATATTACCGGAGGATCAGATCCGTACGTCTCGAAAGGTCTATCGCTCTGTATATGCTGACAAGTTGTAGACAACGGTGATCCATCACAGGATGTGGCTGTTGCAACTATCCTATTCCTTGTGGATGGCAAGCTTGTGCTTCTCCAGCCGACGACTACGGAAAGTGGCGAACTCAAATACGAGATGCGCATCATCGCGCAGAACGTGGAGACGTATGCTCTCATGCGCGATCATCCTGCTTTCGCATTAGATAGGCATGCCGATTCGTTACCGGCCAGCCCGTCCATGGAGCTGACCATGGAGGGCGTGCACGGCCACGATTTGCGGGACTCACTCTGGTTCTTCGATGGCCACGACATGCGAGTGTGGATAGATATGCAGGACGTTCTTGCTTCCGCGTCACCAGAGATTGGCAGGGAACTGCCCACTCCTGTTCAGATTCCTGTCGATTTCTATCCCCTCTCAGCATTGATCAACAAAGCGATCATATTCGGTGTGGAGTCTGAGTTGATCCAACGCAGGGATACAAGCTTCGCCTTCCTGCGATTCGGCACCAGAGTAAGCTGCCGCGCCTTGCTCCGCGCCTTGCTCCGCGCCTAATAGGCGGCTCGTCAATCTCATGCTGACACATATGCTAGACACACCTCTTCCTTCCCGCCCTGCTGCGGTCCCACTTGGCGCAATTCAATCACCCTGCAGCCTTGCATCTTAGCCATCATTACCAGCACTTGCTTTACTTCTCCCATGCCCTAGAAATCCTACTGCATGAAGTCTTGGACGAAGAGGTGGATACCCAGCCACCACCCGAGCAAGCGCTATTACCAAGCGTGCTATCATTCCTGAGCTCCTTTCCCCGATATCTCGACATCGTCGTGCAATGTACTCGCAAAACTGAGGTGCGCTCATGGCGGACGTTGTTCTCAAACTTACCTCCCCCGGAAGAGTTGTTCGAAGAATCACTACAGAAAGGAAACCTGAAGACCGCAGGCGGCTATCTCCTTGTCCTTCACACTTTTGAAGAGCTGCGGCCAACGGGTGACCAAGTCGTACGCCTACTTCAACGCGCCAAAGAAGAACAAGATTGGGAGCTGTGCAAGGAACTTGCGCGATTTCTCATGGCTCTTGATGAATCTGGTGCAACACTGCGCAGTACCTTGGAGCTTGTGGAGCTGAAGACACCGTCAGCAGAGCCAGGCCTTGGCCAGTCGCACTTCACGTTCGACTCGGCCCGTTTGAACGTACCCTTGAGAAGTCGCAGCAACGGGGCTAGGGTATTGGGCGGCCCAGGCGTTGGTTTTGGGGCCGACGGTGCTGTCAGGATGTCGCGCGAGAGTGGTGACATTAGTCCTGGAGTGAGTGATGTGAGTGCTAGTAGCGATACAAGCCCGTCACAAGCACCTGCCGACTATTTCGGCCTTGGCATGAACAGTTTGCGCCAATAGTAGTAGTTGAAACGTTCATATAGCTCCGTCGATGCAGTTGTATATACTTCACAAGCGTTCCCTATGCTCAATGCTGCCATGCTCACAATAGTAAAGTTAAGCGACCTAGGCACTCGGAGTGCCGTGGGCCATCCGACGGTCCCAAACTCTTGGTCTGGTTTTGCTCTTCCTACCGGCAGGCCCTGCAGGGTCGTATTGGCCCCACAGGGCTGCTTACACGACCTCAAGACAGATGGGAGGAGCATAGCGATTGGTGATAGCGACTGGCCCACCGTTCTCTACCGCATCTTTTACAGGCTGCCGAAGCATGGCGCACCCATCTAGCTGGTACACTTACAAGCGAACGTTTAAATTGTGGTAGCATTGGTGATCTCCGTCTAATGTGGTATCGTCTGATGTCTTGTGTCGTGTAGTGGAAAGGTACGTAGCTGAGCCAAGCGGTCTCGGTGGGACAAGATGCCATGGTGAACTGGTCGAAGCCCGTCACTCGACCAAAGTTTGGACAAAGATACGACAACAAGGTTGGCGGTCGCTTGCGAGATACTGTGGAACCAACGGGGCGGTGAGATGCGCTTGGTCTCTCCAGCATCTCCAGGGCTTGGTGGTCAGCAATAGCACGTGTGAAGCAGCGTCCAATGAATTGTCCAGCTTCGGCACAAGGCAGTCGCTGCAAATGAGGTCCCTCGCAAGTAATTGTTGGAGGACGGAAAGGGCGCAAATCTGCAACTGCACCCTTCACTGGCAATACGCACATCGTGTCAAACGTCCGCGTCCAACGTGGCGTCTACTTCACGACGTTTGATGGATCCCTGGAAAGCCCTACTTACCCATGATGCACCTTCTCCAACGTGTCCCGCGCTAAAAAGGGAGCATCAGTGTAATGGGCCGGCTTTCAGGCGACCAGCAATTCACCTAATCCTAGCGCGCAGGCCGCCCGTTCGCTCGTCAGTACAGGCACGCAATACACAGCCACGGCTGCCTTCACCGTATACCCACCAGCAACACCACGTTGCTGCGCATGCGCAACACACACTTCATGACGCAAAATTGCCTGCCTTACGCTTTGTCTTGTAATACAGGGTCCTTGTATGTGCGGCGTTGCGCCTTTTCTGGAACAATTGACCAGCGGCAAGGCATACTGTTGCTAGCCACTTATATATACTCCTGGCCCCATTACCCTCAGCCCTAACCGAACCGATCGATCCCTCGTTCCTTATTACTCAGAATTGACCTCACAGCCTTCCATCGGCACTAGGAATGACCAAGACACCTGGATCATTGAATCGAACATCATCGCGCTTGCCAATCCTCGAGTATCGAGCTAGTCGACCACAATGACTGCCCCTCCAGCCGCACGACCGCTCTTTCCTGCCGCCCATCACATGCCATTCGCATATCCTTCACCAGCATCGTCTATTGCATCAGATACAAGTTTGCATTGGAATGCTATGCCGCCTCTGCACGAATTCAATGGTGAGTGTGCCTTTTCATGTCGTCGAACGGACTTGTTGCGCGTACCACATGCGGAGGCGCTCTCGCTACGCCGAGGTCCACTGCTTGCGCCCGCTGCACCTATACGGTCCGTGTAACACAATCACCAATATCAACAACATCCTTGACTGCTTTCTGTAGCACATCCTAATGATGCTAAGTGCTTACTTTGGTCAGAACCCGCGCCTTCTCGGAAGTCCATGAGCTCTTCGCCAAAGGGGCAGGCAGCCGGCAATGGAGGCTTTCGTTGGATTACCGGCAATAAGCCCGACGATTTTAAAACGAAAGATGTTATGCAAGCTGTACGTCAGACTGCTATGGGTAGTTATCTGAAGACCGCAAAGAGCCATGCCGGCGACAAACCCAGAGCCAACAGTGAAACCTCGGACAAGTCACGCTCAAGCATTGGTAGTCAAGGCGGCATGACACCCCGACCTATGAAAACACCGAAAGGCAAAGGGAAAAGCGATAGCGAGAAGAAGAGCTTGTTGCCCAACAAACCTTCGCAGCCCAAAAGCAATGATCAGAGTACCTCAAATCCTGGTACACAGGTAGCGCGCCAATCGACCCTTCCCCAGAGACCCATCGTTGTCCCTATAATGGCTGGAATCAGATATCCGTTCGATCTCTACCCGGTGCCACCTTTGTTCTCTCTCGGAAAGAGCCTGGATCCTTTCGGAACTATGTTTCAATCAAGAGATGCCCGCGTCAATGTGGAGGGATTGAAGTTCAAATGTGCCATCTACTTCGGTACTGCAGGTCTAGGAAAATACTGGATCCCTGAATGCCTGCGCTACCCTCACACCTTCCTAAGTACCCTCTACATGGCTTCCGCATACGACGACGTCATTGAGAACCGCCAAGTAGAGAGTTTAGAAACAGCAGCACTGCGCCAAGATGTTATACATTTCGTGAGTGAACATCTTACAAATAGAGAGCAGTGTGTGGCGGACCACAATATCATCGCAGTCAGCCAACTGATACTGGGTACTGTCATTAGCCGAATGGATGCAGGTTTACGCTTCCACCAGGACGGGATCGCAACTATGATCAGGCAGCGCGGTGGGCTCGGCAAGTTGGGCGTAAATGGCCAATTAGCATCCGCAGTCTCTTGGGCAAATCTCGCGACCGCAGTGTTACGGGAAGACAAACCAACTCAAATGTACTTCGAGTACTGCACTAGTCGGTCGACGAAGAGATACCATGTTGACGACGTGATACCGGAATCGCCAATCTACCAGCCGCACGGCAAGTACGTAACGCTCGAGAGGTCGACCAAATGCACGAAGAATGCGCGAAAGCTCCTAGACGACATCCGGACGATGATGGAGGTGTTTCTTGATACTCAGGGCTCGAGCCGTCCGAGTGACATATCCAAGCTGGCAAATCTTCACAAACGCATCAATCGGTATCCTTCTGGCTTGAAAGAGAATGACTGGAGATACGAAGCAATCCGCCTTACCGCTAAGATCCAGGCTCAAGCCATCATCGACCACATTCCACTATCAGCGGCGCTTAATAGGGTGCAGTCATCCGAGGTACAACCGGCAATGTACAGCCCCTCGATAGCTTCACGGTCCAATGACTCCATCTCTTCAACAATTGAAATCCAACAGGTAACCCCTGTTACCGACTGTTCTGAAAGTCCTACCTCTGGTTCATTCGGCGAGTTCTATTCACAGCAACAGCTCGGCTTTCCTTTCGGCCACCGGGCTTCAAATTCTTCAACACAATCGCAACGTCCCTCATTTATGTCAGTACAATCAAGCTCACCAGACGCATCTCCTCGGCAATGGGTCTCTGCACCCACGTCTAGTAGAACCTCCATCCTCCAACAAGTCCGACACGCCCTTGAGAAATCCGGTATTTCAGAATGCTGGTCCGATATGGCTGGTGTACTGTTGTGGATTGGACTAGTCATGGGAGCAGCAAGCAACAAAAGCGATGATAAGATCGTGCGAAGATACTTTTCTGCAACGACTATAAGGGCATGCATCATGCTTTGCTTCGAGCATCCTGAAGCGATACATTCGACGATGCTGAAAATGACGGAGGTCGTCGGTGCGTTGAGTAAGAAGCCTGGTGATGCGCAACTGGTGAGAAAAGACAGTGCTGTGTCGAGGAAGAAAACGAAAGTTTAAGACTGTCTCTAGATCGCGGCTTGAAAGAATCGACGTTGCGACAAGCTTTCTCCACAGTGGCGATATCTTTCGGCGTCCCCGATTGATCCACTCTATTACGATATCCGTGCACATATAGGGCTGTAGGGCTTAGATCCTAAGCTGATATGGAGCAGCCTTGTGATTTTTCCAATTCTAAACTTTTAGTAGCCATTTGGAGAAATATTTTTCCAGTCGTTCAGATGTATATACTTCCACCTTCACTGTACCATATCATTGTACGATTGAGCATCAGCGTTTAAGGATCGGGCATTCATCGTAGTTGCAAAGGCGAAGATAGGATTTCTTATCGAATCGAACCAAATTATTGTCACCAACATTCACACATCACTTCAGTTGCACAACACTGCACAGGTGTCTGATGATTCCGTGACTTGATTGTGTCCTATTATGGCTCCTACAACAAGCCGTATCCTGACCCTGGTGTGTTCGTGCCTTCATGTCTCATTCCCAAATCCCATCTGGTATGTTCACCCCCATCCTAGCAGTTATGCCAGACGGTAACCTTCTAACCCTTAGTGACCTTCTTAACCGTGCCATCATCATCAACGTGAACATTCAACCTCTCGGGCTGGAAGTCCATTGTCTGCATCGAGCCGGGCGTAAGAACGCGGTGTTGCTGGGGAAGATCTGTCTTTGCGAAGGTCTAAGAGAAGCATCGCGTTAGCGCTTACATTTAGGCTGAAGAGAACAGAGAAGGAGAGACGTATGTGACGATAGGGAGAAGATAGCAAAGAGGAAAGGGAAGTAAGAGGCGGGCGACTCACCATCTCATCGTGCTGGTCTCCAAGCTTCTTGCCCATGAGCTTGCTCATCCAGTCATCACCAGAGTTTCCGTCCTTGGACTGCAGACCGGGGACTACGAGAGGCATTTTATGCGGTGGTGGTGTTGGGATAGTTTAGAACTGTATGTGTTTGGCTGCGCGTAGTTTCGATAGGCGTCTTATCGTGAAGGGTTGTCGTGTCTAGATTGTTTAGTGACTTGAAGAGATAGTGGGGTAAAGGAGAGGCAAGTACTTATGCGATTAGATCCTTGTTGGCACTTGCGTGAACTAACTTGTTTGTTTGGGCTTTGGGGGTCACCAGGCTGCAAGATGGGTTATGGTGGTGCTTGGAGGGCAGGAGTGACGTCACCCGTGGCTAGCCGCGTAAGTGGGGTTGTGTAGTGTTTGTAGAGAGCGGATTGGCATCCGTCGGTCTGCCATAGTCTATGGCCTCGGGATGATATCTTCCACAAATTAGATATACTGTAAGCATGGACAAAAGATTGATCGACCTTGCATCGTTTCAGATCTTGCTAGGGCGATTTGAGGAACACGATATGATGCTGCCTTGCTGATATAGCAGGAGCGGATACAAACTACACAATCTATCTTAGTTTTCCGTCCCGCTCTCAAATGCCCGAAGGAATCCAAAGACTGTGCTGACCGACCACAAGGCTAGTCCTCATTTATTTGCCATCGCGCATGTTGCGGAAGAAGTCCATGACACCGGTGAACACGACCAGCAGGATACCACCTCCAGGGCCCAGTCTCAGCACTTTGGGCAGGAAACCCTTGTATAGCGCCCCGAAACCCTCTTCCTTCATGACCGTACCGAGAGCCGGCCATGCCCAGTTGTACTTGGGCACTGATCCTGCGACCTTGGGAGAGTTCTGGATACGCGACTTGACAACGTCCATAGGAGTGTTGAGGATGGTACCGACAGTGCCACCGATAGCACCAGACATGAGGTCGTTCGTGATTTGGCTCTTCTTGGTGGTTGCTGCGGGCAAGAGAGCGCGGACCTGGAAAATGCAGCCAAAGTATCCGGCATTCCACAGAATGTGTCTCCACATGGTCGACTCGAGACCTTGGTAGAGAGTGAGAGGTCCTTCCTGCTTGACGATCTTGGTGACGCAGTCTACCATGCCGTTGTACTTGTGTGCTTGCGCCTTATCTTGTAACCGAATCTTGACGAGCTCGAAGGGTACGACGACGAAGGCTTCGGTGGCACCTGCAGTGGCGCCAGTGAGGATGGAGAGAGACTGGTTCATCTTGGCCTGGCCGAACAGGTTGCGGTAGAAGGAGCCCCATGAGTCATTGGCTGCGAATTTAGTAGCCCTGTGTCGCGTGAGACGAGTCTCTTCAGAGTCTGGACAAGGAACTATGGAAGCATGCGTACCTCTTGGGAGCCTCCATCAAGATGGGAGCGGTGATACCACGGTACAACCTTGAAGCACTGCCAGATGTCAACCCCTCTTGCTCATGATCGCAAGGGTGTCATAGCGTACCCCTCATTCTTGATGATCTTCCTGAAGCAGTCTACCATGCCATTGTAGCTGTCTTCTCCGACAGACTTGCTCGTCTGAAGCTGTCTGCGAATATTTAGAGCCGATTCAGGATAGGTCCTGTGTGCGATCGCTTACACTCGGGTCTTGACGACGTCCAGCGGGTACCTTGAGATGGTATTAGCGGTTTGACTTCTGGATATTTGGACGAGAGGAGTTGCGTACATGAGCAAAATCTATACGCATGAGCTGCATTAGCATGAACAACCTCACGCGAGCTTCATAGAAGGTTGCGCACTCACTTCTGACACGCCAGCCACGGCACCTGTACATAGTTAGTGCCAATTCATATTGCTGAAGCTCAGACCGGTCGCGGAATTGCTCTAGTACAGCCTCAAGAGTAGTCGCTATCGAATCATTGCTCTGAACGAGTCTCGACGTTCCCTCGGGTAGCCGTCGCATCGGAGCCGAACGGCGTTGAGAAATTGGAACTCACCAGCCGCGAACTGGTAGACGAAGGGCAATGGCTTCGCATCGGCAGCAGACATGTTGGCGGTAGTGCTGTCAGGGAATGAGGTGTCTGAGGGGGAGTGAAGAGAGAAGAGGGCGGCTGTTGAGTGAGCGTTTCACAGTCGGCGCGCACAATCTGGGGAAAGAACCCTAGAGCGTGGGATGAATGTCCAAACTCCGCCTAGGCATGGTCCTAGCTTCCCGTCTTCGGTTGACACATCTTCGATTGGCGCAAAGGCAACAATCTGACCCGTACTTAGCTCGAGATATCCCTCGATCATTCTGTGATACGCGGAGCCATTTGTGATATGCCAAGTAATGTCAATTCAGTGACTGTCCCGATTAGGCCGTCCAAGGATATAGCAAGACCGATGTTGGCAGGCACTAAGCAGCCAGCGGACATTACGCATGTGTTATTTTCAATGTATCTCTAGCTTGTCTTTGATACCCCAACGAAAGTCTAATGTCTTGTTTCGAGCGATACTGATTCAGAGATCGGTTCAGAGCTGACGCAGGTCCCGCCCGCGAGATCGCCGAATCCGAGCGCTTATCACCACGTGATGACGAGCTTCCGCCTCCCTCATCCTGATTGGTTCTTCACGACGCGTCGCCGCGTTCAGTCCATTCGAGACGTTCACGCTACCGACCATCTCCATGTCTACGCGACAGAAATCCTTCTTTGATCAAAACCAGAAGCCGAAGGTACTTGGATAGTCTACTGCTCTCACTACCAGCACGTACTCATCTCTCATTCCCTTAGCAATACAAAGGCCAATGGAACGGCCCACGCAACTTCCCCCCCCAACATAGTAATCAGGCGGCGCCGCAGGCTCGGCAGGTCGTGACTGGCCCTCCTATCATGCCATCGACCCAGACCCGTACGAAGCTTAAAGCCTTCCAATTCATCGAGGGCACGCCTTCCGCCGAATCCCTCAGACAACGTGAGGCTGAGAAGGAGAATCGACCTGCTGCGTTGGGGAAGACGTCGAAACCTATGGGCACACCAAAGACGAACAGGGTCGCGAAAGATATAGGAACCACGAACAAGACTTCGAAACTGCCGACAATCCTAGACTGTCCGCCACCGTCGACTCCAGCCACCACGAGGCTACCGCTTGCAGACCTGGTCGGGAATATCGACGATTCTTCGAGACATGCGCCGCAGCCTGTCGCCTCGCCCGAAGAGCAGTTGATATGGAGAGGATCACAAGCGGTGAATACTCCTTTACCCCGGAAGAACAAAAAGCGCGCTAGGAGTTCGTCACCCGTCGCACCGTCGCAAGAGGAATACAGGCTGGACGCGACCAGGCAAGACATCACGACTCCTCAGGCTGATCCTGCCATGGAGCTATGGTCACGGTACACGAACAATAAAGGAACGCCGAGTGCCAACAAGAGCGTGGCGTTTGCTCACCTCATCAACGAGTCGTCACCAAGGTCACAAGCTGCTGCAGGAAGCATCAGTGGCCTTCGGAGGTGGGCAAGCTGCGGTGTTGAGTTCCCAGCGTCAAACCGGAAAAGAAGGAGAACTCACGGTGTCTTTCAGGTGGATAAGGAAACCACAGAAGACGTTTTCGCCGGTGCTTCTAGTTCAGACGGCATGATGCTCGGGCAACCTACGAAACCAAACCTTGCGAGTATGGTGCAGCGCATGCGGGAATGTGTCTCCAACTCACAACCGCGCGTATCGTCGCAAATACCGTCAAGTTCATCACCGTTACCTGGGGCTGGGGATCGCCAAGACATATCGTCAGGCTCTCCTCTCCAGAGGCGTGCACGGGAACAACTTGCGGCTACCTCCGAGACTTTGGGCCACGACTCGGCGCCTTTGGAAGCTGTCTTGGAGGCAGACGACGAACCCCTGCAGGAAGATGACCTGGTGGATGCGGCACACAAGCCACATGCATCACAGGGATCTTCTGATGATTTTGGAGACGACTTCGACGCGGACATGGTGGAGGCTCTGGACATATCGCCTCCACCCGTACTTGCAGCACCTCCACCACGCTCAACGAGTTACGCCTCCATACCTACCGAGCCTATCAATCCGCTTCCACAGCAACTCATTGCACCGGATCTTGCTTTACAACAAGGCAGTGATGATGACGAGTTTGGAATGGACGATGAGGACGATTTCGCTGCCGATCTGGAACACGTAGCATCGTTGTACGACACGAGATCTATGGAGTCGCAAACGGCGGACCAGGCCCCCATAGCAGGGACGGAAGGAGGAGCTGGTACTGCAAGCGCAATGTCAGCACCTGTCATCAGTCTTTTGGACGACGATGAGGATGAGTTCGGGGAAGACATAGATGCTGACGAATTTGCTGCTGCTGAGGTTGCAGCCACACAAGTACCTTCCAATACTGTACGTAAAATACGAAACCACTTACGATACTGATCCGTGCTAAATCTCGAAGAGTCAACAGGACAATAGAGCAATCCAGCGCTACCTTATCAAACGAGTGGATGAGAGCTCATATACCACGGATCGTGGCTTCTCAATGCCTGAGAAGGTGAGTCCATGGTACGGAGGTCGACGAGATCCTGTAGCTAACACAACTTAGGTTCTGCTAGTGGAAGAGGAGAAGACGAAATTATTCAAAGCAATCACCTTGCGACAAGCTTGGTTCGACACTCCCTGTACAACGGGCTCGTTTGTACATGTCATTGGTGACTTCACAAGCACCGGACAGTGTGTCATCGACGATCATCACAACATGCTTATCCTTCACCCGGATCATCTTATCTCATCCACCGTTGTCGCGGATTCTTTCGGTTGTTTGCGACGAGCCGTGCTCCAGGATCGTGTCAAAGCCACCAGCAAGGCCAACGCCCCTATGCTCTACGGGACGTTACTCCACGAGCTGTTCCAGGAGGCCATGAAAGCAAACCAATGGGATTCTGATTTTCTGTTAGAGACTATCGAAACACTTTTGCCGAACCACTTGGAGACCATACTTGAGATCAACTCAACCTGCGAAGCCGTTAAAGAGCATCTGAGCAGCAAGTTGCCTGAGCTACAGGCTTGGGCCAGAATATTTGTTCGCGCAGAGCCACAAGCTGATGCTGTCGTTCGAGAGCGGAATGGACGACAGTCGACTATGAGTATTAACAAGCTACTTGACGTGGAAGAGCACGTCTGGTCACCAATGTATGGTCTGAAGGGCAACATCGATGCTACTGTACAAGTGACAATGCGTGATGACCTGGGAGAACGGACGTTGACAGTACCGTTTGAGGTCAAGACTGGCAAGAACTCCTCAAACGCTGCGCACGTTGCACAAACCGCTTTATACAATCTATTGCTATCTAATCGATACGGTACGTCGCCTACCCTTGAACGCAAGCCTAGCTAACATTGGTAGACGTTGACATTGCCTATGGTATCTTGTATTATCTCGAGACTTCAGAGATCAGTCGCATTCCTGCGATACGTAATGATATCATTCACATGATCATCAAGCGCAACGAGCTGGCTTGCTATGTCCGAGACCGGATCGAGCTACCGCCTATCCTGAAAGAGGACTTCAAGTGCCAGAAGTGCTACGCGCAGGAGCCATGCTTCCTCTATCACAACCTCGTCGAGGGTGGAGAGGGCGAGATGCTGAGCAAGAAGGCGAAAGAGAGATACGATGAGCTCGTCAAGCCGCTCCAGCCTTCCCACCAGGAGTTTATGAAAAAGTGGGACACGCTGTTGACGAAAGAAGAGACAGATATGATGAAATTTCGGCGGGAATTATGGACCATGCTGAGCATCGAACGTGAAAAGCTTGGTCGCTGCTTCTCAAATGTCATTTTGGAACCTGGATCCGGACACGAAGACAAGAATGGCCAAAAGATCAACCGCTACAACTACACATTTATAAAGCAACAGCCAGATCCTGGGTTCTCCTTTGCCGAGTCTCAGATCATCATCGGAGAGCCGGTCGTAGTATCGGACGAACAAGGTCATTTCGCGTTGGCCAATGGATACGTAACAAGTGTGAAGAAACGACGCATCACCGTGGCTGTAGATAGACGCCTGCATAACTCTCGAACCAAGTTACCGGGATTCCATTCACAGAACAATCAAACCTTCGCTGGCATCATGGAAGTGACCAAAGAGGGCGAAGCTGTCACTAAATATGAAGACGACGAGGAGCCGGTACTATATCGCCTGGACAAAGACGAATTCAGCAACGGTATGGCTGCAGCCCGCAACAATCTTATCCAGATCATGGACAACAATGTCTATAAGGCTCATGATCTTCGTGCGCTAATTGTGGACGGCCAAGCTCCCAAGTTCAAACCTGTGCCAGATGCAATGTCACTGCCTCAGTCGTCACAGATGTCAATGAACTCGGATCAGCGTGCTGCTGTTGCGAAAGTCATGTCTGCAAAAGATTATGCTCTTGTATTGGGTATGCCAGGAACCGGCAAAACGACTACTATAGCGCACATCATTCGTACCTTAGTTGCCAAGGGCAAGAGCGTCCTACTGACTTCGTATACCCACACAGCCGTCGACAATATCCTACTCAAGATCCGAGATGACCAGATTGGCATATTACGTTTGGGTGCCGCCAAGAAGATTCATCCTGAAGTCAGGGAATTCGCCACTCTTGCTGCTGAGTCGAAAGACAGCCTCGAGGAGCTCGAACGATCATGGATGCAGCCGCCTGTTGTAGCTACGACATGCCTTACCATCAACCATCCCCTGTTCAATCGCCGCGTCTTCGACTACTGCATCGTCGATGAGGCATCACAGATCACACTTCCTGTCTGCCTGGGACCCATCCGCATGGCTCAAAGGTTCATCTTGGTAGGCGACCATTATCAGCTGCCGCCCCTTGTGCAAAATAAAGAAGCCATGGAAGGTGGACTGGACGTTTCGTTGTTTAAGCTCCTTTGTGAAGCTCATCCACAGGCCGTCGTCAGCTTGGCGCACCAGTACCGAATGTGTGCTGATGTCATGCTGTTGTCGAACATGTTCATTTATTCGGGACGGCTGAAATGTGGTACGACTGCTGTCGCTTCTCGCAAGCTCACACTTCCCAAGACCGACGGTCTCAATGCCTACCACTACAAGCCATATCAATCCCGATTGAATGAGATACAGGCATGCACTGGTCCTGATACCAGAACCTGTTGGCTCTCTCGTTCTTTATCACCTGATCAGCCAGTCATTTTCATCAACACTGATCTCATCTCCTCGACTCTGGAAACACAGTCTGGATCTCGCATTACCAACACCCTTGAGGCACGGCTTGTTACCCAGCTTACAGTATCTCTCCTCGGCCTCGGCGTCCCTGCTGGAGAGATTGGCATCATAGCTTTCTACCGTTCACAGCTCGCCTTGCTACGACAAAGCCTGTATTCCGCACACACCCAAATGCAGTCTTCTGAGCTTGCTACTCCGGCCGGTAGCGGACAAGGGTGGGCGGGTGTCGAGCTGCATACTGCAGACAAGTTTCAAGGCCGCGACAAGGAGGTTGTCATCGTATCTTGCGTACGAAGCAACGAGAACGGCATAGTCGGCGATCTTCTGAAGGACCGCAGACGTGTGAATGTCGCTCTTACACGCGCGCGATCAAAGCTTATCATTCTCGGTAGCGAGAAGACGTTATCGAGCAACGAACTATTGCGCGATATGGTTGCCCTCTGCCGAGAAAAAGACTGGGTACTCGACCTCCAGTCCAGTATGGTGGAGTCGCATGCCTTTGACGAAAGTGTCACTCAAATGGGTAAAACACCAGTGAAACAATCATACCCCTCTCCGTTTACCAACAAGATGGCGAAGAGCCCAAATACAACACCTAGCCCATCGAAGAAGCGAAAGGCATTATACGATCTTGCAACGAAACCTGGACAGCTCAACGCTAGGAGTCCAAGGCGAAAGATTGGTAGTAAGAGCCCAAGTGGTAGTCCTGAAGCGAAGAGAGTACCTGGGAAGGTTTTCACGGCAGGGAAGAGAGGCTTATTGGATAGCAGACCAGTTCTGAGGGATATCTATAATGGCGCTATTTGAGAAGTGGGTGTTTAAAGGTTACCCACAAGGAGTTTTGCACCCAAGGGTAGTATTGCCACATTGGCTTCTGAAGAGTTTGGATTTCAAGGACCTTTTGTAGGATATCAGCACCGTTGAATATTATCGTAATATATCACTGGACGGAACACCGGAAGCGTATGCAGCCAATCAGCAATCACTTGACATAACATAAGGCCATAACCACTATTCCACGGCAGCAGCATAACCGTTGTCCATGTGTCCCATTAATACCCATGCTTTGCACGTTGGGATGATGTGACGTCCAGCGACGCAGCGTGCTGTTCCTTCCGCCGCAACATGCATATGCGCCTTCCCACCCCCACGAATTCCACCGGTACGCACTCCAAGACCATAAAGCAAGCCCTCCTCAAGGCATATTCCAACAGTAATCATAGCACAATTGTCGCCGGACTAAGTCACAACACACCCACTGCGTATCTGAGAATGAATTACGCCTTAAGGACAAACGATGTGCTATTGCAAATTCTCAACCGCATTCCACGGCGCTACCTTTACCTACAAGGCCTATATCTTGTACTTCTTGGTGCATCTACCTTTGCTCTTCTCATCGACTTCATGTGCACCTTAGAGACTACAGGATAGATCGTCTTTCTACCGAACCTTCCAGTATTCCCCTTGTCAGTGTCTTATTCCGAGGTAGCATCCAATTCTTCATCATCTAGTACACGCTCAAGGACGAGCGCTTCGCCAATCCGCAACAGACGCAACCAATCTTAGATGATGCAGGCAAACGAATGGAAGCTATCGCTCGAAATATCGTCGGGTTTGTGCCCTGGTCCTACGCCTATGTATCTAGCCTGTCGCTGTTTGTGCTGGCCTTCGCTATCGTTGAACATCCGGCCAGTCTACATGGGACGAACCCTGGTGCAACAAACTGGAGCATAACCCTCCCTGTCCATCTCTTTCTGGTGCTTGGAGTCGCGGTGAAAGTGGCTGGTATGGTGCTTTGCATAGGATGGTATGTGTCCAAGGACATTGATGCCAACCTTGAATGCCCAAGGAAAAGACAGGCAGTGCGAGAGGATTGCCAGGGAGCAAGATGGATACCTACCATCTGTGATGAAAACGATGGCCAAGGTATCACGTTCGATTTTTAATCCTATGACAGATCTACATGGGCAAGATGTGCTGGCCATCCAATTAACCTCCGGTGTTCTGACCCCAACGCTACAGCTATAGCCTTAACAAAGTTCGTACCAAGGCTCTCAAGCCACCATACCGTATTCGTCCGGGTGAGCAAAACGGCGAAGTGCGCTAGAATGACTAGCGCATCGCGATCTTGGGCCTCAACGAGTTGAATGTATTCTCGAGGGACCCGTGTAATCCACGAGAGTATTGCGCCGCGATCGAGCAGAACGTCAGTCGTATGAAGAGTTTTGGAGCCTCCAACATCAGGAGTTGCGAATTAAGAGCGTATGTTTCGCGAAGTTGGCTCAAGGCTTGGCTAAGGTAGTTTGAGTGTGGATCGTACTGCCGATCCGTTTGCAGCCACAAGTCCTCGATACGGCGTAACCTCTCATCCTCGTCACGGGCACGAGGAGATGCTGGCTTGCGCATTTTTTGCCACCCTTTTCTTGATGCCACGGGCTGTATACTGCTGTTAACTATCCAGCTCCAACCTTTCATAAGAACCTCTAGTGGTCCTCGGAGTCCCCACATTGTTTTGACGACACAAGACATCATCCTGCCCACCATATTAGCTGTATATGCGTCGCGAGAAGTAAAGCTGGCTTCTAAGTCTCTGAAGTCCAAGACTGAGGTCCGGATAAAGTACACTGCGGTTAACGCTGAGCTTGCAAACACTGCGGCAACATTCCTCGGAGTGACCTTCTCGATCTCATAACGATAACCCGCAAGCGCATGGTTCATCTGAGAGGCGGCTACAGCATTCCAGTAACTGGACTGCTTGGGCTGATCTCTAGCTTTGGAAAGATAGGCGATATGTAACGACGTGACTGAAAGGACGCAATGCGTTAAGATTTTGTAATTCATAGCGATTTTAGGGATTTCAAGCTGCCAGACAGCTGTTTCTCGACCACCATTTTCTATCGTAAGACTGGTTGCGAGTTTATAATGGGACAGTACATCTTGAAGCGAAGAAGGAAGTGCGCCTTGGTCGACTTTCCGTAGATCTTGAGAATGGGTGTACAGCGGGACAAGATTACGGCCATCGGGAGAGCTGCTATCGTGGCGATATGGTACTGTGGCGGTGCGACGTTCACCATCTATGGAACGGCAATCTTCGGTCGGTGATGCAAATCGCGTCTCTCGTGAGCTGGCGGATGGACCCGATGACGTGTTCGTGAGGTATTTCGAGGGAGCAGTTAGGAGAAAGCTACAGGTTTCCCCTTTCTTGACACATGTTCCGCAAGAAGGATGGTTCAGATCGCACTGCGTTCCGTATTAGTTGTCTTTGTACGTTCAGAGTGCAGTAGGCCATGTCGATAGGCAACATCAAGACATGCGGAAGGCACAACTTGGTATCATATCGCAACAAAGATCAAATACGGTGGCTCTGGCGTCGCATGAGAAGACAGCTGCTTCTTAGAGGGATGGCTACCTTTATACGTCTCTTCTTACATTGCTGGCATCCGAATCTGGATTTGGTATGCGCTCTTCGTATCCGGTTTGGCATGAGGCCTTCAGATCAGACTGCTGATGCGAAAGTGATTGGGTGAGATGGTCGAATGCTTCAAACGAATCCCCAGAAGAGACGTGAGGTGAGATCGACAGCAGTACTACGATGTCGGCGTACTGGGAAGAAGCTGTTGAGCAGTTACAGAAGCAGAAAACAGAGGTGTCGATTCGGCAGGAATGTGTTCTGATGGCTTCGTAGGTACCTTGAGCACCGTGGCGCCGCCGTGAGGAAGCTGACACCAAACCTCACGTTTCACGATGTTTCCAGCATCAGCGCAGTGGGCCGTTGCGGAGACTCGTGTCAACGGGGGCTGAGCCCGCAAGATCGGACGAAATCATGCCGCCGGTTACCGGAGAACTTGGCAAGGTATCAGTCTATGCGTAACCAAGACAGGCAGTGATCGCCCGGCCAATGAGTGAATGGTCAATACGCGACATCGACCCACGCCGTGTCTTCCGGCGCCGTATATAGTCACATTGTTACCGTATCTCACAGACTGCAAATGGTTCTTCTCATTCTTCAATCTGCGTTCGACGCTTGAACAGCATGGTTCTTGCGAAACTAAGACCAAGATACGGGTACCCATCCACCTGTCTGTACGAGCACGAAGCCGCTGTCCAATATGATGCCGCAGTAAACGATAGCAGTCTCTATATATGAGGATTACTCGCACAATGTTTGTCGGTTTCTACACTTTGCATCTCAAAAACATAACTTTTCTGTAATTTTCTCTCATTGTAAAATTGTTCGTCAATATATTCTGTCTTTTGGCAATACATATCCATCGCCGTTCACTACGTCACCTGCTCAAGCTCGTTTCCAATTCTCCAAACATGAGCGACGGACAAGGTTATGAAGAGTACGTCTTCTATCGTTACACGCCAACACTTGCAGGTGCGGTAGTTTTCGTACTCCTATTCGGGTGCACGACCATCTATCACGGATGGCAAGCATTTCGCAAGCGATCGTGGTTCATGATTCCAATCATCATCGGCGGAATCTTCGAAACTATTGGTTACATCGGACGCGCGCTCTCCCATAGTGATCGGGAAGCACTTGGACCCCACGTTATACAAACACTACTCCTCCTCCTTGGACCCGCCCTCTTCGCTGCAAGCATCTACATGATCTTAGGTCGCATCATCCTGCTAACGGATGGTGAGCGTTATTCGCTCATACGGCGCACATGGCTTACGAAAATCTTTGTTGGTGGAGACGTGCTCTCGTTCTTCACACAATCTGGAGGTGGCGGAATCATGAGCGGTGCAGACAAGGACAACCCGGACAATATGAAGATTGGGGAGAAGGTTATTATCGTGGGGTTGTGCATACAGGTCATCTTCTTTGGATTCTTCGTATTCACATCCTTCATGTTCCAAAAGCGCGGACGTGAACATTTGCTGGCATTGGATGGATCAGTGCCATGGAGGAAGCATCTATATGTGCTCTATGGCACGTCGGTCTTAATTTTAGTCAGGTCCGTTTTCCGAGTTGCTGAATATGCGCAGGGTAATAAAGGGTACCTACTACGACATGAGGCATTTCTTTACGTCTTCGATGCGATACTGATGCTCAGTGTCATGTTGTGGCTGAACATTGTTCATCCAGGAGCAATTACCGAGCTATTAAAGGAAAAAGGAAGGGCCGGCAGATTGGAGAGGCAGTACGACTTAGATCTCCTTAATCACAATGGAAATTCCAATGTCTAGAGTTGGAGAATACAAAACTGGGGGTCGCCATCAGGAACGCGAATCCCGTAAAAAGGAATTGGAGACTGTAGCCAGTATAGCTATGTGGGAGTGCAAGCGTACGACTACCACAAGCTTGGGTGCCAATATTTGAAACTTATCGAGGATCCTTGAGTTCAATCTCGTATTCGGGTACTTGATGTCAGGCGCAGCTATCCATATATACTATCCTGCACCATGATCAGTAGTTCACTAATCATACGTAGCTTTTTAGTTGAATGGCGAAGTGGTACAGACTTGCGTTCTGACAATTGACTCCGTCAAGCTTAAAAATGACATGGTGTAGAGTTTATGACAGATCCTAAGACTCAATACTACATGGGACTCTTTTTGTCAGGATTGTTCCTGGTGCAGCGAATGAACCATGCCAGCTGCTACAACTCTAGCGCTTGGCAATGTCTTTCCACAGCCGCTAAGCGGTATGCTCTGTTCTTAAGATCTAAGGATAAGTTTCACCAAAACGAGCGTAAACCGCTCTAGATTCTGTAGTCCACCATCATTTTACAGCGGTAGTCAGTGGACGGGACAAATACTCGGAGGACAAGGTCGTATAGGTGGCAAAGTGGCCGTAGACCAATCGGACCCTCGTGTAAACGGTTGATCCGTGTATGCACAAGCACTCTATTGTCTACTTATTCTAAGCAAGGCATACGTCGTATTCAGCGTGGTCAAGATGCTCCGGCTCAAGCCGTGAGACGCGTGTTCTTCAATATGACGACCTTGAGCCACCCAAAGAAAAGCTTTATATAAGTGCGCATTTAGATTATGCTTCTACATTATAACCACTGCACTACTTCACTCTCCACAGGAAATCCACTTCGAAGTGTTCTATCATCTTGTTCACCGCTCTCTCGAAATATTTAAAACCTCCATCGCCGATTCCTAGTCTTTAGACTCCGCAACAAGCAATCCAATCAATCTCAGAGTCGTCGATTGACTTGATTGTCAGCAGCCTAGCTGCTGATTGATTGTGGATTGATTGAAGCTATTTTGAAGTAGCTCAGATTGACTTGATTGACTTGATTGGTTAATTTATACATAGGAGTTATCGAATCTCCGAGGCAGATGCCGAATTCGTGATAAGCTGTTTCATCGGCTTATATGCACGTGACTTTCTTATCATCACGTGATGTCACAGACAATGCAGGCGGACTACTCGATCTTAATCTACATTCCTGGAATAACGATCTGACCAATCTAACCAATCTAATCAATCAATCTGAAGGTCTAAGATTGATTTGCTTGCAGATTGGCGCAAATTCAAGAAGCGACGGATTGGATTGATTAGATTGGTTAAACCAATCAAGTCAATCAATCCGTTCAATCCAGATTGCTTGTTGCGGACTGTGCTAGTCTTGATAGTCGAAATGGCAGTTGAGGGGCACTTCTTTTTTACCTATAAACCTTCAATCGCAGCAGTTGTCATATCAGCTCTCATCTTCGGTGCAATAACAGCAATACACGTGTATCGGTTCGCAGCGACTTACAAGACAAAGCGCATCAAGATACTGATCGTGCTTTCTTTCGCGTCGTGGAGTAAGCATGGAGGATACTCTTGTCGTACTGAGACTCCAGCTGACCCAGATACCCATTAGACGAGGTACTAGGCTACGGACTCCGCGTTCCAGGAAGCAAAAGCAGTCATACAGGTGGCCTTTACGCACTGAGCCCACTTCTCTTTGTCTTTATACCCCTAATGGTGACCTCGGTCATATACTATATCTTCCACAAGATTTCTACAAACGTCGCACCGCAAAGTGTGCCACTCAAGTCTTCTTTGACGGTCAAAGTGTTATGTGGGGTGGACATCATTTGCCAACTCGCCATCTCAGCTGGTGCCATGGTGGCATCTCGAACAAACTTCGGCGCTGGGAGAGGGATCTTGCTGGCTGCGATCGCTATACATTGTAGTAATGTTGTGGGTTTTTTAACCATTGTTGTCATATGGCAGCGCCACGTTGGTGGAAAATGGGCTCCGGGTCTGTATCAGTTCACCGTGTCCGTGCGAAGAGATGTGTTGGCAATATATGTCTCGACTGGCCTGATTGTCTTGCGCAACCTGCTGCGTTTCATTGAGTTTGCGAGTAGTCCTGTAAGTCCAGCAGCCTTGCAAGAGTATTGGTATGTAAGCTAATACTGTTAGAACGGACCTTTCCAGGATCAAGAAGCGCCATTCTACATCTACGACTTTTTCCTCACCGATGTTGCATTGATTGTATGTCTTCAGTGGTACGATAGTGAGGATCTCCAGATTTTATCCTAATCAAGGTCACGAAAGCCAGGAGAGATGCTTGCGCAAGATGCATAGTCGTTGTTGTCAAGATAGATTCGCGAAGAGCGCCTCCGGACTCTTAATGTTCTTAATGGTGGAAGAGCACAAGAACCTAGTTGATACAAGAGATAACGCCGTGCATAATTAATAGAGTTAAAGCAAGAAGACATTAAATAGGAATAAACGAAACACAAGGTATTAGATGCTAATACTGAATTGGTCTATTAGGCATCTTGTACAGGTTCAAGTAATGTACAGGACTATAGCGTACTCTAATAGCGAGTAGTATTGGAAGGAGCTATCTCATGTAAAGGTAGCAACGTATCACTAGTGTGATGCCTATATAATCCGAGTCCTCTATAGCTTTCAATGATCACTCTTATACTCCAACAAGTAGTACCGTGTCTGTGCGCGTGAGGCGCATGGTCGAATAATGCGCACCCTACTAACATTAACTACCCATACAACACACGTGACTACTCTACTAGTATAGATATAATCTAGAAAGTAATTAAAGAAGTTAAATTGCGTGCTTATAATAACCATTTTATGTATACTGTGATTGCAAAGAAGAATACTGTCGATCGACGTGCGCTAGCACTATGACACTAGTGTTACACGGGGTTAGGCTATACTTCTCTAAGCTCGGTCCGTACTAAGGCGAGGTAGACTAAAGCGGTAAGCTGTGCGGTTTGTCTAGCAATTTGTGTAGAAAAGAGTTATTAAAGTTAACTAAAAGGGTAAAGACAATCTAATTCTATAAGATAGAATAACTAGTTAACAATCTGTGTAAGAGATAAACTATTTAAGTTAACTACAACGAGTGTAATAATGAAACCTTTCTATCCTTATATCCTCGTTGCTATGTCCTGTGTCCTCCTGTGCCTCCTATCAAAGAGGGAGGTCTAGGAGGATGCTGGCCTCCTTTTGAGCAGTAGCCTCCTAGAGGCCATGTCTTGGCGGGATGCCAGTCACGTGATCCCTTGCGCCCCGCGCAGATCATTACCTTCTAACGTGGACGTGGTGGACCTTCGACCCACTTCCCCCGTCACGGAGAGAATCCTTCGTGTTACTTGTAACAACCAGGGCCAAAAACAACCGCGCAAGCTTGCACACCTTATCTTCTACCCACAACAGGAGTTAAGCGTATACAGTGCATTGAGAGACTCACTCAGAGACAATTTCCTCCTTCAAGAGATACGATACTATTCTCAACAAAAACCATCTGTGCCGAGATGAATCCATTGTTTGGGGCAACGAGGAACAGGGTAGCGCGGCTGAGCGAGGCTGAACCAGCGAGGCTTCTATTTCCATGGCGGGCTCTAGTAGCGAAATGTAAGCAGAGTGGAATTGTCTACCACCGCACAGACAAGATTTGTATGGAATAACGTGGACGTGTAAAGAAATGCACAGACGCGCCCTATCACCCCACTGATGGGGGATTTATATGGAACAGTCGTACGTTATAGCCATTAAGAAATGGTCTTAGCCAAAGGATTAATGTGCTCACGTCATCTCGAAGACTTATGGCGCGGAAGACACGGGAAATCCGCACAAGAGTCTTATGTCAGATGGCTTTTACAACATGTGGAACCCGGACACCAAAGCGCCTACAATATATTGGCCCCCAATTTCTGCCGAGAGAAACATGAGGCGCCCCGCACATGGGGCCAAAAATGTATTGCCAAGGATTTTGCGACATCTTGCGACACAGAGTTAATAGTTGGCCCCCACACGACTGATTGCACCGAGTTGTTCAAGGTACAAGGTCTTGCGCATAAAGGCGACTCAGCAATGCTCTTGATCCTGTTAATCTTTACTCCGAGAGATTCCCCTACAGCTAGAGTGGTGTTTATCTGACAGATCCCCTTCTGCTACAATGATCTCTCTTATTCCTACACAACGCCTTCTCCTGTTCCTTGCACTTGCGACGTCGGCGTGCGCATACAGCAACCACCTCTGGCACATGGATTTTGACACCTTTCGCAAATGGAAGATAATTAAAGAAAATGAAGACTGCTGGGAGGCATACAAAACTCTCAACAAGCTTCCTCTCAACTCCAATTCAACTGCGCTCGTCGACTGTATGTTGATCAACATGCACCCAACCTTGTAGCAACATATTCGCTGACTAAGGCACTCAACTAGGTATACTAGGCAAGACCGACGAAGTCACAAAGTCCGAATTCGGCGTTGTAGCCGTCATGCTTGGTCTACTGCCTGGGGTGCTGCAACTAATAGGCCCTAAGTTCAGCGACCTCGCCATCCTCGCTACCAGGAGACCCATTCTAGCGCTGTTCTTAACGGTAGGATCGCCATGCCCAGCTCTGGATCACGAGACTACGGGCATGGAGTCCCTCCTCGCTGAGGACTCGCCGCCTTTCTGGCCCACCTGGCTGAGGACGCGACGGCCATGGTTGAGCGTTGTGATCTCTCTCCTAGAATACTTCGCGGTTATGGTTGCCGCTGGAAATGTGGTGTATCATTTCTACCGCCTTACCTTCTATGCTATTGTCTTGATCAGCACCCAGATGGGGCAATATGGCGGTACGCTAGAAGCCTTTTCGCCGCTGCTCTGGGTCTTCCTTGGTATCCCCATACACGTTCTTGGCATCCTGCAACTACGTTTGTGCCGCGTTCCTTTAGCAGACGATGCTGCATTGACACGTCCGCGAAACAAAACCACGTTAATCTCCCTCCTCCAAAATGAATTCACTCCTTGTGCCTTCGCGACAGACATCGGATCCGATCAGATCAAACTCCAAAACGGCCCGATCTACCAGATTCTTAACTGGCTGATCAGGCTTTGTATTTGGGCTGATGTTATCTACGGTATCATCGTTCTGTCCACGATTCTGTTTGTCCCGATGTGGAGCGCTATTTGGATGATTGGTCTTGTGTTTACGGGGACGCTTATCTGTAGGTTAGTCTTGGCCTTTGAGATGCATGGGTTACGTGAGGTGCCAAAGGTACAAAGGAAAGCCTTGGAGGGATCTATGGAAGCTGATTATGAGATGACGCGGCTCATGCCTGAGAATGGAAAGGCGCATTTGCAAGAGCACACCGTGCCTCCGTTGCGTCACTGATCCAAAAGGGGTTACGCAGACCTTCTAACTTCGTTCACGTCGGGTTGTTTGAGTTTTAACTGCGGATTGGATTGTAATTATTAGAATTGTTGGAGTAGCTGCCTATAGAGACGCTCGCGAGTGTAAGGAGGGTAATGATATGAAAGTATTATCTTGACAGCGACAATCCGTAAGGACTCGTTGCTGTAGTGGCAGCAGGCTGCTCGTAGATAGTATGCAAGGAGCTACATGTTAATATACCCTAGACTTCACACTCTAGTCTACGAGCGAAGTAAGGAGAAACTAATAAAGGGCAAGGCTAATACTTAACTACAATTAATGTGCTATATTCTACTACTTACCTTTAGAGAGTAGGTTTAAGGAAGCCTTTACTGTAAGTACTTTAATCTAACGTGCCCTACTACTAAATAGCGCACACCACTAAAATAGCGCACCTCTACACAAAACCATCTTTACGCATTAATAGCACTCAACTATAACATGTAATAAAGACGTATAATAGCTAGAATTAATCCTGTACTTCTACTACATCTTTCTTGCATATACGCTTGTTATCTTGCTTTACTATAGTTCTTACAGCGTTAAATACCTCCTGCACTACTACCTGCGCGCACCCTCTCCTAACGCCTCTCTACTTCTGTAAGGGGTAGTAATAGGTAACAGTATTTGCTTTAAACTATAAGAGAATAGTAGAGGAAAGCTTTGTATTACTACACTAGGTAGGGAGGTCGTAAGAATAATTCTTATCTATTCCCTTGTAAGGGGCGGGTCTACTAGGCCTCGCATGCAACTACACACGCCGTCCACGTAGCTAAAAGGCTAGTACAAGACAACAGAGCTGTGCGTTGTCTTGCGTAGTTAATACTTAAGGTCGCTGCCGCGACCTATAACGTAAGGCGTACCACTAAGGTACAACCGAGGATCTACCCTAGGCCCGAGTCTATTACACCCTTAACGCGTAGAGTATAGGTTATAAGTAAGTTTAGAGGCTAAGGCGTAAGTAAGAGAAGCAAACATGTTAGGACTATAATCGTCCTCCTTGATTAGCGTCTGCTGTCCTGTATTACAAGTTCTAACTAAATCTTAACATCCCTTTGCTTAACTATATCCTCTGCTCCTGCCTATAATAAGGTCCCTCCCTTCTAGATGTGCTTTCTCTTACGCCTTTAACGTTTAAATACTGCTTAATTTACCTTCTTAAGGGTCGCTATTCTAGCCTAGAGCAACGTGTGCAAGTATACCTTTATAGTTTATCCCTTTTTAACCTATAACGTAGTTTATAAGAGAGCGGCTACCTTAAGCAAGTAGCCACCCTAACACTAGTGCAGCGCACGCGTAGCAACGTAGTATAATACTACAACAGATTAATATATTATACGCAATACTATAGTATTATTTAGAAGCGTTGCTATTATCTACATCTACTTTTTCTACCCTGCAGGTGCGGGAGTTGTACCTAACCTCGCTGCAACGGCCGCAGCGCCTCTCTACGCGCACCCTCTTTATAGGCGTCTTACTATCCTTACGCCTACTACTATTTATCTTAGTAATTAAGTTAGATACCTTACTAACTATTAGAGTCTCCTCTACGCGTACGTACTACCTTTTGCGAGTCTTACGCTTTGTAAGCGTGTTAACAGCTTCTTAAAGGCTTCTTACTTCCTCTTATATTAATACTATATTATAAGCTATCTACTAAGCGCCTTTACTTAGCTGCTTAACCTACTTATCTAATAAGCTTACTAGTAACCCTTAGTAGTTTTATATATAGTCTTAAATTAGCGTAGATTACGCCTCTATCTTATAAGCGTTGCGTTGTGTTTACAACTCCTAGGCAACTATACCTAGTGCAGGCAGCGTTAGCGTACGCAACTGCACATCTAGCTTTAATAATATAGCCTCTAGGTTATATAGGACTAGTCTAGCACCTTAAAAGCCTGCGCGAACGTTCTCTAGTATAAACGTCTTTTTATAAGCTTCTTTAAAGGCTAGTAGGAAGGTTTCTTTATAAATATAGTAGATACAGCTATATACTAAAGGCAAGATTCAGTTACTATAGTAGCACTTTAATAGTAAGTAAGGGATAACGTTAAAAGGCTATAAGAGGTATAATAAGTAGGATAGCATATAAATAGTAATAATATTATTCTCCTTATAGTAGTCCTAGAAATCTATTAAGTAGTAGCTCTTATAGCCGTTGATAATAAGCATCCTGTACGCCCTAGCAGAAGACGCCTTCGTATAAGCATTAAAGTATATAAGCTACGTAAGCGCAAGGTTGTTATTAATCTAGCTAGTAGGAGAGACAGTAATAATCTAATTACATGGTAGATCTATAGACTAGGAGGTAATAAGGACTTTTCTTACAAAGATAAGGAAGGGCGGGTTAACGCGCCTTATCGCAGAGACGCCTTGTACTAGAGTTACCTACTCGCGATTACTAGGCTATAGTTTCTTCTATTTTCTAGGCTTCTCTAAGCCTATAATAATAAGCTAAGAAGATATCTTGCCTATTATAAAGCTAGACCTACTAAACTTCTAGGTGTCTTTATTATTAATATTATACTTAGCCTTTATTAATTAAACAAGCTTAAACTAGGGCCTAATAATTCTTAGGTTCTTATAGATAGCTTACTAGTAATTATACAGATTACTCTATTACATTTATAGCTTTAGTATACGCTTAATAAAGTTATTAACCTAGCTCTTACTTATAGGCTTCCTACTACACTCTCTTAGTAGTCTATTACCTATATCTTATACATTTTACTGTAAGGGTAGTATACTACGTAGCTCTCTTTAAGTATACCCTATACAATTATCTCCTCTTCTAGCTTTATAAGGCGTTTTAAGTTTAGCTTATAATTACGTTAAGAGAGTTATTTAGCGCGTTAGTTAATAAGCGTTCTTTATAAGACGTTATGATTACTACAGCTCGTGCGTTGCTTTGAATTAATAAGAATTAATATCTAAGATAGGAAGCTATATATTACCTTAATTACAGGTTCTTTAGGTACTGTATAGTTGTAACATTACGTAAAGTTACTGTGTAAGCGCCGCGCTAGTGTTAGAGTAGTAACCTACTCATATTAGTAATATACTTATGAACTACTTTAAGCTTAATAAGAAAATTTTACATATAGGCACTAGAACGAAGTAAAGAAATACAAGGCAATTGATAAGGTTTAGGCAAAATTTAATAAGCAATACCAGATTAGCTAAAAGTTACGACAATTACACTATAAAAACGCGAAATATATAGTAACTACAGAAATTATTAGTAGAGAAGAATAGGTAGTAAAAGAAATCTTAGAATAATAGCTATAACGCTATAGACGTATATAGTAACTATATCTTAACAGTTAGTAGAAAGGATACTACTAAGTAACCTTAAAAATAGTAGAAATCTTTAGAAATATAGAAGTGTTACGGCGCTAGCTAGCGAGAAACGTTAAGAGTAGCTCCTACCCTAATTAGCCGCACAGAATCTAGATGCTAACTAGCGCACTTAGATTCTGCGGCACTAAAATTCCTGCGCGAACGCGTCCTGTCGTAAGCTCCTTATGCTACGCCCTTGTTTTAGCCTAACCTAGTACTGTTAGCTATACGTAGTAAAAACACTAATTACGTGCACCCATCTTCCCCGCCTGCTACCCCTATAACAAGAAGCCCTAAATTAATAAGAAGAATGCATAAGAGAGTACTAAGATAAAGAAGAATAATTAGTAGAAGGCTCTAATAGGATATTTCTTCAAAGGAAAGAATAAGAGAGTATTATAATAGGCTAGAGCCTAGTAAGTAAATCCTTAATAATATCTAAGTTACGTGCGTAAGGCATAACCTGTTTCACCAGCGAGCGGCCCACCTTACTAAGCGGCCTAGTTCCCTTACTAACACGCGTACCTAGCAACAACATGTAATGTCTTAACAACTACAACCTCTTAAGGCTTATACTAAAGCTAATGTGCAGCTTGCCCTCTTAGACGTTAAACGTAACTAAATTCTAAGCCTACAGCGTGCGGAGGCAGTCTACAAAGTCCTAAAGACAACAATACGACGGCGACGCGACAGGAAGCCCTCTAGACGCGACTGCGAGCTAAACTTAAAGAGCCTAACGAAGCTAGAAGAGGAGGTAATTATACAACGTATACTTAATAAGAATCTGCGTAGAGTACCGCCCTTAAAGCTACACGTACGAGATATAGCTAATAGATTGCTGCACGATCGCAGTGTTAAGTCTGTTAGGAAGAACTAGGTTAACGGGTTTATCTAGCGTACACCTAAGCTGCGCACGCGCTAGAGCCGTCTATACGATCGCTAGCGAGCTCTCTACAAGGACCTAGTAATTATTAAGCCCTAGTTTATGCTGGTTCAGAACATGAAGGCGAAGTACGGCATTATAGACGACGACATGTACAACTTTAACGAGTCTGGCTTCCTAATAGGCAAGATATCGTCGCAACTCGTAGTAACAGGCATAGACAAGCCTAGGAAAGCAAAGAAGCTTTAGCCTAGTAATCGCGAGTAGACTACGTTAATACAGGGCGTTAGCGCAATAGGTCGCCTTATCCTACCCTTCTTTATCTTTACTAGTAAGGTTCTTATCTCTAACTAGTTTACCAAGGACCTCCTACGTAACTAGGTTATTTAAGTAAGCCTAACAGGCTAGACGAACAACGATCTAGCGCTTACTTAGCTTAAACACGTTAATATGTATATATAGCCTATAGGAGCGTATAGGCTGCTTATTATTAATAGCTATAAGAGCTATTACTTAATAGATTTTTAGGATCGCTGTAAGGAGAAGAAGATTATCGCTCTCTGTATGCCTCTACATTCGTCGCACATCCTATAGCTGCTTAACGTTGCCTGCTTCTTACTATTAAAGCGCGCGTACGGCGATAAGATCTCAGCCTTAGCACGCGATCGTATCTACTACATTTACAAACAGACCTTCCTACTAGCCTTTAGAGTAGCTTCTAGGAAAGCATTTATAAGAG